ACCCGTTTTTGATGCGAGCATCAAGCGCAAGTTCAACCATAGCACCTGTTTCTAACCCGTCAGTAGAATAAAAAGAAACCAATGCTCCAGAACTTTATTTGTTCAGTTAATGGTGTTTTTACGGTTTATCCATGAACGATCACCGAGAATCAAAAGGCATACAAGAAATGCGAAAATGGCTCACACAACTAGCGGATAGTAACGCATGCTTAAGGTTATTTTTATCGCCCATCAGACAACACAAATCAAAAACAAAAACAAGGGCGAATAACATCGAGCATGCACAAGCATGTCAGCATCCAGATAGAAAACATTTGTATTCGCAATGGTCCAAGGTCGTTGGCCATATTCATTTGCGATCGCTTTTTTTTGTTTTAAATTAGTTGCCGCACTTTTTTTACGGATCGTATTACATGATTCGGTAGCACCCCATCTATCCATATCCATATCCATCCCCGTTGGCACATGAGTTTCACAAAAATAAAAGGAGCGGAACTCTGTAGAGAAAAGATGAACGAGACAAAGTGCTCTGGTATGTAGATTGGTAACAAAGAACCCAGAACAAAAGAAATGTGTGCATATCTATTTTGCCACCTTTCTCGTTTTTTTTGTCGCCTACATTTTTGCCGCCGCTTCTCGCTTCTGGTTCTCGGTCTCCCTCCGAACTCCTTGGATTTCCATTATTATCCTTTCCTATTGTCGTATTGTCTCCTTCTGGAATTCATTCACACCCTCCCCTCCATCTATTTTCTCACTTTATTGTTCGTTCTTATTGTTGCAACGATCACGCTTCCTTTTGTTATTATTGCTAAAGTCCTCTCTCTCTATTTCAGGAACAGTTGCAAGGATAGAATGAAGAGGAGTGTCCATTGGTCATTGCTATTGTTAGTTGGAAGGACGTGATCAGCAATATAGGTGAGATTGTGAGAAAAGCAAACGACGCTTCTTTCATCTCCTCATCATCATCATCCTTGTGGATGGATTGGTACCAATAGGACAAGATGGGCACGTTATCAAGGGTAAGGAGGCTTGAAATGCAATTTAGGCAGAAACAAAATTATGTGATTGTGTGTGTGTGCCTGAATGGGGGGTTTTTTTCTCACACATTTGATTGGATACCGCATGTGACTCGTTGATGGGTGAAATGAAAGGAGATGGGCTGGTAGGCTGGTGGGGTTTTTTTTCTTTCCCTCGGGGTTTGCGAACACTCCGAACACAATCCCAATTAAGGGAAGGAGGGGCACACACACGCATACGCAGAGAAAGCACCGTTTGTTTGTATGTTGGTGACCGAGAAGACATGAAGGGGCTTACGAGAAGATTCGTAGAAAGTGGGAGAAGAAAAGTTTAAAAAAACGTTGGGTGAGGAAAAGCTGGGCCATGGTCGTAAACCATTGAGAAAAAGGTGGGTGAGAAAAAAGCTTTTTGTAGGGGTTTGTTCGTCCTTGGTCCGTTGCCGGACAGAACTTAGCAAACCTACACGTGATACATTCTGGCACTGAGAACAGAAACGCCACCAATATTTCTCTCTTGTGTAGTTTTACCAACCAACCAACCAAGACTGTCTGTCCTAGACCTACATACTGTTGTGAATCAAGTCTTCTGACGCGTGTTGTTGTCTCAATCCTACATCTCATTCATACACCCTGGTGGTGAGGACCCGAGTCAGTCACAAATGGTTGATTCTGTTGACGAAGCAATGTACTTTTCTTCTCAGTCAATAAATACGATGGCCTGAAAGACGTATGCATGTACGCCTCAAAAGTCTCACAATCATTTTTTTTTCACCCATAACCTCCATCTATCTGATGGCCTGGGTTGACACAAAGCTACTCAACAATAGAGAGTGTCTGAGAAGAGAAGACAAGAGTCTGGGAACAATGAACAGGGGAGAAAACAGGTAGTCTAGTTGTTTATGAAGGAGATGTAAGGCGTAGGTCATCAATGAGTACCTTTGTTTTAGCTGTTCAGCGTGCATAGGAAAAATAAGATGTCAAAACAGCTATCAAGTACTGTGATTGAGACGGCGGACGGTACTGTGCATGCATGGCTGTGATGATTTATGCAAAATATGTCTTGTCAATTGCCGGGGTAGCGAAATACGATGGAGAGAGTGTGTATGAGAGATGGGGTTGACTATCGACTGTCAAGCGCTCGCTTGGAAGGTACTCTCGCTCGGTCTTGGTGATCTGTGGTTGGAGCAAAGGGTAAACAAAGTAAGGTGACAGTGCCTGTGGTCAAGGTGAGGCGACATGCCCGCACGGGTAGCGTATATTTCGTAAAATGAAATAAAGAGGAAAGAGTAGTCTGATGTTGTTTTGGCTTGCGTGCAATGGGTTGTCGTATGTAAGAAGGGAAGATTAAGGCAGCATGTGTTTGAACCCTTGGGTTCATATTGGAAGAATGAATCCTTTTATTTGTTACTGCAGAGGTGCGAAAAAGGGTAGGTGTCGAGAATCATAGGATAGACGGAATGTCGGCTCGCTCTGTTCCGTAGACAACTAGTAGTTCGGACAGGAGAGGAGAGCGAGGGTGAGCAATTGTGTCTCTCTCTCAGTGTGCGTGTATGTGAGAAGGAAAGTAAGTCAGCGGGGTAGAAGGACATTACGCTTGAGCCAAGGAGATACAAAAGATTTCTCGGAATCAAAGGATAGAGTAAGGGTTATCTAATCCATCGATAGGATGAACAATGGAATGGTATGTTTGTGCTCTTGCGAATTGACGATTAGATCCTTTGTTCGTAGAAATTGATAACGAGTATGTGGTCGATGGACGGGCATAAGTCTTTTGCATCTATATGTAGAAGGACATAAGCCTTTCGTTTTTTGTTCCTGGGTCGGTTAGGATGCGGACGTAGTTGAGGGTTGCTCTCCATTTTGTCGCATACCACAGTGATATCAATGTCCATGGTCTGTGCCTCGTGTGGCTGACACGCCCTTCCTCTTCTTCCTCCGTTTCCGTATCAGCGCGGCTCGGCAATTTGCTACAGCAACAAAATACGGTCAATAGAGCAAAGGGATGATTAACAATACAACTATCATGATAAAGTGATAATTGCATTTGCGTACTGTACGTGTGTGTGTGGCATTGGGGGACTATGGATGAAGGGATGGGGGATGGGGCAACGCATTCCCACCCCTCCCCCCCCCAGGGTGGCGAAGGGACAGTGACAATGGGTATTTATTTGTTTCCTTTTACTCGTTGTTGGCAATGTCCAAAAGGAGACGATCCGTTCCCTCCGCCCTCCGCCCTCCGTCTCTTGACAAGTGCCCTTTGTACAATAAGCGGGCGGGTGTAGTTGGCTCTCCCTTGACCAAGTAAGAGAAAGCCCTGCCTTGGATCTTGGGGCGGGCCGATAATGAAAAATCTTGGGGCGAAGAAAACGAATTGAAATCTTTTATCGCTTGACAGTCACCGTCTCTTTGGTTTGAACGTTCGTTTCATCCGAAGGCCAAAAGAGGAGTGTGTGTGTGCGTTTTTTCTTTTCTTTTGTGCTTTGTTGAGCTCACCATTCCATTTGGTGGCACAACCGGCTAGATGTGTTACCCACGTTGCCTTGGTTCTTGTTGGTGCCATTGCGCTAGGTTACTTTCTCATCAAGGGCTGATCAGTAACGCTTATCTTCTCTAGCATAATATATCCGAGCCATGGTCTGTACACACATACACACATGCACACACACATTCGTTGGCATACCCAACACACTTTACTCTTCTGTTGACGCGATGTTGCAATCGTGTTGTTGTATGCCACGCCCCTTTTATTTCTCTTATCCATTCCACTGACCCCTGTTTAGATTTACACGATTGATTACAAAGTAGTTACAGAGAGAGGATGCAGCAAATGTTGACCCAGGATTGGACGTTGATTGATGAATATCCCTTTCTTCATTCTTCCTTCTTTGTGCAAAGGGTGGCAGGACAAACGTATCAAGGTGAGAACTAAGGGTTTGAAAGGTGTGGATCGCAACCAACCAGGGGCCAATGCTTCCTTCTTTGGATCCACATCCCGCAACTTGGCGGAGTCCTTGACCTCCAGGTTTTGGTTGTGGAGAGGGGGAGTAAACAGAGCTGGGTTCGAGTGTGTCGCCGTTGGGTGTAGAGTTGGTCGAGCTTTGAGTGTCGAGTGTTGTATGTCCCTTGAACAAGAAGAGGAGAGTACATTTAGTGGAATGGCGATGTTGCCCTGGATCAGCCTCAAATGTTGGGGGCATTGTCCTCTTTGGCTGGGTTTCATTCACAAAAAAAAGAATTTTTTATCAGTGAATCTGTAAATGAACACTCCAGCCGCAAACCGCATACGAATTGAATGCGGAATCTACCTATCATCGCACTTGTTACGTTGCAACAACATTTTCGCTTTGGCCCTCCCCACACAAAACAATCCTTTCTGTTAAAAGTGTTTGTTGGATAGATCCCCTTCCCTTTCCTTGAATACTTTTGGGTGTCCGCATCCTTTTTGTCCCTTTGTTATCCCTGTAGAGAGCACCGCTTAGATCGCACATACACAAAACTTATCTTTGCCTTTTTGTTGGTGGCATTTCATTTTTTTAATTTTTTTTTGGGTTCCCCTACTTTTTGCGGTATATTACTTTCCGGTTCTTTTCCTTTCTTATTTCTTTTTCTTCTATTCTCCACTCGCCCTTTATCCTCCTCCTCTCTCTCCTCTCCTTCCTCCTCCCGTTGCTCATTCCTCTATTACTCTCTCCTCCTTTCATTCCGCATCTCATTCCCTCTTCTCATTGTTTTTTTTCCTTGCATAGGCCCTTTGATTTTACCTTCCTCGCATAATCCCTTTCATTTTCGTTGCATATCCCATCCTCCTTCACCCCCAAAAACTTCTTTATTTCTTTCTTGACGATAGCAAACCATTGAAAAGTTGCATTCAATCTTGTCTATCGCCTCATCAAAGAAATACCTCCCACCTCCCTCTCCTCAAAGAAGTTACTTTATCTATCTCTCTTGACCGCAGAAAAAAAAACAACCATCACCATAACTAATATGACGACCACCATGCAGTCCAACAACCTGACTCGTCCTTTGGCCCTCAAGCAGGGTACCTCTGAAGTCTCGATCCTCGTTGCCTCCGATGTCTGGCTCGCTGCTGAGCAGTTGCGCGAGGAATTCTTGATCACATCGACCGAGTCTGCTGCCGCTGCCGCCCCCGTCGAGGGTGCTGCTGATGAGCAGGCCCCCGAGATGGAGCTCATTGCTCGCTTCCTCAAGTTTGCCACTGATAAGTGCGAGCAGGTAATATATTTTGTTTTTATCAATATCTATGCCTTATCAATTGGACAAAGGACATCCTGGATCGCAAGCAAGCAAGCAAGGAGAGGAAGGCTTGGGGGATCATTGGGATTGTTGAACGTTTTGTTTTACTTTTCTTGTTTTGGTTTGGGACCCGTTAATTTGTGTTACCATGGACGTACGATAATGTTTGCAAGGAAGGCGCGCACTTTTTATTCGATCTTTTTTTTTTGCCCCAACAAAGGAAGGATGTTGGACCCATGGATGATGGACGGGATCAGGATTGACGGAACAACAAGTAGGGGATATGATACACTTGAAACATCAATTGTTCATGGCGAAAGAGATGGGGAGAAGCAATTGAACGAGCAATTGGTACTCGGTTGTGCCTTTTGTCACTCTTCAATGGATTGACACAGTTCTCGGAAGCAATTGAAGAAGAGGATGAGGGTGTTCGTTTATTGCAATAGCAGACTGTATTTCTTTCTTGATGACGGGACTCGTTCCCTGTGTCCTTGTTTGATTTTCTTTGGGGAGGAAGAGGGACTCAAGTTGGAGACGGAGGGAAGTGGAATGGATTGTGGGGGGAAAAGTCAGCAACAGCGGCAGGGGGCTTGCTTTTTCTCTTTTTCAATTGACGAACGAAAGGGGAGCCAAACCAAAGGGGAGGAGGGTTTTCTTTCTTTCTCTTCGACAACGATGACAAGAAGATGCGGAAGAAAATGACAGCTGAGGTTCTCTGGCGCTTCATTGTTTCCTTTCTGTTTTGTTTAAGTTGGGTGTGGTTGTTGTCGGTTGAGTGGGGCTGGAATCTTTTTTGGGAGCAACAAAAAAAGGGGGAAAGCAGCCACAAACTTTATTTTCAGCGGCAATTTGATAGCTCTGTTTCCCACGGGAGGAATTTTCGTTTTACTTCTGCTCAACAGAGCAAGAGCGAGGGAGAAGAAAGAAAGAAAGTAACATTCACTAACAACGTCTTCTTCACATCCTTTTCACCAATTAGAACGACCAGTCGCTCCAGTTTGTGCCTGTGTTAAAGACAGTGTTCCTGTTCTTCGTCACCAAATACCTCAGAGGAAATGATATCCACGTCGTCACCCGCGCCCTCACTAAGGATACCCGCGTTATCATCATGAACGCCTTCTTCTCTGCCCTGGCCTTCCTCCGCGCCATGGACGTCCTCTCCAACGATGACTACACTCCCCCAACCTCGGCCCTCTTTGCCGCCGCACACAACGGCTCGGCAAAGATCTTTGCCATCTTTGGCGGACAGGGCAACATCGAGGAGTACTTCGACGAACTCGCAGATATCTACACCACCTACACTACCCTGGTCCAGGATTATATCGAGGACATGGCTGCCGTCTTGCGCGATCATGCTCGGTCTGAGGATGCTTCTGTTTTCCATTCCAAGGGACTCGATGTCATGGGCTGGTTGAGGAACCCTGATTCCAAGCCTGATGTTGCTTACTTGGTTTCTGCTCCCGTATCGCTCCCTTTGATCGGTCTTGTGCAATTGATGCACTACTATGTCATGCTCAAGGTACGCTTCGTTCTTGTCTTTCTGTTTTTATCATTATTGTCTCTTTTCTTTTGCGATCTTTGGAGAAGAATGCATCTTCAAAAAGGAGTATGTACCTTCAATAGAAAAAGTCGCATGACTTTGTCTATCACAGCGATATTGACTAATACTCTTACCGACGGTAAATAATAATAGGTGCTCGATCAAACCCCCGCGCAGCTTCGCGATGTTATTTTGGGCTCGACTGGACACTCCCAGGGTATCATCTCGTCCGTTGTCATCTCCTCGTCTGCCACTTTTGAAGACTTCCTTACCAACTCGCGCAAGGCCCTCGGTCTGCTGTTCTGGATCGGAACCCGCTCCCAGGAGGTCTACCCCCAAACCACGCTCAACCCCGCCATTCTCCAGGACTCGCTATCTAACAACGAGGGCAACCCCACCCCCATGCTGGTCGTCAACTCCCTCCGTGCCTCCGAGGTTCAAAAGTACGTCGAGGCCACCAACCGCCATCTTCCTGAGGATCGCAAAATCAAGATTGCGCTCATCAACGGACCCCGCTCATCCATCTGCACCGGTCCTCCTCAGTCCCTCTACGGTCTCAACTTGGCCCTTCGTAAGCTCAAGGCCCCCACCGGTCTCGAGCAGGGACGTGTTCCCTTCTCGCAGAGAAAGGTCAAGTTCTCGTCCCGTTTCTTGCCCATCACTGCCCCCTTCCACTCGTCTTACTTGGATGGCGTTGCAGCCCTGGTTGAGAAGGATATTGCCAGTTACGACTTGAGCTTCGATGCCAGTGCCATGACCGTCCCTGTCTTCTCGACTGACTCTGGCAAGGATATCGCTGGATCTCCCACTATCACCATGGATCTTGTGAACCAGATTTGTTCCCTCCCTGTTTTCTGGGAGAAGGCAACTGCGATGGCTGGATTGACGCACGTGATCGATTTTGGCCCTGGAGGCTCCTCCGGCGTCGGCTCTTTGACGGCCCGCAACAAGGACGGCACCGGTGTCCAGGTCATCCTCGCTGGCGCCACCGAGGGCGTCAACCGGGAGCTCTCCTACAAGCCCGACCTCTTTGACGCCAACCCTGCTGCCCTCCGCTACGCCCCCAACTGGGCCAGCGAGTTCCAGCCTAAGCTCGTCCGCTCCGTCACTGGCGAGATCCACATCGACACCCGCATGTCCCGCCTCCTCGCCAAGCCCCCACTGATGGTCGCCGGTATGACCCCCTCGACCGTTAACGAGGGCTTTGTCAGCGCCGTCATGAACGCTGGTTACCACGTCGAGTTGGCTGGAGGTGGACACTACAACGAGGCTGCTGTCCGTAGCAAGGTCAAGAAGATCATGCACCTCACCACCCCCGGTGCCGGTATCACCTTGAACACCTTGTTCATCAACGTCCGCCAGTGGGGCTTCCAGGCTCCCTTGGTCCCCAAGCTCCGTCGCGAGGGTCTCCCCATGGAGGGTTTCTGTTGCGCTGCCGGTGTCCCTTCGCTCGAGGTCGCCAGCGAGTTCATTGCTGACATGCTCGAGGCCGGTATCCGCCACGTCTCTTTCAAGCCCGGTTCGGTCGAGTCGATCCGCCAGGTCTTGGCCATTGCTGCCGCCCACCCCGAGATGCCCATCATTCTCCAGTGGACCGGTGGTCGTGCCGGAGGACATCACAGTTTCGAGGATTTCCACCAGCCCATCCTGGAGACCTACTCTGCCATCCGTCGCCACCCCAACGTTGTTCTTGTTGCCGGATCTGGATTCGGTGGTGCTGAGGATACTTACCCTTACCTCACTGGTGACTGGTCTGTCCAGCTTGACTACCCTCCCATGCCCTTTGACGGTATGCTCTTTGGTTCCCGTGTCATGGTTGCCAGGGAGGGTATGGCTTCGCTCGGCGTCAAGCAGGCTATTGTTGATGCTCCCGGTGTCGATGATTCCGAGTGGGAGAAGACCTACAAGGGCCCCACCGGTGGTGTCATGACCGTTCGCTCCGAGTTGGGCGAGCCCATTCACAAGATTGCTACCCGTGGAGTCAGGCTTTGGAAGGAGATGGACGACACCATCTTTGGTCTCCCCAAGGACAAGCGTCCCGCTGCTCTTTTGGCCAAGAAGGACTACATCATCAAGCGCCTCAATGCCGACTTCCAGAAGGTAACTTTTACACTTTGCATCTGATTTGCTTACGGTGTCTTTGTACCTTGTTCGTTTTCGCTAACGATGCATATTTATTATTTTATGAATAACATAGGTCTGGTTCGGTAAGAAGGCCAATGGCAGTGTTGCTGACTTGCAGGATATGACCTATGAGGAGGTTATCAATCGCCTCATGGAGTTGCTTTTCATCAAGCACGAGGAGCGCTGGATTGACCACTCGCACCGCAACCTCTTGGGTGACGTTCTCCGCCGCATTGAGGAGCGCTTTGTCGGTGTCGAGACGAACTCGATCGTTCAGACCTACTCCCAGCTGGACATCCCCTTCGAGTTTGCTCAGGAGTTCATCAACACCTACCCCTTGACCCAGACCCAGCTCCTCACTACTGAGGATGTCGGATACTTCCTCTTCCTCATGAACCGCCGTGGCCAGAAGCCCGTTCCCTTTATCCCCGTCCTTGATAAGGACTTTGAGGTCTGGTTCAAGAAGGATTCTCTCTGGCAGGCCGAGGATTTGGCTGCCGTTGTTGACCAGGATGTCCAGCGTACCTGTATTCTCCAGGGACCTGCCGCTGTCCGCTATGCCACCAAGGTCGACGAGCCCGTCAAGGATATTCTCGACGGAATCTTCCACAGCCACATTGCTTCCCTCAAGGAGCGTTACTACAACAACGACGATGCCTCTATCCCCCAGGTCGAGTACTTTGGCGGCAAGCCTGCTCGTTTCGAGGCTGCCTTGAACGCCATTGCTCCTCTTGTCAAGGTTGAGCACTACGACAATGGCAAGGTCAAGATGGTTGAGACCTCGATGTTGGAGTCGAGCCTCCCCAAGTCCGAGGACTGGCTCGAGTACCTTGCCGGCCAGGATCCTTCTTGGTTCCGCGCCTTGATGACCGCCCCCACTGTCATCCAGGGTAAGAAGTTCTTGAACAACCCCCTCGCCCGCATCTTCCGTCCCCGTATCTCGCAGGCTGTCCACTTTGAGTACACCGAGGACAAGCTCCACACCGTCACCGTCTACGACCGTCGCTCCTGGTCGGCCTCGAGCAAGTCCAGCGACTTGTCGCCATCGCTCCGTGCCCGCCTCCAGCCCAATGAGCTTATTGAGGTTGTCTTGGTCGAGAAGAACGGCGACCGCTTGATCCCCTTCCCTCTCCTCTTCCACTACACCCCCGAGAAGGGCTATGCCCCCATCCACGAGGTCATGGAGGGCCGCAACGAGAGAATCAAAGAGTTCTACTACAAGCTCTGGTTCCCCTCGGAGGAAGGTCAGTTCAACAACTGCCTCGCCACCGATGCCTTCACCGAGCAGTTCATCTGCAACGGTGAGCAGGTCGACACTGCCGAGATCAAGGAGTTCTGCCAGGCTGTCGGTAATCAGGCCGAGCTCTATGTCGAGCGTCGCCAGAAGGTCGTCTATGCCCCCATGGACTTTGCCATCGTCGTCGGCTGGAAGTCTATCATCAAGGCTATCTTCCCCAAGTCGATCGATGGTGACCTTCTGAAGCTGGTCCATCTCTCCAACGGATTCCGCATGTTGGATGGTGCCGAGCCCCTGAAGCAGGGTGATGTTGTCGACACCATTGCCGACATCAACGCCGTTGTCAACAACGACTCAGGCAAGTTGGTCCAGGTCAAGGGAGTTGTCTTGCGTGACGGCAAGCGTGTCATGGAGGTCACCTCGGAGTTCTTGTACCGCGGCACCTTCACCGACTACCACAACACCTTCCAGAAGACTGTCGAGACCCCCGTCGAGGTCAAGTTGACCTCTGCCAAGGATGTCGCCGTCTTGAAGAGCAAGGAGTGGATCCAGTGGGCCGAGGGCGAGCACACCGTTGGTCCCAACGCCTCATTGGTCTTCCGTCTCAACACCATTGTCCGCTTCAAGAACAAGACCACCTTCTCCCACGTCGAGACCACTGGTACTGTTACCATGCAGATCTCGACCAAGGAGCATGTTGAGATTGCTACTGTCAACTATAGCACCGACGAGGAGACCCAGGGTAACCCCGTCCTTGCCTACTTGAAGCGCTCAGGCTCGCCCATTGAGCAGGCGATCCACTTTGAGAACGGCGGTTACTCTGTCATGCCCGAGGGATCGTTCAGCTCCGAGGTCATCTCACCCTTCAGCAACGAGCCCTATGCCAAGGTCTCGGGAGACTTCAACCCTATCCACGTCAACCCTTACTTTGCTGACTTGGCTGAGCTCCCCGGTACCATTACTCACGGCATGTGGACCAGTGCCTCGACCCGCAAGTTTGTTGAGATCTTTGCTGCTGAGAACCACCCCCAGCGCGTCACCAGGTAACGGTCGCTTTGATTTTCTTTGCATTGCTTATTTGCTGTGCGGATCAAATTCAAGTACTAATTGCCTATCCTTATTCTACCATTATTATAGCTACGAGGTCAGCTTCTTGTCGATGGTCCTTCCTCAGGATCGCCTCACCACCAAGTTGTCGCACATCGGTATGATCAACGGAAAGAAGATCATCAAGGTCGAGACCTTCAACCAGAACGGCAGCAAGGTACGGTTTCTTGTCACTTTTGGCGCATGGTGTTGTTACGCGACGTTTGTTCGCTATATTTGAAGCAATATATTAACTTTTCTTACCTAATTACTTCGTTGTAGGTTGTCGAGGGTACCGCTGAGATCGATCAGCCTACCATCGCCTACGTCTTCACTGGTCAGGGATCACAGGAGCAGGGCATGGGTATGGCCCTTTACGACTCCTCCCCCGTTGCCAAGGACATCTGGGAGAGAGCCGATCGCCATTTCTTGGAGAACTATGGTAAGCACTTTATCCCCTGCGGCCGCTACACAAACTTTTATGTGTGTTAACAACACAGACTCTAATGACCTTATTTACTTTTCAACCGACAGGTTTCTCCATTTTGGATATTGTCCGCAACAACCCCTTGAAGAAGACCATCCACTTTGGTGGCCCCAAGGGTAACGCCATCCGCCAGAACTACATGTCGATGCGCTACGATATCGTCGACCAGGACGGCTCCATCAAGACCCTGCCTTTGTTCCCCGGCATCAACGAGACCACTCACTTCTACACCTTCCAGTCTCCCAACGGTCTTTTGGCTGCTACCCAGTTCACCCAGCCTGCCTTGACCCTCATGGAGAAGGCTGCCTTTGAGGACATGCGCTCCAAGGGCTTGATCCAGCACAACTGCGCCTTTGCTGGTCACTCTCTCGGAGAGTACTCTGCCTTGGCCGCCATCGGTGAGGTCCTCCCCATCGAGTCCCTGGTCGATGTCGTCTTCTACCGTGGTATGACCATGCAGGTCGCCGTCCCACGTGACGATGTTGGACGCTCCAACTATGGAATGGTTGCCATCAACCCCTCCCGTGTCTCGCCTACCTTCAACGACTCTGCCCTCCGCTACGTCGTCGATGCCATTGCCAGACAGTCGAACGGCCTCTTGGAGATTGTCAACGAGAACGTCGAGAACTGGCAGTACGTTGCTGCCGGTGAGCTCTCCAACCTGGACGCTCTCTCGACTGTTTTGAACTACCTCAAGGTTCAGAAGATTGATCTCCAGAAGCTCATGGAGACCATGCCCCTCGAGGAGGTCAAGAAGCACCTTTCCCAGATCATTGCCGGTGCTCTTGAGAAGGTTGCCGAGAAGTTGGCCAAGGACGGTTTGATCAAGCCCGAGCGTGGTGTCGCCACCATCCCCCTCGCTGGTATCGACGTCCCCTTCCACTCCAGCTTCTTGCTCTCTGGTGTCGCTCCCTTCCGTACCTACCTCGCCAAGAAGATCAATCCCACCTTCATCAACGTCCCTCTCTTGACCGCTAAGTACATTCCCAACTTGACAGCTCAGCCTTTCAGCATCGAGAAGCCGTACATTGAGGGTGTCTACAACTTGACCTCGTCCCCTCGTCTTGCCAAGGTCTTGAAGAACTGGGTCGATACCAAGCTTACCCCCAAGCAGCAGCAGCGTCTCGGTTACACTCTCTTGGTTGAGTTGCTGGCCTACCAGTTCGCTTCCCCAGTCCGCTGGATTGAGACCCAGGACCGTCTCTTCAAGGAGTACAACGTTGTCCGCCTCATCGAGGTTGGACCCTCGCCCACTCTTTGCGGTATGGCTCAGCGTACCCTCAAGTTCAAGTACGAGGCCTACGATGATGCCTTGACCTTCCAGCGTTCGACTCTCTGCACCTCGAAGGATGCCAAGGAGATCTACTACGCCAACGACAACGTCGAAGCTTCTGCTCCTGCTTCCGCCGCTGCTGCCCCTGCTTCAGCTGCAAAGGCCGCACCCGCTCCAGTTGCTGCCCCCGCCCCAGTTGCTGCGGCTGCCGGACCCGCCGCCGCAGTAGCTGATGCACCCATCAAGGCTGTCGAGATCTTGCACGTTCTTGTTGCCCAGAAGGTCAAGAAGACCTTGGAGGAGGTTCCTCTTTCCAAGGCCATCAAGGATCTCGTTGGAGGAAAGTCTACTCTCCAGAACGAGATCTTGGGTGATCTCCAGAAGGAGTTTGGCGGTAGCGGTTTCCCTGAGAAGGGTGAGGAGGCTCCTTTGGAGGAGCTCGCCAACGCTCTCCAGGGTAACTTCAACGGCGCTCTCGGCAAGCAAACCACCTCTTTGATCTCCAAGATGATCGGATCCAAGATGCCTGGTGGTTTCTCTCTCTCTACCGCCAAGGGTTACTTGACCAAGACCCACGGTTTAGGCCCTGTCCGCTCTGATGCCGCCCTCTTGGTTGGTTTGACCATGGAGCCCACTGCTCGTCTTGGTAGCGTCCCTGAGGCCAACGCCTGGTTGGACTCTGTCGCCCAGGCCTACGCCCGCCGCGCCGGTGTCACTTTGGGTGCAGGTGCCTCCGCTGGCGCTGCCCCTGTCATGATGGCTGCTGCCTCCGCCGGTGCTGCTGGTCCCGCTGCCGTCGCTGACGCCCCTATCAAGGCCATTGAGATTCTTCACGTCATTGTTGCTCAGAAGATCAAGAAGACCGTCGAGGAGGTTCCCCTCTCCAAGGCTATCAAGGATCTCGTCGGAGGCAAGTCTACTCTCCAGAACGAGATTCTCGGTGACCTCCAGAAGGAGTTTGGTGGCAGTGGATTCCCCGAGAAGGGTGAGGAGGCTCCTTTGGAGGATCTTGGAAACGCTCTCCAGGGTAACTTCAACGGCGCTCTCGGCAAGCAGACCACCTCTTTGATTTCCAAGATGATCGGTTCCAAGATGCCCGGTGGTTTCACTCAGTCCTCGGCCAAGGGTTACCTCGCCGCTTCCTATGGCTTGGGACCCCTCCGCGCTGACGGTGCTCTCCTTTTGGGTCTTACCTTGGAGCCCGTTGCCCGTCTCGGTTCGGAGGCTGACGCCAAGGCTTGGTTGGACACTGTTGCCCAGGCTTACGCTCGCCGCGCCGGCATTTCCTTGGGAGGCGGTGGCGGTGGAGCTGTTGCCGGTGGAGCTGTTGGCGGCGCTGTCATGAACAGCGAGGAGTTCAACCAGTTCCAGGCCAAGCAGAACGCCATGATGTACCAGCACCTTGAGATCTACGCCCGCTACCTCGAGAAGGACCTCCGTTCTGGCGAGAAGCTTTACGAGGAGGAGAAGCTTGCTACTCTCCGTCTCCAGGCTGATATCGACCAGTGGGTGGCTGAGCACGGTGACTACTACGCCGAGGGTATCAAGCCCTCGTTCAGCGTCAAGAAGGCCCGCAAGTACGACTCGCACTGGAACTGGGTCCGTCAGGATGCCCTTTCTCTCCTCTATGATATGATCTTTGGTCGCTTGACCGTTGTCGATCGCGAGGTCGTTGCTCAGTGTATCCACGTTATGAACCGTGCCGATCCCCAGCTCTTGGAGTTCATGATCTACCACATCGACAACACTGCTGCTGACCGTGGCAAGACCTATGCCCTTGCCAAGGAGCTCGGTAACATGTTGATCGAGAACTGTCGCGAAGTCTTGGAGGCTGCTCCCGTCTACAAGGATGGTACGTTCTCTTTTTTTGTCTCTCGTAGCCTGGTATATGTCTATGGGTCTTTCGCTTATTGTTCGTCATATTAATTACCCCTTTGTTTATTTTTCTACCTCCTAATAGTCGGTGTTCCTACCGGTCCTGCGACTTCGATCGACAACAAGGGCAATATCTTGTACGAGGAGGTTCAGCGTGCCGGTGTCCGCAAGTTGGACCACTACGTTAAGGATATGTCTGCCGGTGGCAAGATGTCCGAGTTCAGCAACCGCCAGAAGGTGCAGAAGAACCTTGCCCAGATCTACAAGATCATCAAGGCTCAGAACACCATGAAGTCGTCGTCTAAACTCGCCATCAAGTCCCTCTACGGTGAGGTCATCCACGCCATGAACATGTCCAACACTATCATCCGCGAGGAGAAGAACCGCCGTGCCAGTCGTATCCGTCGCCCCTCGACCGTCCCCAACGCAGAGCGCCCCAAGAAGGAGGCCAAGAAGGAGACTATCCCCTTCCTCCACCTTAAGAAGAAGAACGCCCAGTCCGAGAGCGGATGGGAGTTCTCGCAGCGTTTGACCAGCGTCTACTTGGATGTCTTGGCCAACATTGCCAAGGACGGTGTCACCTTTGAGAACCGCATGGTCCTCATGACCGGTGCCGGAAAGGATTCTATTGGTGCCTCGATCCTCAAGGGTCTCTTGTCTGGAGGAGCCAAGGTCATCGTCACGACCTCCCGCTTCAGCCGCGATGTCACTGAGTACTACCAATCGATCTACCAGCGCCACGGATCCAAGAACTCGTCCTTGGTCGTTGTTCCCTTCAACGGAGGTTCCAAGCAGGATGTTGATGCTCTTGTCAACTACATCTACGACAAGGACCCCAAGAAGGGTCTCGGCTGGGATCTTGATTACATCATTCCCTTCGCTGCCATCTCTGTCCAGGGCAAGGAGATTGACAACATTGACTCCCAGTCCGAGTTGGCTCACCGTATCATGTTGACCAACGTCCTTCGCCTGTTGGGTAATGTTAAGACCAAGAAGATGGAGAACGGATACGACACCCGCCCCGCCCAGGTCATCCTCCCTCTCTCGCCCAACCACGGAACCTTCGGTGCCGACGGTCTCTACGGAGAGTCCAAGGTTGCCCTCGAGACCTTGTTCAACCGTTGGTCCTCCGAGTCGTGGTCCGCCTACTTGACCATTACCGGAGCCGTCATTGGCTGGACCCGTGGTACTGGATTGATGAGCGGCAACAACATTGTTGCTGAGGGTCTTGAGAAGTACGGTGTCCGCACCTTCTCTGCCCAGGAGATGGCTTTCAACATCCTCGGTCTCATGCACCCCTCGATCACCAACTTGTGCCAGATCGAGCCTGTCTGGGCTGATCTCAACGGTGGTCTCCAGTACTTGCCCAACTTGAACGAGATCTCTGCCAACTTGCGTGCCGAGCACCGCCAGACCTCTGAGATCCGCAAGGCTATTGTCGCCGAGAACACTCTCGACTTCAAGGAGACCCACGGTGCCGAGGCTGAGCGCAAGCACCAGCCCCACAAGGTCACCCCCCGTGCCAACATGAAGTTCCCCTTCCCCGAGCTCAAGAACTACAAGGATCTCTCGCACGCCCACAAGCTGAGAGGCATGCTCGATCTCGAGAATGTTGTCGTAGTCACCGGTTTCAGTGAAGTCGGACCTTGGGGTAACTCGCGTACCCGCTGGGAGATGGAGGCCAACGGCCAGTTCTCCCTCGAGGGATGCATTGAAATGGCCTGGATCATGGGCTTCATCAAGCATCACAACGGCAACCTCAAGTCGGGCGCTCCATACTCTGGATGGGTCGATGCCAAGACCGAGGAGCCCGTTAAGGATCGCGATGTCAAGGCTAAGTACGAGAAGCAGATTCTGGAGCACACTGGTATCCGTCTGATCGAGCCCGAGCTCTTTGGCGGTTACGATCCCAAGCGCAAGGGTCTCTTGCAGGAGGTCTTGATCGACCACGACCTCGAGGCCTTTGAGGTCTCGAAGGAGGAGGCTCAGATGTTCAAGCTCGAGCACGGCGACAAGGTCGACATCTACGAGGAGGAGTCTGGCCAGTGGGCCGTCAAGTTCAAGAAGGGTGCCAACATGTACATTCCCAAGGCCCTCAAGTTTGACCGCCTCGTCGCCGGTCAGATCCCCACCGGATGGAATGCTGCCCGCTATGGTGTCCCCAAGGACATTATTGACCAAGTCGACACCATCACCCTCTACGTCTTGATCTCGACCGTCGAGGCTTTGATTGCTTCTGGTATTACCGACCCCTATGAGTTCTACCAGTACGTCCACGTCTCCGAGGTCGGTAACACTGCCGGTTCCGGTGTCGGAGGCATGCTTTCGCTCCGTGGTATGTACCGCGACCGTGTCCTCGACAAGCCCGTGCAGAAGGATATCTTGCAGGAGTCGTTCATCAACACCATGCCTGCCTGGATCAACATGTTGCTCCTCTCGTCGTCTGGACCCATCAAGACCCCCGTCGGAGCCTGTGCCACCGCTGTCGAGTCTGTCGAGATTGGTGTTGACACCATCCAGAGCGGTAAGGCCAAGATTGTCATTGTCGGAGGCTATGATGACTTCCAGGAGGAGGGCTCGTACGAGTTCGCCAACATGAAGGCTACCAGCAGCACCGACGAGGAGTTTGCCCACGGACGCACCCCCAAGGAGATGTCCCGCCCCGCCACTTCGACCCGCTCTGGTTTCATGGAGTCTCACGGAGCCGGTATTGAGATCTTGATGCAGGCCAAGTTGGCCATCGAGATGGGTGTGCCAATCTATGGTATCGTCGGTCTCACCAACACCGCCACCGACAAGGAGGGTCGCTCTGTCCCCGCCCCCGGTCAGGGTGTCTTGACCACCGCCCGTGAGGTCAAGTCCAAGATGCCCTCTCGCCTCTTGGACATCAAGTACCGCAAGCGCCAGATTGATGCTCGCCGTGCTCAGATCAAGCAGTGGGTCGAGAGCGAGTATGTCGAGGTCGGCTACGAGCTCGAGGAGCTCAAGGCACAGGGTGCCTTGACCGTCACCGAGGAGGAGTACCTTGCCTCCGAGACTGAGCGCATCCAGAAGGAGGCCAAACGTCAGCACCGCGAGGCCCTCAACCTCTGGGGTAACGAGTTCTACAAGCAGGATCCCCAGATCTCGCCTCTCCGTGGTGCCCTTGCCTCGTTCGGCTTGACCATCGATGACATTGGTGTCGGATCCTTCCACGGTACCTCGACCAAGGCCAACGACAAGAACGAGTCCGAAGTCGTCAACAAGCAGATGGAGCACTTGGGCCGTAGCAAGGGTAACGCTTTGCCCTCGGTCTGGCAAAAGTACCTCACCGGTCACCCCAAGGGTGCCGCTGCTGCCTGGATGATGAACGGAGTCCTCCAGGTCCTCCAGACCGGTTTGATTCCCGGAAACCGCAACGCCGACAACATTGACAACGTCATGCGCCAGTATGAGTATGTCCTCTACACCTCGCGGTCGATCCAGACCGACGGTGTCAAGGCTGGTCTGTTGAAGTCGTTCGGTTTCGGTCAGGTCGGTGGTGAGATCCTCTTGATCCACGCCGACTACATCTTCGGAGCCCTTGAGGAGCACGAGTATGAGGCCTACAAGACCAAGCAGCAGGCCCGTCAGGCTAAGTCGTACCGTTACCTCCACGACTCGATGACCGGTGGCCCCGCCCTGGTCCAGGTCAAGAACGCTCCCCCATACACTCCCGAGCTCGAGTCGCCCGTGTACCTCAACCCCAGTGCCCGTGCCCAGTACAACAACGCCACAAAGTCGTGGGCCTTCAACGCCAAGTCGCTCGTCCCCGAGTCTGCCAAGATTGATGTCGCCATGACCCGCGCCATCCTCGAGACCTCTGCCGCAGAGTCTCTTGGTTCCTCTTCTGCCGCTGGATCCCGAGGAGTTGGTGTCGATGTCGAGATGGTCTCTGCGATCAACATTGAGAACGACACCTTCCTCGAGCGCAACTTCACTCAGCAGGAGATTGATTACTGCCTGAGCCGGCCCGACCCCCAGTCGAGCTTCGCCGGTCGTTGGTCCGCCAAGGAGGCCGTCGTCAAGGCCGTGAGCTCATTCTCGTTGGATACGGAAAAGGTCTGGACCCAGGGCGCTGGCGCTGGATTGAAGGAGATTGAGATTGTGATGGCAGAGAGCGGCGCACCTAGCGTTGTGTTCTCTGGAGCCGCAGAGGAGGCGGCGCGCAAGGCTGGAGTCAAGGAGATGAAGGTCTCCATCAGTCATTCTGGCGCTTACGCAGTTGCTGTTGCAAATGCGTTGTAAAAACGTTTTACTATTTTTTTCTTTTCTGGTTTTTCTTTTATACCTCTTCACTTTTCTTTTCTTTTTTTTTTCCGTTTTTAATTATCTCTTTGTAAACAACCTTTTTTTTCTTTTTCGGCACACATTATTATTATTTTTTTCTTCAAAGCAAACAACTATCATTAGGATAGAGAAGGGTTCAAAAGGGAAGGCAGTTGAACGCAACGCTTCTGTCTTTTTTCTTTCTTTCACTCTTTTTCCTCGTGCAATACAGCCAGCCTTTAAACAACACCTTCAATAAAACAATATCAATAATAACTTCTTGTTCGTGCCATGGCGATCTTGTTTGCTGCATGATGAAAAGAGAGAGGGAGAAATGCGGGTGTAGAGTGGTGTTTTTGTGAGTTTGAATGGAAAGAAAACACCAGGAAACATGGTCAAACCACAAGTAAACAAGCCAGGAAACACAAGCCAAAACCCAAGAAACATGGTCAACACATCAATAAACAGGGTGTAACATCAAGAGACAAGCCAGGAATAAAGGAAAGAAGTGAAAGAAAAAAGAAAGTGTAAAGAGAAGCCGTCACATTACTGAGAAAAATGTATTTGTTGCAGGATGTTCACCAACGCGTAAGTCAAACGCGTCCTAGCTTGTCTGCCAGTCGCGTAAAATCGCACATGTAATAGGCCCAAGTCACTTCTAAGTAGCAAGCTCTGGTTCTTCATTCTTTCGAAAAGAAGCCCATGAGTGGTTGCAGGTGAGCTGCCCTTGGGTCTATTAAATTCTCTACTCCTTCCTTCCGTGACAAACAGAACGACCACAGTAGGTCTTGGACAGGGAGGTAGAACAGGAAAAAGAGAAAAGCTGTGAAGAGGGGAATGATGAACGTGAATGATTGTAAATGGGACAAAGACGTGAATGACACGGTGTAGGGGCCGAGGGGTCGAAGCGAGAGGAGAAGGAATTGGGGAAACCAAAAGGAAATGAGAGAACGGAAAAAAGATTGAGGGAATGAACGCCTGAATGGAGATGAACAAGAGAAGGAAGTGAACGACGCGAAACGAGGCGAGTAATTATTAAGGCTTTCTGATATTGGGGAAATGAGAGGGCTGAATTTTTGCCACCAATTGACCAATTGAGGATCTGACACCAATGTCAGTCAACGCGAGGACAATCATGCTTCTTTTGTCACTTCCACACTCTCAATAGATAAAACACCTAACCACTGTACATCGCAAACATATAGTCGCTGCTATTTACGACATGCCTGAAGGCACTGTTCTTCATTGACACTTCGGAGCATGATGCACGACCACAAAGCAGAACAATTGAGAAAAAACAAATGTATTGCAGTTAAAGCTCAAAACTGCATGGATTCGACAGGATCCCTGGACAGTACCTTCTCAACCAGGTCTCAGCCCTCTCCTCATTCGTATCAGCATTCAACCCTTCCACACTCACCAGTCTCGGCCACGCCTTCGTCATCCACTTTACTTCCTGAACTCCCACACACGTTGCCATCCGGAAAACATTCACCTCCTCCAGATCCTTCAACGTCTCCAACTTCTGCAACCCACTGTCGAGACTCATCTCCAAACACTCGTACTGGTACGCTTGGTCCCCCAATACCCAAGCGCCGCTCGGTTCCTCCACAAAATTGTTTTCGTTCCCAAAATCACGGTCGTCGTGACCTAGCCCGAGTACCTTGAGTCTTGTGAAACTAGACAAACGCTCGTACACATGAGCTTGGAGTTCACGACCCTGACCCGAATGCGTCTCCTGGAGCACCACCGCCCCATTACCTTCTTCGCCATTCCCCACCGCAGGCTCGCCACGAGTGCAACCATAGTGCGTCTGGGTAATATCGGGCCTTGGGATACCCAGGATCTTGGCACGGAATAGTTTAAGAGTGGACACGCATGGCCAAGGTCGGAGGGAGTTTGTAACAGGGTCGAGGTCGATAAAGTCCTCCGCCAGGATGTGGCTCACATGCGGTTCCACACACTCGCCTTCAGAGAGGATCATGAACGTATGGAGGTAGGGGCTTGTGGAGAGGATCTGGCACATTTGAGCACTGGTAAATCCAGGCGTATTCCTGACCTGGAGGGATTCGAGTGTGGTCGAGTGCTGCACCAGAGCTTCGGAAGAAAGTGTATCCAAAGTGGGCAGGGAGACATTTCTCCACCCCTTGCGGTTAGCAGAGAGGACGCTGGCGACCACGGCATCGGCGACAAACTCGTCGTTATAATGGTCGCCATAGCTAATCTCGATTTCGTCGACATTGGGGAGACCGGTTCTGAGGGCGTCGGCCAAGAGACGGAGAGACGATGCAGTGCTGTTATCGATCTCAAGTCGCCTGAGCTTGGTACACTCTGCCAGTTCCTGGAGCCAGCCTTGGTCGATGGTGCCGACGTGAAGGATTTCAAGGTTGGGGGATCATCTCAGAAGCGACTTGAAGTACGACAAATCGGGGTTCTGCTCGATCGCTGAAATGGACAAGGACCTCAACCCCACCAATGACTCCTCGTTGCCAGCCGGATCCTCATTCTCTTCCCCAGCATCCTCTATCGCCTCATTAGAAATTGATACCATTGCTGCCGCCTCGACATCTTGATCTTGTTCCTGCTCTTGAAGAGACGTTTCCAGAAACACGTTGGTGTAAGGAATGGTCAGCTGGTTCATCATTGAAGAGCACTTGTCGATCAGGATCGGAGGGATTGACACAGTCACCGGACCAGTATAAGGCTTCTCTCTGTTGGGGCATTGGTAAGTGAACTCAACGCGGAATTGGACAAGGCTGGGGACCACATCTCTGGCAAACGTCCTCCAAAAGTCCAGATCAGCATTGGTACCACTCCACTGATCAAGATGGAGAGATTGGAGGTTAGGACAGTATTTGAGCAGGTGGAGCAGTAGTTCTTGTTCGGTCGGTTCCGGACTAGTTGAGTCTTGGGTTGGATCGACTGTGGCGGTGGTAGTAGTGGTGGTTGCCCTGTGGAAATAAGAAAAAAAAGGTCCATATCGGGCCGCTGGCTGCTCCTTCAGTTGCCATTGCTCAAGGGTTAGGCGACGGATCAAAGGACCATACTTTGACAACAAAGATGATGACGGTGACGAGCATGCAGCCTTGTTGTTAATTCCTTGAGAAGAATCCTGAGGTTGTTGTTGAGCAGCAAGAAAGTCGGATCGAGTGGCAAGGCGCAAGAGTTCCGCGCTCTCATGTGTTGACTGCGCCATAAAGATGGATGCCGGTGGGGGGATAATGTGCCAAATGTGCGGGACAAATGTGTAGTTCCAGGATTTGCTGACGCGGATACAGATTGATAGGTCGAGGAGGGAGAGGTATGAGGCGAGCAGGTTTGCGAGCTCGGGGATATCGAGAATTGACATTGGAGGAAGGAATAAGGAGAAAGGAAAACGTTGCAGAGAATGAGAAGGAGGGAATGTAGTTCAGAATGAGAAGTGAATTCAGTTGGAGAGTGATGGCAAAGCGTGGAGGGTGGAAGTGTGAATGGGCAGATGAGAAAGAAGGAGAAGAAGAAAGATCATGAGAGAAGTGATGGGCAGGGAGAGGAGGTAAAAATAAGTAAGGCCAGGCGAGAGTATTTAATTTTTGATTTTGCCAGAACGGTGGCAGATGAGCCCGCCCAGATGTACAAGCGAAATACGCCCAACGCCAAACTACATGGATTCTTTTTGTTCAGAGTATCGCCACAAGGAAGCCACCTCCCCTAGTGCTGCTCTTCTTCAAAGTGACACTTGGCCAGATACGGCAAAAGCGGCAAGAACTGCTGCATATGCTCAAACCTAGCCCTTCGACTCATACACAGTCTCTCCAATTGACACACCATACCTCCTAATACTGCCTTAGCATCCTCCACACCAAACAAAACAACCTCTTCTTCCTCAACATCATCACCATACTCCATGTCCTCGAAATACTTGATCGGCTCCAGCCTAACGCCCTCGAACCCCAGGTACACAACGTTGGGGCAATGCTTCAGGATATTGAACACGTCACCGATATAGACAAGTCCTTTCTTGAGCTCAAGCGTCTCCAGGTGAGGGTCACATCCAGTAACCGGTTCCATCTGGGCAGCTCCAGACACAAGTGCTTCACCAGGGGCAGACTTCTGAGTAATGCTGGAAGACTGAGGCGGTAGTAAGGGTCGGAGAAGGTGACGAGGTTCTTGAGTCCTGAAAGCGCCTTGTGGTGGAATTGTCCCAATTCGTTTGCCAAGTTACCCAGACGCCGCAGGTTGCGGCTCATATGCAGGAACGTCAACCCGGGGTTCTCTAAGACCAAGAGCCAAAAGCGTTGCAGCGCAAACCAGTCTCGCTTCTGGGACGTCAGCAATCTGCCGCAGGATTCCTCTGGCTCGCTCCCTCCTCACACTCCTCAAGCGGGCTGAACCCAAGTCCATGGTAGGCGTTATACTCTTGATAAGGAGCGTACCATTCCCATCCAAATAAAACACCTCCAGCGTCTGCAAACGCGTACAAGTCCCACTCCGACCGACAAAACGAAATATATCCCTGTGATGGACTTCGAGGGCTCGGATATGATGGGCGTACTTGTTGAAGAGGAGCTGGAGCCATTGTTCGTCCATTTGTCCTTGTGCGTGCTCCGAGTCGAATTCTTTGAGGATCTTGTGCCAGGTTGGGAGGCTGCTGTCGATGGTGTGCCAGAGGAGTGGAATCAGGGGCGATGTTCCATTCTTGGTTGACTTGGACGCACTGCAGTAGGTCGACGGGGAGGAAGTAGGGTCCGATGAGGGGGATGATCGCTTGTGGTAAGGTAGAGTGTGTTTTGATAGGCGACATCAGTATGGGCAGCCGATGGTGATGAGTTGAGTATTGCGGAAAGAAAGAGGAAGAGAAGAAACAAAAACTTTTAGTGTGAATGTGTCGGTAATATGAGCCTGGACGGCGCTTGAGAAAAAAAGTCGCATAAGCAAAAAAAAGAGAGGCATGGCCTCCATTCAAAGAAAAGTGGCTACAAAAACGGAGAAGAATGGCATTAGCTTTCAGTGGAAGGAGCCGCCAATTTCTATCATTGTTTGAGACGCGCTTTATTTCCTTTTCTTTGTCCCTTTGTTGCCGTGACTAGTCAGCACCGACGTGCCAACGAAGACACCTAAAAATGCAGTCCATATTCCTGGAGTGGATCGCATTGGAATAACATAATCCTAGGACAATTTTCCAGCAACCATTTGCTCGCATCATCGTGACTATTCAGACCATCCACACACCTTAGCTTGGGCCAATTTTGCACCATCCACTGTACCTCCTCAACTCCGATCAAAGTCGCCATCCGCACCACACTCAACACCCTCAGCTGCTTCAATCCTTCCAGTATCCGTAATCCACTCTTGAGAGACATCTCCAAACACGTGTACTGGTGACCTATATCGTCTAACCCTCTAATCTTCCTGCTAGGGTAGTAAACATCCCTGTCCTCGTGCCCCAACTCCAATCGTTCCAGGCGGGTGAACCTCGCAAGACGCTCATAGACTCGACGCCCGATATCCTGACCTTGACCAACATAGTCTTCAGGAAGTACCATGCCGTCCTCGAGTGGTCGTCCGGAATAGGTCTTGGTGATGTCTGGTCGTGGAATCCCCAAAATCTTGGCTCGCAACACCGTCAGGGTTGACTCGCAGGCCCATGGTCTGAGGAAGTCGGACGAAGAATCGGCGTCAATAAAGTCCAACGCCAGGATCTGGCTCGCGTCAATGTATGGGAGACTATCGTCCTCATCAATCAATGTAATAAACGACCTGAGTCGAGGACTAGACGAGAGGATCTGTTGCATGTGTTTGCTTGACAACTCGTGCGCCCTCTTCAGCGATAGTTCCTCCATAGTAGGACAATGCTGTACGATAGCCTCTACAGCAAGTTTATCAATGCACGGTGCGTTGATGGATCGCCAGCCGGTACGGCAAGCCGAGAACATGTTAGCCAGGTCCTGATCCCGCATGTCCTCAAAGTAACAGTCGATGTGAATGTTGGCAAGGCTGGGGAGACCGTTCCTGAGTTCATCGGTAAGCAACTGGGCCGATTTGGTGTCGAATATAACGATTCGCAAACTCTTGAGGTGGAGGCACTCTCCGAGAACTCCGGTCCAGGTCTCGTTGAGGCGTGATATATGGAGACTCTCGAGGTGGGTGCATCGGGTTATAAACTTGAGCAATGGTGGCGAGTACAGCCTGCTGCTCTGGCAGGTGACATTCAGAATCCTTAAAGACGGTAACGGCTCCTCTTCTCCATTGTCCCAGTTTTCTTCCGTACGCTGCTCAATTTGTACTCGAGGGTAGCTATGTCTAATGTGAAAAGACAACTCCTGAAGGTTGCAAGAGCACCGCGAAAACAGGATTGGAGGAAGGGGAGAAAAAGCAAAGGAGACTTGGGACTCTATGACGAGGGTGAAGTTGGTGATGGTTCTTGGAAGACCGCTGCCAAGAATCTTGCTCCAAGACTCCAGCTCCTGAGCATCGTTGACCCGTCCTTCAATCTGGAGGCGTTGTAAACGCGTGCACTGCTGGAGCATATGGAAAATGAACTCTGGATCGGGCGGTGACTCTGGTGTGGTCTCGCCCTCCGTTGCTGCGTGTTCGATGAACGCAGGTATAGGTTTCCACTGCAGGAAGGACTGTTGTAGTTCCAAGACCCGAATCCAGCGCCCGTTCCTTGAAGTTACTGGCAGGGGACTATTGCTGTTGTTGTTGTTGTTGTTGTTGTTGTTGATGTGAGCCTGCAGCAGAGTTGAAAGGTAATCCCTCTGCACCAGTTGACTGAAGCGGTCGTCATGGCGCCGATATGACTCCAGTGGCGGGTCATCCTCTCTCCTCACAAGGTACGCTGTGGGCGGGACAGAGTACCAGAGGTATGGGATGAACATGGCGTTCCAGGCCTTGCTGACCCGGACGCACACTGTGAGGTCATGGGGGGAGAGATAGTAGCGGAGCTGATCAACTAGCTCTGGGATGTCGAATGGAGACATTGTCAACAGGATGTGGTGAGGAAAGAGGGTCGACATGTGGGTGATGAGAGAAAGAGGTGGTGTGAGCCCAAAGCAAACAAAAATCATAAAGGAGGCGACCAAGTGACCTAATCTAACGAGACACTACTAGTGAGAGACATAGCTGATGAGACCTGACGGATGCTCCTGAGGATAAATAAAGTTGGTGGCAACAACAACACGGCACACGGTACTTGACCGATCATACCATCCAGGAACAAACTAAAAAAGGCAACCGTCAAAGTTCTCCGGGAGCTAGATATCGCCCCAACGTCACTGCTGCATGGTCGAATGCAATCAAAATTCTTCTCACACCCTTGCCACATAAACAAACAAACAGTATTATTTTTTTCGTCTTCCATGCCTTTCCCGTCTCGAACGTTTTTCCTTTGCTCTACTTGCCTTCCTCACCTCTCTTCACAGTCCTGTCTCTTACATTCACTAATGAGACACATCACCGACCTACCCACCGAGGTCATCACGGCCATTGGCGACTTCCTCCCCTGCCGCAACTCCATCCACTCTACCGTCCTCACCTGCAAATTGTTCCACGAACAATTTTCTCACCTTCTCTGGAAAGCCGTCGCAGTTTCCACTAACGACTTCAATCCCGGCCCGGATCCCACCAGCCTCAAGGCCCACGCCCACTTAGTACACGACCTCACCTACGAAGGACATCTTCAAGGAGAGTACTACAACATCTCATTCCCGCGTCTGATCAGCCTAAACCTCTGGACCAATGAGATAAAATCGTCATCCCAGGCACTCGACGCCGACTGGTCCATCCTCGTTATGCTCAACCGCACAGTCCGAGATATTGAGGTCTCGGTTTATATCTCCATCTGCCTGGTGGACGTTTGGGACGCCATCGTTACCTCGCTATACTGTCCGCGACGATTGACGATTAGTGGGAAGCATTTGACTGTAATCATGAACGACGAGGATACGAGGGCGTTCTGGAGGGCGTGTGGACGGTTTGAGGAGATCAATTACAAGGGTCGGGATCAGGCGTCTACCTCGCGGGGATTTGTGGACTACGACTATTCACAACTAAAACGTCTGCGTTACAAATCAACAGAGTTTGCCTCCCATACCCAAGGCCAGATCGATTGGGTTGGCAAATGCTACAATCTGACACAGTTCCGATGGGAGTACAGCAAAAGACTGATTCCCCTGCAGCGGTTTGCGGACCTTGCTCAAATGTCGACGTGGCCTTTGCTGGAGGGTATTTGTATTGGCAGGACTTCTGGAACCGACGAGCAGCTGGGGGTCATACTTGGCCATCTGCCGCCTTTGAAGCACTGGAAGCTCAAGTCAGGATGTTTTGGACCGTTGGCTTTTGATCAACTCCGGGGTCGCCACTTCGACAGCATAACAACCCTGCGCATGCCAAAAGTCGATACGTTTACGAGTCATATGGCGCTGGAAACTCTGTCGCATTGCCCCCAGTTGGAGGTGTTTGAGGCCCGTCGCATTTCCCTGGAGGATATTTGCTTGTCTCCTCGACCCTGGGCCTGTCGACGACTGAGACGCCTAGTAGCGTTTTTCACAATGGCCAGCAACCAAGGCGACGGGGCAGAGACATTATTCTTTGAACAGCTTTCGAGATTGGAGCAGCTGGAGGATATTGATGTCAGTCAAGCGCCTCTTCTCGGTTCAGACTACAAGGCAATCTTTGAGCCTGCCCCCCAATGGAGACTGGACCATGGACTTTCTCGACTGTCTACACTATCGCGGCTAAGGAGGTTCAAATGTGACCATGGCATGCAGGATATGAGGGTGGAGGATGTGGAATGGATGCTGGTGCATTGGCCGTTGCTTCGGATGTTTTCTCGGCGCGTCTCACTCGACAAGGACGCACAGCAGGATATTACAGCGCTGATTGAGGAGCGAGGTTGTAATAGTGTGTCATTATTTACATATGAATAAATTGAAAATGACCTAAGTGAGATGACGAAATGTGATTGGCGCCAACTGACACAAAATAAAGTTGGTGGCGACAAGGCGCCAGACTGATCAAAACAGTCAGAGCACTGCACTATCTAAATCTCGATCCTCGTTCCCCAGCTCCAATCGCTCCAGTCGTGTCAGCCTCGCGAGACGGTCAAACACTCGGCTTCCGACTCTGGGTAGTGTATAATCCTGGAATCGCCATTCCATCCTTGAGTGGGCGATTAGATCACGCCCGGGACGCAAGCTTCCAAGGCTTGGATCCAAGTCTGATTGATAGAGGTAACGATCAGTGTCTCGAGGTTAGCGCATCATCGTTAGAACTGGGGCCACGATGGCGGGTAGGTGATGATGTGCTCGTTCAAATCCTCACAAGTCACGCGCACCTCATTCATCAACGGTAACGGCTCATCCCAATATTGAACATGTCCATGAGAACCATCGATACCACCAAAATATTTATTCAAAAATTCTATCCCAATCGCATTGGAATGACTGAATCTTGGGGTAATGCTCTCGTAACCATTTGTAAGCACCATAGCTCTTGCCATGATTCAAGCCAACCAGGCGATTCAGCTTGGGCCAACTTTGTATCATCCACTGTACCTCCTTAACTCCGACCAAAGTCGCCATCCGCATCACGCTCAACTCCCTCAGCTGCTTCAATCCTTCCAGCATCCGTAATCCGCTCCTGATGTTCATGTCTAGACAGTCATATTGTTGATCTTCATCCTCCAAAGTCTCTGCTTCAGCCGATTCGTCAAACGTCCTAGTTACGCCAAACGTGTTCCTGCCTTCCTGTCCCAACTCTAATCGTTCTAGTCGTGTCAACCTTCCTAAACGTTCATACACTCGATGTAGGATCTCCTGACTCTGACCGGAGTGTGCTTCTTGAAGTACCATGCCGTTTTTGACTGGGTGCCCGTGAAAGGTCCTGACGATATCCGGTCTCGGGATCCCAGAAATCTTGGCGCGGAAGACTTTGAGCGATAATTCGCATGCCCATGGCTTAAGGGAGTTGGAGGAGGGATCGGCGTCGATGAAGTCTGTTGCCATGATATGTGTCGTCTCTTTGATGCTGTATGAGTCGCGATAGTCGCGTTCTAGAGTAACAAAGGTGACGAGTCGGTGGCTGTAGGATAAGATCTGCTGCATGTCTCTACTTGTCAACCCATACGCCATCGTCAAGTCCAATTCTTCCAGAGTAGAACACTGCTGGATCGAAGCCTGCACCGCAAGCGGTCCTATTCTTGGAATCGCAATCGATCGCCAGCCCGTGTGAGAAGCCGCAAGCATGTCCATGTTATCCCGATCCGTAGTATCCAGCGGTGAATTGTCGAGGCGAATGCTGTCGAGGTTAGGGAGGCCACTCCTGAGAGCCGAAGTAAGATGATGAAGAGACACCGAGTTGATCATTCCCAGTCGCAGACTCTGGAGTTGCACACATGCTGATAGGGCGTGGATCCAGCTCGGGTCGACTGAAGAGACCCGAAGACTCTCGAGGTGAGTACATCGATTCAAGAACAGAGGCCATGATGGAGGGTAGGGCTGTTTGTCCTGACATGTCACACGCAGTTTCTTCAAAAGCGGCAATGGTTCTCCATCCCCGTCCTCTTCCATCCTCGTTGGCGGATCCAATATTTCACGGGAGCCAAAATGTGTGAAGTCAAGATGCAGACTCTGCAGCCTCGGAGGGCATCATGAGAACAAGACGGGCGGGAAGGACGACTTGTCAAGACTGACCCTCAAATCCAGTTTGATGGTGAGATCCGTGAGCGTTTCTGGAAGACCCGTGCGCACGATCCTTTTCCATGGCTCCAGCTCATCGACCTTTATACATCCTAAAAGCCACAGTCGCGTCAAGTTTGTGCATCGTCCAAGCAAATAATACAACAGCTCCAAATCCGTCGGGTTACGGATAGGTCCTGCTTTAGTCGAGTTTTTGCTCGACTGAGGTCGACTCTTACGGAACCCAAACCGCTGCACCTGTGGGTCGCGGAGGCGATGCTGGTCAAGACCCAAGACTCGAATTAAATGCCCATTTCTTGAAAAGGGCGGTAGTGGATGATTGTTCCTGTTATCCTTGTCGAGGTGGCCTCCCAGTTCTTGTTGGGCAGCGTGGTAGTCCTCCTGTGCAAATTGACGAAAGTACTGGGGGTGACGAAAGTACGGCCATTTAGAGAAGACTGACCCGTTCGGACTTGGGAGTGGCGGGACGGTGTGCCAGAAGTGTGGAGTGAAGATGGTGTTCCAGGTTTTGCTGACCCGAATGCAGATTGTCAAATCACGGGAGGTGAGATGGTAGCCGACTTGCTCAGCCAGCTCGGGGATGTCGAAGAAAGACATGAACAATGGACGATGAGGACGAGTGGACAAATCAGAAGTGTGCAAGAAGCAAAGAGAAAAGAAAGAAGTGAACGAGCTGAAAGCAGGCGGGCGTGCGAACGAGATAAATGAATTAGAGTTGAAGGAGACAGAGGCCACACATTGGTATTCAACATCCACATGATCAGAAAGTGAAACATGATGATCAATATCCTAAGGCGGGTAAAGTTGGTGACAACAGCTACCAGGTTGATCAAATATCAGCCTAGAACCATCAGCCGATACCCATAGGGCAATTCACCTCTGCCTCTCGCACACCAACACTGATATGCCAACAATGCAAGGTGTTTCCTCCCACCACCTTTATGACCTTGTCCAAGGCCTGGACACAACCAATGCTATGGCCCTTAACTTCTCTCTTTTTGATTGACGTTCACCGAAGCAGAAAAGCTGCTCTCGCTTCTTGTCTGCCGTTCTTTTTCTACACCAACACACTCAATCCAGTAACGATATCTTCCACACCATACTACGAAATCAACAAAACCATAGCACAAAATAATTCGATCAATGCTGACGAGGGCTTTTGCATTGACTGTCAAAAAAAGTAAGGCCTCAATGGACGCGGAAACAAGGCATAGAAAAAATCGTTAGGGATTCATCCTGCGCCCATTTCCCTGCCTCCTTCTCCTCTCCGTCAATGTTCAACCCACGAATAACTATCAGCTTGGGCCAGCTCTGTTTCATCCATTTAAGCTCCTCAACACCGATCCTGGTCTCCATCCGTACCACACTCAACACCCTCAAGTCCTTCAACGCTTCCAATATCCGCAGTCCGCTCCCGAGTTTCATATCCAAACAGCTGTACTGATGGAGTACATCTTGAATCCTCTGCAACGTCATATTTCGCAAATAGAAGTCGGCGTGGACATTAGGCCGCCGGTCCTCGTTGCCCAACTCCAGTCGCTGAAGTCTGGTCATCCTTGCCAGACGCTCATACACTCGTCGTTGGATCTCCAGGCCTTGTCCCGGGTAAGCTTCCCGTGTTACCATCCGGCTCTTAATCGGGTGTCCACAATAGGTCCGAGTGATGTCCGGTCTTGGGATCCCGCCGATCTTGGCACGGAAGACCTTGAGGGTGGATTCGCATGGCCAAGGCTTGAGGATGTAGGAAGAGGACTCGAAGTCAATGAAATCGTGGCAAGAGATGAAAGTCTGGACGTGTTCGTACTCCTCGTCCTTGGCCAACGTTATGAACGTCTCCAATCTCGGGCTGGATGATAGGATCTGTAGCATGTGATTGCTGGTCAGACCATATGCCCATTGCAGGCTGAACGTCTCGAGGGTAGAGCAATGCTTGATCAAGGCGTCTGCTGCGGGGGCGCCCAGACTCGGAAGACAAACATATCGCCAACCTGACCGGCATGCTGAAATCATAGCAGCCACGTCCAGCGATTGGTTGTGTGATTCATATGTTCTAACTTGAATTGCATCGAGGCTTGGCAGACCGGTCTTGAGAGCCATCGCGAAGGGTCGGATCGTTTCATCGCTGAGAAAGTCAATTCTGAGTGTCTTGAGATGGGTACAACCCTCCAGAGCATGGATCCAGCGCCGTTCAAGAGATGGGATATGAAGGTCCTGGAGGTTGGCGCATCGACCAAGGAAGCGGGCGCAAGACGGTGGCAAGAAGTTCCCATACTCGGAGGTGATGCTCACAGCTCTCAAAGCCGGTAATGGTCCCCCTTCCTCTACAGCAGCCATTTCTTGTTCCCGACCAGCGTTGTCCACGGGTACCAAGCCGTACGACTGGCAAGTGATGTGAATGGTAAGGCTCTGGAGCTTCGACGGGCAGAGAACGAGCACAATGGGCAGGATACGTGATTGATGGAGATTGAGATCTGATATGAGGCGGATGTTGAGATCCATGATGGTTTCCGGAAGGCCGTAATTTGCGATTCCTGTCCAGAACATTAGGTTTATTATGTTCATGTCATATCCAGAAAGTCGCATCCGCTGGATATTGGGACATTGCTTGAGCAGATGGATCCACAGGTCGAGACTGAATAGAAGGTGTACTGGTGGTGGGTGGGTTTGTGCGACTACATGCGTAGCAGGCGGGGCGTACAAAGGGGAGACAAAAGGAGGAGTCAGTTGTTCCGGATCATCAGACTTCCCCAGCTCTGAAAAAGGGACACTCAGATGTCGAATCCAGCGGCCGTTTCTTGATATCACCGTCTGCAATTGGTCGGGTTCGTACTTGAGACGAGACCGTAGCCGCAGTTGGCGAGTGTTGTTGTAATCGACCACTAACAAAGGATGGCTTCTGCTCCAAATCCGAGTCTCCTCGTTCATTCTGGCCGGTTCGTCCCTGATGTACTCGGGGAGCTCTCGTGGGAAGGTGCGCCAGAGGAGTGGTGTAAAAATATGCATCCAGGCTTTGCTCGTGCGGACACACTGTTTAAGGTCGTGGATATAAAGATAGCAACCGATGAGGTTAGCCAGCTCTGGAACATTGAATATGGACATTGGAAAGGGTGTAGCGAAAGGACAGGGTTAGAAGTGTGTGTGCGTGTGTGTGTGTGAGAGAGAGAGGAAGGAGGGGATGGAAAGCGAGATATATGTCGATGGCACGAGCAGAAAAAAGAAAGGACGAGTAAAACGATGTGACGTGTGAACGAACCTTATTTTCACTATGATGTTGTTCTTGACCAAGGGAAAAGGAAGGCATCTCATGTTTCTGAAGAGAAACATGATGGTTCCTGAGACGTTTAGAGTTGGTGGCAACAGTTACCAGGACGATCAATCAGCCAGGAACCAGACAAGGAACAACACTTAGGTCATTTATTGTCGGCCTATGTTATGTCAGGCAAGAAGCCAGTTGCCTTTTCCTCCTCCTCCACATCGTCGTCCTCTTTATTCTCCACCTATTTCTCCCATCCTCTTTTAGTGTCTTGTCAGCTTTCCTCCTTTGTTTGGTTGAGTGCGACCAAACGGTGCGTTTTGATGAATGCGCACCATCCATTGATTGCATGTGCACACTTTCCCCCTTTGTTTACTTTCTGGTGGCGGCGTCGATAAAGTCCTGAGCCGAGAAGTGAGTATACCCAAAATTGACCGACGTATATTTTCTATAGTCGTCCTTGACCAACGTAACAAACGTCTACATTCTCGGGCTAGACGACAAGATCTGGATCATGAGTTCACTAGTAAGACCATGCGCGTTTCTCCAATAGAGTACCTCGAGAATCGAACAATGCTTCACAACAGCCTTAACAGTGAAAGGACCCGCATTGATGATCCCCCAATAGACTGTCAACCCATTCCGACACGCAGAAACCACTGGTGCCTTATCCTCGTCAGTTTTTTCCGAACCTTTGGCATAGATGTTGATGGTGTCTAGGTTAGGGAGATAGGGTTTGATGGCCATAGCGAGGGGTCGCCAACTGTCAGGCTGCAATATCTCGACCTCTAGGCTCTTGAGGGAAACGCAGGCTTGTAGGGCTTGGGTCCGGTGATGGCCGGAGGTATTGGTACAGAGACTCTCAAAGTTGGGGCATCGTCTCAGGAGGCGGGGCCATATAGGGCGGATGAGGGTACTTATTTGGTTTCAGATAAGGATACCTCTCATCATTCGTCACTGACAACGTATACTTTTTTCAATGCCAACTAGCGCCAAAAATGAAGCCAGTTGTCTGGTTCCCAAGGCAAGGGCAGAAGAGTAAGTCTCGTTAGATGTGAATGTGGTTGCATAAGCTGGCTCTAGCTTTAGTTTATTATTATGCAGTTTGGAGAGAGTGGCTTTCTAAACAAGTTGTTATGTTTTTTTGGTACTATGTGCATTGGGTGCCCAATTGGACACCCAGGATGGGTTATTTTGTGTTATGAGTTCGAGAGAGATTATAAAATCAATCCTGGAGCAAACTCTGACCGTTCATCTCGGAGGGAACGTCCAAGCCCATGACGCGGAGCATGGTGGGGGCAACGTCGCAGAGGGCACCATTGGCGTCGTTGAACTTATGGGTCTTGCTGGTCATGACAAAGGGCACACGGGCACAGGTGTGGGCAGTGTGGGGGGTCGAGAAGTCATCCGACAACATCTTCTCGGCGTTACCGTGGTCGGCAGTGATGAAAAGGATGTAGTTGTGCTTGACACAGGCCTCGTAGATGGTTCCGATAGCAGCATCAGTAGCCTCGACTCCCTTGATGGCAGCCTCGTAAATTCCAGTGTGTCCGACCATATCGGGAGGGGCAAAGTTGCACATGATGAAGGGGTACTTGCCAGTCTCGATCTCTTCGGCAACCTTCTCACCGACAGCAGCAGCAGACATCTCAGGTTTCAAGTCGTAGGTGGCGACCTTGGGCGAGGGGATCAGGTCACGGTCCTCACCGTCGAACTGGGCCTCGGAGCCTCCGTTGAAGAAGAAGGTGACGTGGGCGTACTTCTCGGTCTCAGCAACGTGGCACTGGGCGACCTTCTCCTTGGCGAGCCACTCAGCAAGGACGTTGGTCATGGACTGGGCAGGGAAGGCAACGGGGAAGGGGAAGTCGCCCTTGTACTGGGACATGGTGGTGATGTGGAGGTTCTTAGGGAGCTTGACCTCCATGGGGGCGGGGGCGATGCCCAAGACGGACGAGATCTCGCGCATGCGGTCCGAGCGGTAGTTGAAGCAGAAGATGGTATCGTTATCGCCAATCAATCCCTGCTCGTTGATGATAATGGGCTTCAAAAACTCGTCGGTAATGTCCTTCTTGTAGTTGTCTTCAATAGCCTGTGAGATATGTCCGATAAGAAGAAGTGTGGATAAAAAGATAAAGAAACAGATACAGAGTCAACAACTGCGATTTAAGGTTCAGATAGGTCCAATTGGGGCAACAAGACAACACGACACAACACTTCACACAACGACGATGAATTACCTGGACGGGATCAGAGGCCTTCTCGCCCTCACCACTGACAAGTCCATCGACAGCGATCTTGACACGCTCCCAACGCTTATCGCGATCCATGGCATAGTAGCGACCACAGATGGTGGCGATCTTGCCGTAATTGATCGACTCGGTCTTCTCAACCAACTGCTTCATGTAGCCAGCAGCAGAGCGGGGGGAGGTGTCACGACCGTCGCCAAAGAAGTGGATGTACACCTCGGGAACCTGCGCTGCCTTGGCAGCATCCAAAAGAGCGTTGAGGTGGTTCTGGTGGCTGTGGACTCCACCGTCCGAGACCTATTTGAAAAACACGAGCACCGAATGAAAATTCAAGTCTGTGTGAGAAAATGAAGTACTTGGTTTATCCAGATGATGGAACGCAAATACTCTTCGGTGGTGTGGACTTACGAGACCCATAAGGTGGAGACGACCGTTACCGGCCTTGGCGTGCTCGAACGAGGCCTTGATGTTCTCCAACTTGCCGAACTGGTCCTTAGAGGCAGCAAGATCAATGCGGACAATATCCTAATAGTTCATAACGACGAATAAAGTAAAAGTTGTCAATGTTTGGTGCTCTTCCGTCGTCCATGAGTCCTGTCTGTGGGTCGTCGATTAACTGACGCCATCCAGTTCCCCTCGTGGGATAATTTGATCTGTGCAAAAAGTAGCGAAATGTAGTGATTGTTGATTCTCAAGAGACGAAAAGAGGGGGTGGGAGTGCGCGAATGTCAACGGCGACAGTGGGAAGGAGGAGGAAAGTAGAAAGAAAGAGAAGAAAGAAAGAGAAGAGAGAGTTGGGATACGATGATCTCATCTCGCGTAACCAATATAACATTGCAGCCAAGGTTCCACTTCACCAGATATTGAAAAGAGAGACACACAGAAAACATTAAATAATAACACAACAGAAACAGAACAACAACCAAGAGTGTGTTCCCGATCCATTCCTCCCCACCGAAAATTGAAAAGAAAAAAAAAGAAAAAGTGAACGTGTCCTTCCTTCATTGCGCTTCGGAGACGGTACTGGAAGACTTTAACAGAAGGCGGTTCTACTCTCCCTTTCAATCTTTTCACACAGAAAACAAAGTCAAAAAAGGCATACCTGGTAGACAACACGACCGGCACCGATGTTCAAGTGTCCGACCTCGGAGTTACCCATGAGGCCGTCGGGGAGGCCGACGTCGAGGCCGTGTGCGCCGAGGGTGGTGTAGGGGTATTCCTTCTCGAACTTGTCCATGTAAGGGGTTTTGGCGTTGAAGATGGCGTCACCACGGTGGTTCTCTTCGGGGGAGACACCCCAGCCGTCGATGACGATACAGACGACGTTGTGCTTGACTTGGGCAGCCATAGTTGTATATGTGTTGCGTAAAAGGGAGGAGGGAGGAAGGAAGGAGGGTGTGGTGTGATGAATGAAGGGAATGAAAGAAGAAGAAAGAGTTGCGATCAACCCCCAGTCGTTTTGTCACCCTCGTTCATTGCCAGAAATCACAGTCCAATTGATCAAGGGCGAGTCTAAGCCACTGTCCGATCTCCTGGTCTCGTCTCACCGATAAAGTCAGACACACACACACCCAACACCTGCCGGTCTGGCTGCCAATACCGGTGTGGGAGAAGAAACAACCAGGCATGCCATCCACCTATAGACGCCATACTCAATTAACTCAGACTTGAGGTACACCCTTCTTTTCGCACCACACACAATGCACCTTAATCTGGCAATCGGCGTCCCCCAAGGAGATCTTTGGCCTCATTTGACCCATCTCCCGTGTCTATCTTACACCTTCTCCTAAGCAGGGCCAATTGACTACTGACGAGCAATTGTTGCCACCTAGTCACTTTGCTACAGTAAAGCACCTGTTAAGTGCGATAATAGGGCCCTCCCCCAAAAAGGATCAGCCTGTCAATGTTCTGGACTCCGATGTTCACCTTGCCATGCTAGATTCCTTCCTTTTCGTTCTTTTCACCAGATCAGTCCAAGCGATAGTACATGTCCGCATTGGTTCTTTCGATCTACTAGTTTTGTTTATGTTTTTATTTTCATGTCCGAGGATGGACACTCTCAGGTGGTATTCTTTTACCTCATCGGCGGTACAAGATTGACAACAGAAGGAAAAAAGAGATGGGGTGTTGCGGGCCGGAGTGTAGAAGAGGGACGGCGAGTTCGTTGCTGTCCAGGGTAAGTAACGAAGAGAGGGCCCAGATCGAATCAGTCAACTTGTCCATGACCTGTCCCTTATCAGATTTTTTTAAGATTCGGCCTTAGCCGTCCTTCAAGTACACGCACGAGTACGTTTTTCGTTTTTTTGATCTCCTTTTGGTGTTGTCCTTGCTATCCAACCTCCCCTCCCATTTCCTTTTTCTTCTCTCTCCTTTCCCTCTCTTTCTTTTTTCTCCTTTTTCTCTCTCTTCTTCGTTCCATTCCCACCAAACAACAACAACCACCCGCACAAGACATCTCGGACAAGCAAGATACCAGACATCACCAACTGCCAGCAACAGTCAGCAGCCGCCCGCTCCCGATCGATCGTATAGTACAACACCACACCAACACGCCCAACGCGCATGTCGGCAAAAAGCACAACAAAAACCGGCACTAGGCCTGCACCGGCTGCCGCCTCTTCCTCTAACTCCTCCGCCTCACCCGAGTCGGTTCCAAAGGTCACCCGGATCGTCTTTACCGCCCTTCTCCTCGACATCCTTGCCTTCACCATCATCTTGCCCCTCTTCCCAAGACTCCTCCAGTTCTACCGCGACAGTGAGCATGGCGACCAGGTAACCCTTTTTTTTTTTTTTGTGTTGTTCATATTTCCTTAATTTCTTATTTGTGTATGCTATGACCCAAAGAATCAACCGGAGAGAAGACAGGAATGAGCTGATCAGGAATCACAAGAGTGAATGTGAATGCAGACAACCGAATCGTTTTCGTTGACCATTAGTCTCTGTCTCCCCGTTGTTGTTTCGTGTGTGTGACGGGAAGAATCCATAATGGGCGACAAGGGATACCCACGGATAAACGAACCACAGGGACAGGTCAACAAATAATGAGAGCGAGAAGAGGAAGGACAAGGCGGAGATCGCTTTTTTTCTCCGTCGGTGCCTTTTCGAGTGTTTGTTTACACGCTTCTTGTTCACAAAACGGGAAAGTAGAACAACAAGGAAAGCAGCCAACAACCATTGAAGCAAAGTTCAAGGAAAAGAAGAGTACAAACACAACAACCTTTCATTAACCTCTCCCTTCCTTCTTTCCTTCCTACCTTCCTTCCCTTCTTCCTTGTGCCCCACCTACATTTCACAAACCACCCTAAAATTAGGCATCATTATTGGCATGGTCCTTATCGAGACTGACAGAGTTCCAGTCCGCCATCGGACTCAACGATGCCAAAAGCCCCTCCTCATCATCCATCAAACGGCCCCCCAAGATGGATATCGTCCTCCTCGGCGGTGCTCTGGGTTCCCTTTTCTCGGTTCTTCAGTTCATTGCTTCACCTATTATTGGAAAGTTGTCGGATATCCTTGGACGGCGACGTGTTCTTCTCATCTCTATGGTAACTTTACACTTGATATTGCTGTATCTGATGATTTTTAATGCTTAGTTGTCGTTTTGTTGCTCTTTGATACAACGCTTACTCTTTGTTGATTAACGGGAAAACGCCACACAACTTTGAAACGCACATTAATTAACACTCATAACCCCTCCCCTTCATTTTTCTATTAGCTCGGGAACTTGATATCCTGTGCAGTATGGCTCTTCTCCTCAACCTTCGAACTCTTCGTCCTCTCCCGAATCATCGGCGGCCTCAGCGAAGGAAACGTCCAACTATCCATCGCAATGATCTCCGACATCACCACCCCTGCCACTCGCTCAAAGGGCCTCGCCATGGTCGGCATTGCTTTCGCGATTGCGTTTACTGTCGGGCCCGCATTGGGCGCTTATTTTGCGAATAAGGATCTGGTCGCGGCTTGGCCCGGGTTGGCACAGTATGGATTGCATCCCTTTTCGGGCTCGGCCTTGTTGGCGCTTGTGCTGTTGACGGTGGAGAGTTTGTATTTGTATGCGAGGTTGCCAGAGACGAATTCGGAGAGTTGGAGATTGGCGGTTCAGCAGACCGTTCAGCAGGAGACGACTGATGATGCTTCTGGACCCTCCTCGTCATCAACCCCTGTCACCACCAAGCCTGCCTCTACCTCCTCTTCTCCAACAGCAGGACTGGACCAGGAAAAGATTCAAGCCTTGCAACAATCCTACCTCTCCGTCCTCTCATTCACCCACTTTGCTCACCTCTTCCTCTTCTCCGGGATGGAATTCACCCTCACCTTCCTCACCTTCCACCTCTTCGACTTTTCACACATGCAACAAGGCGCCTTACTCGGCTACATCGGGATCTTATCCTCCCTCCTCCAAGGAGGCTATGTCCGTCGCCGCGCTCACATCGTCGGTGAGAAACGTATGGTCCTCCAGGGGATGGTCGCCGCAGCAATCGGATTAGGATCCATCGCCCTTGTGTCGGGCGGCGGTGGTTCTACCACCACTCTTCTCGGAGGGAAGTCTACCCTCTTCCCTGCGTATGTGATTGATGCTATTGAGTGGTTGGACACTCAGGAATGGTCCCGGAAGACTAGAATGTGGGGCTTGTACGCTGGAGCTACAGGATTGGCCGTGACGAGCGCAACCGTCGTCAACTGCCTCACATCCCTCGCAAGTCTCGTCTGCGACATGGGTTCCAATGACTCCCTCCCCACACCCGCCTCCACCTCCTCCACAACCACCACAACCAAGAAGCAACCCATCGGGAAGGGTCTGGCACTGGGACGGTTCCGCTCCTGGGGCCAACTGGGTCGTGCCGCAGGACCGATTGCTGCCTGCAGTTTGTATTGGCGTGTAGGACCCTTGGTCTGTTATGGCACTGCTTCTGTGGCCGTCTTTGCGGTCGCTTTCCTCGCTAGTAGAATCTTGCCTGAGGTGCGTAAACTGCCCATCCGCACCCGGGCCGCTGCCGCCGCTTCTACCAAGAAGACAAAATAACTCTACACTTCAACACGACCAATTTTTCTCATTGCATTAAATAAACAAACACCATAGATATCCCACTTGTAATCCATTTCGTTCTTCATGCGATTGTATTTTTTGACTGATGTAAAAGGAATGCGTCTAAATGCAAGTACGAAAAAAAGAATAGGGACCCTCACCGAGAGCATACAGTACGCACTTAAGCGAGGGCATGGGTCCGACCAAGATCCAACTTCTGCCTCAGGATCCCAAGGATAATCAACTCATGAGAATACACCAGCGCCCCTGCATCTAAAATAGGCCCCCACATATCCTTGTCATCCTCGCACGACACCACCGCCAAGACTTCATTATCCTCATCATCCTCATCCTCATCCTCATCCTCATCTTCAGTTTCCTGCTTCTTCTTCCTGTTCCTAGAACCCTTCTTGACTGCAGCCTCCTTGCGCTGGTTAGACTTGACAATCCGGTCTTTCAAAAACCCAAGCCCTGTTTGCAACAACGCAGTCGCCTTGCCACCACCAGCCTCAACAAGGAGCTTGAGCGCCGCTAGTTTGGGAACCGTTGAGGGCGAGATGTAAATCACACAGTTCTCAAAGACCTTCCTCTCCTGCGCGCGCTCCAGGGACTCGGACAGGCTCATATCAAACTTGGCCTCGTTCTCCGGATCCTTAATTTGATAGTCCTTCTCGTCTAATAGACATGTATAAAATTTCCAACTTCAATTAATAACTGGCTGATATGATGCACACACACATGGTTCATCCAAAAAGGCGATAGAGAACATACCAAGAATAGTGTTGGCGTCGATGCAGGCTTGAAGCCAGTCCTCGTGGACAATAATCTTGCCCTGGGCCAAAGCTGTCAAGAACTTCTCCGTACGACCAACATTCTTGGCTACCAAGTGAGTACACTGATCCACCGCTGTCGTCGACACAATTCCGAGTGCCTTGAGTGCCTTGACTTGCTTAGCATTTGGCTCCTTGGTAAGGCCTGTCGAGATGTAGCGCGCATGCTTGAACTTTGATACCGGTACTGGTGCCGCCGTCGCCTCAGCAGTTTCGCCAGCGGGAGTGGTTGAATCGGCAGGGGAGGTAGAAACCTCTCTCTCCTTGTCAGCCTTGATCACTTTCCTGGACCTCTTGACCGGCGTCTTCAGACCAGCAGCAACAACAGCATTCTCGCTCTCGTTTCCAGTGTCCTCCTGGCTCTTCACAGGTGTCCTGGGGCCCTCGGCGGTGCCCATGCTGGTGCGTTTCCGCTTGGTCGGTGATGTGGGTGTCTTCCTAGGATTCGGCAGTGCATCTGCCTCGTCAGCGTCAACATCCATAGAGTCGTCAGCATCCCGGTCATCAATCAGCGCAGTCTTGCCTCGCTTCTTCCTTCGCTTCTCGTCCCGCAGTTCGTCCTGAAAATCGTTCATGTCAGGAACGATCTGCTGAAGCGCCTTGGTGGCCTCAAGAGCAGCGCCACGTCTCCTCGAGACAATACGAACTCCTCCTGGACTACTGCTTCCTGGTATCGCTGCATCGTTATCCGCGTGGCTGTTTGACAACGAAGAAGCTTCCTGTGCTGCACCACTGGCCGATCTAGAGCCTCGTCTAGGGGTAGCCTTGCGCGGTGAAGGGGTTGACTGGTGCGTCTCGACGCCCTCCATGGCTGCGAGTCCTGCTGAGCTCCGCCGACCGGCGCGGGTGGCGGCTTTAGATTTCTCCGGCGCAGGCTGTTCAGGTTGCTCAGAGAGGTGTTCGTTGTCGCCTGTCGCCATATCCTTCAGCAACAAACTTGTAGTCGCAATAGGATCAACATTTGACGAAGTGCTCTCTTCTCTTGCCTCGTTCGTATCGGGCTGTGTGCTAACCTCCTCGAACGCGTCGGGAGAAGTCCACTCCTCGATTAAATCTGGTGAGAGTCCTGTACCAAAGACTTCCGTAAGCTGACTGTTGAGCGGAAACAGGCCGTAGCGGGGCTTAGTCTCACTCTGCATGCACCAGCTCAGATAGCAATCCTCTAACCAAAAATGATTGACCACTTTGACGTTCCATTCATTGCCCTTCGCGAACTTTTCTCCTGAAGCGCTATTACACAATAACAATAGTTTGTGGTTAGTACTTGATGGAGTAAAACCTTCATATACGAGAATCGTATCTCAGCGATAAGGACTTACTCTCCGCAAATGATATGGGTGGTGGGCTCGGCGTGTGTTTTACTCGCCAGTTCAGGTTTGTAGATGGCTCCTGTAGCAATAATCATGCGCTTGAGATATTCGCGAATCGGGCCATTGTAGTTGGAGACGGTCATGACCAAGGATGTCATGCCAGGGATGTAACCATTGGGGATGGGGTAGTGAAGCAGCGATGCCGTGGGAGACGGCATGGTCCCAGTGCGCAAAACATGGTACATCCAATCCAGAGATGCAACAATCTTTCCATCGTTAGATGCCTAAATTTTTGAAGTAAGAATGTGTATATTGTGGTCAGTAGCTGAACAAACAGAGATACTGGCTATGACATGTCCCGCATTCAACATCGCAGAGTCGGGGTTACCTCAAAATAGAGATCTCCATCGCGGACACGACAGATGACAACATCAACCATGTCGTTTGCGTATTCGTCTACAAGGAATCCTCCTGCCTGAGCAATTCTTTCAGCAAATTTTTGCAGATTTTCCGGAGTAATTGGTAGGTCGGCTTCCATGAATATATACTTGTCCTGCAAAAACTTGTCCTGGATCTCGTTTGGCGAGTTAAGAAAGTTCACCACCGACTTGACAGAGTTGGCGAAGAGCTGGGGCGTGGGAGCTGGCGTTGGTTTTGGGTAAATCTCGTCGTCCATCTCCTGCATCGGTGGGTCTGGGTACAAGTACATTGTCTAGAAACACATCACGTAATTAATTGTTAAGAACGAATGACGATAATCGCCTTTCAAGACAACCACAACGTGAGCGAACCGGACATACCTCGGGAATATGGCACCTAGCGTTGCAGCACGTCTGAAACCAATGCGGCATCACGACCTTGATATTCAACTCTGGGTGAGCCATCGCATACTCGTACTTTGCCTATCAATCCCCCAACAACAGGCATCTGTTAGCCTCAATAATTACGTTTCTTGGTCCTGCATTCCTGCTGCAGTGTTGCATTTTAAACCGCTTACCCCTGATGATGCGAGAGCGATCAGATGTGTCACGCTGTTGCTGAGTGTAGCCGAATAGGATCCTCCATAAGAGTCGAGTGCGTCGCAAATGAGCTGGCGGTCATAGTCCGGTAACTATAACGGTAAACACACAGAAGATCATGAAGGCGTAAGACTGAGTATGAAAAAAAAAACATTGTCGCGTCAACAAAGGTGAAGGGTGAGAGAGGGTTGCCACGCGTACTCCTGTAGTCGTTATGCATAAGCCAGAGAAAATCATCCTTGGATCCGCAGAAAACGCATAAGGACTAGTGTAAATAAAAGGTGTGACGACATGGTTAGAGTGCTGCAAAGTTGTTGACAAACAAAGCAGGTAGTCCATTGGTCTTCCTTGATGAGCATAAACTTACTCCTGTACAATGTCTGTTTTTATTGACCGCCTCACCCACTCGGGCTAAATGACGAAAAGAAAACGAGAGGCAAAGGTCAGAAAAGACGTTGTTTTGGTGGCAAGGCCCTTCAACTCGCCGCAGCAACTGCCCAACTGTGCAAAGCAAAGAAAGGAAGTCTAGAGAACACATGACAATACGTACTGTAACGATATGGATCCCGCGTGCAACGGCGTGTTTGTAGTCTGGGATATCCAGGTTCTCTGAAATGATGTGTGTTGTTGGTGAGGTGGTGGTTTCCCATGCGATTTGGCTTGTACTGGTAGACGTTCGTGTCTTCATCGCTCCATGTTCACACAGAGCCATTTCGAGCTATTGAGAGGAAAGACACAAACAAACAAACAAACAAAGAAAAAAACACAATAATGCGGCGTGAGAAGGTTGAGTTCGTTCGCTTCTGTTGGCCAAAATAAATTCCAGAAAATATAAATGGTGGCAAAGGACACCAACCCAGCGTGTCCCTCTGTCCCTTCGACGTTGACAAAAACAAATAATGCAAGATCCCTATTTCAGTTGACTACGGTACCTCATCGGCCAAGACTTTGGAGAGGAAGGGACTGAGGTAGAAGACAACGTCCTGGAAGAAGAGGTCGGTCACCATGTCCTGCTCATGAACGTCACTCTCCCCTTGCTGCTGCTCGTCTTCCTGCTCACCCTCACCTTCGCCGGCACCATCGTCATCGTGGTCAGCTCCCTCCTCCTGACCACCAAAGTCATGGTGTCCCTCATCCTCGCCTAAGTTGGATGTGGGGATGAGTGGTCCTGGTGAGCTGGGGTTGTGTTGGACGACGGACATTGGTGTGTCTTCTTCTTGGCCTGGAGCTGTGAGGGTGGGTTGCTGTTGCTGTTGCTCGTCGCCGTTGGTGGTGCTGTCTTCTCCTGAGTGTGACATTAGCGTTTGTATGTATAAGTGTAAATGTGTGAGTGTGTTTGCGTGGTTGTGGTCGGATGTGAGAGTGTGAATAAGAGTGTATGTGTATGTGAATGTGTGTGAGTGAGAGATCACGAAGACGTGAGAGTGCGCGGTGAGGAGAAAGGGTCGCGACGACAATTTCGTTTGACTTGTGGAGTCGACTCGCAGCGCTTGATAACAGTGACTGTTTGCCACCAAAATCAACAAACAATATCCCCTTGACCATATGTAGTCGGTCAAATGCTGAAAGGATGTCGCCACCCTTGATACCACATAGCCTCATCCACAGGAACTCGAGCGTAGCTGAAGACACCGTGCAAGAAACGGAGGGGCGCTACCTCTGGATATTCAACCTTGCTGCGGTTCATTATCCCAGTGAAAAGAACGACTCGATCGACACTGCCTCCACACCCAAACAATGGTACCATATCAACTCGATTGACACGCGCTCATCAGTACGATCATCAGACAACCCGCAGCCCAGTGTTCATATTGATCAACCTGACCAATGTCTCAATAACCACTACTGTCGCGCACACTCTAACCTCCACCGGTGGCGACCTCTCATCCCAAAAATAATGGACCTTCTATCCTTTCGCTCACAAAGGACGCACCAGCAATCCCAATTCACTGAACATGCGGCACTGCAAGAGAACGAGTGAAATGCCCATACTTTTGAAACCCATCACTCTGCATCCAAGTCGTTATCCTCCAAGTTGGGAGTCCAGTATTGTCAAGGTGTAGACTTGTAGGGATCAGATCCCCGAGGCGGTATGAATGCTTTTGAGTGGCGACCTCGAAGTTTGTGTAGAGTGAGCGGATGAAATGCATCGATACAGGACTAGGAGATGAGGAAACGGTACTTGCTATCGGTCGCTTAAAGGTCCCCAGACGATGAGATCGACTATCTCGGAGCGACGATAGATTTGTTCCTCTATGTTAAATGGCTCAACAGTAGATATGGATATGGAGTACGGTGTGGAAATGAAGCAAGCGTTGACAGATGGAGGCATGGTACATTAAGTGTTCCCTCTCACATGCTGGGGGAAAACCAGATCAAAGGAAGGGGCCATCACGCAGATGAAGGTAAAGGATCTGTCTAGCAAAGAGAAGGAGAGAGACGCTCTTATTTTTTCCCCTTCGTTCGCTCTTGTTCTTCGCGTTTACCTTTCTGCTTAAATCAGATCAAAGCAGAAAAAGAAAGTATACTGTCTCCGAACAAATACCTTCTCTCATCCGTCCGGACTAAATGAAAATGAAAAAAGTAGCAAGAAAACACCAATAACATCAAAAACATAAATTCATCCTCCTCTCTCTCTCTCTCTCTCTTTCTCTTTCTCAATTAGGCTGTTTCGAACAAAGGCGCAACATAAAAAAAGTGAGAGCGGTACCCTGGAACTGAGAAAGGGAAAAGGGTATTGTTTGTCCATGGGGACACCACCTTGCCCGCTTTTTTGTTTATTCTCCAAAAATCATATCCAATGAGGAGGTGTCTTGACCTAAAAAGGGGCGAAATGCAACCAACGGTCGGTCTGATCTGATCAGTGATCAGTCTCCGTCTACGGGCAATCGCGTAGTCTCGGAGGAGACCTAGGAAAATACCAGGTAAGGGAAAGAGAAGACCGCAAAGCTTCACACGGTTCAGGTATACACAAAAACATCGTGCTTTTTATTATCCTTCCTACTACTCTAGGGCTACCTGTATTCCTTTTTACCTTCGATTAGCAATTCTCCTTATGGACAAACGATCCTCCTCTACTTCTTCCTGCCCGCATTGTTGGCCCTTTTAGCAACTGCTCTTCTTTCCTCTTTTGTCATTTTCCCTTTCTTCCTCCAATGGACGCGAGAGAGTTACTTTCTCCACAACCACCCGAAGGCATGCTTACAGAAGCAATTGAATGCTGCATTCTCTCGTCGTCTACTCTCCGCACTCTCTCAAGCCCCCCCCCATGCATGGTCTTTACGACAGATTCGATTCAGCAATAGCAAGAAGGCTCACTATGGCCTGTGAAAGAGAAACGTTATTCCTCTCTCTTTCACCTTTGTCTCTATCACTCTGGTTTACAAAAACAAACGAGAGTTATGACAACATTGGTTACTGGTTTGCATGTTTTCCAAGAACACCATAGAGAATAAATAAGGGTAGCCCAGACCGGCCTTAGGTTAAAACTCCCATGATAGACTGCCATCAACCATGCTGACGTTTTGTTGGGGTTCGTTCACAAAAAAAAAAGAGGCATACTTTCGGCAAATAAGGAAGGCCAAAGAGCAACGAGAAAGAAAAAGGTCGGAAAAGAGGGAAGGAAAGGCAGAAGGGGAACGGAAATGATGTTCAAGACGGCATTATTTTCTCACTGAATGCAATTTGGGATTGCTGTACGTCGCACAAGTGCACTTCTAAAGAGAAAAGGGTTCTAGAGAAAAAAAAAAACACAGACCAATTTTGTTTGTTTTTCTTTTGGGGGGAGCTAGCCCTTTCTCACAAAGATGTGGGGGAGGAAAGTGGAAAGGAGGGAAAAGAGGGTTAAGCGCCCATTTTTTTTTTGTCTTGGCTTCTTGGACCTTCCAAAGAACAAAAACATTGGGCGTTTCGTTGTCACTATTGGAAGTCAGCTTCTGGACAGTGGGGGGGATGAAGTTGACACTAAAAGGCTGGTGGAGGGAGGCGCAGGCTAGCCTGGCCCTTTCATGTATTCTGTTCCACAATGGTAGAGGATAGCATTGGTAAGAGAAAATGATGGTTCACTGAGAATAACCGGGGACAGTCAAGTTCGCGTTGTCTTGTTCGTAGAGATTCGGAAGGATGAGGAACAGGAACGAGCATAAAGATGAAAAAAGAACGTGTAAAATAAAAGGAGGGATGATGTGACACTTTTTGCGGTGCATGCTCGGCTTGATTGGCTACCAGACCACCGTTTGTCGTGAATGATCGTTCGTTTCTTTGTTCTCGTTCGCAATTTCTTTGTTGCCTTTGACCCATCCATCGATGAACAAACGAGAACAAAAATAAAAAAGGACGCAAACAAAGGGCTCAAGGGCACACCTCCATGTCAATAATAGGAGCGTTGGGAACGAGAATTGAAATAACAAAGGTTAGACAACAACAACCAAAAGGCCAAGCGCATGGTGTCACAACGACCAATTATTCATAATCTGGCTCGGGCCACCTCTCCCCCTTCTTCCCTCCCCTTCCCTTCCCTCTGCCTTCCTTTACTGCTTGTCCACCCTCATCCGATTTCTTCCTTGCATCCTCCTTTCCATTCAAGCTAAGAACGAGTCAGAAATTGTGTTTCTCAATGGCTCCATCTACCAAGGCCTGTTCCTGAAGCCTCTAAGCATATCAGGTCTCAAGAGCGATCGATCGAAGTGAACCATTGACCCAAAACGAGATGGATGGATATTGTTTACGAGAAATGGAATTTGGGCTGAGATTTTCATAATTTTTTTTCGAACCCCTACTCTAATTACCATGGTGGACAAATAAAAAAAAATAACGCAAACAAAGAAAGCATTGGCCATGAAACCACCCTATTTCTAGGCTAACGTGTGTTCAGTTTCAATTGAGTCCACCTTTTGCATGCAAGGGAGCGAAGGGGTAGAGGACACGAATATGTCCGTAAGGGAATAAAATTATACAGGCACTTCGCATGACAACGGGGAGAGACGGAATAATGAGCATCCGGAGTATTCCCCTATGAGGTCACTCTTTCCAAACCACTCTAATTTTTTTGACATATGTCAAGTTGGTGCTCAAGGGAGAAGGGGAGTGGATGAGGTTTTTTTTTCTCTTACCTTAGGCGAAGAGGACCATAGGACAGGAAGAAATGAGACGATAGCTTTGCAATTGAAAAGGGACAATAAGTCAACGAAAAGAAGAAGAGGGAACAGTGGATTCTACCATAGGAAGAGGCGACAACCCATAGTGAATTGCAAAAGGAGAAACGACCGGGCCTGAGTGCGAAATGAAAGAAGGGGAGTGCGAGACGAGAGAACAAAGGAATCTTTCCACGGATGCAAAAGCTGCGGATCGCCCGATTGTTTCTGTCCTCTCTCTCTGTCTCTATGTCTCAGATGAGAAAGGGCTACATCTCTGTTTTCTTTCCAGCTGGTTTCTATTCTTGTCCCCGCATCCTTCTTTTTCTACGACTACAATGTACCTTCGTCGGAACTCTCCTTTCTGTGGGAAATTGACTCGAAAAGGGTTCATCCTCCTTATTCCCCACTCTCGTGGCCTTTTGTTTCCAAGGCATGCAAAGTGTAAGGAGACAACTGCGATTGAATTGAGAGTCCCTCGCGTTTCCTCTTTTGGAAATGAAAATATGTTTTTTTTGTGGGGAAGCTCTTTGTCCTTCTCACCGAGAACAAAAAAATAAAGGGGAGAAAAGGTACAGGACAAACAAAGGGAGCATCGTTTGACAGGAAAGGGACCAATGAGAGACCAAAGTGACGAGTCATAAATTAGATGGTTGGTACAGTGGGAGGCAAAAGAGAGGGAGAAGGAACCATCGATTCGAACCCTTTGAAATGAAGAGATGCACATGAGATGGATAGCCTGGCAGGCAGGCTAATTATTGCAGCAACCATGTCAACAAACAAACTAAAGAAGAGCAACAGTAACAACTCTACTAGCGTGTGGTTCAGTCATCAAAAACAGCGGAGGAGACACACCGATGAGGACAGCTCTTCCTCACAAAAAAGACCGACCTGGTTCTCTCCATTCATTTTCAAAAAGATGAAAAAGAAAAATTGAGAGAGGATTGGAATTGCAACTGACAATTGAGCGGAGAGAAGAAACACACGGACATTTGAGCGTCTCCTTCATTGTTCTTTGAACGGGTTCGGGTTCAGAGAAGCGAGGAAAGGGAGAAGGAGAATGAACGAGAGGACCAAAGAGGACCGTTTTCTTTCAATTCCTTTGTCAGAGTGAAGTTTGAGGACTGAGAGTATGAGTGAGTTCGTGCGCTATTTTTTTGTCTTCGTTTGTGTCCGCAGCACTGGTGCCTCGAAAGAAAAAAACGATAATTTTTCTCACGATCATAACAATAACACCCTTACTGTTGGCCCTGACCATCTCGAGACTCGCTCTAGTTTCACATTCCCCGTTCCTCATTTCCTTCTGGTGTCCACGCTAGAAAGTCCCTTTTCCCCCGCTCATGGTTCTCTCTTTCTCTTATGACAACCATTACAGCAGAGATTTGGTCATAGCTACTCTTCCTTTTCAAAGGAACGAGAAAAAAGAGGGAGGAATGGCGTCTACATCATGACGTCAAAGGTTGTCGGTCCTTTCCTCGTAAAAACAGCTAGCAAACAAGGAGTAATGTTACCTTTTCCACTACCTCTCATTTGTTTGCAATTCCCTCTCAAAGAAAATAAAAAGACAGTACGCCAACAACGACGCCATCAATCCATCAATCCATCACGTCAACGCCACATTCAGCTCTTTGACCTATGCTCTCTTACTCAGGAACCCGAGGCAACCATACAAGCAACAAATGAAAAAAAAATAATGTCTAGCTGGTTGTGCACGTTATTAACTGTCAACTTATTCGTCATCCTATTCTATGGTGCTTGCTCATACTACTCATGCATCAACGCAAGACCACATCCTCATTGTGGTATTTTTTTGTTATTGGTTGTCTCTTTCTCTCTCTCTCTCCATTGTCCTCTTTTCCCCACCCCGCAGATTTGTATATTGCCCATCCCCATCGATGGTCGCAATTTGTTTTTGGGGGAGAGAGGACCATTGGAGAGTTGAACAAATGATGGGATGCATTTTGTCAGACTAGGATGTATTTGTGTTTTGTACGCCGACATTGTCATCCGTCCTTCCTCCTTTCAAGCTCTCTCCTTCTCCGTTGAACTCTTCATCCTCAGCTCCGGTTCTTTCTCTTTGCCTTTATGTCTTTTGGCTTAGTCATGAGTAAAAAAGAGACACGACAACCCATCGTGTTTCTTTTTCTTTTTTGTCAGGAATGTTTGCTATTCATGTGTAAAGGGTGAAAAGAACCGTTTCCAATAACGGAGGCAACACTCTTGCATTTGTAGCAGGGGTTGCTCTTCTGACCCACGGCAAAATGTGACTTCAAGTTGTTTTCTATTTTTGAAGAGTACATTATTGAACCCTGAGCTTGTCAGGTTCTCTTCAGCCAAGGAGGGGTCATTCGTTGACCGTAGCAAAAATAAGAAGGCGCTGCGAGGTTCTTTTTACTATTAAGACAAATGCAAACGGAGGCTATGTGATTCTCAACGAGCAATGGTGAACGCAAGGAAATGAAAAGAATGAAAAAATAGTACATTGTTGTTTGGGGGATGGATGTAAAAGTGGGCTAAATAAAGGTGCACGAAAGAAAGACGGAATCCGTGGGCAAGATGAGGTTTTGGTGTTGGTGGTGTGAGTTGTTTTATGTTACGAATGGAGGAAGGGAGTGTGCCCTGGACGACAGCCCTTGAGCGAGCGGCACATGCTGTTGCTCATCCTATTGAATTAGCCTTGCGTATTCTAAGTGAACGAGGGCAAAGTAAAAATATTTTTTGTTATTCCGCTCCGAGTCGCGATTGAATAGCTTTTCTTTATTCTCTCGCCCACTGCCTCCGTCATACCAAAAAAAAAAAAAAAAAGTTTACTTGCCCACGAGGAACCATCGAGAGTGGCCGTGAGGTTATTTTCTTCCTTTGTACAGTACACACACACAATTTCATAGACTAGACTGGACCTTACTTCCCTATTGTTTAAAGTAATGTAAAGTACTTCATTCTTGACTTGACATAACATTATTGTCTTTTGTTCCGTGCTCGTCTTTTTCGTTCATGAATACATTGCTTCCGATCCTTCCGCTCCTCTTGACAAAACAAACATATAAATACCCTTACCCCGCCCGCCTAATTTCTCTTTGATTCATTTTCATCATCTCTCTTCTTCACCATCAAACCAACACTTCCATCCTTTCAAGGCTCCCGTTGCTTTACTTCCCTCCTTCCTTCCTTCTCTCTCTCTCCTTCCACCAACAACTCCCCACTCTACAACCCCAATACAAACACATACAAAAATGGCTCCCATCCGCAGCACCACCAGATCGCCCGCCGTTTCCATCTACAAGCACGATGCCGCTTTGGACGCCTCCGTCGGAAAGGACGGTATCGACTATACCCGCGTCAACCTCCTCCGCAACACCGCCGTCGCCAAGCTCTACGAGGATGCTCTCCGCTACGAGCCCGGCACCTCCATCTCCTCTGCCGGTGCCCTCGTCACCTCCTCAGGAAAGAAGACCGGTCGCTCCCCCCGCGACAAGCGCATTGTTGATGAGGAGACCACTACGGAGGACATCTGGTGGGGCCCTGTCAACACCAAGTTGTCCGAGCATGCCTTCTTGATCAACCACGAGCGTGCCGTCGACTACTTGAACACTCGTGAGCGCCTCTACGTCTTTGACGGTTTCGCCGGCTGGGACCCCAAGTACCGGTATGTGTTACATTGCAACTATTACTTTTCTTTCGCAGGACTATGTGGAACGAACCATCATCGGATATTGTCGGATCTGCAAATGGAGAAGAAAAAGGAACCAAAAAAAAAGGAGGCGGCAAGGGGTGAAATGCATCGTTCCTAACCATCCCACATTCTTTTATTCTCCGATGACACAATAGCCTGAAGATTCGCGTTGTCTGCGCCCGTGCCTACCACTCCCTCTTCATGCACAACATGTTGATCCGCCCCACCGAGGAGGAGCTCAAGACCTACGGAGAGCCCGACTTCACCATCCTCAACGCCGGCGCCTTCCCCGCCAACAGATACACCACCGGCATGACCTCCAGCACCTCCGTCTCTATCAACTTCAAGCTTCGCCAGATGGTCATTCTCGGAACCGAGTACGCTGGAGAGATGAAGAAGGGTGTCTTCACCATCATGCACTACCTCATGCCCAAGGCTGGCGTTCTCTCCCTCCACTCCTCCGCTAACCAGGGACTTCAGGGCGATACCTCTCTCTTCTTTGGTCTCTCTGGAACCGGCAAGACTACCCTCTCTGCTGACCCCGCCCGTGCCTTGATTGGTGATGATGAGCACGTCTGGACCGACACTGGTGTCTTCAACATCGAGGGAGGCTGCTACGCCAAGACCATCGACTTGTCCGCCGAGAAGGAGCCCGAGATTTTCGGTGCCATCCGCTTCGGTTCCGTTCTCGAGAACGTTGTCTTTGACGAGGATACCCGCATTGTCGACTACTCTGACAAGTCCTTGACCGAGAACACCCGCTGCGCCTACCCCATCGAGTACATCCCCAACGCTCTCATCCCCTGCATTGGCAAGCATCCCAAGAACATTGTCATGCTCACCTGCGATGCCCAGGGTGTCCTCCCCCCGGTCTCCAAGTTGACCTCTGCCCAGGCCATGTACCACTTCATCTCTGGATACACCTCCAAGATGGCCGGTACCGAGGACGGTGTCGTCGAGCCTGAGGCCACCTTCTCTGCCTGCTTCGGTCAGCCCTTCTTGGTCCTCCACCCTACTCAGTACGCCACCATGCTCGCCCAGAAGATTGGTGAGCACAAGGCTGATGTCTGGTTGATCAACACTGGCTGGAACGGCGGTGCCTACGGAACCGGTAAGCGCATTGCTTTGAAGTACTCGCGCGCCATCGTCGATGCCATCCACAACGGCGAGCTCAAGAAGGCCGAGTACGTGACCTACCCCATCTTTGGCCTCGAGATCCCCAAGGCCGTCACTGGTGTCCCCGCCGAGGTCCTCAACCCCGCCACTGCCTGGCAGGGAACCCCCCAGACCTTCAACGCCACCGTCTCCAAGCTTGCTGCTCTCTTCAACAAGAACTTTGCCAAGTACGCCGATCAGGCCACCGAGGACGTCATCGCCGCCGGCCCCAAGCTGTAAATTGGCTAGCTTTTGCTTGCCTTTTTGTCGTATACAAAAACACAAACTCTCCCTTCTCTTCATTGCATTATCCACAGCATCCTACCCCATATATCCACAAAGTGTACATAATAGAATAAAAACTCATCATCAAACAAAGGAAACGTGTCCCAGTTCATTCTCCAATGGTTTCTATTTCGACTGTCGATAGGCACGTACCAGATTGCCGGTAATTGAGGCACCCCCCTGTGCTGTCATATTTTTTATTCCAGGAATGAATGAATTAAAGCAATGGTAAGTAAGGGGCGATCATTTAACTAATTAAGTCTCCGCCTCGGTCTTCACTCCTCCTTCCATTTGCATGTCCGTCAACAAAGAGGATCAAGGTTGACGAGGAGGAAAATGTTTGGAGTAAGGTGGAAAGGAGTGGGACAAGTGTAGAAGGGGATCGGGGGGGGGGGGGGGTTTGGAACTGACAATGACTGGCGACAACTTAACAAGTCCACTGCATGTCCACAATGACGGCTGAGCAACAATGCAAATAAATAATTGATTTCAGTCTTTATCCTGCAACAATCAACCTCGAGTTTGTTTATTTCTGAAGTAAACGCCCAAGTGTGTACACTCAAGGACGCTTGTGACGCCTCTTTTTGGGATCGATAGCAAAGGGCTGGTCGAAAGCTTCCAGTAGCCGCTTGACCTTGCGTTCACCAAATCCTGGCAGTAGTCCCAACTCGTCCGCACTTGCATCCATGATATTCTTCAGCGACTATTGAAAGAAGGTCAAACAGAAACATACAACGCTAAATCAATATTCGGGTCTTGCACTGTACAATGATGCTTCATCGGATACAGGCATGATGTTAAACGTACCCCAAAGGTGGAAGATAGGGTGATAATGTCGGTCTTGTTGATAGAAGGAATCTGCGTGAGCCCATCTGTTAGCTTGGAGAGGTAATCTTTCTCGACACGCTCCTTGATGGCATCGGGGGCCTTGTTCTCATACGCCTTGTAGGTCTCGATGTATCGGGCTGCTTCCTCGTTGCTCCACGCACAGACAAGTGTAAGGTCGTTGACCATGGCGACTCTTGTCAGTTCCCGGATGGCATGTTGGTGTGTGTCGACGTCGACGAGGAGAAGAAGAACGCGGAGGACGAATTGGTTGGCGAGACTTGCGATCCTGCTGAAGATGTATTCTGGGTGCAAGCGGTGGTAGCGGATGCTATGATGGGATATGGTTCGTAAGCAGGTCAGTGTGTTAATTAATTATCTCCGCATGTATAAAGAAGAACATGCACCTTTGTACGTTGTACGTGTCCCTTACCTCAAGAACAGGACACAGGATGTGGAGCCTACGACAAAGTCGGGCACGACTTCGCCATACTCGTAGGGGACATTCCTAATGAACTGGAGCAGCGGATTCCCTCGCTGCGAGGAGCTGACGACGAGTGTTGCTTTGGATCTTGGTTGGAAGACTGGCGGTGCTACAAGTTTCTTTGCTCCCGCTGTTTCTGATGTTAATGTTGATGTAGAGTTCTGAGTTGATGCTTGTGTTGAGGTGGAAACAAGGGTTGACGTGCTTGACTGGGTGGATGCAAGTGATGACAATGTACTAGATGGTGTGAGTGTGGTGCGGGTTTGCGGCCGGTCGATGTCGTCAAAGAGGTCGTCGTTAAAGTTGACATCGCCCAAGTCGTCTCCGAACCCAAAGTCGTCGTCCTCCGCGGCTGCTTTGCTGGTCATGTTATGACTCTGCTGCTGTTGTTGTTGGTAATGTTGCCTAGAGCTCACTATAACCGGAGTCGTCGTGGCCGTTGCTGATGAATTACTCCGAGGCTGATTACTGGTGGAGCTTGTCATAGTGATGTGTGTAAGTGATGTCGATGTGCTTGAAGACGAGGAATGTGGAGTAGCAGAATTGGTGGCGTTTGTGTCTAATCTCTTGTTGTCGATGACAGCAGCAGCGATTCCCTTTGGTTTGAAGTGGATGGCGGGCTTATTAGCGTCGAGTTGTTTCCGTCGTTCCTCTAGTTCAGCGCGTGATGGCAATTTGAAGGGCATTGCTGTTGTTGATGATTCTTTGCTTGTGGTGTCCTTGTCCTTGTTGCTCATGGCTGTTCGAGAGGTTAAAAAGAGAGAGAGCGAGATTTGGGGAGGGTCCGTTTTCATGGTTTTCATGGGCTGTGAAAAGTAGTAGGGCGGACTGCCTTTTCTGGGATTAAGCTTTTGTCCCTTTTATTCTCCTTCCGCTCGGTTAACGCTTCTTTCGTTTCAACCCTCTTTCTCTTCACTCTCTAATCAACGCACACACGCTCCCTCCTCCAGCAACGCCCTCTCTTTAAATTTCACTTCTTTCATCTGTATCCTACTTCGATACCACAAACTACACCACCAACTAGCCTTCATCGCGTCAGAGGAACGGTCCAGTCGTTCAGGAGAGGTCTCGACGGTCGGCTCACCAACTTTGAAGCTTATTATCATGAGGAGACCGGACAGCATCTCATCGACTAGGATGACATTATTGAGGCACCCCCCAGCGTCAACTGCATCATGGACGGACCAAACCCCGTCCCCAGAGCAAGGGATAATCGCCGCAAGTTGTACGTCCTTTTTCCAATTGTAACTGATTATTTTTGTCTTTGTTAATATGCCCCTGGAGATAACCTTGACCCTTCCTTTTTGTGATAGTATCGAACTCCGATGTATCAAGTATCATCAGGACACCGATCGCTGGCACGACGTGGATCACACCAAGAAGGAATTGACCCGGATCCTTGGCATGTACCTCGACCTGGAGACCCTAGAGTTCAACTGTGGAGTCAGCAGCTCATTCCCAGTCTTATTTCTCGTTCAAACCCTCGTCCAAAATAACATCCAGGTCCAGATGTTGCCACGGTCCCGTCATTACCGCCACCAGACCTATGAGTCCAAGACAACTTTGGCCAGCCACGACCCACCGCTGCACAAGTTGGATCTCGGAGATTATTTTTCTGCTGGGATGAGGTATTCATGGTGAAGGAGCTGTTCCTCATCTGCCCGCTGTTCGTAGATTTTGCAATGTCCTTCTCATCAGTTGTGGTGATTGATTCCGTACAACAAGCTAAGCGAGACGACGGCATTTGGGCAATTGTCGAGTTTGAGTCTCAGGTCGCGGGATGGGTATGGGATGCTGTTGAAGTGGGGTCTTAATCAAAATACGTCAATGATGCTGCAGAGCGGTCGCAGGATCCAGAACGTTAGGCCGAGTAGAGAAGAGACGACAGAGATTTAGGTTTCGGAACTTGAATGGCTATTGTGTTTTGAGCGCCTGAGTACGCCCAAGTTGACGATCCTTCCCAAGGCATCGCCGTCGGCAGCGGCGGGGGCGGTTACTAGTGACACGGAGAGCGACAACAACAACTCGATCAGCAGCAAGGTCATCCGAGATATTCTGTCGATGGCGAGTCGCAAATGTCGGGGTCAAGCATTTAGTCCTTGCCTGTCCAATCGATAAGTCCTTTGACGTCCTTGCAGTAGGATCCACGATAACTAACACCCTGTCGATTTCCAGTGTCCAACGGATGGACCTCCAAGCCCTTGTCGACAACAACAACACCAACAACAACAACAATACCACCGCTATAGCAACTTCTGGATCCGTTCCGTCTCCAGTCATCCTCATCTCGACAACTTTGGAAGAAGTGGCTCGTACAATCACCGTTCATTTGGAGACCATGTCTGACCAGGTTCTCCTCGATGCAGTCAGAGATGTTGTCTTGTACCAGCATTGGACGGTGACGGTGACGAGCGGTGGTGGTGCAGGACAAGCAGGAGGAGAGATGAAGATTGAGGTATTGATGGACCATTCGAAGGAGGACAAGGACAGGATATTTGATCACCTTGTGTTGGACACCAGGAACGTCCCGGTCCAGAGAGTGTTTGGCCTGTTGGGTCAGTTGAATAGTAAGCGGTGAGGTAGTGGTGGTGAGGTCGATTACTCGTATCGGCTCATTTGGAGAGCTGCAGTGAGAGCAGTGGCGGGGAAAGCGTCGTACGAATTGCGGCCAGGTCGACCTCGTTCAGAGTTGGTGCTCTCGCAGAAGGATCATCCTGAGACGACTGCTGCTGCTACAGCATTGGTCAATATTGTTGTCAGGCGAGCGACAGGGTTGGATCCGGAGTAGAAAACCATGAATGCATTGATCCCCATTGTCAAAGCCGAGGTTCAGAGTCCACAGGATCTTGGAGAAGGAGAGGCAAGGGAACCGTTTTCGTGGTTGAGAAGTATGATGTGACGACGGCTGTTGGAGCTGTGAAGGAAGAGGATGTGATGGAGTTCAGGGGGTTGATTTCGAAGGATGTTGGGTTTGCTGTGCATGACTTTTCGAGTGGGGATTTTGGTGATAAGTTGAGGCCGAGCTTTACATTTTCTATGATTAAATATTTTTTTTTCCATCGTTCATGAGGCATTTGCGCGTCAGTTGAGTGGGTGTGTAAAATTAAAGTTGCAAGGTGAACTCTGATCCACTTGAAAAAAAAACGTGTGCATGCTGGTTAAGAGAACTCTTTATTACTAAGGGGCACAGGTACAATGCAGGGTCAGGGATCCAAATTAACATCAGCGCAAGAGGCGTGTGGTTGTGCCGGCGCGGAGGATCGACTCTTTGTACAACACCAATCTTTCTTTTGCTGAGGATGGGGTATCATCGTGCCTGATATATGCCGAGCATCATGGTTCCATTCTTTGTGCCAATGGCTACCTCCATTTCCTTTTTCATTCCCTTTACTTCGCCCGTATCCCTGCACTCCTCATGCTTCCCACTTTGTCACTCCACCAGTCCTTCTTCACCATTTGGAGCAGAAAATGAGATAAATGGCATTTTAATAATGTCGCCCGTCTCAACGTTTTTGACATATTGACATAGAGAAAGAAAGACAGAAGATAGATTAGCGAACGGGTGCATATTGACTGGACTGGATGGAGGTAAAGATTAAAACTCATTGGTAAAAAGCAAGAGGAGAGGAAGGGGAATTGAAGAAAGGTGGGAAGTTGTATGCATTCATTTTGTTAGTCCTTGAGAGTTTTATTCGTTCAAGCGTCAAAAGTTGTTATGGTTGATGTTAAAAGAAAAAGGACAGGCTGTTTAGACAGCATCGTTAACTCATTCAAACTGGGAATCCGTCCTTCAAGTATGTGCTGGCTGTAGTATGTCCTCTTTGTTGATTTTGACAATGACTGAAGTATAGATGAATAGACCACTTCTCGACCTATAAAAGGCTCATCCAAAACAAAACTTCATATTTTATTTTTCCCTTCCTATTCTCAATCATGAGCATTTACAACAGCAACACCACCACCGCCATGCCAACTTCAACCCATCTCTTGTATGACCTTAACGGAGAGCGCTACGACCTCTCCGTTAACATCCTTTTCAGCCCAACAGCATTCATCCCTGAATGCTATATGGTGAAAATGACGGATGCTGAGAAGGACAAAATCGACAGGGACATCATAGATACCCGCCGAAAAGTATACGGGGGTAGTGCCCACCTCGACAGGGTCGACATAGTGGCGCTGGCAAACAAGGAGGCATCGAAGGCAATGTACAATCGCCGCGCCATTGCCTTGACCACCACTGCGACCCCCTCCACCCCCTCCACTCCTTCCACTCCTTCCACCCCCTCCAACCCGCCATCTCCCCCCACCCCCTCTACCCCAGCATTTCCCTCCACCCCCTCCACCCCCTCCATCCCTTCCACTCCATCATCGCCCCCCGCCCACTTGTCAACCTCATCTCCATCCTCTCATCGCCCCCGTCTACCACGATCTTCCCTCTTGCCACAGGAGGTCTTGGCCCCAGCCCCATCGCGACATTGGTGCAGAAGGATCCGTGAGCGCAAGCAGCAGAAAACCTACCGTCTCCATCACTGAATAAAATACCGAGCAACATACCTTCATTCACCTCTGCCTTTGTTAACTTTTCAATCATTGAGTCTTTATTTTCTTTAATTTTCAGTAACTTCGTATCTTTATTCAGAACCTTTGTCTCGCCATCGAAATATGTCCGAGTAATGTAATGAGAGTCCAAGAGAACATATGTGAATGTGTTGCCGGAGCGGATTGGGTAGGTGTAAGAGAATGAACGATGGCGATGGAAGATTCAAAGTGAAATGCAAGACAAGATGAATACGAATTATCATTCCCCTTGATCAGCATGGACGATTTCCTTTGGTACCTCTTCTTATTTCTTTCATATCCTTATTCATTCCCACATGGTCAGCTATGGCATTGCTCTTGTTTGTTTGATGGTCGTAATGGAGAGGTGGGTTGAGTCGGTCGACAGAATGAGGAGGTTAGATATGTTACTCCGCCCCCCTTTCCATTGTCTTCCTTTTCTCAGGGTCTTGTGGGTTGGCTTCCGGTCGAGCGAGATTCAACCGAATCCAGGCAGACACAACAAAACAGGCAAAGTTAACAAGAAAACACGGTGGCGACGGAAGGAAAGGACTCAATGCATGCGTTCTCATGCAGCAAGCATCCATTCGCATGATGGTTTCATTTTGCCAGAGGGTGCGTGCACTCTTTCAACCGACCAGAGATGGCCTTTCCCACGCTAACCCTTTCAAGCCTCCTTCCTTTTTTCCTTTCCTGGATTCGCATGAAACTCGCTCGATCGGAAGCCAACTCACAAGACCTTGAGAGACGGAAGACAATGGAAAAGGGGGCGGAGTAACATATCTAACCTCCTCATTCTGTCGACCGACTCAACCCACCTCTCCATTACGACCATCAAACAAACAAGAGCAATGCCATAGCTGACCATGTGGGAATGAATAAGGATATGAAAGAAATAAGAAGAGGTACCAAAGGAAATCGTCCATGCTGATCAAGGGGAATGATAATTCGTATTCATCTTGTCTTGCATTTCACTTTGAATCTTCCATCGCCATCGTTCATTCTCTTACACCTACCCAATCCGCTCCGGCAACACATTCACATATGTTCTCTTGGACTCTCATTACATTACTCGGACATATTTCGATGGCGAAAAACAAAGGTTCTGAATAAAGATACGATTCAGTCGAGTCCAGGCAAAGTTAACAAACAAAAGCAGCCAAAGTTAACAAGCGAAACCGGTGGCGACGGAGCATCCATTTGCACGATGATTCACGCCAACCTTTGTTAGCCTCTTCCCTTTTTTCCTTTTCCTTCTATTTCCTTCTTTTCCTTTGGATAAAGAAGAGAGAGAGAGAGAGAGGCATATGAGGTCATCGATGGCTTGGCAGAGAACAGAGAATGAAGGACTGAGCGGGTATATAATGCTTCCCTCTGTCTCTTTCTTCCTTTTCTTTCTTTCCTTTCTTCTCTCCCTACCCCTTCCACCTCTCTCCCCTCCACACCCATCGACACGCAACAACACCCACCCATCGACATGCGACAACACCCACCCATCCCCTCCCCTTCTCAACACAATCGACAGCCCACCATCGACAGCCCACCATCGACAGCCCATCATCGACAACCAACAACAACCGACGACGACCAACACCAGAAAGACAGGACAAACAGGACAAACAGGACAAACAGGGCAACACGACAAACTGGACAAACTGGAAAAACACGACAAACACGACAAACACGACAAGGACGACAAAGACGACAAACACGACAACACGACAACACGACAAACTCGACAAACAAAAAAAATATTGGCCCCACGCAAAAGACCATGTGTGCTCTTGCGTGGGGCTGCGAGAAAAATGAGGACCCAACCTCCTGTCGGTGCTCCTCGCCTCAAACTTGGCGAAGAAGGACACTTCCGGCTCTATATGACCAAAGTAGAGTTCTAAGTCGTTTTGTTTTTCTAGTCCTCTCAAGCCCACTCCGTTTGGAGACGTTTTCGAGGAACTGTTTTTGTTTGGGACACTAAATTGAACCCGCGACCTCCTCGTGGTGTGCCCTGGACGATGCCTCTCTCTCTCTCTTCTAGGAGAGGGGAGAGGGGCATTGACTAACGGCGGGTCTACTAGTTTAGATATTAGCATAGTACGAACAATAAAGACAGGTATAAAGCGCAGGCAGATGAAATGACAATGGCGGCAAGCAGAAGAGTGGCATCATGGAGAGGACATGGGTCCAACACAGTATCTGTGGTCTTTTTTATGTACTGTGCTTCTTTCAGAGTATCAATGGGACAGGCGAGGCCTTTGACAGCAGGAGATGAAAGAAAATTATGACCGGGCGAATAAATGCATGAACTGCGTTCATCGTTTGTTGTTGTACCATCTCATCTGTCTTCTAACTAGGGGGTTAAGGTGCAATGTTGGGCGAGGACGCAAATTAACATATTAACATCAGTGCAATGGCGCCTGGTTGTGCTGGCATGGAGGATAGACTCTTTGTCTTTCTTTTGCTGAAGATGGGTATCAATGGGCCGTGTAAAGAAATGCTTACTCCTTGGCCACCAACGCCTCTCGACCTATAAAAGGTTCATCCAAAACAAAACAGCACGTTTTCTTTTTCCACTCCTTTCTTTTCTTCGTCATTTCTTCTTTTTTTTTTTTTTTTTTTTTTTTGAAAACAACACCATCGCCCATGCCAGCATTGAACCCCCGCTTGTATGATCTTAACGTGGAGCGTTAAGACCTCTCCGTCAACATCCTCTTCAGTCCTACAGAATTCGTCCTCGAATGCTGTATGGTGAAAATATCAGATGCTGAGAAGGACAAGATCGACAACAACATTATAGACACCCCGCCGCAAAGTGTACGGGGGTAAGCGCTCTCGTCCTTCTTAGCATCCGACATCTTCACCATACAGCATTCTGGGACGAATTCTGTAGGACTGAAGAGGATGTTAACGGAGAGGTCGTAACGCTCCCCGTCAGGACCATTGAATATTACAAAGGGGGGCCTGAGTATATATAATATTTTAACATTTGGAGACGACCATTCGATATGGGGGCTAGCCAAAAATGACATTGCAAATGAAGCACTAATATGACCTCTTTTTGAGAGTTACACGGTGTAGATCATCAGTTTCGCTTCCTCCTCACTTTTTGACTGGTCCGATAACTTTAATTTTTGAGTCTGGTGGGTGTTGTCCCGATCCAGGGTTTCATGCTTATTTCCCACGGGATAGCTACCAATGGCCGTCTAGGGAACTTCTTTGGGTGCCAATGACCACTGATCGTCCTCTATGTCCTGGCTATAGCCCATTCTTCTTTGCCTTGTACTTGACTCTTGATTGCATAGGTATTTCTGGGACAAAACAAGGAATAATAGGGAGGTGCTCATCGTCACACGAAATGCACGGTGAAATTGGATGCATAACAACGACATACACCAACAAAAGACAGGATAGGGGGTGGGCATGGGAAGGAGAGGCCCAGGAAAGAGGCAGAAAAACAACACAAACAGTCGAGACTCACTCTTAGCCTATCCCCTTTTCTTTTCTCTCTTCCTTCCACCCTATTCCTTTCCATCCTCCATTCACACTTTTCTTCATTCTCATACGCCGACCGTCACATCTCTCCTCTCATTATACCCCTCTCACTCTCAAATTCACTCATTCTGCATTCACATTCTCCCCAGGATGACCAACACTGATCCCTTGGGCTACCTGGTGCCCGACAGGAGACTCATGCACAACAAACGTCCAAGGGTTATTATAGTCGGAGCAGGACTAGGAGGACTCACCTTGGCGATGCTCCTGGAAAAGACAGATATCCCCTACGAAGTCATCGAGCGTGCTCCCGTTTTCAAACCATTAGGTAAAAACACTGTATTTGGATCAGGAATGTTACTTCGTACCAACGACTTGTATCATTCACTAACACCTACCAGGACTTGCTTTTGCATGATAGGCGCGGGAATTGCATTGAGTCCCTCGACAGCACCATTGTTCATGCAGTGTCAAATCTATGACGAGTTTGTCTCTCTGGCCAAGAGAGCAGAGACTATCCAGATGGTCAACGAGGATCGGGAGACGGAGTACTGTATCAATACGACCAACATGGAGGAGCTGTAAGTGGTGTCTTCACAAGGGTTCATGCTTTTGAACAACAAGGATTACAACAAAGCAGTAGAACCATGACAATTGCTCAAGGTTATTGATCTTTATGTTTATCATCGCTGTTTGTTCATCTGTTGTGGTTTCAAAACTCCACGACCATGGCTGGTTAACAAAATAGATTCGGGGCAGGAGGGTACCTCATTTCCCGACCGATGCTCTACGATCTCCTTCTGCGACAAATCCCTCGGGAACGGATACAGCTCGGGAAAAAAGTTCTTTCAATGCATCAGGGCGGGAATGGCGTTCTTGTTCGTTGCTCAGACGGATCCGTCGTCAATGGGGATATCCTTATCGGAGCGGATGGCGCATACAGCGCAGTGCGGCAAGGACTCTTTAGTGATTTGAAGAAGAGGGGCAAGCTACCACCATCGGACGACACGCCATTACCCTTCAGCACTGTCTGTCTGGTGGGACAGACGGTTCCTCTGGACCCTGCCGAGTTCCCTCTCCTTGGCGAAGAAAGGTGCCAGTTTGTCAATTGCATCGGGCGAAAGAAGCGGTACTCTGTAAGTCGCATCTAGATAGCAATTGACTTTTGACTGAAATATCTTGACATGGGCTCTAACCAATTCTTGTACTTTTTGTTTTCAATTGGATAGTGGACGGTGCTGACAACGAAACAGTCGACAGTGCTTTGGAGAGTCATTCTCTACTTGGACAACAAGTCTAAGCGAGACAATGACCCTTTCAGAAACTCAGAATGGGGACCAGAGGTAGCAAAAGCCATGTGTGACCAAGTGCGAGAATTCCCTATTGTCAGTGGAGGCACAACACCACTTACCATGGGACACTTGATCAACTGGACGCCCAAGGAGTTCATCTCCAAGGTCATGCTCGAGGAAAAGGTGTTTGAGACGTGGCATGATTGTAGAACGGTCCTTATCGGAGATGGTGAGTGAGCATGGTGTTTTTTGAAAGATATTGGGTATACATTTCTGTGATCCACTGGAAGGGTACTCATAATGCACTTTCCTTGTTTATAACTTTCAATAGCATGCCACAAGGTAAAACAGACAATTAGCATGGACAGGATATATGACAGGCGTAAGGAGACGAAGTACTAATATATGGTCCTTTTATGCTACAACAACAATAGTTCAATCCAGCAGGAGGACTAGGAGCAACAAATGCGATGCACGACGCCGTAGTCCTTGCCAACCTCATCAATGCCCTTCCGGACCACCCCATTGCTTCAGAGATTGATAATGCATTCCAGGCGTACAAGGACGAGCGGATATCATGGGCAAAGGACGCCTACAACTCGAGCAAGTCGTTCAGGGACATGACTGCCACTGTAAGCTTTTTCCTCGGGAGAAACACTCGCAGGACGAGAGTGCAAACGAGAACCAATATGAACAATTAATTGATGCTAACTTTGATATTACGCGTATCATGCTGTGATAGTCGTATAAGGCGAAGATGATTCGACTGGGAGTGAGGATGATGCCAAGCTGGGCGGAGCGTAAATTGCTAACCCCGAGTGAAAACAGGCCGCAATGCAACTTTTTACCGCTCGTCACCAACACTGGGTCGTCCCCACCTGCAGCTCAGCCCAGCTTGTGTGCCAAGAGACCACAGCCAGACGAAGATTCCGAGGGTGTCCATGATTCCGCGGCTGCTATCTGAATTCCTGGTTAGTGTTGCTTTTTTGCTTTCTGTGTCGTTATTCCCACGCTGGATCCGGGGAGCAAGTAGAAAATACCCATCGGCACTTTTTTTTGTGAGCAAACTGGGACGTCGTTGAAAGGGAAACTGTAATAAAAGATTAAACGATGACATGACACACATGCGGTGCATGCGTGTGTTCCCCCTCCTTGCACTATAACTGAAATGTGTGAAGCCTATTTCTCGAACGTCTGGACTTTTGTATCTTTTCGCCGAGGACTTGTCCGATGGCTTATGGGTTTCCCTCTCTTGAAGTACCCATGTTGCTATTCTTGTTTATTTTGTTCTTGGTGCAAGCAACGTATCAAAAAGACGACTGACTTGTTTCTTCTTGACCTTCTCGCCCCCTTCTTCCCCTCCCTTTCTTTTTTTTTTTTCCTTCATCGACTTATCAACCCCCCATCACTCTCACCTCGAGCACTTCATATTCCCTCACTCTCCATGTTCCCCAAAACACAAACCTGTCAGGCCAGCGATGGCACAGAGGCTGAAGTACCAACCATCCACTACCTCCCCACCTTGCAGTATATTATCTCCTGGACAAACATCACCAACGCCTTCCCCAACGCATACCTCGTCAAGCACGGCGACACAATCCTACCCTTCCTCTCTGACAAAGACAAGACACGAGAACTTCTGTAAGTCGTCCTTGTTTTGGTGCGCAATTGTTAAGTCGAAGATGTGTGACACACGTTCCTAGGAAAGCGATACTTACAATCGAAACGCTCTTTGTCGTGTCTCTTTTGAATGTTAGGGTCGACCCGCGTACTAGGAGAACGCAGTGTTGGAGGTCATCCTTTCAGTTAATGGACAGGATTCCAGCTATTCCCTCGACTCTTCATTTTATCCCACTCGACAGTTCCGGTAAGTAGCAATGCTTTGTCTCTCATGATTATATTGTGTGTGTATGCGTGTGAACTTTCCCTCCCTTTATACTTCGCACTGCCATATACTTTTTTTTTTCTCTTACAATATAAAACTCACATCCTTCCTCTTGCCACCTTGCTCATTATTTTTCTTCCAGGAGGAAGGCTTGCCAAGTGAGTGACTACCGTCTGGCAAAGGCACTCAGCATCTCCGGCACTCTCTCTTACTACCCACCAATCAAGAGTAACACGCACACATACCAACTCCAAGACGCCTCCAACCCACGTCCCTTCATCGTCCTCTCGACAAGAGATGGCAGCACGAATGAACTTCTGGATCAGTTCCGACTCTACTACCTCTGTGAGTGTGGCGAGCACAGTCGGCAACCCGCCAACAACAATCATGGCACAAGCAACGACAGGTCTCTTTCACACGACATACATCTTGTTGGGCATAAGGGGTACAAGATTGTCGACTTGCCGGCGTTTTTTTGGAAAAGTACGGTGTTTACATGTTGGCGTTGCTCCAGATGGTCAAGTTTGGCGTATCTGCAGGTGGGGTGGTTGTTCCACGGTTGTTGCAGTTCAGAGCGATTCAAGAAGGAGGGCATGAGGAGGAGGAGAGTTTTGAAGAGAGGGTTGATTTTGCCATCAGCCGCATGCACAAGGTGCAACAGGAACAGCAGCAGAGGCAGGATTTCGACTCTGCACGGGCCATGACCTTCTCGTTGACATCTGTAGCGCCAACAAATTCTTCTGACGATAGCCACAGGACAGACTTTGCTAGTTAGCTTCAGTGGGAGATGATTGATGAGTTGGGCTCATTCCTTGAGGACCACGATTATGACGGTGCCGACAGCAACTCTTCAAGCACACCGGGAGACCTGTACAAGGCCACATCCGCGAAGGAGGGTCATGTCCGATGGATGTGTTCTATACACTACAACGAGTTGTACCCAGAAGTAACACGACGACCTGTCCTCGAGGCGATCCAGGACAACAACGGAAGCTTCAACGAGCGCAAGGGGACTGCCAAAGTCAGGATTGCGAACGCAGCCCGTGGGGCGGATTTCTGCTGGGCTCTTTTGTCCACACCGTTCCTACAACACATCTATATCTTTTTGAACTGGATTGCCACAGCCGCAGACCTCAAGGAGCTCGTTTTTGCTATTCTGCAATCCAATCTCCAACAAATCGAACTCAGTGTGCAAGCCGACAGTTCTGCAACATTGCAAGGGCAACCAACGCTTCACAATCGGACCCAGACAATACAGCAGAAACTGGTAACGCGAGGCTTCCTTCCAGTCCAGCTCAGGGACAGGGAGAGTCTTGCTGTCAGCGTCGGAAATGGCCCAACACCTCCAACACCACCATACTTTCGATGAGCCATGACCTCCTTAGGATGACTAAACAGCATACCTACAGACAGCCCAGGAGTACCAATATCGATACGAGACAAGATGTCGTGGATACACCTCTACTGGTCTGAAAGGATCTGAACACGCCTTCTGCTTCCCGCTTCTTGAGCTGGTGCGTCAACCTCGAGACTCTGACTGTCACCACTCTTCAGTCGATGTATATTCCAGCTATGAAGACATATGATCAACTCAGGGGCCTGAAGGTCGAATATATCCCCAGTGAACAGCTGTCACTCCTCGTAATGGCCCTCACCAATAGTCCGCCCAGTATCGACACCTTCCACCGAGGACTTGCAAACGGCTCGATATGGAGACCTGTGGAATTGGCATTGGCATCCGTGCTTTCAGCAGGTCGAGCGAGACGGCGATTGCTCAACCTCTGCCCTCTCGGAAAGGCTCGGCAGACACTCTGGCCAAGTATTGTTCATTGCTAGAAGAGTTTCAACTGCGATCGATGTAGGGAGTGACGAGTCAACATCTTCGCCAGATCCCGTCAACCAGCCCATGGCTCGTCAAGTTTTATATCGAAGCAGTCTTTGCTCCAATCTAGGCCGAGGACTTTATCGACCTGGACCCCTTTACCGACTCTCTCCTACCTTGCGGGTGTTCCGCGCTAGAATCGGAGGGATCCCCAGATCACGAGCTCCCATGTGTGGAGAACACTGATAAAGTTGCTCAGGAACAGAACTTGCCCCCGTCTAAATCGAATGGTCTGCCACCTTGTCCCTCCTTTTGGTTGGCATTCTTTGCTTCCTAACTCGCTCCCTTCCTTCCTCCCTTCTCCTCCCTTTACTCCTTTTCACACTCCCCTCTTACAGTCGCCCATGCCTCACTTCACCGATCTCCCTCCTGAAGTCCTCGCTCTCATCGGAGACCTCATCGACACCGACACAACAAAAAAGCCTCTCGTCTCCGTCTCCCGATTCTGCCGCCAGCACTTTGGTCATCTCCGCTGGCGACATCTCAGGCTCGCCCATTACACCTCATGGCACTTCGTAAAGTACCTCAAGCCCCATGCCCATTCAGTTCGCTACTTGCAATTTGAATGTGGCGTCCACAAGGGCTTCTACCAGGTCGACTTCCCAGGTCTCGTTACCTTCCAATACCACTCCTTGGAAAAAGACAAGAAGAACAAGGACGTGATTGGGTCGCTGGAGGACTTTATCTCGCGCCATAGGACTATACGGGACCTCACCATCATTACACTGGAGACGGGAATGAGCCACCACTTTTGGGAGACCGTGTCAACTTCGTTATTGAACCCGAGGCGACTCAAGTTGGACGGAGGGTTGTACGGGGGCGCTGTCAAAAACTTCATGTACGGGCCAGAATTTTGGCACGCATGCAGTCGGTTCGAGGAGGTTATTTACAGGGGTTGGGATCAATCGGGCTCGCTGGATCTCGGTACTGTCGACTTTTCTCAACTCAAAAGCCTCGACTATGCGACCGCGGCAACGCTTCTTCCAATCTATGCGGCAACGCCTGTTCCAACCGATGCGGCGAAAATCTGGAGGTGGATGGGAACCTGTTCAAGCCTGACACGGCTCCGCTGGCGAACCAACATTTCGATCGAACAACTCGCGACTGTTACGGAGCGCCCGCTCTGGCCGCACTTGGAAGATTTCAGTCTGGATTATGTTCGGGGGTCAGAAGAGGATTTTGCTGCTGTCGTTCTCATCCACCTGCCGCCTTTGAAGCGCCTAACGATCTTGATGGGACCCATTGGACCGGTGTGCTTCGGTATTCTTCAGGAACGGCACCTCGACAGCTTGCAGACATTATCTCTGACCGGCACTGAAATGATCACAAGCAGGATGGCGTTGGACATTTTGATCCAATTCCCACACTTGGTTGTGTTCGAGGCAGATCACATTGACTTGAGGGACTTTCGTTCGACTCCTCAGCCTTGGGTGTGCCAAGGGCTGAAGCGCCTTCGAGTGACCTTTGAAAGTGATCCCAGTGACCCTGGTGTAGACACCTTGTTGCTGGAACAGCTATCGAAACTGGTGCACCTGGAGGAGCCCTACGTCACGAATTGCCTGAGCCATTTTGGGTTCATTACTGGTTCAGAGACCACGACACCTTTACTTTCTTGGAAGCTGGATTCTGGACTTGGTCGACTTTCTACGTTGACGCGACTCAGAGCCTTTATATGTAGAAGATCAGGACGGGATTTGGAGGTGGAGGATATTGAGTGGATGATGGATCATTGGCCGTCGCTCGAGACTCTATTGGGACACTTTTCGTCGGATTCGACTGTTCAGGAGAGCCTTATAGCGTTAATTCGTCAGAGAGGGATTCACACCTCGTAAGCGACAACTGACAACTAGTTTTTTTTTGTGATTATAAATAAGCATGTTTTTCTAAAAAAAAAAAAAAAAAACGAGCGACGAGCGAGCGACACGAATTTTCCTCTGTCGCTCGCTTGGATGGTGTTTTAGTAATTTGTCGCCGTCGAGTCGATTTGCTCGAGTGGCACGTGACTAAACATCATCTGAGCGCGACAGAAAAATGCATGTGCTTTATTGTTCCGTTTGTTCCTCCTTTTCCTTTCGCACTTCTACCCATGGCGCACTTTACCGACCTCCCTCTTGAGGTCCTCGCACTAATCGGAGATCTCCTCCTCACCGGCGCAGTCATCAAGTCCCTCGTCCTCACCTCCCGTTGGGCTCATCAACACTTTGGACATCTTTTATGGCGACACATCAGGATCAGACCCAAGCACCCCGACACTGACACCGACGATACAGAATTGGCAAACCTCCTCACGAAGCACTTCACCACGGTGCGCTCTCTTCAACTCGAGGGCGAAATTCACGAAAAGTACTACGATATCACCTTCCCAAGGCTACTCACCTTTCGACACGACTATCCAGAAGGAAACCCCCGCGACGACAAGGCAAAAGTGGCCTCGGCCATTTTATCCGACTTTATTCAACGGCATCCGACAATTGAAGATTTAACCATCAGAACGACTGGACTCTTCTTGAACGACGAGTTTTGGGTCACCATCTCGGATACCTTACGCAATCCTAAACGACTCAAACTTGAAGGAACATTAGACGGAGAAGGACGTATGCGATCGATCATAGGCGAAGGCGGACCTGCTTTCTGGAGAGCATTGAGTCTATTTGAGGAGGTTACCTACAGTGGCAGCGATCAGTCTGAATCGATCAAATCTTTGGATATTGACTGTTCGCGACTCAAGCGCCTGGGTTTGACAACAATGGACTACACAAGGAAGGGGGTGCTTCTATGGAGCTGGATGCAAGGATGTCGCAACCTCACACGACTCCACTGGAATAAGCCGATTCCGATTCGGGATGGCGCCACCATGACAGTACTACCGGCATGGCCACTTTTGGAAGATTTTCAAGTTTACAGTGGTAGCGGATCAGAGGAAGAGTTTGCGGATGTTATTCTTCGCCACCTTCCGCCACTGAAGCACCTGAGACTTCCGCAAGGGCCGTTTGGATGGACTTGTTTTGGTCGCCTTCGAGATCGCCACTTTGAAACCCTTAGGACGCTGTCCCTGGTAGGACTTTGCTCGATGACAAGTCGGATGGCATTGGACGTCCTGTTGAACTGCGCTACCCTGGAGGTGCTGGAGGTTGCCTATATTGCGATCGAGGACCTTCGGGAGACCCCTCAGCCCTGGGCCTGTCGTGGACTGAGACGCTTTCATGCAACAGTGGAGAGTAGTCACAGGGGAAGGCACACAATTTTTTTCGAACAACTGTCGAGACTGCAGCTTCTGGAAGAAGTCGATCTGAACGGAGACATGATGGTTCATTATGTTAACCTAAAGGGACGCTCTTCCCCTCGATGGAGACTAGACTCAGGACTTGGTATACTGTCGACGGTGACGAGACTCAAGACGCTCGACCTTCATGGCTGTACTCAGGATCTGAGGCAGGAGGATGTCCAATGGATGTTGAATCAGTGGCCGTTGCTTGAGAGGCTGTCTGGCGGGTTGTCTTACAGAGAGAGAAGAGATGGGCGTTTCAAGGCTTTGATCAAACAACGAGGTATAGCAGTGAAGTATCCTTTTGAATAGCACAAACAAGCCGTTTTCTTTTCTATATTCCATTGCGCATTGTTTTTTACTTTTGTATCGGTTGTTGGGTATATATTCGATGCTGTTGTGAGTTATTGTCAGAGAGAGGAAGAGAAGAGGGAGATAGAGAGAGAGAAAGAGAAGAGAGAAAGAGAAAGAGAAAGGGAGGTTCAAGGGGAGTGGATGAAGGAGAACGGTGGTATCAAAAATAAAAATACGAAGGCAGTTCATGGTAGTCGGCACACTTCAAAGATAATGGCGCCCCTCTCTTTTACTCTTAAGAAGATTGACGGTCGAATAGAAGTTCAATCCCCACCCTGGCTTAATCAGGCTATCTCTGATAACTTTGCATGCGGCACTGAGGTCGATCAAAATTAAATAATAGTCGTCGTAGAAGGAATAGATTCAAACGCTACAACGACTGCCTTTCGCTTGATGGGCAATTGCACTGAACAAGCAGTGAGGAAAATAGTAGATGTTAGGAAGGTTTGAGCAACACCGCCATTATAACACTGGATCCAGCGCCAAACAACAAACAGCGAGGGCGAGAGGAACAACGACATAGAAGGAGTGGACGCAATCAGGATGGGCCTATTTTTCTCGATCTGCGGGCTCGGCTTCTCAACACTCAGCCATATATCATCATCCTTACTTCCCCTCCGCCACCATGGTCTACATTTGTAAAAAAAACCTCTTTTCACCCTCCTCCCTCCACCTCGTCTCTTAAAACTCAGTCCCACAAACTAAAGCACATCCTTCTCCAACACGGGTAACCATAAATCCAACCCTTCATCCCCATACTTCACCAAACATAAGCGGGGGGTCCAACGTCCATCGGCCAAATACCAAGCATCTCAACAACCTCCAACCTGTCATCAATCATCCCAAATCAAAAAAAAATAAATTAAGCGCCTCATTCGGCCCACACAGCATCTGTTAACAGCTTGCCTCGATCGTCTGCGACCTAACCTTTGGTCCATTTGATCGTTCATACCATGAAGACGTCGCACCCGCTGTTCTATTATTTCGTCTCGACAGTGTTCTTTTGCCGTGGCTTTGCTCGTCCAGTCCATCAATTGGTGGTTACACTATCATCGGAAGTAATTAATTGGCGCTTGTATTTTTAGGTTTTTTTTGCTGGACAAAAAAAATTAATGTACGCCACCAATTGTTTGCTTATGCCTCCAACAAGGTGTCACTCTCCTGAAACGCAACAACGCTTGCAACGTCTGAGATTGAAACGACCCAGAGATACAAGGACGAAAAAAACGCGGTGTTTATTCCTTGGAGTGTCAAAAAATGAACGTCGATTCGGTGATGATATGAAGGGTGAGATGCTGTGTGAGGTGGGTGTGTTGTGTACATGGTGTGTGGATGGCTGGGATGTTATCGTCTCTCTAAAGTTTCCTCTCGTGGTCGAGGCTGCATATAGAGCTTTCGTCCGCGGAACAAGTTCAAATGCAGCCTCGTCTTTGTCCCGTCCGTCTTCTGCAGCATAATCTATCAACGGCAAGTAAAATGAAAACAGGTGGTTAGAGCCTATATTCAAACTTCCGTACATCTCAAGATGAATGCGACTGTACAGTAGAGTAACACCAAGGTAATTACCTCGTCGTTGGCCAAAAAGAGGTACTTGGCATGATACTGCCCCAGAGCTGCATCGAGAACAACCACAGGATCGTTGGGCTTGTACCAAATCCCGTCAACCTTGCACCGACTACCGTCCTCATAAATCTCAACTTCTGGCCGCATACCTACACACAGTCAAATTAAACACAGAATGGAGCATGTTATTACGAGCGCACCAGAAACTTTGTTGACAATGACGAATCATCACATAACACCTTCAAAGAAACGCGTACCAGATGAACCAGAATGCTCTATTGACCCACCCCAACGGTGAGAGTTGCTCGGCCGGGATGAAGACATGTTACCGCCCATCGTTGCTGAATGTGGTGGAGGTGGTCCATATCCTGAGGGCCGCTCATGTATGCGGCTCTGTGGTACAACCTGTCCGTGTCCCAGTCCTTGTGAATGGCCATGTGAATATCCTTGCAAGTGTCCATGATCAATAGCGGCACTTGTTTGTGGAACAGGGCGTGGGATCTAAATACCGTCAAGCAAAGGGTGGGTTCGCAGCCGAGTAAGTCCTCACTCCTATAGCCGCCTACTCAATGCCATTCAATACACGCTGTCCTCAACATAGAGCTTACCCCCATAGCGGCAAAATCTTCGTCCAGTTCAGCGGTGGCAATCATCCGGAGATCGTTGCTAACAGGGAAGCCATACCGCTCATTCACAGACCGCAGCTCTGTCATCACCGCTCGCTTGTGTTTCCGTGCGCGAACCATCGCTGACTTCTCCACTGGTTCTAATTACAAGACACTGATATTTAGCACTGTGTTGACTTGACAAAGCTTCCATGTAATGACAACGAGGATCGACAAACATTGTGACTTACGATGGCGTGCCCGACTCTCTGACAGGGTGAGTTCCAAACGAAGCTGCTGCTGCTTTTGGCCGACTCCGTTCAAAAGATCTGTGCGAAGTCCCCGCTTCTTGGACTATGACAGACGGAAAGAACCAACAATTCGGTTTAATGATCAGGAGATTAAAACAATTCATCTCGATCGCCAGCCAATGAAAATGCAGAGAACGTCCTTACTTGGAATGTGCAGTGGGCTTGGTACTCCTTGATCTCGAATTCAGCCTGCGAGATCTCGTTCAAATGTGTCCGCCATGCTCTGGCTACCCTGAGACGCTGGTCTCGCTTGTCTTCAATCTCCTTCATAAGTGTCGACAGCTCTGGGTGCGTGCCTAATCGTAAACGAGATAATATAATCGTATCAGCAAAAGACATATGAAAAAGATGCTAGAGTCAAGCCCGACGTGTCAACTTTCACTTATGAGCATCATCAGGGCGATTACCATCGTTGATCATTTCGACCTCTGTCTCCAGCTCCAGCATTCTTTCCTCGTACATCTTGTCTCGGAGATGTGCAAATTCCACCTCTATGCTTGACAGCGCCTCCAAGGCTTCCGTGTAAACTTGCTTCTTTTCAAGATCTATTCAGCACATATTAGAAACACGAAAAATGTCAGCCTGACTCTGCAATAAGTACCATCAAATGCTGGTAAACATGAAAAGCAAAAACGTACCTTCTTCTTCTTCTCCGTCCTCTTCACCTTCACCCTTCTCTTCGTTGGCCTCCTCCTCAGCCATCTCGGATTCAGATTCCTTGTCAGACTGAGGAGATTTAGTCTCTTCGTCCTCCTCAACTTCCTTCTTGACCTTTTCCTCCTGCTCCTTGGTCTCCCGACTAGCCTCGCGCAAGGACCGCTTTCGTCCTCCAAGGCTGGGTCGAGAGTTGATGGTTGTTGATGCTGATGCAGTGGTAGCAGAGGCCGAGGCGGCAGCAGCTGATCCTCCTGCACCGGATGACGAACTCTTACCCTTACTTGACCGCCCGACCTCTTCGTCATCCGAGTCATCCGAGTCATCAAATTCAGACAGGTCCGAAAGTTCGTCGCCACTGTCCTTGAGATCCTCGGCAATGAGCTGTGGGCGGTTCAGGGTTGGCTTCTGAGGAAATGACGCTACATCCTTTTTGGGAGCGGCAGGTGCATCGTCTTCATCGTCTTCTTCCTCCTCGTCCTCATCCCCATCCCCCTCGCCATCCTCATCGCCATCCTCGACGTTTGATCCCCCGTCTTCAGGGAGCTCACTGCCCTCGTCGTCCGTCTGTCCAGCAGGCGTACCCTCATCTTCGTCATCGTCGTTCTCATCTCCTTCCTGCTCTGTCATAGTAACATCGCCATCAGCGTCGGCGTCGCCGATATTGGAACCATCGTCTTGATCCTCGGAGGCTGTTGGAGAAGCTGTGCGATGCGCGGTAGGTCCTTTGGGAACCTTCAAATGGGTATCGTCGTCGGTATCAGCAGGCTTGTCGTCATCCTCCTCCTCCTCTTCCTCCTCGTTGTCCTCATCAATCTCACCTTCCTCTTCTTCCTCGTCGGCCTCACGGGTAGCAGGGGTTCCTTCGGCGTCCTGGACAGGCTCAGTATCCTCGGTGTCACCGTCCATATCGTCGTCATCATCATCAAGTGTTCCGTCCAGCAGGCCACCGTTCAGATCTTCGGCGCTCAATTTACTCGATCGGATACGACTGGGTGCCAAATTGCGAGGCGTTCCTTGCTGCGAGGCGTTTGTGTTGGATGGTGACGGAGACTTCATCGACGTGTCCTCGTTCTCGTCAATCTCGCCTTCTTCGCCCTCCTCGTCTGCTGCCGGTGTTCCTTGTGAAGACGCTGCTTCATGGCCGAGTGTCAGTACTCCCACTGCAGGATCCTTGCTTCCTGCAGAGTCTGATGTGACCACAGCCTCCGAGACCGAAGTTTTTGTGTCGTTTGTCATAGATAACTTTTCCTTGTCCTTGCTCTTGTTTTTATCTTTAGCTGACGCGCTGCGGGTTGTACCGTTAATGCTGTTATTGATGTAGTTGTTGTTATTGTTGTTGACTTTAAGTTCTGTGGGCGAGAACGACTGTTTGCGAGACCGTAACGAAGACGCCTCGAGCATTGGGTGGTTGAGGTGAAGTGTCTTGCAGATCAAGTATCGCTGAGGGTTGTGGCTCAGACTGGCTGCAAAGCAAAGTGTATTCGTGTGTCCCTATTTTCGATTTGTGTCCATGTGAGGGTGAATTACAGTTTTAGAAGGGGTGCAATTGAACAATTGACAGCCAAATCCAATTGAAAGCCGATCGACAATTTAAAAGAGAGGGGGACGAAGGTATATCCAGGGCACAGTATGTCACAGTAGCTTCAACCCTTTAGCCTCTTCCTTGTTTCCTTAACCATCTTTACCCTGATAGATGTCCGCTCTTTTTCTTGTTTCATCAGGTTGTTCGTTATTGTTTTTGTGATTGTAGGCACACATACACCCTGTGGATACCATTTGAAAGGGCGCCCTCACTTGAACAGGACCTCAATGAAGAAAAAGAAAGTGATGATGGTCCACCCGTATCCATCATCAACCACCTCCCCCTCCGCGTTCACTTGCTTTCTACTTGCTCTTCTCGCCTCTCCTTCTTTCTCATATCCCCTAGTTGCCGCAATATAGTTTTGTCTCGTCCTCGCTTTCTCACAAACAAGAAGGGAGAACAGGGAAGTAAACGTATGTAACTCAGACCAACAAACACACACGTTGTCTTCGAGCTTGTCCGAAGCAGGCTGGGGGTTGCACTGATATCCATGTTGATACATACCTCAGGGAAAAACTATGGCTCGCCCACGAAAAGTGAAACGAGAGTATGAGCTGTTTGGAGAGCCGGAGGGAGTGTGCTTGGTTCCTAAGCGAGCTCCTTTCGAGGCGTGGGCTGCTGCCTTGTAATGTAAGGCAACCAGGAGATGGAAGGGAAGAGAAGGCGTGTGTGTGTGCCTTCTGATGAGCGTTGGTGTTTATTCGCTGTTTTCCCGCTTTGCTTCTTATTGGCTTGTCGGGTCGAACGATGCGAGTCAGGAGAGGGTGATTGGTTGGATTGAAAGTGGTTTTGGAGGATGCTAGAGAGGTCGGGTCGGATAATGGCTCTTGTCTCGGGTTGCTGCTCGACAAAGGCAAATGGTGCAAAAGTTTGTCCCTGAGTTGTTGATTCCTCTTGTGGGAGTGATTCGAAGAAAGGTCGAGGAAGGGCGCCGCGCCTTGTCTTATTTCGTGGAATCGTCCTGGAGGAGAAGGAGAGTCTTTGAGGGTTGAACAGATGAAACTTGCCCTGTCGCTGCTCTGTCCGTGAGGGTCGAGTATATGGGTGAGGTTGCGGGTGCGGAAAGAAAGCAGAAGAAAGTTTGAGGGCGCGATGAAAAATGAAAGGCGAAAAAAGGAGGAAGGAAACAATGGGAACAAGAAAGAGGCAAAAACGAAGAAGAGGAGAGGAGGGGAAGGTGACAGGAAGCATGGGGGTCGGGCGTGAAGGGTGAAGGGTGAAGGGAAAGTGACCGCCATCTGAAGTCACGGGGAACGTTCGCTCTTTGATCAAGTGTGCTGCGCGTTCATTTACGCATCGTGCAATTAAAGATCGTGAATCTTGTCATTTAGAGATCACAATCTTTTCCTGGGCTAAGCTGTGTAGCGTAGCTGTCTGCGCGGTGATCCAATCACAAAGAACAACCAACGAGAAAGAAAAGTAATAAGACAGATCTGTGTTGTCATTCATCTTTTCTTCTTTTCATCTCCTCATCAATCCTCTCTCACAACATGCAGCAACAAGCAATATGGTGAACCACCAACAGCTTGAGGATCGTATCGCTACGTTGAAGAAGATCCTCTCGGACTTGCAAGTTTCTCTCCAGGAAAGCACAGCTCAGCTCTAGCGAACTTTCAGAGCGGTTCTGCAAGCCACCACTCTGCTCTAGCAGAGGTAAGCCCAGTTCCAGCAAAACGGTGCCACACCGCAGCAGAATAAAAGTCAAATCCATCACTTCATCCTTGACATCAACGAGTTGGTTCGCTCTATTGATCCCTTGCGAGTTAAAGACAGCAGCGGCAACAACCCTCCTTTAGCTGTGCAGTCGACTATAAAGACAGCCCCAGGATAGTCTCAGGGACAGAGCCAGGACAGGGCGGCCTAGGTTGCAGTCGAGGGGGGACTTTCGTCCATCCAACAGTGAGTCAACTTTTGGCACAAGGCGGACGGGGGATGCACATCACATTCTACTCCACTACACCGATTCGACATACAAGCCCAAAAAAAGGCGTCGTCATTCTTCCTTCTTTCTTTCCCGCCTTTAAGAGCGTGGAATAGAAATGTTAACAAGCAAATAAATAGACCATCTGTAGCCCAATTTCGTAAACCGCCATTTCCTGTGTTGTACTGGAAGAAAAAAAATGAATAACAGCTACTACTTTGTTTTTGTGTTTATTATTGTGCTGTTGCAGCTTCAAAAGCTTGAGCTCTTTATTTGGTGTCTTGCATACGAATACGCCTCAACCCTATGGAAAGATCCAGGTTTTGAGATAGCTTAGAGGTTGTGCAATTGTCAATTAATGATCACTATCAAGCCCCCCACTATCAATCCAGGCACAAGGACACAAGGACCTATGCACGCCTCAGGGGATCGACTGACAGTGCATACCATTGACGACAGATAGGACATTGATAAAAGATAAATAAAACTTGGTATTATGCCTTCTCATTTCTTCTTCTTCCTCCTCATCCTCCTCATCCCTATACCACAACGACCTTTTTCAGCAATACCGCTTGAGTTACAGTGTGGACCACAGCGAGGCGCGGTTGTGAAAGGGAGAAGGCACCAGAACGGAAATGGACTGAGATAGATACAGGACGTCACACTACTACACGAACAAGTACAGAAGAACCCATTGCTCTCTTGCAGCTTTATTCGCCTCGCTTTCTTCAATGAAAGCTTTTACAATTGTCGTTTCGCTTATTCTTCAACCTGAGTCAGAGCAAAAAAGAATACCAACACGGCCTCATATATGTTTACAGCATCAAATAAAGCAAGTTATTCAACAAGGAGTCGACCATCCTATTTATGATAAAATTGTCCTCCACTGGCACTTTCTGTTCAGGAATGTTCAAAACGCCGACCTCGATTATTTTAGAGTCAGCAAAAAAAACCCCTACCCCAGCTGTGCCGCCCAAGGCTCCTACTCAATTTTCCTTGCCTGTCATACAACAAACTCACAAAAGCAATCAACGTGCCCATCACCAGGAACGGAGCCGAATGATATCCTACAACAACATCTGTATGGATCAACCGCCCCCATGGCCAGTGCCTCCCCCTTCTCGACCACTATTTCACTCAAAACGCCCGCTTTTTTGACAAGCTGGCATCGCGGACGTCGTCCGGATGGCACACAAAAAGGGAGACAACTAACCCCTACTGGTATTCAACTTGCACGAGCGGTGGCAACGCTGGTATACGGGGAGTATATTCGATCAGCGGATTCCGACGGCGCACGAGCCAATCTAAGGTATACGAGCTTTTCAAATGCAGAGAGATACACCAAGGAAGTCAGTCGTGCCGAACTGGTGGCAAGAATCCAGTTGGTGGCGGAGGTCACGTGACGAATCAAAATGCAAGACGTATTCAATGGAACAAGGGCAACCGATTCTCGCATAAACCTGGCAACCTAGGGCGAAATGTGGCACTCCCGATCTGACTTTGCCCATAAAACAACCCGGGGTCTATTACAGAGTGTATTGGAGAGTGGGCTTGCAGGGCAGAGAACCCAATGAAATCTCGACTCTATACTGCATGAATAGGGGTGCAAGTTCCTGGTCACTGAGAGGCAGAGTGAACATTTTTTTTATTGTTGAACGAGTCAAAAAGTTTATTTATAATCTTCAAGGGAAAAACTAGTAATCGCAATTGCCACACATGCCACAGTCATCCGTGCTACACGCTGTGAAATCTGGGCTCCAATCATCATCAGAATAATGTTTATCGTTGTATGACCCATACCCCCTACCGTATCCGTCATAGCCATCATCATCAGAATAATGGCTATCATTGTTTGTCTTATGCTCCATACCATATCCATCATAGCCATCTCCATATTCCAACGAGAAGCAAGCGAACGTTCCAGACAGTTTCTCCAAGAAGGGATGCAATAGGGATTTGGAGGAATAGGGCATCCTACGCGCATGCATCCAGGACAGGACTTTGTGAGTGTCGGGGTCCTTAGGGAAGAGGATAAAATAGGGTATCCCAAGGTCCAAGCACAATTCGTAGTACCCCAAATCTACACCTTCCAAATCGGAGGAACTGAGATCAAGCGGTTTGAGATCTGCTGTCGCCTTCTTGATATCATCAAGTATGCTTCGGTACAGGGGCATCTGAGATCCAATCGGTCGACCGTCTTTGTGTTCGAAGTTCATCTCTCCACCCATCTCGCAACGAAAAAAACGGATAACTTGGGAGGGTTGGTGACTAATAGAGGCGTGACGATCTAGGGCAGGCCAAAGTGGAATGAAGTTATCAGACAGGCGGGGAAGGGCGTGCAGAAATGTGTAAGATGAAAAAGGCTGGGAAAGTAACAAGAGTGGGATCGAATTGTCTGCTATGGAATAAGAGAAGGGGAATCGTCTCTCTTTATACCACGAACAGAGTGAACAGGAGGGATGTGTCGCTTGTACTTTGTTGGCTGGCGTCAAAACAAAAAGAAGCAAAAAGAAAACGATGGAATGAAAAAATAGAAGAGGGAGGCTATGTGGGTGTGGACAAGAAAAAAAAGGCAAAGCACGTTTTAAGGTGCATAATTTGTTTCGTCATTATTTTAGGATGCATGAATAACGACTGCACACGCACAGTTTTTCTTATCTAACCACTTAAGTAGACATCTACGAACCATCACGTTCTAGGACTTTTGAATGATCGGTCGACTCTTGTGCAGCAACGAGAATGATCAGTCGACTCTTGACAAGTCTTCGCCCTCCCCCTATCTTTAAACCAAGGTCCTATGACTTATTCGTCCGTGGTCATTTACCTCGCTTAATTTGTGTAAACAAAGGACACATGATCTTCTGTCCTCCTCCCAATCTTTATGCGCTTTGCCATACCGCATAACCATCTAAAAAAAACATAATCCATCTACTGTTGGCAATGGGTAGGAGAAGCAATGATTTTGTTTCCGATTCCCGTCCCTTAACCCTCGGCTTAGTGTTGTTGTTGTGTATGTAGAAAGAGGAAGCGCGCTGGCTCTTTCGCTCTTTGTCTTTGAAAAAGACACTTTTCAAGGGGCAACTGGCCGACGTTAGCTGACCTTCGTTTTCAGTGTTTATTTTGGAGGATTTATATCAACAATGAGAGTGCCACGATCACTCTATCACACCATATCGAACCCATAACTCTGCAACGTGAATGGCTAACTAGATAGCAATTGTAAACCTAATATGTTGCAGACTCTTGGCGAAGCCTTTGCCTTCTCCTTAACTTTAAGTTAAGGTCTTATGACTTATGTATATATAGTTATCGCCCTTGCGTAACGTGGGTAAACAAGGGTTTCATGGTATCCATGCCTTTATGATTAATATCCAACTCAACAAGAATAATTCCAATGCAGTGAGTCACATTATGTCATTGTCTTCGCCCACTTTTACATGGGGCATGCAGGGGTCGATGTGCAGTAACGTTAGATTTGTTATTGCCATGCGTTCGCTACTGTCGTATATTGTTCTGTGAATACCTAGATAGGTGGAGTCAGAACCAGATAGAACTAAGCCATTAGTAATGTTTCTCAAATGCGAATGCGAATAAATGGATTTTACATTGGTTTTACATGATGCGAATGCGAATGCTACTTCGATTCGATTCGCATTTTACAGGGAAATAAAGGGTGCGAATAATTTCTGAGAAACACTGGCCATTAGGAACCGGATATAAACCAGTTCCAGGTGGGCCTTAATACAACCTTCTTTTTGCCTCGTTACATTTTGTGTGAGTAAAAAACTTATTTATCGCTTGCTTCAGTCGTACGCCCATGCGGACTTTCCAAGGCAGATGTTGGTCTTTAGTTGTCAGAAAGAATGCCCGGACTTCTCATTGCCGGACTACTCACCGACGTTGGCCGATACTCAGCGGATCAGCGGAAAAGTCTTCAAAACTATTCCAGATCGACCTTCCTGATGTCTTTGGAGATGAAAAGTCATCTTCGGAATATCCGCAACTTTGGACTTACCTCCTACACCGAGAAAGACTGCGTTCTGTATGGATCGATTCGGACAGACAGGTCCCGGCTCCAAGTGCTTGCTTTCAAGTTGAATGAGCTCCACTCGGTCAAATATAGACGACTACCCGCGGATAAGCTGCCATCTCTACTAATATCCACCGTCGGCGGCACGGATAATTTTTTGACAGAGATCAGGAATCTCGTTTCGACCAAGCAGGATGTCATCCAGCTCTGGAGTTGCGATCCCAAGAGTATCAAGATCCTCGGCATTGACTTGGGCCAAGTATTTGTCGTTGGAGCGAGTGCGATTCTACCCACTCGCGGGCAACCGAATGTCGAACAAGGACAAGAGTCTGGCCATACTATCTTGGAGTCGTCGCTGTCAAGAACTGAGGCAGAGGAGGATGAATAGGCTAAGGAACCGTTGCCTAAGTTTTTCAACTTGGCCATCAAGCAGAAGGCTGCCTACCAACCTACCTTCAAGCACAGACAATGGTTAGAGCGTAGGAAAGGGCAGATAGTTGAGGGAGGAGCTTCCATCAGCCAAATTAAGACCAGCCTACCTTCTTGTCATGGCCCAGAGGCGAGTATCAGCAACTATACAGAGAGAGAGAGCGGGAAGTGGAGGGCCATCCCGATTCGTTCTATGGCAGTGTGGTCCTGAAGAAGCACAAGTGGAACGCTAGGAAGGCTCGAGCAGAGGAGTATAGATTCGTCGCCGATAGCAAAAGACAAAGTCTCTATTTCAAAGACAGAATGGCTCGAACTCCTGTACCCCTTGTTGTTCCACCAACCGACAATCACCATCATGGTTATACAAAGAAAAATTCAAGGGAACTGAGGAAAATTCAAGGCGCCTATGAAGGCTGGGACTACCATGACTATCTCTTTCGACTTTGAAGACCAATACACCTTGAATCCGTCATGCGTGATGATCACGCCGATTACATGAATCGGCCTAACTGTACGTAAAGAGACGCCGATGCTGCCTACGTGCTCCTCGCACGTGCGTGCGCAAGTTCTACCTCACCCATTAAGCACCCTAAACCGTACAGCGCACACGCACATGAGGATTGTACAGCCCGTCCTCGCCGGGTCAGGAACTGAGGTGGATCGATGAAAGTGTAACGAGAAAGAATGACGATTCTGTCCTCAGCTAGCTTTACAGCCTAGAGTAGGACAAGACTGGCGGCTGTCTTCATTAAATAAAAATAAAAGGAAGCGAACCCATAGAGAGAAACGCACCTATCCATCACTGAACGATATACGCAAGTCCAGATGACCCTTGTTGCTTCGTGGGACGCGTTCATGGGATCTAGGTGTGCTTCTCCCCCAACTACTTGATGACCACCTAAACATGCCATTGGTTTCTGTGAGGAAATCTTAATATTCTTTTGGGAGCTTACATGACAGCCCTCAGGTGAGATGTTGCTATCTTGGGTACATCGAATGCTGCAAGTGTTGCTGGAGGCGCTGCTGGAGGCGCTGTGAGTATATTTTTTTGGTATCATTGAGAGCATTGGAAGCATGCCAATTACTGGATACGTCGTTGGTAGATACTTCCCAACAAATCTTAATTCTCTCACGGGCTCATACAATTGCCCTTGAGTGAGACGCTGCTTACCTGAGTGCAACGAATGGTACCTGCGTGCTTTGTCCTCAACATTAGCGAACATTCGATTCACCCATGAAGTCGACAGCTCCATCCGGGGGCGCATACTGTGAGCCTTTCTCAGGAGACGATATCAAAATTACTGGTGGAATCCAATGACTGCCCGTCCGAGAGCTGCGAGTGAGCATTTGAGGGAATATTAAGATTCGATGCCAGAGCCAATGGCACGCCCAGGGCGCTGGTTTACATCTGATGCTCTCAGAAAGACCTAAAAATGTGGCCGCTTTGCCTCCAGCAGCCATAGCCATCACCCGGTTTATTCATGAAAGTAACGAGCGCTATCTTCACGTATAAAAGGACGCCGTGCCTACCTAACACCCTGCGCCAACACATCCGATCTTCCTCAAGACTCAAGAACCATTCCGAGATCACCACAGATCTCCTCATCAAGACCTTAGGACTAACCTTCATCTCCTTACTGGATTTCCGTAAGTCTGCCTTAAGATTTTGACGATTTTACTTTGGGATTGACCGTATCCATTCTCAGAGTCTGACACTTGCTCTCACCAACTTCTCTAGACATGCGCGCAGCTTTGCTCTTGGCAGGTGTTTTTGCCTCAGTGGCAAACGCCTACTACTATGAAGTTGATGTGATGGCCGCGAGTAAGGACCAGTGGGTCAAGTGTGTCAATCCGATCACCTATGACTTCAAGGGCATTGACCCTTCCACTGGAAAGCACTGGGATGGCATTGGAGGCCCATGCATTTTCCGTGATGAGGCGACCGGCTATCTGGAGTTCCATAATTCCGACTGGAGACTCAACCAGTTCTACAACGTCTCGATCACTACCGGTGACGTTTACAACCACGTGCCCAGTTTGAAGACAAAGGAGACTGGACTGGTCATTCCTTGTACCTTGGCCGACGAATATCATGCGCCTCCTAACACGCCAAAGGAACAACTCCCATACCGTTTCCAGAACCATTGGTTGTACGTCTGCATTTCCCCAGAGCTCTTCCGCAACCGCACCGTGCCAATTGTCGAGCCTACCACGATCGTGACCACGTCTTTGCCAACGACGACTGTTCAGACTGTTCAGCCTACCGCCACTATTCAGTCAACAACCACTGCTTTGCCTGTAACAACTGTTAGCCCTACAACGAGTGTCGAGCCTACAACGACTGTCCAGCCTACGCTTCCTTGCCTCCCAGGATACAGAGGCAAACGCACTGGAAAGGGTCCCAACGGAGCGTGCTGCTCGCACAGCGACGACTGCTTTGAGTCGTGTGTCAAGGGTATCTGCAAGGTCTACGTCTAATGTATGACTATCATGACTATTCCCCATCTTTTCTGAGCCGTCATGTAGGCGACCATACATAATAACTTCGAAAAATACATTTTACTCATTTCTTATTCAGAGTAACATGCCATCGGGTCCTTTGATATATAAAGGAGCTTCTTCTCGTCTTTCCCTTCATTCATTCTTCCTCAGTACTCTCTACCCCCAAACAAGATATGTTACTGTCTCCTCTCCATCTCTTGTAGTTTTACATGTGTATCTGTTAGTTAGTGTTGCCTTTGGTGTTGTCTCTTGATGCTGTCCCTTGATGTGGTCTCTTGACGTTGTCCCTTGGTGTTGTCTCTTCGTGTTATCCCTAAGTGTTGTGGAAAATGTGAGGAGGAGGCCAGCTTGAATGACACGGAGAACAACATTAGAAAAAATTCTGGGGCAATAAGGGCCTGTAGTCGAAGGTACTCTCCTCTCTGAGCGCACAACGGATGAAAAAATGGACTGGGGTATGAGAACGTGCGCGATTATGGGTAACGAAAAGAAGGAATATAAGATATGCAGAGTGTATGATCAGACAACTGGGGGAAGTATCTGGCGTTACCAATGTTGCATATCAGTGGGTTAACAGTAGTAGGAGCTGCATTAAGAGGCGTGTTAGGGTGAGAATTGGGGGCTTAGTCATCTGTCTCACTATTTACTCTCAGGTACGCATTATTTCTCAACCAACACAGAGTTAGGGCCAACGAAAGGAAATATACAAAAATGCATTCTTTCGAATACAGTACAATGCGCGCAGGGAGAAACCACATTCCTTTTCGAACGTTACATACAAGGGAGAACCATGACCTTGCACGCGCATTGTGCCTATGGGAGAAACCACATTCCTTCGAGAATAATTTGCGCACGGATCCTTTCACGCCGTTGCGCGTTCCATAACCCTTTTCCTTTTTATGCTCTATGCTTACGCTATCCACACTCCATTTCTTTTTTATATGCTGCTCATACTTCCTTTTCTTGCACTACTTACGCCCACTTTTTCTTTTTCATGGGTTCTTTCAGTACCCACGCCATTGCACGTTCCATGGCCCTTTTACTTTTCATGCGCTATGCTTACGCTGCCCACACTCCATCTCTTTTTATTTGCTGTGCATACTTCCTTCTCTTGCATTACCTACGCCCACTTTTCTTATTCATGCGCTGGACATACGCTACTCACACTTCTTTTCTGTTTTCATTCGCAATGCACACATTCGTTTTTGTTATCATTCCCCTGTCAATCTATTTGCCCTCATGCAGTGTACGCTTATTTTTATTGGCAAAAAACGACCCATTGGGGTAGTAGGGTCCTACCTGAGAACACAATTGTCGAATGCTAATTACGAACCTACTCTATGACTCGACTGTGTGAGAAAAATATGCTTATGCTTTAATCCAACGCCATCACAAAGGATGACCGTACTCTTTCATGACTACAGTCAGAAGAGAGGTTCTACTCAATCCATATTGGTTTTAGATATGGAGCATGATGTGCGGCAAGACCTGGATTAATTGACGCAAATGTTCCAAGCCCTATATAAAGAGCGTACGTTTGGTGATTAGTCTTTACTTCTTCAGCTTCACCTTTCTCCGATAAACAAGTATGTCGAACATCCCATTGTCCTCGTTTCATTAGTGCCACATTCCGTACAGTAATCCTGATGTGATGTAAACTGATTACTGATCGTTATAATACAGGCATAATGGTTTCAAAAGTTTTCCTTCCCAACGGCGTCAAGGCTATCTCCGCGAATTTCACTGCGTTGGCAGATGGCACGCGATTCGAGTCCACGTTCATGGTGAATAACAGGCAGTTCAAGGCTGTGGTCCAGCAAGTTGATGCCGCCACTCCCCTTAGCATTAGCAGTGCCCAGTTCGTCCTTGAGTCCATTGCCTACAAGTCCCCTGGAACGAATGTTGAGTACATTGACTGCAACGTCGATGTTTTTTACGGTGATGTGACCGTGAACGTCAGCGTTTTCCCAATCAGCCCTGTCGCCAAAAACTGAAATCCTATCTTGTAAGTTTGTTCGTCTCATTCGACTATCGCCTACCTTGGATGGCGGTACCATTCTAATTAACTTTTGTTCTTTTACATGCGATACGGTTAGATGATGTGGATTACTGGCCAAGTGGCAGTGAACGGACTGGACCTGTATGATAGGTAGCAGTAGCTTTACTATGGTGGGAGACTTGACATGTAATGACAGAGTAAAAACAAAGCTAGCGTCTCCTCGTTTGGATACCTGGGCACAATTGAACTCTTTAAATACCTTGGCATTGCTATGTATTAATCCAATGACTGAGATGTTGATTCTCCATCAACAAGATAGAACAGGGACAGGTGGTTGTCGGTTATGGTGTTGGGAAGCATCAAATGAAAGGACGTTGAAAGAAAAAGGTGGGGGATATAAAGCGATAGGTAAATGGGAAAAGGAAAGAAAGGTGGGGGTTGAAAAGAAAAAAGAGCAAAGGCGAAGGATGAAAGACGGAGGCAAGGACGAAGGTGATGAAGAAAAGAACGTGGGAGTAGTGGTAAGACGATAAAGGCGTGAGAAAAGTGCAAAGGATAAGTATGGGTGTTGGGATATGACCGGGGCACAACTGAAGACAATGGGTCCGGAAAAAGTCAAGTGGAATTATACATCGATCCAACACCATTACAATGGTATTGTTGCAAAAAGATGTGGTGGCTAGGCAGTGGCGGCGATGCCTTAGGTTAGCAGTTATACTCTTTAGTAGACATAGTATTAGTAGTGCGCCGAGCCCTCTTGTCTGCTCTTTGTCCTTTTACACATCACTTCTTGGACGAGGGCAGTATTGACAAGAGTTTTGCTGGCGCGCTGCAGGTAACAACCCCCTCTTTGATATATGAATACAAGGTCCTTTTACACATCACTTCTTGGACGAGAGCAGTATTGACAAGAGTTTCGCTGGCGCGCTGCAGTGTATCGTTTCGTGTGATTCTTTTAGGACGCTATTATCATTCCCCCCCCCCCCCTCCAACCTACAACCCTCCCCCGTACCAATTGAGGACTTCACAGCGGTCCTACAACTCTGGCCTTCGATCCTCTCCCCCGAGTAACAGCGTCTAAGTCAAAATTGTACCCCTTAAGAAGAAATCAGGCATGCACGGGAGTGAGTGAATGAAGCAAGGATTGAAAGAGCCGAGATCGAAGGATCAAAAAGCAACGTCGCTATGAACGCTTGACTGCCACAAGCCAGTTATAAGGGATGATTTAGTACTTCTACACTAGATGACATTTACCTCCTTGACTGAGGTTCCTGCTCTCTACAATACATTCAGTGACTGGAAGTCCGCCACCGCATTGTCGAAGTCGAATTCCATGCAGCGATCGCCTCCGTCGACGTCATGCCCTGGCTCACCGCAATATCCACAGCGAGTCAAGTAGTATACGTCCACCGCGTTGTCCAATTCGAGTTGCTCACAACGATCGTCTCTGTCAACATCGTGCCCTGGCTCACCGCAATATCCACAGCGAGTCGAGTAGTATACGTCCACCGCGTTGTCCAATTCGAGTTGCTCACAACGATCGTCTCTGTCAACATCGTGCCCTGGCTCACCGCAATATCCACAGCGAGTCGAGTAGTATACGTCCACCGCGTTGTCCAATTCGAGTTGCTCACAACGATCGTCTCTGTCAACATCGTGCCCTGGCTCACCGCAATATCCACAGCGAGTCGAGTAGTATACGTCCACCGCGTTGTCCATTTCGAGTTCCTCACAACGATCACCGCTATCGACATCATGTCCTCGCCTACGACAGTATGAGCACGGACTCAGCAAACGTCGCACATAGGAGTTCATGGCATCCCGCGAGCCATAGCTGCTGTATTGCACAATACCAACGACCGCCTTCTCGTTGATATATGGCGTGAGTAAAACTTCTTGGTGATGCGTAGAGATGCGGTTGGCCCAGGGAGTGAGAATTTGAGAGTTATCTCCACTCAGGTCGTATACATGGATGCCACGGTTAAGAGCTTGGCAGGAAATAATAGCAAAGGCAGATTGCTCCTTAATCGTCCAAGAGATGGCGGTACTTGAGGACTTGGTTGTCGAGATAAACTGAGATGTGACTATGTTGTTAAAGCCTTTTCGGATATGCTGATCGAACGTTAGATCCGCTGCAGGATTGCCACATTGGAATCCAGTCTCAGGGTCAACATCGTACGCTCTAATGACTCGAAAGAGGAATCCGGGATATTGGATATGGTGGAAAGGATAGGAAGACATGATTATGGTAGCAAAGAAGTCGAAAAATAATAATTTATATGAGCAAAATGGTGACGTGTGTTAGTACTGATACGTTTTTGCACCAAAGTGACGTTACCACCAAAAGTGAGAACGTGCGTTACGCATGTTATCCCCTCTGTGGTGCGAAATAAAAGATCCCCTCTCCCTTCCCATTGACACATTCGACCATACACCATAGTTTTCACCAAATTCAATTACTATTGCAACGACATTTCATCAGTTAAACCCAACTCGCGTTCCCTATTAATGGGTGAACAATCCAACGCTTACTGAATTCTGCTTCAGTATAAAGCAACGTCGCCATGAATGCTTGGCTGCCACAAGCCAGTTATTCAATCCCTATAAACTCTAATCCATTGCATATACGATTCCATCTTCTTCCACATACATCATCACTCAACCAGCACACAATAACACACAACAACGCACAACTACCACACGCAACAACACGCAACAACACGTAACAACACACAACAACACACATCACTTCACCACCAACACACAATATCGCCGCACAACACCATCAACACCCGACATCACCAATATGCAATACCATCAACTTACCCACTCCTCCATACTCACTCTGGTCTTCCACATATGACGTACTCCACGCCAAGTACGCCTCTACGCCCTCCCCTTTCGACTCACTTAATCACAGAGAAAACAAAACAAAAGCCATCCCTTGGATCATTTTCAACCCCAATTTTCTTGGTTTGAGTTGGAAAACAAGGCTTTCGCGCGCGTTTTTGTAGAACAAAGATTAAGCTTTCAAAACAGACTAAAACCTATCAAAGTCAATTTTTTGTAATAAGGTTTTGGAAGGGACGCGGCGTCCTGTACATTTGGCACCCGCCCTACTCTCTAGGTTTACAGAGCACTGCTAATAAAACAATTCAGCCTCGCTAAGCCCCTCCAATGGATCTCTGTCTACATGCCCAATGTTTTGTAGAGCCTCTATAGCCCATGCATGTGCCCCCAACATGAACAGTGCTATATGCTCTTTTTTCCTCCATATAAAATGAGATATCTCCACTTGGTGGATGATTCCTTACTTCCCTTTCACCAACATCCAAGTAGGCAACATCTCTCAACCATATTTTTCAGTCATTAGAACTTTTACATGCTGCGACCTTAACTGCCTCTTTTTCCACCTTATTTTAGAACGAATCATGAGATCCGCAATCACTCTCCTTGCCTTGGCCGTGCTCATGCAGGTCCGCGCCTGCCGTAAGATTGGTGTCTATGGATGCATCGATGTTAATACCAACTGTGCGCTCTTAAAAGGATGTGTTAACGCCATTGACCCAGTATGTGTCAACTTCCCCAAAAGTCTCAATGACAAAATGAACTCCTACCTAGGAGGCAAAACCCAGATTATGTTCTATGAGCACTATGATTACCAGGGCGCCAAACTGGAAAGTAGTCGATGGAGGGATGTCCCAAATGGAGGCTCATTTCGACCCGCACCCTATGCCAAGCAAGTCAGTTCCGTGATGATAAACTACTACACCAGACGATAATGCCACCAGTGGAGACTTTGTTCCCTTTGAAAAACCACGTCTGGCACAAATACTCGTTGTACATAGCGCCCGTCGTCTGTTGCATCCTTATTTAATTAAATCATTGTTAAACAAAAGTCCCCACGTTACCACTGATGATGAAGTTGCAGCTTGACACAATGTATTTTATCAAGGAATGGAAACGCAAGTGATACATTGACAGTTGCATCTTGTACCATTATACTTGCTATCTCACCACCACACGCGTTGATACTCTGAAAGAGGCGCAACACATAATAAAAGACTACCATACCAGATGATGTGTTCGACCCATATCCCCTCCATGCTGCCACTCGTCTGCTTGCCACCACTGCTATTTCATCTGCCTGCGCTTTATACCTGTCTTTGTTGTTCGTACTGTGCTAATAACTAACCTAGTAGACCCGCCGTTAGTCAATGCTCCTCTCCCCTCTCCTAGAAGAGAGAGAGAGGCATCGTCCAGGGCACACCACGAGGAGGTCGCAGGTTCGATTTATTGTCCCAAACAAAAACAGTTCCCCAAAAACGTCTCCAAACGGAGTGGGCTTGAGAGGACTAGAAAAACAAAACGACTTAGAACTCTGCTTTGGTAATATAGAGCCGGAAGTGTCCTTCTTGGTCAAGTTTGAGGCGAGGAGCACCGACAGGAGGTCGGGTCCTCATTTTTCTCGCAGCCCCACGCAAGAGCACACCTAGTCTTTTGCGTGGGACCAGTATTTTTTTTTTTGTTTATCGTGTTTGTCCAGTTTGTCCAGTTTGTCCTGTGTTTCTGGTGTTGGTCGTTGTCGGTTGTTGTTGATTGTTGTTGGTTATTGTTGGTTGTTGTTGGTTGTTATTGGTTGTCGATGATTGTTGTCGGATTGTGCTGAGAAGGAGAGGGGACGGGTGGGTGTTGTAGCGTGTCGATGGGTGTGGAGGGGATAAAAAAAGAAGAAAGGAAAGAAAGAAGGAAGAGAGAGAGAGAGAGTGAAGCATTGTTGAAAGAGAGCACGCACATGCCAACATTTTTCTTTTTGGAAATGCCGAACGTGTCCATTGAGTCCTTTCCTTGCCTCGCCACCATCGCCAGGTCTTCGCTGACCGTTTTGATCCTTTTAAGTGATGCTGCAAAACCACATTTGATTATCAGTTCGTCAATTAGTAAAAAAAATAATGGCCTAACAGCTTAATTGCACCACGTTGCTTCCGCAATTTCCGACTACCAGCATCCAGATCAATAACACCATCAAGCCTCATACCCGCCGCACAAAGCATGCCAATGTTAGAGCCTCTGACCAATTCGACAGAGATAAAAACCGTCACCACCATCATCACCCTCCAAGATCCGCCAAACGCGAACAGACCGATCCCAGCAACCAGTGACAAACTCGTTCCGAACAACAGAGTTCCAGGCAATTGTCCTCAACCCAGTCCAAACACCCCTCAACATCATGGGCAACACACCAGGGGGGACCTCCATATCACTTGACTCCGACTGCGACTGACAGCGCCGGCAAAGAAGAACCCTCGTGTCCTGATCTCCAAAAACGAACCAATCATTCCAAGGAAATAGGCGATACAGCAGACAGCGCCAGTCCCGAAATTTAGGGTATGGCCAAGCTCGTCCGATAACCGATGGCGAGTTCTTGATTGTTTGGTTAGTAGGCCAACGCACAGACTCCTTGATCCTCCATAGTTGTTGTCGAGTTCCTTTGGCTGAGTGTCGTATATATTGACCATGCCGTCATTAATGCCGACCGCGAGCCGGAGTCCCGTCGAAGTAAATGTTGAGGAGATTGGAGAAGGTCCTTCATCCTCAGACTCGGCGTCCATCTCGAACAGAACATGACCTTGTCCACCATTATGCAGATCACATAGCCGTGCGCTACTGTCCCGACCCGCAGACGCGATCTACCGACCACATGGCGAGTGGGTTAACGTCTCTAACTTCTCGGTATGACCGTCCAGGACAAGATCAACAACTCCGTTCGAAAGTCCTCTTATCAAAGCAGTAGGCCGTCCGCTGGAGGTGCATTCGTCAAAATACACGTTGGTGTGGAGCCGACAACGGTGCAGGAGAAGAAGTACCCCAGCATCGACCGGTGGAGAAACTGGAAGAAAATGCCGGAGCGAGTCCACGGCGAAGCCTCTCGCAACAGTCGCACTTCCGGATCCGGACCAAAGTACTCGACTTTCCACGCCGTCTTATCCTTGAGATGGAGATACTTGACGACGGCCTTTCCGTTCAGCTTCTCAAACATCGCCGATGCAAGCCTCTTACAGCTGTCCACGCCCATAGCCTCAAATACCGCATCCTCTAGCATCTCCAACATGTCGGAATCCTGCCTGGACAAAGAGTTGCTTTGAAGCCGTTTCTTGTTGACGCTGAGCCAGTGGTCGACAAAGACGTCATAGAGTTGGATGCGGACGATTTTGATGGCCGACAGGTCCTGGTTGCCCTTGGTGACATCGAGAAGTGCCTCCAGTGCGAGTGAAAGGAGGAACGGAATCTTGACCAGATCCATGAAGTTGGGGATGGTGGTCAACCTATCCATGTAATCTTGGGTGCTCCAGGTTCTTGGCTCGAGAGGGACATACTGCTCGACATAGTTGTGGATCCGCTCCATGGAGAAAGGAGCGGTGATGGCCTCCTGAAAGACGTTCTGAGGAACCGGCTTGTATCGATCGACAGACTGAGGCCTGAAGCGATCCTGGTATGAGGTTCCGAGGTACTGAGATCTGCAGCCGATGATCACTTTGGTGTCCCACTGTCCAGTCTGGTTAAGAGAGTTGGTCCTGTGGAGGTTGACCAATTGCTGACTTTCGTCGTATCCGTAGCAGATGAGTACGAGTTGGTGATGCAGTTTGAGCTCTATGATCTGATCTTCGTTAAAGTTGTGAAACTGCAGTCGCTTGTTGACCAAGTCGTGCTGAGGTTCGTCGATGGTGGGTAAGTTGATGAAAAGAGGGATCGGCCCTCCTCTCTTGTAGTCCTTCCAAAGCAGGTGTTCCAGGTGTCGATTGAATGTCAACTTGCCAGAGCCAGAATCTCCAAGGATCAACATGACCTGACCGTCACTGGCAAGAAATTTCAGTACCCTCTCCAATAGAGGAAATAGCTCATCATTCTTAGCCAGGAGCGATGGCTTTGCTTGCAGGTAGATGTAAATCGCTCGTTCATTGTATTCTTGGAGTCGCTGTAATCGAAGCTTGTACAGCCTGTACTCGAGGTAACGGATATTCTGGACCTTCGCAAGGATCGGAGAGTTGGCTGAGGTTGGCAGGCGAGATCTCAGCGGGTATGGGTGATGGACCATCGGAGTGTTTTCAGAAGCGAGCTCTTGTTTCAGGATCTGAGAACTGGCGGAAACATTCTGGTCGTCAATAAATATCAACTATCAGCTTGTAGACGATGGTCAGCATCTACACCTTGACATTCTCATCCGTGCCCCTGTCTGGATCCTCTTTATAAAGACGACCAAGTAGTTCGATGACTCGTAGACGCGAGGTAAGGAACCAGACGGAGTCGACCGCAATCACACCTAACAACTGGCAGATACCCCATCGGAACAAGGGGTCACAACGACAGCAGCCATGACATCAAGGACTTTGGAGATTGCCAAGGTGAGGTAATAGGGGTGTCCAATTGACTGTTGGTGTGTGCCTTGCAAACGGATCCTGAGAATGCTGAGGATCTTTACCAGATCGTTGAAGACAAGGTGACTTGGAGAGGATGATTGGACCAACTGGACAAGCCCTTGGAGCAGGTTTGCATTCAGTAGAGGAGACTCCTCAAACTCCGTGATGAAGGAAGATAACAGCTTGCGGTAGGGCTCCTTCTGCAGGATAAGTCCTAGGGCGACAGTATCTGTGATCTTGTTAGTGTCCTTAACAGTGTCCTGGATGGACGCCTCCACCATAGAGTTGCAAGCCACTGCAAACGATCTTGCTCCATAGAGCCATTCTTGATCTCCATCAGCCAGGCCAGCTCACCCTTGTCAAGAGTAGGTTCCTGCTCAGACGACGACAAGATTAGTGACTCCTGGATCAGCAAGGAGTTGCAATAGACTAATTGGTCTGTCCGCTTGATGCGCTGCTGGGGGCGAGGCAGCTAGTCATGGTGGTTGATTCGGGAACATTCTCCATGAGCACACTAAGTGAGACTCCAGGAAGGGCCGGAAAAGGCCTGGACTTGGACTTGGAGATGTCCAGGGACCTGAGCATTTTGTTGTCCTTTCCAAGAGCCGCAGTGGAGGTGGGGTCGTCACCAGTAGCCGCATCATGGTCGACTTGTTTGAGGGGATGAATGGTCATGGTGTCCGGGAATAACGTCTAGCAAAGCCGATGAGCCTGGCAAGAGTAAATGTCAGCAATTGTGGTTGTGAAGCATGCAGGACTGAGTGTAATACTGAGTTACCTATGTTTGTTCTTACCTTGTTGTTTGTATGATTGGTTCATAAGCGGAGATGGTGTTAATTGCTTTGGCTATAAGAGGTAAAAGAAGCATCCGATATGTCGATGCATGCATGTTAGGCCTTTCACCTGCCCTTTTGTTTAACATTGAATCACATTTGTTTCCTTGAGTGAAAAAAAAAGCAACCACTTACTTGCTAAAGAAACGGCGTTCTTGATGGATGTTATCTGGAGGAAGGTGTGTGTATGTTTGTGTTCTTTGTTTCTGTGATTTTCTGTGGAAGATAAAGAAAAGAAAGGCAGGGAGGGAAGGAGAAGCGGGGGAGAGAGAGGGAAGGGAGAGAAGTAGGGTAATTTAGCAACCAGCGCCCAACCTCCTTGTCATTGAGCCCAGCTGATTCTTTGATTTTTCAAGAAGCATTTGGCTTTGTTTTTGGGAGTTATGATAAGTGTTTGTGGTTGTGGTTGTGCGAAGGAGGCAAGGACCACCTCCTCGGTCGGGTCTTTTTTGTTCTGTATGTATTCTGACGGAGTGCTGATTCTGAATGTGATTAATGCAATGATCAATCGGCGATCAGCGAAAGAGATGGCAGAGTGATGTCGAATGAGCCTGTCGGCAAAGAAGGTAATCAGGGGGGAAGCAAAAGAAAGAAAGGGCGGTGAAAGAGGTGAGATGGGTGACTCGGTCCTGCCTGCCTCTCCTTTTTTTTTTATTTTTTTTTTATCTCTCATTGCTCTGGGATATGTGTGTTCGTGTATGTTTGCGCCCATGGCTCTCGTGAAAAGGCCGTGTATGTTGGCCCATTTGCTTCTTTGTCTATTGAAAGTTTCTAGAAGCAATCACCACATTACATATCCCAAAACCAAGTGTTCGTTCCTCACCCCTCGTTGGCGCTCGTCTACTCGTCTCTTCTTCCGTTTCTTCCCACTCTTCCTCCTTGTTTCGAACGTATTGCAAGTGGTGGGGTGGGCTGGTGATGTTTATGGGCTGGGCGACGGTGGTGATTATTTCCATGACGACTCGAGTGATGAATGTGTGGGCGAGAGTGGATGGCCTTGAGTCACATGGAGGTCGAGGCGAGAGTGTGTAGGAGAATCGGATAGTAAGATAGAAAAAGAATTATGTATGTAGCATGTAAGGAGTGACGAATGCGGAAGAAAGAAATAAAGGCAGGAAAGAAGGCAAAACAAGAAAGAAGGAAGAATGAAAATGTAAAATGAAAGAAGAAAGAAAAGAAAGGAAAAGAAAGGAAGCAGGGGAAGGAGATCATTGATGGTGATAAAAACGCGCTTGTCCCATTTGTTCGCGTCCAGGGAATCAAACGCAATCCAGCTTGTCTCAAATAAAACGCGTTCTGTTTGGCCCAAATGTAATGACGTTTGAAACCTATTGTTCGACATCGCCAGGCACCCTCAGTTCCCTGGCAAGAGATAGAGAGCAAAGTACCTGGAGGACCCCTCACCTTTTTTTTATAGTAGCGAGGACAACCATGATTACAATAAAGAAAGCTACATACACAGATGGAGTCCCTGGAAATGTCGAATAATAGACTCCAGCCGTCATTACATTCGGCATCGCCTTTCATTTTACCAGAACGATGGATGCAGCAGAAAAACAGGAGAAAGGGCAAGATATAGCTGTACAACATAATCGACTAGAAGGAGGAGGAGGAACATGGTGGCGGTGGTGGAAATGAATGGGTTCAGCATGAAAAGGACGATAATCAAGTAGTTGAGAAAAGATTGCGCTGTAAAAAAAAAAAAAAAAAAAAAAAAAAAAACGATTGAGCAGGCGGAAAGCACCGGCAAACACGAAAACGAATTGCTGGATCCGATGACGTGGAGGAGGCGAGAATGGGTGGCGGACATTACGCATAAAAAGAATGCAAAACACGAAACTACAAAAAACCGTAGATAGATTTTAAACTGGTAGTTTTTATTCTATGCTCGATAAACAATAATGTGGGCGAACAAAGACGAGATCGCCTAGAACTATAAGGGCATTTGAGAAAGGGTGAAAAGAATAAGTGATAACTAAGAACAAAGAGAAGAAAAAAATAACACGACGAATCCAAGGTCAACAAGAAAATAACGAAAACAAAAGAAAAGTAAGGGTAGGAAGGTGTATGAACAAGGAGGGTGACATGTACAATGGCGGAGGAGGATGATGTTGTGTGATGGGTAGCAGGTTTCCAGTGAAGCAACTCCTGAATCCTTTGGGATAAGGCAAGTCTGTGTCGCCGCTTCCTGACAGAGCCATCAAACCAAAAATGATCTTTACAGCTCGCTAAATGGATAAGACCGATCAAAATGAAAAAAGGGGTCAGTGCCAGCTTGAAAACAGGAAGGAGCGAGTTAGGCGACGAAAGATCAGACAGGACGTACGTGAAGATGAAGAGGTTGTTGGTGGCAGCCACGGCGATAGAGTTCTCTCTCGGGTGCCAAGAAGCGTGGAGGATCTTCTTGGTGAAGTCGATCGACTCGACATTGATATCGTTCTTGCCGCTCTTGTTGTTGACGCGGGGCATCATCTTGTTTCTGGCCGATCCCACACGCTTGGCCTTGAATGCAGACTTGTCCGCCTGCAGTGTCACATCGTTCTTGCCGTCGCGGTCGTAGATGTGAAAGTTGTTGTTGTATGATCCCGTCAACACATTGCTAGTAGGGAAAGGAAAGAGAGAGTCGAGTGGAGTGTGCTCATGTTAGAACTGCTGTAGGTACCAATAGTATATATGCATATAGGGAGCCTACAACCCGAGGTTCCAGGGATACGTACTTTCCGTCGCCACTGAAGGTGCACTCAAACTTGTCAAAGATGCAATCGTTTTCGTAGAGGTCACACAGCTTGTTGCGAAGGTGATCGTGGATGTTGATGGTCTGGACAGGTCGGCTCTCCATGTTGATATCCCAGACCTTCAGTGTAAGGTAGTCGCGTGAGAGGATGTATCGTCCATCCTTGCTGAACTTGACATCCGAGATCGAAGAGATGATCTCCGAGAAGAATGACTTGTTGCTTGGATCCTCTTCTTCCTCAAACACTAATTGCAGCATAGAAAAGAGATATGTTAACACAGAGTGTCCAAGAAGGTCGCATGAATACATTCAGAAGTGTCCTTGTGTCCTTACGCTTGGCATGCTGGTCGCAGAGGGCCGACTCTCGCATGTCGCTGAGTTTGATAGTTCCTTTGCTGCTGCTGTACATGAACAGGTTGCAGTGGACAGGGTGGAATTCGGCAGCGGTAATGACCTCCGTGAGCTCCTCCATGTTCACTGGCTTGATATCCACAATGTCTATAAGTACAAATTGCAATTGAGATAACATATGTTGGTATAGGGCCTAGTTTCCACATTGTATGCACTGCATCCAATGTCAATGTCACATCCAGTCCAAAGAGATAGTCCACGTACTGAAGCTTTGGTCGCTGATGTTGAGGTTCCAGAGGTTGATGCGCAGGTCATCTGCTGAGATGTAGGTCTCGCCGTCCGAGTTGACCGAGATCGAGTTGATGTGGTAGGCATGGGCGTTGGCATAGACTTTGCGTGGCACAGCGGCGACAATAGTATCGTGGTGGGTCAACTTTGGCAGCCTGAGGGGTGTACCAGGAACGGGAGCATGCTGTCCATCTCCATGGTTGTTCTCAGAGACAACCTTGATGGATTTCTCAAACACCTTCCACAGCTTGACGGTCTTGTCTAGAATGATCCAAAGGATGATGAAACAAAGCATTAGAACCAACAGTCGCTAGATAACCATACTCAGTGTGCAGCAAAGGACATCCTGCCTACTAGACCTTACCGTTCGTCGAGAGCAAAAAGTGCGCCGAGTTCTGACGCCGGCACCACTTGATCTTGTTGATCTTCTCCTCGATCTCCAAACTCTTCAGGTAGTCGAACTCGGGCTCATGCGACTGGAACTCGGTGTGGAACTTGTACTCGCATCCTTTTTTCTAGAAAAAGGGTGGGAGAGCGGTTCATAATAGAGTTGCCTCCGATGTCACTACAAGTTGTCTTCGTTATGTGCTTTTCGTAAGAGTGCAGTCGAAAAAGTAGTCTGTCGTTCTCAGTCAATTCAAGGACGTACGCTTTCATTTCGCTCGAACAATACGACACGACCGCCCTTGTCTCCTGTGGCGAGATAGTCTCCAGTGTGGTCGAATTCCACCGTCGAAATGATGTCAGCTATATGGCAATTGGAAAGGAAGCAAAAGTCAGAAAAGCTGTTATGGTATTGATGTGTATACTATGTCCCTCGGAGTGTCAATGGTGTAGTATACAAGGCAAATCCCTAGCCCAGTTGTCTTTTTTTGTACACACAAAACGGCAAACAGTCTCCCACGCGTCCTCACAGACGATTGGCAAACACTCTCACATTCACACGGACGCATGAACGCGCACGCGCTCGCGCAAAAATACTTCTTTTTCAGCGCGTTCCAAGTCGTACACATATTGCTGACCCCATTGTAAATGTGGTATTGAATAGGGCATTCGGTTCCTCTTTTGTCGTTCATGTGTTATCAAAAGAAGGCAACTGACCCCTTCCCATCAAGATACAGTCACTGAATCCTTTGTATCAGGCCTCTCCTCCAGTCTTCATCTGTATCCGTGTTTTGAAAAGAGAGTGATGGGACACCCTCCTGACCAAGATGTAGCCTCCGAGTCCTTGTGTTCCTGTCCTGCCTCTCTCTCATTCTTTCCGTATCCCGCCCCCTTGAACCCCTTTGGAACAACATAAGAAACAACATACAGACGCGCGTGCCGCGTGGTGTAGAAGAGAAGAGGGGGTCAGAGTGAGGGGAGGAGGGGGGGGGGGGTTGGGGAACACATGCAACTGAAGTGGGTAGAGAGACACAAAGGCCGCAGAAAAGATAAAGGAGAGCGCCGAGAAGGATTGACAACAGGGCTGTCTGCCTGTTTGTCCGTGTTTGTAAGTGTGCCCGTTATTATTATTTTAGTTCCCGTTTGTTACCCCGCGCGGAACAAGGGGGTGGTGTTGTTCAGATCCCTGTGTCGAAGGGTGCGGGATGGGCTGGATTACGCGCAGGCAGTAACAAGGCTCGTCATTAAAAGTGTCGAGATGACGTTCCAAGTGTGCGTGTCTGAGGCGGTATGTGTATGTTCATCCCGTGGGTGTCACGCTGTCTGATGTTGTTGTTATGGTGTAGGTCTGCTATTTGGTGCTGTCGTTGATCCTTTGGTCATCATCGCGTTTTCCGGTCTGCTGCCGTCGCTTCTTTTCCTCCCTGTTCACACGCCATACACCACTGGACACAGAAAGTCATATTCAGCCCCCCATCCCTCACTGAGATTATCTTCCACCCTGTGAGCACTTTTGTAGTCCTTTGAGTTGGGGTAAGAGTACTGTCCGAGTTGGCGGCTAGTTACAAGTACAAGCAAAGAGTCGTGCCTTGCTTAAAACTGACCGAAGCAAGTTAAGGCAACAACGATTGTCCTCCCTTCTGATCAAAGAGTTTTTGTTTGCAATCGTCGTCGTTGTCCTGTGGTTTTGTTTGAATTCTGCCATCACCCCATCAGTTTTTTTTTGTTTAGGTGTGCTCAACGTATCATTTTTTTCCTTTTCCCCTCGTCTTCGCAAGAGTGATAAACGAGAACAGGGTTATTACCTTCGGTGATATCCTCGACCTCGCCCTTGTCGCCGAAGCACTGTGCAAACTTCCATGAATTCTCTCCTTCAGCAGCCATTATTATTGTTCTTGTTTGTGGTGGTGGTGGTGGCGGTGTTGTTGGTGATAGTGCTCAATTGGCGAGAGAGAGAAGGGCGGTAGACGTGATACGGTTAGTCGCGTGAATTTTTTTTTAGGAAGGCGGTGTCGAGAAGAGTCCAGGTGCGGTAAGTGTTGAAGGGGGGTGTCGAAAAAAAAAAGTGTGTGGTGGTGAGGGAGTGGTTGAGAGATGTAAGTGCAAGGATTAGATTCTAAGAAGCGAGGGGGGGGGGTGTTGTAAAGAAGCGGAAGAAGAAAAAGAAGAAAAAAGAAGATGATGGTGGTTGGTCAGTTGAGCGAGAAAGTGATGAGTTAGCCACTGGACGAGGAAGCAGGAAGAAAGAAAAAAAAAAAAAAAAAAAAGCTTTCTGTCTGTCTGTCTGGTGTCTGATGTCTCTGGGGTGGTGTCCAACCTGACAGGCAAGGGTGACTGTTAATTCGCACACTTTGCTCTCTTTTACTCCACTCCCGCGCGTTGTTGGTCAGCCAGCCAGCCAGCGAAAGACAAGCGAGGAGCATGACTCGTCCTCCTTCTTTTTTGACTCCTCACTCACCACAAACACGCAATACACCCCCACCCCACACTCTCCCGCTGACTCTTCATCCTCTTTGGCGTCTTCTTTTCCCTCGCCTTTTATTCTCTCGCTCACACTTTTCATTATCCATCAGGTACATCCTATCTATTACCTTCACTATCCTATCAACAACAAGAAAGAAGGGTTCCCTTTGATCAGTCAAAAAGAAACGTTTCCCAGGTCTCAAACTCTGTCTCGGGCTCCCTACACTCCCACCCTTTCCTTCTCTTTTCACACCTTTGCTCTTGCCGCATGAACACCTCATATTTACAACTCCTTCTTCTTCTCTATGGACATTTCACCACACTCGGAATGACCTCTCCTCGATCCAGCGTGACCCAACAAGAAGGGTGAGACAACGCGCGAAAGGGGGAGAATGGAAGTGTTGAGGAGAATACATCACAGGAACGCGTGGAAAGGACGCGTCGCGTGAAGGGGAGAGATGACGCGTCAATGGACTCTTTTTTTGTTCATGATTGTACCTTTTTAGAGCTTGTTGGTGGTCGCTTGCCTGAGAACTAAGGAAGGTGTTGGAGGCTTTAAATATGCGGCAAGAGTGAGTGTGAATGAGTTCGAGGTGAGTTTGGGGCAGCAAAAAAGGCGATGAAGAGAGAGAGTGTAAAGGGGAGTAAAGAAATGAATGGAAGTATATGGTTGATGAGTGAATCAGAGAGAGAGAGAGAGTGAGAGGATGTGTTTTTTTTGTGCAAGGGTGTAAGGGTGTAAGGGTGTAAGGGTGTAAGGGTGCAAGGGTGAGTGAGAGTTGCGAGAGTTGTGAGAAAAGAAAAGGGGAAAGTAGGAGAGGAAGAGAAGGAAGGAAAAAGATAAAGAAGGGCGACGCCGGTATCGGATAAGCATGACCTGGGTCTCTTTTCCTTCCCTCTCTCCCTCTCAACAGTCAGCTAGTTCAGGTCCCAAGCAATTTGGCCCCTTCCTTCTCTTCTCTATCAACGTGTCTTCTTATGCTTTCCCTTCGTTGTCGATTGTGTGCCTGGCAAGCGTCGTTTTCTGTCAGTGACCCTCGCACAAAGAAATCCATTCTTCCCTTTTCCCTCCGATTTGCATGAACGGCGGGAAAGAACGCTGCCTGGGCCCACGCCAATCATTCAATCGCATACACATGGCGTGTGTGGAGTGGAGGACCGTTGTGTGAAAATACCAGATTATTCATTCTGACAGCTCCTTCTTCCTCTTGGTAAAGATGAGATGAGATGAATAGAATAATATCATCACAGCCACTTACAACAGGCAGAGAACAATGTCCGAGTTGGATAACATGTGCACCCTGTTTGTTTATCGTCCAAGCTGGTTAGGATAGTCACCTGGATTCTTTTCTGAATTGCATCGCGTGACAGACATTGCACATGGTGACAATGTCTGACTGGTTGGCAGAGCAAGTAACCCTTGTCGCCCATTTCGCTATGACTCCCCTGCCTTTTGTCGATCCATCCAACGCACAATGCATAAACGGGGTTGTACTTGTGTGTATTGTATATGCATTCGATGCCATGTCCATGCCATATTTATCAGTCTGTCGTCATTGCTTTCGCCCTCTCATGTTCACACACTTCACTTCGCCATACCTTGTTGTTCTCCTCCCACCGTGTTCATGTTTTTCCTCCCACGGTCTGTTCAGTGGAGAGAACCATCGGTTCTTCAGTTGGAGGGATATGATTGGACGGGACAAGGCTAGACACCCACAAGCACACACTAGTCTCAGGTTCAAAGGAGAAACGGCTCAGGTACCGAATGATGATGACCATGACAAGACAAGAGCCTGTTCATGGTGGTGAGTCCATCAGATACCGATGACGGATGTGGCTGTGCATTCAACCATGACATATAAAAATAATAGAAAAGATAGGAGGAAAAGGAAAATGGTTAAACGGAAAAAACTAAAAGGAACTTCTTCAAAAGGCTAAAAGTGTTGCCGAACAACGAACAGTTCGATGCGCACATAGAGTAGACACGACCCTACTTCCTCTTGCGGAGACGTTACGCCCTCCTTCAATACAAACACGAACTTGAGCATCACTCACCATCTTGTCGCCTTCTTGCTCTCTTCTTCTTTTTCTCTCACTCTCTCATTCTCCTCACATTTCCTTCTTTCCTCCTCTCATGGCAACGACAGTGACCTCCCCGCAGACACTGCGCTCCATCTACCTCGAGGACAGGTCCGCACGCGCTCATCCACCCTCATCCACCATTCAACTCACTCCTCGATTCGACAGCATTACCAAGCAGCCCATCATCCTCTGGAATGACATCACGAAAGTCTTCAAGGGTGCTCTCTATGTCCTCTGTCAGGGTGCTTCAATTCCCTTCTTGGTCAACGACCAATTCGAGGAGTATGTTATCACCTGTTGTACTTTAGTTTGTTCAATGGGATGTCTCACAACATAGAACTAACTAGTTTCATGTATCGTGTTTGTATCAGCCTAACACCGCTGAAGATTGCACTCTACCCAGGACAAGTCCTGGATGTGGTCCTCGAGAACCCGAACCCCCCTGGCTCCGCTCTCACCATGGACGCTATGCAACTACCAATGTTCTCACCAGAGGCCAAGGCCGTCCTCACTCCTTCTCCTAAAGCACCACAGGACTATAACAACTACGACACTGGCGATATCGAAGAGAAGGTCCAAGCATTGTCGATCGCGCCATCTGCCATGGGGCCACGCAACCCTCAGACTGTACCAGAGGGGAACACTGTGTACAACAACACCTTCAACAGCCCTCCAAGTTTCGGTGAAGCGAGCGAGAAAGTCAACAATGGTCCACACAGCACAACCAGCACAACGGCAGATGATTATTCCCACGCCACACCTCACCGCAATCCACAGCAGCAGTACCCACAAACACAACAACTACAGCTGCAACAGCAACAGACGATGGAGACATATATGCCATATATCCCGAAGACACAAATCGAGCAACATATTCAACGACTCGCCAACAAGGTCCTGACAACACGGTGCCACGAGTCTGCAGGACCCAGCATGTTTATTGTCATTCCTACAGCGACACGCTCTTGGGGAAAATCTGTCCCTTCTATGGACCGACTCCGTCTCTTTTGGCTCTGTGAATGTACAGTCCACAGCAACCCACACCCACAACAGCACGGGCCATCCTTGGCTTCGTTACGACCACACCTGTACCACCATCCTGCACTGTACATCAACACTGCGGACGAGTTTATCGAAAAGTATGGCGCCTACATGATGTTGAACCTCTGGATGTTTACCCGTGATCGCACTGGCAGGACCGACAGCAGTGGGCATAGGATCGACTACTCGGAAGGGCTGAAAGTCTTGCAGCAGGTACTGGGGCTCACCAAAGAACAAGTCGAGCTTCATCTGGACACTATGATCTCTCGTCTGGAGTTGGTAATCCCTTCCTCTACATTCGATAAGCAACAACAGAAACCCACGCCCCCAGAGCCGGCCTTGGAGGAGTATGAGGACGAGGACGATTGTCGAGTCAGTCTTATCAGCCCAGACACCGTCATACTGGACGCCGCTGGTCTGCAGGAACTCAGAAAGATGATCGCCCAACCCGACCTCATGGGCTCCTTAGGCAATAATGGCACCAGCATTTTTGTCACCAGTGACGAACAGGCAGCATTGGCAGGGCACGATTTGTACAAGTCTGTCGCCAAGGACTCGATTGCCCAGTGGATCTGTCAGTCACACTACTCGGAGCATCATCCAACTTTTGACCCCGAAGAGCTCAACGCATCAGTGATGAGGATCGGTGAATATACGCCTCAGCCCAACCTTCTCGGATGCCACCTCCAATCCAGCTCCGACTTTGAGGCTCTGATGAAGTCCAAGCTGGTCCAGTCTGGATGTTTGATCGAGCTGATCCTTCAGTTCTCTGAGGCCTATATACCAACGCTTAAGGATTGGAGGATGTTCCGGGAAGCACTGCGAGGGATCCGGTTGATGCACCTTGTCCTTGTGGGACCTGGCCTTGAGGCGATGACAACTGCGCAGGTGAAATCGGTTTTCCGGACTCTTCTGGATCTTCAGCTCGAGTCGCTCAGTGTCGGAAATGCGCAGTTCTTGTTGAAGCATGTTCAGGAACTGTGGAACACCAGCAAGGAGCAGACATATGGACTGCGTTATCTCTGGTTGTCGGTTGAGGTACAGGCTACGGCGGAGGATCGGGACGCGATGACAAACGGGTTTAACAACTTGATTCTCAACTCTCCGGACCTGCAGTCTGTCACTCTCGTATGGAACGATGGGGCGCCGTTCGGTCAAGGGGAGCTATTGTTGTTGGCGCTGGCGTACAGGTCGTACATCTTCCGCAAGTCGCTCAAGGTCGCAATGGGAACCCAGGCCGAGAACTTTGAGGCGACGATGGATATGGGCAATTATTACGGGTCCGAAATGACGAGCACCCGACTCTTCGAGGCGAGTCAACACTTTTTGGCATTAACTGGTCAATTGCAGGTTTTGGCGATCACGGAGCCGATTTCCGGGTTGGGGATGGTTCAGGTTCCGTTGGATACGACGAAGAGACAGTGGGACCATTGTGTGGATCCGGATGTGGTGTTGTTTAGGATCCTAAGCAAGAATAAGGATATGAAGCGGTTGAGTTTGGCGTGTGAGATGGGGTATTTTGAGGTCATGGCAGGGATTGTGGATCAGATCCGGAGAGATGTTTTGAAGGGAGGTGGGGAGTGTGAGTTGAAGTCATTGACGTTGGAGGATAAGGCTCAGCAAGCCAAGAAGACTTTTACGTGGTAAACCACGCGACAAGAAATAAAAGGTTTGCCACCAATTCGGAATGATGGATTCCTGATTCTGACCCTACGCGTTTGTCTATGAAAGAAAAGGAAGAAAGTGAGAAATCGGGGTCAACGGGTCTTTGTGTGTGTTGCATATGACCTCCCTACGTGTATGCAGAGTCAGGCGAGCAACGTCTGCGTGCTCGTTTTGTTGTTTATTTCCTATGCCGGTCTGGATTCGAACATTACTCACTGACAGATGAACAAGGTTTGCAATCATAAGCTAAATGGGCGGTGCATGAAATAGGGAATAGGCAAGGATGGTCGAGATCAGTTTGTCAGGAAGGATGAATTAGCCAAAGTCCTCATTCCACCCCGTTGGTCCTTTGTTCATTCTTCTTTGTCCTTTGTCCATTCGTCTTTGTCCTTTGTAATCTTTGTTTTATTAATGGAACAGGTCTTGATTTCACGTCGTCTTTTCTTTCCTTCCTTCCTTCCTTTCCTCCTACCTTCCTTACCTCCAACTTTTTTGATTCACTGATTCCCATCTTCTTACTCTCATGCCTGCACACATCACAACCACCATGCACGACTCAAACGACAACACCAACAACAACACCAGGACACGCCCTCACTCATACTCCTCTCACTCGCGCTCACTCTTACATCCACAGACACAGCGGCCCCTTTCCACGTCCGCTCTTTCAACTACTCCAGTCGTAGTCCTGGCTGGCAAGAAACACCCTTCCACCCCACCACCTCCTCCCTTGCCTCTTCGATCCTCCCGGCGTCCCAACTCTGCGATCGGCCACGGGATCCGCCTCTTTGACAACAGTCCTTCTTCCTCTACCTCCTCAGCTTCTTCTCCTATGCCACACACGACTGGCTTGACGCACGGTGCCACCAGCAACCCCCATCCCAGTGGCAACACTCAAACTTCTTTTCACCAACAACATCACAACCAGGGGCAACAGGGTCATGGTGGTCGCATTTCTCACAAGGAAAGTCAGGTCCTGGATGACATTGATCGCGAGGCGTCGAATGTGTGCGAGTTCATGGAAGGTATATTTCAACAATCGAATCTATGCTCAAAAACAAATCATGCAGCAAAAAAAAAAAAAAAAAAGATCTATTTTCTTACTTTTTTTGACTTTGAGAGCAGCAAACGCACATCCAGGCGTAATAGAACCTTCATGTTATTTTTACAGCCCAGGTCGCTGTTTCTGTCACCATGCGAACGCACTTTCACAGGGAAACAATGTCAATGGTCTGTGCATACCTCTTCTTCACACTTACACCAATTCCCTTGTTTATCTCACTTCACAACTAGATCAGCTGTACTTCATGTGGACAGCAACAAATCCGATCAGCACTCGTCGGACAACCTACTTGACCATCGACAACTACCTCCAGTACACCGCATTCTTCTCAGACTTTGGACCATTCGATATTGCGGATGTCTTTCGATTCTGTTGTCTCATGAAGGAGCGCCTAGAGGTAAAACAGAAAGCTCCCTCCTTACCAATGTTCTGACATATTTTACGGAATTGCTCATTGTTTTTTTCCATACCATGTGGAGAAGGAAGGGGACGGATAGACAGACAGAGAGGGGAGCAAATGGCGCCTCCTTGATGTAGATTCAAGGATGCTTTCTCGCATTTGGACGATCCACTGACAATACTATCCTTCCTTCGCTCTCTCCTTTCTTTGCTTTCTTTACTTTTCCACATTGTTCACGTCATTGTTGTGAGTAGCTCGCAAGGTCACAGAAAAAAGTCTTATGTCTACATACCAAGCCAGACGACACTAAACGTGCAAACGCCGCATTTGCACTCTGTTGCTATATGGTAAGGAAGGAATCCCCGCGAAATGAAAAAAAGGCACACATTCATAGAAACCACAGCAGCCACCATCATCATGCTAATAACGACATTATTTGTTTATGTTTTGCCCCTATGCTAATTGGAATAGATGCTGCTGCATGATATGACACCGGAGGAGGCGTACGTGCCTGTCGAGTACATATATCCATCTATTACCTCATTTCGGGACGCAGGATGTGGACCTGTCACATACACGCTCTCTATCTTGGACTGTTTGCGTGGACTTCGCAAGGGGCTGGACCAAGGGTTGCTCAGGCTGGACAAGTTCAACGTCAAGGAGTATGAGCACTATGAGCGCGTGTCGAACGGAGACTTCAATTGGATCACGCCGTTCTTTATCGCTTTTGCAGGACCAAAGGACAAGATGAAGCGAGAGGCGCTTTTGAGGCACGATGCTATTAGAGCAGCAGCAGGGATAAGCGCGCCTTCGGAGGAAGTGTCAGACGAGACGGATTCTTCTTCCAAATTCTCGTTTTCGTCATCTTCATCTTTATCCCAAAAGTCGTCGGCAGAGTCGTCGCGGTCATCTACGCCATCTTCAACGCAGTCATCGACGGGGTCAGAGATGTCGATAGGATCTGGATCACATTCAGAAGGATCGTCATCGTCAGGGTCAGGAGAATCACAGCAGAGCCAAGAAGTCACCCAAATGGAGTGTCCTCTGTCCATCTCTATGGAAGCCTCCTCGATCGATGCCAAGTCCTCAACAACTCCACCCCAACAGCAGCAGGTGTATGACTCTGATACGGACGTTGCTCAGAGAGTTAAGAGCAAAAGGCAGCGAACGCGGCTCAACAAGAGTTTCCGGAGTGTCCTCGGCTACTTTTCGACCCATAACGTCCAGTGCATCATTCGTCTGAACGACAAGACCTACGACAAGGCTCACTTCACGGCTCGCGGGATCGAGCATGTGGACATGATCTATCCGGACGGGACTTGCCCGCCTTGGTACATTGTTGAGCGGTTCTTTGAAGTTTGCGAGAGGGTTGCTATGGATCATGGAGGAGTCGTGGCGGTACATTGCATGGCAGGTTTAGGGCGGACGGGCACATTGATTGGTGCCTATTTGATGAGGCACTTTGACATGACGGCTCGTGAGACGATTGCGTTCCTGAGGTTGATGCGACCGGGCAGTGTTGTGGGGCCGCAACAGAACTGGTTGGCGGAGAACGAGTGGCGGATCCGTAAACGGGATTATCAACACCCGCCGTCCCAGCAACCACAGAATGGGCAGAGTATGCAGAGTGTGCAGGAGGAACGGCAGAAGGAGATTCATGATCGATTGGTGAAGATACAACAGTCGCATGGGTTGACACCGAACAGCACAAGGACTTCGACGACGACGACACCTGCAGGATCGACAATACATACCCCTGGGACAAACTATGAGCAGGTGTTCTCGAGAGCCAACTCTGAGGGATTGGAGTCAACGTGGTCTGAGGTTGCAGACGAGGTGGAAGGTGGGCCTTTGACTGTGCTGGATGGTGATGATGATGACGAGGAAGAGGCAGAAACGAGCGGGTTCGAGGACATGACGACTACTGAGGATGAGAGCATGGAGGAGAGCAACATGGCAGAGGACACTGATGAGGATGAGGAGGGAGGCGAGTATGGACTTCACTGGGATCGAACTTCTCATTCTTCAAGCTTTTTAAGGCCATCTCCGTTGAGGGCACAGCATTCGCGTCGTGTTTCGATTGGAAGTCTCGACAGTCTCACGTCTGCGTTTGAGCGGGACTCTGTCACCGATGACGGCCAGGGTGCAGGTGATGGAGATGTTGATATGGGCGGGGTGGATATTGCTGCTGCAACAGTTGCTGTGACACCAGAACTTGAGCAGCCGTCCTTGTTGAAGGAGCATATCGGAAACTCAGACTATATCATCCCAGTTCAACCCAGGAAACAGGACCTCTCCCCACTCCGTGATCATGACCACCACCACGAGCAACACCATCACCACCAACGACAGGCTAGTGGCAGTTCTACTAGTTCACAGGTTCTGAGCGACACTACTACCCATCGAACCCACAGCGTCCACCATGGCCACCACCACCGATCCAGCGGGCAACATGAATACCATCATCATGACGACAACATTCGCACGCCAGGAGGAGGAGCAAGAAGACTTTACGGCAAGGATAGTTTTTTGAGTCCCTCCGATTCGTCTTCGTCTTTTGCTGCTGCAGTACCCTCCGTAACTACGTCGACATTATTTCCTTCTTCAGTCCCAGCCTTCTCTTCAGCCTCGCAGGGGAGTATTATCGAGAGTGACAGCGGTAGCGATGATCAGGGTCATTTTGGCCAGGGCCCTTCTTCTGACGGAAGATCAGCAGCGATAGGGGCGTCTGCGCTGGCACATGTTTCGAGGACTGGTGGTGGTACGATATCCACAGGAGGACAAGCATCCACAACTGGAGAAACAGCAACAAAGGTAGCGATAACGACAGGGAGGGGAAACGCACAGGGCACATTGCATCATGACCGTGCTTCTCTTCTTTCACCTTCCCCCACTGTTGAAGGGACTAATGACGATGCTCCCGGTCCGTCTGAATTTGAAATCGGAGAGAATGCATCACAGGCTGCGACAACTTTGCCGAATGCATTATTGGTCGCGCCCTCTGCTGATAACGATAAGGCTGAGGGAGTAGATAACCACCAGTCTCATACGCACCCACAACAGCAGCACCAACGCCATGGGCATGGTCAGGATCAGCGTCGCAGTCCGAGTGCTTATCGACGTGAGGACAAGCAGAATGAGCTTGAAGAGGAGGAGGATCATCGTCATGTTTTGGCTCAATTGCCACACCCTCCTCCTCCTCCTCACCACCACCCTCCTTACAAGCAGCACAAACAGGAGGTGCTTGACAGTCCGCCGTCGCTCAACAGTCCTGGAGGCAGTGGAGAAGGAGGTAGTACCGAGGAGGAGGAGGAGGAGGAACAAGGGGATAATGGCAGTGGAAGAGGAATGAGGGAGCTGAGTCAAGAGACCCGTGCAAGTAGCGTCGAAATGTGTCGATAAAAGCTCATTCTTTGCAAGATTTTTTTTTTTTTTTTTTTTTTTTGGGGCGTTGATGAAAGAAAAAGAAATAATGCAACCCTTGTTTTCTTTTTTGCGAATGTTCTTTTTTTTTTTTTTTTTTTTTTTGGTAAACATGGGAGAGGGGGTGTGCATACACTCCATGCATTACATGGCATGGGGACAGAAAATAGTTCTTCCCTATCGCTGAATGCATTTTTTTTTTTTTTTTTTTTTTACCGCTGATTGTTTTTCCTCTCCTTTTGTTTTAATGATGTCCGTGGCCCCTCCTCCTTGCCACGGGAGAATTGAAAGGAAGGAGGATAGGGAGATTAGAATGGGAGGACAATGAGGAAGTAGGCGACACATATCGGGGATTCTCAGATGTGTTAAGGTTATTTAGGGTGTTTCGTTTAGTTGTTGGAACACCTTTCGCACAAGTGAAAAAAAAAAACACCAGTTGCCCAAAAGAAAAATATTAGGGAGAGAGAGCCATGCACAGCACACAGAAAAGAAACAGAGAAGATACCCCCACTTCCATCCTCCTCCGCCTCGTGGCAACAACCAAAAGAAAAAGAAAAAAACATTGGCAAAAATGATGCTAGAAAGGACAAACCCACGAGAAAAGAAAGGAAAAAAAAAAAAAAAAAAAAGGACAAAGATGCGGGTTAGCTGATACGATTGATTGATGGATTGATTGATGATATATATATAATTTTTTTTGTTTGGTTTGATGGATTGGTTCAAGACAAGAATTGACCCATGCGATGGTGCTAGGACAGTTCATCGATAATGCAATTCGATCGTAGAACGATCTCTAGAAAAACAGCGGGATGCAGTTGGTGAGAAACGTATGGTAGGACAAGGGGGGGGATCTAATTTACAAGAAGATCGCGATGGTGAGAAAAAGCGGAGAATTGATCGATGATGAGCATTAAGAACATCTCAGAATATGATGAGTGGTGGTACTGTACAAGATTTATTTTTTTTAGTTTGTTGCACTTTGGCTTTGTAAGGACGGGAAGAAGCAAGAAGAAAAAACGAAGGGTCTATTAGGGGACGGAGAAAAAAGAAAGAAGAACGAAACAGGATAAGGAAATGGGGTGACAGAGAAGAAAGTGAAAAGAGAAAAAGAGAAAAAGAGAAAAAGAGAACAAGAAAAGGTACAGGGGTGGGTGTGGAGGGTATATGTAAGTAGTTCAATGGATAAGGAAAGAAAGAAAAAAAAAAAGGTAACCCAAGGGAATGGATTTGGATCTAGCGACAGGCAACCATTTGGGTCTGGAGGGTCTTTCGCCAGTTACTGGTCTGAAGCTGCACCTTCTGCTTGATCTCCATCATACGCGCCTCCTCCTCTTCCTCCTGTTGACGCTCTTGAAGGGTCCGGACTGGAGGAATAGGAGGCCAGACTTGGAGGAGATCGCGGTGCATCAGGACCTTGCGCATCATCAACTGGCAACGACACTCGCTGCGCTTCGAGTGGGCGGGGACAGGCGAGGCCAAGGTGGGACGGTCCTCGTCGAGATGGACAATGAACGACTGACGGCTCGGCAAGAACTGCGACGGCAACAGGTACTGGATCTTGGGGATAAACTGGAGCTCGTACAGACCGTATTCGAATTGATCCTGTCCGTCTGTCGAAGGGTCGAGGAGAGGCGAATATGGTTCCAGGAGTTCAGTTGATTGATGCTGTTGGAGAGGAGATGACGGAGTTTCTTCAAAAGAAGAGCGAGTCGAGGATGACGACGATGGAGGTGAGGAAGTTGGCGAAGAGGCAGTGGAGGAGTTGTTTGTGGCAGAGGCAGCAGAGGCAGTAGAGGAAGGGGGACTGGTAGCAACAGCAGAAGAATCGTCGGTTTCCTCCTTTTCGATTCTCTCTCCGTCCATACCGCCAAGAGAAGTCGTGGTGGTAGCAGAGGAAGGAGGAGATAAGGGGGCAATAAGGTCGTCCTGCGCACGGTTTTCTTCCGTCGTCGCAGAGAAAGAGGAGATATCATCGCCGGCCTCTTCATGATGCTGACTCTCCTGGGCTGCCCCCTCGTGCTCCTTCTTGTCCACTTCTTCCTCCCACTCGTCCTTATCGTTCCCGCGTCCTCCTTCCTCCTCGTCGTCCAGGATGGCCAACTCCTTTTGTTGTTGCTCGCTTAAGACATTGTTATCATCCTGATCCTTATATTGCTCATCCTCGCTTGTAGTGGCGGGTGCGGAAGTCATGGGCAGAGAAGACGCCATGGAAGGCTGTACAGAAGCGTCATTCCCACTGTCGGACGACGATGATTGGTCGGTGGAGGAACTCGAAGAAATATTCACGACCGTGGTTGCATCATGCACAGGGTCCTCCGCGCCGTGACCCTCTTGTTGTTGTTGTTGCTGTTGCTGCTGTTCGACAGCAGATTCGACCCCTTCGTCCTCCTCGGAATCGACCCATTTCGGGTACAGGTACGACGTTGCAGGGCCCAAGACTGGTTCCACAAAGATGTATCTTCGCCCACGTTTCAAGTGGGCGACTCCCTCGCGGATAAATGTCTTCTTGGCCATGTAATAGTCGCCCTCTGGCCAGACCAAATCGTGGGCTGCAGCCCAATCCTGACCCGCCGATACAATCGATCGCTCTTGCTGCTCTCTTTCTGCATCATCCGATGTCACTGTTGTTGTTGTTGTTGTTGTTGTTGTTGCTCCGGCAGTGGCGGTGGTTGATGTGTTGTTTGTCTCCGCTGTCTCCGACTCTCTTGAGGATGGCAGAGAAAGGACGTTCTCAGAGAGGGCCCAGTCAAGGAACTGATGTGCGAGAGCACTCTGGAGCTGCGTGAGCTGGATATTGGAGGCGGGTGGTTGCCAGTTCGCGAGGGAGTCCGGCAGGTCTCGATCCTCTTCAATTGAAGAATCCTGCTGCTGTTGGGGGGACGCGTATGGTTCCTCGTGTTGCTCCTGGTGGACGTGTTCTTGCCGGGGGTGGTTGTTGTCGTGGTGCTGGATTGGGTTGACTTGAGGGTGTTGTGGATGGGGGTGGGAGAGAGGAGAGTTTGAGTAAGAGTGAGAGGAGTGAGGGGAGGTGGTAGAGGGATAGTGAGAATGAGAGAGGCGAGGGTCGAAATTACTGTTGTTGTGGTCCTGAGAGCCGAAGAGTATGGAAAGCTGGGTTGGACTTGAACGTGGTCGAGGTGTTGGTGTTGAAGGAGTCGACTTTTGGACGAGGGCGACTCGTGGAAGGAACTCTTGTAAACAACAGGTCCGGAGACGGTAAACGAGGGGATTTGAGAGAGCCGCCGGCGAAGGGGTCAGATCCTGTGTCGAGTGTGGAGGAGGGGGTGGTGGTGGGGCTGCGCGGCAAGGCATTATGGATTGTTGATATAAAGGGTATATGCGTGCCTAACGCAATTGAGGGTTGGAGAAGAGGTGGGATACGAAAGAAAAGGAAGGAAGGAAGGAGGGGGAAGTGGGTGAAGAAGGATGAACACGAGTTGCAGGGAAATAAAATATTATACGCTACTGACTGGATATGACGCAGACAAAGTGGAGTGTGGTAACGGATGGGATTGGTGCTTCTTGTTTGTTGGTTTGTCGAGAGAGAAGGAAGAAGAGAAAGTGGGCTAAGAAACAAGACTACGCGCAATAAGGATAATACACAACAGACAGCAGAGGAACTGGAAAGCAACAGATGGCCAGCTGGCAACTGACGCAGGGTTACAGTGGACACAAAATAAATAAGGAGGGGATGTTCGTATGTTGCAGTTGTTGTTGTTGGCGGGTGAGAGTTGGTTGAGTAGCAAGAAGAGAAAGGGCTCAGAGAGTTGTTGCGGGTGTGTCTGAAGAAGAGAAGGAAAGAGTTTGTTTGTTGTACGAAAGTGAACAGGGTGGGATAGAAGGAAGAGAAAGGAAAAGATGAGAGTGAGTCTTGTGTCCGGGGGAGAGGGGTGTCTTGTGAGAGGGATTGTGCAAGCGTGTGTTGTCTGTGTGTGTACAGTTGCAGATAGTTGGGCGAGTGAGAGTTGGAGAAGAGAAAAGAAGAGTGGGGAGTGTGTGGTGTGTAAGTGTGAACACAAGAGGGGTGACGAGAGAGAGAAAGAGAGAGGACCCGAATCCAGCGAGCGGGTTGTTGTTGAAGAGAAGGTGGGAGAGTGACGAAAGAGGAGAGGAGGGAGCGGAGAGTGAAGGGAGGTGAGGTCGAAGCAGGAAGGTGATAGGAATGGGGAAAGTGTTTGTGTGAAGAAGTGTATGTTGCGCTTCAAGACAACAAACAACTATGAAGGAGGGAATAAAGGAAAGGGAGAAGGGAGAGATAAATGAAAGTAGGTTGAAGAGAAGAGAGAGAGAGAGAGAGAGAGAGAGAGAGAGAGAAGACGCAGCAAAATAAGAAAGAAAGAGAGCTGCCCGATGACTCTTTGTCCTCTTTCTTCTCTCAGAATGACACCGAGTGAAATATAGGACTGAAGGGAAGGGGACCCTTGACCTAGCTTGTTGTCATGTGATATTAGGCACGCTGGCACTGCCTACAAGTGGCATGTAGTCCATGGTGCTGGCGCGCTTGGAAGTTGGAACAGGTTTCGCCCGCCTCACTCAATCCAATCCAACCCAATCCAATTTCAATCAGATATGTCTGCTATTTTTACTGACTCTCTTGCCTCTATATTGTCCGCCCTGCCCCAGTCTGGCCTGGCCTGGGACTCTTCATCCATCATCCTCCTCCTCCACGTCCTCAGCCTTCGTTGACTAATCCCTTCCTTTAAAAAAAAGTGCCCTGCACAAACAAAAGAGTGTCCGTGTTCCTTCAACTCCCCTCCTGACAGAGGTTGAAACAATGCAAAAAAAAATCCGAACAATCAAGCAAGCACATGAAAATTCCTGCTCACCCCTCTTTCTTTCTCCCCCTTTCTAGTCGTTCTGTCTCCTCTTTCTCCCTTTCTCCCAACTTCCCCACGCCTCGAATTTGCGCCTCGCCATGACCCCTGTCTCTTTCCTTTACCCTGCTCCTTCTCTCTCGCTCGACTCTTTGTGCGCTTTTGGTTTCTGAGAAAGAAAAACAACGACCCCGCCAGAGCGAAAAAAAATTTCATGGTGCACCATCCTTTTTTTTTCGCCCTTTTGTTTTCCTCCCGCGGACAATGACAGCGCGTAAGTAAGCAATTGAGATCTTAAATTGCTCAATTGTGAGAAAAAAAAATAACATACAACATACACATACCATGCACATAGGATGCTGAGAATAGCTTTTTTTTATGGTATGGTACGGCATGCAATGCACCACCATCTATCCAACAAAAAAAAAAAAAAAAAAAAAAAAGGAAAAGAATGCAAATGAAGTAGGCAATTAACAAAACAAAGAGAGAGAAAAAGGTTCTTGCCGTCAAGTCAGTCAGTCAAACGACCAAACGAACAACATTACGCATCGATTTTTAGTCCCGATGGTTTTGCGGAGAGAAGAGGAGAAAGGAGAATTGACAAGCACATGTTTGCCGTTTTATTCATTTTATTCTACGCTTTTCTGCTCTCATTCGCGTTCTGTTACCTTACTTGCTCTTTAATCCTCGGGGTGAACACAACAACGATGAGAAGAAAAAAAACCAGTAAGCAACCACCCTAGACCACAAAGTTCCCCTGATTCACATCTACTCTTTCTCCTTCAAGCATGCAATCTGCTTACCCCTTCTTTTTTTTATGCTTTGTGATCGGTCTCGTTCCTAGGCCATCCGACAAATATATATCCTTCATGTGTGTGTTTGATCGCTAGACGAGACAATGGCATGACACGGACTAAGGGCATCTTTGTGTTCATGTAGGCGAACTTTGCAAGGGGCGAAAAAAGAGGGGTAACCAATGTGGAGAGACATAAAAAAGAAGAGATGGACAAAGGAACAACAAGAGTCAATTGCATCGGAGAGAGACGGAGAGGAAGGGGAGCATGAACCCAAGGGTTGCCTGATATCCCAAAGCAGGACTAGAAAACAAAAAAAGACAAAGGGGGAGGCTGGCAGCATTGAAGGAGTACGCTATTGTACAAAGAAAACAAAGAAACCTCGCCCCACATCGATCATGCCATACTGCACCACACCACACCTTGAACTCTCACCACACAAAGAAAAAAATAGCCGACCAGGCATGGGGGAGGAGGGCATTGGCATCCTACCCTGTGACTGACCCATGACCTCGGATCTACAAAAATAAAAAATACGCCAAACGATGGTTCAATGACTGACACTGACAGACGCGTCCTTTATTTTTTTTCCTTTTCTATTCTTTCTTAGTCCAACTACTTTTTTTTGTCTCTTGTGCTCCCGACCTTTCCTTTTCCTTTTCCTTCTTACATTGTTCTGCGGTCTCACCCTCTCTCTCTCTCCTATTCTTGCCTTCCTCATTTACTGTGTTTTTCCTAGGCGACAACAAAACAAAACAGTTCACATGTGCTTCCATCTAAAACAGACACGCTCACTATCTCTCACGGTCTCTCTCTCTTCGGAACAATAGCAACAACAACATCAAAAGAACATGGCATGGGAAAAAAATATCATCACACGTTCAACGCCAAAGAAAAACAACGCACAAAAGAGGGCCAAAGGTTTATTGAGGCTCCAAGGTAGACCGGTAAGCGACCCAATCGATCGCATTCCAGTCCAAGTACGGGTCCAATCGGATATTGTGCCGATCCTGGTACTCCTTGACCATCTCCATCGTCACCACCGCCACCACATCCTTGCCATTCGTGCTCGAATTCAAGACAGGTCTTGAGGGCGGCGCCGTCGCGTGTTGTGACTGGAACATGGGTGAAAAAGGCGAGGTAGAGGAGCCTCCTGCAGTTCCACCTTCGACCTTGACCTTCACCCCTTGCTGCTGTTGTTGTTGCTGTGGTTCATCTCTTTCTGCCTCTCTTGCTGGTGCAGATGCCTCCTCACTTCCATCTCCTGATACAACCTTGCCTCCTGATACAGCTCCTTCAACAGCATTACTCTCGCCTACCTCTGCCTCGCCTTCACTATCCGGAATCTCAAGGATCGCAACAGGATCAAATGAATTTGTCAACGGCAGCTCAGACAAAGAGGAAAAGGGTCCAATTGCAGGAACAAGATCAGTCCCTCCTCCTCCCGCTCCCGTCACCATCCCCGTCATCGATGTCGATACAGTAGTAGTAATACTGCTCGTGCTACTACTACTGATGTGAGACAGTCCATGCCCATGCCCATGCCCATGCCCATGCCCGTGGTGGCCGTGTCCATCTTGGTCATGATGCTGTGCACCACTGAACTTCTCAAACAATTGCTGCTGCTCCTGGAACCTCTTCAGCTTACGATAGTTACGTTTCGCGGTCCGTACAGCAGCTGGCGCCGTCGTAGCATTCGCAACAGGCTGTTGCCAGTGCGACATCCACCCCATAGTCACAAGCGTCTCCAACAGGTCTTCCTCCATGATACCAGTCTTTGCCGCCAACTCTCGAATCGAGAATGCAACCTCCTTGTCCTTCTGCGGTGCTCTGTCCATGGTGTCATGTGCCTGTGATTGTGTCTCTGTAGAATTAGATCTCGAAGCAACGCCTGTTGGCCCAGTAGCCACAGTAGGATCAACCTCCATAGCCTCCGTCAAAACCCTATGTCCTGCCTTTCCATCGTTCTCCTCTTCCTTGACCTTTCCCGTCGCCACCAACGACTCGTCACTTCCACTCACATGGGCAGCATCACCGCCCTCCTCCATCTTGACGGCACCTACTGCCGCTGCTGCAGTACCAGTTGCAGAAGCAGAAGACGTAGCGCGGCTCCTCCTCCGATTCGTCAACAATGAGGGCGGAGGTCGTTTGGCAGGCCAGGGACGCGGGTATAACTCTCGAAGGATGGCCGTGATCCAGTACGAGACGTAGCCTAGCTTGCCCAGATCCGACAGTGGTTTCTCTGGCGATCCGACCTTTCCTTCAATCTTTGTCAACTCGTAACCTAGCACGATAGTTGGAAGTACACAATGACATAGGGTGGAATGTTGATGGTTAGTACTAAACACGAGGTTTTAAGCATTACACAACCTCGAACGGGAGTGAACGTGAAACCCCGCGCTCCCGCAAGAGCCAAACACCATATTGTTCTAGGGCCGTGTGCGCGCGTGTTTATAGGGCCAAGTAGGAGCAAGTGCAATGAATAGTGTGCTAGTGATGGCGCTAGAAAACCAAAACCCTGAGAAAGAGGTGATACACTAATGCCCACTCTTCCGGGATGGGACGGGGTGGCACATGGGATATCGTTGTTTGCATTGACCCTATGCAATTGTCCGAAACTTAAACGCTGGTTCACTCATACGCCTTCGCTCACCCACTCGAACTCACATTCACAGACTCCTAGAAAAATGCCTCATGCAGTCACTTCCAGTCCAACGACATCCCAAATCAAACTAGCTCAATGTCGATTGATTTGTCTTTTCAATTGAACCTGTACCGCAAGCACATACACAAACAAGAGATGATTACAGTCCTGAAAAACAAAAGGGAGAGAAAGGAGGGTGACTTACTGAACTCGATGAGCACCTTTCCATAGGACTTGCGTTGGAACGGGGGGAGGACCAGGATACACGCGAGGTTGTATCCATCGTAGGAAACGATTTCCTATTGTTGCAGTTATAGCAAAGAGTCGGGTATCCACAGGGACAAGTTGGGTGTGAGTAATTTACCAAAAATACAACAGGACAGCAGGTCGTTCTCAGGCAGAGAGCAACGGGATAAAAGATGTCATCGCGCAGATGAAGGCAAATCGCACTAAAATTAATTTTCTCCCTCTGTCCCGTGTTTAATGGGGTGAAGTGACCCCTCAAGTCCTTTGCCTCCCTTTCTCCTTCTCACTTATGAATTCGCCCATTCGGCTTATCAAAATATATCCAACCACAACCACAACGTATCCTGTTCCTCATAGAAAAAGGGTGATGATGCACTCATATGCATTGTGGATATTGACCACAAGATACATAATTAGAACGATAAACAAACAAACAAATAAAAAGGCTTGCGAAAGTTACCTTGGAAAAGAAGCCGACAGGCACATCGGCTCGATCCCCGGTCCGGGTCTCTGTCAGAACAAAGAACTGGAATCCAGGTACGTCAAAGTACAGCGTCTTGTTATCCAGAAATAGCTTTGCCAGCAGGCACAAGTTCTGGCAGTACAACTACCACAGTTGTCCGTAGGAAGCAAAACATTCGCGTTAGCTTTCGTATTTTATATTGGTATATTTCTAGCGTTCGCAAATCACATCACAGGTAGCATATCCTGAATGAAGACTGGCATGACAAAAGTACCTTGTTGGTTTTGCCGTCGACTTTGTAGATCTTGTTGATCCCCTTGGAGTACACTACAGTTCCTGGAGGCCGTTTGCGTTTGCAGGTTGTCTTTGTATGGGTGATAAAACTCTCCACCGTCCGGATGTACTTGAGGCAGTACTCGCAGATGAAGAGCCGTTGGCAGTCTTGGTATTCATCTGGGTATGGCGAGTAGTACCATGTCGCAATGTCGTATCCTGCATAGAGAATCCATTCCACGTTCCTGACTTGAGGGACATCTTCCTCGTCGTGGTCGTGTCCGTGTCCATGTGGGCTAATGGGTTTGACGAGGCTCCCATCTGCACCTACTTCGCTAGACCTCTATGTCCAAAGATATGAATAATAAAAAAGCGATTAGTCTCATACTTTCATATGTACTCTCGTAATAAATCGTGGATGTGTGTGAAGACTTGAGTTTACCATGCGGGATGTAGGTCGCTTCATAGATTCAAGGAGCGCGGCGACTTCATCCTTAATGGCTTTCCGTTTCGGCCGTCCTCCTGCTTCTGACGCGTCTGTCGTAGATGTTGGGCTGCCAGCAGTTGCCGAGGAGCCTGGAGTTGCTGGTCCACCTGTTGCTTTAGGTATAGTAGCTTTCTTCTGATCCTTGAGCGGTGTCAGCCGTATGATATCGACCCACTCGTCCAGTCTTTTATCCGCTATACACATTCATCAAAGAGAAAGGGTCTTGGTGAGATCAGGGTCCACGTCTTTGTCCTGCATTAAGCCCAGTAGTTCCTCTCAGGCGCGGAGTAACAAAAAAAAAGAAACACTGCTTACTGCCGTCGTAGTGGATATACACGAGTGTCTCCAGCTCGCTCACTCTCTTTCCCAGGACTTCGACCTTGTCTATAACAAAAGTTGTATGCAGTCAAAGATGCGCGATTAGAAACTGAACGTGATCCACTCCTGAGCGACATCCTTGACAACAACAACACGTGCTCTTGTTTGTTTGATGTTAGGTTCATCCTGTTTTCATGAAGTAGGGTTTAGAGTGGATCGCGAGCTTGTAGAGACGTACATTCTCGAAGGTCCTTTCCGATGATGGCATAGAAGCCTCCGATCTCGATGGTGCCGTCCTTGTCCTTCTTGCTGGATTCCATGCTTGGAGTTGTGAGTGCTTGTTGGCGACTTGACACAGACACACAGACAAAGAAGGGGAGTCTTTTAAGTGGGCGAACGGCCAGCAGGAGAATTAAAGAGATAAGCCACAGCGTGAATCAATTTTGGTGGCACCCGATCTCCATGCAGGTCAACACAACTCACAAAAGGACTCAACTGCAGGAGTAAAAAAATGAGAGGTCCATTGCACGACGAAAGGAACGAGAGAGGTAGCCGGCGATGAGATGCTCCTGCTGCCATTGTTGCCCCGTATCTCTTAACAGGAGAGAACGCCAACTGACACCAGGCTAAGGTTCTTTTTGGAGTAGGGTGCAGAGAGGTTTTTCATTGGCTGGCTAAAGACAGTCGATGACGGCGACCCTTGAATTTTCTTGGAGTAGACACAAATTTGCTCACGACTTTCTTTCCGTGTGATTCTTTTTTTTAGTTTCTTCCTTCCTACTTTTCTTTCACTCTTTCACTCTCTTCCTCTTTTCTTTTTTCTTCATTCGCTCATATCCTCACCATCAACTCATCAGGAACCCACGTCCACCAACTCACCACACCCACCACCCACCAACCAACAACGACACCAACAAAGATGCCAGCAACGTACACAAAGGAGGACACAATCACAGACGCAGAGGCCGTCAAGAAGGCATACAAGCCCACACACCCAGGACTCTTCGAAGTCGTCTACGCCGAAGGATCTTTCAACTCTGAACTCGTCGCCTCCAAGGACTACAAGAAGGACGAGGTTATTGTTGTTGTTGAGGGGACGACACCAGGGCCCAAGAAGTATACCTCTGTCCAGGTGTCTAGGGATCTTCATATCGAGCTCAACTCTGACCGTAAGTCTTTGTCCTCTTTGCTGGCAATTGGATCTTCCAAGGAAGACGAAGATATGGGTGACGAAGTAGTAAAGGGTGGAATGTCGACTCTTTGCTTGGCAGACGGATGATTATTCGGAAGGGAGGAAGTGATACTCCATCAAGAGCGAAAATGATCCGATCCGACAAGAAAGTAATTGGATACTTATAACTCTTCTTCTCTGTGTGATATAGTCGTCTTTTTGAATCACTCTTGCGACCCATCGGTCTCTCTCGACACGGACAAGATGCAACTCATCGCTAACAGGGACATTAAGAAAGGTAAACAAACGCAAGGAAGAAAGCCATGCACGGAGTAGGCATTATTTCTCATGCACATCGCAGATCACAGGGACAAAACAAAAGCGGAGAACAGTGACCACCACCCAACACCTAACCCCAGAAAATCGAAAAAAAGGAGGAAAATCACAAACATGCAACTAACCTCAACACACGCACCTTTCCTCCATCACATTCATTTATGGCACATATGGATATACAACAACAACAGGAGGACCATTGACATTCTTCTACCCATCAAGCGAATGGGAGATGGACCAGTCCTTTCCCTGCTGGTGTGGTGCCGAGAAGTGCTCCAAGAGCATCCAGGGCGCAAAATACCTTTCCGCCGAAACCATGGATCGGTACTATGTCACCTCGCATATCCGGGAACTGTTGAACGAGCGCGGTCCGGAGGCTGCTGTTGCTCCTCCCAAGAAGACAACGTAACAAGTCATAGAGTGTGTACATTACCCATAGCAGTGTGCTTGGGACCAAGTGGGACATTAAAAAGTATCAAACATACCCAAATTTCCTCCTTCTCCTCGTTCTCAAATGCGCGTTTGCTATGCTTTGTCGGTTGTTTTATTTTACTCTTCATTAATATTTGGAGTATGATCCAAAGAGGCATTCATCCAGCCTCTTAGTTTTGCATCTATGCCGGTGGATAGTTGGAGACAACGCCGGCATTAGGGGAGAGGCGATATTCGGATGTGCGCCCGACGGGCGACTGACTGCTTCGCACTTGCACCTATGCAGCTACCAATGCTTGTGAAAACACCGACCTTTCAGTGTCACTGTGGTCAACTCCAGTCCTGTTGCCGCTCTGGTTGTCCATTGTATCACCATGTCCATTCTCGTCTCCGTCCATCTCCTCCTCCTCCTCGTCAGTCTCATCCATATCCACATCCACAGGTCCCATCCTCATTGCACGCATCTCCTTCATACTATTAAAGGAGTATCCGTATTAAAGTGGTTGTAGGTATTCGCGACCATGCGCGAATATGAATCCCGCTGCCCTGGTATTACTTCATTTCGTTCCTCTGCCTACATATGCTTACCAAGACAAAAGTTAAAAATAGTAGTGGAGACCGTCTATTACTTCCAGTAAGAAAGCGCTCGCTCTTGTAGGAGCGACGAGTGGTCGAAGACGGTGTCCATCTGCAAAGACCTCCTCTGAGTATATTAATACACCGCATAGACGCTTTCTGGTGAAGAGTTTGTCGGCGTCGACATCACCCTAGAGAATAATAAGGTACAAAGCAACAAGAAAGGGGAGGTCGGAAAATACTCCTTCAAATATTGTCAATTGGTAGTTAGAGAACGGAGTAGTGGGTGGGTGTACATGGCGCCGATAAAGGAAAAGGTGAGAGCAGTGAAAAGAATCGATACCAGGCAAAGGAAATAAAAAATAACATGATTTTGGCGAAGACTTTAACGGTCCTTTCAGGGGACGATATAAGAAAAGGGCGAGTGGCATCAGAGCAAGAACGGGCATAATTGTTTTTATTGTTGTTTCGTTAAAGCATACAATGCATGCGTCGTTCCCTTGGAAATCGAAGGAAGGTTATTCCTCTGACTCGACAACATCCAGGGTCTTATCAGGGTGGTACTTGATGCAATATGGCTCGATGCTAGAAAACAACACATAAACGGAACAAAATGATACTTTTAGTTAGAACAGTGGTGAAATGGAAGACTGAAGAATAAAGAAGAACTGGCCGAGGCGTAGGCTTACTAGTGTGAGGTAGTGTCTCGGGCCCGAGGGACAACTGTAGTGCCATTGCGTATAGCGATCATGCGAGGGAAGGCATGGATCACGTCGCCCCAAAGGATGATGTGCTGCTGAGACTCTGAGTGGTAGTACGCCTCGACCTGGAAGACTTGACCGGTGGAGAGTTGGCGCAGAGATTGGAGGCGAGTTTCGTCTGCCATTTTATGTAAGGTTAAGTAGATTGGTGTGAATAACGTCGGTGAAAAAAGAGAGAGAGGGAAAGAGGCAGAAGTAAAGGTGGTGAATGGAAGAAGAGTGAGAATGAATACGAAGAGTGAAAAAAGAAGAGAATAATAGCGGATGGTCTGGAGGGTGCGTGGCGCATGAATGGCAAAGCAATCCTGACAAAAATGTTCGACTTCAGCCACCGCCGTCCTTTCTTGTTTCTCTCGTCCTTTCGGCATCCTCATATCTACAAAAAGGAAGCCTTCGATTCTTACGTCCTCAAGTTCACGCCCATCGGCACATTGATGCAGCTAAAATATGTTCGTCGGACGTGAATCGCCACTCCATTCCAAACCGTCTTTTCATTGTCGGCGAAATCCACACACAAGCGCTTGCCTATTCTTCCTTCTCTCGCTCTTTTTATTTACCTCCCCATCCACTCTGTCTCTTTACCCACACAGCGCCTCTATAATACGAAGATGAAGATGGTTTTGGTCAAAAAACCCAGGAACCTTCTCGGTTTGCCGGAGATCCGAAATCTCGCTGCCCCGTTTCTCAACCGCAAGGATTGCATTGCCTGTAGTCGCGTCTCTCAAGCCTGGTTCTAGAAATTTGTTGCTCATGTCTGGTACACCGCTGACCTGAATGAGAACAAAAGGTTTGCTGAGCTAGGCCCTCGAGTCCTCGACAAGTAAGGTCACTGTATTCGCCGAGTTTTCAACATCATCATTCTCGACCAAGTCAAGGTTTGCTGCACCCGAAGCTGGACCCAATCCAGTCGATGAGTGTCGTCAAACCATATCAAGCTATACCATTGCGCACTTGAGCTAGACATCATCCGTCCCAACAACACCACTCTCACTGAGCTGCGCCTTCGTGGCTCAATACCCCGCCGAACAATTTGGTGGAGTTGCGAAATCGCAACGGGAGCTACTTGGAGCGAAGCATTCTGAACCCATACTTCACATCGTCGCTTGATTCTGTTGTGGTCGAATTGCTTCACTCACGAAGGCTTTGCTGCTATTTTTCGCAACTCGCCTCTACTCCACAGACCGAAGCTCCCAGAGTAACTGTCATTCACTACAACCGGGACGCCTTTTCCGTATTCAAGAGCTCATCTGTCACGTTTCACCATGCGTCACTGGCTGAAGTTTGCATTCCCAACCCAGGATTCGCATGGCGCCTTGTCTGTGGCACTACTCCCCTCGCCTCGAGGGACGGCGTATTATCACCATCGATCGACCTAGCAACTGGGACATCGATGGCTACTTCTACGATGAACTCAGTGAAAGCTATCCTCGACTCAAGACCTTCCGACTCGGCTGGATGAATAATACCGACAAGCGATCGGGTCTAATTTTCAACTGCATTCGGCGACCAGAGTCCCTCTTCTTCCCGGTCATGAACCTGGAGGAAAGGATGGCTTTGTGACTAGTCATCCACAACAACACCCTCACTTTGGTCACTATTACTGACAAGTGTGTGGATCCTGCAGTTATGAAATGGGTGTACCTTAAACCCAAGTCTTGCCTATGTCTCCAAGTGTTTTCTGCCGAGGACTTTGTCCTGGACATGGCTTCCGTCCTGGGACATTGATGGGGTTGTTGGAATTAGAGCGAGCTTCGTGTGCGATTCAAGGGACTCGAAAGCAGCTTTTCTGTTCACATCCCCCCTCTTGTTTTCTTTTTTGTTTTACTTTCCCTTGCAATTTTCCTTTTGAGCATTTCAATGTCGCACAAAAATAAACGAAAAATAAAACACCATTCACCGCTTGTCCCACCCTTTTCAACTTACTTTGGTTAAAAGAGAGAATAATACCAATGGATGACCTGGGTTGTGGCATACAGATGGCAAGGCAGATAGGACAATCTTGTGTTTTTGCTTTTTGCATGAATGGTCACTCTGTTGCTATTTAAACTTTCGCTCCCCTCTCCCTTCCTTCCTTTTTTTTCCTTTTCTTCCTTCTCTCCTCTCTCCTCCTAATCCACACTCTCACAAATCCATCGACACATGTCATTTCGACTCCTCTCTACCCTTTGACCATCTTCCTATCCTTTTCATCCACTCTTTAATCTCTCCCTCACACCGATATTTACGACATGAGGATCGACACGGTCATCAAACCCAAGAACCCACTCGACATACCCGAGATCCATGCCCTTGTTGCCACATATCTTGCCCGCAGGGATCTTGTCATCTGCTTGCGCGTCTCGCGAGGCTGGTTCAACTATTTTGTCGGCCCTGTCTGGCACACTATCGACATGGTCAAGGATAAGAAATTTGCTGCCATTGGTCCTCAAGTCCTCCACACGTACGGTCGCTGTATCCGTGAAGTGTTCAACATCCTCACTTTCGACCATGTCAAGACCTTGCAACACCCAAAGGTGGATTCTGTCGTGACGGCCAGTATCACTAACCTCATCAAGCCGTTGGACCGGCTTCTTGAGTTGGACTTTATTCGACGCTGTAATGCTACACTCACCGAGCTGGACTTTCGCGGACAAGCGCCGCAATCTAATTCTTCCAGGAAGGTGTATGAGCGAGACGAGAACTTCTTCGATATCGGGATCCTGAGTTCATGCCTAACGTCGCCCACAAGTTCCTCTACTGTTGGAACTCGCCTGACAAGTCTGACTCTGACAGGAATGTGGCTATCTCACGAAGGGTTCACTAATCTCCTCCGGTCCTCCCCCACTCTTCGCAAGCTGGCTCTTTCCAAAGTGTCAATCGTTCATTACATGGATGAGTTCGACATCTTTAGAGACTCATCCGTCACGTCTCTTCACGCATCCCTTGAAGAAATATGCATGCCAGATCCTAGAGCTTTCTTGGTGCCCTCTTTACTGCATCAGTTTTCTCGTCTGGAGGAATGGCACCTCACATCCGTCGACCGATGTAAGACCTGGGGCAACGACCCTGAATTTCGTCGCGAGCTCCGAGAATGCTGCCCTCGTCTCAAGACTCTCCGGTTCGACCAGGTTGGCAACACCGACAAGCTGTCCGATCTCCTTCTGGATTCATTTATAGAGCCCGAATCTTGCACTTTCTCGGCCAAGAACCTCTCCAACTCGATGGTCCTCAGTCTGATCTCCCATCTCGATACCCTTACCACGATCATCATCACTGACAAGTGCACTGATGCCGCGGCGATACGATGGCTGTACCTGATCCCCAAGTCCTGCTTGCGTCTCAAGGTGCTGTCGATGCGAGACCTTATTCTGGACATGGAGACTGTCAAGGAGCACGAATGGCGTTGTGAGGAACTGACAGAGCTGCATGTACGATTCAAACGTCTTGAGGATGCTCAACTCATCGATGGATGCATCAAGGATATATGTAACCGACGACAGCTGCGAAGACGCTCCCCCCAAGATTACATGTCGTCCCAGGTCTCGAATCACTTGTTCGGGTTCATCATGTTGACGACGGTTAGCCTCGGTAGCAAGGTCTACTCCCTCAGCCCCTTCAGAGAGTAGGATGGGAATAATATTAAAGTACCTCTTTTTGTGACGTACTGGATTGCTGTATGCTTTGTTTTCTGCACTCTCATTTTATTTTGTATTTTCTCCACCCCATCTTTCCCTCGTCGATTTTGCTTTTGCGTTTCATCATTACACAACAACAAAATAAGTGTGCCTTCACCACCTTGCCCATCATTGTCTTTCTCTTGCCACTGCTTTTTCCTTCCTTGCCCTATTCATGCCTATTTTTTTGTCGAATGGTGGTTGAGTGATTTCAGGTTTCCAACGCCATAGCCGTTGTGACGAAAAGAGCTGAGGTATTCGTATGGTTCCCCTTCAGCCGAAAGGAAAGAAAAATGAAGATGAGCCGTGCGTAATAGTCAATGGAACATTTCTTACACAGAATCACGGAGTCGGGATGAAGAGAGGAAGTAGAAGAAAAAAGGAGGTTCCAATACGATTTTACGCGACTGATCGACAGGACGCGTTTGATAGAAAGGACGAGTCTTGATTGAGACAAGGAGGACTGCTCCTGATCACTTACATGTTGAAGGAGAGGCATAAATACTCCCAATCTTTCCTGCTTTCTTTCTTGTTCCTTATTTTCTTTTCACATTTTCCTTCTTTTTGTCCTTCTTTCCTCCTTCCTTCCTTCTTTCCCTTCTCCATACCCCACCTACATACTATACATCATCCTCTATCCTCCCACCTCGGATCTCGTCATGAAGATGGATCTGTCCCGCCACCTTAACAGCCCACTCGACCTATCCGAGATCCGTGCCATTGTCGCCACATACCTTGACCGCAAGGACCTTGTTATCTGCTTGTGCGTCTCCCGAGACTGGTTCAAGGACTTTGTTGGTCCTGTTTGGCATACCGTTGACCTCGCCAAGGATAAAAAGTTTGTCAGTCTCAGCCCCCATGTCCTGGACAAGTATGGTTGCTGTATTCGCCAGGTTCACAACATCCTCACATTCGACCATGTCAAGACTTTGCAGCACCCCAAACTGAACTCTTTGACGTTGATGAGTGTTGTCAACCATATCAACCCGTATCACCGTGCACTCGAGTTTGATACCATCTTACGCAACAGTGCTACACTGACCGAGCTGGAGTTCCGTGGTCCACCACCTAAACCAGACAATGTCGAGACACAGCAAACTCTGAACCAGAACTACCTTGAAGCAAGCCTTTTGATCTCGTGCCTCCCGTCATCGTCGCCCTCTGGTTCTTCTACTATGGGATCGCATCTGACAAGTCTGTATTTGAAACACGTCTGCCTCACTCGTGAATGATTCTCTTCACTCCTCCGGAGCTCGCCCGTCCTCCGCAAGCTGACACTCTGCAGCGTGCCCCTACTTCATCACAACACGATTTTTGATCTTTTCAAGTCCTCGAGCGTGACACATTTGAATGCATCCCTTGCCGCTTACTGGACGCCTGACTCTGTTAGTAATCTCACGGCGCCCACGCTCTTGTGTCACTTCCCTATGCTGCAGGTGTGGCATGTCAGATCTGTCTATCGACCGCCAACTTGGGATGATGTCAAGGTCCGCAAGGAATTGTCGGAGCGCTGCCCTCACCTCACGTCCTTCATGTTCAAGCATGTCGGCAAAGTAGGGGACCTTTCGGACCTGCTTCTCCGCTGTATTCGCCGGCCAGAGTCACTCGCCTTCCCTGTCAAGAACATGAGCGAAAAGATGGCCCTTAGCCTGATCACCCACAACAACACTCTTACATCCTTCACCATCACCAACAAGTGCGTGGATCCCGCTGTGATGAAATGGGTATACCTCATCCCCATGTCCTGCTCGCGTCTCCAAGTCTTCTCTGCAGAGGAACTCGTCCTGGATATGAAGAGCGTCGAAGAACACGAGTGGAGCTGTCAGGATTTAAGGGAGCTGCGAGTTCGATTCAAGGATCTCGAGGATGCTCAACTCATCGACGCGTGCCTCAGGGTTGTTTGCTCTCATCGCAAGCGAGCTTCTCGCTTCAGCACTGTGTATTCGCAGGTCTATCATCACCTGCTCCAGTTCGACAAGTTGAGGATTGTCAGCCTGGGGACCAAGGTGTACTACCTCCCCGCTGCCTCTGTCTAGAGATCTTTGTCTTGGTCGTGGGGCCATTCCTTTTGACCGCCACTGAGCAAGCGCCCAGGTCCTTTTTTTTTTGTTGCTCTCATTTTCCTCTGGACTATTACTACCTGCGTTCTCCTCACTACCCTCCCTGCCTCTGCTCATCCGCATACGGAGAGTAGAAACAGGCAAATAAACCCAAAAAGTGGACCCTCAGTAGCCTGCTACCTTCTCGCCCCTCGTGCCACCCAAATATCCATTTTTTTTGTCCGTTTATTGGCTCCAAGGACTGTCGCATTACATTCCAAAAAAATACACTGCTTCCTACCGCCGCCGCTTCCATTTCACTTGCCCACGGCGGTAATATGCACTCATAAGGCATCAAAATATTACGTGTATTATATTACCGAAGAATTATTCTTACTGGGAGTCGTGGTGGCAGTGCTAACGGTCGACTTGTCTGTTGGGTTGGTGGCTATGGAGTCGTTTATGGATTGAGTTTATGAGCTTCCTAATGCTGTTGGTGTTGGTGGACCCCGCGCTGGTATATGAGGAACTGTATCTGCATTGCCTATAAGACAGCAGTATGGTATCTGTATGCATAAGAGATCGCTGGCGGCATGGTCGCCGTTGACAGTACCCTCCCTGTTGACCATAGACATAAACTGGTGAGAAACCAAATCTGTCGAAATAATAAGTACAGCGCCTTCCCAAAAAGAATTGCCGGAAAATTTCTTGAGCACTTTTTTTTTCATCATTTAAATACGAAGAAGAAGGGGAAAAAATGGTACTCAAATTTTTTTCTGGCAATTCTTTTTGGGAAGGCGCTGTACACCAATTAAGTTCGTAGAGGCATGATATCGTTACCACTGTTCGACATGTCTGTTGGCTGCTACTTTTGGTGTCATTCAGGCAGTAGCGGTGGTTTCCCTGGGTGCATAACGTAGAAAGTCAGTAGGCGGGGTTTTTTCTCTGACAATGACCTCCAATACCTTTCCCGGTTGATATTTGATGCACCGTGGCTCAATTCTATGTTCAAAGAACACCAAAAAAAAAGCCAATTGCTTTGCTACTTTTTATTTCTTGTCTCCAGCACCTACTGCATCGATGAGGAAATTAACACAACATCGTACTCGTTTCCACGGGAGTCTCTGGCTCGGGTAATGACGGAAGGTCCCTTCATGATATTGCTGACTGGGCCAAAATTGTCAAGGATATCATTCCAGTAGATGACATATTGCCTGGTCTGTTCATGATAAAAGGCCTCGACCCAGACAACACGGCTGTTTGCTCCTTTGGTGAAGGCCTGGTGCCTCTCTTCCGTTGTCATTGAAAATGGTGACAATGGTGTGATATGTTGATATGTTGATACCTTGATATGTTGATGTCGAAGGTGGGGTTTGTGGTAAGGATTAAACAAAACGGAGGAGCTGAATGGGGCCCAAAATGAAGTGGGTGGTGGATGGGTGTGTGTAGGTGTAAGAGTGTGAGAAAGGAGAGAAGAGAGAAGAGAGAAGAGAGAACAGGAAGGAAAGTCGGAGATCGGAAAAGGAAGAATGGAGAGTAGAGAACTTGAAGTACACAGCCAAAGAAGAGTCTCATACAGGCAGAAAGATCAAACTGCAAAAGCATCAATGTAAAACCCAACCCACGGTTTCCCTTCCTCTCTTTTTGGGCGGGGCTGTGAGCGCTTCTTTTCACTTGCCCATACTCAGGCGAGCACAAAGGACAAAGACATTGAAGAGAAGGGGTGATGGACGAGAAAAGCAGAAGGGGGAGGAGGCTGTGGTTAGGTGAGAGTGGAAGTATTGGAGTGAATACAACACGAGCCTTTGCTATTCACTTGGCAGTCACCTTGTTCTCTTCTCGCGTTAACATTTCTCGTTCGCAACGCTCACAAAAAAAACGAGACAGGAGGACGAATAAGGTACGAAGATCGTTCAACTCCAAAGGCCCAAAAGAGAAGTTCAATTCCCTTCGACTGATACTGGAGAGCAAAGATTTGGAATAACAGGGAGGTGGAGGAGGGAGTAGAACAGCATAGCTGGGATAGGCATGAGGATAGGTATGAGGACAAGGACGCTCTTTTGATCTGCATGGCTTCCCTTTAATCTCATATACGCAAAAGTACTGATAATGGGTACTGTCTGAAATTGCTGGAGAATGAAAGAGGAGATGGTTGCTTCCGAAAGGCGAGTGAGATGAGAAGGACAGACACGGCGATGTCATCAAACTGATAGATTAATGGTTCCTACTGAATGGTGGCGTTCTTTTTTGGTTCCTGATCATTGGCGACATATTCGTATTAACCGTCACTTCGTTTGTCAACACTTTTCTTCGTTTTCTTTCTGTATACACCGTGATCTCCTTTCGATTCCATTGCTTCAGCCGCTTTTACATGAAAACCTTTCCCTTTATCAAGAGAGCAGAGAAAGCATGACTGAATATTACATTTTGTGTGCGTTACAAGCATTCGATCAAATATCGTTCATGGGAAATATACACCAACGAATCCCCTGCTTATGCAACCTCTCCCGCGTCTCCAGGATCTGGTCTATCGTCACATCCGTATGATACAACGAAACCAACAAGGGTGCATTCCCGCCCTGTTGCGCCTTCAATTCCTAAACCATCGCTGCATCCTCGTCACTCAATCCGTTCTTCGACAACACCCGCTGCTTATCTCGACACTGCATCACTAGTCGGATCACTTCTGAAATCTGATCCGCGGAAACTGACACGGCGGATAGTTAACCAATCGATCTCTGCCCGTGGGTCCCGGCGGAATGACTATAGCCGTATTTTTTCAGAGATCGACTTGTGTGGGCGTGAGGGAGAGGGAGAGGGAGAAATAACGAAGAGGTGGAAGGGAGAAAAAAGAGGGGGTAAGGAAGGTTCGAGCGAAGGAGGAAAAAAGGTGTGTGAAAGAGAGATATGAAGAGGGTGTGAATTTGAAAAAAGATGCAAAGAAAGGAAGTCAACCATGCATACACAAAGAACAAAGGTAACATTTATTTAACGATCAAAGGTACAAATGTCCCTCTTCTCAAATATCCCCTTCAAAATGGCATGCGTCTGTGAGTTCTTTGAAAGTTTCCCCGACACTTCTCGGAGTTCGGGCCAGTTCTCAAGCATCCATTCAATCTCCTGAACCCTCATCGTTTGCACTGTGCCACGAAATTCAACGGCATACAGGCTCTTCATCCCTGCAAGACAATCCAGGCCAGAATCCAGTCGCAATTGAAGTGCTCCCCGAGATCCCAGGTCCCTCACAAGGTCGTCATTGAGGTCGTACAGAGAATCGTCCCCGATATCGAGTTCCTCGAGCTTTACCAGTTTTGAAAGTTGTTCGAAAACAAGCTTGTCAGCATCTGGGTGCTCTCGATCGCGTGTAATGTAGACTTTGAGCCTCGTTAGACCAAGACAGACCCAGGCTCGACGGGCGGGTTCACTCTGCCGCAGATCACTGGCTGTAAGAAAAGGTGCCGAAAGATCCTCCAGAAGCGGGCATCCTGACAGAACCGAGAGAACCATCTCGCTTGTGAATAATGTACATCCATTCAAGTCGAGGATGCTCAAGGAGGCAAAGTGTCGTTCCTGCAGCCGACCAAAGCTCAGCTCTGACAAGTATCTATTGGGAAATCGAAGGACGTGCAAGGGCGGCAGGTGTTGGAGAATGAGAGCCGATTTATCATCCTTGAATTTGGTTCCTATTAGTTGGAACGACTCTAGGTTTGGCCATGTATTTTGACGGATCGCTTCAACCAGCCTCCTGCTCGGGAAGCGAGCGATACTTGTCCGCCATTCCAGGGCTGTGAGGTTCGGACAGCGCATTATCCAGGTGAGTTGTCCTTCTTGTCCAATGCTGTGTCTAAAGTAAGGAGTCAGTTGATGGGTCAGTCGTTTGAGCCGAGGGAAAGGAGTTGCCGGCAGTTCGTTTGTCGTAAGGATGTCGAATCCTATGAGCTCCAATTCTTCGAACCGAGAACACGCCTTCCAGAAGGCTTGCATAGACGGGTTATCCGTCGGATCCATACGAGTGACTGCAAGTCGTCGAGGGTTCTCGAGGGTGGAAAAGATAGTCTCCCAGAGCTGTACGGAAGGACAATGAACTGCATTGGTCAGGGTCAGGTTCTGGATCCTTGGGCAGAGACGGATAATCGATGCAAAGTAGTCGTTTCGATCTGGTGGAGGGACAGTGCCATGAAAAGCGGTGGGCCAGGAGAGGAACCCAAAGGAGAGGCTGGTAAGGGCAGGGAAAGGGATGGTGTAGTCTTGGGAGATGGTGGAGAGGTAGGTAAGAGTATGGACAAAGTGTGCGTGTTCCTTTAGGATGCTGACGTCGACTGGCGTTAACCCTCTTCGTGCAGGGAGGATGAGTTGGTCCCAGAGGCGGCAGGCAAGGGCTTTGCGCAGAGTGCGACAGGTGCTGGCGACCGCGATGATGTCTTCCTTGAAAATGAATGTGCCGATGAGGAGGATTATCTCCATGGGGAGATCAGAGATATTCATCATGGTTCCTGAAAGTTAATAGAAGGCTGGTGAGTGTTGGGAGGGGTGAGTCAGGTTGCGGAAGAAAGAAGCGAGAATGAAAAGGTGGAGAGGGAAGAGAGAAGGGGGAGAATTGAGGGTGTACTTTCTTCGTATTTATCTGAGTTTGCTCTCTTTTTGAGTCCGTGGAATTGCGCTGCTGTTCGCAAGTTGAATAATGCGCAGAGTAGTCAGAGTGACTCCAAAGAGAAACAGCACCACGCGCACATAACAAAAAGAACACAATGAAGGTTTGAACAGGAATGATGCGATCGATGGGCGTTTCCTTCCCAGAGAATTAAAAGAGAAAAGGAACTGTCGAGAGAAGTCAGCCGCGTGCACTACCAGCTCCAAGGCCGCTACATGCTTATCGCTGACTTTGAATGCCCCTCTAGAGATTAAGTCCTCTAAGCATTTGAGTGCCTACATCCAACATAAACCTGCATAATCCTCTCAACCCTTGGCCAGTGCTTCAATATCCATCCAATATCTCGCTCTTCATCTGCTTTTTATGATGCGCAGAACAAACCATATCAATCATACCCGTAGTCGCATTCATTTATGGTCCTAAAATAAAGGATAATGATGCTGTCTCGCTCCAACAACAATCCCTCGTCCTCGGACCAAAGCGCTCAACTCCTTTTCAGTACTAGCCACCTGCGAAAACTCCCCACACAACTCCTCAAGCTTTGGCCAACTCTGCAACATCCAATCAACATCAACAACTCTCATATTCTGGACAATCCCCGAAAACTTGGCCTTCTTCAGTCTTGTCAATGTCAAAAGTTGACCCAGTCCCGAGTCCAATCTCAATTGAGGCCCAGTTTGACGAGATGGGCTGAACCAATTCCTGGCATATGCTTCTGGGTACCGGGTCATGTCGAGTTCTTCCAGATGCGTCAGGGTCGATATATGTTTGAATAGCAGATGGTCATCGTCGCCGTCGTTATTATCGTGATCGTCGAACTCTTCGTCTTCACCGCGGCCGCTCCTGAAAGTGACTCGAAGGAGTGTCAATCCATGACAAGCCCAGGTTCCAGGGTGCCCTCGAAGGTCGGTTGTAGTTATACTGTACGCGTCCAACTCCTCCAGGCGAGGACATTTCTGCAGAGCCTCGAGTATCATCGGGCTCCTAAACGACGTACACTCTCTCACAGACAAAGTTCTCAGGTTATCAAAAACCCTCTCTCGAAGAATACCAAAACTTTCCGGTCCGAATATCGCAGAATCCACTCGCAGGTGCTTCAGCGATGGTGGCAGGTGGGTAAACACAACCCTCGCCATCGTCTCGTCCGTTCCTCGAACATCACCCAGACGGAGATCCTCCAGGTATGGCCAGACAGGGGGCTCCACATCCTCATGGACGTGTCCAATCGGGACCAGGCCTCCCCAGTGCAGCTTTATCAAATTAGAACACCTCCCCATCCACCTCCACAGACTTGGCATATTCTCTGGACACTCCGTCGCCGTATAATGCAACCTCCGAAGTCGCGAGCAGTCAAAACTCACATCCTTCGTAAGCGCACCCGATTGATCCCTGCCTATGTAATCAACTTGCTCAAACCGACCGCAGACCCTCCAGAACGCTCGTCCACTTCCACCCTCCATGACGGGTTTCATAACTGCATCCTCCTTACCCAGCTTGAGTCGTCTTGGGTTCTGGAGGGATGCAAAAATGGCGTTCCAAAAGCCCTCGTTGAGACTGAGATCCCGTGGAGTGATAATGACATCCTGAATGGTAGGGTTGAGTCGAAAAAAGTTGACCGAGTTGCGACACACCTCCTTTGCCTTGGCGATGGTCCGAACCGTGTTGTCGTGTTCAAAGACGAGGAGTCCTGGGTAGTGGATCAGGTAGTACTCAGTTTGGACCCTTCCTTTGAAACGAATAGAGTGCACAAAGTGGGTGCGGTCCTTGAGTATGCCGAAGAAATCTGGAGGTGTGTGGCTGTGGACCGTGACATGTCTCCAAAGGCGTTGAGAAAAATGGTGATAGAGTTTTGAGGAAGTGAGAATGAGGGGCTTGAAGCTGTTGACCCCGGTGTCGAGGTAATCTCCAATAATGTCCAAGACCTCCACAGGGAGGTCAGTAATGCTAATCATGAGGTAAATATAAAAAGCAAGAAGCAAAAAGGAAAGAAGGGAAGAGTGAATGAAAAAATAGGTAAGAGTAAAGAAAGGAGAAAGTGAAAAATGGGGGTAGGAGAATGTAAAAGGAGAAAGAGGGTTTTGTGAGAGGAAAAGCCGCAGTATTTCTTTTTTCTGTCTACCGCAGTCTCTTTTCTTTTATTGGCCTCGATATCAAACTCGTGCCCTTCGATTTCGCTTTTTTCCTCTTGTGAGCTGACTACCTTTTATATGATGAAGTGCTAATTTGTGAATAATGAACTCTGCAAAACAAAGGTGGCATGAGAATGGGCATTGAGGTCCTGACTCACCCTATGCCTTTTTCATGATCTGTCAGAAAACAAGCCACTCAAGTGCTCATAAAGGCTCTCAATCGAATGTGTGTCCTGATCGCACACAACTCTTCGATCCACCAGCAACCCTATCAACCGCTCCTCAATATCCGTATCCGACGAAAGCTTTCCTGACAGCCTCGTAAGCAATGGCCAATGCTCCAACATCCACTCTACATCCTCGCTACTCAAACCCTGACCCGTAGATTCAATCTTGACGGTCCAGAGTCGTGTCAAGTTCGAGAGTTGCGCCAATCCCCTGTCCAATCGTAATTGAAGCAAAGGGTATTGCGGACCTTCCCAGGCGTCGTGCGGCGACCGACTAGTGTCAAACTCCTTTAGGTTTGTGAGTTTTGACAACTGCTCGAAAAACATCCTGTCCACCTCTGGGTCCGCAGGATCGGTCTCCAAGGCCACTCGAAGGCGCCTCAGTCCAAGACAGGCCCAGGGTCCAGGGTTCGCTCGAAGATCAAGGAACGACATTCTCCTTGTCTCAAACACCTCCAACGGTGCACAGTGCTGCAAGACCCCCAACACCATTTCGCCCGTAATACTCGACATGTTTTCCACACATAAAGTCCTTAAGCTGTCAAAGTGTCGCTCCCGAAGAAGGTCGAAAAAATGCGGTCCAAGGAATCCACGTGTCATTCTCAGGTGCGTCAACGGTCCAAGGCGGCCGAAAAACACTCTTGCAGCCTCATCATCACACCTCCCCATTTCCTCCAGGCTGAGATCCTCCAAGTGCGGCCAGACCGGCTTGTTGAATTCTCTCATGCCGAACTTTTCAAGGTCCGACCTGATATATGGCCAATGAAGCGTTGTCAGATTGGGGCATTTACGAAGCCACCTCCACAGTCCTTGCGTGCGTGCCGAAAGGTAACGTTTCTCGTCGCACTTAAAGCTCTTGAGTCGCACTGAACCATCAACAGCGGCATCATACACCTCCGCACATGAATCAAATCTACGCGTGTACTCAATCTCTTCAAAGCGTCTCCAGACCTCCCAGAACACAGGTTCACTCGAGCCTTCACTACTGCTTCTTGCAAGATAGAGCCGTCTAGGGTTGTGAAGCGAGGTATGAATTGCGTCCCAAAAGTATTTGTTGAGGAAGAGATGTTTGGCGTTGATGGTGATGTCCTGAATCGATGAGTTGATACGGAAGAGATCGGCCAAGTTGAAGCACATGGCGCGCCCCTTTATATAGCAGTCCGAGTTGTCGAGCTGGAAGAAAATTAGTCTTGGGAAGGCGATCTGGTAAAACCCTTTGGAGACCGTGTCCTGGAATCGGAGGGAGAAGACCAAGTGGGCATGGTCCTAGAGGGTGGGTATGAACGCTGGGGGTGTGGTGGGCGTGATGGTAATTCGCCTCCAGACGAGGTGTTGGAAGTGGTGATGGGCCCATCTGGAGACAAGGATGAGAGGCACAATGGAAGCACTGTTGGTGAGGGCAAGTCCAATGTGTTCGAGGATCTCTCCTGGAAGGCCGGTGATGTATGTCATGGGTGTGAATGTAAAGGAGACGAAAAGGGAGGAGCGAAGGGTGGAGAAGGACGTGTGAAGGAAAGTGAAGTAAGTCGAGAAGGAGGGCGCAAATATTTATGTGTTTGCACACCTTCAGCGCATGGATGAAGAGGGTTGATGATTCATATGCTGTAAGTTTTTGTGTTCGCTTTTTAAGTTGGTGATTGCTCGTTGGTCGGTCTTGTCATGACTCATTTTGGCACCAGACTGAATGGTTATTCGCATCCTTATACATAAGCGTGCGCAATGGTTGAAAGATAAAGGAATCATGTATTTTGTTCTTTCCCACGACGTAATTCCTTGCTGTTTCACCAGCGCGACCAAAGGCTCTTGAGTATCGTCATCCGCAGAAATCGTTCCAGAAGTGTCTTAAGCACTGACCAATGACCCATCATCCACTCAATATCCTGCCTCCTCAAATCCTCCTCCACAGAAACGAACTTCACCCTTCTCAACCTCGTCAACATCAACAGTCGATCCAACCCCCCCATTCGGCCTCAACTGCGGCAACACCTCGATCACTTTCACCTACCCTGAAAAGTTGTTCGTGTTGGAGTACCGACTAATGTCGAGTTCTTCCAGACATGTCAACCTCGACAGTTGGTCAAACAACAAGCCAGTGGATCCTGCGAGGTCTCTCGGGTCGTATAGGAAGGTCGCTTGTAGGATTCGTAGACTGCGACAAGCCCAGGGTCGAGGATCTGACTGGACGTCACGCAGGAAGAGGCGATGGATTCGAGGGACTTCTAATGGACACATCCAACCAGGACCTGTAATGACAGCTCGCTCTCGCACGACCCGAACCCTTTCACAGAGAGGGTCCATTAGGCTGTCGAATTGGCGATCGCGAAAGAGTCCGAATGACGTCGGACCAAAGCCCCCATAGGAAATTTCGAAATGCTTCAGCGATGGTGAGAGGTGGTCCATCAGGACGAATAAGGTGGTCGTCGGAAGCGCTTACAAGGGCTAAGTAGACATACTCCAGGTGTGGCCAGCATCCAAGGCTAGTGTGGCTATTGTTACTACTCTTTGTCTCTGCCTCAGTCATAGCAACCACCTCTTCGGCAACAATCAGCCCATTTCATCGAAGCCTCGTCAGGTTACGACACCTAACATAATGAAAAAGTCGTTAAATGGTGTGTCGGTGTCTGTTGACCCTCGGTTGCAATTTGATACTTTGTATTCAACTCGGAGGGTTTTTTTTGAAAAAAATATATTCGCATAGTCAGAAAGCAGAAGCCAGTGTGGCACCATGGTAAATGTCCCCGCGGTTCCTTAGCATTACCACACACGTCATCACATAACACGACACACACACGACACTCACCACACACACAAAGTGAAGAAAAGACTGCAAACTATATATCAAGTGACACGTAACGTTATTAGATGAAGAGGTTGAAGCTTGAGGCGTGAATCCCTCTCTGACTAATCAACGCCATAAGGTTCTTCTGAACAGTCGAGTCCAACGAAAAGCATCCAGTTAGAGTCTCGAGCGACGGCCAATGATCCATCATCCACTCAATATCCTCCACCTCCAAATCCCGTCCCGATCTTTTGCACATAAAGACCCTGAGCCGCGTCAACACAGAAAGTCGACCAAGTCCAGAATCCAGCTTCCAAGAAAGCGAGGGTATCGTGGCCTCTGGACCAGTAATGGGCCCAAAATGGCTCAAGCAATGCGTGGCGTAGAGCTCCTCCAGGTGCACCAGTTTCGATAGCTGTTCCAGCAACAAGGTGTCTACACCAGGGTCACTGGGGTCACTTTCAAAGGTCACTCGGAGGCGCTTCAGCCCTTGGCACACCCAAGGCTGAGGAGTCGAACGAAAGTCCCTCAAGTCAATGTGATATGCCTCAAACACAACCAAGTGTGAGAATTGGAGCAAAATGTCCAACGCCATCCTGCTTGTGATCGTTCCAGCTCCGGCCAGAGATAATGTCTGCAAGCTGTCGAGGTGCCGTTCCTGAAGAATACCGAAGCACACCGGTCCAATGGGTCCCATCAAGATCGTTAGGCGCTTCAAAGGCGGCAGGTGGATGAGAACGACAGCAGCAAAATCCTCTTCCGACTCCTGAACATAACCCAGACTGAAATCTTCCAAGTGCGGCCAGAGCGGGCGCTCCGTAACAGTCGCGAGTTGTTCGATCGAGATGATGTCACGCCAGTGGAGCCGTGTCAGGTTTGAACAGGTTCCCATCCACCTCCAGATTTTCGTCGCATCAATTGGAAAAGGCGTTACCGCAGCCCTGTAGTCGAGGCTTTTGAGTTGAGAAAAGTCGACAGTGCCGAGATCCAGCGAGCCCGATTGATCCCAACCCCTGTAGATAACCTCCTCGAACCGACTGCATGCGTGCCAAAATTCTGGCCCGTACATGAAGTTTTTGACAGCGCCCCCGTACAACCCTCCGTCCAACTTGAGTCGCCTCGGGTTCAATAACGAAGTTGACACGGCCTCCCAAAAGCGGCTACTCATTCCCGTCTCCAGTGTAATGATGGTGAGGTCCCGTATAGTCCTATGGCGCGAGATAAAGTCCTCCAGCAACCCAATCGCGACCTTGTTCTTCTTGTCTTTTTCCAAGAAGCGGTGTTGGAAGGTAACGAGACCTGGGAAGTCGACCTGGTAGAAGCCCTTGTAGATACTACTTTCAAATCGCACGTGGCGGACTGAATGGGCATAGGGCTCGAGGAACTTGACGAAGCGCCATGAGGTGAATTGGGTGAATCTGAGATGTCGCCAGCGGAGATGGCCAAAGTGCTGACGGCAGAATCGGGAAGCGAGGACGAGAGAATTTTTTGTTGCGCCGGTGTCGATGAGGTCTCCGATGAGAGCGAGGACTTCAGGAGGGAGATCGGTGAAGTGCGGCATGGGTGACTGTAAGAGGGAAGTGTGAAAAGGAGCAAAAGGATGGAAGGAAGGAGGCGAAGAAATACTAAAAAAGAGCGCGACTGAGGCAAAAGGACAGACCAGTGACGTAATTTTCGCGCATTTTCCTGTTTCCCTTTGGTGTCCATCCTTTCATTCTTCGCTGGCCTTTGATCCTTTTCTCTTCACTTCATCGCTGCACTTGATCGTTCACTGTCCTTTCTCTTCTTTGTCACGATCCTTTGCTTTCATTTCTCTCTCTCTCTCTCTCTCTCTCTCTCTCTCTCTCTCTCTCTCTCTCTCTCTCTCTCTCTCTCTCTCTCTCTCTCTCTCTCTCTCTCTCTCTCTCTCTCTCTCTCTCTCTCTCTCTCTCTCTCTCTCTCTCTCTCTCTCTCTCTCTCTCTCTCTCTCTCTCTCTCTCTCTCTCTCTCTCTCTCTCTCTCTCTCTCTCTCTCTCTCTCTCTCTCTCTCTCTCTCTCTCTCTCTCTCTCTCTCTCTCTCTCTCTCTCTCTCTCTCTCTCTCTCTCTCTCTCTCTCTCTCTCTCTCTCTCTCTCTCTCTCTCTCTCTCTCTCTCTCTCTCTCTCTCACACACACACACGCACATGTCCAAACAAAACAAACTAACAAAGGTAATGTTGCTGCAAGTAAATGACAACCTCTACATCCATTTCGCCTGCCCTCTCTGCCCACTGGCTTTCGTTTTACAGCGGATTGATTTCAGTGTCGTAGAGGAATGGGTTCGTCGCGTTCATTGCCCGAATATAGCCCGCATCTTTTGTTGCCATCTATATATCCATCAATGATCCCGCCAACGTACATGAGTATTTAAAGGTTATTTGGCTGTTGGCAGCGACTGGCATTGACAAGGACACTCATGTCTACCAGGAGATTAGTTGTATCCAGCCTGTCTGTAATATCCTGTGGCTTCATCTAATGCTTTTCTTTGTCAAGTTTCTCTTGAGCAATAGGATATCGTATACACGATCAAAACGCCACCATCTCTCTCGGATCGTTTTGTCAGGCACACCTCTGCATGTGCCATTGTCGGTCAATGAAAGAAAAAGAACAAAGTGAAAAGGACTGCCGCTACTTTCTTCGTCTTCCTTCCTCCTTACTCATCAAAAACAACAATCTCATCACCAACCACCTCATTCACACATTCCGTCCCACCATGTCAGCGCTCATCATCCCCGAGCTAATCGAACAGGTCGCCGCCTATCTTTCCATCCGTGACCTACCTCAATGCGTCCGCGTCAACAAAACCTGGAACACCCTCCTCACTCCCTTACTTTGGCGCACCATCCTCCCATTCCCATATCAACTAGCCGAACGGGAATTCTGCGACCTGTGGATTTACCCCGCGTCGCAGGGAGCTCTTTTCTCGACTCCTCTTGAGGCAGACTGTTGCTCTGCCCACCAGCCTCCTCCTCCTCCTCCTCCTCCTGCACCAATGATGGAGGAATACTACGACTCTGAGTATTCATTGTCGTCGCTTCCTTTGTCGACTTTTTGCCAGTTGGTTAAGCACCTGAGTATTCATCAACTCTCGCCCATAAGTGAACAGCCATCGCTTCCACGACCGCCATCTCCAGAATCGGGACCTGTGACGTCGTCTCCACCACTGCCTCCAGGCCCTCGTCCAACATCAATCGACCTCATGTTGCACCCCCTCCAATTATCCACCAGCCTGCAGACCCTGCGAATGTCGACCATTCACCTATACTATCCAAGAACTAAAGGAGGCTCATGGTGGAGAAAGACCTTGCTTCATAGGCTCCCGAACACGCTGAAGCTGCTCGTGGTTGCGTTTCCGTCATCTTTGACATTTGCACAATCGCCTGTTCCACCACCTTTGTTCTCGTGGTGCCCTATCGGGTTACAGGAAATGAAGTTTCATTTTGGATACAGACACTTTGGATAGTACGCTCAGGCGGATGAAGAAGATAACGACAGCGATAATAACCACAGTAACAACAACACAAGAATGGACGACAAGGAGGAGAGAGGCGTGTGCCAACTGCCGGCGATGAAAGCCTTGAAGGTGACTTGCAAAGAAAACGGCCCTTACCCACCATCATTTTCCCGGTTCCTTGGGCGATGCAGCAAGCTCCACTCGCTTCACGTCACCTCGATCGACCCAAGTTGGGTCTCAGCCCTGGCAGCGAGCGAGTTTCTCAAGAGACTCGAGTTTCATTTCGTCAACACAGCAACCGTTCGACTTCTCGGTACTGCTCTCAAGGACGGGCTACCCCACCTCGACGAAATCAAGTTATACGGCGACACCTGGGATGTTAAAGATATCGATTTGGCGCCCAAGCTTTCTGCCTGTCGTGCGGGTTGGCGATCGGTCAAAGTAGACTTCCTGGGGTGTTATTCTGCCGATGCGCTTATCAAACACAACCATTGCCTCACCCTCGAGTACTCATGCTGTCCGAGTCACCTGAACTAGCAAGTCTGATGAGTGCACAGATAGTCGAGATCCTTGCGTCCAGCCCGAAGTTGCACACCTTTGTGACCTTGCGCGGAGACCCGCCCCAGGATATTGAAGTGCCGCAGTTTCCAATTTTGCTTGCGGACGAATTTATTGACCTCGAGCCATTGACCGGTCAGCTCAAACCTTGGTTGTGTGAGTCGACACTACAGAATTTCCGGGCCAAGATCGCGAGGATCCCACGACCGGAAATCACCAAGACATTTCAAGGACATTCTCTGCAGAAGTGGATGGTACTAGAAGAGGCATATCTAGGTCAGGGTCAGGAGTATCAGCGACAAGCCTATCAGCGTCTTGCGAGGCTGAGTCGACTGGAACGACTGGAACTAGGATATGAGGATCGGGATTTTTGTGAAGAATGTCGGCTGATGGCTACTGAGTCAACAGTGGAACAATGGGATGATGAGCACTACCAGTACACCTATTTAGAGATGCGTCTCAGGAGTGGTTGGACTACTGGAGGGGTTGAAGGAGTCGAAAGTGTTGAATGTTATGCGGATGATTGCGAGTTGGCCGAAGTTGAAACGGATGAGCAGATTCAATTATTCTGTTGATGTCGAGTTTACAGCTCAAAATTGGTTATGTGAGAAGTATTCTCAGATCAAACTGAAGATGTGTGATCGAGGCATTGCGCCTTTCTATTAAAATAATGCATTCAAACCGCTAATCTCAGTTTAGGTGGCCTTTTTTTTGTTCTTCAATTAAGCATCTAATCACTCCGATTATTAGACAACTAATTTTTCACGCTATCGATATGCAAACCATGTTCCACACTCACTTTGCTTGGTCGGTCCCCATAGAACAAAGCGAATAACGACCTCAGAGTAGTTAAGCACTTAATGTTTTGAGGCGAAACTTTTGCTTCAAAACAATGTGTTAAACAATTTTATATGAAACGCGCATTATACACAGATTAGCGGCTTATAATGGTTTATAGATTTTTTTATTCCGAGCACGATAGACAGTTATAAACCAGTCACATATGTGTGAATAGATTGTTTCATGTGCCCTCTCCTCTCGTGCCTGTGCCTGAACACATTGAGAACTGCGTTGCCCTCCTGCTTACATCACACTCTCTGCCCTCTATTCCTCTCTGCTCTTCCCTCCCTCTATCCCTAGGTCCTTCTATCATCACTCTCTCTACTCCCCTCTCTACTATCCTCTTCTCTCCTCCTTCCCTCAGCATTGCCCTCACCCTGCTCCTAACCATATGTAGAGCGAGCTGACATGTAACACTGTGATAGACCAAGGATGGTGTTTATTCTCTTCTCTTTGGGTACTTTCTCGAGGGTGCTTTGGGAAGAGCCTTGTAGTATTTATCAATTGAACCAACAGTATCGATTTGCCCTCTTACGAAGGCAAGTGCATTGTTTACGGCGGACTTGTCAACCTGCAAGCCAGCTGGGATAGAGCGCAGAACCGAATGTACAATGTCCTTCTTCCACTTGTAGAGCTGTGCATCTTTGCCTCGCCACGCTGAACCGAACCACCTATTAAGCTCTGCGATGGAGGGGGACCCATCGACGCCGTGGTAAACCCACTCTTGCCACAGTTGGTCGAGCGTATTCGGTCGTGGGATCAGCTTGCACTCGGGCATTAGGGGCATATGGTGTTGGGTCTCTCCTCTCGCCCTCTTCTCGTCGGCGACTAAGGCGGCTACTTGTCGCATTCTGTCCTCGACATTGTCGCTGGGGTTGAAAGCGGCCAGAGCTGCGCGGCGGTGCGCATCCCTTGAAAGAACTGCAGTGGAAGAAGTCAGAGGTCTTGATTCTTGCTGGCCAGCGTCCGGCTCTGGAAGCTGAAGAAGAGCGATGGCGGTAGCCATAGTGGTACTCTGGCTTGCTACACTGCCGTTGACGTCGTCACTGACCTTCACCTCATCGTCCTCGCTAATCGCCACCACGGCTTCCACCGTTGACTTGAGAGCTTGCATCAACTGAGATCGAACGGCATCCTTGTTCAAACATTGTCGCTTGTTGCCTGCCAGTTTGTCATTGTTGCCAATGCACCGCTTCAAGTCCTTCAGCTCGGATGCTGTCCTATCATTCTGAGCTTGTAAAGTAGCTGCTAGAACATTCATACCGGCGTGCAAACTCTGAAGTCCGGCTTGCTGGCTTTGCTGCAGGCTCCGGATTGCAGCATCTTGGACACCGAGCCTCGCGCCGACCCTGTCAAACTCCAGTTGGATGATGGGTGTGGCAGATGCGAGGGAATCCGTGAGAGGAGAGGGATTTCTCATGCTCTCGAGTAGGGTTTGCTGGAAATCTTGAAACGCAGGTGTTTTGAAGACAGGGTGATCGAAAACAGGGTGCGCGGCGGCAGCACCACCCCCGGACAGGATGACAGCTGCATCCTGAAGGATAACCTTTCGCAGGTGGGCGAGAAGGCTAAGATGGCGCTTTCTTGAAATGACCTCATTCGACAGAACGGTCTGCATATCCTTGTCCGTGTACACCTGCTTGACTTCCTTGCACTCGCCCCGTCGCAGCTTCTCACGCAACTCCTCGCGTCCGTGGAAAACGTCGCAGTCACGCATAATGTTGTCAATCGTGAGCCTCCAGAACGTGTCGGAGCAAGCATCCTCGATGAAAGGGAACAACTGCCTTTGGAGCTCAATGCTGGGGATCACAGTGTTCCGAGCCAACCAAAAGCGCTCTAGACGGTCGCGGTCAAATCCAGCCAATCGAAGGGCCACTGAAGGCTCTACACCCTCGAGATAGTGAGTTGAGAGACGGTTCGATGCCCAGTTCCCGTGCTTAGCGATAGCCTCTACCGTAGATCCACACATATGCGCGAATCTGGAGCCGTGCTTGCGCCCAAGGTGAGTCACTGTGCCCTTGTCCAATATCCCGCTCTCATGAAGAGCCTCCACCTGCGCCTGGAACTGGGAGTTGTAAGTCATCGGTGCATCCATTGGTTTGTTTCCAGCTAACAGATGGTAGTCGGTCCATTTAGGGTTGGTGAGATCAGGCGCCCTTTTGTTTTTGCTCTTAGTACAGCAAAAAAAAGGAAGAGGTGGGGGGAAGAACGCATTATTAAATGAGTGTTGAAATATGAGTGACACGACGCGTCGGCCGCCGACATTTACCACATGCACGCCACTTACCGACCAAAGCTCAAGCAAATAAAAGGCTAGCGCGCCAACTGGACACACATCTACTTCTTTGTTCCGAACTGCAACTCCATACTGAATCTTGCCGTCCTTGTTCGTCTTGCCTTGCCTCATCATCAGCACAACTCCAAGCACGAATTGGCCTTCTCTGCAGCTGGCATCGTTCGTATTTTTGTTGCGGTTGGGCTCGACGTCGTGGGCGAAAAGATCCGGGAGTCGGATCTGGCGTGTGACCTCGCTGCGGAACATCATAAAAAAGCAAAGACTTACATCCGCACGGTCGCGTAACCCTTTCAAGCGGCGCTTTCTCAAGCTGGCTGCGCCCTCCACATTGCGCATCCAGAATCGCTTCATTAGCTGCCGAACAATCGAAGTTGGGTTCTGGGTGAAGTCGATAGAGCCAAAGTCGGTATCTGTCGACCTCTTCCTGGCGGACATCCTCACGCGGTAAACGTCGATCAGAGGTTGAAGGTACGTCTTCGGGGCCGGAACTGTGCCATAATCCATCGCTAAATTGTTCCTGTCTTCACACTGATGCTTATAGAGGTCGCCAATGGCAGCGAGGTGCAAGAGAATGGTTGCCGTCGAGTACCACCGCTCTTCACTGTTATCGTTGTTGCTGTTGTGGATGTCAACGTCTCGACTGGCGTCCCCCTCGCAGTCGTCATCGCTTTTGTCCTCCACATCGCCTCCATCGACATCATCATCAGAACACGGGTCATCCATATTTGCCCGCCGTTCGCCGGACTTGTCCTTGCTGTTGTTGCCCTTCCTGTCTCTTGGCAACGGTTTGATCCGTATAATACCTATAGCATTTATATTTTCGTTAGTTCTTATAATTTCAAACACCACCATAGCGTTTCGTCGTCGTCGTCGTATCGTATGACCGCTCACATTAGTTCCATTCTTCATATTCATACCGTTTTGAGGATCTTCCGTCTCGCAGGTCAGGCAAGCAAAGTAACGGGTTACTTTGCCTTTCGTGACGTTGTAATCATCCTTATATCCAGAAACGTCGCACCATTCCTATACCAATGGATGGAGTGATTGAGTTAGTTAGTGCGTCGAGTCGGGGGCCATAGTTTATCTATGCTTGTGCAAAAATGGGGGTACATTTTACAATTTGCCATACCATGAACTTCTCCTGGTACCGATCATACTGGTCCCGCGTCGACTGGGCTTGCAAGGACTTGCGAGCTTCGGCCACAAGCTGGGAGCTTGCTAGCTCCTTCTGCTTATTACAGAGGTGATTTTGCTGTTCAACCCTATTGCGTTCGCGGTAGGTTTCCAGCTTAGATTTTGCTCTTGCCGGCTGGCTGCCTTGCATGCTCGTCTGCTGCCGTTTGTTTCGTGCTATGGCTTTGCCTTTAACAGAAAAGCTGCACGACTTGTTTAACGCGAAACAATAAAACAATAGAACGAAATAGTAAGTATGGTGGTATGGTGGATGCCAATCAGGTACAGGACATATCGCCCCAATTGTGCAAAGACCTTTTTAGCTTACCCGTGTCATTAATTAGTCGGGTATTGGGGGGGGGGGGGGGGGTTGTGTGTAATGTGTATTGGGGTGTGGGCTTGTTTGAATCAGGCTAATGTGGCGATGTGAAGTGAGAAAGAGGGAAGATTGGGGTGTGGGCTTGTCTGAATGAGGCTAATGTGGCGATGTGGAGTGGAGAAAGAGGGAAGAATGGAGTGACATGCATGCGTTCCATGTGGATGATTCCGCCAGAAAAAAAAAATTATGCAAGGCTGCCTATCGGTTTAAAACCGTGCCTATGCCGACGGGGATAAACCCATATGTGTCACGTGACTTTTATAAACCGACCTTATGTGGATAACCCCGCAATATATTCATTCTGCTATTCTACAGGTGCTTTATTTTGAGTTGCTGACTGAGTGGAAACATGATGTTGGTGTGGTGGTAGTGTAACTGGGTGGCAAGAGTCTTTATTCGTTTGCAGGTCAAATTCCCAAGGCACTGCTTTTATGCTACAAAAGTCGACGACTACATGGGAAGAAAAGGGGAGAGAATGTCGACTGCGCCTTGCACCATGCCATGAATTCGTTTCATCGTTTTCAAGCGGTGGCGCACATTAATCATGGGTCACATGGTTATTGCCTGTGAGTCAATCAGTCAGGTCACTTCACGACGGATGGTGGACGGCATTAATATTTAAGTCTTCGCCATATTGAGCGCCTGTCGCTATTTCCATATTTACTTTGTCGTGTTTTGTTCTTTACTTTGCTTGCCTTCTCACTTCACCATACACTTCTCCAACCTCAACCATCCTTATCCACCCGCCTTCTTTTCCTATGATTCCCATCACTGTCAATTCTCGTCACTCTTATCGCCCACCACAAGATGGAGTGTTGCAACGTTTTCGAGTTCCAGGAGTCGCTAATTCTCTCATAATTCTTCCAGTGCGAAGACGCTGTAACGACGGATTCCACACAGTCCTCTTGAGAGATGTCGACAGGTGTTTTGAAGGATTTGATTACATCGAAGCCGATGGCGGAGTAGATCATATCTTAAATAGCAGCGTAGTTCCTATCTTAGATGAACCACAGTAAGGTTTTACAAAGCGCGGTTATGATGAACATCCTCTTTTTTATTTTATAAATGGAAAGGAATGTCTCAGGCTAATGATATGGGTTTGTAACAGCTGATGAACTTAGACATCCCCGTCGGATTCGTGCCTACCCTGATCAAGTTCTGCGAGTTATCTACTCGTCAAATGACAGCATTTCCAGTGTTAGCCGAGCCTTTCACATGATGCAAGTTCAGGGGACACAGTACCATCCAGGGGATGAGTCCGAGGAAGGAGGAGAGGGAGGGGAAGGAGGATATGATGATCTCATGGATGACGACGACAACAGGGGATATGAGACTGATGGTGACGACATGGATGGAAACCAGTCAGCCGCGGTGGACTACCTTGAATGTCTCTGAGAACGATTGGTTATGTCAGGCAGCAGATGGAGTCGGCCATGGAACGGGTAGGATAGACAGTCAGTCAAGGAGAAATGAATAAAAAACATTGTCGGTAATGAAGAGTTAAAGCTTGGGGTGCGATAACCACTGAGTTCGAAAGACATGGCTTCTGCTTTACCCTGGTACCCCCCCTGCTCCCCTTCTTCCGCGTCTTGCAGGCTTGGTTTGGTGTGGGGTATTACAAATGAACATTTGCAGAATGAGCGCCTCAAGCCAAACGATAGCTAAAAAAACAGATCGCTTCGCCATTTGTGCGCATGAATTCAGCTCAAATATAACGCCGTAGCGTTTACCTACTCCAATCAATATTCCAAGCTTTTTTTTCACTTTTCTTCTTCTTACCTTGCCATCTTTTCTCCTTTTACTTTTCCACTCTTCTTTCTATCTACTTCCCTCCTTCCTTCCTCCTTCACGTTATACCTCCCTTTGACAACATTCTCGGTACACAACATTTCCATCATCAATCGCACATATGGTCACACAGGAACATATCGACACAGTGCTGACCGAGTCCACCTTGGATGTATTGGATGCATCGGTTGGCATCTATTGGCGCGAACCAGTCGAAGGCCAAAACGTTACCGACATCGACATTGCTAGATCCCAGAGCAGAGCGTTCAGCTGGGCACGTGATGTGGTCATCCCAGCGGAAACGCGGGTACAACCTGACCGTGAGACCAGAACTCGCCTTTCCGAACTTTATTACCAGGTACGACCATGTTTTTTCTGTGAGTTGCGAAAATGGAGAGTTGACAAATACTCATGCTAATTACTATTTCTCTTGTCGTTCACCTGCTAGAACCGCTATCTGCCTCTACCCATGGTCCAGCGGGAACGTCTAGTCTGCGAAGAGAACACTCATATCCCTCACTGCCTGTGTCTCTGCAACGTTGTGTACTACTGTGGCTCGATAACCTCAGGCCAACCTCTCTGACGGAGGGGATGATCAAGAAGAATTTTCTTGCGGGGACAGGGTAAGCCTTGTTAGTTATTAGAAATCATTATCAGCACTCGCACCGAGCTATTACTGACATCCATTTGTTTTATCACAATGCTAATAGATCCTTTCAAGGAGAGATACCTGGGGATACACATCTGCACGATCCAGGGTCTGCTGCTCTTTGCGAACGAAAGCAGGACTATCGCTCAGCGTACAGGACTCGTCAACCAAGCCATCAACATGGCCTGCATAATCACTGTTCATTCCAGGCAGGATGAGAGCATCAACAGTATCATGAAGGCGTACCTTGCACGCCTGTTCCGGTGCTGCTTTATCTACGACTTTACCCTATCCGCCATCGAAGGGGGACTTGCCTTGATCAATGACGAAGGCACCGCTGTCTACATGTTTGAGGCAGGCGACTTGGGCCCAGAGGACGAGGCCTGCTCTGGCCAGCACATGCTTCACTGTGTACTCGGAGTAGTTCCTCTTCAACGGCTTGGAGCTGCTGGACAAGTCTTTGGTCGAGTGGCAAGAACAGCTACCGATCGTCTTGGATATCCTTCCAACTAGGGCGTAAATTACATCTCCGATCAGGGCGATGGCTACTAGTGCCCAGCTATCATGCTACTCTCTCTTATCGTCTTCCTTCACTACTCCCACCTTCTTGACTCCGAAACTCATACACACCCTTTATTGGTGAACAAGGTGGACCTTCAGACTCCCAAGAATACTGCACTCAGACCGCCAATGGGATCATACGGGTCATAAGCGTCTTGATGGAGAAGGCAACTTAAATACTCGAACAGGACATCGTCGTACGATATGCGCTCAACATGACCATCAGGATCCATCATCACGACTCAAGGGTTAACCATAACACCTTTCTTGCGAAGGGAGCAGGGCGAAACCTTTACACAGCCATTGTCCTTGCGGGAGAGATATTCTCAGAGTACGATTATTTCAACTGGGAAACAGTGGCGAAGGGATGAACCTTCGGGATGACTCGATGGCGTTTGTGTTTCTGCTGTCAGGCTGGATTATGTGAAGGCACTGTCACCGTAAGAGGACTGTAGGCATGAGCATTGAGAATTGGCGAGGGTGGATACAAGTAGATTTTGACTATTTTTTCTGAAGGAAAATGCATGTAAGAGAGAGGAAACGAGTCATTGTGTTGCTTTGATTTTCTTTTTTGCTTTGCTTCGAAAATAAGGGAGAAACAGGAAGATGCATACCGTTTAAATGTCGTCGAAAGAAAAATGTAAGCAACTGAACCTTTGGCGGATTTAATCACCAGAACGAGCACAAAAATAAAAAATGGCTCCAATCCTTCTTACGGTTCCATTTCGTTGTCCCTTCATCCCAGCGGTTAAACTCTTGTTAGTAAAGCAAGAGAGGTAAAGAGGAAAGAGAAAGAAGTCAGTTAATGAAGTTATCAATGTGGATGAATGTGAAAGGGCATGATGCTTGGATCGACCAAAGGCGAAAGTGCCACAGTTGTTGAATAAGAAGAACTGGATGTGAATTCTGGGGCCGAAACACACGTACCATTATTAGCGATGGATCGTTGTCTGGCGCGGATAAGATACGATGACCTAAAGAGAACCCCGACAGTAATTGGAACGAGTGTGTCTGAAAAGGTCCTGTCGTTATCATTCACACCCTCGCCTCTTTCGCGGTATCTCGCAGTTGCACGACCGGATCACTCATCTCTTTACATCATAAAGATGTTGGTTGACATTTGAGAAAACCTCCATTTTTCGCCAAAAGCAGCTTATTTCTTACCCCAATATACCACTTTATGCTTTTCTCTTTCTTTCCTCTTCACCTCTCCCTTCCTTTGCACCCTCCCTCTACCTAAAATACTCGCACTCTTTCCTCGTTCCCTATACTTTGTTTGCCTTTGGTCTCCTCACTCTCCTAGGCATCTCACTATCAGCGAAACTCCAACGCTCCATCATATCAATGACATCGAGCTATCGAACACCCTACCGCTACCGCTCGTCTAGCCATTATTATTCGTAAACCCGATGGCGATAAATTGCTCACTGTAAACTCTGTAAGGAGATCGACTGGGTATCTTTTTTTATGTACACTGATGGTTCCCCTGCCAAAAGGAATACTACCACACGGTAGGATTGATCCATCCGCGGTGAAGTTCAGAATGTTCCGCATTTGTACAAACCGGATGCAACCACGGAGAACTTGGAATCGATTCATGCCCTGGCAGTCCAGCTTGGTTTTACTCGCCTAACAATCACCACAACGACCTCTTCAGGATCCGACAGTGCCGTCGATCGTCCTTCCCAACCGTCTTTACCTGAGGAGTCGCCAAGGTTCATAATCACCAACTTCGAACAGATCTCTCGTGGCTTGATTGGTGGACTGATGGATTTGACTGTGGTCTTCGATCAGGTGTTGGAACTTCCGGTCTTTCTTCTTGACCTACTAGGCTTGTCGCCCACAAAAGATGCTTTGGTTCTCAAGATCACGGATCCATCGTCGACTTATACCGTCGGTATTCACGACAACGGTGTTCAACTCCTGGAACTAGAACTGGTTTGGCTGATGTCTCGAGGATACTCTCCACGGCCAAGTTCGACGGCGATCTGTAATCCATTGCCATTATTGATCTCAATCCGGAGAAGGGTCTTTTTTCCAGGACCAACAAAATCAAGGCGATCCTTCCATTTGCCTGTGAATGATTTCCCCAAAGCCAAGGCAATGATGGAGTCGATTTATGCGGAGCTTTCATCCGAACAAGCGCTGGATTCCTAACTTCTCATATACGCCCTCATCGACAACAAGGACGACCGTCTCTTTGTGACATTCCTTATACCCAACAACAGACTCACCAAGTCCATCCTCGCCGATGCCACTGTTCGTAACCCCCGGACGTAACCTCGACGCCTTTCTCGACACCTACGGTCCCTTCATTCGGATACTGAACACCAATGACAAATTCAAATCAACCTGCTTCGACACATTGTCCAAGGCAACCCTTCGTCAAGATGTCTTGGTCGGCTTCCCTTTGAACAGCGAATCAAGCACGGTCCCTAACATGTTGGAAGGCATGGGACGCGTTCAGGTTGTGATATTCCAAGGTGAATTAAACATGGAGACATGGATCGCGCAAGTGCTGGAGTCCCTAACCAGCAGTTCCCCTTTAATTGTGCTTGACCGGGTCGAGGACTTCCACAGGATCGCCCCTGGACACGACGAAACTAGCCTGGGTTGGTTGAAGTTTCGGCAAGATATCCAAGCTCTCAACGCCTTTCATCTAGAGGTAATTGCAGAGCTCGTTAAGGCTACCAACCATGACGTGCAGCAAAACAGACCTTGGAAGGAGCACCTTACGGCCTCTACACAGGACTCTGGCTATGCCTCTAATATTTCATATAGAGAACCTTTTTCCATCCATAAAATCCTTAAGAAGATCGACGATCTTATAAAAGGTCGATTTCTATCCAGGCACCACCATCTCATCACTGATTACTTTATCCGTGTCTCTCCGGGGGGTCGTTGTAGAAAGAGGGAGGGAAGAGTCTTCATCAAGCAACCATTCTTTTTTCACTCCTCTTGCTGCTCGGACGGCTAGCCCTGGAGAAGGCACTTGTGATATACAAAAGAGAAAGATGAACCGGTTTTCCAGAGAGGCAAATAGATGTACGGTCAACTGATCGAGCTCGAAACAACTGTGATCCAGCTGGTAGAACGGTCCCAGGAGAAGCAACGTGTGTTGTCGATGAACAAGTCGAGTAGTAGGGATGCGACGATGATTAAGGATCTAATGGTGCGTCAGAGCGGGTATGCACACTTGTTGGTGTCGTATCAGACGAATGTGACGATGGACCAGGTCCAAGAGACGCAGGAGAAGTTGTATAAGCGGGGGATCCATTGGTGCCTCTTTACCATGAGTGACCTCTGAGTTCCTCGGGGTTTGGGTCTCACTATAGGCAGTAACATGCATTGTTCACAATTAATACCATGAAAGTTTTGCCATTACCTTTCTATTGCACTAACACCTTTCATTTCCCTAATGCCATTTGTTCTACTTTTTCCACAGCATTTTTCTTTCTGCACCTCTCCACATAAAGAGTGAACTGGTTGTGGGAATGGACCGTATTGAACAATTCTTTTGGCGGTTTTGGTTAATTGCAAAACTGAAATGTGTCGTCTATCATAGGTGTGGAAAATGCAATTGTCGCCGGTGCGATAAATAAAAGGATAGAATAGTCATAAAGATGAGAGGGGATGAACCACCACTGCAAGTAATACTCTGTCTGCCACAACACAACACAACACAACACAACACAACACAACACAACACAACACAAGGTGTGAACCCACGCCACTGTGCATTTGCCCTCATTGATAAAAAGTATGGACGGTCGTTTGTCAATCATAGTTTGATGTGTAGAGTTTTAAGTCTTCGCCAAATGATGGGAGGTAATTGTCGGGTCCAGCCCTATTCTACCACCCTCTCACAACTCTCGCACGGGTGTCGAAATAATTCATCGTTCAGAAACCCCAATTCCTCTCCTCTCTCTGACACACCCTCTCCCCTGTCCCCCACTAGCCTCCCCCTTGAATCTGCATCACCTCTCCTCTCTCCTTGCAACTATCAACGGATGCCCTGCATCGCTCTCGGTTGGTTGCGGATGTGGTACTACCTCCGTGAAATTTAGAGGATTACATCCAGCACCACATCAGGATGTGCTTCAATCCTGCGAGGTTCAAGGCTAGAGGTATGAAAAGATGATCGATAAATGAAGGAGGGAAAGAACAAGTGGAGAGAATAGAGCAATTGGAGTTTGGGGTAATTGCGTAATTAGTACAAAGGAACACAGAATATTGACAAACATGGTGAGTGTCATGCAAAATTGTTGTTTATCGTCCAAGGCGTACATGTATGTGCGCAGGGGAGCAGCATAAGCAATTGTGTCACACAAAAAAAAACGGCTGGATAACGCCCAATCGTTGCATGTATCACACTAGCAAGCGACTCTTCTCGCTTTTGCCATTGTTCATCCTCCCCCCCCCCACACACCTCATCTTCAATCTCCATTTGTCATTACCATCACCACCTTTCACCGAAGCAGTATCGATAGGAGAGTCGAATTCACCGTAGCTAGTGCAAACAACAACACAAATCAACAAAAGACTTACTATTCAGAAGACCCCTCAGAACTCAAGAACGGCAAGACCGTCTCCCCACTCTGAACACACCTGGCCGCCGCAAACACGCTCACAATATCATGCCACAACACAATCCGTCTCCCCGAAGTGGGATCCCGTCGGATGATAATGTTGATCTCGTCCTTGCTTGTCAAGAGGGCCCCTTTGGCCCGGTGCGCGGCTTGAAGGCGAAAGGTTTGGAAGTTTGCTTCGTGCTTTTGAGGGTCCATTTTTTTTTCTTGTGGTGGTTGGTGAGTTGTTGGCGGGGGAAGATGGGGCAGAGGGGAGGCTGATAATTGGTGGTGGTGGTAGTGGAGATGCCGTGTGGGAGTAAGGACAAACTGGTGATGAAAGTTGCGATTAGTTTTCGAGAATGAAGAAAGAAAGAAAGTGTTGTTTTGAACATTTCAAATATTCAAATAACCCCATTATCTCCTTGTTTTTTTTTTGTACGACAATATAACAACTAACTTCCTGTGTCGCCAGAACTCGTCAACACACTCTACTCGAGCTTTCTGGACTCGGCTCGACAAAATCCTTCTCGGCAAGCAGTAGAGAGACGAGAGACGTAGAAGAAAGCCCTTTCATGCGAAAAAGCGAAAAAGGAATGTTCTATCTTTGCTTACTTACTCCCCTCTCACCTCCCCTTGCCCTTGCCCTTGTACGAGTGTTCTTTCTCTCCTAATTCACATGCATTATCTCCCCGCTTGTGCGAAACGCAATATGCAAGACAGACAAAACACGGACTCCAACACCAGCCTTTCTGGCTCAACAAATGCGTAGACTCCATGGAACCAAAAAAAACACAAACAACTTTCTTTCAAGTCCTTCCTATTGTGGGCGAACTTCCTTTGCATCCTTATTTCACCCATCAAAGCCGAAAGTACATGCACTTTTCCGTCTATCTTCGAATGGACCGAAACTCCTTTATTTGTTTTACTTGCTGCTTACACCTCTCCTTCCCCTTGTTCACTCTCCTACAATTTGTTTGGTATCAGAAAAAGGAAGGAAAGAGAAAAAAAAAATTACTTATGCAATCTCTCGCTCTGCCTGGGCGAGGATTGACCCCCCATTCACCGTTCCGTTCCCGCCAACCCCAACGGTCGAGGCATTGCCAACTCCGTGTTTTCCGTTAATTCCTCCTCCTCCCCCTTGAGTAATTGGGTAAGCCGTGGCAAGATTGGTAACACTCGCCCGTTTCTCCGCGGCATTAGCGGCAGCAGTCGAGGTCGAGGTCGAGATCACTCCAAGAGGCGCCCCCAAAGGTCCGATTCTAGGGGATCCAACAGCACTGGTCGTGTTAGGGCTTGTTGATGACGAAACATCGCGAGAGGTCGAGCTTCGTCGAAAGGCTCCCTGAATGCGAGCCAAGCTCGACTTCTTCCTGAGAGTGCTGCCTCCCATCTCGCTTTGGCGAAGGGTCATGACGGCGTCGTTGGTTGGAAGTGATGGTGTCGATCGGGAAGTAGAAGGGCGGTGGTTAGCCTGAACCTCAGACCACGTCTGGTTGTCGCCAGGTGAGTCTGCTCCAGGTGAGGAAGGACGCGAAAGCAAGTAAGAGAGCGACTATTATGGGAGGGAAAACGCGCATCATGAGTTAGAAACATTTTCGCGTCAAACCATATAGCTTCTTAACGACTCTTTCACACATGCAAGCGAAAATGGTCAAAGACTTACTCTGAACCACAGGTCGTGTTTTTCGCGTGTAGGGGCCTTCAACTTGACGTTGCGACTAGTGGTCTGGATCATAAGACTGACGGTAGGCAGGTCCGAGTTGGGCACTTCCTCGGTGATTTGAGTCACGGCAACAATTAATCCTAAATGCGCGCAAAAAGAAATTTCGGCTCGTAATTAATCGGCATGCTCCTTGCACACAATTCGCCATGATAGAAAGCCGGAAAAAAAAAAGGGTTGAACACGGAACGAGAAAAAAAAGCTAGATTAGCAAATCACTTACCGCTCTTCCCAGATTGCAGCGTGGATCCTCCTGAACCAGGGTTCTTCAAACTCCAGTGCAAGGTCTTGGTGTAAGGGTGGATCCACACATAACGCCAATGCATTTTTTCGTTCATCATGGTAGTGATCCTGCGGCGGGTGTACTTCCAGAGGTAGTCACCGATCATCGTCTGAGTAATCAACTGGATCATAGTTGGATCGGTGGGCGTCAAGTCGAAGTTGGAGCTGTTCGACATCCGTCTGCCATTGCGGAGATAGCCGTCCTGGTTGTAGTCGGTCGACATGCTGGAGATGGAGCCGTTGGGCGATGGTCTGTAATCGGGATGGCGGCCGATCGTAACACCCGAAGAGTCCGTGATGACGTGGTGGGGGTGAGTAGTGCTGCCAACACCATTGTTGAGGGGAGTCAAGTTCACCTGGCTCGTGCTGGGGGCGGCGTACGTGTAGGTGGTGTGCGAAGAGACCTCAACGACGGTGGTGGATGGGCGACTCAATGGCACTTCGCCAGCTGCTATAGAAGGCTGTTCCGTTTGAGCCGTTACTGACGGCAAAGCCACCTCCTTTTCTGTCGCAGCAAAGTGCGCAGGCGTAGGAGTAGACTCCTCGGCGGATGAAACGTTGTTTTGATCCGTAGACGAGTTCGCGGCGGCAGCGGCTGTTGCTACTGCCGCAACTGCAGCCGCCGCTGCCAAAGGTGCAGCAGTTTCCAACTTCGAGTGCTTCTCCTCGCCCTTGGTCTGCTCATAAATTGAGGCCGCCTTGGTATGATCCTGAGACTGTTCCAGAGATGCGGCAGGCGAACTGGCGTTGTCTTGGTAGATAGACTTGATTCGGCCAGTATCCGTTGCATTTTGATCGCCACCAAATGCTGATCCAAACGACACTCTGGACTCACGGTCCTCGGGATTGTCCATCACAGGCTCGGCAAGATCCGCTGGGACAGCAGGAACTGGTGGCGGCGACTCGACATCCGCGGGCTCCGAGATAGTCTGGCTCATATCGCAAGTATGGCGGCGCTCTTCCTCCACACTAGACTTAGACGCGCGACGAGCTGACTTGTCGGCAGTGGGCTCGACGTCTCCTTCCGTAGAGTGTGCAGCTGGGCTAGGGGTATATTGCACATCGTTGGTCAAAGTAGCATCAGCAGACTCGGCAGTGGTAGGAGCGGGGACAGTCTCGGTGGAGGTGGGTGATGGTGAAACGGCGTCATCCTGAGCGGGCTCGACAGTGGCGGCGACAACGGCAGGGATAACGACGGCGGCGGCGGCTGCAACAGCGGGGATATCGGTTGTGGGGACTGTAGGTGCGGTGTCGATAGGAATATGCTTTGTCTCCGTTCCAGGCTTGCCAGTGATAACTGCCTCGGATATGTCGTCCTTGGCTTCTGCAACAGTTTCCATGTTGTCAGAGTCAGGAGTGGAAGAGGAAACGCCATTGACAGCGGTCTTAGCCTGATCGCTTTTGTGGGCTTCAGCAGCCTCCTTGTCCTCGACAGTCTTCTCAGCATCAGCAGCATCCTTGCCCTCGACAGTCGTCTCAGCATCAACAGTACTATTGCCCTCGACAGCGTCCTTGTCCAATGAATCCGCATGTGGTGAAGGGGTAACGCCATTGGTGGGTGGGACAAAACCAGGGACGGTATGGATCCAGCTCTCAATCGGCTCGGTCATGACTTCCTGATCCTTGTATTCCGCAGCGGCCTTGATATTGGGGGTCGAGGTAGCCTGGGCGAGCTCGGCAAAGAGTCCGCCAGTCGGGAAGGGAGAACCTCGACCGTTACTAAAGTCACGAGATCCACTTTCGGAAAGGCTCATGCTCAGGTCGCGATGGTCATAGCCGTCGACATCATCCAGAACATCCGTGTCTGACCCGTTGTGGGATCCGTGACCTTGAAGTCCCAAGCTCGACTTCTCGTTCAGAGGCGTGGGCTCAAAGACAGCAACTCCCTCGAGACGCATAGTCTCGATCGTCTCCTCACGGTCCGCGAGCATCTTGACCAGCTCCTCCTTTTCCACCAAAAGCTCCTCCTTCTTCACCAAAAGTTCCTCCTTCTCGGTAATGAGCTCCTCCTTTTCAGTAATCTCCTTGCTGAGTTTCGACTGGAGCTCGCTGATGATGGACTGTTGGTGGGCAAAGGATGTCTCTCGAGCCAATGATGCGACCTTGGGCTCGACGACTGCAGGCGCGACGATGGCAGGAACAACGACTTCCTCACTACTGACAGTCTTAGCTGGGGCCTGAATCAAGACAGGTGCTTCGACAGCAGGCTCAGCAGCCTTCTCCTCCGCCTCCTGGGCCAGAGCAATCGCATCCAGAGTCGCTCTCTTGGCGAGCTTTCGCTGCTGTTGCGTCATGGTGGCGTTGAGGTCTTCGACCTTGGTCAACAGATCGGATTTCTCGCGCTGGATTCCTGCCATGTGCTTCCGCATTGTCGCCATGTCCTGCTCGTGCCGTGATTTGGTGATTTCAAGCTGGCCAGACGTCTTTTCTTCCTTGTCCTTAAGCTGCTCGACCTGCTCCGTTGCCGTCGCGAACGCCTTTTGAACCTTGGCATTCTCGTGAGTGGCCTTGGACAGCTGGGCCTGCAAATCCACGTTTTGATTCCGGAGTTCCTGGTTCTGCAGCTCCAAGTTCCATTGATCCTCCTTCTGACGCTCTATATGAACAGTGATGGTTTTGTTAGGCCCAGATACCTTCAAAAAAAATTGGGTGTGGGCAAAAAGGCTAAATGTCTGACAAGGCTTATTAACTTACCTTCACTCTCTTCACGAAGTCGACGCTGCTTATGCAAAGCATCGATAATTCGCTCCTGTTCGTTAATTTTGAGGTCGTACTCCTGGTTTAGCTTCTCCTTCAACTCGGCTTGAGTAGTCCAGTAGCGGACTTGGTTCAACAACTCTTCCTGAATCTGCAGAGGGAAGGCAGCATCATTTGTCGAGGGAGCCGAGTTCATGTTGACCTTGTGGCGACGGGGCTTGGATATCGTCTGAGCAGGGAGAGCGCTCGAAGGCAGTGCGCTTGGGGCAATGATGGACCCCGACCGGGATGTCGAGAGATCGCTTGCCGAGTTGGATGTTGTCACGGGCTGCAGAGCGTCAAATCATATTAAGAGGTGTAACAGGTCGCGGTCAGATATGATGGTGGAGCCCAGTTCAAAGTCATACTTGTTGGTGCTCTTGCTACCCACGTTCATTTCCCATGCAAGAAATCGCTCGGACCGGACTAAACAGTCGGCCTGCAGACTCGCAAGTGAAACTGGACAGGTGTCTGCGCACGCACAACAGCAACAACAACAATGACAACAATAACCCATAACAACAAAAACAACAATAACCCATGACAACACATCCTTACAGGCCCGCATGGCGATTGTCGACTGTTGGGTATGAAGGCAAACCACACCACTGCCCAGGAAAGGAATAGAGGACAGACAGTTCCCGAGTGGGATATTAAATTTGAATTGGTTGTGAGCACCGGATATTTGCATGGGACCAACGGCCCTTCAAAAAAAATGGAGGAAAGGGGACAAACAAACAATAGAGATGGTGAAGGGAACTCGACTAAAGGGTTAAGCACCAGTGTCCCAAACGGATCAGGTTTCTCTTTCAAGTTTCAACACGACATAACCAACACGACATAACCAACACAACACAACAGAATACACAACAACCAACACAACAACCCAACACAACACAGAGGGAGGATAAAATAATAATTGAAAAATGAGATGAGATCAAACGCTAAAAAGCCAAGTTTCAATGAACCCTCCTTCCTCCCTCCTCCCATGCCTTGTCGATTGCAGTACGCCCTCATTTTCATTCTCTCGCAATCCATTGCAATTGCAGTCCATTGTGACAAGCAAGTTCAACTGCACCATCCTATCGTGTCTCGTCGATTGCTGCACGCCCTCATATTCACTCGCAATTCGGTCTGAAAAGCAGGCAAGTTCGGCTGACTGCAGCACCCTATCTTGCGTTGCTGATTGCTGCACCCCCTCTTTTTTATTCGCAATCCATTTTTCCATTCTGACTGACGCTCCCCCCTGCCTCTTCTGCACATTCTCACTCTTTCAGACACGCGGTTATGCCATCCACATGAATGCACAACCCTTTTTTTCTTTTTTTTCTCTCTTTCTTACAATGAATTGCTCTTTTCACTTACAAGCTGCGCGTCGATGAGGCTTTTCAGGCCAACAATGCCATCTTGGCCCTCCTGAAAGTCGCGGTCCAAGGCGACAAGTTGCTCTCGGAAGGACTCTGGCAGTGGCTTTGATGCTGCTGCTGCTGCTGCATCGTCGCCCCTTTCGGAGGCTGCAGCATCAAGGCCCTCTCCTTGATCAGCGGTTGCCTGCTTCTCCTGGTCATCCAGTAACTGGAGCTGTTCAAAGCAGTTCTTGAGGTCCTCCTGGCGCTTGACAAAGAGCAGCCCAATGGTCTGGGTCAATTGGAGGTCACTGTGGATATTCGTCAAGCGACCTTCGAGCTCGGCTCTCGCCTGGGCGATGGTTTGAACGTTGGCGAGTGAGGACGAGGTCGAGTTTCTAAGGGGTTGTCCTGGTGATCTCCTGGGCGAAAGCTGAGGTGCCGCAACGGATTCGGCCATACTACAGGTTTATGTGTCTGTGTCCTGTGGTGCTTTGAAGGTCTTGACTTATTCGCTCCTTTTTGGTGGAGTAGTGGTGGTGGGAAGGGGTCGGATAATAGTGTGTGTGGTTGAGGGACCGAGGCTGGTGGGAGAGAAGAGAAAAGAGGGGGGAGGGAGAGAAGAGAAAAGGGGGAGGAGGGAGTGAGAGTGGGAGGATGTGAGAGCCGAGTCGGTGTAGGGGTTGTTAGTGTTATTGTTGCAGCAAGTCGTAGTTCTATTACATGAACGAGAGAAGGAAGGAAAGGTCCAACAGTCAGCGCGTGTGTTGAAAATAAGAGGGTGAGACAAGTGGGCGAAAGGTAAGAAGAGAGAGAGAGAGATAGGGAGGCAAAGAAAAAGTCGTTGGAGGGAAGAGCAGGTAGGTAAGAATAGGGTCAAGGCACATGGGTCTTGCCCTGTCCTTTTTTTTTCCCCTGTCACTCTCTCTTTTGTTTGTCTTTCGTGAAACGGTCTGTGAGGACAAAGTGAAACGGGAATGAATGGCCTGTGATAGGGTCAAGATAGGAGGAGTGTTGGGTGTTCTTTTTGTCCGCTGAGGCGCACTCTCTTTCCGTCTTAGCGTGATGTGCGTGTGAGTGAGTGAGTGAGTGAGTGAGTGGGAGCAAGAGTAGGAATGGAGGATGAAGACATACAGAGAGATAGACAGACAGACAGACAGACAAGAAGACAAGAGGTGGTTGTTGCTTGTTGCTTGTTGCTGTTGCTGTTGTAGTTGTTGTTGTTGCAACGTACGATGGAAAGAGGGCCGCAGTCTAGTAGGTTGTGTTGTGATGGTGCGCAAGAGGAAGGGGGTGCGCAATGGGCAAATAAGGGTATGAAGAGGAAGGAGTATTATTATTAGAGGGGGTAGGAGAGAAAGAAGGAAGAAGAAGAGAAAGGACGGGCAAAGAAGAAGAGATGATGGGACGACAACCAACCAACTAACAAACCAACAAACCAACAAACAAACAAACAAACAAACAAACAAACAACAACAGTGAAGAGAGACAAAAGACACAGAAAGATACATGTGTCCGATGGTGACTGCTTACCCGAATTCATCTTGCCTTTTCTTTTCAGCCCCGCGACACGCGCATACTCATCCTCACTCAGGTCCTCGTCAGCACACTCAACAAGCACATACCTCTCAAACAGGACAATGACAGATAGACCGCAGGACTCTCTTTCTCTCTCATAACGATACCACCGTGGTTATTCAGCTTATTTCTTACAACGGTAATCATACCACGCCAACCAGTTTCTGTACATTCAAAGTCAGCAACACTCACCCCACACCTTCTTCCTTTCAAAATCGACGTAGGACCATCAGTCAACTTGAACGTAACAAGTGACGATGTGGGACATGTCTTAAAACTAGACTCAACGCGTCGGCTCACGGTAGTCCGTCAATTGATTTATTTTACCGATATTTAAAAAGTACGCGACAACACATCTTCGTTGCAAAGCTCTAGGTCTTCTTTTCTAAAGTGGAGCTTGGAAAGGCATGGATGACATCAAACTGGGCGAGCGCGGTGACCTCAAGACCCTCCTACCAAACGTAGACGCTGACAGCAAGATCGAACTGACCCTTCACCAGCTCCGTCAAAGACATGAAAGTTTTCGACCGACTTATCCCCTTCGAACACTGGAACCAAACAACGAACCCGGGACTTGGAGTGCTTCGATCGCCGCTTCGGCTGCCATTGCAACCACGGGGATAACACTGGAATATCTTCAAGACATTCAGCCAGACGTTAATAACCCTATCAAACGCCAGTCTAATCCCTTGGGTCTACTCTGGCACTAAACACACTGGAGTCAATGGACGTACAGATCTCACCCACCTGTAAGGAAAGGATGATTATTAGTTGGTGCCGCTCAGAGCGCTGATGCTGCGATGCCACCAACTAACTTGTTCATTTCTACCTTTTCGATCTAACAGCCGTGCTCATCCAAAGGGTGAGACAGGAAGTCAAGAGAATCCGGGCGGAGGTAATTATTTGTTCAGGAAAGCAATCCAGGAGGTCAAAGACTTGTTGTATGAGCAAACACTATAACTATGCTAGCCCTCGACGTCTTTGCTTTGTAGACCATGCTCATTGGAACTGCCGCTAGCAACATGTTGGACAGGGATGCCACTTGATAAGGATGGCAGAGCACCTTGTACTGATTGAGGCGACGAACATGCCGGACCAAGACGAAGGAATCTTTTTTCGACTGTTGTATGCGACAAACCTTTTTGCTGTCTACCCTGGAACCCACCTGGTTGCTTGTGTTCACTAGTATCAATTAAAAGGAACTGTGATTCAAATCACAGTACAACGACTCCCTGGATCTCACATGAAAAATATGTGTATCTGTTTGTTGTGTTCACTTTTGGATCGCTCTCTTGTCGTCTTTTCATGTGCGTTCATGCATGAGTGTGAGAGCGAAAATATGAATGAATGTGCGTGTGTTTGTGTGTACCCATGAAGGTTGGATTGAAGAAGGGAGAAGTGTCCGCGGGGTGACTCCTGTTACTGTGGGTGTCGACAAAATATCTATACTTGGCAGGTGTGGGCTCGTCCGTTAAGCATGGGCTGGTTAACGGCTGCGTTAAGAATGAAGAGTAGATGTAAAAGGGAGAGGGAGAGGAAGGGAGGGAGAGAACCAGTTCATAAGAAAAAAGGAGAGGAGACTGGATCTTGGCCATGACTTGAATAACATCGGTACTTCATAAGCAAAGAGGGTGTCGCTTTTTCGTTGTCCATCGCATGATGTGCAAAGAGTCCCGTGTCCATTTCTTTAGTTTTTCTCGTCTTTATGTCTTTTTTTTTTTCTCTTTCCTCTTCCTTCCTCTTCCTTCCTCTTCCTTCCTCTTCCTTCCTCTCTCTTGTTCTCCTAGCTCTTCTCTGCCTCCTCCTTCCCTTCCTTTCCCTTTCCTTTCCTTCCTTTCCCTTTCCTTTCCTTCTACATCGACAACAACCCCAACAACGATTCCCATTCAAACGCACTCTCATTGTTCACATTGCATAGCACCAACAACAGCCAGTCCTGAACATACTCTGTAGCCATTCCTTTTTCTTTTTTTTTCCCCCCTTATCTGTCCAACATCCTTCCCTCACTCCGCCTTGTCAACTTGTCTTGTCGCCAGACGAGACAACATCCACCCACTCACCCTCCTTTGTTCCTGTCGTCCACCTCCCCTTTGACGACTGTCACTTCTCTCATTTTTTTTTTATTTTAACTTTCGCGCCAAAAAAGCGTTGGCCCCTGCGGTTGTACAACTGAACAAATCCGTTAACAAACCAAAACAAACGCAAATGAAGCACCATCCTCATTCCGACCCTGCCGGTGTTGCACAGGCAACAGGCCATGTTGGTAACCTCACCCCCGATCAATGGGACGCACTGTAAGTAGTCAGTAAGCCAGTGTTCATTTCGTATCAGCATTGCTTCATACACCAGGAGAAAGAGAGATAAGGAGAGAGTATTTCTATTTCATCCAAGTCCGTCCGTCCGTCCTAACTCAATCAATGTCCATTCTCCTTTCGCCCAACTCAAAAAAAAAAAAGTGGCGAGATCTGGTCGTTCCTGCTCCACCTCTGGTACTCTGAGCCTTCCTCGGTCTCATCAAAGTCAAACCACCCTCGTCGCGCCAGCAGCTACGGAATCTCTGCCTCAACCCCAAGCTCGAACACAACATCGCCCAACGTCAATGACACCCCTGCCCACCACGATACCACTTCAACCTTCACATCGACATCAATGGCTCCCTCCAGCCCAGGAGCAACAGGTCATCATCAACAGTACAGCAGCACCGGACGAGGCATCAGTCCACCCCTGCCAGCCTCCCCTACTCGACTCAGCCAGTCCTTCTATCAACCATCCATAACATCCTCTCCCGCCGGACCTACTTCACCAACATTCAACACTGGAAACAGTCATCTCATTTCTTCCTTGCCTGGAGGTGCAGCTGCAACCGCGTTGAAGAGATCGGCCGCCAAACTCAAGCCATGGCTCCCTGCAAAAAAGTTTACCTTCAAGTATTCACCTGTCGAGTACCAAACCGCATTCTGGTCGTTTGTCCAGGCAGAGCATCCCGATACGACTGTGTTACGATTCCTGAGGGCAAGAAAGTGGAATGTTGAGAAGGCAATGGAGATGTTGATCTTGGCACTCGAATGGCGTATCACCGTGGATGTCGAGGAGGTCGTACAGGATGGTGAGCAGGCATTGGAAGCAAAGTACCCAGGATTCTTGGAGCAGCTCAAGAATGGCAAGGTCATCTTTCGAGGTCATGATCGTCAAGGCCGACCCCTATGGTAGAGAAAGCATGCATGAAGTCAACAGACAAAATGACGGAAATGTGGGGTGGATGGTTGGATATGCATACTTGTTTATCCTCTTACTCACGTATTGTTTTCTCTCCCCTTGATTCTTTGATCTCTTATCGGCGCCTCTTGTCGTCCTGTTTGTTGCTTTTTGTTTCTCATCACACCACATTAGCTTGTTGGACCCTAGTCAGCACAACCCGAATGCCCAAAGCCAGCAGGCAGTACAGAAGCTGTCTATCTATGTGATCGAGACAGCGAGAGTGATGTTGCAGCCTCCCACAGAGACCATATCCGTTGTCTTTGACATGAGTAACTTTTCCTTGTCCAATATGGTAAGTATATGTTCACTTGGTGTATTTTTTAGGAAGCAACACCGGAATGTGAACACTAAAACTTTCTCTCAACCCGCTTTTGGTCATCCATCAAAAACCTTAGGACTGGCCCACGGTCAAGTTCTTTATCCATGCAGCAGAGGCGTGTTATCCGGAACTACTCGGTGTTTGCGTCGTCCACAAGGCGCCATGGTTGTTTGGCGCGATCTGGAAGATGATCTCACCTATGCTGGACCCCGTCATCCGAGCCAAGATCCAGTTTACCAACAATCGCAAGGACCTGGAGGTGTTTGTTGCCCCCGACCAATTGATGAAAAACAAGTCCTATGAGGGACTGGACGAGACCCCTTACCGGTACATTGACCCGATCCCTGACGAAAATCGACTCATGCTGGAACCATCCGAGGCGAAACAGCGTGCAATTGCCCGACGCAAGGAGATGGAATTGACGTTTGAGAGGCTGACTGAGGTCTGGCAAGGCCAGAAACAGCTCTCGTCGTGCGCTGCTGTGATCCAGGAGAGGAATGAGGTCGGACAACGGATGGCGGAAGTTTGGTGGGCTGCTGAATCCTACACTCGCGCACGGACAGTCTATCATCGCATGGGCGCCATTCACACCCCTCCCCTTGTTCCTCCCGGCACTCACGCCACATAACCAGTCGAAAGCCATGGAACTCCTGTCGGCTTGCTTTCTGTTACCGCCGTCAAAGTTGCAAGGACAAAATAAAGAACGCTCTGTACTCTGTACTCCCATCTTGCTTCGAAAATCAACAAATGGACAATGGGCAGACAGGACGCGGTGTCAATGGCAAGTGTGGTTGAGCCCTTCGTTGCTTTTTGTGGCTGACGAACCAATACAGGGAGGAAGAAAGGTAGAAAGACCATCGGCACTCCTTTTACTCTTACTCGCCCTTCTCCCTTCCTATCTTTCCTACCTTCCACCCCTTTCTCTTTTCCCACACCTTCAATTTCTCCCCCTGAACGCTACCACCTCGACTGTTGAGCCAAATACCCCACTGACAACACAAAAAGGACCACAACAACCAAAAAATGTCCACGGAACTGCAGAGCTTCCGCCAAGGACTCGATAGCCCCATAGTACCACTCCGAGCCGAGTTTGACGACGAAACAGGGAAACATCTCATCTATTGGGAGGACGTCCAGTTTGCCTTCCCTGGCGTTCATTGTGTCAAGAGTGGGATCGTCATTGTTGCGTTTGTCCGAGATAAACAGCGCAAGAGGTAAGCCCGACAGAGGAATGATGAAGAAGAGAGGAATAGAGAGAAGAGAGAGGAGCGGGAGAGGAAGGAGAGGAGAGAGAGAAGAGAGAGAATGTTCTTTTTGAAGCTTCCATCTGTCCACATGGCACAGCACTGTTTTGGAGGGCGACAAGACAAATACTTGGGGGGTCAGAGGTTGACAAACACTTTGGAGGACGACAATACTCACTCGCCCATTACTTACTTTTTGACTCTTTAGGATTGACCCCTTGTGCATTGCTTATGAGCCCAATGTCGTCTTGGAGGTCGTCATGGCTACCACACCGGCTGTACCTCTAACCAATGCGTCCCCTTTACCGCTTCCGTCCCCAGCGTCGTCGACCACTGATATCCGATATGAAGAGTAAGGTTTCTTACTGCAAAACACCGGCTGACTCCAGGTCTGAATAAAGTGCACAATGTCTAAACGTCTCCTTTTTTGTCAACTCAACAGCGTCACTCCACCTCCCAGCGCTGGCGCCACCTCACCACCCTTGTCTTTATCTTCTTGTCGACCGTTCCGACAGTAAGCGAGAGACGATATTAACTTTTCTTGGCTAACATATCTCCATGGCCAACTTCAGGCGACTGACTGTTCATTGCTTGTTCGTCCTAAACTGATAGGGTGGAACCGACTAGCAGGATCGAGGGGATCGACTGTTCTTCAACAGACACCATGGGGTCATCTTCTTTTCGCCCATATCAACAGTATGCTACATGCAAGACATTAATGGCGAAGGCATTTAAACGTACATCGTCTCTTGGAAAAGTTACTAACAGATATTCGCTTTATTTTGTATGTGATAGAAAGGAGCACACCGCCAGGATGGAGGAAATTGACTGTTTTTCAACAGAGACCATGGGGTCAGCCTCATACCCATACCGACAGTAAGCTATGCGACATATTATTGGAAGAAGCCTAAAGTACACAAGTCTGCTTCGAAAGTTACTAACTGCTCTTTGCATTCTCTCCATAAACAACAGTGCGGAGTTGACTGGAAGAATTGAGGAGATCGACGACTCTTCTACTGGGACAACGGGGTACCCATTTCCATCAGGCAGCAGCGACTTTTCCTCCGTCGATGCTGTTGATGAAGTGGGGCCGTATTCTGGCAGATATCCGTCATCTATGCCCACACCAAGGAACAATAGACCACCGCCGCCGATACCGGAACGACCTTATGCAGCAACAAGACCTTATGCTCCACCGCCTTCCACGGAAGCAGCTCTCGCCACCATCGCTGCCGTGGAGACATCAAACACCTCGGTCGTTACCACTCGTCACTTTGTGCAACGGACAGAGTCGGTAGTTCAGTTGTTTGGTCATCTCATAGTCAAAGGACAGCACGATCAGGCGCTTTTGGTCAAACAAGAGTCGGAGTCGATAAAGCAGTACATGGCGCAGCACCACGAGAATCTCCAATCTGAATTGGCCAAGAACACAAAGTTGCAGTCTCAGATGATGGAGATGCAAGCAGCGGTGGAAAAGATGACCAAGCGGATCCTTGAACTCCAAGTGGCCGCCACGGACAACGATAAGCGGATGATGGTGATGCAACAACAGGCGCTGGACCGACTGTCACTCATTCAGAGCAAGGCAGAGGCAATCCTGACGCAGACGTACGAATTGCACGAATACCCCATCCCTCGACTGTTCATCATCTTGCCCAAGGTGGACATCACCAGGCGGGAGAAGTTCACCAATCCGTTCGGCAAACGGTTCCGGCTTCATTTCCTATGCGAGTGTGGGGAGCACACCAGGCCGAACGATGGGTCAGAGAGCAAGATGCCGCACCATATCCACCTCGCGCGCCACAAAGGATATGATCTGGACCGCCCGAACGAGTTCTTCCGCAAGTATGGCTCGTATGTTCTTGCTCTCCTCCAGATGCTCAAGTATGGCGTGGCTGCAGCCGGGATGGTTGTTTCACCTCTAAACACGTTCAAGTTCTGCGAGGGACTCGATCAAATTGAGAAGAGCCTCCAGTATCTGGAGAAAGACATTGTGCCGATGGTCGACAACGCGATCAAGTACCTCGAGGGGCTATCTTCGGTTCAGGACGGGGCGACACGACTACCGGAGAATGGGCTCAGCGACGCATCGACAACAACATTGACCGAGCCTGTGATTATGAGCAAGCTGGAGGCATTAGAGGGCGCGGATCTTCGACACCTTGGATCGTTTCTCAAGGACAAGGACGAAGCCAGGGTTCTTGGCGACTTGTACAGGACTGTAACATCGGACGGTCGTGTTAAATGGGTTTGCTTCGACCATTACCGAGAGACGTACCGGGCGTCAGCACTGAAAGAGTTCCGCAACAACGTTGCGGCCAACAACGGAGAGTATGACGATCGACTCGGAAGGGTGACCATTCGACTGACCTCGACGCTCCTAGCCCAGCAGTTTTACAGCATCCTCAGCGACACCCGCTTTGTTCAGGAGATGGTCATCGCCTTGGCATGGGACACATCGATGGAGGACTTTAGGATGCTCAAGAATGCTATTCAACGCTCCATCATCTACCGGCTGGATATCGACGGCTGCGGGTTCTCAGTATCGAACTTCGACATTGTCAGCCGTGGTCGGCGGTGGGAGCCTATTTTGCAGATGATGGGCAACGGCAAGCTGGGGATCGTTACTGTCCGGAACGTGCCTGAGTTTTTGCTCCGCTCTGGCAAGATGCCCGCTACGCTTCAGATCAGAGTGTTGGACATGAGCGAGCAGCTCATCTTGGCGGACGAGTTCTCCAAGCTGCGAAAGCTTCTCTTGGCCGCACCCAACTTGTCGGAGCTGAGCATGTTGGTCCCTTCGATATGCGATGGTTTCGATCTGGTCAAACAACTCACAGGCGGTCTCAAGCGTCTTTCGACCCTCTCGCTGAAACATCAGGATGGCTCAACGGCGACTGTATCTTACAGGAAGGGCTCAAAAGAGGTCACCAATACTGAGCTCAGCATTTGCACCTACGAAACTCGCAGGATCCTTCAGTTGCCTATGGTGACCACACTGTCTCTCTTTGGCAGCTTGTCTCTCTCTGGGAACACGGCGCAGAACGTAGACACCATCCTGACCGTGTTGAGAGCATACCGGCAGCTCAAGTCCCTCGAGATTACGTGTGCGCCTCAAGACGCCCTGCGAATTCTTTTGTCTGTCTACCAGAACATCGACAAAGACTCACCCCTGAGTCTTCTCACGCTCCGAAACGCCGAACGCGACATTGTTATCACCAGCCGCGGCTTCCCAGTAACCGAACTCGACTTTGGCGATTATGAGATCCTAGCCCAGGCCTTCATTGCCCTTGGTTCCGTGTTGGCGACCTGCACTCAACTTAAGACATTGGCGTTCATCACAGCTTCTCTGAAAGGAGGTATCGATTTTGTGCGAGGGGTCAGTGCGCTGAAAGAAACGCTTCGGAACCTGACAGTAAGACAGCCAGACTGGTCCAAGGCCGACGTCGGCTTTATTCCCGGAACCGGCGAGGTAGAGTTGATCGAGTTACAGATCTGCTATATCGACCCGCGAGAGATTTTGGATCTTCCGAGCGTCAAGAAGGTCTCCATCTTTGACAAGAATCGCAACGCTGGGTCCACCCTTGATGCAAAACAGCATGATCTTGGAGTCCTCACCCACGCCATCATCTCGAGTTTTCCTGGCTTAACTACTGTGGAGATCCTGGACCTGGATACGGGAGCGAAAGGGACCCTGAACAGTTTTTTACAGTCATCTGATGACTTTTCCAAGAGCCAAGAACAGCCCTCCGACGATCAAACTCAAGCCGAGTCGCAGGAAGTGCAGGTTCGGAAGGCCGGCTCGTGTTCGATGGTTGACCTCCCCGAGGAATTCGTCATTCTTGGCATGGCCTTTCTTACAGTTCATTGGATCCTTCATATGCCACTGATAATTTCGTCCGCCGATGTCTCCAGTGTCTCTGCCGGTGACTCGTCCATCCCAGCAATCCCGGCTTTCGCAGTAATACGCAACAATGGATCTTTGGCCTCAATCAGTATCGACACCGACAACAACGATGACTCCCCCGTCGTATTGCATATTTGCGACTTCGCATCGGACGACAGTACTGCGCCAGTCTCCGGAGCCGGTCTGACGATCATGTGCAAAGAGAACGCTTTCCCTTTGGATGACCTTATCCTTGCGGCTGCCAAAAGATGTCAAGGCCTTGTCTCACTGGCGGTCGTCGTGTTGAATCAAGGCATGACCTACTCGTCTTTTCTGAGGATGCTGGGCACCGTGCATGAGGCAGCCCGTCAACGGCCAACTCTGAGAGTCTTCAAGGACTGGGGGCTCGAGAGGAGCAAGAACATGGAGATCTTCGATATTCCTGTCACGTTCCTAGAAACTACCCGTTATGCCTTTGCGAACGAGGAGTTGCCGATTCTAGACAAGTTGCTCGACTCGTGTCACCTCCTGTCTGAATTGGACGTCCTTGTCACCGACATCTGGGAATTCTTTCAGGCCATCACGAACGCGTCTCTACTCCACAAGCGACTCTCCAAGGTGCGGCTCCGACATCAGAAGGGTCTCGCGTTGGTCTTAGTGGTCTTTGACCAAAGCACTGGCGAAGTTGTCTCGACCAAGCTAGAATTCGGCGGGATTGAGCTGCCCAAGATTTTCCTCGTACCCAAGGTCACCACTCTGGTTATTGAAGGCATGGAAGGAGCAACGCGGATGGAGGAAAACGTTCTTCGATGTCTGCACGAGTTTCGGGAAGTCCACACCCTCGAGATCAAGTCGCCGATGGCCCAGTTCTTCCAGCCGCTCATCACCGTCCAAAAGGCCATACTGGATCCACGCGCCTTAACAAAAGTCGAGATCTGGGGGTTTGTCCACCCCGACTTCAAGTCTACATTCGATCTTCCCTTGACGCATCTTGACCTGAGCCAGCGGGTCCTCCAGTTGCCAGAACTGTTTGAGCTTGCCAATATCCTGGAGGTCAGCCCTGTGGTCAAGAGCCTTAAGTTACAAGTCTTGACTGTTAAGGAACCATTCGACATGTTACGAGTGATCGCCAAATACTTCAAGACGCTCTCTCACCTGACCCTTGAATCCCCCGATGGATCCGGTGCCGTGGTTGAGTTTGAAGAGACTGGCGGCCATATCACCTCCCTGGAGCTCCACCTTCCTAAGTACACACCCTTTGTACCCCACCCGATCGATCAGGATTCTTTCGACATGACTGCCCACTTTGTTGCTCTGCAGACTCGGCAGCTCCTGGACTTGCCAGGTGACAGTCTCAAGGTGTTCGAATCGGTTCAGAGTGCGATTATGGACAACCCGCTCTTGCGACAGATCAAAGTACTCAACGGCGCTCACCCCCTGATCACGTACGACATTCCAATCCTTCGATTAAGTTCTGGATCTTGGACATTGTCGGATTGGGAAGATGTCATTAAGGTGGACCGAGTCATCGACTTTTGCCCTGAACTTACAGCGCTGGATCTCCTTGTGCCGGCGATCGACCAAGCATTCGCTCCCATCTTTTTATTGGCCAAGGGTGTTGAGAAGCGCTCCAAGATCTCGACAGTGGTCATGCGACAGGCCGACGGCTCAAGGGCGATTATCTCCTTCCAGACCGTCACCAAGGGCACTTATAGGACCGTTATCACTCTGAAACTTCCTGCTGGTGCTCCATCGACATCGCCTAACAATACTCCACCGCCAGCAGCCAACTCTTCGGTCCTGCGGATGCCGAACGAGATCTTTGAAACCCTGGTCAGGGCCTTGACAACCGCCCATGAAAGTCCATCCATCCACCAAATTGATATCGTCGATAGCACTAATGCCGTCTTGGCTAGTTTTGCTCTGGCGAATCAGTTTCTGAATGTTGAATCGGTTCCCGTTCCGCAGTTGGCGACTCTGCATCTAGGTAACCCCCCAATCAGCCAATTACCGGATAGGACTCATGCCCTGGCTCAACCTTCGAGCCACTGTCCCTTGTTGTCTGTGGTGGATATTACGGTGGATGACTTGGAGTCTACCGCGATCCCGTTCGCCCAGACGTTGCCCGTGCGCTTGAAGGATCTTTCCAAGTTGCTGCTTCGGCAAACAGACAGGTCAATGGTCTCGTTCCACAGGAACGCCACATCTCCAGGCCAGAAATTCGATATGTTCGATGGTGGCAACACCAAGATCCAAGTCTATTCCCTTCCGCCGACCTCGAACCTCCTAAAGCTGCTTCACGTCAAAGAGTTGACTATTTTGGCCTCCTCGACTTCGTACGGTCCCAAGGCGGTTTCACAGGAGCAAATCTTAGAGGTTAGGGCGATCGTGAAAACGGCAATGGCGCACTTTCCAGAGCTAATGAGCCTTGAAATCCATCGCCGTCAGGAGATGTTTGACAGTGTGAAGGCGGCGGTGGCTGAACTTACGGGATCGAAGAGTCCTGCGTTGCCTTTTGATTTGCACCTCGTTGACGACCTCTCGCCCAGGCTCCACCCCAACCGCATGATGATTCGGCGCTATATTGTTGCTTCGAGTTCCGAGTCAGGAGCAACAGGAGCTACAACAGACAACGGGGATGCCAATAATTTTCGACACCAGGAAGCTGCCGGCCAACAAGAATAACGTCCAGTCTGTCTGCTCGATGATCGCGCGCCATTATCTGTCCATGACAACAACAACAACTCTCCCCCTCTCCTCCTCCGACACACCTCTTTTTCCACGACTGGAACTGGGCAACATTGCTCTCGCAGGGCCACGAAGCAAGTGCGAGTGAGCGATCTCCGAGGGTTGGCGGACTTGACGGCGCAGCAGGAGAGGGCCAAGAAGGAAACTGGAGGCAGCGGAGGTGGTAGTGGTGGTGCCGGGGATTTTGGTGTAGGGCCGATGGTGGTGTACTTGGGTGGTTCGCAGGCGACGCCTTTGAGGGCGATGTTGGAGCTGAAGCAGTTGAGTTATTTTGGGATTGAGTGGTGTCGTTTGACACTGGAGGACGGATATCTGATCAAGTGAAACTAATAAAGTAGTGATATCAGTTTTTTTTTGGAGACAGAACATGATCAGATTGAAGACTTAGTTGGGGAGCCATTCAGGTGCCAGTATTTTTTCTTGTCGTTGGTCTAGTAAAATTGAGTGGCGTAACTTGACGGTGCAGAATTGCACGTGTGATCTTTATGATAAATACCAAAGTGCTGAACTGAATACGGTTTGAGGATGCGACACAAAGGCATGCTATACCGTCTCAATGACAGCATTTTGCTTCGCTAATATCGCAGCGTTTGATGACACTGTTTCTTCTCCCTCCTTCTATTTTGTTGCACGATCGGCCAAAAAGAGGCTTGAATTGTGACGAAAAAGGGAGAGGCAATGATCCGGTGCACTCTGTGCGTGAGGAATGAGAAGGGTGTTTTTGCTAGTTATATATATTTCACTGCAATAATATCGTACTGTTTGCCACGCGACGACGATCATTACTTGTTTTTTGGCGCGTGTGCGTGTGATTGATGAGCAACAAGGTTCAGGAACGATCTGTCAGACTGTTTGCCACCAACATTGAACGGTAAACACATTAACAGTCACCTTTCTCTGCAAAAGGCAACATTCATAAAAGACATTCTTCCGGAATCACCAAAGTCACGACTCGGGCTTTGCTCATTCATCAGCAACCAGGACAAGGATAAAACCGGACAAAGGAAGGAGGACAAGAAGCTATAAACACAACCAGGAAGACCTTTTTTACGAAGCAGGCATTGGCTGATTCCACTCCTTGACTGATCAACTCTCGAGACTCTCACACGGTCCCTGACACACTCTCACGTCTCACACTTTCACTCGCACCCTCGATAACACGAGAAAGCCCCATGCTCAGGAGTGCGGCTATCTATCGCGCTTCGGCGCCCCTCCTTTCCAGGAGGGCATTCCCTTCATGCAGTTACCTGCACACACGAACCACACCAACCCTCTCCTTCGCCCCAGCAAAACCCCTCTCACCCTCCTTCCTTCGCACGAACCAGTCCTCCGTCTCGTCACTAAGCTCGATCCGTACCATGGCCACCACTATCAATACCCCTCCTCCTTCAACAGCGGCAGGAGCGACATCAGCAGCAAAAAAGACCAAGGCACCAAAGGCAAAACCACAATCCAAATATGGCTCAACATTACTTCTCCCTAAGACTGGCTTTCCTCTCCGATCTGAGGCTGCCACAAGAGAGGCTGGATATCGGAAACGATGCACCTCGGAGCTCTACCCATGGCAGGTATGTTGCGACAAGGAGCATAAACATTGACAGGATTTATGATTGGTTATGTGTGTCCATGATGTATCAACTAACTTGTGTGCTTGCGTATGGAATCCTGATAGCGTGAGAATAACCCAGGAGAGCTGTTTGTGCTTCATGATGGACCACCATATGCCAACGGACACTTGCATCTCGGACACGCACTCAACAAGCTGATCAAAGATTTCGTCAACCGCCATCGCGTCATCAGAGGATTCAAAGTCGAGTAAGCATCATCAATTCGGACACACGACGTTCTCACAGCGTTGGACAACCGACAGGGAACTATAATTCTGATCGTATATACCTTACTGTGTCTATTCAGCTACCGTCCAGGATGGGATTGTCACGGACTGCCAATTGAACTCAAGGCGCTCTCGGAACTCAAGATCAAGGACCGCTCTCATCTCTCACCCATGGATGTCCGTACTGTTGCCCAGGCCTCGGCGCGTGCAGCAATCGCAATGCAAAAGGAAGAGTTCCTCGCATTTGGTATCATGGGTGATTTCGACAACGGATACTTGACTATGGACAAGGATTTCGAGACCCGCCAGCTGAAGGTGTTTTACGAGATGATGAACAAGGGGCTGATCTATCGCGCCAACAAGCCCGTCTACTGGTCCCCTTCGTCTCAGACTGCACTTGCTGAATCTGAGCTGGAGTACAAGGAAGATCATAAAAGTCGATCCGCTTGGGTTGCCTTCAACGTCGACCAGCCTTGTAAGTCATATAATTAGCCTGGCATTTATTATAGATGGTACCTCATGGTATTCTCAGCTAACAATCATTTTTTTAATCGACAATAGCGAAGAACGTGAAGGATATGTTGCCAAAGAATGCGTCCCTGCAGGCAGTTGTTTGGACAACCACCCCCTGGACCCTTCCCGCCAACCGCTGTGTCGCTGTTCACCCAAAGCTCAGCTACACATTGTTCCACGCCAAGGATGCATCAAACCCCGCCAACAACAACACGGTCTACTTGGCTGCCACCGACCGCATGGAGGAGATGAAGACGCGCTTTGCACCTGTTCAGACCAGCGAAGTCCCAGCATCGACCCTTTCAATCACTCTGGAACCCATTGGAGAGGTGTTGGGTGAGGACTTGGTCGGATCCCAGTACAAACATCCTCTCACCGCCGAGGCTCTGCCCTTCATCACTGCAGACTATGTCACCGCCGATTCGGGATCTGGTCTGGTTCACACAGCGCCCGGACATGGAATGGATGATTACAAGGCATGCTGGCCTCTGGGCATTGAGGCGTTCTGTCCCGTTAACAACGTGGGCCGATTCACCGCTGACGCTGGAGAGGCTCTGGAGGGCTTGCAGGTCCAGACGGAGGGTACTGCCAAGGTGCTCGAGATGTTGCAGGAGAAGGGCAGTCTGATCCAGGAGCAAGGATACGTTCACAAGTACCCCTACGACTGGCGGACCAAGAAGCCAGTCATCCTCAGAGCGACTTCTCAGTGGTTTGCAAATGTGGGCTCGATCAAGGAGGATGCTCTCAGGGCGATCGAGAACGTGAAAATGGTCCCTGATTCAGCGCGTCGTCGGTTGGAAGGGTTTATCCACTCGAGAACTGAGTGGTGTATTTCGAGACAGCGTTCTTGGGGTGTTCCTATTCCAGTCATGTACGAGGTCGAGACGGATGAACCCTTGTTAACCAAGACTTCGGTGCAGCATATCATCGACACTGTCATGGAGCATGGAACAGATGCCTGGTGGACCCTAAGCACGGAGGAGTTGCTTGCGCCAGAGTACAGGAACAACGGCAAGAACTACCGTCGCGGCGACGATACCATGGACGTCTGGTTCGACAGTGGCACTAGTTGGACCATGATCGAGGAGAAGATGCCACGACCCCATTTGCCCTTTGTCGCGGATGTCTACAGTGAAGGCTCGGATCAGCATCGTGGATGGTTCCAGTCTTCGCTTTTGACCTCGGTGGCTCTGACTGGCAAGGCTCCCTTTGGTACTCTGATCACACACGGATTCTTGCTGGACGATAAGGGTTTCAAGCAGAGCAAGTCGATCGGTAACACTGTCGACCCGGCTGTTGTTATTCATGGAGGCAAGAACTTGCAGAAAGATCCTGCCTACGGAACGGATGTGCTTCGTCTTTGGGCTGCCTCTTCAGAGTATACCAAGGACATTGCGATCGGAAAGACCATCTTGACCCAGGTCGCCGAGAGTATCCGCAAGTTCAGGAACACTGCCCGATTCATGTTGGGTAACTTGAATGGATTCAAGGAGACTGATCAGATTCCTTATGAGGAGCTGTCTAGATTGGACCGCTTCATGCTGTCGGAGGTGTACCAGTTCTCCAAGAACGTCAACTCCGCCTATGACGAGTACATGTTCAACAAAGGTAAATTGTTCTTTTGTCTGGCAGAAATGAATATGGCCTCACATTTATTATTTATGGTTTCCACACATCTCTTCATCTACTAATAGCGAGTGTTTTTGTTATTATTCCGCCTCTCTGAATTTAGTTTTCACGCAGCTGCAGTACTTTACGAGCACGACATTGTCGTCGTTTTACCTGGATGTCATCAAGGATACCCTTTACTCTGACGCTGAGAAGAGTCATCAGCGCCGCGCCATTCAAACCGTCCTCTTCCATGTGCGTTACCTTTCCATCATTGTTTTCTGCCTTGCCATTGTTTCCAAAGGAACCCTGAACTGAAACTCACTCGTGTTTTTTTCCCTATTACAAAATAGACCCTGAATGCGTTCACGCAGAGTATCGCGCCATTGGCACCTCACCTGGGTGAGGAAGTTTACGAGCACTACAGCGACTGCTTTAAGAACCCCCAGCCATCCGTCTTCCGTTCAGGATGGAACCTCGACCGTCAACCCGAGGATTGGAACAACGCCGTGCTTCGTGACGAGTTTTCTGTCTTGAAGCAACTCCGCGCGGAAGCCAACCAGCTGTTGGAGCAGGCACGTACCGCCAAGGATATCGGCTCCTCCCTCGAGGCTACCATCGAGATCCAATTGCCACCATCATCAACCGAGGAATCGGAGAAGCTGGGTCAAATTGTCGAATCCTATGCTGACGATCTGAAGAAACTGTTCATCACCTCAGATGTCACCGTCGTCAAGGCCGGACAACAGGTTGAGAGCAGCAGTAGCGACTATGTTCGTGATATCTTGGTGCCGAGGGTTGGAAGCTGCAAGATGGTCATGCGCAAGGCTACATTGCACAAATGCCCTCGTTGCTGGACTTTTACGTCACCCGAACCCGAGGTCCTTTGCCCACGTTGCGGGCCTGTCGTTGCCGCCATCCAGACATAAAAAAACCCCCCTTTTTTTAATCGTCATGCATATAGAATTAAAATGAGTAGCTTTAGAATGCGAGCGTGATAGGCAAGGGCTTTGGACCCCTTGATGTGCATTATCGTTGTTTTGGTTACCTTGATTTATTCTATCGTTGCTCTTGGCCCCATTTCGTCAGGGAGGCAGTATTACGCCAGTATTGCTGTGGCAAAAAAATGCCATGGCAGCGTTTGTTATGGCGGCTTCGCCGTGCGTTATCTTCTCCCTCTGTCAAATTTTGTTCAGTGGTTGCTGCAAATAAAGTACCTATGGCGCCACGAGTTCATTAGACCACCGCTGAAGCTTGGGTCGATAGTCGTCAACAGAACTCAGAGTGGTAATGATCCAGTCCAGACTTTGAAAAGTCGATTCTAATCGCATATCTTCGCGATCACAACTGTTTACCATTTTTTCCAGTTGCATACAAGCCACAGACAGTTCTGCAAATTTTCGTATTTCTGCAATTTCGTACGATTTTGTACATCCTTCTGCTTATTAGCATACAAGCCACACTTTCATCCATCGTTCACCATTTTACCGCATCTCCACCTGCACAACCAACACATGTCTTCCATTCCACAACGCAACCCCCTTCCCATTGAGGACGGTCACCATCCTCTAGAACTCGACACCGGCATACTGGAGGATGGCGATTCGACAGACGACGAGCAGTTTGCGCTCCGTTCTGCCATACAGAACTCGCTGCAGGATGCCAACATTCAGTCCGCATGTCTTCAGCATGCGGGCACATGCGACTGCGCCCCAGGACCTTCGTCCGCTGCTCAAGCCCTTGCGCAGGCGAAGCGCACCAAGTCTAAGGCAACAGACGAGACGGATAATATTCTTCTGGAGGCGATAGACGACTTTGACCCTTTGAACAAGTCCCGAAAGGACGTTGCGGTCTGCTGGGAAAAGGTAGCAGATTCCTGTCGCACTCGAGGCTCGATTGTTTTGAGGAAGACGGAGAAGGCTACCCATTTTGATGATGCCACCGGCAAGTCTGTGAGGCAGAGATGGATGCAGTTGAGGAAGGATTTAGATCAGGCTAAAGCAGCGACGACCAGACGTCCAACAGGCACGGTTCAGGCTGATTTGTCGGAAAAGTTGCGGACAGTGGAGGCCCTCGTGGACAGAGAGGAAGGACAGAAGACCCATGCCCAGCACAAAAAGCAGCAGGAGATGGAGAAGCGTCGTCAAAACTATATGACCGGGAGGATGATGGCAAAGCAGTCAATGAGCACAAACCGGGGTCTCCACGGCACCTCTGCCACCTCCGACGCAACCGACTCGGACATCACGTCGGATAGTAGTCAGGAACGTGTGCGATCTCCCACCTCGTCGATTCCCTTCTCCGGCCGCAGCATCAATACCCTGTTCAGTAACTTTGACTTGACCAGCACTATCCAGGATAGGATGGCAGAGTTCAACAACATGGTCGTGGAGATGAGGGAGCAAGAACGAGTAAGGCACGAGGCGTCGCAGGCGGAGCTTCGTCACATTAACAGCAGCATTGCAAAATCTCTGGAGTCAGCTCAAGAGGATCGAAAAATCTTGCAGGGCACACTTGACAGACTGATGAACACCCAGGAATCGATGGCGCAACTGCTGTTGAAGATGAACGAAAAATAAATGTTTATTCGATGTCAACGCCCAGGTTGAAAAGGTTTGGGTTGAGATATTCTTCAAGCGTTGGCGGGCAGATTAAAGGAAGGTCGTCATAGTACGGCATATATTGGGAGGAAACGTTGTTAAAGCCACGTATACAGGTGCGGCAGTTGGCGAAAAGAACACTCAAACGGAAGAAGTGTCCCGCACGACCGTCCATGATCCTCATCGCTTGCGACCATTTGCTTTGTTTAAAAAATTGGTTGGTGTATCCGATGGCCTGCTCGACGACGATGCGACCTGTTCCCATCACTTGGTTCTCGAGGACATGCCGAGCAGCCTGGCTCTGGCCTTGGTCGCGAGGCCTTGCGATGTGAGTATCGCTAGCGTATGCACTATCGCCGTAAAGCTTGAGGGCATGTCCGTCCGGGTGATGAGCATACTGAGCGAGGATGCCAGGAAGAGCAGAGTCCTGCAAAATGACTGAGTCATTGCATGTTCCTGCAGCCGGCTCGCTGACATGGGCTACGATGCCGTCTGGCAGCATGACCAAATTGTACCGAAGATAATGCTTCTGTCCTTTGCTGCCGAACATGCACTGCTCATGATATGTAGGCTTACAGATCTCGATCGATGTTCCGTCAAGGAAGCCAAAAACGTCATCTCTTGCATGAGCGCCGATCCTAGCGGCTATTGCCTGCGTGAACATGGCTAACCTCTCGGGTGTCAGTCGTTCTGGGTCCCAGTCGTACAGGCGGTTCCAAGAAGCATGGAACCATTCGATCATCGCCTTGAGGATTCTCGACACCGCAGCTTGGTCTCGATGGAAAAACCCAACAACATCGGTAAGTCTCTTGGGGTACGCCAGTCGACAAAGCAGCATGCAAAGCCCCTCCATGCCGGTGAACATGTCGTTATTAGTGGTCCACAACAGATCTGGGATCATCAGATGCCGTTTGAGCAGCAAAAGCTGGTCTTTGTCGAACCGCATATGAGAGATACATGCTTCGTCGGACCAGGTGTCGATGTCAAAGGTCGGCGCGTCTGTGCGGCGAGGCCGGCTCCTGAGATGATGACGTAGGAGCACGGCTTCCTCGTGCTCAGCGATATCGTTGTAGATGCCTAACATCAAGCGGTGATGTAGGAGCATAAGTATGAAGGCACCCATAAGAAGGGAGATAAGAAGAAAAAGGGAGAGGGAGAACATGCTCGCTCACGTTTGTTTATTTACATGTCACAAGGGAGATTTGTTTTGAGTCTCCAATCGCATACAAGCCGCTACAAGCCACAAGGATGTACGATTAAAAGTTATGCGACTGGAGGGACTTTTCAAAGCAAAAAAAGGGTGGTGCCTAGTTGATCCACGCTTATCCCTGATGAAAAAGATTTCAGCGACAAAAAAGTCCATTTTTTTTTGTTTCAATGTAACCCATGTGATACCGGGCAAAAAAAAGAGGACAGCTTTGAGAAGGCCAGGTACCAGACTTACACTGGTTTTTTTATTCTTTGTTCGTATGTATTGAAAGCTTCCATTCTGGTCAAAAGAGAAGGAGGAGGGGATATATAGATCTGGCGCCAGCAACCTCTTCCTCTTCAGCCCTCCTCTCCACATTCATCTCGCCCAACTTCCTTTTCTCCTTCTCCTAACAACAAGTAATGAAAACCAATTTGCGTTGGCGTTTTTTTCCTCTTGCGCTCCCTTCCCTTTGCCTAGGATGGCCCTGGGTGGGTAATCCTTATCATCTCGGACTGTTTTTTTTTGTTGTTCTTTTTCTTTTTTATGCGCGTTGGTACTTCCCCGTGGTATGATATGGCAGCAAAACCCGTCGCGGTTATCACGCACATGTCATGTCCACACTTTTTCGTTTCTTCATTGTTCTCGCTGGAAGACACGATTGGATTGGGGTTGAAAGAATAAGAGAGATCAAGGGTCTGGACGCAAAAAAATAAAACAAGCAGAAAGAGAGAACAATAAGCGAGTATTCATTAATGGCTGCATCTCATTTCCCGAGGAGTTTAATTGATCTCTTGGCTGTTCTTCTCACCGATGAGCACTAGACGCGACATCTTGCCTCCCTAGGTTGCGGTGGGAATGGGGACCCTAGCTGTTTGCTTTCTCGCTCGTTTTTCTCATTTCACGTGCCCTTGCCCTCGTTGCTCAATCTCCCTCCCTGTCTCGTTATTTTATCGCTTCCTATACCAGAAATAGGGAGAGAGAGAGAGAGAGAAAAGAAAGAAAGGATTGTTACCATAATGTGGTATGGTGTGGTGGTTTGTTACCAAGAAGGAAACATTCAGGTACCATCAATTGATTGTTTGTGTCTGAGATAGGAAAATCAAGGGTCTTTTCTCACTCTTTCTTTCATCTCTTTGCCTCTCTCTTCAACGTTCCTGTCTGTGCCTCTTTCTTCTTCCCCGGGGAACCAACAACGAGTCGATTGTGTGTGTGTGTGTGTGTATGTATGTGTAAGTTGTTCCCGGAGCCATTATTCGCCATAGAAGGGTGAGTTTTTCATCGACAAGAAGAAAAAAACGCGAACGCTTCTTTTTGTTCGTTGGGATTCATGTGTCTTGAAGTAATGGATTGTACTTTTTGTCTGCTTTTGTGTACCTGTATTACTCCAATTTATTTCGTCTGTTGGCATAGACATCTAGATGCAAGGTGTAGAACGCGACAAGGAGGGGGAGTGCAGGTGGATAGCCCGATTCCTTGCGCTTTCTTTTTGTCAACAAACGCTCACAACATACAAAAAAATACCAATTTACCTTCCTATAGCTACAATGAATGGTACCGTAGAGAAAGAAGAGGAGTAGCAACGAAGGTGGAGGTACCAAGAAGTGGGTGGGGGTACCAAGAAGTGGGTGGAGGTACCAAGAAGTGGGTGGAGGAAGAGGGCACTTCAGTCTCTCTCAAATTATTATTCTGTGGGACCCTGGCCTATTTCCAACTCCAGTCGTTCATTATTACCACTGGAAGGTTTGTATCTGTGTGCGTGGTTGTACGGGTAGGGTGGCCTGGTCAGTAGTGCATGACTTCATCCAGGCAATTTCATGCCGTCAATAAAAATGAGAGAAAAAAGGTACAATGAGAAGAGGAGTAAAACGACTCTTGTTGTCTTTTATTAACGTAGCACAGACGGGGTTGCAGACAAAACTAATGACCGATCGCTTTTTCAGCCAGTGTTCTCAATTGTTCATCCAAGTCTACATCAACATCCGTCCTCTTGCACCAATGACACTGAACAATAACTCACAGCTTCAGCTACCATCGGCAAAGAATGCCAATCCGTTCGCTACTTTTTTCTTCTATCTCACACTCGCCCCTTTCCTTCGACCCTACCAATATAGTGCTCACTCAGTCTGCGTATTTTCTGTTTTGTATCTTGTAGAAAAGTTCCCTCAACCACCACCAACAACCAATACCAACAACAATTCAAAGTGGGAATGGGTCAGTCAATTTCTTTTCTTGTTCTTGTCGCATCTCATGCTCCCCGGGGCGAAAGAAACAGCAGTTCTCGATGCAATTGAACAATTTACCAGGGTTTGGCCTACTCAGGGCGCCCTAGTCCTACTTCGCTCTCCCCCTTCTTTTCGTTCGATGCTGGGGAGTAGAGTATAAAAACTAGGGCCTTCCCCGTCATCTTTTTTATCTTCGTTCATTCCCATTCCTGTCATCTCACACACCCCTACCGCTACACTCCAACGTTACATACATCATCATGGTTCTCAAGTCCTCCTTCACCATCCTCGTCGTCGCCACCTTGGCTGCCTTCTCCTCCTACACTCCCCAGGCTGAGGCCCACTCGTGGGCTGACTGCATTGACTGGAAGTTCAACAAGGCCGGCAACCAGGACTGGTCCGACCAGGGAGGCAAGTGCACCGGTTACGCCCGTCGCTTCCCTCTCGGCAAGGAGTTCGGCTCCCTCGACTCTGCCTACCCCAATCGCCACTACCAGCAGGACCGCCAGAACCCTAGCACTGCCTTGCCCTGCTCTGACCGCATGGCCGGTGCGACGCGCGGTTCGGACGAGACCCGTGCCAACCCTCCCTCGAAGGCCTACGGCGGCGAGTACGGTCGCATGACCGTCACCTCCGTCGGCGACACCCTCTGTGTCCGCTGGCCCGCCAAGACCCATGGCCAGTCGTTCCATCCCAACAACAAGGTCCAGATCCACTTGTCCAAGTCCCGCAACGCCATGGATATCTCCCAGCAGGAGTTGTTGAAGAACACCATTGCCAATCTCGACTACAAAAACTGTAACCCTGGCTCCAACGAGGACCGTCGTCCCTGCGGTGGATGCTTCAAGGTACCCGTCCGTGCCAAGGGTACCTACCTCCTCCAGTGGCGCTGGATGTTGAACCAGGATGAGTGGTACACTTCCTGCGCCGATATCGACATCCAGTAGATGTCTTTTCTGTCATTTCTCCTTTTTCTCGCTTGTCGGGAGTTGGTTGTGGTGAGGAGGAGAGTTCATTAGTTTGTAGAGGTGCACATAGCTGGTTTCGAGCGTCGATTCTGACTGTTGCAGCCTTTCTCTTTTATCCCCTTCCCCCCCCCCCCACCCTCTTCCTTACGCCTCCTTCTCTTTACTCGTTCTATACAAGCTTCTCAAAACCTTTTCTTATGTACGATAACACTACCTACCTTTGTTCACACTTTCTGTTTGCTAGTCAATAAATCGAATGAACTGAAGTGGGCATTCTCTCATCTCATACAAGAACATATCATGTCCAACTCTCTCTGCTCATGTTCATGTTTGCTTCAACTTGAAAAGCAAAGAAAAAGTTTCTACGCTCATGTTTCGTTCGTCCCTCGTTTGTTCTTCAGGTTTCTGGCCAATGTCGTTGAAAGGCTCTTAAAAAAAACGAGGCGAAGAAAGCAGCAAGGGGGGAGATAGAGTAGAAGAACATCCATGCCCAGAACTAAAAAGCCATCTAACGCGTGAAAAATGTACACGTGCACTATTCTTTCAGTCTTCTTGCTCTTCCTTTCTCTTCGCTCTTTCTCTTCGCTCTTTCTCTTCTTTAATTACTCCACAAGGAACTAGAACCCCATGGAGGGAAGAGAGAAAGAATATTGAGCGCAAAAAGCTCTCAGCACACACAAAAAAAAACAAAACAAAAGCCGAGTTGATAACTTCTCTCACCCTTGGTAAAAACGAGTGTAAGGGCACAGAAAAATAACAATCAAAGAAAACCAGTCAGGTTGTACTCTGCAGTCGATCCCAGATGTAAACAACAACACCTCTCCTACTTCCCTTCTCCCTCTCTCTCTCTCTCTCCCTCCGTCCTCCTTCTCGCATAACGAAAGAGACCTTCGTGGCTGCTGCTGAGAGTTGGGTGACTGTTGACAGACAATGTGTTGGCTATGGGTTCGCTATGGTTTTCTAGGTCTTTTTTTTTTTTTTTTGGTTTGCTTTCTTTCTCCTTTTGCCTGCATGCCAATGGTGACTTTTTGGATTCAGGGGAATTTTTGCCTCGATAAACGCGAACTCACGGCAACACGAAAATGCACGGGCCACATCACTGATCAAAAGAAACGTATTACTAAATGTTTTATTCTACAAAATTGAATGCTTGATTGTTGTTGTGATTGTTAGGGGGGGAGGGGAGGTGAGAGGGGGGGGATGGTTATTGTTTAGTGGAAGTACTTTTGCAAGCTGCCTCCGAGGTAGACTTCAATGTCAGCAATGACCTGCTGAGTCAAGGTCTCAACCTCATGGTCATCATCCTCCATCAGCTCCGCCAAGAAGGGGATGGTCTCGGGCAAGAGGATCAAGAACTCCTCACCCAGACGCTTGTAGAACTCCTGGAGGACCTTGAGGGCCGACAGACGGATCTGCTTATTATCCTCGCGGGTCTTCAACAAGACCTGGTAGTTCAAGGGCTTCCAAAGAGCATCGTTCGACAACGTGACAGCCAGCTGACCCAAGCAAGGGACCAACCAGGTGTTCATCCTATTCTCGTACGACTTCCATTCGGTTCCTGCAACATCCACAGCCTCGTTCGACGTCACCAACAGCTGGTTAACCAAGGGATGCAAAAGTTTCTCGAACCGGTCGGCGTTCCAGAGTCCGTCATTGTCGTGCAAGAAGCACTTGGTGAGCGACGAGATCATCCATGGCCACAACTCGTCCATCTCTCTCCTCTTGATCACGGATCCATCCTTGGATTCCTCCTCATCATCATCCTCGTAGGACGAGGCGGCAGCAGCCTTGGCCTGCTTGGCGTAACCAGTCAACGACTCGATGACATGATCGACGACATAGCCATAGTAAGGCGTGACAATCGACTTGAGCTGCTCGAGAAGGGCGTTCATCAACTTGTAGAAGAAGATCAGACGGTCCTGCATGTCCTTGAACGAAGCCTTGGCAACCTGCAACTCGGTCGTAGCCCAGTCCAAAGACTTAAGGAAGAGGGGCTTGAACAGAGTCTCGTTCAACTTCATCACCAACTGCATGAAGGCGCCAATGACAGCCTCCTCCACAACAGCAACAGTCGACTGGCTCTTGGCGACTTGACCGTGGACACGGCGGTAATCAAAGGCGCCGAGGAAGAACTTGAAGATCTGCTTGTAGTGGACGGCAATGACATCGCGGGGCATGGCAATGATCGTCTGGCTGACAAGATCAAACAAGGCCAAGACGGAATCCTTGCCATCCTTGACGGCGGTTTCGTAGTATCCAAGGACGGGGGGGAGCAAGATACGAGGCTGGATGTGAACGGCCATCTCGGACAACAGCTTCTTGTTCTTTTCCCGAATCTGGAGTTTTGAGGCATCGGTTCCCTCGTATCCGGCCAAAACGGGGTGCAGAGTGCTGGTGAGAATCTTGGTGACATATGAGCTGAGGAACTGGGGAAGGACCTTGACCAAGGTCTCGAGGTGAGCGACAACGGCCAACTGGAGTAAGACCGAATTGTTGTAGCGGCTCGACTTCTTGCCTTCGGCTTCGGCAGCGGCGGCAGCAGCAGCAGCTGAAGCGTTGGTGCTGGTAAGCGTGCTGCCAAGGATGGAAAGGACCACAGGCATAAACTTGGGCAAGAATGGGACGACGCGAACACCGAGCTCCTGGGCCATAAAGGTAAGGCAGACCAGGCACGAGGCCTTGACTTGCTCGTTGGCGTGCAACAAACCGCTGGGTCCGATCAAAGTGGGCATGATCTTGGTCATCTCGGCAGGGTGCGAGGCTCCGAACTGGCGGACAATGGTCGAGAGACACAACAGAGCAGTCTGCTTGTTGATAGCAACCTCCTCGGCAGTGGCGCCCTCGACCTGGTCGGTCTCGAGCACCTTTCTCAAGTTCTCGCTGACTCCGACAACCATGTCGACATAGATGGCAGGGACAGCGGCAGGGCTTCCGGGGACGTTCGTGATCTTCTGGTTGAAGAGACCCATAGCCTTGCGACGGATAGTGCTGTCCTTGTGCTCGAACAAGGCGACCATAATCTTGACAAACGAGGGCAGCGACAAGAGAATGTGGACCTTGTCGAGGACATCGTAGGTGACCTTGACGATACCGCGCCAGAACTTGTTGACCAGGACCGACTGCTCCTTGCGAGTGGCCAGCACATTGACAAAGTTGCTGAAAGATCCAATCAAGGTCAAAATGCGCTCAGCCATCTGGAGGTAGTAGCCCTCAAGGACACGCTCCGATGAGAGGTCCATGTTGGTCTGGGTCAAAATCTTGGACAAGAACAACTTGGAGGTCAAGACATTGGCACTGAATGTCAATGCAGCGAGCTTGAACTGGCGGAGCTGCTTGTTGTTGTGGGTCCTATAAATTCGTGCGACGAAAATTAATGGGGTTAGAATCTGAAAAAAGAAGAAATAGACACGGAAAAGAGCAAAATGAGGGGGCGGGGTGATGGGACAGATACATACTTGACATCAAAGAGGTGCTCCTCCATCTCGACATCTTCACCCTCGACCTTCTCGTTGGGCAAGGCCTGGACGATGTCCATAAGGGCAATGACGGCCTTCATCTGGACAACAGCCGAGAACTGGTTCGAGAGGGCAAGAGCAAACTCGCTCAGAGAGTCGGCCTCGGTCTGGTGGCCCTTGCCGGCACGCTCGGTGTACTTCTCAACCATCATACAGATGACAACGTGCAAGAATTCCTCCTCGCCAAGAGTGGCAATCAGAATTGAGAAGAGACGGAGACGGCGATGCTTGGGGATGTGGAACAAGGCGTCGACAAAGACCTTGATAATAGGGAGAACCTGGAAGGCCAAGGTCTGACCGGCTTCGCTCTGGCGACGATGGGCAGCCACCAGTGGGGGGATAATCTTCTCCAAGGTCTGCTGGATGACGTGGAAACTGTAGTTGTCGTCCTGACGCAACACGTTGGCGCCCATGAAGGTGAAGACAGGCATGATGTTGTGGAGAACCTTGTCGGGGCAGAGAGAAGCGATGGCAGCCATGAGCAAGAGAGCCTGGTTGTGAGTCTGAGGGTTGCCAGTAGCACGGATGCAGCTGACGACCAAATCGACGCGGAGAATACCCTCCTCAACCACAATACCCTTCTCCTCAGTTTGGCGAATGTACGTAGTGAGGCTCGAGAGCAACAACTGGTTGATGTACTCAATCGAGATGGGGGTGTTGTGAAAGTCCGAGTTCATGATGGTCGAGAGAATCTCGAACAAGGGCATGATGAGCAGGTTGGAATCATTCACCTCCTTGGACTCGAGCAACTCCAAGACAGAAACAAGGCGGTGGAGAGAATCAACCACAGTGCTGGGGCGGGAAGAGTCAGTGGCCACCTTGCGCTGGCGCTTCGAGGCACCACCTTCCTCGTCAGCCTGAGCCTCCTTGACGATGCTGGACTGCACAAGAGCCAACTCGTAGATGACGAGATCGCTGGCAAAGGAGATCTCGCGAAGGACCTGCTTGACAACGCGGACAGTCTCCTGAGGAGCGTTGGTGGCAAGGTCAATAAGAACTTTAAAGACTTCGCGCTTGAGGGTGGCACTGAATCCTGCAAAGAAGGTGCTGTTGATCTGGGCGAGGGCCAGACGACGGAAGGACGAGCTCGACTCCTCGGTATCGGTATTAGTAGTAGCAGTACTGTCGAGCTTCAAGAGCTGCAAGAAGGCGGTCCTGAAACGGTTGGACTTGCCCTCCATGAGAGAAGTGGTCTCGGTCGAGAAGCAGCGCACCAAATAGCGGGCCAGATCGGTGTGGACCTCCTGGTCAAGCTGTCCGGCAAAGGTCGAATGGACCAGGGTTTCGATTAAGGGCAGCAGGACCTTCAACTTGGTTGGCGAGTGGACGTTCTCAACAAGATGCAAAAGCTCGACACGGTTGCTGATGCGGTCAAATCCAAGGACATGGGAGAGGTAGAAGGTGAGGTAGGCATCCTTTGCTGCTGCTGCCTCCTCGGACTCGCCGGAGACGGGGTTGAGGTTCTCAGCCAAGTAGATGACAATATAACCATTATCGGTGATGAACTCGCTACGAGCCTTGAGGATTCCGGCCAAGAAGGATTGGACCTGGCTAGGCAAAAGGAACTCGAGCTGGTCCGAAGTCTTGCCATAGAAGGAGTCATATCTGTAAATGTCTGCAGCAGCTCCCTTGCCCTTCTTGCCTGTGCCCTTGACCTTGGGGTAGAGAGTAGACACCGAGTTGAGACAGTCAAGAGCGGTCTCACGGATAGACCTAGAACTGTGTCCTAGAGCCAATAAGAGGGTAGGGATGACAACCTGGAAGTCGGGAGCCTCAGCGACAGACTTTGCGGTGTAGGCTTGCAAATAGGCGTTGGCAATCTGGAGGGAGCGGAGGCGGACCAAAGTGGGGGCAGAGGCGTCGGTCCAGACATTGCACAAGAACTCGATCGAGTCGTCGCTCAAGTGAAGCTCAAACAACTTTTCAATCATCTGCTCGTAAGGGGCCATGCGGGAGGGCTCGACAAAGACCTTGTAGAGTGACAGAACGACGGCACGGTATTCAGAAAGAGGCTCGGACGACAACCATGATCCGGCTGCCTTGGCGGGCTTCTTGAGGTCATTAACAATGCTCAACAACGAAAAGTGAAGGGCGGAGAGCTCAACCAAAGGAACCCACGACTTGGAGGTGACCTGGAGAAGGAACTCCTTGGAGGGGAGGCCTGCCTCGTTGTGAATGACGGTGATCTTGGAGCTCGAGTGGTTCTTGAGGAGCCTGATGAGATGAGGGACGAAAACGGAGGCGACCTTGATCTGTTGAGCAGCCTTCAACAGGTTGATAGTCTTGGTAATAACAAAGATTGACAAGAGACGGAAAGTGTTGTTCTTGCTGTCGAGACCCTGGACAAAAACACCGAGGCTGTGTGTCAAGTTGGGGCTGGCCACAACGTTGGCAGCCAGTGTGTTGATCATGACAATGTCAGCAGCGGCCATGGTCTCGGCCGAAGGTGCAGCCGATGATTCCTTGGGGAAATCCTTGAGAACGACGTCAATGTTCTTCAGAAGTGGCTCGTTCTTCAGCTCCGATGTGTTGATCCTCGAGATGACGGATTTGCTGACCTTGTGGAGATCCTTGACGAGGAAAATGTTGGCGACAATGATCGACAGGACTTCATCCCGCATGTCCTTGTGAGTGGCGAGGAAGTTGGCCAAAAGGTAGACAAGAGCATGGCGACGGGATCCACGGCTGGAGGTGGGGGAGGTAATGACGTTGACCAAAGCTGAGAGGAGATCCTGAACAGGAATGAATGCGTTTAACTTCATGCTCAAAACTTGAAGAACGATCCTCTCGTCATCATCCTGGATGCGAGCGAGCAGAGTATCCTTGACAAAAGTATCCTTGTTGTTAGGATTGGCGAGCTCCGAGGTGTTTTCCTTCAAGATTTCGTTCAACTTCTTCACAGCGATGAGACGAATGGAGGCTTCAGGGTGGTTGACACTCAGGAAGAGAGTGGTGTTGGACTCCTTGAGAGGCTGGTGGCGAGTTCCGTTGAAGGCCTTGGCGATGAAGGAGTAGAGATGACTGTGGGTCTTGGAGTGCTCTTCTTCCTTGGAGTCGGACAACTTTTGCTGAAGGGCGGCGTCCAGATCCTGAGAGTAGTTCTCGTGGAGAACGGTCAAAATTGAAAGAGTGTTGTGGTTCATTTCAGCTGTCTCATCCTGTGCGCGCTCTGCAAGGTAAAGATCCAGGACAGTGGAGCTAACTCCGTGAACAATCGACGAAGGGAGACGCTCCTCCTTCAAGATAGTGTTGAGGACGATCGAGTAGTTGTCGTGCTCTCCGGAATGTTTGGCGAGGGCGATGAGGAAGGGGTAAAGGAAACGCTGGGCGCTGTATTTTTGGAGAAGGGCAAGCAAGACGGTAGAGATGTCCTCGATCCTGGCCAAGGTCTTGAAGGCGCGCTCTGGAAACTCCTCGAAAGTCTCCTGAGTCTGGCAGATGTGAACCAAGCAAAGCAGCATCTGGAACGCGTTCGAGTAGCTGGCGGTCATGGTGGTGAACAGAGATGAGAGAACTTCCATTGTGAGAGTGGCGCGTTCCGAAATTTGTGAGATGATCATGTACGAAGCAATCTAAGAATAAAAAGGTCATAGACATTTTGAATGTTAGGCTAGTTGTAACACTACTTTTAAGAGAGGGGGGTTGTCTACTTGCAAGTAAACCCGCTGCACCGTGAGATGAAAGATGTGTTACCTGGTACTCTGGTGAGTTCTTGGCCTTCAGTCCGTCGAGGATATATGGGAAAATGGCGGTCAAAACCTCGTCTGTGATTGCGGGCAAGGTGGCAATGTACTGCAACATGACTGCGGCGTAGAAGGACATGATAGTCTTGAAGGAGGTACGGCGGGTTACAGATTGGAGAACCATCTCGCAGATGAACTCAACGAGAGAACGATCCTTGAGCATGCTCTGAATCAACAAAGTCCTGTCCAAAGGCTGCTTGCTCTTGCGAACGGGGCGGAGGAAAGCCCAGCGACTCGTCTCCCTATTATGTCCAAAAAATACAACTCTGTTAGTACTCAGAGCTCCAATTGAGTGTTCCTGTCTTTGCCAAAGAAGCGGATTGAAAGGTACATACTCGATCTGGAGGATGGAGACCATGGTGACAAAGAGCGCAGTCTCGTGGTAGGGGAGGATGGCCTGCATAACGGCGTCGACGTTGTACTCGTTGATACGGAATCGACGGATGAGCCACTCCAGAGCTTTTCCAGCTGGCTTCAACATGAAGTAAGGCGACATTTGGCGAAGGAACAATGTAATACTCTCGTCCAGCTTGGCGTTATCCTCTTTGGTCTATGTCATTCATTGAATAGATAACACACGCGTTGGTCAATATCGCACTTTGAGGAGCAACGTAATTAGCCCATTAGCGATAACAATATGAAAGAGAAAAAGTACTTGGAGGACACGATCGACGCCCTTCATGGATTCGGCAAAGAGGGTCTTCTCGAAGGCAGTGAATTTGGAGTCGAGCTGTCTGAGCTCTGTGATGCCGTTGACACCGATGGAGTAGATGGTGTCGATATCATAGTCGGCGGCCTGTTTGGAGTCGAAGAGGAAGGATGCGCGGTGCTTTGTTGCCTTCTCGTAGCCCTTTGTGACATCGGCGGTGCCAATCTTTTTCAGCTGCTGTGCTAAGGACGACATCTTTATGTATGTAATGTGTGTTTTATGGGTGTGTGTGTATAGTGAGTGGTGATATGAAAAATGCAAAAGTAAAAGTAATAAAATGAAATGTATGCAAGAGTGAGAAACGAATATGAATATGAATGAGATGGAAAAAATACAAAAAAAGAAACAAAAGGAGGAGAAGGAAGGAGGGAGAAGAAGGGGGAGTGAATGGACAATGCTCTCTTGGCTGAGGGAGAGATTGAACCAAAGGGGGAACGAGGAGGGAGTGAGAGAGGAGAGGAGAAGAACAAGAACAACGGTCAGGGCACACCTTACTACCCAAAAAAAAAAGAAAAGAAAAACACCAAATCTTGTTTACAATTGCATCCAAGCCACACATCGTGGACCACAAAAGCAGTCAACTGGAAAGTGGAAGCTAGAAAGACCCAGAAACTTGTCACTTCGAATCACGCTACCTTCAGGTCCGACAATTGAGAGGGATAAAGTCTCCGCTCTCCACTCTCCTTCGCCCTTTTTTTTCCTCTCCCTCCCATTCTCATTCGCATTCATTCCACTTCTTCTCACACAACCATGCTGCGCTCACTCGCAAGAACCGCCTTGGCCGCCAGGGCCCATATCGCTGCTTCACCTGTTGCAACCCCCGCTGCAAAGGTAAACAACAACAACCCCTCTACAAACAACAACTTGCTCTTCTTCCCTTCCCTCTGCAACGCCCTTCCCCTTTCATATGAACCCTGAGAAACAGAATAGAACGTCAACCCTCTCCGGTCTGTTAACATTAAAAACTGACCACCAGTTTTCAAACGCGTCTTTTCATACTTTCAATTAGATCTTCTACTCGACTGCCCTCCGATCAACTGCCATCCCCGTCGGCCGCAAGACTGGTCACATCGCCTACAACTCGATCCGCTCCTTTGCTACCGAATCCTCGACCTCTGTCGATAATGATCAGGAAGAAAAGATCATCGGTGAGACCAAGAAGAAGACCTTCCAGGCCGAGACCCGCAAGTTGCTCGACATTGTCACCCACTCGCTCTACTCTGAGAAGGAGGTCTTTGTCCGGTAAGTTGAATTGCGCAGATCGTCATCGAAGTAAGAGTAGGTGTGGTCAGTACCAACTAACAATTGATATCCTCCTATACATTAGTGAGTTGATTTCGAACGCCTCAGATGCCTTGGAGAAGCTTCGTCACTCTCAATTGACCGACGCCAGCCTTGACAGCGGAAAGCCCTTGGAGATCCACATCTCTGTGGACGAGGCCAAGAACACCTTCACCATTCAGGATTTCGGTATTGGAATGACAGAGGAGGAGGCCATCTCCAACTTGGGAACCATTGCCAGATCAGGATCCAAGGCCTTCCTGGAGAACTTGGAGGGTGAGAGCGGCGCTGCTTCGACCAAGGACAAGATCATTGGACAGTTCGGTGTCGGATTCTACTCTGCCGTAAGTACACTATACTTTATTGACTGTGATATATGATCATGTGGAGGTGAACTGCGGACTAATTAGTTTACCATCTCTTTTTCTAGTTCATGGTTGGATCCGATATCAAGGTTTACACTCGCTCAGCTACACCTGGCTCCAAGGGCTACTGCTGGACATCGGATGGATCAGGATCGTACGAGATTGCCGAGGCTGAGAACGTTGCTATTGGAACCAAGATTGTGATCAAGCTCAGGGACGAGTGCAAGGAGTACGCCACGGAGGCTGTTGTTGAGGCCATCATCAAGAAGTACTCTAACTTTGTCGACTACCCCGTTCACCTCAACAGCAAGAAGATCAACGCCGTTCAGCCTCTCTGGACCAAGGACAAGAACGAGATCACTGAGCAGGAGCACATTGAGTTTTACCGTTACGTCGCTGGTGCCTGGGACAACCCCCAGTTCAAGCTCGTCTACAAGACCGACTCACCCCTCGCCATCAGCAGTTTGCTCTACATCCCCCAGCGCCACATGGAGGTCTTGGGTATGCAGAGAGAGGAGCCAGGTGTCAGTCTTTACTCTCGCAAGGTCATGATCCAGGCCAAGTCCAAGGCTCTTCTGCCCGAGTGGCTCCGTTTCGTCAAGGGTGTTGTTGACTGCGAGGATCTCCCCCTCAACGTCTCGCGTGAGTTGCTCCAGGATCAGTCCTTGTCCAAGTTGCGTCAGGTTTTGACGGGACGTATCATCAAATGGATGGAGAATGAGGCAAAGGTCGACCCCAAGGTATACAACCACTTTTTCGAGGAGTTTGGCACCTTTATCAAGGAGGGCGTCTGCACTGAGAACGATGCGACTCGCCCCAACGTCGCGAAGTTGCTTCGCTATGAGAGCAGTGCCGGAGCCCAGGGCGATGTCATCAGTTTCAAGGAGTACGTCGACAGAATGAAGGCTGGACAGGAGAACATTTACTATACCTGCGTGCCCAAGCGCAAGTTTGCCGAGGAGAGCCCTTACTTTGAAGAGTTCAAGGAGAAGGGTATTGAGGTCTTGTTCTTGTACGATACTGTCGACGAGTTTGTTGTCAATAATTTGCGCCAGGTCGGCCAGCACAAATTGGTCTCAATCGATGCTGCGGATATCAAGGATCCCGTCCTCGAGGGCTCTTCGTCCAAGGATGGCGCCAAGGATGGTGACAAGAAGGAGGAGGACCCTGTTGCCAAGGAGGAGGCCAAGTTGGAGGGCGAGAGGGTTGCCGAGTGGTTCCGCGATACCTTGGGTATGCAGGTCCGCAAGGTCGATGTCTCGAAGCGTCATATGAGCCACCCAGCCGTTGTGACTGAGCACGACTCGCCCGCTGTCCGCAAGATGATGGCCATGATGTCTGGTGCTGCCAAGGTTGGCGAGGACAACTTGCCTCCTACCCCTACCAACCTCGAGATCAACATTCACCACCCCATTATTAAGAAGCTCTGGTCTGTCAAGAACCAGGATCCCGCCTTTGCCAAACAAGTTGCCGAGCAGGTTAGTTTCATTTTCATCTATGATTTTTACTTGTTATTGTTGTTGAATATGTATGAGTGACTAACGTCTTTTATTTATTTGCCCTTTTTTGCACGCTGCATGATAGATTTACGACAATGCATTGATTGCAGCTGGTGTTTTGGACGATCCCCGTTCAATGCTCAAGCGTTTGAACACCATCATGGAGGCTTCCTTGTCTGCGTCCGCATCCTCAAAGTCCAAGGATACCGTCATGCAGCCCAAGAAGATTGAGGTCGTCGAGGGCGAGAAGGTGTAAAGAGAGTTTTACTATTTATCACAACATAGAACTATTAGATAGAATACAACCCTTTTTTTTTTTATTTTATCATGATGAACGACTCTTGACCACAAATCTACGCATGGCACATTGTAAACGAGAATACACACATTTTTTACAGAAGTGTGACAAAGAACACTTTCCGCCGTCTACCATCTCAAAAAGTGAGAGGGGCACTCATAGCCTTCAGGGTTCTTATCCAAATACTTTTGATGATAATCCTCCGCATCGTACCACTCGCCCGCAGAGACAATCTGGGTCACAATATGCTTGCCCTTGTAATGCTTCTCCTGGACTTCAGCAGTGACCTTTTTGGCGATCTGCTCCTGCTCGGGGGAATGGAAATAGATGGCAGAGCGGTACTGGGTGCCAACGTCGGGGCCCTGGGAGTTGAGGGTGGTGGGGTCGTGCATCCTGTAGAAGAACTCGACCAGGTTGGGGTAGTTGATCTTGTCGTTGGGGGTGTAGTGGATCTGGAGTGCCTCTGCGTGCTTGGTCGATCCTGTGCAGACCTATTCGGTTATGAACGGCGAGTGAAATGTGGCAGACGAGAAGGGAGTAAATCGAGGCTCCGATGGTTAATTGTTTGTTCAATAAGGGCAATAACGTTATTGACTCATCCCTCCCATTGTGCGTCGCGCTTGCGTGCTCTTCCCTTTTCCGCTTTGGTGTGTTGTATTGTTGTGTTGTTGTAAAAAGTACCTTCTTGTAATCGGGGTTGCTGTCGGCACCACCGGTGTATCCAACGCTGGTCTTGATGTTCTCGTCCTTGTAGAAGCGCTGGAATGCCTTTTCAACACCCCTATGAACAGCAGTTGTGAAAGGAAGAAATGAGTGTAAGAAAAAAAGACCAGCTCGGAAGAATAGAAAAAACAAGTGCGCAGATAATCCATTACATAGCATGGACGTTGTGTGAGAAAAAAAAATTGTACAAGAATATATGATTTACCAGAAGCATCCGGCGGCAAAGGTAGCAGTTTCGGTCATAGTGCGTGGTCTGAGAGTGGACTTGAGGAGAGGGAGTATGGCAGGAATGGTGAGAGATGGAAGTTGAATGAGGAGAGAATGGAGGAAGTGGAGTGAAGAGTGGAGAGTGAAGAAAAGTTTGAAAGGTGTTCTTCTTCCCTTTGGTCTTTTATGCACCGTTTTGGTTTGTCAGCCAATGGAAAGGGCTGGCAGGTCACAGTTCAGTTGGATCGAAATGTGCGACAATCTGACGCGCGGGAACAAAAGGTCAAAGTCAACAAACAAACGGCCGAATCGCGCCATTCTCAACCTCCACAGCCATTCGCTCTTTTTCGCTGTTGTTGTTGTTCCCAGCGAGACTCACACTGGCGCGACAAAACAAACCACTCCCTCCTTCTCTGGCTGAGCTGAATGCTGTTATCATTTCCCCCATGAATTTTGAAAGTCAGCAGACAAGCTAACTTACACCAACGACTTCATCAATGACGGACGCTAAACGACAGACACGACGCGTTTACCCGCTACATGGATGGTTCCAGAGCATATCGTTCTTTGTGGCCCCAGGACAAAAGTGCCAAAGTATGCTAGCCCTGGTTCCGAGGATGGCCCCTTGAAACTGCGTATGCCATGTGTGCGTATTTGTTACAGCGACACCTTTTTCGATCAGGTCCTTTCTTCTAAAGATTTGCCACCAAGTTTTCAATGTCAAAGTTGATAATTGAATAGCTACTTGTGTCCTTGCTCACTCATCCGGCTTCGAACCCTTTCCAATGGATCTTTCCAGAGAGAGGGAGTCCTTCACCCACAGCAACGCTTTGCCTATTCTCTCTCCCTCTCTCTCCCTCTCTCTCCCTCTCTCTCTCTCTATAAATAAGAAGTGCGATAGTCTGAAGGAGGGATGGCGAGTGTGTACTTGTAATAATGTGCCTCCTCTCTCGTATTAAAATGCGATCCAAATGTGGCTTTTATCCTTCCCTCCTCGAATGTGCCACGAGGATCAAAGAACAAAGAGCGACAGACCGTCACTCTCTCCTTCTCCCTCAGAGCCAGCCCTGCAGACGCGACATTTTATTTTATATCCATACCACGACCATACCACGGACTGAACAGACGGACGGACTGGACTGACTTGCTTGGGCATCATCTCGACTCACACAACAACCCCCAAACGCCACTCCACCCTTCCTCCTCCTCATCCACTCACCCTTTCACCCACTGAGCCACCCTTCACACACACACACCATAACTACACCGCCACCCTTCCTAACAAATGCAGCCTCAGCCAAGGCGACAAGGGCCGCCTCCCCAGCAGAGGATGCCCCCCAACGGACCTCCTCACGGGCAACAGTACATGCGCCCTGGTCCCCCAAGACCGATGGGCCCTGGCCCTGGTCCCGGAGGAATGTACCAACAGCAAGGAGGACCCATGGGACCCCCGATGGGAAACATGAACATGGGTGGTCCAGGAGGAAACTACCCGCCAAACATGCGACCACGGCCACCTCCAAACATGATGGGAGGACCTCCTCAACGCCAGATGGGCCCTCCAATGGGTATGGGTGGACCTATGCCTCCCATGGGCCAGCGGCCTATGGGCGGTCCTATGGGTGGGCCGATGGGTGGGCCGATGGGCGGGCCGATGGGTGGGCCGATGGGTGGTCCTATGGGTGGTCCTATGGGCGGTCCTATGGGGAGACCTGGCCCTCCACCGAAAATGGGTCAAAATATGGGACATGGGCCTAATATGGGACCAAACATGGGACCTGGGCCTAATATGGGACCGAACATGGGGCCTGGCCCGTCTCGACCCAATGGCGGCAACCCTAACTTCCGGCCTCCAGGCCCGCCTTCAGGACCACCACCCCAATCTGCCAGCCCGTCGACCCCGCTTTCAATCTACGGTGGCATGGGATCGCCTTCTGGCGCTCAAAACACTCCCAACTACGTTCCTCCAGTCCCTTCGCCTATGGCACCCATCAGCTACCAGCCAAAGACGACACATCATTCACCCTCGTCCGCACGGCCCGTTCAAACATCCACCCCAAGTCCTGTACCTATTCCTACCCCTTCCCAGTCAAACCATGCTCCCATCCCACCAAAGGCTCTTCGCAGGGAAAACTCTGCCCACAATGCTCGTAAGGATCCACCTAGCTCATCTTCGCCTCAGATCCGCAACGAGCCATCCATGCCCTCACCAGTCTCACGCAAGGAAACACCTTCGACACCTCCGCCAAAACCTCCCGTCAGGAGAGATACCGCTTCGTCTCAAAAGTCGCAAAAGGAGCCACCGTCGCCTGTTCTCCGGAAGGAAGTTCCCGTCCCTGTCAGGAGAGATACTCCTCCACAACCTCCACAACCTCCACAACCCATGCGCAAGAATCTGATCTCAATGTCGTCGCCTTCCCCCTCGTCTAATCGCCTGGTGGAAGGAAAGCCTATTGTTGAGATTGCTCAGTTTGCACGAGAAGACTTTCGTCATGAGGACTGTGAGTACTTCTTTCACTTTGGAGCAAGGAGAGAATAATGCACCGATGGATAAATTGATCAGGACAATTAATTTTAACTGCCCTGACCATTACGTTTGATATTTTTAGATCTTACCAAGAATTTGGCGAATGCGAGTGAAGAGACTGTGCGCGCATTCCTGCAGTCGCTCAAGGATTCCAAATCGTTGGCAGCAGAGGACCTTCAGGAGAACGTGTTCAAGAACTACAACGAATTCGTCACCATCTCCAAGGAGATTTCCAAGCTGGAGAGCGACATGCAGACACTTCGTGGACTCTTAGATGATCTGAAAACTTCGAGCGACAACCTCGTGGACGATGACGATGAGTTCTTGCTCACCGCAGGTATGTTTTGATGTGCACTCAGGATGTGCGCTCAGGATGTGCGCTCAGGATGTGCACTCAGATTGTGAGAATATAGGTTCTTGTTATTTATTGCATTGCAGTGTTGTCTTGCTGACACTCTCAATTTTTGACATTGGTAGGTATTGAGGACTCGGCACCAGTTGTTCCAAAGAGAATGACAGTGATGGTATCCAGTATGTCAGACTTGACCTCTGTGTGGAAGGCGCAGATGATGGCTCTGTGGGAGGGTATTGAAGGAGCCCAGGTACGTCTTCGTCAGGGTTTGGGGTTCAAAAAAGTATCTCATGGAAAGCAATCACCCAACAGCCAGCGCATTGACGGTTATTTTTTACTCCGCCATAAAAATACAATAGAAAATGCTTCCTTATCACTCCAAGCGCCATTTGATCCGCGAGTCGCCCAGTTTCGTGGAGGTGAACACATCGACCAACAAGATCAAGCACCCTGTTCACATTGTGCTCATGAACGACACCATTTTGATTGCCACACGCAAGAAGAAGACGGCTGCTCAGTCAAAGTACAAGTTACTGGGTGATCGATGCTGGTCCTTGACCGATATCACCGTCGAGGACAAGAAGGACACTGCCGGTATGTATCAGCTTTTTGTTTACTCTATAATATGTTGAGTGGGCTGTTATTGAAGCGTATGTTCTGATTTTATTATATTCTTTGAAATTGTAGATATCCGCAATGCAATCAAGATTACATACGGAACAGACGAGTTTGTCTACAAGACGGACAAGGGACAGGAGAAGCAGACCATGCTTGTCAACATCAAGCGTACTACTGACGAGATTGTTGCTCGTTCGAACGAGTCTCGCAACAAGGGTATGAAATCTAAAACTATGCGCGCGGTTTGCATTGGGAGATTAATTACATCCGTGAACTCACATTACACTTTCCTTCCCATTCATCGATTCCATTATCGTCTCTATAGGCATGTTTGGGTTCTCTCCAGTAAGTTATTTGACACCTTCCTTCGCGCATTCATATGCTGAGCGTCAGTGAAATCAGTTACTGAACAATTTCACCTCCTATTAAATTTAGGCCATGCCAAACCGCGCAGGAATGAAGTTCAAGTCAGTGACAGGAACAAACCAGGCAGACACACGCTGGTTGGCCGAGTTTACGGATGAATTGGATGTCATGATTGCGCACAGAGAGTTTGACGCAGCTGTTACTGGCATTGAGAAAGGTATGCAGCCATTTAGTGGCGCAACTTTGGCTCTTGATACTCTCTGCATGAGGTTTGACCATGTCCCTAAATACTATCGCGTTCTCCATCCTCAACCATGATAGCCACGGTGTTTTTATCGCAGATGACACTGCCAGTAGCCAAGCTTGAGGATACCAGGAAGCGTCTGGATGAGAGAGTATCTCGCCTGTCTCGTGCTGTTATCCTGGACCTCGGGCAGTCTCACATCACGAAAGTTGCGGTCCAGCGTGCTGTTGGATGGCTGGAGCGCCTTGGCTGTCTTGACCAAGCCAAGGATGTATTCTTGACCAATAGGACCAAGGTGGTTCGTCAAAGAATGCAGTAAGTCCCTCTTTTCATTTTTGGGTATTCTACATTTTTGTCTAAGAAGACAAGCGATATTTAACTGGCTTTATTATTCTTCGCTGGATGTAATAGCCAAGTCAAGCCAAAGAAAGATCCTGTGCTTCATGTTGAGGAATTGGCGATGATTGTGTTTACGACTATCAAGAACACCTCTGAGTGGTTTGAGGAGTCTTTCAAGGACCCCAAGATGAGCTCTGCGCTCGTCAAGTGGGCCAAGCAAGAGATGGAGTGTTTTGCCGACTTGTACAAGGACATTGTCTTTAGTAGTCAGCAAAGCAATTTCCAGGTCATTGCCGACTGCTACAAGGTTACACAGGAGCAATGCAACAAGGTAAGATTCTGTGTTTCGGGGCTGTGTTTCATAGCGGACTGTGTTGTCTAGGCAACGAAACTAACCACCATTAAAATATGCGGTTATTGCTTTCCACACTTAGCTCAAGGAAGTTGGACTGGATATGATTTTTGTGCTAGATTCGTTTTTGCTGCCGTACTTGACCGAGACTATTGCAGAGCACGAGAGGCGTTGTCTAGAGAGAATGGACGCTATAATTGAGCACGATGATTTCGCGCCCATGTCTGGCGAGGAACTAGGTAACATTTTTAAGAGATATACGCGAACAAATGGGAAGATGATATAGATTGAGGTGTTGAGCTGTTTCTAACGTGTAGTTTTTTGTGCACTTTGCTGTTTAGGCTCAGTAACTCCATTGTCTGCCAGTATGATTGCTTTCTACACTGTCATGCTGCAGTTTGTGAACAACATCTGCTTGATCGGTAGCTTGACGGTATGTCATTTTGAACAGCAATCAGTGACACGATCTTCAGGAACAATGACGGGCTATCTGAAACAGGAACGTTCTGAACTAATGTCTTGACGTTTTCTCTCCGTGAATGTAGCTCTACACGAGGATTGTCGAGAGTATTGCCATTCTTTTCAAGGCATACGTGAACAGAACAATTCAGGTCTACGAAGAGAAGGGTCTCTCAGACGACCAGGTACTTGTCGCACGCATTCTTATTTCTTAGTGGCGCTCACTCCTTCATGCACTCGACCACTCCTTTTGCTAACACAATGAGCGCCCTTTTTCCAATCTAAATAGCGCGCAAGTGTAAATTCAAACTTTCAGTTCATTTCTGAGAGTTTTATATCCCGAGTCATTGTGCAGCTGCGCGTAAGTTGATCGTCGCTATTTTTCGCTCCTAGGACATGAAGTATATTTTACTCTCGTTCCAGCGGCTTGGTTTACTCACGTTCGTATGTCCGTCCCTATGCCATTTAGCATCGTTTTGATAGACCTATACCAGAGCTGGAGTCTGTTCGTGAGGAGTTGGGAGGTATTTACTTGTTAATTGATCTTGATCGACGCACTCAACTCTGGTCCTTGTGTTTGCCAGAATGGCTATATTCACCCAGTTTTCTCGTTTTTTCCCCCTCTCTCCCATCGTGTGTGATTAGGCATTGAACTTTAATCGCGAAAGGCACTCGACTAGTCGAACCACCTTTTTTGTCATAAAGTGAAGGATCCTTCCTTCGTGTGAAGTGTGTTAATGAGGCACGTAATAAAATAGAATACGCATAAGATGGTTCGCGTTGTTGATGGTGTGAAAGATGAGGTGGTAAGTAAAACAAAGGCAAAACGCGTGCAGGTCGCACGAAGGCCGAGTATAGTTTTCATGCCCCACCTGGCTTATGAGGATGAGGCAATTTCTGACGCGAATGTCTTCAAGCAGTTTTTTTCTCCTTCGCGTAGTGGTCATCTTGTTGCGATCGTTCTACACACACTCTCTCTCTCGCTCTCTCTCTCTCTTTCCACGTTGCAATGCACCCGCGCGCAATTGGAGGCAAACCTATTTATCTTCTGGATTTTTCAGGTATCAGCCAGTCCCTGCGTCAAACACTCGTTTTACTCGCGTACTTTCACTAGAATAGAAACCTATGGTCACAACCGGCCCAAAGGATGTTTTTTCCACACTTTTTTTTATGTTGTATCTGTCTACGTGCAGCCTCCCTGACTCGCCTTGCCCTTGAGTTTCAAACTTCGATCCCACAACCCGAACAACTCCTGCTTTTGCTCTCCATTTCGTCAAGACACATCAGGGTCCTGAACTTCTCTCAATTATAGCTGCCTGCGTCAACATACTCTCTCAGTGTTTTTGTCAACTCGTCACACAAACTACTTTTGAATGCAGTGGACCACCCGCGCTGTTGTTCTGAAAAATAATACGTTGTAAGCTAGGATTTCTTGTCTTCCAGCCGCCGCCGTATCCAAGCTGTGTCTTCAAAGGAACGTAGACAATTGCTGAACCGCGTCCAAGCGATTGACGCCAAAAACTCCCCCCCCCCCCCCCCATACGCCAATTTTTTTTTTTTTCGTACACAATTTTATTCCTCTTCAGTGCACCATCCACCAGTCGCAGTCCAGTCCGGAACCTAGCTCTGCGCAACAATTATCGCTGCTCTTCACAGCTTAAACGGAAGAAAATAAAACTAGGTACGAATGAAGGGGATTCTTCCTATCCTCTCCATCATTGACAACCTCCTCCTTCCTAACAAACTCTCCAACAACCGTGGGTCCTTGGTCGCTCCAGGGCGCACCTTCCTTCATCATGTGTGGCTAGCGAAGCGCTACACGGGCAGAAACCATCGTGCGTGATGTAACCGTATCCTTGACTCCAGTCACCTCGGGGGGCCTGTGTACTTGGATGTCTTGTTCTTGGCAGAGATGCCCTGGCTCTGTTCCCACACCTTCGCCTCCAAAAAAAAAAAAAAAAAAAAAAAAAAACCCCTAAAAAAACGTCACGTGCAGAATTTTAAATTCATCGCTCAAATTGCGTCCAAATAGCAGTAATACAAGAAGCATTTTGAGATGACAGTTTATATCCAATAAGATAAAAGGTTTCGTGTTGTAATTGGTTAGCAATCAAGACTCTGAATCTTGCAATCCGAGTTCGAGTCTCGGCGAGACCTCTTATTTTGCTATTTTTTTGGTAGTGTCGCTCCTTTTTTTAGCTTTTTCTTGTTCTTTTCTCCACCTCCTCGACATATCGTCAGGCCCTTTTTGTTTCCGAAACGCTCTTTTTTTTAATTTATTTTCAAGGGTGCCTGACCCCATCAAGATGGCGGCAAAGGACGAGATCTATCTCTAGCTGGATCCAAAGGCTGATAATCAGCCTGCGAGTTTTGAATGTATGGTATGATGTTTGAAAAAAGTCAAGACTTTAATGGCCAGTCTCCTCGTGCAAGCTGTGGGAATGTTCGGCGGTGAAAAACTTGGACTTTGGCTTGAACCACTTGTCAGCCGACCTAATGGTTATTTTTGTTCAGAACGAATGAAAAAATGTTAACACAACCAAGAGCACAAATAGAAAACATGCCAACCCCATGACCTCACATTTTCAGACTTACTTCGTCAACTTCTCGGTGATGGAAGGAAGGTCGAGTTGGAGGTACCAGCTCATGTAGTCTCCGATCTCAGTGTTCTCATGGTTGCCCCTGAGACGGTCCAAGATCCGGTTGCCGTTCTGGATAGACGAGGCAGCATAGAGGTTGACATCGACTCCAGTGTGACCCATGGTGGTCCATCCCAAGTTGGCGCGGCGGGAGATAGCATGACCCAAGTAGCGCAGGATGTCGTTGGGGACGGCCTCGGCGTTCGACAAGAACTCGATCTCCTCCTCGGTAGCATCGGTGATTCCAAGTCCCTTGTCCAAAATCTCCTTGCGAACAAAGTCATGAGTCTGGCGACGACGAGAGCCCTGTCCCTGGATGTTCAGGGCGTCATCGTTCTTGTTGGCGGTGTGGAAGAGGATCAAGTCACTGGTCAAGATCTCGGTCGAGACCTTGGCACGGGTAATAACCTCGGGTCTCCACAAATAATCGGGGTAGGTGTCGGGATCAGGTTGGAGTCCCAGGGTGAAACCGCCCGTCTCATGGTCACTGGTCGAAATCATAATAGTGTCGGGGTTGTTGGCGACGAATTCCTTGACGACCTGGATGGTCCTGTGGTACTCGAGAATCTCGTGTACATGAGCAGCAGGGTCGTTGTTGTGGGCGGCCATGTCAATCCTGGATCCCTCAATCATCAAAAAGAATCCCTGTCCACGAGTAGTAGTAGTCCACTTCTGAAGAGACTTCAAGGCAACGCCCGCCATCTCGTGTAAGGCGGGCTCGGTCTTGTTGTTGCGGTCCATCTCAAAATTCATATGACTGGAATGGAATAGGCCCAAGGTGTGTCGAGGCAAGATCTTGTCGTGCTCAGCCAACGCATCAAACTCGTCCTTGTTGAAGACAACGTGTTCCCAGCCATAGTCCTTGCTCTCCTTGATCAAGTCGCGATCGTCCTGACGACAGCTTCCCTCGGTAGTGTTAGGCAAGAAGAAGCAGAGGCCACCTCCCAACATCAGATCAACCTGTCGCCCAAGGGGATAGTCTCCGATCTGCTGGACGGCAATGTCGGCCTCCATATCACGATGGACCACATGGGCCGAGAAAGATGCGGGGGTAGCATGAGTCACTCTACTGGTGACGACCAATCCTGTGAGCATTCCATTTGCCTTGGCGGACTCGAGGACAGTTCCGCAAGGGTTGCCATTGGGATCCACTATTTTCAATAAAGAGGAAAGAAAATAATATTATAGTTAGTGCTTCTAGCAAAAAAATCAAGCTAGAAAGGCAAAGGATGGCTTGATGAGAAAATAAGGTACCTCCGATGGCGGCATTGTAAGACTTCATGGCGCAAGAGAAGGCGGTGGCACCGGCAGCAGAGTCGGTGACCAGACTGTCGCTGCTCCTGGTTCTGGAAGCACCGATCAGGATCTCATCCAACGAAGTCATGGTATCCTCAGAGTATTTGTTGACATACTGCCAGTATGACCGGCCGTAGGTCTGCGAGGCGGGGCCGAAACCATCCGAGACCATCATGATAACATTGCGACTACGACCAGGGGCTATCAGATGGCGAGTTTGGGAGGTGTATATGTTTAGTCCATGCAACAAGGGTGGAAGCATAATATGAACGTGGGAACACAAGAAAAGCACGCAATGGGTTGGTTTGTTGGTGAGAAGAAGAGTCAGTCAATTGGATCCGAGAGAGCCTGCGATTTTATGGACGAGGAATAACTTACTGAAGGTTTCGGTACCCTTGGTGAGGAGGTAGGTTGTGGTGATAGCAGCAGCAGACGCCAAGACGACAGCCAGTCCGAGGCAGAGGCACATGCGTCTACGTTCCTGTGAGTAACAAGCAAAGCAAGAGGGCGGATAACGCAGGTTGTCAGTAAGCCTCCTTGTTGCTTTTTTTCTTCCTTTTGTGGAGCGTGAGGCTATGGTAAGATCCAGTGGAGGGGGAGGGGTGATGCTGGTTTTTTTGGGATGAGCCTTACTCTGCTGATCTGCTTGCGGGACTCTTGTTTGAGTAGCTCACGCTCCTGGTCATCGAATGAGTCTCGGGGATCCTCATTGGCGAGCAATGGGGCAGATGCCTGTCTGTTCATGTTGTCTGTTGTGTGAGCGTGAACTGCGGGGTGAGTAGAGTGTGAAAAAAGAGGTGGAGAGGAGAGGAGAGAAGAGAAGGGAGAGAGAGAATGTATGGATGAGCAAGAAGGAGATGTGAAGGAGCGGATGAGGAATCGGCGGAGAGACAAAGAAGAAGAGAAGAAGAAGAAGAAGAAGAAGAAGAAGAAGAAGAAGAAGAAGACGAAGAAAGAAACAAGAAGCGAAGTGAGAGAGAGAGAGAGAAACCCCGTTCCTGACTGGACTGTGTGAAACAGAGCGAGTGCAGTGCGGCTTACTGACTGTGAGAGAGGTGGCGATGGTTGCCAAATCCGGGACAGAAGTGTGCAGCAGGACAATCCGACCGGCCATTGGCTCTTTTCTTCCCTGACCTCAAACCTTGGACCTGCTTGCCTACTTGCCTGTTTGCTATCCTTAGCCAAACAAGCCCCTCACACCCCCCTAACCAAAGCAAACACCCTAGACTCTAATCAATTGACCGATACACACTTTTTACCTCTGAAAAAAAGAGTGTCTTCGTTGCGTCAGGAAGATGTAGTTGTAAGATGAACAGTGAAATACAATATGATTCAGGCACAGAAACAGTCATGACAGCCTATATATCCGACACTAAAAGCTCATGCATATGGCAAAGATGGCCCGTTCTCCATTTCTCCATTCTCCAGGAGGCGCAACAACAACCATTCAAAAAGATGCGCCAATATGAAAAAGCGGAGGCTTTGTGAGCCATGCGCTTGTCTCTTGCTTCGAAAGATATGTATCTTTTATACTAATTGATCGCCCTTAGTCCTTTGCCTCCTTCGGGAGACAATGAAGCATGAATGTGAAACCGTCGTTGGTCTCGTATGCCCAATTGATGTTTTGACGCGTTGAACTTACTTACCTGCAAAGGATATGCTCCTCTTGCGTCATCTTCGCCTTATAACTAACGCGACGAAGGAACAGAATGGGTCGACTATGATTAATGATAGATACACAACAACAAGTAAACACCTGCTATTAAGAAAGCTGAAAAAAACTAAGTGTCACATTGCATTGACCCCCAACAAGGTGGCAAGGCAAAAAACACCAATTGGTCACTCAAGTTCTCAATGCAACATTGTAATCCCACAACCTTAATACAAATAGAAGTGTTTAAACTGCACGTGTGAGACGAATAGCGAAAGAGTATCAACGAAGAATAGGGGTGGAGACATGCTAACAACAAGATGAACCGAAGGCGAGGTTTTGTTGCTTTTTGTTTTGTTGCATGCTGAAAGAAAGGAAAAGAGGAATATGTGAGCAGCTCGCTCTCCTTTTTTTACTGTCACAAGGGTCCCTTGTTTATCCCTCCCTTTTCTCTTTCCACTCTCCTCTACTTTCTACTTCCTCTCTTTCTCTCTCCGTCAATATTCCATACCTCCTTTATCACTTTCTTTCTTCACATCGTCTCTTTCACCATCCTCACATACCACTCAAAACCCGTCTCTCAGTCAGCTCTCTCACAAATTAAATAAAACCAAAGGAACGAGCCTCAACATGTCAGAGTCGACAATAATTGAACACGACGGGATCCGCTACCGCGTCCGCGTCTCAGTCGGCACCACAGCCAGTACATCCCCAAAAGACATGCACATCCTAAACGTCAACGATGTCTCAAACCCCTTCATGGTCGAAACGGACGAGTTTGTGGGCCATGTGGCTTTCATGATCAAGGGTCAGGATCAGATTTGGGGATATAAAGCAGGACAAAATCAGGATGGTCTTAAACCTGTACCTGACAGCAAGTGGTTCGAGAATGCTGCCAAGGCTGGAAGGGGGGAGAATATTAATTGTTTACAGATCGTCGGGCGCTTTAAGCGGGAGTGGACGGGAGATCAAGTCGTCTTTGCAGTAAGGAATACGGGCTATTTATGAATGCATGAATGATCGCTGAGACGCAACAGAACGACCGTGAAAAAAAAAAAGGCTGACGATGGTCTCAATCCTATTTGTTACTTGTATTTAGACCGTGTTTGAAAGGCCCCTGAAACTCCCACCCTTCACATCCGTCGCGCTCAAATTCATCAAGGCAATATACACCGGCCTTCAAGTCGACGTCTGCTGCCCCCAACCCTACTTTATCGGCCAACTCCTCAACTCGGCCGACACCGTTCAGGTCACACCCGTTTCCTCCACCCTCCTCCTCAACGGCGAATACAAGGACAAGAACATCCCTCAATGGGCCTCATACCATGGCGAGATCCTGGTCGAGAACACAAGCCTAGTGATCCCACCGGAGGAAATCAAGAAGCGGCCCAAGCTGAGTACCAATCCTATAGCGCGACGACAACACTTTTCAAAGGCTAAACACTATTCCAATCATCGGTACTTGACGGATCATGTTTATGGGTTTGAGCTGTTCAACCCGTTCTTGGATTGCGCGAGGTTTTCAGTCAAGCTGGCTGGATTCAACATTGACCTCCTCAAGTATTTCAACGGACAGGTGAGAAAGAGTTCGCGTGCGCTGGTATTCAGTGACAGTGTTTGACATTTCCCCCTCGTTTTTCTTGCTCAGCCGCATGCCTGCGATTTCCTATTGACGATTCCACGTTTTTTTTATTCCTTCTCACTTCTCGAAACGCGAAACGCGCTCTTGGTGATAGCCACTGACATACTCAATCAGGACCCAGGATGCATCTGTGACATTTCTCACCTTTGTCATCGACCTCGTACCTGTCGAAGAACTCGCCACCGTGTAGGAGGAAAAAAAAACACATGGAACCAGACAAACCGACAGCATGCCTCATGTAATAAACGAATGGGTCGAAGCGAGGAGAACAGGAAAAAAAAAAAAAAAAGGGTTGTTCGTTTTATTTGACAACTCCTCTGTGTCTTGTGCTAAATCCACGCATTTTATTTTTGATTAAATTCGCAGAAATAGAGATTTTTATGACAGAAGTCAATGTTTTCCCCCAACCTCGCTATGTCAGTTATCTTTCCTGCCTTCATCGTTGAGGCAGGCTAAAATGTGGTATTTTTTCGAAGTGTCCCACTAATCATTCTAACGAAGACGAAAGAATACCGAACATAAAAAAAAAAGCATAAGCAAATGCCTTCCTTATTGGCGTCGCCATCAATGCGTGATCGAGGTGAAGAAAAAAAAAAACGTTGCATGCACCTCACAGTAAAACTTTCTTCCTTTCCGTCGGCCAAACGCCAAACGAGATGAACAAAAAAGAAATGGCAAAATAAGAGGTCTCGCCGAGACTCGAACTCGGATTGCAAGATTCAGAGTCTTGATTGCTAACCAATTACAACACGAAACCTTTGATCTTATCGGATGTTGACCTTCATTTCGGAGTATTTGTTATACAAAAGCTATCTTCTAGCAGCTCGTACGATGATTTCGTCTTCTACACGTGAATACACGTGATTTCTTGAATGGCCAAAAAAAAGGGGAAAAGTTATCAAAATAAAAGAATCCTTTATTCGCGTCTTGTCTTCAGTTTAACCGTTTAAGCTGAGCAACGACAGTTTGTTGTGCGCACTGAACAGTTTGGTCTGTAGTCTCCTTTTTACTTTTGTCGAGAAAGGAAAATTGTGTACAAAAAAACCCCCCCTGGCTGCCAATGCCCTCTCTATGCTCTTGGTTCTGCTATCGAAAAGCTAACGCGTTCACAAAAATGCACAATGGTTGTTATTACGATTGTTATTTATTGGTGCTCAAAAGAGTAGACAATGCGTGTGTGTGTCTGGATGCGGAGAGATGGGGGTTCTTGAACGGTAAGAAAAAAATGTACAAAGTAGTTAAAGAAAGCTACAAAAAAAGAGGAGAAGATCGAACTTAATGGTGGAAGAGACGAAGGGAGGTGTGAGCAACGACCATATCGTGGGAATCGGCAGTTGCAATGACTTGGTCATCCATGATGGATCCGGAGGGGGCAGCAATGTACTTGACACCGGACTGCTTGGCGCGGTGGACGTTGTCGGTGAAGGGGAAGAAGGCGTCGGAGGAGACGACGACATCCTTGAGCTCCTTCATGTGGGCAGCACGCTCCTCAGCAGTGAGAGCGACGGGGATGGTCTCGAACTGGGCCTCCCAGTTAGCACGCTCCTCACCCTCGCCAATCTTGTCGAGAACGTAGAGGTCAATGGCGTTGGACTTGTCAGCACGCTTGGTCTCCTTCTTGAAGTTAAAGTCCAAGATCTTGGGGTGGTGGCGCAACCACCAGTTGTCGGCCTTGTCACCGGCAAGACGGGTGCAGTGGATACGGGACTGCTGGCCGGCGCCGAGACCGACGACCATTCCGTTCTTGGCGTAGCAGACAGAGTTGGACTGGGTATACTTGAGGGCGATGGTGGCGACGATCAAATCGCGGATGGCAGACTCGGGCAAGTCCTTGTTCTTCGAGACGAGGTTCTTGAAGAGCGAGGCGTCGATCTGGACGTTGTTGCGCTTCTGCTGCATGGAGAGACCATAGACCTGACGGGTCTCGATCTCTTGGGGCTCGTAGTTGGGGTCCATCTGGAGGACGGTGTACTTGCCGCCCTTCTTCTTCCTCAAGAGCTCCAGAGCATCAGCATCGTAGGCGGGGGCAATGATACCGTCAGAGACCTCGCGGGAGATGATCTTGGCAGTGACCAAGTCGACGGTCGAGGAGATAGCGATCCAGTCACCGAAGGAGGACATGCGGTCAGCACCACGGGCACGGGCATAGGCCGAGGCGACGGGGGAGAGAGGGAGCTTGAGGTCATCGACATGGTAGACCTTCTTCTCAATGTCGGTCAAGGGGACAGCAACGGCAGCACCGGCGGGGGAAACGTGCTTGAAGGAGGCGGCGGCGGGGAGGCCGAGGGCGTGGGTGAGCTCCTTGACCAAAGGCCAGGCGTTGAGGGCATCCAAGAGGTTGATGTAGCCGGGGGAGCCGGAGAGGACTATTATCGCCAATCAATTGTTGAGAAGTTGAGAATTGAGGATTGAGAATTGAGAATCAAACCGCGACACCGAGCGACGATAGACGATAGAGCATTGAGAATGATGTGAGTTGAAGAGTCATCGCCGAAGAGGTGTCTCAAAAAGGAAAAGAGCGGGGTAATTGAAAACAAACGAAGAGAAAAAAAAATAAACGAATTGAAAGCCCGTTCGCCCGCAAAGCTTATGAGAATACACAACACAACATACCCTTGATAGGGAGGTCGCCGTTCTTGATAAAGACCTGGGCGGGCTTCTGGTGGGGGTTGGCTCCGTAGCGGAGAGTCAGCTGCTGGGTGCCGGCGGCGTACTGCTGGCGGAGGTAGTTCGAGATAGCCTCATCGTACTCCGAGGTCTGGTTGAAGGCCTTCAAGGCAAGCTTCTGGCGGGTCTCGTCCGAGACCTTGTTGTTCTCCTTGAGCTGAGCAATGACGGTCGCATAGTCCTTGGGGTCCGAGAGGATGCTGACGCGGATGTGGTTCTTGGCAGCAGCACGGAGAAGAGTGACACCACCTATTCATTCCAGGTAAAGTTATTAGCAATGGTATAAAGGCCTTCTTGTATCCAAGTTGACACATGAAAATTGTCGAAAGAAGTCGTGCCAATCAATTGAAAATAGATAGCCTAAGAACATACCGATGTCGATCTCCTCGACGGCTTCGGGGATAGTGACGCCCTCCTTGGCAACGGTCTCCTTGAAGGGGTACAAGTTGCAGGCGACAATGTCGACCTTCTGGATGGCTTGGGCAGCAAGATCGGCCTCATCGGAGGGGATATCGCGAGCCAAGATACCACCGTGAACGGCGGGGTGAAGGGTCTTGACACGACCGCCCAAGATCTCGGGGGCCTTAGTGATGACAGAGACATCCCTATTGAGGCGCACGTAACAATGAGGAGTAGGAGAGAGGGCGTGTCAGTTGTTTGTTTGCCTCCTGAAGAATAATAATCGATCCTTGCTGTTTCTTCCTGAATATTATTTTCCCAGGGTGTGCTGCATAGATGAGAAGAATAAAAAGAAGCCTTACTCGACGGGCAAACCAGCGGCGGCAATGGCCTTGGAGGTGCCACCGGACGCGAGGATACGGATGTTCAAGGCGACGAGCTCCTTGGCAAAGTCAATAAGGCCAGTCTTGTCATAGACGGAGAGGATAGCTGTAATGGAATTTTTTTTTTCACACGGAATGGAAGAAGGCCAGTTAGGATCGAGTTGCTCGTTGGTTGAATGAGGATCGTTTGCTTGTTGTGAGGATGAGTAAGTGCAATGAGTTGAATAGTTCTTACCAATCTTTTGTGCCATTGCGATTAGTTTTTCTGGGGATGAATCGGAGTTGGGGAAGGGTCGAGTGGGGAAAGAAGAAGAAGAAGAAAAAGAAAAAAAGAGAGACAAAAGGATAAAGAAAGATTTTCTTTTATGCATCGAAGAGAAGGGTGCCCTGTCCACCTTTCAATCACGACACAGGGCAGGGGTGATCCAGGCCACTCAAACGCTCATCCACTTCTCACAGACACACTAACCATCAGCAGTCACCTCATGAAAGAATCCGATGGACCCCGATAACCTTTACTCCTGCTCCAGAGAACCACTTCAGCCCCATTGACACCTTTTTCTCTTTCTTTTTTTTTCTCCCACCACATCCTCAACACTTTATCTGCCTTGGAATAAGAAACTCAATTGTTGATTTAGCAGTGTTTGATTAAACTAAATATCAGTTGTGCGTGAATAAAACCCGTTGACATTCTACTGATCACGACACGGACACATATGGACTGACAAGTACAAAAGAAATGTCTATATCACAAGAAAAATACACAGCTCCTTCAACTCGACTACTTGTCCATGGCATCTTTTCTCATATCAATAGTCATGGGGGCCATAGCTGCTTGAGAGTGTCATGGTATGCCTCATTCCTGTCAGTCTATCTGACGCGCACTTGACCGTAAAACGAATACAGAGCACTTTTTTTTTCACTTCTGAATATCGCGTTTCGTCAACGATAGAGTGATAGAGTGGATTGGATATTGAATCAAGGGCACACTGTCTACTCGAGAGTAGCAGTGGTGTGAGCAGTGATAAACAAAGCAAAGACTGGTTGAACCATGAAAGGAGCTAGGGAGAGGTCAAGCAGCATGAAGGAGAACATAGAAGATCGCATCGCTAACACAATGGTAGCAGCTATGCTTAAAATAAAGTATTATCGAACAAGTACCGTATCAGAGGCAGGTTCAATTGCTCTCTTCAAATCACAGGTGGTAGGTCAGGTAACGATCAAACAGTTCCTTCCCTCACCAGCCCCCCACGCGACGCCAAATAAGCAGTCGCATTATTGCCATTCCTGCATTAATGTGACGGCTTTGCCCTGAGCGAAGAAAACATCAAAAAAAAGAAACACAGCTTCAAAGACCCAGCACCCTTGCACCTTTTCCTCTCCATCCCGACCGACCCCCCCGAGGCCATTCATTCCTCTTCTACTTTCTTCCCTTTCTTCTTGTTTTTTATCACCTCCACCCGGCAATACCCTTTCTTACCTCATACGCCTTTGCCATGGCTCACATGGCTGCCGTCGTCAACAGGAGGGCCTTCCTCTCAAACGTCGTCGCCCTCTCTTCTCCTTCCTCGTACTTCAGGCTCACAACTTTGAAGCCTACAGCTTGGACCCGCACAGGCCTTTCTCGCTCCTACTCCCGCCAGTGAGTTTCATACCTTTTTTTTTTTATGTTCACACCTACCTTTACTCAATAATATAACAAGTGGTCAATTACTCACCTCCCTCTTTTACAACAATTGGCAAAATAATAGCACAAAGACAAAGGTCCAAATCGAAACCTCAGAACTAGAGCAAGAGATCCGACACCTGGAAAAGACAATTGCCGAACAGGAGCGGAAACTGATCGCCAAGAGGGCGTATGACGAATCGATCCGGGAAACCAAGCAGCGGTCCGAGGCTGCTCAATCCGTGTACAAGTCTCTTACCTCGCCCATTGCTACCACTGGATCATCATCTGCGGGAGCAGGAGGAGCCCCAAAACAGATCGGGGGTCATCCCAATGCCCAGTCATACCTTCCTGAGACGTTCCTTCAGGATCTGAAGCTTACTTTCTTGGACACTCGAGCGGACAGGAGTGAGACTGTGCGGAAACTCCAGAGCGGATTGCCTACCTCGGAGGACTTGCGCTCTGCCGCCGCCGCTGCGCTGGGATCGCAAGAACAGCAGGGCGAGTCGCAAGATGCAGTTAAGGAAGGAACAGGAGTAATGCCAGAGACAGGATTGGCAGAGACGATAGAGAAGGACAGCAACCAGCTGGCCTTTGAGAGAGTGCGGGATCTGGGAGTCGACAAGTGGAACCAGCTGATCTATGTCAATGCGTTGGAGGGTAACACCGAGAACGCAGAGAAGGTCATGCGATTGATGGAGGAAGTCGGTGTACAGCCCGACTTGGACTCTTTTACTCACCTCATGGAAGCCTACTACAACGCTGGCGAACTAAAGAAGGCCCAAAGCACCATCGAGATGATGCTCAACAGTAAATATTTTCTTACTTTAATGTGTATAGACTATGAAAATGGGGATATATATAACACACCTACTGACAATTCAAATCATCCTTGCAATAATAGATGGAATTGTCCCATCGATGCCAGCATTCAACTCGCTTTTGAAGATCCACGTCAGGAGGAGAGACATCACTGGTGCATTCCAAGTCTTTGAGGTACTCAAGAAGCACCACAACCCAGACGTCGAAGTATTCACCAACCTTGTGAAGGGCTGTCTCCGTGCGGACGAATACGATCTCGGCTGGAAGGTCTTTGATCAGATGCAACGTAGTGGCGCCACCCCTGTCGAAAACACCTACAGTCTAATGATCCGCGCTTGTGCCAAGACCGACCAGGTCGAACGCGCTCTTGATATCTTCAGGACCTATCCGACCCGCAAACTCCAACCCACGGATGCGACCTTCAACAGTTTGATCCACGCCTGTGCGATGCGGCCCGAGTATTTTACGACGGCGTTTGCGTTGTTGAACGAAATGCAGTCTGTCTATGGATTCGAGCCGGATATCTTGACATACAATACTCTACTATTTGCGTGCTCTAAGCGCCAGGATCTTTTGACAGCACGGAGAGTCTTCCAGAAGGTCGTGCAGCTCGATAGTGAGGGAATCTTGAAGCTGGATGGCGTGACGGTGACCAACTTTTTGTGGTGTGTGACCGAGTGGAAAAATACGGATGTCCATCTCAGGAGCTTCAAGCTGCGTCACCGCAACAATGCCGCAGGACAGATTGAATCCCCTACAACCACTCCTGCTTCGGTGACTGAGAGCGCGACGACGGATATCTCCCTGCGGCCTTCGTATTTCCTGTTGCCCGAGAGACCTCCGGCAAACGAGCATGAGGCGTTGTTGGAAGGAGAATCTGTCTTTTCTTGGTTCGTCTCCCGCGCCGCCTCTGAAGCCGAGAGCACGAGTACCGAAGATGCCCAACAGCAGGACACAGAATCATCAGCCGTAGCAACAGCAACGGCAACGGCAACAACAACGGCAGCGGCAGTAACAACAGCCGTTTCGACATTGCCTCTTCCACACCTTTCCTCGCAATCACCCATCAGAGCCCGCCTACTGAACGCCTACCTGGCAATGTACGTCCGCCACAACTCGATCGAGAAATCAACGGAAATCTACCGCCAGTACTTTGACCATTTCGGCCGCACGCGGGACAGCTGGACATACTCGACCATGCTCGAAGGCTGCTACCACTGGAAGGATGTTGACCTGGGGGCGGAGGTGTTTCGAGACTGGCGGGATTGGCGGATGAGCACGGGCAAGTTGACGGAGAAGCGGACCCGCTATGCGGATTATCAGTGCTACCGCCGCATGATCAATCTCTTGGCCAGGTAAGAAACCTTTTTTTTTTCACTTTCGTGTTTTGTTTCTACTCTGTTCGTCTGGTACTAACCCCATTTTTTTTTTGGTGGCAAAATCATTTTATAGGACGAATCATTTGGACGAATCGATTGCGCTACTAGAGGAACTGGCGATTGCCGCCACCCCCACCAATACCCGCCTACGATCGGAGATTGCCTCCGCTGCTGCCTCTGCTTCGTCGGCATCCCCCACCACCACCACCACCACCACCACCACCACTTCATTACCATCTCCATCATTATCAACAGAAGCACCAACATCACCACCATCAGCATTAACTACTGCAACAACAACAACGAGCCCATCATCACTCTTGTTCCTGACACAAATCCAGGACGAGTCCGTGTTACCGATCTACCCACAACTCAAGGACTTCCCCATCGTCTATACCAAGACCTGGGAACTCGAGGACGAATCTGCACGACGCCTCCTCCTCCGTCTCTGCCACTCCTCCCCCTCTTCTTCCTCTTCCTCCAAGCACTCCAAATCTACACCCTCAGGCGCCGAATCTGACAACGACGTGGACGAAGAGGACGGTAAGACGTCCATCTTCCCAATGCACTTGGAAGACAAGCGTCGGGCGCGGTACCAAAAGTCGCTTCGCAATACGGCGATTAAATGGAAGGGCGAGCATTCGCATGGGCGACAGGAGAAGGGGTTCATGGTTGGAGAGAGGCGGTTGAAGGAGTTGGAACGGGATTCGGGTAAAAGGGCACAGGATCATCGACGTAGCTTCAAGGGTCCTCGATTCTAGACCCCATAGATGGTGTCCATTTGATTAGATATTATTTTCTTTCGTTTCCTTTCCTTTCCTTTCCTTTCCTTTCTTTTTTTCTTCCACATCCCAGCATTTTAGATTGTACAACAAAACAAAACAAAGCATGCATTTATTTACAGTTTCTTTTGTTGAAAAAATGAAACAAGAAAAAGAAAGCAAGAGAGGAAGAGAGGGGGGGGAGGAGGAATAATAATTACGAACAACCCCACAACCCTCAATTCCCACCTAAGCAGAACCACTGCCATCTTGAGGAGAAGTAACAGGGATAGCATGCTTGCCCGCCAAGATGAACTCATACGTCAACGGCAAATGATCACTCCACATCCTGCGGGAAAACAACATCTCGTCAAAGACGTTCTCGGGTTCGGGGATCGCGTACATCCTGTATAGGAGTTTGTCCGTGTTTTGGTTGCCTGGGTGCAACGAGGCGGGGGAGGTTGTTGTTGCTGCGGATGCGGTGGTGAGGAAGGTGTGGGCAGAGTCGGCAGAGCCTTGACGCGCGAGTTTGGGGGCTGCTTGCTGAGACGAAGGTGGGGTGAGATGGGAGGTAGAGGTTGAAGTGGCCGCGGCAGGAGGGGAAGAATAAAACTGAATAGGCTGCTGAGCCGTCAGATTGGGGGACGACTGTGCAGAATACAGACTACTCCTAACCGTCTCCTTGAACGATCTAATTGACGCACTGTCCGCCTGATCATCTTCCAAACGACTCTGCAGCCCACGCGAGATTGAACCAGGGATCAACCTGTTCGCGGCGTCACGGGGGAGGTCTAAAGGGTGGTCCCATTCAAACTGGTGCAGGACCGAATCAATGGGGTGTTTTTGAGTTTCTTCGTTCTCGAGTTCCTTTTCGATGGTTGTAGGTCGGATCCAAAGGACTTTTCCGGCGGGAACGAGGACGGGGGAGATTTTTGAGAGGTCTAATGTACGCTCTCCATGGTGGTAGGGTCGCTGTTCCTGCTGGTGCTGTTCATCGCCACCGGTGGTATTGGAGGGGGACTCGAGGGGGTAAAGATCTCCATTGGTATGACAATCATGATCCTGATGCTTCATCATCTCCTTATGCATCGCCCTCCGGATATCCATAAACTCCTCCAACAACGACTCCTCCCCAGTCAACCGCCACCGAATCACCTTCTGAACAATCTCCAATCCAATACTCGGAGGAGCAGGCTTCTTGTTCTGTTGCTTGTGGCGTTCAGCAGAGGCAGCCTCTGCTGCAGCTTCGGCACGGAGCTCCTCGTTGATGGAGATGCCTTCGCCTTCTTGTTCAAGGAGGTCTTCGAGGGATTCGGAAGAGTCGTGGAGGAGGTCGATTTCGGTTGAAGTGGAAGTTGAATTGAGGAGGGGGGAGGATGGGGGGCTTGCGGGTGGGGAGGGTGGTGGCTGGGGACGCATGGCGAGGAGGGCGCGCATGGCGTGGCCGATGTTGCGGACGCTTCCTAGCGACAGGCGACCCACCACGTCGTCTCCGTATGAGATAGTCGTCACCAACTAGCGCGTAAGGAAAAAAAAAAGGACGGTTGTGAGTAATGATGCGCAAACATAAAGAAAAAGGAAAGCCGGCTAAACAGGAGCTGCACATTAATGCATTTGCAAAATAAATAAAAATTACCTTCAAGGCGCGCTTGCTCATGCGAGGACACATAACCTTGGGAGTACCATAGCCATAGCACTTGACACGGCGACCAGGTGGCAAGAAGGACTCGACATTGTTCTTGGGCAAGTAGCCCGGCATAAAGAACTGTCCATCCTCCTGCTGCTCAGCCGTCGGCCTATTATACCACTCACGGCTCTCATCCCCTCCAAAGACAGGCGTCGAAGTCGTGGGAGGCGACGCGACAGGTGAAGCAAATGTGGACTCTGCAGATCCAGTCGTCCTCGACGCACAAGAATGATGAGGCACCTCGGGCGTCAGACCCGTGGCAGGATCAGCCCAAAGCATCGACAAGACTGACGCAATTCCCGCCCCCAACGAATGTCCAATCAACAACAATGAATATTCTGGACGCGCCTCAAGTGCTGCCTTCACCTTCTCCTGGATGCCGATCGTCTCTGCGGAGGCAATCGTCCTGGCCGCCTTCAAGAACCCACCGTGCACCCTGAATGGCCGCTTTCGCTTGAGGTTCTCCTCAGTGTTCGGCAAGATGTTACCATGCGCGTCACGGAGCGGGGAAGTATCGTGGTCCAACCAGAGATCGGCCGCATCACAAGTCAAGTCAATCATGAGATCGTGCAAGGATTTGGTACCCCTGAGAACCAATACAATCTGCTTGGTCTCGACGTCGTCCAGGAGGTAGTACCGCGGACTATAGAATCCATCGAGGACTGTTGCTGCCGTGTCAGAGGAGTAGAGGATGGATCCCAGGGGTGTACCCGTGTATTGATGGAAATGATGCTCCGAAGCATCATTTGGAACACCAGCCCCACCACCTCCAGACACAGGCTCAGTGGACAGAGGAGGATACCTCTCAGGCGCACCCATAAACTCCAAAGCCAACGACCCATACATGGCAGAGCAGAACCTCGAGAACCGATACGAGTCCGCCAAAAAGTTGGTCAACTCTGGGTTCGCCGCCGCAGACGAAGGGGCTCCACGGTTTCCAAACCCGCGCCTCCCAGATCCAACACCAGCGTACGCCGAAAAAGAAGCCGCACTCCGTCCCTCCCGCTGCTCCCTCAACTCCATACACCGAACCTCCCGTAGCAACTCCTCCTCCGACAAGCTACCGGCCCACTCCTCCGGCCACCCAGCAGTCCCGATCGCCGACCAAGCAGTACTCGAACCCAGCTGGTCATCCTTCGATTCTAAACACTCTCCCACCAGCCTGCCCTGAGTCCTGACCCGAATAGTCTCCCATCGTTCCGACGTCGCAAACTGGATCGCAACATACGCCATCAAAAGTCGGATGCCCTCCAGTGCCGGGTAGGGCGCTCCAGCAGCCGCGGCTTCCTGTGTCAACTCTCTGCTCAAGATCTTCCAGACCTCTCGGAAAGTCTCTCCAGTTTGAGAGGTAGAGTCGGGGCCAAAGAGGGAATCCATGAGCTCGAAGCCGTCTTGGACGGTGCTGAGGGCCAAGTTGACGGAGCCGTCGACGGTTTCGAGGATGGTTTGGACTAGGATGTCGCTAAAGTTGATTCCCAACAGAGCCTATTGGTCATATGGGTGTAAAAATGAGAGTTAATACATGGGAAGAGATGCAATGAGGATAATTTGGCGTGCCCCAAGGAAAACACTTACAGCCCGGAAGGGGAGTGAGGCAACAAACGCCGGGTTCAGTCTAAGCACAAACACACGAAAAAAAGAGATGATTAGCCTCACTGTTACTGAAATCACCACCAACACCAACAACCATTACCTCCAAACAAAAACGACAGAAAAGCTTACCCAGGACTGCTACCCTCATCGTTTTGCCCAACGACTCCATTGACAGCCATGCCCAAGACCTTATCCAGAGTCGACACAATTGTCCGTGCAACGCTCAAAGAAAGACTGGTCGATACCATCGCGACCTTCAAGGCTGAAGAGATGGCCACCTGGGAGACCGAGATGTAAGTCGATAACGGGATGGGTTCGTTTGGCGACAGCGTCAGGACTCCTTCCTGCTTCTTTTGTTGCCTTGGAGCAATGGCAGTGGTGGCGAGTGCTCTGGTTGTAGTTGTGTGGGATCGAGTTAAGGTCATGTTGGTGTCTTTGGAAGCTGTAGCAGTGGTAGTGGTAGTAGAGTTGTAAAGTGTGTGATCTATCCAACAATAAACAAACAATGGTCAGGAATTGGTGGCAAATTATCGTTTTGCCAAGAGGGTGGCTGTGCTTCCTTTTCATGACTGATTAAAGACGTGTGTGAGTGAGTGTGAGGATCTAGATAGGTACCTGAGTAGTCAACACCAGCATGGTTCTGTGCATGCGGTTGATCGGCGTCAGGGTTCAGGGCCGGGTACAGGTTTGATGTGGAGGAAGGAGTTGAAGTCATGGTTCTTATATTTGTTGTGTTGATTATTGTGTGTGGTATATGGGTAAGAAGTAGATATGGAAGTGAAAGTAAAGAAAAGGAAAGAAAAGAAAAAAAAAAGGTTGGGTATGAAAAGAACGTCGTCAATGGGTAAATAAAGAAGATAGAAGAACGTACAAGGGAAGTTTGAAGAAGAAAAGTAGTGAAGGTCAAAGCCCCTTTTATACCCAAAAAAAAGCCAAGCAATCGCATGTGCAAACCCACACCCACCTACGCTAACTAAAAAACCCCTGTCCATGCCTCTTTCTTTCTTTCTTTCTTTCCTTGTTCATTATTGTGCAAGTGTGCTCATGCACGATGATCCATATGTTTATTCTCTATTACCCAATTCCCATGGATGACTGTGTGCACAAGGACGAACATTTTGTAGAGAACATAAAAAAGAGCACAGGCGGATGGACAGGGGAAATGCCAAGGCCCTCCACTGCACTGAAAATTGCATTCCCGATGATCAATCTTAAATCTGTTCACTTTATCCAAACCAAACCCCTTCATTCGCCCCAACCTCCCTTCATAAACTCACACACCACCTGACCTAGTCAACGCACTCACCCATACCCTCCTTTGGTCCTCAGCTCTGCCCCTTCCTCTGCAGCCGTTAAATGGTCGTGTCTGTGTGTGTGAGAGTAGGTTCTATGTCTTCAAACCCTTTTCATGCAAAAATGCATTTGTCATACACTACCGACTTGCTGCTTCTATGAAAAAATGACCCACCTTTGTACGTTACGAGAAATGTCGCTCGCTTCAAAAAGTGACTTCTACAATGGACGACGACGGGGCGGGTGACAGATGGTGGGGAAGGGGTTCGGATGCATGGACCAAGGGTGGAGGTAGGAAGGTCGTGCAAAGAAATACAAATCAAAACTCAAAACTACTAAGGAAAACTGTCGTGTTTACTTAACAGTGCATTGAAACCATGAACGTGCTTCTTGGCATTTTCTTTCACCTCCTCACTCATTCACTCGACGTCCCCACGCTCCCGTATGTCCCTTTATCCGCACATCGCACTTCGCCCATTCCTCGCCTCTTCTCTTATTTTCTACAATCTACGCACATTCGCTTCCGCATCGCCAAGAATATGCATCTTAGAATACCGTTTTCCCTTCCATCTCATCTATTATCCCACTCGTACTTTAAGGCGAGCCAAGAGACATGCAAGACATAGTGGGGCAACTACAGAAAGAGATACAGGTTTTCAAATGGTGGCGTTTTTTTTATTATTTAAATGCGCTAGATATCAAAGTGCGGAGTATGTGTTGAGTGTTGTGTGTGCAAACGACAGGTGGGAAAAAAAGATACAGATGCTGCAAGCGAGAAGATGTTGTAGGAGAAAAAAAACAGGGAGATCAAGATCCAATGGGCAGTAAGAAGAGGAATGGAAGGGCACTGTGTCGACAAGAACTGACAGACAACAGAGTAGGAGGAAAGAGGTCGTGTGTGATGTTTTTGTGTGAACTTTTTGTTGTTTGGTGAGGGTTATTTATGTAGAAAAAGTGAGAGGAAGGATGCTCACCAAGTGCCGAAGACTGTGAAAGTGAACTTGGTGGGACTATCCATGAGCTACTCCTGCTAAAATGCTGTAATAGTCGATAACAAAGACAGACTTAGTCGGTCTGGGACAACATGCCGATGACCCGTCTTGCAAGTCCAACAATCTCGCTCTCGTCGTTCATTATGTTGTCTCCGTCCTGCTGGTGTGGCGACGTCGAATCCAGACTCTGTGTCAACTGGCGGACCGCGGGTATAATCTCGGGCGAGTGTGTAATCAAATCAATCAACTCCGAGTCGAGCCCCTCCAAGAACTGAACAATCGTCCAGATCGCAATGTGCTGGAATGTCGTATCAGCACTCTCAAGGAACCGAGAGAGATATCCATGAAGACCTCCCGATGGTTTATCCCAGACAGAGATAAATGGCTGATAATCCTGCACCTTTGACGACAAGTTTCCAATCGCTGCTGCACTGTTGCCCTGCACCTCTACACTTGACGAGTCCGTCAATGGAATCAACACATCCAAAGCTCCCAACTGCAAAAGTCTTGGCTTTAAGTCATCTATAAGTAGGGGTAGAGAGCACAAAAGCATTTTTGTTAGCAAAACTGAGTACCATGATGTTAGAGTGTCCATTCTTTGACAAAACGAAAGCTATATATGTACCAGAGAGGGCAAGGACGGCGACGCAAGCAGTCATCTCAGACTGGACACTGAGGGGAACGTTCAAGACCAAGGCACAGACACGCTCAACAGCGCCAGCCTCGACAATGGCCTTCTTGTTGCGCTCACTGCTGGCGGCAAGGTTGCGGAGTGTCGAAATGGCGTGGCACTGAATCTCCTCGTTCTCGTCATATGCCAAAAGCTCAATCAGAGGGTCCAGGAATCCTGCATCGATAATGGGTGACTCGTTCAAGGGGTGAATGGAAATGTTGCGGATACAGGCAACAGAAGAGAGAATCAGGGGCAGAAAAGTCGACTGCAAGAGGCGGAGCAGAGGGGTCAAGCCGCGAGACCGAACAATCTCGAGCTGATACTTTTCGTCTGAAGCCAAGTTACGAAGGGCCAAAGCTGCTTGGCACTCGACCTTCAGACTTGTTGAGTCCATCAATCCAATCAGAGAGTTGACGAGCTTGGTCTCTGTTTGAGCTAACTTTTTCCGGTTGGCCGCGTCGACGGCGATATTGCTGAGGGCGGTTGTGCAGTAGTACTGAACATCTGTGTCGGGTGAGCTGAGCAGGCTGACGAGGACAGGGATGGCGCCTGCGTTGACCAATTGCTGTCTGTTCTCGTCTGAGTGTGTCATGTTGAGGAGTGCTCCTGTTGCGTTACGCTGAACCCTCATGTCCTTGGATCGTGCGAGGCGTGTGAGGGGAACCAAAGCTCCTGATTTTGCGATCTTGGTCTTATTTTCGTCTAATAAAGTTGATAGGATGGGACACACCCATCGATTGTTAGCAAAAATATAAACAATGAAATCTTTTGGCCCTTGTCGGAGTCGATCTAAACTGATGATCTCGTTTGATGAAACAGTGGTGCGATGGGAAAGAGAGACAATGGGTTCATACCATGTGTGGCGAGGTTGGTGATGCATCCGACGGCGTTGCACTGGACTTCGACGTTAGGCGACAACATCTGGCGGATGAGAGGTTCCAATCCACCAAGCTTTACAATCAGCAACTTGTTCTCCGCTGTGACCAATCGACGCCAAAAGAAAACGTAGTGAGAAAGAAAGAAAGGAGTTGCGGTAGTTGTGAGCCGTACGTCCTGTTTGGTACTTTTATCATTCGCAGACACAAGTAGGGTTTGCAAAACAACGGAAAACTTACTGTTGACGGCCAGGTTGCCCAGAGCAGCCGAGGCAGCTCGTTGAACCTCAACATCGTGCGACTGGAGCAAAAAGAGAACGGGCTCCAATGTATCTCGATCCACAGCTCTGACGTCTAACATTTGTAACAAACGATTGTTCGCACAAGTAGAAAAAAACGATCACAGAGGAAACGCGTGAGTTAGATACAAAAATAATGCAAAAAGAAAGGGCCTTGTTCGCATGGCCAATTCATCTCGGTCATAGCGCATAAAAGAACTCGGTGCAGAGTACAAGAGAGCGAGCACCAGATGGTGTTCTTCCCAGTAGAGTCAGCAGGGAGGTGCGAGAGTGGAGAGCGTGTGACTTCAAGAGCAATTACCTTTTTCAGTGATCTCTGCAAAAGCAAGGGCAGCCGAGCGCTGAAGGTCGACATTGTCCGAGAAGGCGAGTGTTGAAAGTGCTCGCAGTGGATCGCCCTCGAAAAAGTTGGTCTCTGTGCGATCTATTAGAAAGAGTAGAGAAAAAACGCATCATATGATAGCAAGGAGGTGGTCAGTTCAAATCCATCCAGTTCATCGCCTCTGGATGCCAGCCGGTCATACCGCAGGACACGAGGTTCGATTGGTAAGTGTTCTCACACGCACAAGAAAAAAAAGGAGATGAAAAAAGACTACAAACAGGACGACCTGACAACATTTTTCCCATCTGTTATGCAGAAAAATGACCCCACCAACTCAGAAAGGCCCATGCTCATAGGGTGGCTTTTGGAGAGCGTAAGCAAGCAAAAAGGTAGCAAAGAGAATCGCCTGGGGGCATGTGCATTGCCAAAAAAACAACAAACGCACTCCTTTTGAAAAAACAAACACCGAGAAACAGCACCACTAGTGTTGTATGAACGGTCAGTGCAAAAACGAAAGAAAAACCTCAAGTGTAAGAAGCGCGAGTGCACCGGGGTTGTAGAGAGGGTGAGAGAATGGAAGAAAGAATAGCGAGGGAAGGGGGAAGAAGTGGTGGTCATTGAAGGAGGGAAAGGAGGGAGGGAGGAGAGAGGAGAGACAATGCATCGAAGGATAGCAGCCCATGTGTCGGACCATCTTTCTCTGGCTGTCAATTGTCTTGTTCTCACTCACGCCAACTATATTTTTTTCCCGCTTGTCCGTGTTGACTGCGTATGTGTCAATGTATGCGTGTATGCGGTGTGGCGCTGGGTATGTGTAAGCAACTCCTGGTCCAGGATCCAGAACGTGTCGTGTTGTCCTGTGTCCGTGTCATGTCTGTAAATGCCAGAGTGTTCCTTTTTCCCTGACGGTCCTCCCTGAATGTTCAGTTCTTCTGCCCCTTGAATATCTCACGCCAAGAGAGAGAAAAAAAGTGACCACGCGTTACGTTGTTTGCTCTCTTGGTTGTGACAACGCCAGTTGGTCAGTCAGCCAGCCAGCCAGTCAGTCGGTCAGTCAGTCAGCCATCCGAGCAAACTTGTCACTCTGCCTTGAAGAAGAAACAGAGCTGCAATATCTTTCACTTTTGCTTATTTTGTTCGCAGGAACGGGAACAGAACGGAATTATGCAACCTCTTTCCTTGTTGTTTGTTGTAGTGTACCCAGACCCCCTCTCGCTTGTCTCTCTTTCCATCTGGCAGAGACAAGACTCCCCACCCTGCCTGACTATCTAGAAAGCTAGCCATTTAGTCCGCGATTTTCGCTGTTTGTGTATATATGTGTGTATGCCGCGGAGGAATAGACAAAGAGCGAACATAAAAAAAAGAGAATAAACAAAGGAAGGTTGTTGAGAGAGAGAGCAAGAGAAGAGATATCGGGCGGACTTACTCTCCAAGTACTGCAGCAAGTCGGCGACAGCTTCCCGCTCATTCTCCTGGAGCAAGGGCTCATAGAGACCGCTACGGTTGCGGTCTGTCGATTAGGGGTGTCGAGTGCGTTTGTTGTTGAATGACAAAGAGACGCCGCAGGTTGGGTTATTGTAGGTGTGAGGTGTGGGTGTGGGAGAGTGTTGAGTGGTCGGTGGTAGGAGGCGAATGAGGAATAGTCGACGGAGATGGGCGAGGTTAATGAAAGACGAGTGAAAAGAGGGTTGTTAGTGTATGCGTGAATATGCAGATGAGGAGAGGTTGTGTGAAAGGAAGGTAAGAAAAGACGCGATGGATATGAAGAGGATGGACAAGTAGGCTTACCGGCGCAGCAACTTGAACAGGCACCCATGGTTTAGATTGTGAAAAAGTGGAGGTGAAGGTGTGATGAGGGAGTAGTGAAGGGGGGTTGTTGGCTGAGGGGTGGTGTCGGAAGAAGAGAAGCAAGGACGGAGGGGTGTCAGGGTGTATGTGTTGGTACAAAGGGAAAGAAAATAGAGATTAGTCGTGTGAAAGGAAAGAGAGCAAAGAAGGAAAAGACAAAGAGTGTGCAAGATGAAAAGGAAGAGATTCAAGGAGTAAAGAATAAGAAGTGGGGGGTGGGGTAAGAAGGAGGAAGGGAAGGAGGAGGAGGAGGAAGAGAAGAAAGAGAAAAGAGAAAGAAGAAAGCAAGAAAAACAAGAGCCCTGTCGTTGCTGCTGCTGCTTTTTGCAAGCTGAAGAAAAGAGCGAAAAGCAAGGTGCTGTGAGTAGGGTATGTCGGGTGGTGTGGTGTGGTGTGTGTGGTGTGTTCAGTGCGCTGTATTGGGCAGAGTGTGCAAACCGTAACAAAAAAATGGCGGCTGAGGGAGAGCGTGGATGTGCGACAACTATTCCTTTTTGGACAATGGAGGAAAGAGTGGCACCACCACCACCACTGACCACTGGCCAGCAAAACACCACAGGCATCTAAAACAACACTTGTACAGAACCAAATATTGTAACGGAAACAGGGAGTAAAGTAAGAGGAAGGGAGCGGGATGGAAGAAGGGGAAGGGGTGGCGATGGATGATAATAATGATTGGCGCCAGGCAGGATATGCATGTATACAACAGAAAGAGGTTGAGCAGAGGTGTGAAAATGAAGAGGGATCAAACACATACACACGAAATCAAAATTGAATGACGCGCCAAGGAAGTCCAAAAAGAAGGAGGAAATGCCGAAGGATCATATTATTACGTCGTAGTGAGCTTTTGAAGAAAGTGGGTCGTGGCAGTGGCACAAACACGGTGACGATTGATTGATGGATCCATTGTTTGAGGTGGACACATGACATAACCCGAGTAGCCACTCTGGATATATATATGAAAAGGAAAATGGCACTTTATCTCTCATGATAAATAATATGACATGGTATGATACGATATGATATGATGGTTGCTGCAACAAGAGGTGGTTGCTGCTGTCCTTGAGGAAAGAAAGGGGAAAAAGAGAAAAAAAAGTCTAAAGGCGTGTGTATTCGAATGTTCTCCATACCTGATCAAGAGGAGGAGAGGGGAGAGTAAAGGGTGGGAAGGTGTGTGAATGAGAAGCGTGTGGAGAAAGGATGGACGATGAAATGAGAGAAACAGGTGCTGGTGGAGGAAGAAGCAAGGGGAGGAGGAGGAAACAAAAAGAAGGTTAAGCAAACCCAGAGTGTCTGTCGTTCTCATGAAAAGAGCGAGAAAAATTGCCTACATCTCCCTAATTGACAACAAAAAAAAAAAAAAAGCACACGCCCCCTTTAATTGACCATCCATCGCCCACTCACAAAAACACAAGCTGAGCACTCAATTGAACTCAATGGGGTCCGTGATACATTCATTATGCCTTTTTATTTCATTATTATATTATGGGTTAGGGGCATCGAGAGTGTAAGAGGAGAAGAGAGGGGCAGACACCCATGGTCAGATGCTTTTTTTGTTGTGCGTGTGCGTGTCGAAGGAGGAATAAATAGATACAAGAATATGAAGGGATATGTGCAGATCGAGAAAAGGGGATTGGATGAAAAGGTTATCTAAAAGTGCTCGGGCTGGGGCATGGCCATGATGGGTGGGTATGGTCCCTGTTGATGTGGCTGCTGATATTGTTGTTGCTGATTGTTGTTGTCCATGTACTGGGTTCCATAAGGAGACTGCTGGTTAGGTGGTCCCATCATTGGATACGTGCCCTGAGAATGTGGTCCCATTGTCTGTTGTGGGTACATTGGCTGTTGCTGCTGCTGGTATGGTTGCTGCTGTTGCTGTACTGGTTGCTGGTTGGCATAGAGGTTACCGGCACTGGCATAGGGATTGTACTGGTCGTAGGCATTGGCAGACATGTTGGACATGGCTGACGATTGCTGAAAGTGACCTGATGACCCCTGTCCCAAATAGCCATTGTTGCTACCTTGGTTGGGGTGGCTGGTAACAGTGTTGTTGTAGTCGTAAAGATTGGACGCCGACTGGTAACTGGGCTGAATTGCATGTCCGCTGTTTCCAGTCGATGTATAGGCGTTGTATCCACTGTGGGGCTCGGCAGCAGCCGAGACGTGAACAGGCGCAGGAGTGGCGACACCAGCTCCGAGCGTAGAGTAGGTGACGGCGGGTGTGGTCATTGGCAAGACTGGGTCATGATAGACATTATCAGAGAATCCTCCAGTCGAGGTAGCAGGGGCAGGGACAGGGTCGGTGGTGGGTGAGGTAGCCTCGATATCCTTGGGTTCGTCTGAACCTGAACCATTAGTTGTCGGCACCTCTCCATTCTGCTCCGCACGTCGGTACTCTGAGGGAGAGGGTCCCAATGCATAGCTGCCTCCGATCTTGACCTGGGCGGCTTTCTTGTCCCGAACAGCCCGTTGGATTGAGAATGTGATGATAAGAACCGCCGTGACGATAAATAGGATCACAGACAGGATACAGAAAGCGGTCGAGGCAAACATTGACTGGCAGGCACGGATGTAGTTCTTGTCGTCGGTGTCTTTTCCAGAGGGGAGGACCCTGCAGGAGACATGGGTCATGTTATTGGCTGGCTTGGCAATGCCCCCGACAGAGGCCAGGACCCAGAGGAGAATGGCGACTCCGACCCAGGAACCCTCGATAGCGGCATTGACTGTCCGGCCTGATTTCTGACGGACGACGAGGATGAGGGTGACTATGGTCGATATGAGGGAGAAGATGAGGGTGCCGATGGCGATACCAGAGATTGATCCTGCATCTGGAGATTTGGGGTAAGCTGAAACATAGAGACAGCAACAGATGACGACTATGAGTCCTGAGAAGAAGGTGCCGAGTTGGACCAGGAACAATGTCCGGGATGTTGGAGAGAAATTCATTGATCTGAACTCTTTGTTGTTGGTTGGGTGAAGTGGATGGGAGTAAAGGGTGTGTGTGTGTGTGTGTGTGTGTGTGAGAGAGAGTGATCAAATGACAGTGAGAGTTGGTGATCGAGTGGAGTGTGAAGAGTGAAGAATGGAGAGTGATGAGTTAATAAAGAAATAGAAGCTGAGCGAAAGTGAAGAGTGAGGAGTGAAGAGTGAAGAGTGAATGAGGGAGAAAGAAAGAAAGAAAAGGCGATAAAAGGGCGAAGCCAAGACAAGATGAAATATGATAAATAATAATGCTGGTTGTCATTTTGCACGCTGTCATCGTTCCAAGTGTGTCTTGGACACGAACCCCTGCTTGCCTTGTTCTTTTTCTATCCTTGTTGCTTGCTATTTCTTAATGGGCCACTATCGCTCCTCTTCTCCTTCGTCGTCGTCTTTAGTCATCTTTTTCAATAGATCCATGATCGATAGCACTCATCCACTCCCGCCATCCCTCTTCCGTCCTAGTCTTCCAACCCACAAGAACATTATTCCTGTCCTTCTATTTCGAACCCTTTTTTTCTTTTCCCTCCTTCCTTCCCTCTCTCTTCCTGTGAAAGTTAAGCATTTTGTGCTGTTGCATGTCATCGATAAAAATATCGTCAAATTATCCCCCGCTTTGGACCTGTGGAGGCATCTGACTCCACTCCTTCCCCTTCCCTCCTCAATGCATGGTACTTACACCCTCATCCAACCTTCCCAGGGTTTCTGGACATCCATTCCTCTCGCACCTACCCTCTTCAAATTTCACTTCATCCTTCTCTTTCCGTTTCGCATTCTCGCTCACTTATCCGTATTGCGAACACACGTACAGCTTTTTTGTATGGTGCTCATTCTCCTTTTTATCACGGCTGTGTCATTCATTGCATTCATTCATGCCAAGACAAGAAAAAATCACCTTTTCTTCGTTTTGCATATCAAATTCTATTTCAGTTCTTATACTTGGGCTGTCTTTCTTGCGGTGTATCTCACCCTTTTTTTTCTCGGCTAATGTTGTATCCCTTGTCTCCCTCGTCCCTCGGCCATGCGATGAGGAAAAAATGGCTGCCAGGTCTTGATTGCCCTCGTAAATCATACCACTCTCTCAAAAACAGCCCTCTTGGTACACCCCCATGCTCTCATCTTTTTTTTGCACCTTGCAACCTGCAGATGGATTTCAAACATCGTTTCCTGAAGGGACTGTGTGGGTAATACACGAATGTGGTACTTTTGCGCACAGAATAAGAAAGCCTAAAAAAAAAAAAAAGCCAAGGAAGTTGTGTCGCTAGAGCCGTGTCTAATGCAAGGGTCGATTTTTTTTTTCATGGCTGTTGATGGACTACGCTGTGGGCCCTACAGCAAACAAGCTAGTGGCAGCAACAGCAAAGCAGCAGCAGCCCAGAGACAAAAAAGAAAAGCGGGAACCGGGACAACAGCATGGTAGGTGTTTGTCCATACTAAGTCTAAAAAAAAGTGGAGCGAGCACTGTCATCAACGTGAACGCGTTAAAATGGATGTCATCAATCGGAAATTTTTGTTTTTTTTTTTCTCGGCAACTAGTACTGGCACTAGATGTTTTATTGTAGGGGTTTATGTACAAAGTGTGTGCGTGTAAGGGGTCCCAAGTCCATCATAATGATGATCGAGGGATCCCTTTTGTTTCTTGTAAAAAGAGTTGCAATAAAGCGAGCTTCTGCGTGTTCAGAGAACAATGAGTCCATTAGACGCGGCCTTCCTGGATCTCGCCATTCATGATGATCTTCTCTGCGATGGCCTGTTCGTCATCGGTGTTGAAGAGGGCCTCCAAATCCGACTTTGCGGGGCGAGCGACGTTGCCGGTGAAGCCGCGACCAGTCTGCGTCTGGAAGATCTCGTATGCTAGACAGAAAGTAAAGGCCAGGAAAGAGAGAGGAGAACGATATGAAGAAGGAGCTACTTGTTAACATCTTACTTGGCAGCCATTTCCCACGACCCTCCAAAACCAAAAACACAACAAAACAACGAAAAAGGAGGAACTTACACTGGACGACATCGACGAGGGCGATGGGGGGTTGGTTCATGTCGGACTCCCGGACATGCTTCTGATGGTTGCTGGTGGGGCCCTGGTGTGATTGCTGGGCACGGTACTTGGCGGCCATGCCTGGCTCGGCCAAGATAAAGACATCGGGCAAGTGCTGACCGGGGTGGTTGGCGGCCTTGTAGACAATTTTATCCATGTTTGTTATTGATGTGAGTGTGGGGGATGAGGTTTTGGAAGAGTTGAGTGAAGAGTTGAGTGAAGAGTTGAGTGAAGAAAGGAGAAAAAAAAAAACTGCACTCTTATATCATTGTGGAAGTCGAGTTGGCATTGGCGATGAAACATGTTTCTCATCGTGTGGTCATTGGCGCCGGTTTTTCTAGTTTCTGTGACATCCTAGGGTAGCTCTTCAATGGCGGGTAGGCCCAGACCAATGCGTTCATACTATCGTCATGTTCACGTTCACAACCCTTGTCTTTTTTTTTTTTTTTTTTTTTCATTTTCGTGGCGCTAATAGAGAATGTATAACAGTCCCAGGTATCCGATTCGATCGCCCATGCTGCTTCAATTACCCTTCTCTTCCTACTTTCGCCACTTGTGTGTCCTGACCGAAAGCTTGATTCAACAACACCACCCACTAACTACTACACACAACGACAATCATGGGAGCATCAACAAAACTCGCAGACCTCGCCCACCGCACATTCATCCTCGGAGTCTTTGGCGCCACCGGTATATTTTTCTCACACTGGACATTTAAAAACGATCACCACTCTTTGCTTTGTTTGCGATTCCACCACGGAGAAAAAAAACCCCCCGAGATCACCTGGGACACACACACACACTCGTTGGAAAAAAAAATATGTACTGACACCCCATTTTTGCACTTGTGAACGAAATATTGTATAGTCTACATTGGAGTCGGAACAGTCCAATTAGTCAACGCTCGTGTCGAGAAGAACAAGGTCATGAGGGCCACCTGGGACGCTGTAAGCACCTTTATCACAAAACACGCACCATAACAACAGCTTTCTAATTGTTTGCGCCGTCGGACACCTCGGACAAAAAAGGCTGACTTACTCTAACATATTATGAATCTTCATCTTGCTTGACGTTTAGGAACAAATGGCCGAGTTGCGTCGTCAAGGAGAGGAGGAGATGGAGAGACAGAGACAGGAGCAGCAGGCAAGGAGAGACCAAGCATAAAACTCGTGGACGAAAAGCCGACCAACGACAAACCAAAATCCTGCATCATGTATCAACTATCATCCATTCCCCTCGACAACCAATAAACCAACTCTTTTCACCAACAAAATGACAAAGCGAGCGAAAGAACGTTCAGGACAAGTTTATTATAATTTGAGCTTCGATGCCATTCTTCGTAATTATTCCTGGTGATGCTGACGAGTACGCTCATCCCAGATCCGGTTCCCAGCCTGGATAGCATCCTCAACCCTCTCCAAATCCTCACACTCGCGCATCTCCAAAGTCGCAGGACCACCTAATCGATAACCCGACTGCTCAACCCTTAACAAGTCCGTCATCAACCCCACTGTCCCCAAATGCGAAGCAATGTCGGCAATCAATGTACGGATATAGGTTCCCGAAGAGCAATGGACCCGAATATGGAAATAGAGACTTTTGTCGCCGATGGTTGGCGGTGGGATGGGGATATGATTTGGGTCGGTCAGTGTTGGGTCGCTGAATTTCTTTGGGCGAAAGGTTTTCTGTTCCTCCTGAATGCCGTCCTTTAAGTCGTCGTTCGATCCTGCCGTGCTCTTGTCATCCTCATCGCCGCTTAATGTGACATTGTCACAGCTGTTGACGACGGAAGAGTCACTCACGGAAGCATCAGAGGAATCGGTATCGAGCTGGAACCCAAAGGCTTGCAGACAAGGATCTGGAACTGTCACCTCATCCGGATACGAGAGCAAGTCCAATCCATGGATCTGCACCTTCCTTGACGGGATCTCTCTCGGTAACGGAATCCCCTCACGCGCATAGTCGTACAATCTCTTTCCATCCATATTCAGCGCCGAGTACCTACTCTCATACATACACATTGGACAAAACAATATTAGAATTTCACGCGTGCAATTGCCATAGTTTTCGTACGGAACGAAAAGGGGTATTCACAGATTCAGCTTACAAGGGTGGGGTTTGGGAAATCTCGCCTTTGAAGGCTTGAAGGGCATCCAGTAACCGTTCCTTGGTGATATGGTCTGTCGGTTTCTGGTCAACTAAAGATCCTGTTGAGTCCAGAGTCGTTGAGCTGTATCCTAACCGCGCTTCCGCAATGTAGACCTACAAGTGAGAGTAGTCCTGTTAGTTAGTGCCCTGAAACGCGCAAAAGAGACGAAAAGAATCAGAGACAGCGCTTGCCTTTTCAAGTTGGGAGATTTTACCTTGGAGGATCCGCTCATGTTATGAAGTTTCTTGCACCCAATTCCCATCCCAACCACTGCCCCCCCCCCCCAAAAAAAAAAAAAAAGAAAAAAAAAAGGGCACACATTGGGTTAACTCTATTTCCCTTTTCCTCACGAACTAACAACAAAAAAAACCAGCAACAATTAGAAAAAAACCCCCCCCCAAAACCTCGCTAAGCTTACCAACTATCCCCCGCGCCAAAGGATCCAGCGTGCCGCCATGACCAATCTTGACCAATCCGCGCTTCTGTGCCCTTTTCGAACCGTCGACTTCTAGAACGCCCTTGACTAAGGGGTGAGACTGATTCCGTTTGCAGACATGTTGTAGGTGATCGAGGATGGTGGTTGAGGTGATCCCGGTGGGTTTGTTGACTGCGAAGAGGCCTGTTAAGGGGACGTGTTTTGGTGTTTTGGGTTTTGTTGCATTGGTGATGGAGAGTTTTGAGGACAAGGCGATGAGGGATCTGGATACCATGATCACAACAAATGAGAAGCAGAGAAAAAAAAAAGGCTGAAAGTTGGTGGCCAAAGCGTTTTATTTGATCAGGGATGGGGACAGCAGTCACTCATTTTAATCCTTGGGTGCTGCGAAGAAGAATGGACGCGCTGGCGACCATCGACATCGGACAATCGACCCCAAACCTCGACGTAGAAGCTGTAGAAGAATCAAAGGAGCCAAGACCTTTCCGACTGCGCTCCGCAACCTCATCTAGGGCCTGCGCACTATCCGACTTCGGTGGTCCGTCCTTGCCTTTCAACGCAGAAGAGGCAATCGGCGAAGATATAGCAGGCGCCAGATTGGGCGATGTCGGAGCCGAACAGGAAGGCGAGGGCAAGTACCCCAATGACGACGTCGGAGACGAGCTCCTACCACAATCGCTCTTGCTGACGACAATAGACTGGTACGTGAGACTTGACCGTCGTGGAGGGGGATACAGGGACGACGGTGACGCAGGAGGGGAGATCATTCCGGACGACATCCCACTGCTTGAACTGAATCTTGTGAAACCATTGCTCTGGTTCTGGTTCTCGAGAGCCTGGAATCGTTGGATGATCCCGCTCACACCATCGTACTGCTCTTGGAATGGGGGTGACCAGAAGGAGGGCGATAAGGGTGACGAGGGCGGGGCCATAGGTGGAGGTGGAGGTGAAACAGACATTGACCTGGCTGCTCTGGACGTGATGGCCAATGGCGGATAAAGAAGAGACGGCCACATGGCGCTGTTACAATAACTCTCGCCCACGCCTTCGTACTGCTCGTGGGATGGGGGTAACCAGAAGGCGGGCGATAAGGGTGACGAGGGCGAGGCCATAAATGGAGATGGAGGTGAAGCCGACATTGACCTGGCTGTTCTGGACGTGATGGACAATGGTGGATAAAGAAGAGACGGCCACATCGCGTTGTTATCGCCACCCGATAACTGGTCTGACGCCATACGATAGATCAACTCATCCTCCGCAACCGAACTCTCCACCTCCATATCCTCCTCACCTTCACTATCATCATCGTCAAAGGATGGGGCCCTCTCAATCATACTTCGTCGATACATGTACTCAAACCGTTCATCCTCCGACGGACTCTCCAAATCCTCCTCCGCCTCATCCCTCTCACTCATGGCATCAAAGTCGCTTCCAAGATCATCGTCCTCCTCAGAATCCATCGTCACCGAAAAATCGTCATCCAGACTCTCGTCACGATAATCCCATCCCATCTCACAATCATAGTCGTCAAAGTACCCCATATCTATCAAGTCCTCAACAGTCTCAATGAAAAAGACTTCACTATGGGACGCCCAGTGGACGGTTTTGGCGGCTGGGGGTGTTGGGAGCGGACGCGGCGGAACCGGAAGTGGGCGAGGGAAGGGAGGAGGAAGGGAGAAGGTGGTGAGGATTGGGGGCGATGAGAGTGGACGTGGACGGTACTGTGGTAGTGGTGGAGAGGTGCTGAGTTGATCATGAGCAGAGGATGCCCTTCTTTGTATTGAAGGTTGGTTTTGACTGTATGCCAATGCTTGTTGCCGCTGCCGTTGCTGTTGTTGGTTTTGAAGTCGTAGATGATACTGGTGTTGCAGTAACGGTCCCAAATGCGAATGAGCAAGATATCGACTAGTCGATGTTGTGAGTGTCACAGGTCGTGTCTTTTTCAAAATAGATTTCAAAGGCCTCGCCGGGACCACATTTTGACTCTGCTGATGATGTTGTTGTAGTAGCTGTTGTTGCAGCTGTTGTTGCTCTTGCTGTTGCTCTGGTGGCTGCTGGTATTGTTGCTGGTGTTGTTGCGGGTCGCGACGTGAAATGTTACTCCGACGAGAGGCCAAGGAACAGAGAGAGTTGGAAGAGGACGATCTTCGGAACCACACCTCTGGACGGCGGGTCGGGAGGAGTTCCTGGGACTCGATCCTGATGAGCGGTGGTCTTGCTGGAATCGTTGGGGAAGGTGGTGGCGAGAGTGCCAGCGCAGATGCTGTTGAAGTCGATGCAACGGGAGTAGGAGACGAGGATGTGGGAAATGAGGGAAGTGGGCGTCGATCTTTTCCTCTGTTGGTGGCGGTAGTGCTCTCAACTGCAGATCGTGCTCTCGAGTGAGAGTCGCTGGGGGTGAAGTACATCCCATCAACCACCCACAAATGCTCCAGGCCCTCCTGCTGTTGTCGTTGCTGTGTACAGTTGTCGTCGTCGAACGAGAAGCTGGTGTTATTGCTGCTGGTTCTGCTGTTGTAATTGCTGCTGGAGTCGCTGGGATTGCAGCTGCTGTCGCTGCTTTCGTTGCCGTTCAATTGGCAGGCAGTAGCGGTCCCGAAGCAACCGTCCAACGGCAGCTGCTGTCGCTGTTGTTGTTGTTGCCAGTGTTGAGTAAAATATATCATGGTGTGTCAAGGATTAAGTATTAAGTGATTGTAGTAGTGGTAGTAGAGTGGTGGCAGTGGTAGTGGCGTGGTGGTAGTGGGAGTAGTAGATGAGATGATATGTATCAGGATGCATGCAAAGAAAGCAGGAGTAGGGAGGGCGGTGGTTGTTGCAATCGCAAATGAAAAGGACAAAGGAAAAAGGGATCGCCTTCTTAAATGGTTCAGCAGCAACAAAAAAAAAACAAAAAAAAACAGTGGTAACTTTTTTGATCATCATTACAAAGCGACGACAAAGAGGAAAAAAAAAAAGGCGGAGTCAGGTCCAGGTACAAGCGCAAGAGCAGGTACTAGCGCAGGTACACTAAAGCAAGTGAGCGTGAAAAGACCAAGGATCATGGTTCACTCTCCTTTACCCCTATTTTTTGTCATTGTTTTTTTTTTTCTTCTATCGGCCAAAAGTTGTCAACATTGCATGCCATGCGCGCTTCAACCCATCCATGCCCAAAGGGCTCATATTCCGTTTCTCTCATTTTTTTCTTTCTACTCCTCAACAAGGTTCCCCAGGGTGTCAACAGACCATGAACAAGAAATGAAAACCCTGAGGTCGGAGAAATACCAACGCATCACTTTCATATACATTGAATCCTGTGAACCATAAAGCCTGGCGCCCTAATACTCACCTTCTTCCACCTGGCCCTTTCTTGCTTCCTACTCCTATGATCGGTAAAAAAAAAAAAATACGTTTCCCAAAGTATGTCGAGACCCATAACGCGCTCATTTCGCCAAACCCCAACAACCCTTTTATGTTCCCCCTGTTTTCAAGGTTTCACCAAAATAACCACCAATAAACAATGAACCACCACTGGTCAATGGATCACACGGCAACCCTTTTTTTTTTGCTGTTGTCGGGGACAAAGACAAGTAGAAAAATTAGTTCAGCCAAATCTGACAGGTCCAAACCTCATCGTAGTCAATACCTCGTACCTGATCCCTCACATCCCAGCTGAACGAGAAAAAAATAAAAATAAAAATAAAAATAAAAAACGCTATGTGGTTCAACTACGCCCAGAGATTAAACCCATAAGGGTTTTTACTCATTTTTTTTTCTAGCTGTTGTTTCAGTTTCAGCGGGAAGAGAGAGGTGTAACAAAGCGCAAAGTGATGGGATGAGCATGCTGAGCAAATGTAGAAGACGGCGGGAGAGGAAGGCGAGATGGGCCCTTCTGTCTACTCTGAACAATAATTTCCGAGGAGGGCAAGATGGTCGGAAAAAAAAAACAATGCATCTCGAGCGTTCTTTTTCCAACTTACTCAGCGCTTTACAGAAATGAAATGCGGATGACGGCAATGATGGAAGCGCGTTTTCTTGGTCGCCCAAATTGATGTAGAATCAAGGCTGGAACCCTTTAGGCTTGAATGAAAATAGGGTTCTTAGAGATCATGTCTTGGTGGTTGGGGGATTGAAAGGGTGCTCATACCGTTTTTTTTTCTCGAGTAGCCGTGAAAATTGGCCTCACATCACTTCCATCTTTTTTTTTTCTCAATTGATGGATTTATTCGCCTTCCCCTTGCATACATGCTCACCGTCCATGCATGCACACATAGAATAAAAAACGTGGAGCCCCGACTGTGGTCGAATCGCATATATCTTCTTCCCCCCCCCCCCCCCCCCCTCCCACATCCTCAACTCCAGAAATCAATTGACAACCTCGCTTCTTGTCCTCCCATCCCGCTTTACAAAACAAAAGAATAGATGTCGTCGTACCTGCTGCCACAATGTAGCTTTGCACATGTAAACACGAAAAACAAAAAGCCTCACGCCCATGGAAGCTGTTCCTAGGCTATTTTTTCCCCTGCTGTTCTTTTTGTTCGTTTGGTTAAACGTAAAAATAGGGGCAGACCTTCCAATGATATCATGCTACACGAAGGAAAAAAAGAAAGCGCTAACCTGACCACAACTGTGTTACCGCTCTCTGCATCTCGAAACCCTGTTGTTACTCTCTCTTATGTTTTACTGCTTTTTTATCCAATTTCGTCCAAAGATACAGATCGAAATAATAGACGCTTTTCAAACTTCACGATTTTTCTCACCGTTTTTCCCGTACCCGCGAAAAGCACTCAACGATTCGCACACAAAGCATGCATCATGGTGTGCTAAGGGGTGAAGGTGCACCTTGAAAAAATCGTTCTCAAAACTATAGAAGCAGTCAAGACCAGTGTCCTAGATCTTATAGGGAAAAAGCGCTAATTGGTGTTTTTTATTTCTCATTCTCATATTGGACCTTTGGAAATGTAATCGTCTACCTCCAAGTTCTTCCTGCACCCACTGCCCGCGAGTGTAAATCTAGAACACAGCTCTAGTACCACCAAAACCTCCAGTAGATGACCAGCAAGAAGACAAAGAGGATAATGGCGGGAGGGCCGTATTTGCGATACAAGGCCTGCAAGTTCACGTCACGGGCCGTCTGGCGGTACCGCGCAGAGTCGCGAAGTAGTAACTCCGACTTTCCTTGCAAGTTATCTAGCGTCTCTCCTCTACGTAAATGAAAAATGAACGAGCATATGTGTTGAGTTTGGTTTGCTCCGGTATGAGATGGCTCCATCCATTCGGGATAAATCTCCTTATGACCAATCCTTCAGTCTTAGCGTTACCTGTAGAGAAGGTCCTCCATGTTCTTTGTCATGATCTTGGTGACATCCTGCAGATCCTCGTGCAACTTTGTCAAGTTGGATTGTGTCCTGGTGTCCTGGTACATGCGCTTTGTGTTCTGCATAAACGTGTCTGTTGGTCCATCCGGTTCCCGAATCAATTGTTATTGTTGTCATTGGTAACATAGATGCAGTTGACATGGAAGCAATATGGTGTCAGTCCTCAATTCCTTTGTACCAATCATCATGCCAAAACAAACAACCAAACAACAAACAGAAAATCAGGGCTCCAATAAACCTACCGAACCGAGCAAAGGCGTAGGGGCGAAGACCTGGTCGGTCAATCTCGTTGCCGTAACTCATAAAGAACTCTTTGGAGAGATCGTCCAGGTATGTGAAGGCCAACTTGCGAGGGTAATTGCGCTCGCATATGCACAGGTAGACAACTCCGTGGTCAATGATGTAGCTAGAAGAAACGACGACGTATCAGACGATGATAAAGTACATTGGATGAGTGTCTTATCCTTCATTCCGTTTGATGATAATCCTGGCTCATTATCTGTATCCTAGCCTGAAAAGATAATTCCTGTTGCGCCCTTCAATCGATGTTCGTATCATTTCTATGGCTACGTGAGGAATAAGGCGAATCAAACATCCAGCTCCGAGTGCCCTTTGTTGCCTGCTGTTTGTTGGCGAGTTTGTTATTGCTGTTGAACTCCTGTTTTCAGTCATGACGTCCATGAAAATAATAAGATATGGCCGGTGCGGTACGTGTGTGCCTTTCGGGCCTATCAAATCCTGCCGCGAACACAGCCAGCCGAGTACACAATAATTTTCTCTTCCATGACCCCTTGCCCTTACTGGAACACGTAGCTCCCTGACTCGATCGAGCATCGCTTCTCCGAGTTCAGGTTAAGCTTGCGGAAGATGAGCTTAGCTTGGGACTTGTACTCCTTCAACTCCATCTCGACCTAATAATGAAACCATGGGAGCATGCATGCATGCAAACTCAACGTCAGTCTTCGTTGGAAGTGACTTGTATTCTCCCCGAGACCCTTGTTCGCAAATAAGAAAAGAGTAGGTTGAAGTGTACCTGCTCGTCATCGATGGAGGCAGCCAGCGGAAGGGCTATGTGAGGAGTTCGAAGGCGAAGAGGTACACAAAGGTGGAGGCGGGTGTGAGTGGGTGATGGCGGTTGTTGGGTTCCTTACGCCAAACTTTGTAAAAAGTGCTGCCTGACGTCAGTTACCGTCAGAGACGCGTGCAATCATGGTGGTCTTGACCATGTCTAGAGTTCTCTGTTGGTGTGTGTTGAGGGTAGTGAAGAGGGTTAGTCGATAGAGTGTGTGTTCGTGTGTGGTCGGTGCGGCAGGAAGAGATGAGGAAGAGATGAGGAAGAACTGTGAAAAGGTGAAAAGGTGATCAAATGAAGAAGTAATAATAAGTGAGCGCTCCTCTCATCATCTCTTTCTTTCCCTTGAGGACTAAAGAGTGGCTTGGCAATTTCTCTCGAGGAGATCAGCCCAAAGGTCCAACTCGATCGATCATGCCTAACAACGCAAAATGCGTCGTACTCTAAAGTGTCCCACCACTTAGGTTTTCAATGACGCCAAGGAGCAATTAAGTAACTCAAAGATGTTCATATGAAAACAGAGATAAAATAGAAAACGACTTAAAGAACGGAACCCAGAAGAAAAAAGGTCTTTTCTGTCTTTATTGCGTGTGGTTGATTGTCAGTTTGGAAGAAGAAAAAAGGAAAATTGCTCAGCCTCGGTTTTCAACAACGCAAATTTAAGCCTTGACAGCGTACTTGCGAAGAGGGAAGTGAGTAGCCTTCTTCTGCTGCTTGACAGTCTTGACGGAAGCCTCGTGCTTGGTAAGACGGCGACGGATGGCGCGGGTCTTCTTGACACGGAGATCCAAGGGGAGGAAGTTCTTCTTCTGGTAGAAGAGACGGAGCTGGGCACGCTGGGTCTGGGTGATGACAGTCATGACACGAGCAATGGACTTGCGGACAGCAGAGCTATTGTTATTTTGATACAAGAACATTCGAAGTTAGTAAACCGCTTTCAAAATGCGCGACATGCACTCCAACTTGTTGTGTTGGGAAGGAGCTGCAGTGCGGGGAGGATAGCTGAAGAACACCACCACCACCGTAATCTCCATTGTCCACAATCGAATGAAGCACAGCCAGTTGATCCACGCTCCTGTTGTTGCCGAGGAGCAGCCGTCAATTGCACCCGGCACCAGTCCAGAGAGCAAGTACTGATCAAGACAGCTATTCCTGAACGTTCCTTGATCGGACAGCGTCAGGTCGGTCGCTGGATGTATTACCAACGATTCCGATTCTGAGAGACGCCCGAGTCAAAACGTGTCGAGGGTATGAATCGACCAATGTATCTCTACAGAATATCCAGCCATCATTATCCCCTAGTAACGATCTTTAAGGAACCGAATTCCGCGCAGAGTTGTTGGTTGTTGCTGTTGTTGTTGGAGGCCTCCAATGTTGATAGGGGCGTGTGTGTGTGTCTGTATGTCGTTTGCTGACAAAAGACTTACATCTTGGTAAGCTTGCCGGCAGAGCCACCAGCAACCTTCTGGACCTTGAGGCTGGCAAGCTCCTGCTTGAGCTCCTCGAGCTGCTTGGTGAGCTCGGCCTTGTTCTTGGTGCGCAATTCGTAAGCCTTGACAGCAGCCTGTAGAGTGATGAAAGGGAAGGGGATGGAGCAACACTTGGTCAGAAATCTCTCTTCCAAAAGTTGATGTCGTTGAAAGGGGGGATTGTGAAGAGTTGAGATCCAGGGTTTCATTCCTGTCTCCAGTCTGTGTCTCCAGTTGCAAAAAGGAGCGGCGATCCGGGTGTTAGTGTTTCCCAAGGCAACCATTCGCCTTTGTCGGATCCTGATGTCTGTTTCTGGATGAGTTTTGTTGCGTGAGTGGGGAGTTCTCTGCTTCCTCTCTGGCAGGTGGCTTCGTCCGTTCGAAAGTGTTCCGGCAGACGCAGCAGACTTTGACAAGTTGTAGAGACTGATCCCTCTTGGAGACAGGTCTGTTGTTGGTTCCCTTGGGCGAGCGAAACGAGCCTCTCGGTTTCTCTGCATCTGTCGTGCCGAGGTCGAGGATGTCTTTGACAGCGCCTTTGAGTTCGAGATGCAGAGTTCCGCCATGGGTCTCGTCCGCCTTCGTCCCTCAGGAAGGAAAAAGTACATTCCGTAATTCCTGAGATGAGATGAGTCGGGTGATGGTGGGCATCTCTGGATGCCTGGCGGACAGATAGTTGATGGGTATTGATGATGGCCTGTCGAACGATGGGATCGATGATGATCCTGCACTGGATGGATGTGTTGTTCTTGTCGTCCGATGTACGTATCGATGCCGAATGGTTGCCAAGGTCGTTATCCATGAAGGTCCCCCAAAAGTCACATGACACATAGAAATGTTTTAGCTAGAGACCATTTTTATAAATTGGAGGAAAGAAGGCTCGTTGGTTTCGCGCCCGCTCCACGACCAAATACTCGCCGAGATGCAGAGGCTGGACTGACCAACAGTCACGAAAATTGGACGTTGAGGCAGCACAAAAAAATGTGCTGTTCAACGCCCTTCAACAAACAACAAACCCACAACACATACCAACCAACAGGAAGACATACAGCTTATACACACACATACGCAAACCATGGGGTCGAAATCACAAAGCAAATCAGCATCAAAGAGAGCACCAGCAACAAGTACGTTGCAGACAGACACCTCATTCCACCATTTTTGACACTGGCATAACTTGTTGCATCGACTTGCATTGCCATCCTTGATCAGCTATTAACACTTTGTTTGTTTCTTGTTGCGTCGTTCTAGGCGAGCCACAGGTAGACTGACAGGAACATACGAAAACATTACTAGCATTGATGAGCCAGAACAGCAAATACCATTTGATCAAGGACTGACAATGACACTCATCTATCAATCGAACCTTTAGGACCATGCCGCCCCAGCAAATAAGCGGTCAAAGGTAAGGCGACAACTGCCAATGTTTGATTATACTTCTCCTCGTTATGTCCCCCAGAACCGCGCACTAACCACGACCACTGTCCATTTCAACCGAATAGAAGTCAAACGAGATGTCGTCGTCAATAATGCTCAATGACGAGGAGCCTCAGGAAGAACCCTCAATAGATGTCGATATGGAGGAAGCACAGGACGAACAAAAGGCCACGACACAGGACCAGGAAGAGGACATCGATAATGACGATAGTGAAAATGATCTAGAACTGCAAAACGATCGGGAAAGTAGCGACGATGAAGCAGATGTTGAGGATGATGAAGATCAGGAGCTGAGGTCAAATGCCCGGTCAACTTCGCAGGTACATAAAAGTGTCATATTCGCGCCGCGCGGACTGTAGAGCCATAGTAAAGGTTGCTATGGCTTGTTGAGAAATAAGTCACAGAGGACTAACCAGGTTAACTTTTTTGTTCGATCTTGTAGAAGGAGGCGCATACATCCGATCGGGTTCAGAAGGTTCTGAGCAATCCAGAGATTGAGGCAGCATTTCAGGACAAGTACATGACCCAGATTACACAAGCATTCGGAGACGAGCTCAACACGCTACGCGAAGTAAGGACATGTCCCTGAAGAGCTCTCTAATCACTCCTTTCTTTTGGTGTTCTTTAGTGTTCATGAAACACTTTACTGATAAAACTTTCTTTTGTACTCATGTATGATAGACGGACTCTTTGGAGGGTGCCCAGCTGGAACTGCTGATTGACTCCTTGAACCAGACGGGACACATCTACAGAGTGATGGAGAAGGAGCTCTGGGTCGCAGAAGAATCCCAATAGGCTTCAAGTGAGCCTCCTCTCTCAAATAAAAAGGATGAACAAGAAAAAGAGATGATCATGCGACTGCTTATCTGAATCAAAGACCAGATCACTCGCACGCACCAACGTGCTTAAAAAAAAAAAAGGGTCCGCAACACTCCTTCTTTCTTATTTCACCTCACCCACCGTCCTCCCTCCCTCATTCCATTCGTTCATTCACATAAAGGCTGAATGCCATCCCCCTCATTCAACTAATAACGACCACTATGAACCTCTTAGACGAACAGACCCCACTCATATCCAGCAACCGCGACGTCGACCGCTCCAACAGCAGACGCAGTAGAAACCAAGAACCCTACTACATATCTCCTCTCAGCAACAGCAGCGCCCTCGATCTCCTGCCTCAACCCCAACGACTACAACCGCTGCACCAACACCTCGACAGAGCTCGACGACATGAACAAGCACACGCCATCACGCCACGACACTGGCTGGTCCTCCTCCTTGCTTGTCTCCTCCTCTTCGGCAACTACTACTGCTATGACATCCCAGCGGTAAAATTTTCTTTCCCACCCCATTTGTCATAGCCGCTGGGGACAAAAAGTCTGCTTGCTCTTGCATAAAAGAATACTCATCACTCTGACTTCATGTCCATCGTAAACATGCAATAGGCCTTGAATGTCCAGCTGGGAGAATGGCTCGGGGACGACTATGCAACACATCAATATCACATCAACCTCCTCTACTCTGTCTACTCACTCCCCAATATTGTCCTTCCACTATTCGGAGGTTATCTCATCGATCGACTCTCAGCCTCCAGGGTTCTCATTCTGTTCAGTCTTTGTGTCTGCGCAGGGCAGGGGCTCTTTGCTATCGGAGTCTCTGCAAAGTCGATCTGGATGATGGTCCTTGGACGATTCATTTTCGGGATCGGAGGTGAGTGTCTGGAGGTCGCACAGGCCAAGATCACCACAGATTGGTTCAAGTCCCGATGGTTGGGATTCGCCTTGGGATTGAACTTGTCTTCTGCCAGGATCGGAACCGCATTGAACGACAACATTTCGCCGGCTATCGCAGCTCATGGAGGAGGTGTTGTGGGCGCCAGCTGGGTTGGTGTTCTGGTATGCGCCATCAGTTTGTTCTGTGGAATTGCACTTGCTTATCTGGATCGACCAGAGTCTCGAAAGGAGTCGGGTGTACGACTGGATGCCAGGGATCGCAACAAGGACGCGATCCGTTCGAGGAAGGACAACATTGTCGGTCGTCAAGCGATCAATATCTCTTCCGACTCGACCATGACGATGTCCTCGGTCGCACTGCAGGAGGAGGAAGAGATTGAGAAGGAAAATGAGATGGCAGAGGACGATGAGATGCACTATTCAGAGATATTTACTCTTCAGCCAAACTTTTGGATTCTCTCACTCATTTGTATCTCGCTCTATGGTATGTTTTGACAGAGGTCGTCCGTTGTTGACATGCCTTTCTGTCTTACTTTCTCAACCGCCCACGTATGCGTGACCCATTTTTTTTTGCAAGGGTCTGTTGTCCCTCTCTCATTCAAGCCCCTATTCTCGTGGACCCACATTGTTTACGTTTTTTTTGCATGTTGCATTTTTAGGGGCTGCTGTACCCTTCAACCATATCTCGTCTGACTGTAAGTGCTTACAAAACTTGCTTATCTTTGGATGCCGATCAACGTGTCTTCTTTTCTCTAACGCGTGATCCTGTTACGGTTCTTAATATTGCCACTGTTATCGTTTTCTCACAGTCCTTCAAAAGAAGTGGTACATGAAGAACCCGACAAAGGCCGGTACTGTCATGGTAAGAAACCTACGTTCGCATGATCTCCTTGTTTTTGCATCATTCCCTGTCATATCTAATAAGCTGCCACTTGACTTGTCCACATTTTAGTCCATCCCCGACATTGTTTCTTCCGTTGGATCACCTCTCTGCGGATACCTTGTCGATCGCTTTGGACACCGTGCACGCTACATCCCTCTCTCAGCTGTTCTCTTGATCTGGACCCATGCTCAGCTTGGATTCACGTCTATCACACCTATCATCGGTATGCTCATCCTTGGTCTGGCATACTCGCTCTTTGCCTCTGTTCTTTGGCCTTGCATCCCATTCCTCGTCAAGGATCATCAACTCGGTACGGCGTATGGTCTTGTCACGATCGCCCTCAACATTTCTCTGACGATCTTCCCCATGATCGTGGCGTGGATTCTTGATATCACCGATGGGTCCTATCTCTATGTCGAAGCGCTCTTCATCATTCTGGCCTTTATTGGCCTCCTCCTCTCGATCCTGCTGAACGTGCTTGATCATCATCAAGGAGGCTATCTGCAGTTGAACGGAGACCCCACAGCAGAGGGACTTTATACTGAGGGTGGCTATGAGGATCATATCCAAGGCGACCACCACCATGAACCTAATCGTCATCAAGCACAACACCATCACGACTATTACGACCCCCGTGAGCCTGGATTTGAGTATCGGCGACAGAGGAGATACTCGCTGGATCTACTTGGAGAGGATGGGGAGGATATGGATGATATCCAGGACAGAGTGACGACCAGGCCTGTTGGGGAGGGCATCATTACCGTCATCCCCCATCGGCGGAGGCACTCTATGGCAGGGTTTGCGGGGCATATTGAGCGGTCGAGACTCAGGAGCTATGCCCATCATGCACGGGAGGCTCCTGGATTGGGTGCTATCCCGGGGAGCATGCCGCTTGATCCCTCACCTTATCTCTCCTCACGGCGAGCACCATTTTAACGACAAACGAATAAGCAATTTTCTCGTTAGGAATAAACGAAAAGAAAAGAAGGGATTGAGTAGTGGTTTGAGCTTTGGGCGCTGTGCATTATGAATGAGTTGCCTACGAATCGGACAGTCGCGTTCCTTGTTCGCTTTTGAACGTCTAGCACGATACGCACAATTCGTTTTACCCAGAAGGGGAAAGAAGAAAAAAAAAAGCGACTGACAAATCGGGATGAACCCATTTCTGACCAGGATCGCATCATTCACGCATTAAAAAAAAGTTCGTACCAGCACTTCATCACTCTTTTTTTTCTCTTTCCTTCCTTCCTTCCCTTTTCTTTCCTTTCCCTCTTCGTCCCCTCCTTGACTCCACACTTCCTTTACCCCAATCCCCCTCCCCGAATCTTTCCCAGGAATCCACTCCAATAATCCATTTTTCACACACTCATACTCATACGAAGTACATACATTATGAAGCTGACTGTGACCTCTTCTCTCTTGGCTTTGGCGCTGATTTCCTCTTCTGCTGACATTGGAGTCCACGCCAACACTCCTTTCATCATCGAAAAGAGTCCCGTTGATATTAGTATGTGCCTTTTCTGTTTGCTATGTTTTACAGTTGGACGTTGTGGATGCAATGTGTGTCGGCAGTGCGTGCATGCCAACTAACTAACCGTCAAATCTGAACTCGCTGAACGATAATACATGTAGCTCTGTTTGTCATGTCGAGATGTCCAGACGCCATCAAGTGCGAGAGCACCTTCTCACAAGTCTGTAAAGTTCTTACGCATGCTTGGTCCCCTCATATCGTGGAATATCATTGTCGCTTCTTTATACAGTCACCAACTCACACCATTTTGTTACTTTCTCAACTTCACCATAGTCCAGGCTGAAGGCTTGCCAGAGATCAATCCAACCCTGTCATACATCGGATCCATCGACGAAACAGAGACCTCAAAAACTGAACTCGACCTCTCCACAACGTCAACCACAACGACCACCACAGTCGTGACAAAGGTCAACTGCAAGCATGGACCCCTGGAATGTGCCGGGAACACACATCAGCTCTGTTTTAGAGAGTTCTTCCCTGATTACAAGGTCTGGGTGCCCTTTGTGACGACGATGAATTCATGGCAGCCCCGTCGGATTGGTGAGTCTGCCTATGCGAGGGAAGTTGCTGAGAGGGTGCTTGGACTTAGACAGAGACGGGTTCGACGATTCCTGTCTCTAGAGGAGGAGGATGCGGAAGAGAAGAAGAAGGAGCTGGAGGTGTTGCTGGAGAAGGTGGATGAGTGCTCGGAAGGGCAGCGTGGGTTTGAGTTGTTGGTCAAGTCTGTTCAGAACACCCTTGACCACGGCGTTGGGTAAGCAAGATCGAACTTTTTTTTTTTTTGGAGCCCAATTGTGTTCTATCAACTGCGATGGATGTTCGCTGTATCTATTCTTCTTGTTCTTAACTGTTCATTTCTTTCTTTTTTGTGGATAGCACGAGCTGCACGGTGTTTATCGACAACAAGAAGAGGTGTGTGGTCGATGGTGGGGTGTGGCGCGAGTGCCCTGGTGGTTCCACGGTTGCTGACTTTGTGAGATCGATCAAGGAGGCAGCCGGCAAGGTTTTCCGTATCAGCTGGTGAACTGGTGATGCGATCAATTGTGATGAATAAACAGAATCAGCCTTTTGGGGGTCCCTTGGTGCCGCCTCTTTTTACCAGCTGGGGTTTTGCCACCAATTTGTTGTCAGCTAGTGATCACGCATGGAACAGTGAAATCATCGTGCGGCCTGCTTACCTCGGTTGACTTGAATAAGAGACTGTCGGACGACAAACGCCCCTTTGTCACCACGACTGATTGTTGACCACAATATGTCTGCGGCGTGGGGCGGGCGTTTGTGCTTCTATTTCTTTCCTTTTCTTCTCTTCCTTCTTCACCCTTTTTCTTCATTCCTCCACTGATCAACATTCGACCCATCAACCAAGGACAAAGACCAGGACCTTCTTCTTTACGTTTTCCTTTTTTTACGTTCTTTTTTCTTTTTTTTTCTTTTCTTTCTTTTCAGGTACGGAAAATAATCATACTTGCACGATCGGGCGTCTCTGTGTTCCTTTTGTCGGCCATGCAACAGGCTCACTTCCCCAACAAACTCATGGAAGCAAAGACAACGAGACAAGCGATCGAGCGCGTTGCCATGGTCAGCAGGCATCAAAAATAGACCACAGGAAGAAGACAAAGCCAGGACAGCATGACTAGACTGCATTTAAGAAGAAGGCGTGGCGTTAAGAAGTTGATTGATAAGAGTGTGAAGTGTCATTAGCCAATGACGATGAATCAGTTCGCCACCAGTTACTTATCGACTAACTCTTGTTTTTTTGCCCCATGCCCTTTCTTTCCCTCTGTGCTCTTGCGATCCAAAACCCCAATAGTACTTTTTTCTGTTTTCATTCTGTTTCCTTCTCTTTGCATTCTTCTTCATTACTCCACTTTGTTAGTACTCCCAACTACGCCTCTTTTTTACTTTACGTATCTTTAAAAAATGGACCAGTACCAGATCAAGACAAACGGCCAAGGTGCCCCTACCGGCGCCGTCGCTGCCACCTCCCAGCCCGTGACCGTCGGTTCCGGCGTGTCTGCCGTTGCCTCTGCTGGCAGCGTCTCCGCCGCCGGCTCGACCGCACCTGCCTTCCAGCCTGACGAGAGCTCCAAGACTCTCTACGTTGGCAACTTGGATCAGAGCGTGAACGAGGCCGCATTGCAGGAGATCTTCTCCCAGACTGGAGGCCTGATCGAGAGCGTCAAGATTATCCGCGACAAAAACGTAAGTTGAAACCAAGGCTGAGGAGTAACATCAAATTGCATTTGTTATCTGGATAATGTTCCTTCTTTCGATCGATGAGCGCTTCGGAACAGAGGAATATAGAAAAATGCTCCAGGATGGACACCCATTATCCTAAGCACGCTATTGCATCTTTATTTGGCGTACAGCAACAAAAAACATGGGTCGATCGAGACCCCTTTAGAAGCTATCGGAGGATGAAGGCGCTCATATACACCCAGCCTGCTTACAGTTCGGCCACCGCCTAAATCCAGTCCTAACTAACCCAAATCTCTTCCATCCTCATCCTTCTCTCACTCTCTATCACTCTCCCTTTTCGCATCTTAATCTGATCGCTTCGTTATCTGTATTAGTTTGCTCACCAGGGCGGCCTTAACTATGGCTTTGTCGAGTTTGCTGACCATTCCGCCGCCGACAATGCTATCCAGCAGATGAACGGACGCCGCGTCTACCTCCAGGTGAGTCAATTGAACAACCATTTGTTATTATCAACAGCAAGAAGGAGGACGACCATACCAGATCTTAAGCTAACACTTCGTGTGTGTGCGTGCCTCGCTTTCTATTCCCGATTCAAATAATAGGAGATCAAGGTCAACTGGGCTTTCACTGGACAGGCTGCTGGCAAGGAAGACACTGCCAGTAAGGCACAGAAATACTTTACCTCCAATGTCTAAGTTTTGGTTACTTCGGAGCTAACCATGGATCTGGACTGTTCACTTTCTGCCCCCAAAATAGCCCACTACCACATCTTCATTGGAGACATCAGCCCCGAGATCAACGATGAGGCCTTGAGCCAGGCCTTCGGCGCCTTTGGAACCATGACGTACGTAGTGTGGACCCCGAACCGTCCTTGCTGCCTTTGAAATGTCTTGCTGTTCGAATTGCCCCCATTTACTAAGGCCTTGTTTCGTTGTCTTTCACACATAGTGACGCTCGCGTTATGTGGGATTCCAACTCGGGCAAGTCGAGAGGCTATGGATTTGCTGCCTACAAGGAGCGTGCTGTACGTTACAACTTAACAAGGAGCAGTGATCTATTACTCTACATTGAACAAACAAGACGCGTCGAAAGTTTTCAATTGCAGGAATCTAACCCCAACTACGCGGATCAATAGGATGCTGAGCGTGCTATCGCCTCCATGAACGGCCAGACTCTTGGAAACAGAGCTCTTCGCTGCAACTGGGCCAGCCAACGCGGTATGCCCGGACCTAACTTCCAGGGTAAAGTCTATCTTATCATATGATTTCAAGAAGGATGGAACCAGATGTCGCTGGGAGTATTACTAACATTTATCCTATTTTTATTATAACTAACAGGTATGCACCAGGGCGGAAACTCATTCAAGATGGTTGCTGGTCAGGCTCCTCAGTTCAACTCCACTGTTTACATTGGAAACTTACCTCCTCACACCACCCAGGAGGATCTTATTCCCTTCTTCCAGCCATTTGGATTTGTTGTCGACATGAGACTTCAGGCTGATCGTGGATTCGCCTTTGTCAAGCTCGAGACTCACGAGAAGGCTGCCAACGCCATTGTTCGCCTCGCCGGCACCATGATCAACGGTCGCCCTGCCAAGGTATAATCCTCATTGCTACGACCGCACCTTGGTATTGTGAAGGAAATAGTCGACGATGTTAACCTCATATTTCCTTCCATCTTTCCTACCAGCTTTCGTGGGGAAAGGACCGCGCTGCTGAGAACGCAGCCCGCGGCAACCACTATGGCTACTACAACAACGGATCTGGTTACGGTATGGGCGGCCACCAAAACAACGGCGGTTACCAATACAATAGCTACAATAACCATAGCAACCACAACAACCACCATAACAACAACCACTATGGCGGCAATGGACAGGCTTATGGACGCAACGGAGGTCACCACAACAACCATCACCACCACCACAACCAGCATCACAACAACCAGCATCACCAAAACCACCACAACAACAACCACAACCAGCACCACCACAACAACCACCAGCACAACTCGTTCCAGCACCAGCAGCAACAGCAGCAGCAGCAGGTTGTTGGAGGACTGGATGGTGTCCCTGGAGCAACGGGATCATCGGCTTTGGCTGCAGGCAGCTCTGCCCTCCCACCCTCCAACGTTGCCGTCGGTAGTAACGGCAACAACGGCAACATTGGCCAGGAGGCTTATGACCAGTTCTCGTCGTTCAACAACAGCCGAGGCAACTAAACAGCGACTACAAACAACCTATTTGCTACTTACCACTCCCCTTTCTTCTTTGTGTCCCGATTTTTCTATATTATGGATGAGATTCTGGGACAGAAGTAAAACACACAGCCTAGTAGCATGCACTGAAAGCTTAGAGCAGCAGGGATCGGATGCCACACACATACAAAAAATAAAAGCAACATCATCTTTTCGTTCTGATAGAATAAAACAACTCCCTTTGGTCCTTCTTCACCGTGCACAGTGAGAACAGGAACGAACAACAATGAGAGGGATTAAGAAGGAAGAAACCCAAAAAAAAAAAAAAAGTAAACCCTCAGTTACCGTTGTAGTCATAGTGTGCTCACATGGCTTTTTCAAGGCACTAATGTATTTGTCTTCATCGGGTGTACGTTGTTTTTTGATATTTTGTTTCTACGCAATCGAAGAGGGTTGAGGCTTCAACTGCTAATTCGTGAGATAAACTGTTTAAACCAAGGTTTGAACCTGGGGAGCGGGGAGCTCAATCCAACACTTCTTACTCAACCTTGAATCTTCCATCTGTAGTACACAAATGTGTTGTGATTTTTTACACCAGTCACTAGCCCTGAAACCCCAAGGGAGCAACACGGTGTACAAACACACTTGTTAGATGAAGAACTCTGTAGGGAGTTGGAAATGTGAGACATGAGACGCTTTCCCAGTTGGCAAAAACGTTTAGACGCGTTGTTTCTGAAAATATTTTGGGTGGGGTTTGTTGTCGAGGCTTGGATTTTGCAGGAAGTGCGATTCTAGGAAGGTACCACTACGTCACCCATTTTTTTTGGCTGTGTAGTTCAACGCTGTAGTAGTGTTTACTTTGAACTGTGGAAGCAGTGTCAGTTCGTTGATGAACAGAGTCGAATCTGAGAAGCTTGGGTGTCGCGTTTTTTCTTCACCAGTTTGGCGGTTTTAATTTTAATGGCGAACTACAGTCAAAGTGGCTATCATGTCCTCAGTCAGCGCCGTATTGCTTCGCCATAGGCCTCTCCTCGCCCCCTCTTTCGACATCCAGTCATATATAGAACGGCGCACTGTGTGAGATGAATGTAATTTAGCTAAATAACTCGGGAGGATCAGCTGGGTTAACTCTTGCGCCCTTCCGCTCGAGATATTCTTTATTAGTATGAAACAAAGGCATTTGTTGTGTCCTTGATTTGAGTGGCGGTGCGTCTAGAACGTCTTTTTTATGCGAGATCTATTGAGATGACTGAGAGAGCCCCAGCAAGCAATTAAAAATTAAAGGGCAACATTCCATTTTATATTTCTTTTCTTTCTTCTTTTCCTTCAGCGCATCTTTTCCTCCTCTCTTCCCCTCCCCACCCTCCCCTATCCACAACACCCCACCTTCACTTCTCCTCCCTCTTCCTTTTTACTCCAACCTCATCCCCCACCCGCTGCTAATGGTCACAGCAACAAGTCACCCAACATCATCACCAAGTCACCAATCCTTTCGACTCAGAGGCCCAACCTCCACCGACTTCTCGGCCGATGAAGTCAGGATTGTCATCCGCAAAGACTCAACCTCAGGACAGAGCTTTGTTCTCTGGAACGATATCCTTAACGTCTTCAGGATCGCAGGACATGTCCAGCATGGCAGCGATGTTGTGCCCTACATGACTGACAGTCAGTTCGAATAGTAAGTTATCAAGTCCAGCCCATGTTTTGATACTGTATTGTTGGGAAGTTCACATCATCCTTTTTATGTGACGGAAGAGTAACACCTTTTTTTTTATCTTAGTTTGCGGCCGCTGAAGATTGAGGCGTATCCAGGAACTGTACTCGAAGTAGTGCCTGTATCTACATCGGAGTCTGCAACACCCGTGTTGTCTCGAGAGACTTTGAATAGGCAAGGACAGGGAAACACTGCTTTAGAAGAACTGTACGTCCTATCTAACGTAACGTGCAGGATGTTGACCGCCATATACCGCTACCAATATCTTAAATTATTTTTTTCGTGCTGCTTACATAGATTTCAGTCGGTTCACATTGGGACACAGAGAGCATTTGCGGCTGGTATCATGGAACAAGGACTGGACACTATGCCTCCTCCGTACGAGACAATGGCATCTGGACCATCAGCGTCACAACGCACAAGCACATCCTCGACCCCAACATCGACCAGCGTGAGAACATCGGCCGAACACCGCATCTCTACCGCAGCTCCACTTGCACCATCAACATCACCAACTGCATCAGCAGGAGCAGCAGCAGCAGCAGCAGCAGCAACGTGGTTGACACCGGACGAAGAACCAGCATCTCTAACACTCCGAGGCGGAGGAGCCTCAAGAGAATCACAGCAGTTCATTGCGCGCGTACAATCCATCCTCCTCGACTCTACACACCAACTGGAAGTCTATGAACAAACCATCCTCTCAGAACCAAGCGCCCGCAACGATTTTCTGGTACGAGGCGTAGCAACTATCCAACAAGGCCTGGACTCCATTCACCAAGAACTCCACGACGTTGTTCCTAACCTCCGCGCAGAGATCGCAAAGAACACGACTTTACAGCGCCAGATCCTGGAGATGCAGACAACCGCAGAGGAGATGGCGCGGAGGATGTTGGAGATGCAACAGCATGCGATTGGGCTTCAAGAGCAGACACTGGATCGACTTGCGACGATACAGGGGAGGGTTAGTGCGATTCTGACACAGACGTATGAGTTGCATGAGTACCCGATTCCGAGGTTGTTTATTATTCTACCAAAGGAGGATGAGACACGGACAGACTCGCTCAGGAATGTCTTTGCCAAGCAGTTCAAACTGTATTTCTTATGCGAGTGCAACAACAACAGTCACCACTACCACAGCCTACACACAGGAGCAACACCAGCAGCTACAATATCGAGCACGAGCAGTAGTCAGGGGACAATGTCGAGGCAGGAAATTCATCTTGCGCGACATGAGGGGTACGATTTGGACCGGCCGACCGAGTTCTTCGAAAAGTATGGATCTTATGTCTTGACGCTCTTGCAGATGCTCAAGTATGGGGCTGTTGTTGCGGGGGTTGTGATCCCGCCCTTGACGCAGCTCAGGATTGTGGATGGACTGGATACTGCCAAGCAGAGCGCCGATGCCCTCTATAGCAGCATGGAACCAAAGGTCGACAGTGCTATCGAGTATCTGCAGAGGCTCTCTAGCAACCAAGCTTTAGAAACAACAACGACGGCAACGACGGCGGCAGGGAACACCTCGACCTACGGAGACAACTTGGAGGCGTTGGAGGGATCAGATCTGCGTCAGCTGAGTTCATTCCTCAAGATCAAGGACGAAGGGCAAGTGCTTGGAAACCTGTACAGGACGGTGACAGGAGAGGGCCATGTCAAGTGGGTCTGTCTAGACCATTACCGCGAGACCTATGGTATTTCTGCCCAGCGCGAGTTGCGAGAGGTGGTGGAGATGAGTCGTGGACGGTACGATGAGCCAACGGGAACCGTCTCGATCGAGTTGATCTCTCCTGTACAGGCAAGGCAGTTTTATTCCATCTTGGCTACGTCGCGATACGTCCAGGAGCTTAGACTGACCATGAGCTGGGATACTACTCTGGAAGATTACAGGACTTTGAAGGAGGCGCTTCAGCAATCTAATGTTATCCGGCTGGAGCTCGCTGGCAACATGACCTCGGGACCCAAGACCGATATCATGAACCGTAGCAGGAGACATGACCCGTTCTTGCAGTTGATGGCGGGAGGGAAGCTGAAGATGTTGTCCGTCAAGGGGCTGAAGGATTTTTTTGAGCGGACCAGCAAAATGCCGAGTATCAGTCATATCCGGACGTTTGAGCTGCAGTCGAGTGTGGTGACGAACAAGGATGGACCACAGCTCGAGAAGCTTGTTCAGGCGTCACCGATGTTGTTCGAGTTGACGCTATTGGTTCAGGATATCGATACGACTTTTACGCTATTATCGCCTCTTGTCAAGAAACTCAGGCGGTTCAGGACTCTCACCCTCCACCAGGCGCCAAGAACGACTGTCACTTTTCAGTATAACCCTGCTGCTACTGAAGAGGCGCCTATTATTTCGCTCGCAGGAGACGGGATAGAGTCGACAAAGCTGGCGCTGATGCACCGGGTCAGGACGCTGTCTATCCGAAAGTACCAGGAGATCCACCAAATCCAGGAACTTGTCAGTCGAGTGATCAAGAAGCATCAATCATCCCTTGAAATTGTCGAGATCAAATGCCTACCCGACTACTTCCCCTCGGTCACAGAGTGGGTCCGCCGCGAGATCCAAGGCCACAAGAGTCTTCAGCGGTTTACATTCCACGACGGGTTCAACAGCGTCGTAATCCGCGATTTCCAAAACCCCGTCCAAACATCCGCAGAACTGGAATTGGAAGAAATCTCGACCTGTGAATCCGACAACCCAACACAGAGCCTGACAACCCTCTTTGAGAAACATGGATCCGAGATCAAAGTCCTCGACCTCGACCACAACTTTACACACCTCCAAGCATCCATGTTCCTCCAGTCTGTCCGGCAAGCCCAGGGTGCAAAATTGCGGACGCTGACATGGGATATCACCAAGACCTGGGACGGGCGGATCTTTCGGGATATGTTGCCCGCTCTGCGGATGTGTGATCCTACAGTTCTGGAATGGGTCACGATCAAGGTCAACCAGGGGTACAGGGATGTCGTCGTCCAGCAGCCTGGGATTGTTACGGTCCTAGATGATCAGAGCGGGCGCGAGAACTTGGGCATGATTTTGAAGAAGAAGGCCAACCGGATCGAGTTGAGGGCGAAGGGGTTGAATGTGATTATTTCGAAGCTGCAGACTGCTTGTGGTGGTAATGGGCCCTTTGAGCAGTTAGAGGAGTTGTATATCCGGGGATTTGAGGAGAGCTTTGGAGGGCGGAGCGTTAAGTGGGTCCAATCGTTGATGCAGCGTGATATCAGCGTTCGGCAGCTGTCTTTGTCCTTTACTTCCCGGGAGCCAACAGCAGAGACGCGTCCATTATCGGCGAGTTCAGACACCGAGAGTAATCTTATGATTCCAATCCCCGCCTCGGTGGTGACCAAACCTGCATTCAAGCGACTGACTAGCGTGACACTCTTCCACGTCCGCCTGGTGCCCCTCAGTTGGGAGCTCTTCATCACCTCCATCGACTTCCTAACCATCCGCTACCTCGACTTCACACTGACCAACTTTTCCGATCCCGAGTTACACCTCCTAACCCAACGATGCCTCTCCAAAGTCAAGACCTGTCGTTCCATTCACCTCGCCGAAGTTACATCAGATCTGTCATTACTTGGACTGAAAGAACGGCTGGCGGTCGAGGATCTGAGAGAGCAGGAAAAGTTTGGGATGATGGTTTGGTTAGATCGGACAGAAGTCAGTCTTGCGGCTGTGGCGAGGATGCAGTCGAGTATTGAGGAGGCGAAATGTTTATGGTTCCAGTTTGGAGGACTTGAAGCTTTGGCTGCGACTGTGACAGCGAAGGGAGAACGGTAAATGTGATAACGGGGCGCCGGGTGTGAATGAGGCCAATTGGAGGTGTGCGATCGAGAACTCTGTCTCTGCTGGTCGTCGGCGAGCATCAGAAATAATAAAAATGCTGCGGCGTCCACACCAAAATATCAACTTGCGCTTTTGCGTGAAGCTGTATCAGTTCCCTCATTTTGTCGTAATGGTGACATTGTTCTTAGTCTAGTTGAATTTTTTTTTGTTAGAACTAATTTTTATTTTTGGTGCATGCAATAATAGGAGGACCGGATTTTGATGGCATAACTTATCGTGAGTTCTTCAAATATTTCCGATTCGGGAAAAGGAAGGCTGGGCCTAATACGTCGATGACAGAGGAAAAAATGTCTGTCGGAGGGCCCATGGTAAGGAGGCTATGATAAGGACAAGAGAAATTAGAGTTACCAAAGCAGAAGATGCCTTCATGCATTTGCTGATGCTGAACCATCCTTGGAGGAGTGATATCGACAGTTGGATTGGAGTTGGGAAAGATCATGAAACTTAGCAGTCTTTGGCTCTGGAGGTCCTGGGACGTGACAGGATAGAAGAGCTAGCAGAGGACCTGTCGGTGGTGTTGGACCATGGCAATGTTTATGAAAACCCGGTTATCGAGCCTGCCGCTAACTTGCCAAAAGACATCGAATGGACGGAAGACCAGAGGAATGTTCTTGACATGGTGAGATGTCGTCTTCAATCTCGACAAGATTGTTTGATCTTGGTGACAGGAGCTGCGGGCACGGGGAAGCCTACGGTTCTTGAGGAGATTCACAGGATCGCCAAGAGTGAACGATTTGAGCCAATACGTCTCGCTCCATCTGGTGTTGCGGCCGTGAACATCAAAGGCCAGACATTGCATCGTTGGTTTCGGCTAACAAAGTTAGGACGACAATTTCCAGAGGGGAACTCCTACGAGGTGCGACTGCAACTGATGGACATTACAGATCAAGGGTTGAGACCGGTTTTCCTTATTGACGAAGTGTCCATGATATCAGGAGCTATTTTGAGTACTCTCTCGAAAACTTTACAGGAAGCAGCAAATGTCGATTCAGGTGTGCCTTTTGGAGGCTTTCCGATGATTTTGTTTGGTGACTTTGGTCAGCTCGGGCCAGTTAACAAATCATTGGCCTCCACAGACTGGCTCTGGAACTCGGAAGTTTATCAGAGCTTTGAACGTGTAGATCTCATTCAACCGTGCCGACAGTCTGGAGATGTAGAGTTCAAGTCAATGCTCGATGATATCAGACGCGGAGAAGTCACTGGTACCATGGCGTCTCTGTTTTTCGAGATCTGTAATCAGTCCGAGACGACTCCCGAAGATGCAATTCATCTGTATCCAAAAAAGAAGGAGGTGGAGGAGTTAAATAAGAAGAGATTGGAAAGTTTACCTGGAGAGGATTGGGACAGTGTCGCGTCAGATAATGCCGGAATAACGAAGGATTCGTCCAAACGAGAAGCTATCGAGGCGGAGACCGGGCTCATCTCTATATTGTGGCTGAAAGTAGGCGCAAGAGTCATGTGCACGTCCAATGTTGATGTCGCTGGTCGTATTGTTAATGGCACTACTGGAGAAGTGGTTCAATTATATGGTCAACATGTAGTGCAGGTGAAAGAGGATAACACTGGGAGAATTTTCAATATTCAACAGGAGTGCCGACGAGCAAGATTCAATGGCCAAGAGCGACGCCAGTTTCCCCTGATTCTTGTGTGGGGGCTAACGATCCACAAGAGTCAATCCTTGACTTTAAACAAAGTCGTCGTTAATCTACGCGATGTGTTTGCCTCTGGCCAGGCTTACGTAGCTATGAGCAGGGTTCGCACACGGAACGATCTATTTATCAACAATTGGTCAGCACGAGGGCTATTGAGCGTCAAACATGCCATCAAAACTCGTCTGACAAAGTTGTCAGAGGCTTCAAGAACACCAGAGGACGAGGAGATAGAGAAGCTAGAGCAGTGTCCTCAATCTCAACCAGAGATAGACGTAGCCGAACACAGGGGTCTGAATGAGATGCAGCTGCAAGGATGGGAGGATATTCTTAATTCTGTTTTATAATATCAAGTCGAGCAAGGGTACTATCTTCATGACGGCCAAGAGGAGAATGCGCCTTCTCCATCGTTGCCGTTGCCGCCAAACCCATCGGGGTCGAATCTAGAGTCCAACGAGGATCTGGGTATCATTGATGACGAGCGATTGGAAGGATGGAAGGTCAGAGACAACGCGTAATTAGATGATGTGCGGAACGATGTTGTTTCAGAAGAGGACGCTCGATTGAAAGGATGGGATGTCGGAACCAGCTCAAAGTTTGATGAAGCGAGGAACGAGGTTATTTCGGCAGACAAGACGACTCCCAAGAATGGTGATTTTAGAGAGGACATGTTCAATTTCCGATCCAAAAAACGGACATATTCTGACAGCGACAGCAGTGAACCAAATGTTGCTGTGAACAACGCAAGTGTCAAGAAAAGCAAAAAAAGAAAGCCGATCCCATCAAAAAAACGAGCTCGACGTGGATCTTCTGCTGTTGCCACAGACTCTGATGATGATTACGATGGAAATCAAAGAGGACTTGGCTCTGTTTCGGTGAAAAGAAGGGCTGCTGTTGAAGTCGCAGATGCAAAGCCTAGAAAAAAGAAGAAAAGACTCTCCGAACAAGAATAAAAACACTGAAAAGGCTGTCCCTCACTGTGAATTCTCAATCTGTCATTAGGCAGCAATGCATGAGAGATTTTAAATGTGTTGCGCGGTGGCAAGGAATGATGAAGAAAATGTTTTTTTTTTTTTTTTTTTTTAATGACTGAGTAGAATTTATTTCAAGCACCACTAAGATAAAGCAATGCCTCGGCTGGTACTCTATAGTTAAAAGGACACGGGACTAGATCTACATGAGAGATGGGAGGATCCGGACTTCAACATGGACTTTCACATCATCCTCATAATCCAGACGGTAATCACGCTCACGTCCAAAGTAATGCTTAAGTCGCGTGTTTTCACGGATCCACAAATGACCATGCGATCTTCGTCCCTGAGGCGAGGTGGAAGCACGAACATTGTTCGAATTGAAAGTCAGACGGATTCTGAGAGGGTTAAGCGTTATCTCCTTAAGGAATGAGAGAATGATCAGGGCTTTGAGATTCGCAACGGTATCATCATAATTAACCTCCATAATCTTGTTAGGGATGATGTAGGTGGCGTCGATGACCTTTATCTTCAACGTTTTATGATCGTCAGGGACAGAAAAGGAAGGCATGGCTTGTTGGTCGGCGTCGACAGTGTGGTCAGCAGTGTTGTCAGGTTGATGGTCGGTCTTGACAGTTTCGTCACGTTGTTGGTCGGCTCGACAGCGTAGTAAGGTTGTTGGTTGGCCTCGGCAGTGTTGTCAGGTTGATGGTCGGTCTCGACAGTTTCGCTAGGTTGTTGGTCGTCCTCCTTGCTAGTAGAAATTGAGAAGCTCTTGTGACGTTGAAGAGTGGGCCGTGGTGGAAGTGAAGGTGTGGGGATGATAACACCTTCGATAGCGAACTGAGGCTTATTTTTCTTTCGACCATCGGTGAAAGAATCTCCATTGGCCTTTCGTTTGGGCAAAGCGCTCCGGAGGGTAGTATGAGACATGTTTTGATTGTGTTGGAGTGGTAATGTGTAAATGGTAAGAGGTGAAAGAGAGGATATGTGAAGCAAGGGGTGGAAGAAGCGATCCGCGGAGAGAGATGTAGAGAGGCAGAAGAGGGGATATGAGGAGGAAGTTTTACAACAGAATAGACAAAACAGAAATGAAAGACAAAAGCTACTTTATTTTGAAAAGCTCGCTTTTCGAGAGAGGCACAAAGTGAATAAAAACATTCTCATTGAAGCACTCCTCCTCCTTTAGTGCCAGCTCAACTGAACGTTGGCTAATGACAGTGCAACCCTCTGGTTTAGAGGCTGCGTTGACATGACCTTTAATGGATCTAAGACCTGAAAATGTACGACCGCACATGCAAATGAATCTATTCTCCATGTCCGGATGTCTAATAAATCTGAACATCATGCCATTCAGAGCGATGTACGGCCTCTCGGAGGGGTCGTGGTGTTCTCGATGATGCTCGGTTTCTTTGGAGGGACTCGAAAAGTGTGTTCTGAAACATTTTTCAAACGTGCACCTGGTCATCGTTGTTGAAGATGAATGAAAGAGTAGAGAGGTGTGAGCAACAAGTTCGAGAAAGAGGAAGGACTTAATTGGTGATCCAAAAAATGTTCCCGCAAACAACTGCAACAAAGGGCGCCCAACCAATTTTCCCGCAAACAAACGAGAAAAAAGGGCTGGGATTGGTTTGCCACCCAACAGATCTTCCCGCAAACAGACACGACAAAGGGCGCCTTGACCTTTTTTGCACTTTTTTTTATTTTTGGTGACGGCCAGCCTTGCACAATGACACGTTCCAGTCCAACATTTTTTCTGTTCAGTGGCAGCAGTGACTCGGGTCTGAAAACAAAAGCATCTGTTCAGGGGCGAGAGCAGCTGCCCAGGCCAGCACTCAGTTCCTTATTTAAACGATGTTTGACCAAACGCTCTTGATTCCCTCTTTTCTCCTTTCTTGACTTTGTTCCCCACCCTTTTTCTTCTTCCCCAATTCTTGTCCACGAACACTGCAATGGAAAAAACTTCAGAAAAAATATTGCCAACGAAGAGGTAGAAGTACAATGCTCTTTCGCTCCTTGCCAGTATTCCAACAACAAAAACGCACATTTCACAACATCATCCTGTTATTTTTTTTTTCTTCCTCGTTTCATCATTTTCTCACATAAATCCCCTAATTGACCCTCATTTTTCTCATTCAACAATGTCTACCAAGGTCAAAAACAACTTTCCTTCCGACGCTAGCCCTTTGGCGGATAAGCCCACTTGCCGTTTGTGCGGAAAGGTTTCCTTGACAGCTGCGGCTCTGAGAGTTCACAAAATTGACAGCCACGATGGAAAACGCGGTCGATATCATCCACTCAGGTGCAAGTGGTGTAACAACACAGTCGGGATGACTCGCAAGGGTCTTTCAAAGCACTTGATAAAGTGTGCAGAGGTCTCTAAGGTCCAGTTCCCACTCTGCTGCCCTTACTGCGATCATGAATGCCAGAGATTGGAAGTTCTTTCCTAACATGGCTCTGATTGCCTGTCATGGGAGGAAGATACATCGAAAGATGGCGAGCGATTGGATGAATTTGAGAAGCAATTGATCCGAGTCACTAAGCATCTGGCGACTTCCCTCCTGGTTAAACGTCTGTTCGACCCTGCAGAACTGAGACTCCCGGACGGCTCGACAGAGATGGCACTCATCATGCATAGTGTGTCCAAACGACTTCGGGACGGCTCCAAAGCGCAAGTGCGGATCCTCAAACCCCACGAGCATACTGTAGATCAGGCAGTGGCGGCTGCAAGCACCAAACTGGACGTTGTCCTCGAGTCGCACAGCTATGGTCGTCTGATTAACCTTGAGGACTACAGGTCCTTCGATAACAAGGACCCCGTTTGGCACTTGCCGCTCCCTGACAACGGAGAGCGCCTTGCGACGATGCTTGAGGGGCTTCTCCTGCATTCTGGTGAAGACGTTCTTCTCGCGCTCAAGGTGGAGGTTTATGGTACGGCTGACTATGAGGATCCTCACGCTCAGGATATAGCTAGGCCAGAGGGCACTAGCTCCTTCAGAGTCGTCAACGTGTGTCACGACAATACACATAAGATCATGATTGGCACCATCAAGTGGTGTGCACTAGTGACGCTCGCTGTCATGCTCACAGACGGCACAGTCATTGTGGATCCAGACAACAAAATACTTCAACCCAGATCGACCTCCTGCATTTGGATCAAAAAAGACCCAGGATCATTTGTCTATAATACGATGCCGCGTCAACTACGATCCAAGTTTTTCGAGTCAGCAACGTTTGCAAGATTTGCGGCTGTGCACCAGTTGTTCAATCATCACACCTCTATGCCGGTAACTCTGAAGACGCTCTATGGCTTCAAGAGCAACAAAGCGTGGTCGGGCGTCAAGGTCGCAGCATTTGTGTTCCATCAGCTTTTCAGTCAGAAGAAGATTGTGAAGGCTGACGTGATCAAACACGTAAACGATGCACTAGAACTTCGCAAAGGCAGATCTTGCGAGCTCCTCAACATCATTCAGGAGATGGCATGTGAGATGAGGGAGGAGGAGGCGTTTCCCAAGCCCGTGAACAAGTGCTTAACGGACCTTGCGGGGAAACTCAGTTCTGAGATCACCAACCTCAATCACACAGACGTTTTGCATGCCGTTGAGAAGAAGATCAAGAGCATGTTACTTGTCAGCGAATAAATCATCTTTCATCTCAAGGCAGCTTACAATTCAAAGAACAAAAGATAAAACGTATTTGGCGTTGCAGACACAAGAAGTCTGCAAAAAAAAAAAAAAGGTAAGTTCTAACAAATGTTAGAACTCTGTAAAAGAAAGGTCAGTTCTAACAAACGTTAGAACTCAGTGTAAAAAAAGGTCAGGTCTAACAAACGTTAGAACTCTGTAAAAAAAAAGATCAGTTCTAACAAACGTTAGAACTCTGTGTAAAAAAAAGGCCAGTTCTAACAAACGTTAGAACTCTGTAAAAGAAAGGTCAGTTCTAACAAACGTTAGAACTCAGTGTAAAAAAAGGTCAGGTCTAACAAATGTTAGAACTCTGTGTAAAAAAATGGCCAGTTCTAACAAACGTTAGAACTCTGTAAAAAAATGGCCAGTTCTAACAAACGTTAGAACTCTGTGTAAAAAAAAGGTCAGTTCTAACAAACAGGAGAACTCTGGACGCAAAAAATGCGTCCGTTTCCTTCTGGAGTGTGCATTGTTTTCACCGTTTGGACCGGAAGCAAGTCCACCATTGCCAGCGGAAGCAAGTGCTTTGTTTCGTTTCCACCCTTTTCCGCCGGACTTTTTTTTTTGTCCTGACTTGTCACTCACACCTTTTTCTTGCAGGGCGAGAGACACCCTTTTCTGCTGGAATTTTTTTTTGTCCTGACTTGTCACTCACACCTTTTTCTTGCAGGGCGAGAGACACCCTTTTCTTCCGGACTTTTTTTTTTGTCCTGACTTGTCACTCACACCTTTTTCTTGCAGGGCGAGAGACACCCTTTTCTGCTGGAATTTTTTTTTGTCCTGACTTGTCACTCACACCTTTTTCTTGCAGGGCGAGAGACACCCTTTTCTTCCGGACTTTTTTTTTGTCCTGACTTGTCACTCACACCTTTTTCTTGCAGGGCGGAAGACACCCTTCTCTTCCGGAATTTTTTTTTGTCCTGACTTGTCACTCACACCTTTTTCTTGCAGGGCGAGAGACACCCTTTTCTGCTGGACTTTTTTGTCTGGGAGACATCTTTTTGCGCTGGAATTTTTTTTGTTCTCAACCCGCCACCTAAAAAAGAGGTGACGGCAAAAATGGTGTCTCTCGCCCTGTCACCCAAAAAAGAGGTGAGGGCAAAAACGGTGTCTCTCGCCCTGTCACCCAAAAAAAAGGTGACGGCAAAAATGGTGTTTCTCGCCCTGTGCCTCGAGGTGTTCTCAGCGAACACTCAGCGAACACTCAGCGAACACTATTCCCTTTGTTCTCTTCCTCCACCTCTCTTCCTGATCCTGCCTAAGAAAAGGTCAACTCTGCCTTGTTCTAGTCTAGATTCTCGACACTCGGGCACAGGGAAATTAGTCAGTTCAATGTCTGCTGGTTATATACACCGTGCCGGATCTCAAGCACAGTCAATAGCCCAAGAAAGCGGATCAACTCTGGCAAGCAAGGATAGACGGTAAGGATTGGCCAAAGAGGAAGACTCGTGTTCGAGGATGAGGTGGGGGTCATAGGGAGCTCACACGACATGCCGAAAGGCCTTGTATCTGTTGGGGAGGCATCATTTGAGCGAGCTGGTTCAGGTAACTATAGTGGGGTAGTCTATGAAGGTCGAGCTGGAGGTTTGTATGGTACCATTGCAGGTTAGGGCAACGATCTCGAAATAGACAGGCAAGAAGCTCAACGCCTTCTTGAAGGACGGTGGGTCCCACAGCTTAACGCCCGGCAGTTCCCGTTGTCGGAAATCTTGAAGGACTTGAAGACTCGGAGTGCAGGCAGGACAAGATGATTTATTCTATAGTCTTGAGGTTCATTCAGGACCTGTCAAGGGTAAGTTGTTTCAGAGGATAATGCTTTGTCGACCAGGCTCAATTATCGTGCCCGCTCCTCCTCCTTGAACGATACCCATACTTTAGTCACGCGTGATGACAATATCCACAGACTTCAATCTTGGCCCCGTTGTCGAGAATCGTGAAAAAGTCAATATTCCTGTAGGACGAGCACATAATCTCGACTCCAAAACCTCAAAGCAGGGCCTCAAAATTCACCACCATCTTCATCGTGTCGGTCATCTCCTCATAGATTTTCAGGTGCCGGATACCCTCAAACGGATGCCGGCGAACACCACCACCGCCGACGCCATTGTTATTGTTGTTGTTGTTGTTGTTGTTGTTGTTGTTATCGACCTCTTGCACATTGCCGGCTCTCGCGTCTTCTCCTGTCAATCAAGACTGAGCCGCTGCAAACAAAATCATGCCACTGCCAAGACTGTCTCGTAATACCGAATCTCTTCTGCCGGTGTCGATTGCTTTCCAGAGCCCAACACTCCAAAGTATCAACCGTCGCCATAATGTTTGCTGCTGCCCTGAGGAGGACAGAGCCCAATCCAGGAAAACTTCTTGAAAATCCTTGACGCCAACTCCATCGCGGCCCAAGAGAAACGGATTGACACATGGTGGTGCGGTGGGCCAGATAATTAGAGATCAGGCGCCATTGCCTGCAGACGATATTGACGTTCAGGGAGAGTTTGCTTGGTCGAGGTAGGAGAAGGTTGTCTTGACAAGTTCTGGCGGTAGGCGAAGCGGGACTGTTATGTGGGTGGTGCTGGAGGTTGGCGGGTCTGAGTGCAGTGGAGGTGAGGAAAATGGTAGCATTCGAAGAAATGTGTGTGGTGAAGGAGAATGAGAAGTGTTGACCCTTATTGGCCGAATTTTCTTATGGGTCAAAATTCGCGTTATCCACCAGAGTGAGTTGGGTGTCTGATAACCATGGGAGCGATGCTGGTCATGGAGTGATATTGTTGTTGCCTGACGAACATGTCCGTGAATATGGATATGATTGCGGTTCAAAGGGGTGGTCCTAGATGCTGAGCCTTTCATTTGTGGCGTTGATGGAACTGTCTGCAAACATCAGCGTGAACGCAACGCCCTCGAACGCGTGGTTCAATTGATCAAGCGAGGGCGATTAATTGGGAGCGGTGAAGACTTTATTTGACAGCCAAAGGGATGATCCACGGCCAAGCAAACAAAGTGCAACGAGTATAAATAAGAAACAAAAGGGTCCATGGAGGAAGGAAGAGTTCACGCCCAAAGAAGGGCGCTGCATCCACTATTGTTTGGCATAGTCGATGTCGAAGATGTCGGTGATAGCGGATTTGACGTTGTTGATGTTGTCGGGGAGGTCGAGGAGGGTGAAGATGCGAGCAAAAGCGCGTTTAACATTCAGCTGTTGACGCCTTGGTGTTAAGAATCAACGCAACGATAAGACCGTACAAGGCCAAGACCTCAGCGAAAATGAGAACGAGAATCTATTCAACAGCAAAAGTAAAGTATCATGGATTAATGAGTACAGACGAGGTTATCCAGTAGCTGTCATTTTGCCAAGATAGAAAAAGACGTTGTATGTCGTGTGTAGGAGTGTGTGCGTGTGATTGCGTACCATTCCTGTGAAGAGTCTTGGCTGTTGAGCAGAGGCGCGGACACCAGCATCACCGACAATACCGACAGCGAAACCAGCAGCCATACCGGCAAGGCCAACACTCAATCCAGCGCCCAATTGAATGAATCCTGCATACAACGACATCTGTTGCTTGACTATTTGTATCGTAGGATAGGGTGAGAGGTAAATGGTACGTTCTTCACGTAGCATTCATTCAAGGCAGCACATCATATCAATGAGCGAATAAGATAAAAAGAACTTACATCCGTTGCCGATGAGGACAGACACCACGAGTCCGTAAATACCGATAATACCAGCCATAATAATGGGGACAATACCCTTGATGATCAAGTCAGGGCGGAGAACACCCATCGAGGTAAGACCGACACCAGACTTGGCAGTACCATAGGCAGCTCCAAAGCCTATTTCAACAGAGAGAGGTATGGGTTGTTGTTGTTAGTGGTGTGAAGACATCAATTGGCAGCAGGTGTATGTGTGGGTGATAGGGGAGAGCGGAGTGACTCTCTCCAACAGCAGCGTGCCTCCTTTTCTTGCCATGCTGTTCCGTGTCGTGTTGTTGCGCATATTCGCCCCTTTCTCTATATATCCTTGTGCGTGAGGGACGGCACGTTTTTGGTCTTCAAAAAAGAGTCTACTTTCTGATCACGCGCCTGGCACGCACTCATAACAACTCGCTTCACTCATGACCTGGCCCTGACAAACAGTTGTTGACTGGCCGTGTCCTAGGAGAGAAAGCATCGCTGTTGTCGTTCATCTCCACTTTTTTATGTCCATGTGCATGTATGAGAACCAGGGGTGGATGCAGGGTCAGGCCAGCGACAGTTGGTGTTGGAGTGTTTAGGTGGCCTCATGCTCCCTTTGCATATAGGTTGCTGGACTGTCCAAATGGCTTTAAGGAGAAGACATCTTACAGCAGAAGACAATGGCGCTGGTGGCACCCATGACTCCAAAGAAGGGAGCGTACGCAGGGCTAATGTTTCATGTCAAGACGACACACAAGAAAAAAACCAAGAGTCAAAGTAGGGATCGGATTAGCCAAAGTTTCTTTCGCGTGTGGTGCTTTGTATTGAATCGTTCTCATGGTTGTTGTTGTCAGTCTCTCCTCTCGATAACCTTGCTCAGGCGAAGGGGAAGGTATTGTGAGTCTGGTTGGTGTGAAAGCAAAGGAGGAGTGATCGACGAGAAAAGCGAGGCAGATTCGCGTTTGCCGTCAAGAGAAGGCGGCAAGTGTGGTTGCGTTGTGTGCCCTTGGCGAGTTGGTTGTATGAGTGTGCGAGAGGGGATCTGTGTTGTCGTTGTCGTAGGGGGGTGTTCGAAGGGAGAAATGATCGTTTACCAGAACTCGGTGGCGACGAGAGTAGACATTGTGAGTAAGGTGGGTGTTGAGTGTGAGTGAGAGTGAGTGGGGTGGTTGGTGATGAAAAGTGAGGGTTTGGGAGAGTAAAGAGTGAGGGATAAAGGGGGGATTCGTTTTCTCAGTCCCTGACCCATCCCTGCCTCACGGCCATGACGTCGAAATCAGAAGATTCGACTTCAGGACTGCTTCTTAGCCCTTTGACCAGTTCACTCGTCCCTTTGGCTTCCAGGCGTCTGAACCACTTCTTCCTTCCCAAACCCAATCGACAACCACTCAAACACGGACATACACAATGACACCACCACCACATGCAGACCCACGGAGCCCTGACAGCATCGTGGACTACAAGCCAGAGGTCAAACGCGTCGAGGACGACGATCCCGACGTCGCAGGATTCATCGCCTTGGTCTGCTCCATCGTCGGACTCATGATCCGCAACAGGACCTCCCTCTGGATCGGCACCGTCTTTGCCGTCGAATCCTTCCTCAACCAACGCGCAAGCGACGGCGGTCTCCTGGGCTCGCCCGCTGCCACTATCCTTTTCTCGATTCTGTCCTTACTCATGAATTATCTTCCAGAGATCGTCGCCGCCTACTCCGGAGTCAAAATCTAGACAGCGTTTTACCTTTGGCAAACAACTATAACAGTAAGAACAACAACAACAACACCCGGCCTGGATCGCTGCAGTGTCTCCCATAGACCTCAATGGATACAAAATTATACGCGATCAAGGAACGCGACAACCAAGATGTCATAGAGCACAGGACACAGACATCGCACGCCGGTTACTTTTGCTGGCGGTTCATCCTTTAAGATGTAACTTATTATCTAACACAAAATAGTATAATAAAATAGTGTCAGTATCTCTGCCATCGAGCAAGAATGACACAGCAGAGATGCCTATGTGATTAGGTGGTTTTTTAATTGACACGTCAGAAGGCCAAATTGGCTTCGTGTCATCCTAATACTAACTGTACACACGCGATATTCCTCAATCTGGAGCGTTGCACAGGCAGCACAGCACATTTCGGATGTGGCTCCTATCAATCAATCATTAGCTGCCTTGGACCTTCAAACAGACGACATTATGGAGTGGGTCTTTAGGTGAAACTGTCGACGAGCAATTGGGCGAGTCTCGCGATGCCAGACCCTCTCTGTCCAGCACACAGGAGGGTAGCGGTGTGACTGTTTCATGGCATTTTTGCCATAATGGCCGAAGAAAACAAATAAGCAGCTTCGCTTCTTTTTTTACCTTCCGCCTCTTTTCTTTTTTCCACACCCCTTCACTTCTTCACAAACAACAACAACAACCGCCATGCTCCTCACAAGAATCAACCCCATCGCAAAGCGCATCGCTACGGTAATAATAATAATAATAACAACAACAGCAAAAAGACCTTCATGGAACAAAAGGCGCGCGTCGTTAAGGAGACAGCAGGAAGCAATTGGCACACGGACGCGTACGCAAACCCTTCACCAAGAAATGGCAGCCAAACTCTAACATTGCATTCATTCACATTCGCCTACTTTTCACCAACCAGCCCGCTCTTGGCTCCGTCCGCACTCTCGGTAAGGGGTCTCCCTCCTCGTACCTGCGTTATCATCAACCAGAACCGGCCTACTTTGAAACCACAGGAACAAAACGTGGAAAATAACTGACCTGTTGCCTTCCGTTTACAATTCCATGTAGTCAACAAGGCCACAATTATCGGACGCGTTGGACAGGATGCAGAGCTAAACAACCATGCCGACCGCACCGTCGTTCACTTTTCAGTGGCCACTTCTGAGAACCACAAGGATGTCGATGGTACCGTTTCCTCGACAGCCGTTTTTTTTTCGCCTTTTTGGGACAAGAACTCACGCCTTTTGTTGTTATCTTGTCGTTCATGTTTGCGATTGACCAGCAGACATAACTAATATCCCGAACAACGTTTTATTACTTGTTCCACCCACGGATTTTATTAGGTAACCTTGTCAAGACGACACACTGGCACAGGGTTGTCTCCTGGGACCAGAAGAGGAACGCGTACTTGCACGATCGTGTCAAGAAGGGCGACTTGGTCTTTGTCGAGGGCCCTATCCACTACAGATCCTACACCGCTAAGGATGGCACTGAAAAGAACCTTACCGAGATTGCTTTGAGTACGTCTCGTTTCTTTATTGGTAATGTACATAGCTTTTGCTACCCTGTTCACTAACCACCCTTCTCTCTCTTTTTGTGTTGTCATTCCATCAGAAACCTTCCAGGCCCTTACGCCCAAGGATCAGCAGTAGAGCAATAGAGAGTCATTCGCAGCATTTGGATAAGAAGGAGCAGGATGAACGGGACCAACGGTAATCATTAGCAAGACATTTGTGGCCTGGGTATTTGCACCCTTGATGCTAGCGGCCATGCACACATTAAAAACGACGATTAAACCATGCAAGAAAGCGATTGCCCTTATTGTTGAGGCCATGTGTGAACAACAAAAGATGAGCGTCGATTGCGTTCCCGCGTCTTTGGACAAGGTGGCGAACTATGAGGTGTGTGTCTGTGAGAGAGGGGCGACCTACAAGGAGAAGAGGCAACAAACAACACATGAGAGCCCATTTTTCGAGGGAGCTGTTTATTGTTCATTTTTCTCCCTTCGTCGTCACTCTCTCCTCCTCCCTCTTCCTCCTTCCTTCATCCCGCGTCGCATTCAATTTCGCCTCGACAGCCAAGCATCGACAACAGAAAGGGCAAATGTATCAAGCTTTCCGGGGACCTAATGGCCGCTTGGAGCACCTTGAGGTTACTTATCATACACAGTCAGGACATAATGTCGTCTTCATGGATGATATCGAGCCCCTCTTCCCGGGGTTCATTGCCCTCAGAAAGGGACCTGTCACTGTCGCCAAGGCTAGGAATACGGAATAATCAGTGGACTGGTGCATATTCAATTGTCTCTGGTTTTGTTGTTGAGGCAGAAGAAGCTTAATCCTGACTGATTTATGTAATTGTGCTTTTGTTCATTTAGTATTGACCCTCCTTGTGTCAGGTACCAGCCAAATACTGCTTCGGAGGTTGTTGTGAGGGAGGTACTTACTTCTACCGTCAATTCGGCTGCTGCTCAAAACACCGCCTTTTTCAGGAACTTGTACCCAGCCCACCTCATATAGGTGTAGGTTAGCATCATATACCTGTGCCTAAATCTGCAGTGATGTTAGTGCCATCTGATACATATTGTATTATTTTCACTACTTCGAGCAAATCTTCGGCTCAGGATGACGACTACTCTATTGTCACGGACGTTCAGGCAACGCTGGAGGCGCTCACGATACACGGCGCCTCAGCAGCATCAGTACTTTCCGACGCAGCCACCGTCTCAACACTGACTGGTGGAGCCACCACCTTTATCTCACCGGTTGTTGCAACGAACACAGTCCATGCTTCAGGATTTCTTCTACCCAGCTACAAGTCTATAAACAAATAGCCCAGGCGGGAGAGCTCCAATAAGCCGACACCATCATGCAGGGGACCGAAGCGGTTCAACAGGAGCTGCAGGGGCAACTTTTCCAGACTCCATTCCGAGATGACCAAGAACAGTGTTCTGCAGAGCCAGATCTTTGGCATACAGAGGGCGGCAGAGACGATGGTGAAGAGGGATATTGGAGAGCCTCAACAGCGGACGGTGCACGATGCAGCAGCAGGCGTTGGATCGATTGGTGTTGATTCAAAACAAGGGTCACAGCGATCATGACCCAGACGTACGAGTTGCATGAGTATCATATCCCGAGGTGTGTGTATGGTGTTGCCCAAGGAGGAGGAGGACTCGATAGAGAAATTGGGAAGAGGATTCAGAAATGCCTTTGTCAAGCAGTTTAAGCTCTACTTTCTTTGCGAGAAGTCGTCTTCAATCAACAACAGCAATAGCGCCACCAACATCGGCAGCAACACGGACTCTGGAGGCGCCAAGCTGAAGTATGAGGTGCATATTGCCAGCCACGAAGGATAACGATCGCGACCCACCTGACAGAGTTCTTTGAGAAGTATGGAACGTACGTTCTGATACCCCTCCAGATGCTCAAGTACGGAGTCACCCATCACCGGTGTTGTCGTGGTTCCATTGGCGCAACTAAGCCTAGGAGACGGAGTCGACGCCATGCAAAAAAAGAGCTAACAATTTTTTCACCGACATGAGCCTCAGGGTCAACAACGCTATCAGCTACCTGCAGGGATTTTCGGCCGTACCGGTTCTATCCTCGGGGGACAAGAACAAAGGTGGCGAAACGAGGAGCAGTATCGGATCAACTCAGTGGATTGGAAGCTCTGGAGGGTGCTGACCTGCGACAATTGAGGACCGTTCTGAGGAACAAAGGATAGTGCTCGAGTATTTGGGAACCTTTTTACAGGATTGTCACCTCTCACAGACATGTCAAGTGGGTCTGCCTGGACCACTACCGCCAAAACTACCGATCCAAGACCACGAAGGAGCTCAGGGATGTTGTAAAGTCGAACGGCGGGCAGTATGACGAGCACACGGGTCGTGTTATAGTCAAGGTGGCTTCCTCCATCACAACAGTTCTATTCCGTCCTTGTTCAGTCACGCTTTGTAAATGGAGTTGGATATCACTCTGCTCTGGGAAGCGACATTGCAGGATCTTCGGGATCTGAAAGACGCCATCCAACATTCCAACGTCGTCCACCTCAAACACACTGGCGGTGGTGGTCAAGGACCCTTCTTGGACGTTTTGAACCGCGCCGCCTCGGAGGTCGGAGCCTATCATTCAACTCCATGGCAGCAGGCAAGATCGGCGGCGCTGCCCATTAATCCAAGAATCTTTCCGGCCACGGGCTAAAATTCTCGACTTGAGCGACCTACTCTCCCCCCTCCTCCTCCTCCTCCACCTTTGCCTCGGAATTCGACAACACCGCCGTAGAAGTTCAGCATGATCCTTGAAATGAACCGGAACTGGGATATACAACTCAACTCCACCTCGTCAACACCACTCCTTGGAGAGCGAAACGGTTCGGGATGCCATGGGGGGAAAATGAAAGGAGGTTCTTGAGGAGATGGGGGGTATGCGATGATAAGTCTTTCGCCATTTTATTTCTCTCTTTGTTACTAATTTTACATGTGCTCAAAAAAGACTGGAAGTAGGGCTCGTCAGTTAGAGAAACCAACGCCAAAAGGCGTGCAAAACGCACGTAGAATCAATGCATCTCCATTTCCCACCAGGGCGGCGTGTGGCAAGGAGGTGATCCTGGCAAAACCACTAAGGCTGAAATAACCCCATCCTCGTGACAATGGCACCTGTTGCAGCCGTTCGTCGCACAGACCTCTATCTCCATTGAAGATGGCTATAACATTTCTGGAGTGCCCTCGCGTCCAACTATTTCCTTCCATGAAAAAGATCTTCCTAGATTGTTCACGCATACCCCACCTATCATGACTCCTCAAAATATGTCATCCAATCAACCCAGCAACCCCTTCCCTTCCAATGGGATCACACCCCCTCCCTGAAAAATCTGGCTAACGCGTATCATCAAGAGACGAAACAGCTTTGTGCCGTCACCAAAACCCTAGATTTCATTTTTGCGTAAAAAAAAAGTTTATATTCTTTCTACTCCTTTCCTCTACATTCCAAAAAAAAAAAAGAGTAAAAGACTATTGACCCCCATCAAATGACGGCCGACATGGCCAATGCGGCTGCAGCTCCACCTCCCATATAACCCGGCGAGGAATGTGAAAAGTTCGTAGAAGACGAAGCAGTCGTGGTGGTCGTACTCGTCGTCGCATTCGACGTCTGTCCTGGCGCTGCGCCACCACCACTACCACCACCACCACCATTTCTACCACCTCCACCTCCTCCTTGTCCCCCCGCACTGCTCGCCTCAGCGGCAAACCCAGATGCGTTCGTCGCCGCCGTAGATGTCGACAATGTAGGATCCAGCTCAGGCCAGATCGCCGCAATCACTTCATCCAAAGTCGTGTACACCAACTGCTGGTTGAGACGACGATTCTGGAACGCTGCAAAAAGCCGTCGTGCTCCACGTCGAGCATTCTGTTGTCCCACCATGTTTCCTAATAACTCGGGCAAGAACGCAGACAACTTGCGGTTTGCTTGGTCCTTGGTCGTCGCCTTCTGTTCTGCTGTCCTGACAGGCCTCTTGGGAGCTGCGGTAGCTGCGGGTGATGTTCCTGTACCTACTCCTGGACTCGACATCCCTCCAGGAGATCCTCCTCCTCCAACCTTGGGCGACATGGCTGGTGAATGACCCAAATCATAATCAATGACTTCAAATCCACCCGATAGACCCGTAGACGAAGCCGGAGGTGTAATCGGAGTCGGTGGCCAAAGAGAGTCGCGCAGCTTGGTCACATAGAACGTCAGCATGTTCTCCTCAATGTACGCCTTGATCGTGTCCCTCAACTTGCGCTCAATCGTTCCTCCAAGCACCGTCTGCAAGATGATCACAACCGCCTGTCGTCTCAACCAATTGTTCTTCTCCTTCAGCTCGAACAGCTCAATAAAGAGATCGCAAAGGGGCTCTGTAAACATAGTCACTCCTTCTGCCTCCACCACTGCTGGTCGCGACTGTTGCAGTTGTTGTTGTTGTTGTTGTTGTTGCTGCTGCTGTTGGGCCAACTGTTGTTGTTGCAGTTGATGCTGCAATTGTTGTTGGTGAGCGAGTTGCTGCTGTTCCTGAAAACTCGATTGACGACTGTTCTGAAGGCTTTGCTGCTCCTGTCGTTGGATCTGTAGTTTTTGATGTTGTGTATGTGGATCTGGTGAGCTCAATCGGCGACTCCTTGAACTCTGAATCCTCAGTAGTGGCGGACGCTGAGGCGGTTGTTGAACGAGTGGACCCAGTCCATCCGAGGCAGTATCGACGTGCAACCTGACGCTCCCGCTCTCGTCGTGACTACCATGTCTCCTCCGCGAGCTCACACTTCCGGCTGACGAGACCGCCGTCGTTCCATCTTCATCCTCTGTCGAAAATTGCATCATCTGGTTGCCCAGCTGCTTGGTGATGTTACCAAGAACAGCCGGGGGCCCTCCGCTAAACATATCATCTAGACCCTCCGATACTGTCTGGTAGATGTGTTTCATGAAGCCCTCATTCGGGTTCTCCTCCGCCTCTCGCGCTTCCTGTAGTATACCAGAACCGTCCCCACCCATGATGCCAGACGCCGACTGCAGCAATCCCTTTGAGGGGTCCCGGGTGGCCACAGGAGAATGCAAAGGCGACGTCGCCGAGTGGAACAGTTGCTCGAAAAAGTGTTGGTTGGAGGGTGTGGTCGGAACCGATGATCCTGCGCTTGTCTTGCCCTTGTCCTGTTCCGAATCAAAAAAATAATCTGCGAATGCCGGTGTCGAAGCCGAGAACTGGGGCAGGGCAACATTCTCCTGGGAAAGGAAGGCTCGCAACTCCTGTGACTGGCAGATCTCGACATGCCGCACCAACGACTGCAAATACCGCTCCAGTCCGATCCTGCGACCCTCGACAAATGACCTTTGAAGCTTCAAGAATCCGCGTTTTCCTGGCAGCTCGTACTGACGAACAATAGACGAAAACTTTTCCTTGAGTTGTTGATGGAGGGCAAAAAACTCTGAGTAACGACGAGCAATGACCCAACCTGACGCATATGATCCATCTTGAGCAAGTTGGTGCACCTCAATCACATAGAGCGCAAATTCCTTGGACCCATCGTGCCCAACGGTCGACGATGTAATGTTGATTGTCGATCGCCCCTATATGTATGACGCCAATGAGAGAGATATTAGCGTTTGTTCAACTGTCATCACTTATAATTTCAATGCAATACTATACAGGACTTACAGGCATGATCATATTCTCTTCCTCTTGAACCTCGTATTGGGTCTTCTGGTACTCCATACTCAAGATTTCTCGCCGCAGTGCCGACTTGGACTTTTTCAGGATCCTTAGCTCATCCTGACGTCCTTTGTACTCAGCCTTTTGGATCAGCGTCTCAACGATGGCCTCCTGCTTACGCGATTTCTCAATTTCCAGATCCAATTCCTTGATCCTCGCTGCCAAAAGCAAATCGCCAGGTGCCGCAAGGTGTACATTCTCCTGTACGGTATCGCTGATCGACTCTGCTACATCCTTCGTTTTCGTGGCCTGTCGTTTCTCCACTGTCGTCGTAGTGTATCCCTTCGCAGAGTCGTTCACTAGTCGGCCGACTCCATCTGGTTTGTGATCATCACCCTCGTCGTTGTCGCTAAAGATCGAGTTCCGTTGTGATGACGGTAGGGACTTTTCCGACTGTGACTCGGACGTCGACTTTGGCTTCTCCGTCTTAAACACACTGTTCAGAGGAAAACGCTTCACCTCGGATGGCTCTCGAGACTTGACGCGCACAGTCTTCCCTGTTTCGAGGGTCTTCTCCTTGAAACGCTTTCTGGATGTCTTCTCCTGAGACTTGCCCCATTCCATTAATGCAGCTGCTCCTGGTTGGCCATCTCGGGCGGTCGAAAATGCTGGGTCTGTAGGATCCACCTCCTTCTCCTTCCCTGTTCCAGCAAGATCCTCCTGCGGACCGTCCTGGTTCTCCATGATAGACGAAAGTGCTGCTTGCATCTTGTCAATGACGTCGGTGCGCTTCTTCTTGGGCATACGGGGAATCGCCAGTCCGCCTGCAATCGCCACGTCGTCGTCCTCCTCCTCCTGCTCCTGAAGTTCCATCAGCAAAGAGTCGCGCAGAGCTGAATTGTCGTCCTCAGTGATCGATTTGCTCAGTGCCTCGGTGTCGGTCAGGTCGAGTGAGTTGTCACGACCATGGCCCATTGCGGATGAACTCTTGTGGTGCGCTGACGTGGTTTGCGGGGTAGATCTGGGCCGAACAGGGATCTCGGGATTGGAAATGGAGCTGAGGGAGCGAGTCCGTCCAAGAGAGTTCGGGATGTGTGAGGTTGTCGAAGGCACATCCAGGCTCTTCTTGGGTTGCGCCTCTTGTGATCGTTGGTTGGCAGCTAAACTGGAGCTGGATCCTGTATCGAACGCCTGAATAGAAGGCGAGGAAGGCGAGCTTGTCTTGGATCGTGAACTGCTGGGAGTTAGAAAGCCAGGCCGAAGGTTCCCGATTGTCGTCTCAGCACGTCTCAGAGGACTATCTCTTTCCTTGTCTCTGTCACGACCAAGTCCAAAAATGTCGAGGAATGATCCTGTGCTTGACCTCTTTGGGTTCTCGGGAACGTCACGTCGGTTGTTGGGAGATGAAAGCCCAATCGCGGATAAGATGGCTGGCCCTGTCGACGTCCGTTGGGCACCTGAGGGCTTGGTAGCAGTTCGAGATTCCTCTTCTTCGTTCTGCTCTGCGAGTGAGTTCTGGTAGGTGGTCAGGAACTTGAAGTAAAGATCGCTCTTGACAAATTCGGGGTAATCCTTGGCCAACATCTGCTCAAAGACTTGGCGTTGTGCCACCAACAGCTGGCGCCTCACATGGCTTGCCTTAGCCTCCTCCTGAGTCTGGACCTCGTCCTGAGCCTTGGCTTCTGTGTCGCTGATACTCCGAAGACTGCTGGTGTCGCTGAGTGCAAAGTCTCTGAACACCTTGATGAGGCTGTGGTCGACGTCAACCGGTCTAAGCGCAGAGTCGGCGAAATAAGTGTCGTAGATCATCCTGACATCCTCCCGCAGGGTATCTGTCACGTCGATGAATGTTGCGACAGAACTCTTGCGACTTTCTCTGATGCTGCCGGGTGGAGGTGTGGTATGTGACGTTCCTGCGGCTCCGGCGGTTTGTAGTGAGTTTGGTGTTAATGGCTCCAGAGTTTTGATTGTGCGACCCTTGGAGAATGTTGATGAAGGTGTGCTCATGTTCGTCTTGGTTGAGATCAGCATGCGTTCATCCGAGCTCAGTGATCCTGTGGACTTGGCCTCGGTCTTTGACTCTGCGTCCTCCTTGATGTTGAGTGTGTCGATCAAAAGCCAAAACTGTAGTTCGTTCATGTTCTCTCTGCGATCCTGGAACTCCATAAAGTAGGATAGTCCTGCAGGGTTGGTAAGGACCGTCTCGAGGTTGATTAGCGAAGGGCCATTCTTGACCTCCGGGGTATAGTCTCGAGTTCGTCTCTGTAATGTGTCAGAATTTACAATGGTTAGTTTAGGGTCGCGTGACAATGTTCTAGTTAATTATTTGAGCGGTATTTTTTTTACCTTGGGATAAGCGGGTCCTCCCAACGCCTCGATTCTCTTTTCGGCGCGTCTCCTTGCAATGTCCAGCCTGTTGATGTAGACAATGATATCCTCGACCTTGTTCCCATTAACAATGTCGTCTTTTTCGCGGTTAACTACAAAAAGGACGAATAATGGAGCATTGGTAAGTCTCACACTCATATCTACTAGTTATAGTAGAGGTACAGGTCCTTGTTGCCAAGTCGCCTACCGATCAGGGCCTTCTTTTTCCGCATCTGGGTCATGATGGTGTTCCTGATACGCTTGACATCCAACAGACTGTCGCACCGCTTGATCATCTTCAAAAAGTCTTCAAAGCTGTACAAGTCAGCCCCTGGTCCATAAGGGTCCGAAGAGTTTTCGATGTTCCTCGAATCGGCATCCAAGCTGTCCGTGTGTTGCTTCAATGCCTCGCGTAACTTCTTGACCATATTCCTATATCAAAACAAACAGCATCTTGTTGTTAGTATTACAGTGGCGTGATTGTGATCCATTAACGGAATAGTGCGCAGATTGCGGAGGATCAAGCGCCTTACTGCTCTCGGATCGCTTTGCCAGTCTATGTAAGGGTGAAATGTTTACGATTGAAAGGCATGTGTTAGGGCTCTGCACAGACTCGTTTTTGTAATACCGCGTGGTCATTTTTCACAGAGAGCAATGATATGCGATTATCGCGAAAAAAGGAGACAGCACTCCAACTTACATAAAGGTCCACGTTCTGGTTCCAATAGTCTGGGTCAGAGAGGAGATCCATGACGGGTTGTAGCACTGCACCGACGAGTAGTTCCCGCAACAAATGCCTCAGGATCTCGCTCTGGACCTCGCTCTTGGGAAGAAGAGTCGGGAGGATGGTCTGAACAACGTTACGAAGGTAAGCTTCCTCGGTTGCTTTTGTAGAGATTGAAGTCGAAAGAGCTCTGTGCAGCTTGCCGTTCCTGAACTTGCCGGCGACCATGATATCGAGCTCGTCGGATTCTGTCAGTGACCGTTCGAGAGAATTGCCTCGGAGAGCCATTTCCGCTTTGCGAAAGTCGTTGACGTGGGCAGTGACTTTGGGGACAAGTCGGGTGACGAGCAGCTGGGTGAGATCCAGATCCATGACTCGGCTCTTGAGGCGAATCAAGACAATCCGCAACAGTTCCTCGATGCGTTGCTGAAGGACGACTTCGGGGGTGATGGCGCGCATCCAGCCGGCGACGTAGTCGCGCATGATGAGCTCGATGACCTGATCAATGGCTTCGGAGAACTGGGGCATGGTGTCGGCGATCGGTGTCCTGTATTTGGCGGCCTGTTCCTGTCGACGCTGCTTTTCAATTTTGGACCAGGCGAGAGGACGGGTGAATTTGGCTGGGCGGAGATAGTGGAACATATGTCGCGAGGTTTGGCCGGGCATGTTCCTGAGGTTGTTCTTTTGGCTCTGCTGCTGCTGCTGCCTTGGGGTTGTTAAAGAAGAGGAAGAGGAGGAAGTGATGGTGTTGGTGCGTTGACGGCGGGTATAGAGTATGGAGAATGCGATGTTGGAGAGAGCGAGGGTGAGCAATGAGAAGACGAGGATGAAGGGGGTGGCGAGAATGAAGGATGCTATTATCCGTAGGGTTCTGTTGCCAAAGAGCCAGGTAAGGATGAGAAAGGTCGTGGAGAGAGCAGCAGCCTTGAGGGATGTTGATCGCGAGGAAGGTTGCCATTGTGGGAGCCATTTGTTGTCAGGCGGGTGTTGTTGTTGTCCTGCGTGAATTGAGTGCGAGTTCATTATGATGTGTAGGTTGAGTAAAAAGAGAAGAGTGAGGGAAAGTGTGGAGAAGGGATTAATAGGACGAGGTCATGACCAAAGAAGGGAGGATGGGAGAGGGAGGAAAGGACCAAGAAGGATGGCCAAGGGGTAAAACAAGTGAGGGAAGAAGAGAGTGCAGTTGGAGTGAGGTGTAACGAGTGTGGAGGGAGCAAGAGGGGAAAGAGTAGAAGACGACAAAAAGAAAAAGGGGAAGAAGGGTTGGGAAGATGTGCTTTCCAGGCCTGTGCGACCACACCAGAAGAGCAACACTCGAAACACTCGAGCGAAAATCCCATGCTCGTGACATCGAGAGTCCCTTCCCTGGAAGACACACAAAGCGTGTATCCAATGTCCCGCTCCCTCTCCCGCTCCTGCAAGCTTGTCTTTTTCTTTCTGTATCTCACTCGCACTGATCGACCTCTGCTACTGTCATCCTTCCCTTCTTGGACTCCCGCCAGTGTCAGCCAGAGATCTCCCTCGATTGACAGCAGGTACTCCCTCTCAGGTACCTCGTTCTCTGACCTGCTCCTTCCTTCCTCAAAAGGGACTGCTTTTTCAAATCCTCCCTCCAGTCCCTTCGCACTCAAACAACAACGGAGCCTTGAACTGATCTCCTCCACCTTGACCCTTCTTGACCATACACCAGGATCGCCACCAACCTCACTATTCACACATAGCCAGCCATGTCGTCCGCAGCCACCATGTCAAAGTTCCTCACCCAGGTCAAGGTCACCATGGCCCCCTTCGCCCCCGCCTCAAAGTCATCAAAGTAAAGACGCCTTTTACTTTCACTCGTGTGCCTGACTCGGGATCAACTCTACAGCGGAAGACAAGCAGCAACCAGACACCCGGACGCTAACAACAAACATACGCCTGGAACCATACACCTCTCTTTCTACGATTCATTAGGATCTTCCTGTCAAGGATCATCACTAACGACGCCATTGCAGCCAACCCCGCCTTGAAGATCGTCACCGAGTCCCATGCTGATCTCAACAAGCCCCCAGTCATCAACGTCACCTACAAAGACGGCAAGACCCTCCAGCTCCTGACCGGCGATATGAAGGTCAACGATGTCCTTCGTCAGGTCGGAAAGCACGCCAGGAAACTTCAGGAGAAGGAGGACGCCTCAGCATAAGTCATTTTTTTTTCGGATAATTGAGAGTTCGGTCTTCTCTTCCAGGAGGAACACATATCACATATCACAACAAACAACAAACAACAACTGTACAACATATCATAGGAAAACAAAAACTACAGCGTACACGAGCAGGATATCATGGAGCTGTACACGCCCTATCTAGCAAATTGTATGCATGGATGATAGACAAATACACATCTTCATTTTTTTACATTTCCAATTGAGTCAGTTGTGCCTTTTCAACCTTCTGCTGGGAAAGTAAACAACAAAACAACAGGGGACGATTATCTGCATAGAAAAGCGACGCTCTCCCTGGAGTGGTATTCCGACCGAGAAAGCTGTAGAAGTAAGGAGAGAACATCCAAGAGAGATTTTTGGCTCATGTGTCCCAACAGAACTGAATCTAAGAATCCAAGGGGAAACATAGGGGCTTTCACTTGATCATCAGGTCCCAAATAATCGTCATGTTGCAACAGACGCATGGCACGCTGACACACAGACACACAGACACAAAGGAAGGAGACAAAGGACAAAGGAACAAAACAAACAAACCAAACGCGCGCAGAAAGCAGGGCGTCATTGCCACCCACAACCCGTGCATGACCCACATCGACACACCCTCTTCCCTCTTCGTTGTCTTTTTTTCTTTTTTTTCTCTCGTGCCTTCTTCACTTTGTTTTCTTTTTTTTCTTCTTGCTCCAATTCCTCACCTCTCCTTTGCCTTCCACCTCTTCACACTCGCACCCCTTTGTTTATTTGCGCACACAGCTCGCATATCAAACAACAACAACAATGATCAGCTCTGCACCCGCCATCCCAAAGATCCATCCCGTCTTTGCAACCCAACCCCAGACCCTTTCAACAGTATCGGACGAGGGCGAGCTCGACGTCGAATACAAAGAAGGTGCCTTCTCAATCGATGCTGCCCTCTCACAAAAACAACAAAACCACCCACACACGTCCCCTGGCAACAGGAGCACGTCTTCTTCTTCTTCCCCTCACTCGAGTGGACCCCAGTCACCACAGCTTCAGCAACCTCCTCCTCACGGCTGGACAGTCCGAGCATTGTATGACTTTGAAGGCCAACCCGAGTTCTCTGAGCTGAGTTTCTCTGCTGGGGATGTGCTCACGGTTGTCAAAGTTGGACTAGCTGAGGGCTGGTCTCTTGCAGAGAAGGATGGTGTCCGCGGTCTTGTGCCTGAGGCCTATGTCACAGTAAGGGATATTTTTTGTCTATGATGGTACCATGATCAAGACTGATCACAACACCTAACCACAGCCCTTTGTCCTCTTTGTTAACTAGTATGTTCACGACTTTTCTATCTCGCCCGACAACCAAAGCGGACACATGCAGCAGGCATCAGCTACCTCTGCCTACTCGGGATACTCGACCGCAACCGCAACAGCCAGCACCAACCCCCGCAACTCTGTCTTTGGCAAACGACAGCTTAATCGCTTCTCTTGGTTCGTCACCACAGGAGTCGAGGAGTTCCTTCTGACAGGAGGTGCTAACAACAACGGCAACTCTCAGGGAGTCAACAAGCAAGGAGCATCGGGATACGCCATGGACAGTCAGCAGCACAGCCGTCGAACCAGCTCTGCCCAGGATCTGTATGAACGCTCGCCTCCAAGTTCTGGAGGATCAATTAGGGACAGACCTGCATTGGGCCCCCATGGTAGTATCCGCACTCAGCCAGGGGACAAGATCTTGGAGGAAGAGGACGATGAGGATGAAGTCACAGAGTCTGACAAGCATTACATCCAGTCTGGACCCAGTTGGCAGGAGAAGGCACCCCTGTTCAAGGTCCGTGTTCATGACCCCGAGACCAAGCGCAAGATGGTCGGCATGCAAGAGTATACTCTCTTCCAAGTCACCTCTACCGTAAGTGCCATGGACGCATATGTGTGCGATGCATATTCATCTGGCCTATGCTGCCCCTCACGACTAACACCTTTACTCCTTCCCAGTTCACAGAAGGCGTGTCTGTCACGGTAGAGCGTCGCTACAGCCAGTTCGAATGGTTGTACGAACGCCTTGTCAACAAGTTCGGCGCCATCATACTCCCACCCTTGCCCGAAAAACAGTATGCAGGTCGGTTCTCGGAAGAGTTTATCGAAAGGCGGCGCCGTGCCCTTGAGAGGTTCCTGAACCGACTGGTCCATCACCCTGTCCTGCGCTACTCGGATCTGTTGACACACTTCCTTAGCTGTAACGAGGATGGAGACTGGAGGAGAGCTGAGCGCAAGTTCGACAGCGATCGTATCACAGGCATCGCGTTCTTCCAACATGTCTACCATCCCGAGTTCAACGTCAACGAAGACGGGTATGTCTCTTCTTTTTTTACATTTCATTTATATGTCACACAAGGGAAGGTAACGACAGCACTCATTCACTAACATTTTTCTCTTTGTGCTTCACCTTCATAGTGATATAGACCTTGTCGAGCGATTCAACGCACACTGCAGAGGATCAGAAAGACTGATGCCTTTCTTGACGGATGCGACCATGGCCTACAAAGAGGGTATTAGTGGTGAGTTACTTGATTTACAATTGTATCAAAATTTGGTGGCGTCGATACAGAAGCAACTCAAGAACACCCATGCTAAGGTAGTTTATTACTTGGCATGTTGTAGATTCGGCTTTCCAGTACAAGCGCTTCGGACTCGCACTCCTTAATTTGATTTCAACCTCCAAAGACGGCATCGAGAACCAGACACTAAATGACGATCTTGCCTGGTGTTGGCGTGAGAACTGCAATGGTAAGCAATTGGTATATATCTTCTCACGCATCTCATGCATCTTCATGCGGCATTCTCTTGTACTTTATATTGACGGTCGTTTTTTTGCTTGTTTGTTATGCGTAGAGTGCCTGAGGTTGACAAAGGCAATACAGACAACAGCCGAGACCATGAACCTGATGGCGGAGATCAAGCAGACTCATATCTCAGACGGCTGCTTGCCCTGGCAGGAAACCATTCGAGAGCACGCCACCCCCTCAACCAACTATGCGCCTCTTGTGGACATGCATACTGGGACACATAAGAAACTGGTTGAGGTCTTTGAAAAGGAGCAGACCATGGAGGTAAGAACATCATTGTCAGTTTAATCCATGCTGTATGGTTGTGATAAGGTTACGTCTCGGAGGTACCCTGTTTCACTTTTTTCTGGATCTGATCTGTTTTTGCTTTTGTCAAAAAAAGGAAATCGACTCGGAGACGGTCAAATCGCGGTGCGATACAGTGTTCAACATTACGCTTGCAGAGATGGATCACGCCCATGACGAGCGTGTCCAGGACTTCCAGAAGGGCACCAAAGACTTTTTGGATGCCCAGATTGCCTACCACGAGAAGGTAATTGGCATTGTCATTGAACTGAATTTACACGCTTCTTTTTTATCCCCTCGTGCAAGTCTAGAGATCGTGGTCGGATTTCCGCATGAAAAAATATGCATTCTCCTCCCATTCTACTATTCTACCCACACTTTCTTTCCTTCTCACATTCCTTCTTCCTTTCTCGCGCTCTTTCTTTTCTTCTTTGTTTTGCTTACTTTCTTTGTGCATGATAGATGCTGGCACATCTGAAGCAAGCACGCACAGTATTCGACCCCCCATACTACGACAACCTCGCCAATTCCCCACGGTTCCGATCCAAATATGAAAAGGACCTTGACGATCAGCGTTACCAGTCCCAGAAGCCCTCCCGCCCTGTCTCTGCAGCCTCTGTCGCGTCAGTGTCCAATATGGTCGGGGGTGTAGTGGATGGGGTTGGGTTCATGAATGGGTTGTTGAAGACCAAGACCCGGACATCTGCCGGCCGTAGCATCATGGGCTTCTGGTCTTGATCTCTGTCTAGTGCATAGGAAGGGAAGGAGTTTAGTGATGTTGTTAATAGGGTGTAATAGTGGGTTTGACTGGCAATAGTTTCTGCCAGCGCAATTAAAGAAACAAATGAAAAAAAAAAGGTACAGGTTGCTCCGAGGGTGAGTTGCTTGGCGATAGAGTTTCGTTTCACTTTTTAACTTGCAGTGTTGAATCGCCAACACGCGCTTGCGCAGTTTTGAATCGCAGGCAACAAAACTAAGCCACCGTTCAGATCTCGGGGTTTTGAGGTTGTACGAGGAAGAGAAACGAAATGAGTAGAGAACAGTAGAAATCATGGATACCATCCCTGGCCATTCAGGCCTGGCCAGACCCCTGGGCTAACTTTGTCTCTTTTTTTTCCTATTTCGTCCTTCTTTTTACTTTCCTCTCTCTCCCTCTTCTATCTGTTCCTTCTCCGCCTCGTCCCACCTCCCTCCCTCCCTCCCTCCCGTCGCATCCACATCGACAAGACAAATGTTCCAATCAACTCGATCCCTCCTCAGGAGTGTCTCCGCAACCACCCCTACCACTTCATTGCGCGCATCATGGTCACGACAACTGGCATGTACCAGACCCGCACGTAAGAACAACAGTCCTTAGTCGTCGTCACACTCTCTCTCCCTCTCTCGGTTCATTCATCCCATCGCGAACTTGGGCGCAAAGTACGCGCTTCTCTGTTGTTAATATGTTCAATTGATATCTAACATAGCAATTGATCCTTTTGCTCACAATAGTGTCATCGGTACGCTCGTTCTCGACAACTAGACCCGCTCACAAGGATGCTCAGGATACTGGTACTCATAAGCCCAAGCCGTAAGTTGTCGTGCTTGCCTGCTTCGTTTTTTTTTCTCTCACCAAACAACGCAACTTCGGGCCGATCTCCCGCCTCGGATCGGAAAGTGCGCAGACTCTTCCCAATTGATTTTAACAACCAACGGCGCCCATCTCCTTCTTTCCTTCAGTCTAACCACCCTCCCTTTTCTCTCATAACCACACTTTCTAGTAAGACAGGAATCGTGCTGATGAACTTGGGAGGACCAGGAGGCCAGAATGAAGTACATGATTTCTTGCTTCGGCTCTTCTCCGATGGGGACCTGATCCCCTTGCCCATGCAGTCTTATGCGGCCCAGTTTATCGCCAAGCGAAGAACCCCCAAGATCAAGGAGCAGTATCAGCAGATCGGAGGTGGATCTCCTATCCGTAAATGGACAACTGAACAAGGAACTGCTATGGAAAAGATCCTCGACAAGATCTCTCCCGAGACTGGTACGTTTTTGCTCATTTGTTTGCAGTGGTTTTTGGGAGGAGCATAGAGGACGTTTCATCTATGTTTTCGTGTTTTATAATAACATTGGCCACGTTTTGGGATTGATCTGTGTTAAATAGCGCCTCACAAGCATTATATTGCGTTCAGATACGCAACCCCATTGACACCAGAGGCATTGGAGGCGATGAAGGCAGATGGGATCGAGCGCGCCGTGGCCTTCACACAGTACCCCCAGTACTCTTGCTCGACCACCGGATCTAGCATGAATGAACTTTATCGCCAACTGCAAGAGTTGGATCCCCAGCGCAAGATGAAGTGGTCTGTTATTGATCGCTGGTTCACCCACAATGGACTCGTTCAGGTGTGTTTTTTTTGGCGGCATGTTGTGATGTTCAGGAACAACCATACATATGCACAATGGACTTCATGAGGGCGGATGCTATGCGCTTTTCCTTGGAATGATTGGTTTCACATACGCGATGCGAGATCTCTGCAAGATATGCATCATGTTTTTTTCTCAGGAGCATCCACACATCCACAAGACATCGACTATATTGTTCCAGGAACAACTACACATCGATAATACGTACCTCATGTCGTTCAGGAACAACCACATATCCACCACCCATTATGTCAACGATAACACAGCTAACAAGTAATTTACTCCGCACCTTACAACACACTGTAGGCATTCGCAAACCACATCGAGGCAGGATTGGAACAATACCCCGCCGAGACCCGTGACAAGGTCATCGTTCTCTTCTCGGCCCACTCCCTCCCTATGGAAATCGTCAACCGTGGCGACTCTTACCCCTCAGAAGTCGCTGCCACGGTCGAGGCCGTCATGAAGAAATTGAACTACAGGAACCCTTACCGTCTGGTCTGGCAGTCTCAGGTTGGACCCAAGCCCTGGTTAGGCCCCAAGACTGATAAGGCTATCCTGGGTCTTGGCGAGAAGGGACATAATGACCAGTTATTGGTTCCCATTGCGTTCACGAGTGATCATATTGAGACGTTGTTTGAGTTGGATCTTGAGTATGGCGAGGAAGCACACAAGGTATGTTTTTTTTTTGGTCGTTAGTATGATATGAGATAGGGATCTCCTTTTTTTTGTTCTTCTTTTTCATCATTGTTCAGTGTACTAACGTGCTTCTTTGTCGTGTTGTATATTAAATAGGCTGGAATTACGGGATTGAAGAGGGCAGAGTCATTGAACGCCGACCCAGTGTTCATTCAGGCGATGGCAGATATTGTCAAGACCCATTTAGACGACACCGCCCCTGCTGGTAGCAGCCCCATCTCGAAGCAGTTTGCAGTGAGATGTCCAGGATGCACAAACGATACCTGCAAGGATACAAGGGAATACTTTAAGCAATAATTGTGAAGGGGCAAATTTAGGTATTATATGTAATAAAAGAATTAAAAAAATGAACCATCTATCTTGCTTCGCGTTCCGAGTCGAATCCATCCGAGGCCAAGCCTGGTCAGCCTCTCGTTCTGTTCCTTGATGGTAGTCGTCTCTGTCACATACACATTGTATAAACAAATGCGGAGACGCTGGTGGGTCTGGGCTCTTAGATCCTGGACGACTAGTTGATCTGCGAGCGACTCGGGGTTCTGCGGGAGTTGCATGACTTGTGTTGCAGTCGAAATACACCGATCCACCAAATTAGCCAGATGCGTCTCCCTGAATCCACCCCGAATATCGGTTCTGGTGTCGATTGGTGATATGGTAGTAAGCGACCCGAAACTTCGATACAGGTCGCTACCGCTGAAGGTAATACTTGCTGGAACCATGACTGGCAGGAAGATCGTGGAAGTCGGCCTTGTTGCTCACTCTCTCCAACGTGCAACGAACTCGTAAAGTCTCCAAGGCATCGAGATTCTCCAGAAAGAGCAAGAGGGAATTGAAGGTGCTTGGGTCGGTTCGGTCGGCGATGCATATTTTCCAACGCTGTCAGGTGTATATGCTCTTATCGAGCATTCCAGAATCGGACAAGTGCATTGACGTCTGACGAGTGGTGTCGCTCCCAAAAGATACTATTTTGATGTTGAATGTGCCGAATCTTGGAGCCCTGTTTAGATATCCTTTCGAGATGGAGCTGTTGCTAATGACTTGGATGTCAATTATTGATGCCGTAGGATCGTGAACGTCACTTGTCCATATTGTTGAAACCGAGTCGGAGAGATAAACTTGAGGTGCAAGTCGAGGGTGTTTGGCGAATACCACCTGCAAAAGCTCCAACCAAGCAAATGTAATGTCCTCCGAAGAATCAAACTCGATTCTCTCCAAATTGGTGTAACCGCCGAGGCACCTTTGAAGATGCTTTAGCGGACCAGATGGTCCCTTGCTCTTGTAAAAGTAAATTTCCCGAACTGAGGGGTGGTCGAACAGCTTTGTCTCCTCTGCGCTCTCGATGGTCAAGACGATCGAAAGGATTTTTCCGGTGCCCGCCTCGAACTCCACCGACGCCTCAAAAAACTTGAGGTGTTTCATTTTGTTGGGCAAGATCGTCATCGCCAGCGTAAGACCCTGGGACAGCCTGAATCGCTCCAATGAAGCGGCGAGAGAATCGAGAACAGTCTTAAACCCATTAGCGACGCGCACGTTTACATTGTCAGCATGGAGCTGGTCTGGAGAATCTCAATAAAACGGGGAGCGTGTTTGACCATTCCTCATGCGAGCGCACGTCGATCCCAAGTTCCCGGATACTTAGTGTAGCCAGGATGTTGTTGATACTGCCCAGAAAGCCTCCCCAGTCTGTCATTTGGAGCGTCCGAAGGTTCCCATCGGACAGCATCTGCAAGACTGGATCAAACCGTCGACTGTTGTTGAGAAATTCTGATAGTGGAGCGTCACCGTTTCCTCCATCAAGTCGGACGTGAAAGATGGTAGTTGATTTGATAGCATCTCGGAGTTCGCCAAGATCTTGCATCGAGAAATCCCAGCACAAAGCAATGTCGATCTAAGAGCCCTGTAGAACTTCCCCGCGACGATCGGCGATTCCAAAGAGAGAGTGAAGCTCCCAGTAGCCTCGCTGTATTTCCCGCCGATCTCATCCACACCATCTCTGAAACCTTGCGCTGCCTTGGCTTTGTAGTTCTTGCGGTAGTGGTCGAGGCAAACCCACTTGACTTGACCCTCCCCAGTGACTATCATGTATAGGTTCCCTAGCACTCGTCCATCATCCTTCGTCTTGAGAAACGAATCCAGCTGACGAAGGTATGCACCTTCCAATATCTCCGGACCAACAAGGGTTGACGAGTTGGTGGACAGGTCTGGCTCTGACGATGGCGGTTGACTCTGGGCTAGGCCCTCAATGTAGGCGATTGATATGTCGATGCTCGTGCTGATATTTTTAAGAACGCGATCGATATCGTCAGCGACGTTCTCCAAGCTGTCGACAATTTGGAGCTGACCCAATGGGGGAACAACGACGCCAGCGGTGGCAACCCCGTACTTGAGCCTCTGGAGGAGCATGAAGATGTAGGAACCATACTTTTCAAAGAACTCGGTGGGGCACTCAATATCGTAACCCTCGTGACGAGCAATGTGGATCTCATGTTTGAAATGTACCTTGAACGTTCTGATGAATAGCTCCTTGATCAATTGATCTGGTCTCCCCGTTTTGATAGTATCCTCCTTGGGCAAAACAATGAACAACCTCGGGATGGGGTACTCGTACAACTCGTAGCTCTGGGCCATGACGGCGGCAATCTTGCTCTAGATAAGAGCGATACGGTTGAGAGCCTCCTGCTGCGCCATGTGTAAGCGTTCCTGCGGCTCGACTGACTTCCTGTGAATCTCCTCCATCTTCTGCGACTGTGCCTCTGCTGCCAACTGTAATTCCAGAAATCGTCTGCTTCAGTTCCTCTACCTCATCGCTATTGGCCACCTCAGAGCGGAAGGTGAGAATATTTCCCTAGATTTCCTGTATCGTCTGCATCCCGTGTTCAAAAGTATCCGTTCGAACAACCTGTCCTACATGCATGTGCCTCTCGTAGGAGACGAGCTGAGCCGAGGATTCTTGCAGCATAGATTGGGTGCGTTGCAACAGGCGGTGGAAAGCTGGAGGAAGTGAGGCAGCCACAGTCTCGTTGACAGAGACAGAGGAGGCCACAAAAGCGGTGGCAAGGGCCGAGGATGCAGTCGCAGTGTCATTAATGGTGAATGAGCCGATTGTACATGCGAACATGCATCCACACACACACTCCAAAAATTTAGAAGAAGTGAAGAAGGTCCCACGTTCACGAATACCGTTATTCGTTTCGGTAGCAAAAAAAGAAGATTCACTTTCTACTCCTTCCCCGTGACCATCGATTATCACTCCAGTGTTCCCACCAGAAATAAGCATGAAACTTTCGTAGTCATCCTTGTACCTGAACGCCACCAAGTCCTCCAGAAAGAAAGCTAAACTTTTTTGGATTTTGTTTATCTACACAGCGCGCTATGTCGTACTAGTTTGTAATTCATGTTCTTGCTTCAAATGTACTGTACACAAACCATAGGTGATTACCCAATAGCACTTTCCGTCTGCTTGCAGGAGCAAAACTTGTGAATGATATACACAATTTAATTTTCCGTCGTTTGTAGCATTGTAGCGAGAAAAATGAAGAAAAAACACGCGAAAGGACATGATGCAAAAGAAATCGATGCAAGAAAAGGGAAAGACTGAAGGAAAAAAAAGAATAGATTGTCGTCTGCAAGACAACCATTCTATAATAAACACTTTATTTCCCAATATCATGTTCCATTGCTTTCTGTTTCTGATTCTGCTTTCAATTCTGCTCTTGATTCTGTTCTGTTTTTATTAATGGTGCTGAACTTTTACTATTGATGACTTTTACGCTTATCAACAAGTGGGTGACTGAGTGGTATACAAAGCATTAGGCCCACTGTCTTCGGTACCATGTCCATGTGTGTGTGTGACTCTTTTTATTTTATTTTTGAACCAACGGAAACTCCCTTCGGCAATCCACTGCCCCCAGTTGGGATCTCTTCTTTCTAGTTGATCGTTTCTCACCCTATCGCCACTTTGAACAAGCTCTAGTCAAGATTATCGAACGACAAGCACCCGGAACAATTCGTATTCATCTCCTACGGCCGCCTGTGGTGCACTATGATGATACCGGAGTCACTTGTAGACCTCGTCAATCACAACAACCATTCGCCTCCTCAATGGCGTAACACATGGTGCTGCTCAGAACTCGCTCGATTTCGCAGAGGCGCCCAAGTGTAAGGCAGGCGCGCCTATGAACCCTTACAAGAGGTGTGAGGTGTGGTTGATGTTGGTTCTTGGAAGGGATGAAAAAGAAACAGACGGGGTGGAGCAATTGCAGTAGACGCAGAGAAAGATAATAGTACACGGACCCTTACTGCGCAACGATCATCACTTCTTGATGAAAACAAAGCAAAAAAGGTACAAATAATAAGTCTACATTCAGATGATCAGTACAATGAGTGATAGAGCAATTGACCCATTCCACCTTCGCACCTGAATTCGATGAATCGTTATGGATTTTTCGCTTCATAGTTTTATTTTTTAGTTCACAGCAACACCCTTTTTCTTCATGGCCTCCAATTTTCTCTTGGCCGCATCAAGTCCTCGGTCGGCAGCTTTAGAGAACCACCCCGCAGCCTCTGTAAAGTCCTGGGGAACACCTTGACCGTTGTTATAAAGTCGGCCGACGTCGAATTGAGCAATAGCCAATCCTTGGTTGGCGGCCTTGAGGAACCACTCCATCGCCTTGGCAAAGTCCTGGGGAACGCCTTTGCCTTCGTCGTACATAACGCCGATGTTGCACTGAGCGACTGCGTCTCCTTGATCGGCGGCCTTGAGGTACCACTCCATCGCCTTGGCAAAGTCCTGAGGAACACCTTTGCCTTTGTCGTACATAACGCCGATGTTGCACTGAGCGACTGCGTCTCCTTGATCGGCGGCCTTGAGGAACCACTCCATCGCCTTGGCAAAGTCCTGAGGAACGTCTTTGCCTACGTCGTACATAACGCCGATGTTGCACTGAGCGACTGCGTCTCCTTGATCGGCGGCCTTGAGGAACCACTCCATCGCCTTGGCAAAGTCCTGAGGAACACCTTTGCCTTTGTCGTACATAACGCCGATGTTGCACTGAGCGACTGCGTCTCCTTGATCGGCGGCCTTGAGGAACCACTCCATCGCCTTGGCAAAGTCCTGAGGAACGTCTTTGCCTACGTCGTACATAACGCCGATGTTGCACTGAGCGACTGCGTCTCCTTGATCGGCGGCCTTGAGGTACCACTCCATCGCCTTGGCAAAGTCCTGAGGAACACCTTTGCCTTCGTCGTACATAACGCCGATGTTGCACTGAGCGACTGCGTCTCCTTGATCGGCGGCCTTGAGGAACCACTCCATCGCCTTGGCAAAGTCCTGAGGAACGTCTTTGCCTACGTCGTACATAACGCCGATGCTGTACTGAGCGACTGCGTCTCCTTGATCGGCGGCCTTGAAGTACCACTCCATCGCCTTGGCAAAGTCCTGAGGAACGCCTTTGCCTTCGTCGTACATAACGCCGATGCTGCACTGAGCGACTGCGTCTCCTTGATCGGCGGCCTTGAGGTACCACTCCATCGCCTTGGCAAAGTCCTGGGGAACGCCTTTGCCTTCGTCGTATATAACGCCGATGCTGCACTGAGCGACTGCGTCTCCTTGATCGGCGGCCTTGAGGTACCACTCCATCGCCTTGGCAAAGTCCTGAGGAACACCTTTGCCTACGTCGTACATAACGCCGATGCTGTACTGAGCGACTGCGTCTCCTTGATCGGCGGCCTGAAAGTCTTGTGCAACCCCCTTGCCGTCTATGTACATGTTGCCAAGCACCAATTTCTTCTCCGCGGATAAATTGGTTGTTGCACTCTGGGGTGCATGCTGACCTTCGTTGTCACTGTTTGGATGTGAAGAGGCTGAAAGATCCTTGACGGTGCATGTTTGATCGTTGAGTGTTGTCGAGAGCATCGCCATTGGTCGGGCGATGGATGCAGCTGGGAGGGTCATAAGGTTGGATAAAGCGGAGGAAGGTGAGAGGGGTTGCGAGGTGGCAGGGACAAGAGAGCTCGTAATGGCAGGAGACAGGGGTTTCAAGGGGGTGTCGGCGACGCTCCGGTATCCTTTCGAGCTGATAAAACGCTGATTCAGCTCCAAGCTACAACATAGCAAAACAAGTGAATGAGTTCAAATGTATGTTAACTTCAAGCCCGAAGCATTAGCATGTATAGCCAAACTTAGCGCAAAGAAAGAAATCACACACACAAACGAAAACACTTACATCAGGGACAAACCAGTTGGTGCTTTCTTAAAAGGTATAAGGCGGCTCCCATCCTCAAGGACCTCAACTTCCCCCTTTGCATGGATTTCGTCTGTGGCGGGGGCAGTAGTATCGATCGTCGACTTTGGATTGCCTAGGGCTTGGAGTGGTTGCTGGTCCTCTGTGGGTTTGTAACCTTGCTGAACCTCGACATGCGACCAAATGCTGGGAGGTCGAGATGCCACCGATGCGTCTTGAGAAGCGGCGCCTTCGCTGAAATGCCTGGCTTGTCGGATCCTCAGCCAATCCAAACTAGTGTCATCGTGTCCAGGGACGATCCTGCGAAGATCGCCAACTTGGTCCAGAACAGTCAAGGAGTTGCCCTCAAGGAGAGAATCCTGCACGCCGTCGATCCACTGCCTCATATTGGAGCCGTCGTCGAAACAAACCACTTTGACGGAACTTAGGCTCCTCAATGCGTCCATGACCGTTATATATACTTGATAATCCACAGGAGAACCGACTAGAACAAGTTGTTTTAGTGTTACGTTGGAGGACTTCAGTATACTCAAAAATGTCACAGCTCCTTCTGGGTCTAAATCGCCGACGGAGATCGTGACATTTCTCAACTGAGAAGAACGTTTGCGCGTAATGGAACGATGCAATGCGTCCATGACGCTTGTTCTGAACATGTCGTTGGTATTCAATGTTCGAACGAACAGGCCATACTCGTCAAGGAAGGCATCGTGACCGGATCCATTTTTGCGAGTGGTGACGTTAGCTACAACCGCCTTGTTGTCGCGACTATTGGGGAGCTTGAAGGTTGCAACGAGATGGTCTTCCGAGTTGTCGATAAGGGTGTATATGGAAAGGCGAGAATCTGGTGCTTGATCGGACGTCATTTTGGAATAAATCGATTCCATCATAGCCTCCATGATTCGGAAATCGCGTGCGTCGCAATATAAGGTCAGCAATGAAAGGTTGGGATTTTTTCGAAGAATCGTCGTAATGCCATCGGTCAGGAGTGAAAGCACAGGGTGTGGAGATTCCATCCGCAATGACTCAAGAACGTTAATGGTGATGGACTGTAGGTTTCCCGCGAAGTACCCAGTGGTGGTGATGTTTTTGGCATGGTCTAGAGTCGTCCTGAGGTCTAATAGTTGAGTGTTGCCGTTGTAGAGTCCAGCGAGGCACCTCGAGGAGGGTTCCTTGACCGTGACGACCAGAGCATTTCTTTGAGGTGACAGCCGTCGAAGATCGAAGAGAAGAGCAGGAGCATTCAGGGCCACATGCGAGCTGATGCACAGATGCTTCAGGCCCTGGAGCAAAGCATGAGAAAGTTCCTTGATTTTTTCCAGCTGGGATCCTGAAGACCGATCGGATAAAGACGACAATGGAGAAGATGGAGCAGACGTGCTGTTGGATGAAGCGATGGCGGAAGTGGCGATGGTCAGACTGGTAAGTCCAAGCCGACCTGCGAGGGCGTGGATCGACTGTACGTCCTCTGTGCTAGCATCCCAGCTCACATCGATAATGAGCTCCGTAACGCACCCGACCATGGCGGCATCGAGAAGACAGAGTTGTTGTAAGCCCTCGCTATCCTGCGGACGGAGGGTAATGCTGCCTTTTTGAGCGTCGTAGTCTCCGTGAGCACCGACGTGCTCCACGATGTACTGGACGCTGTGTAACGGATATAGGAGTTGGTAACAGCTTCTACACATCAACTGTTCACGGCCTTGGGAATCGCAGGCATGGAACAGGCCTCGGTGGACAATGTCATCTTGCAGCGTGTCGGGATGTCTCTCTAGGTAGGACGGTAGGACTGCAATATCATGTCTGGACAAAGGAGGTCTGGTTCTGGTAACTTGGTTGCTATTCTGTTGTCGCAACTTCTGGAGATATTCGATCATCTTGTCCACCAACTGCTTCACATCGTCCGTACTTGAGAGGCCTAGCTCAGACGCCAGCAGTGTGGTGATCTGAACGTACCTTGCCTGGTCATCTCCCAAACCGGTTTCCAGGTCCCGGAGACTAACCTTCAACATCTTTAGGCCCCAAAGCAGCGTGGCGGAGAACCTCCCCAGAAACTCGGCGGGCCTCTTGACAGCGACACCAGGTACACCAGCAAAGTGAGGGACTGAATCGTACTCGGTGCGATGATGGTTGACACAGAGTAGGTACATTGTGAGCTGGACTGCAGAAAGGTCATTTTTGTCAGCTGACGGCAAGGGCCCCCTCGGCAAGACAAAGAAAGGCGGCTGGAGTCGTACGTTCTTGATCAGCTGGTTAAGGGTCCAACTGTTGGCCATGGAGTGCATCGTGTTGTAGTTCGAGTTGTAAGGGTCAGAGTCGTAGAAAGAGTGACTGGAGAAGTCTCCTTGTCGAGATGGATCTGGGAAAGACTCCATGCCGCCGTCGTCAGAGACCTTGATAGGGGTTACGCCCAGCGTGTGAGGAGTGAGGCCCTGCTTGGCGACGTACAGTACGTCATCGGTGTATGCAGGGAATGCCTCCAATGTTTCAGTGCCATCGCTATGATGCCCCGATAGTGTTCCATACGATTGTTAACGAAAGAGAGCGTTGGTGTCGATTTTGTTTTTGAGATGCTGTGAACACAATAGCAGCAATACAAGGAAGAAAAGGAGCAACAAAAAGAAAGAAAAAACCTTACGACTGAATCTCAGCGGGATAGCGGGGTAAGGTCTCCCAGTCGTCGTGGGTGTATCGTTTGACATCCTCGAACTCGCCAAAATGGTCCACGACTGCATTGGCAGTAAAGGTTCTGTCGCCGTCTTGCTTGTCGACAACGCGAGCAAACCGGACCTCGGTTGAGAGGTCGATAGCCCGGAGTGCTTGGACTGGCGGTGAGTAGTGGTTATAAGTGAGGCGCACCATCTTAGACGACGGATAAATAAACGAGGACTGAGGAAAGTACAGGTGAGGAGCCCAGGTGAAGAGGAGAGGGCGAGCAGTGGTGAAGTACGACGAAAATAATAAACCACCAACAAGAAAACAGGAGGGAAGGGAGGAGTGGCGTGAAGGAGAGGAAAACGGTAAGGATTGGAGAGTGATGGTATGGGGTGGGGAAGGAAGAGGTGTAAAGGAAGGGAGGAGGGAAAGAAGGAGAATAAAGGAAGGAAGGAAGGAAAGGAAGAATGAAGGACGTTGGAGAGAAAGTGTCGAGAGAAGGCGAGAAGATTTTTTGGCGAAGGCATAAAAGGGTGCTCTCATGCCCTGCCAGCCTTGTCAATATCAAGTTGCTCTCGATGATAGAAGTGAGAGAGAGGTTCCAACAGATGGGCTCACATAAAATATGCGTGCTTCTTTCCTTGCCAAGTACGAATCTTGACTTGTTTATGCCCCAGTTGCAAGAAGAAAAGAAGACAACAAACGAAGCCGAAAGCACCATTTCTTCGCCATCATCGCTAGCTCAACCGTCACCCACTCCATTTTTTCTTGTTCATGATATCGCCTTTTTCAACTTCTCATAACCAACGACGTATGGTACAGCACAGTACATCTTCTGGACACAGTACCTTGGCGCACCTTCAACCATCTTTTACTTTTTTATTTGCGCTTCCGATCGATACAAACAGGATAGGCAATGCTCGGACGACTCAACGTCGATACTAACAAACCACAAACTGTTTTACAACCACCCCTCGACAGAAAACCCAGCAACTCCTCTCCCAACTTCCAAACCCCTCAGCACCCGAATTTTGGGCCAGTTTGCAACCATCCATCTCAGCTCCACCTCTCCGATCCCATGATTCATCCCTTCAAACCCAAACACCTCCAGGTTTTTGAGCCCTGCCAGATGACGCAGACCAGAATCTAGTGTCAACTCGAGGGTATCTTGAACGGGTTCGTGATTGCTGGCATTACGACCTACTCGTTCTTGGGCGGGCTGGCCGTAGTTGCCGACGTATTGGGTGGCGATCTGGTTGTTGGAGTTGTCAAGTAGGTATCCGAGATCTAGTTCTTTGAGATGTGTCAATTCGCCAAGGCGGGTGCAGACTTTTTCCTGTAACTCCCTTGATCGCTCCAGTTTCTCAACGACTCGAATTTCTTCCTCTGACAGCATGTGGTGTTGCTCCTTCTGCAGCTTGGACTTTGGCATGGCATCGTAGAGCTCCTTCTCGCCCATTGTCAGACGACCGAAACCCGAGATCTGACAAGGAAGAACCTCCAAGGACTCACAACTCGCCCAACGCTGCCGCAGGATATCCTCCGCATCGACATGGACCTTGAGCCCAACAAACTCCTTGAAATTGGAGCACGTCTGGAGCAAGACGTTCAAAGGGTTGACTGCTGGTCGGACGCCGCGGACTGGAAGGACAGTGTACTCCTCCTGTCCTTGCTCGAGGATCTCCAGGTTTGGACAGTGTGCGGAAAGGGCGTTGGCAGTGATAGGGTAGAGTTGGAATACCTTGAAGGAGGTCAAGTGCGGGAGTGCTGGTAAGATGCGCTGAGCCAGTCCGTCATCCTCCACCTCGGGCTTCTTGACCTCCGATATCTCCAATCTCTTGAGTCGACTTGGCGTTTCCAGAATGGTTCCGTTGCCCTGTTTAGGCGCGAATCGGAAAAAAATCGACTCGACGACAAATGTGTCGAGGTTGGGTAGGTGCTTGAGGGCGAGGAAGAACGTGCGGTCTGTAACGTTATAACCCAGATTGAGATACTCCAATCCATGGAGCATAGCCCATTGCTCTGGGTAACCTGGGTTGGTTAAGGTCAAACGACGCAACGATGGAGGCTGTCGGCTTAAAAGGGTCGCCAAGTTGATGAAGAAGCCAGAGTGGCAGTCTAACTCTTCAAGATGGGACAATCCTGCAACCGTGTCGTGGAAGTAGCCTGAAGCGACGGGGAGAACAAGATACACGAGGTTGTAGAAGCACAGGGCCTTCAGCCCCGCGTTCTTGGCAATAAGGAGCCACAGATGCTGGATCGCATACCATTCCCGCTCTTGTTGGACCAACGATCGAAGTCCAACAGGGTAAGGTTGAAACATCCCCTTGAACTCTGGTGAAAGGAACGATCCTTTGAATCCCTGCAAGTGATTCCACAGAATCTGTCCTTGTGCATCCTTCTCCTTGCAGGTCAAGTTGGGTTCGATATCGTACACTCGCAAGGACTGCAACTGGGTGCATCCTTTGCTGAGGTTCGCGACTTGAAAGATTTCTTGGTGGTGGATCTGAAGGTGGCGAATATGGTGGCTGTGCTTGTTGAAGATGTTCTGTAGCCATTGCTCGTCCTGCTTGCCGACAGAGAGGTTAGAATCGTAGTGAGCCAAGATGTGACGCCAGGTTGTACTGTTGGTGTCTATGGTGTGCCAGAGCGTTGGCATAAAGTGGTCGTACCACTGGTGGCAGACTTGGACACATGAGAGTAGGTCGGGTGGGAGTAGATGGGACCCGATGTGAGGGTAAAGCTTAGGAAGAATAGTAATGTCTCTGGAAGGTAAGAGGGAATGGGTTGTCGCAGACATGTTGTTGTTGAGAATGGGTGAATGCAATTACGAATGGAATGAAGAAGAAAAGAGTCAGAGATGCGAAACGAAAAGTAGAATTATTTTCTCCTCTCCCAGCGCTAATTTGACAAAAAAATTATATCACTCACCTGTATTAAGCAATTAATTGATGATCAAATATTTCGTTGACACCTGGTACCTGAGACGTGGATGACTATCATTCCAACGGTTATCTAAGCACAGACTGAAGATCATTCCTCACCATGCAACATTAACGTCACGTTTTTGTCTGCATTTATTATTCTGCACGAAGTACGAGCGTGCCTAGTCGAAGTCGAACATTCCGAAATCAATTGGATTGTAGTCACACTCCTCTCGCAAACGATGCCTCATAACTCAGCTTGGGCACCGGGATCCTCAGAAAGAGCCCCGTCCATGTTCTTAAGCGATGTCCAATTCTCCAGTATCACCCAGACATCCTCTGCTCCCATTCTTTGCCCAGTGTTGTAGAAGCTGACGTGGGTGAGGCACTTGAGTGTCGACAAAAGAGAGAGAGAGCCTCGCATCCAGTCGGAATTGGATCGTTCCTTTTCCTTTCCCTTTTAGCGCTTCCCCATACTTCCGTAGGATATCACACCAGAAACTCCTTGGTTAAGCCGGACAATACGCAGAACTCTATAATGCCCCAGTTTCGAAAGTTGTTTAAATACAAGTTTGTCTGCTCCTGCGCCGTCCATATCCCTGAAAAATTGGACCTTGAGATATCGCAATCCAGAACACGACCTGTCAATTTCTCGCCCCTGAAATCTGCGACGTCGACATAAGGGCTCGCAATTCCTCCAGGTGAGCACACTCTGTCAGGACCGCAAGAGTCATCAGACTCGAAAAGAAGGCGCAACGTATCAACGCCTAGTTGTCTCTCTCTGGGATATAGGCGCGACTGTAGATCAAATCGAGAATGAGAAAGCCAGGCTCCGAGACAACGGCATTGACTGGGTCCGAATCACAATCTCTTGAAGAAAACAATATCAGTGTGGTCGCGTATGTTCTTTTCAGCATCGCATCAGACAAAGAACGATTGAGAATGAACGTGTTTTGTTACGATTGAAAAGAAAAGCTTGTATGGTACATTTGGATGTGCAACGCGACACCTTGCAGAAGAAAGATAGAGTACATAAAAAAAGCGAAAAAAGAACTACGACGATTAGGGAAGGAAAAAAAAAAAGAAACAAACAACACACCCGCCAAACACCACCAACAACAAAAAACGAACAAAAGCATCTACGGCTCGCCAGACACCGGGACTTTTGGATCCTTGCTCCGCTCATACTCATCCACCATCGTCGCCAAGTACTAAAATCGACCGTCAATTGCAACACAGGATATCAAGCGTCAGTATCTTAACAATAGTAACACGCATGCCCGTGTGACAAAGAAAAAAAATAAAATGCAGAGATTTGACTTACCACAACAATAGACCAATCGTCGGCTCCAGAAACGCCGCCGACCATGTCTCTGACCACAGCCTCCTCTTCTTCAGTCAAGGTCACTGTATCCTTCTTCTCCTTCTCCTTGGCCGCTGCCAGCTTCTCCATCTCCTTGACACTAATCTGTGGTGGCTTTCCCTTGCCTGCTAAAGTAGTCGTATTGTTTGCCACGGCTGCCATTGCTGAAGCCGCAGTAGGAGAATCTAGCGACCGCCGTCCAAAAGATTCGATCGACTGTCGATGACTAGGGTAGGGTCCGCTGATGCTGCCGCGACTATGCATGAAGCCTGGTGATCCAATGTCCATGCTCCCAAAAGTCTCCAGTGACGTCTCGTAATCGGTTCCGCTCTCTCTTCCAAAGTCACGGCGCCGGTCATACTCGCTGTCGTCCAACTCTGAACGAGTTTCTGTAGCCCCCGTGCCACCATTGTTCAGTCCAAGTCCCTTCAACGTCTGTCGGCTTCCGGCGATCGAGTCCAGACGCCGGTGATGCTGAGCTGCAGTCGGAGATACAAATGTAGGAGATGTAATTCTTGACGCGTTGGCGGAAGAAACACGACTGCTGCTGTTGCTGTTAATAAGATTCGCTGTGGTCGCAGTAGTTGCTGTAGGTCTAGGGATAATCCTAGTAGGCTCCTGAGCTGCAATCTCTTCCAGGGTCAGCGGCACTTCTAGCGGAGTTTCTGGTGGGACAGAAACCTTGGAGAGACTGGTCAAGTCAACACTCGATTGCGACTGCATGGGTGAAAGTGCTCGGAGAGTCATGGCAGAAATGGTGCTTGCTGGTGCTGATTTTGGTGGCGGTCGTGCTGGACCTAGAGGCTCAGATTCAGGATCGCATGGTTGCGGTGGCGATGGCTCGTCTTCCTGTCCATGATCCTCGTTCAAGTCATCCGATGTAGAGTCATGATCGTCCTCGCTCATATCCCGCATATGTTCACTAGCACCGTCTTGAACACCCAAATGCTCATCACCGTCATTGATCCTACTCCGCCTCTTCCGTTTAGCCTTGAACCACGCTTTCGCCTTGGCTCTGGTAGAACTTCGGCGCTTGACGTCCTTGTGGTGATTTGACTCTGACAACTCACGACTGTTCCTCGGGCTCCGTTGCACATCTGCACTTAGTCGACCAAGGCTCTTGACTGACGTATCCAGTTGACTTGTGGTCTCTAAGGGTGGGTCGGTAGGACTGGTCATTGTGGTGGAGGGGAGAGATCGCCCGAATGACATGGCGCGGAAGGTGCCAGCGAGACTGCGGAACGTTGCTGAAGGCGTGGGTGAAGCAGCAGAGGGCGACTTTGCTGATACGTCGCTCTTGGTTATCGATTTGGCATCTTCCGAAGGGTTGCGGTCATGGTCGCTGATATGACCTAAATGTCGATGCAGCGAGAGGGGTCGCTTGGGCTTCAACTTCCGCAGCGTTGAAGAGCTCTTGGTCACCGTCGAACTAGAGTCGTGCAACTTTGAAGTATGCGTGGCATCGTCCTCCACTCTTGCAGGCTGGAACTTATTAAAGCCATCGATTTGGTCTCCCAAGTACTCCACGCGTTCCTTCTCGTCCTTGACAGCCATCTTCTCAGAGATATTGCGTTGCCGAAAAGAGTCCGAGTCACTGCTACCGAAGGCCGCTGCCTTCTCTTTGGTCACTTCATACGCATCATACGTCGCCTTCCGGTCTCTCTCCTTATCCCGCTCCCGATCGCGCTCCTTCTCCCGTTCCTTGGATTCTCTGTTGCGGCCAGGGCTGGTATGATGACTTGACGGGTTTCGTGGTCGCCTCGGACTAGACATCCTACTACTGTTCCGTTTCCTCCGCCCGTTGCTTCCCGAGGCACCATCTATGTGGGCATTCGAGTCGGAGCGCCCAAAAGCCGCGAGAGCAGGATCAATCATCGCCGCGCTCTTGGCGCTCCAATAATCGAACCACTTCTTCCACTTGCGCATGCCCTGAGAGGTGGTATATTGCATCGGCCCTCCGTTCTGACTGGACTCATCTCCTGAGAACTCGGGTCGTCCGCGCTGATTCCTGCTGCTCCGCTCATAGTAGTGGCCCTCTGCAAGGTCACGCCTAAAACCCCTCCGACCTTGGCCATTTGCCGAAAACGACTTTTCCATATCCGACGAGTCGTGGGACGAGAGTGCGTCATTGGCGAGGCCTGAGTGCTTGTTGAGGGCGGTGGCTCCGATATTTGTCGACGAAAGGTATGCCGAGGTGTTTCTCCGAGACCCACGAGAAAGTCCGTTGCTCTTGCGTGTTAATGGCGAAGGTCGTGCGCTCCGAAAGTTGCTTTGGTATGAAAATGCCTCCCCGTCATCAGACGCTCCGCTCGAGTAGAAAGAGTTGACTCCAGGCGGCGCGAGAAGCCCCCCTTGGTACAGCCTTCCTTGAAAGACGAGATGGTAGTAAAGGAACGACTTCAGCAACATATCGAAGAACTTGACCTCAACAAACGCCATAAAGGATGCGTCCTCTGAGAACAGAGCCATGTTGCGAAAGATTGACTCCAGCAGGATCCCGTCGGTATATTGTCGTCCGTTAACCCAGGTAAGAGTGTCGCAGTCCACCACACAAATGTCGCCCTCCATGAACTTTGGGTCAATCTTGCTCGAGTCCACGCCAATGATGAAGAACCTCTCCATATCCTCCACCTGTAATAGACCGTATCCTTGGTACCATGGAATGATGCGCCGTTGTTGCTCCATCAACTGCTCCTCCCTGGTCGGATATCCTGTATGCGGAAGAAATGTCGCCAAGACCGTCACCAACGACCGCACCTTCTGCTCACATTCAGAAGTGCCCATGATACAGACCTTTTGTCCGCTAAGGAGCGCAAACACGAGATGCTTGGCCAACGTCGCGTCCTTCTGCAGCGTGTCGAGGACCAATGTCGGACATGATGTTGCCGGTATTGCTGCTGCTCCAATCAAACCCATGCTGGTGCCGCTCTGCGCTGAATAGCGGTGTTGTGGCCGCCCAAGGTTACCACCCATCGACGATTCTCCTTGAGACACTCCTGCGCCAAATGCCCACGGAGTCTGCTCCCCGGCGCCTTCTGGGTGCGCCGGTGTGCCCTTGGCGCCTTCTGGGTGCGCCGGTGTGTCTTTGGCGTGATGCAACGTCTGCTGTTCCTGGTGCCACTCGACGACTCTTGCAGAGCGATCAAGTGGCGTTACGACAAACGCTTCCCGAGTAGGCGTGTCGGCATGAGTTGCCATCCCTGTTGCGGCAGTGAAGAAGGACGCGGCATCATCCAAAGAGTCGTATCCAGTTTGCTCGTCGTCCGCATCATCTGCATATACGGTTTGTCCTGGGCGAAGCTCTCCCGCCACATTGTCGTCTTGTACCAACGTTGAAGGATCTGGAGTCTGTACAGGCTGCGCCTCCTGCACCGATAGTCCATCATCTGAATGCGCGCCTGCATTGGATATCCCTCTTAGTAGTTCCACCAATGGCACTGGTGGTTCTTCTTGTTGTGTCGGACGCACTGTCGCTCTATTGAGTTGAAGTTAACTGTTAATCGGAAAGTACTTCAGTGCTTTAAAAGCATACGCATTGAAGCAATTACAAAGGAGACGAACCTGTTGAACTCTGGGTTCCTGAAATTGATCATGAACCTAAAATGCACAATTGACATGCGTGTTAATTACGATACCAATGTTATTTGCGATACTAATCCTGAAGCGGAATAGATTTTGAAACGTACTTTTGTCCTATCGTCAGAGCTGCCGTGGTGGGATCTAACATAGTGTAGGTGATAGGGATGTGTGTCAGAGAAACCAGACTGAAACGGTTATTCGGTGGTAGAAGCAGCAATCACATCCCACTTACGCATACGCTTCAGACTGTCAGCAGCTTGACCAAGGAAGGGAGCATCCGCCTGGAACTCCTTGAGAATATCCTTGATCTTCTTGATGCCCAAGTGGAACTGGATCGACGAGTTCCAGACCATGGTCGCGACACAGAGTTCCCGAAGCGGCCTGAACACGACCTCATCACGAAAGATGGGGTACAGCGTCGTTACATACTGTGCCTCATACTCTGGTGTCTCGTACATGATCGAGTCATAGTCAGAGACAACAGAGTTCTTCCTGGACTGCTCTTGTTGAAGTCCAAGAAGGTGAGGCAAGGGCGCAGAAAGGCTCTCGCCCATTATTCCCGAAGCATCCAGAATCCGTGAAGGGCTCAGGACGCTCGAAGTAGAGTTCTTGTGCCGAATCCTCGACCCTGACCGTGATGTGGCTCCCAAAAACAACGAAGGGTCTACTGCTCCCGGCCTTCCTGCAGCCAGCATTGCAAGGTTTTCTGACGAGTTCATAGGCGAGAGGTCGGAGAGCGGTGCCATTGATTGTGGCCCATCGTGCCCATCATCCGCGTGTCCTAGCAATGGTTCTCCGTCGATGGAGTAATGCTCAAGTGTGCTGATGATGAGGGTCGCTGTCTCAATGGCATCCTTGATCGATTCCAGGTCATCTTTCTGCTGCTCCGTCAGACCTGGCCCTTCCAACTTTTCTGTCAACTCTGACAGCTCTGGCGACGAAGGCGTAAGGGTATTCTGGCTGGCAGTGGACGTTAAATTCTCCTTGGGCGGAGAAGAGTGTGCGGATTCAGAGTATCCAGGAGCATCTGACGGCGATTCCGAGAGGAGGTTGTTGGTGTAGTTCAAATCCCGTAGCCGCTTTGTGAGGTCCTGCCTGAACAACGTGTAGTTTCCTGTTTTGAAGTAAAGGGCCGCCTTCCTGAACCTCTGTCTCATTTCCTCATACTGCGATAGAATCTTGTGTGGGTCTCGCGTGATGTATGACATGCAAAAGGGTCGCACAAACCCTCGTGCGTTGATGTCGAAAAGCGTGAAATGGTGGACCTATGGGCCAGCGAGTGACGATGATTTTTGGGATGAGGTCAATGGTCCACGAAAGGGTGAGGGGCATTGTGTCGATAGTGGTCTCCTGGATGGCGTCAACGATGACTTACATATGCCCAGTAGCCTTTTTCAACGTCGCTGACATGGACCTCGATGTCTTCTGGAATGTGAAATCCTCCCGACCTAAGGAATGAAGATACCCAGACACCATGACGACATACGTGTTAGCTACCAGAAGCACTTAGGAAAAGAAAAGAGGGAAATAATATCCTTCTGCAGTCCTTCTCTGCAGTCCCTAGATATCCTCGGCAATGAAAAACGAAAGCAAAAGCAAGCCAGATGAAACCAACGTGCAGACAAGCAATTTTCCTGCATAAAAATGTACGAACGACTTACGATTCTCTCTGTTGCTGGTCGACCGAAGTAATCCTCAGCACAAACTCATGTACGTCAAACAAGTCCTCGCTATCATTGTCCTGGCCGCCACTTCCGTCAGGACCCAGGGTCGAGTTACTGGTTTCAGAATGGTCGTGTGAATGCTTCCCAGAAGACTCCTGATACCGTTGCTTGTGAGAAGAATACGAGTCGCGAGTCAGGTCCACGATATTGTCTGGAATAGTCATCACCGCACGAGGACCCTCCAGCTCTGAAAACTCGGAAATGAGGACAAAGTCGGGTAGATTGGCGCTCTTCTTGGCGAGCCACCAACATCCCGAAGGTGGGTCCATACTAATGACCGACTTTTGCTGCTCTTTTTGCTGCTGCTGATGTTGACCTTTGAATCCAAGACCTGCTCCATCCAGCGTTGACTGTCCTTTGACACCATGAGCAAGCGAATCCAGAGTAGCGCCCTTGCTCGAGAGGTGTCGACCTGCAGAACCCATCATGGGTGAACTTGCCTCGGAGAGAGACCCCACACCGGGCGTGCGCTGGTGAAGACGCGAGCCCGTCGTGACGGAGAATAGGCTTGTGTTGGCTGTCTCAAAGTGCGGGGTGGGTGAAGTAGAGTCTATCTGTGAGGTCGACGCGGATCTTGGGAGCATCTGTGCTGGGTTGGGTACGGAAGGTTGCTGTTGGGTTGTTGTTGACGTTGTTACAGCCGGCGGGGAAGTTACGGGGGAAGGAGACGCGGCCATAGCTGTGGCTTCGAGGTCTTCATAGTTATTGTCGAGTCCTTCAGGGAATGCTGTCCAGTTAAACATTGTCTTGCGAAGAGACAGAGCTTATCGTCGTTGTTGCTATTGTTGGTGAAGAGAGGAGGAGGGATCGAAGTGAAGAGAGAGGAGAGGATACGAGTCTCAGCAACGCAACGTGGGAATGTCGGTCGAGTGATGTCGCCCAATGTTCTCTAGGCTGGAGTTCGAACTGAGTGATGGGCAACAGAGGATTAAAAGAAGGGGAGGGTAGACGGGAACTATGTACACGACGCGTTGACGCAGGAGGAGTCGAGTGGAGAAAGAGGATCGATGGTGGCGTGTGTCTGGTGCAACAACAGAGTGAAAGAGGGTGAGAGAAAGGGTTATTCCAACATGGCCCCACAAGTTGGTGGCTACTCCTGCACGTTAAAGGAGGAGAGTGAAAAAGTGAGGTGTGGAGGAATCTTGTCGTTGATTGGAGAACGGCAAGAAGAGTGTAAGTTGGTGGATGATGAGTAGGGTGAAGGAGAGGATGATCGCAGGTAGCGTGTGCGTTTGTTGATGATGCTGGGGGAACCGTGTGGAGACCAAGGTAACAAGGAGGAGTGGATGGGACGAAGTAGGGAGAAGAGGAGACAGGTACAGATTGTCTTGCGACTTGGAAGAACGAGCCAGTCTCGTTGGGCCTGGCTGTTAGGTCAGCAAAGTGATCACATGACAGATGGCCATGACATATCAACTGAGCTTGCTGATGGTAGCAAGGTTATCAGCGACCTTATTAGTCTCATATCACTGATCGACTCAGCTGCGGCGAATGTTCGCACACCAGGAACGACAGGCCAAAGTGTTCCGACCACCCTTCACGACCTATCATTCGCATTGGAGTTACTGTTCTCCACCTTAATGAGCACAAGCCTCGGATGGTTCCAGGCACTTCATCAAGGATCCTTCTAGCAGGTTTCTCCTATCCCTGATCTCTGGCTAGCATCAATCAAACCAAGAAACGTGGCACCTACCATCATATCTCGGCGATGCCAAGAGCTCTTTTCTTCTCTTCTGAGCTCTCTTTCAAACCATCGAATGAGCACAACACGACGAATAAGAATGAGGCTGTGCGTCATTTCCTCCCTTGTCCTTCTTGGCATGGTGGCCGGTGCATCTCCAAATCTCCAAACCGGCTTGAAAGGGCTAAATGGACTGCTTTCCTTTCGACTTTTGTGCTCACAGTTGGGAAAAAAAAAGTATTTAATGTGCGCATTGTCCAATATTTCTTCTACCAACTCTCTACAGCACCACAGAGCATAAAGGACATACCTTACCAACACAACAACACAACACCAAAATGTTCAACTGGATAAAATCCCCAACACTCCCAGACACCATCGAGACCCAAGCCTTCCGCTCCATCTCTGGAGGACCGATCCTCCGAATCAACACCCTCAACGACCGCACCCACCGCATGAAACTCGTTCCCTGGGAAGACATCCTTGAACTCTTTCCCAACGCCATCTATCTCCGTGATGCCAATGGCATCGTCATGCCTGCCCGTGATAACTCTTCCAAGAGGTACCCTTCCCTTTTTATCTTTCCACCTTTTTGTTTATGTTTGGACAATGCTTCATGATCCATAGTGGTAGTGATAGTAATTACTGACCTCGTTCTTTGGTATAATGAAAAGGATATCGCCAAAATCAATCAAACTGCAAGCGGACGTTGTTCTAGAAGTCGTATCCACCCACGACGAACCACCAACCTCCGCACGCCCCGAAATCATCACCAGCACAGCCGAAGATGACCCTGTTATCCAATCCATGGCAGGAACAGGAATCACAGGAGGAAGAACCTCTACCTCTTCGGTACCACGAGGATCCACAGACTTTGACCTCGCACGATCCGCATCTTCTGCAAGGAACAGTATAGGAGCATCATCCGAAAGCATACACGCTCATACCTACACCCCAAAACAATCTTCAGAATCTGCACGAAACCAGGCTCAGGACGCAACACCCAGACTACCCATACCGGCAGCTATAACAAGTCATAAGGACGAGGTCGAGGACGAGGATGACTGGTCGCCGTTCCAAGCAAACTCTGCAGCGACCTTCTCCGCCCCACAAACCTTCACCATCCCAGGACCTTCCACTTTAACGCACACTCGTCCGCATGTACCACTATTAGCAACACCTATCGGTGAAGGAAAAGGACTGGGCCAACACGGAATAATGACCCCGACCGACATTCTTCGACAAGAGATGATCCACCGGTTAGAACTCCTCTCTGCAGAACAGGAAGAACGACTCAATCTCATCCTTACCGCATGCCGTAACCGTCCCACTCGCTAAAAAAAAAAAGTTCACATTTTTTTCCAACAGCATTAATAAACACCACCAAAAAAAACCACCAAGAAACATTAATCGATGTAAAGTAACTAAAAATGCAATAGTGTGATTTATGAAAAAAATGCTTCCAACTCCCTCCTAGCTCTAAAATGATGACATCTCTCCCTCCACAGAACCAAACCCCTTCCTCTACAGATGAATAATCTCAACAGAATATTCCTGGATCCCACCGCCAACCCACTTGCGTCTCCTCCTCTTGTCATTACCACCATGTGATGCTGTTGACTCGGCGGCACCAAGGGCAGCAGAGGGTGTAGCCTTCTTGAGAGCCACAGACTGGCGGTGCGTACGATCAAACAGTCCCAGTGCTCCCCGAAGGCTCTGCTCCAACTGGTTCGATGACTCGGCCTCACGCTGGATCGCCTCTTGGATCGTCTTCAGGACTGGGTGCATATAAGGCGACAGGATCAGCGAGGGGAAGTGGACATCCAAAATCAACGTCGTCATATCCACCAACTATTAAACAATAAGAGAAGGTTAACATCATAACTCCAAATGATCGTAAAAAACAATAAAAGAGCAATAAAAATGACGTGACATGAAAGAGAAACATACCACACCGTAGCCGGGAAGGCCGCCGAGGAGCTGCTTCTTGTCGGGGCGCTGGTTCTGGTGACCGAGCCCTCCACGTTGGTCCCAGATGACGATCCACTCCTTCAAGATTTCCAAAATAATAGCAAGCTCCTCCACCGTAAACCGCTTAATCGCCTGCTGCATGAAGACGTCGTTCCTGGGCGCAACCATAATGGTGTTCAAGAACGAAGCAACGTTTGGTACTGACGTCGAGGACTTTGTCGCTGCTGTTGTTGAAGATTGTTGCTTGTTGAGTCCGATCACCTGCTTCATCATCACAACCATGTCCATCTCGGGGATATCATACAGCTTCTGCAAAGCCAACTCGAGCAATGACCACTGCTCACGCTCCATCAGTCCAAGTGCAATACCGCCCTCTCCAGCACCTGGGTTCGAGTTGCCAACCAACTGGTTCTTAATCAGGTATTCCACCACGTTGGTGGGCCAGAAGCTCATATCAGGCTGGCCGTTGGCCAATGTAACAAAGCAGCGTCCAACAACAGTCGTCAGGAAATGGTGGGACAACTCTGGCAGAGGGGCATGCTTGCGTCCGAGGCGCAAAAGGCGGCGGTCTCCCTTGTGCTTCTTCACTGCTGCAGCCTCGATCTTGCGCCACGTCTCGATAGCCTTCAGGTTAGCCTCCCGCTTGTTGCGCTCCTCGAACTCGTCCACCTCATATTCGTCCTCCTCCTCAACATCGGCCTCATCGTGCTTCTCCTCGTCTGAGCTGAGGACAATCAGTTCCTCATCCTCGTCCTCGTCCGAAGATGACTCAGACGACGATCCGCCAGCGACATCCTCTACCGTAGGTGCCTTCTTTTCCTCCTCAGTCTCCTTAGCCTCCTTGGCTGCCTTGGCTGCTGCCTTGGAGATCTTCTTCGTCTTCTTGCTCAAAGGAGCCTCGGCGGTAGCCTTGACCACTGGCTCGGTATCGACATCCATATCCTGAGGAGCTGCTTTGACCTTCTCACCGTCTGCGTTGTGACGTACCATGCGGTCCGAAACAGCATCAGCGATCTGATGCTCGACGTGGCTGAAGAAGACTTTCTCGAAATCCTGAGCAGTCGAGGTCTTGGATTCGGACGCCAAAGAAGCCAAGGCCGTCCTCTCAGCGGAATGTGAGGCGTCCAACTGCTTGTCCAGATCAGCTCCCGCATTCAACAAATCCTTGCCCTTACCAATCATAGACAGACCTGAGGGGACCAAAAGCGAGGTCGTCGTTGAGGTGTAGGCATCCTGTGCGAGAATCGATCCTTGCTGTCCCAAGAAGGGCGCAGTGTCCCTCATCTTGCCCATAGCTCCCAAAAGCGACACGGGTTCGGCGTAGAAGGGGCAGAGGTAGATATCAGATTTGATAGTGGTGTTGAGAAGAGTCGAGAGCGTCATGACCAAGGTCGAGTCGGGAAGAAGGGCGAGCTGGCAGGTGGTATTCTGGGCAGTGAAGTTTCCGGGCACGATATGCTTTGCCTGAAGTGTTCCGTACTGGATGTCCCAAATTGTCAATGTGTGTTCTGCCTTGTCTATTGTTTGATATAATTAATCGATCCCAAGCGTTAGAAGATACATGGTTGTGCATTCATATACGATGACGCTACTTCTCCGAATCGACGTGCAACTTACCATTGACCTGGTGGATACCGGCCAGTGCGAGGTAGTTGTCACCCATAGCGACAGCATCAACACGGTGAACCTTGGAGTCCATGACGGTAGCAACCTTCGCGCCCTTCTTTCCTGCTTTGGCAGCTGGTGCTGGTGCGGACGAAGTGGCGTATCCAGGAAGAGGCAAAGTCAATGTCTCGCGTGCAGAGAGAGCATGGTCGCCGGCTGCCACTTCAAAGTGGTACACCTTCAAAAGTCCATCAGCGGCTATCAAAACATGAGGTTACATAAAAGCGGTTAATATACGTCAGGCTAATTACTCCATGAGTACTCCACGACAAGCGATCGCATATTCATTTGCTCTGCAATCAGTGCCAAGGATGCTTACTCAAGAATGAGAACTGCCCAGCCTTGACATCAAACGCGAATCCAGAGGCTCCAGCTGCGGTCTCAAGCTCCACTGATCCAAAAGTCGAGAATCCGCGGTGCTCCTCGTTGACATACGAGAGTGTGACGGTAAGCTTGTTGTTGGCGGACTCGACAACTGTCATGATAACAAAGATTTGGCGGGCAAGGGCATTAGAGGAGATCCATGAGCCAGTTGTGTTGAAAGAAGACGCCCACACCATGTGTCCGGTTGTGTCCTGAGCAGGGGTGGCATCCTTTTTATCCCTCTTGCTCTTAGTAGTAGTAGTGGTGGTAATGGTGGATGGCGCCAAAAGCTCCTTGGTGTTGATGACTCTCTTCAAATCTCCTGTAACAAGCGATATGCTTGCATCAGCGTTGGCCAAAATGATGTGGTTGGGGAGCAATGCCGAGACAAGCAGCTGGTGAATCTTGCGGTCGAACTATAGTGTATACAAAAGACATTGAAATGTTAGCACAGTGGTCTATTGTGATGAGATCTACCAAGATCTCAAAGAACTGTGTTACTTTCAGGGGTGATGAGTGTACCTTTTGAACGGCCTTGCGTGCAGAGGAAGACTTGACGGTATCCACTGCCATGTCAGAGTCAGCTGCAGCGGCAACAGAGCTGGGAGTCGATGACTCCTCCTTCCACATCCAGACAGTCTTTCCTTCGTCCTTGGCTGTGACATCAGTGCCCTTGGCAACCACAGCGTAGACGTGGCGCAAAGTCGATTTGTGAAGTGTCTGAGCAGATCCTGCAAACGAGTATCCTGGTGGTGTTGAGTATGAGAGAATGCACTTCTGATCCGCGGTCTATTGTCGAGAACAAAAGGTGGGTAAAGTACATAATCAGTACAAGATCAAGGGCGCCTGTTGCTTCTTCAATTAATATGACTGTTCAGTAACAGCGTCGTCGCTGCTTGTGCACACGGTCATCTGCGAGGCAAGAGGACTTGTCGACTCACATTGTAGAGTTGGACACCTTCGCCTTGGACAGCAACGACAAGCAAGCCAGAGTCTTCCTCGTCGTTTGTGGGTGTGATATCTCTCTCCTCGGTCGAGCAGCTCACGGCCTGCTGCTGCTGGTGGTGGTGGGTTGTGGAGGAGAAGCTCGCCAGGAGGAAGGGATCGTTGACCGAGACAGGCATGGTGGGAATGTAAGAGTAGTGAATGAGTTTTGTGACAAGTTGAAAGAATGGTCCACTGAACAGAGGGGCAACAGGGGACGTGAAGGAGAGAGAGAGGAGGAGAGAGGAGGAGGGGAGTAAGAGGGTTGACAAGCAGGAGAGGGCGGGGGTGTTTACAGAGTTGCAATGGAGACCTCTGCCTTGTAATAGCACTGAACGAGAGCAGTGGTATGAGAAAAAAAGAAAAAGAAAAATAGAATGTCATGTGGCTTAGCACTGTTTATCACCTTTCTGCAGTCCTTCTTTACAGACAAATTGGTGGCGCATCATTAGAAACAACAAGCAACCACAGAACAAACATAAAAGAATCCATCGCCACGATACAAAGCGAGGTTGAGTTCAAAAAATGCAAAATGAGGTGATTATTTATTGACGGTTGGTTTGGTTGTGTCTATCAGATGCTCCTGCATGGCTTCAGCAAACGTAGCAAGAGAGGGGGTGTAAATGGTCAGAGCAAATGGCCTTATTTACTTGGCCTTGGGACCACTATAAGCGATTACAATGTAACACAGAACACAGAACGATATTAGCAATCGTGCACGCATGACATACCCATTGGCAATGCTCAACGATAAAAAAAAAAAGAATACTAACCGCTTAGGCAGGGGGAATGTGAGGGGAACGGTCAAAATGGCGCGCTTCATGGACTTGACTTCCTCGTTCGAAGCACCAGACTGTGCCTTCTCGGTGGCGGTCAACTCATTGACTTTGCAGCCCAAAGACTTGTAGAGCTCGTTCACTCTGGTCTGCTTCATCGACAAGTCCCTGGTAAGGGCACCGGCATCCATGTTGAAGTTCTCCAGAGTCAATGCAATAGCGAGAATCCAGCAAAGCAACTTGTCCTTTGACTTTGGTGTGAATGTGTGTCTATTTGTAATACCGGCACGGACAAAGAAAAGACGTTTCGGGGTCAGCAATCGAGCGTGATTCACGAAAAGCACTTCTTCCCTTTCCAGTCAATAAGAACAAATAAGTGTGAACATAGCCACATACCTCTTCTTGTCGACGCCCTCGGGGGTCTCTGTGAAACGCTCGTACAAGTTCTCCATGATCACGCTGGGAACATCGCCCATGATCTTGTTCACAATTTCGCTATCGTCCAGCTTCCTGTCGGGGATAGTCCTGAAGGCCATCAGAATGCTAATGTACATCAACAAGCGGATTCTGTGGCGATCCTTCTTGCTGATAGATAATGCGGCAGTGAGGGCTCCGTTGACATAAGAAGAGTTCTGGAAAGGCAAAGCAGCCAAGGGCTGGTTGGTCTTCTCGAGCAATGCCTTGAAAGGAATGACCTGGTACTCCGCAGGTGTGATGAGAGAGTCGATCTTGTAGATATCCTCGACCTTTGTTGCAGCAAGATCGAAAGGAGGGATAGGTCTGTCCTCGTCGGCTCTGGCCTTGATGCTCTCTATAAGTCATTGTAATTGAAAGAAATAAAAGTGAGTCGACCATTCTTCACTGAAGCAGATACGCATAGTATACAGCATATATATCCGTGTAGTGTTCGATTTCGTACCCTTTGAAGGAAGAGCGCTTGTCTTTGCGGCAATAGAGTCGTGAAGGATTCCAGCAATGCTGTCCAAGGCGCTGACGTTGACGGCGTTGCGGGCCACAGAGTTGATCTGCTGCTTGATCTTCTTGGTACCGAAAGTGTGTCCCAAGATGTTCTTGGCTTGAATGAACTAGAATGCGGAAATAATACCACCATCGTGTCGTTCATGTCAGTCTCCAGATCTCCTTGGCAGTAAAGATCCACAAATTCGAGGATATTGACATTCATGTCGCCTTTCTTTCCTTGCTGGTCACGTACCTGCTCCCTGTTTGCAACTTGAGGCTTGGCGTTCTTCAGCGTTTTGATGGTACGGTTGACAGAAATGATAGGGGCATCCTTGAAGGTGATCTTGTTAGTGTCCTTGTCGCGGATTGCAAGAACATATCTGTTGCAGTGTATGAGGTCAAGGCGAAAATTTCGTGGTCAGAGTCATGCTGCGACTTTTGTTACGAGTATATCTGTATGAAATATCCCGTGTATACATAGATGGTCTCCAAGTATCCTGATGTATCCTCCCCTCCCTCTCTCTCTCTTTCTCTCACCTGCAGTATCCAGCGCGAGCAGTGTCGCCAAAGTTCTGTCCGACAAACTCGACCTTTCCTGTGTCAGCCTCCACGATTCTCCTCTTCTTCTTGTTCTTTGACTCTTCCGAGTCGGGCTTGTAGACATTGAAGGGAACGCTCTTTGGTGGCGCAATTCCAGGGAACGCAGCTATCAGGTGAAGTGTGTAGAGGACGTGATATACGAGTCAGTGTCGTTGTTGGTAGTGCTCTGTTGTCCATGGGTGTTTGTTTTGTCCATGAGTGTTGTGTTGTGTTGTGTTGAGTGAGTGTGAATGAAAAGGTACGAAGTAAAAGCGTACCGAGGAAGGGACCCTCGATGCCTGCGTCGAGGTCAGCTTTGGCGTATTCCAGTGTGACCTTGGGGCCCTCGGTATTCTTTCTCTTTGACGACATGGTATGGTATGTAGGTTGGTTGTTGGAATGCAAAGAGTAACTAAGGCACTTGTTGTTTTGCTTTTCTTTTTTTTTGACAACTTGGTTCAAAGGCATAAAAGTGACTGTTGAATCAATGATTTGAAAACAAACCTCAATTAGGTCACATGATACGCATTTGAGAATCTCGAATAAAGATTTGCCCAACCTGCCTGTCAAACAGTCAAATCTCAAGATTGAAATGCATGGGAGAAGCAAAGGAACAAGAAAAGGGTCAAGGACAAGCACCATCGTTGTTCCTGACTGAAGTGATTATCCGGTAAACACAAAAGCACTGATGGTGCCCATTTGCCCCTTTGTTACAGATAAATGATCAATTGATTTAATCACAAATGAGATCCCGGCTTGTTCTTTCTCGTCTTCTTCCTCCGCAAGAACATACCATGCGAGTCAGAGTCAGCTATTCTCTCTCCTGCTCCTCCCCTCCTTGTTCATGGAAATTCGCCAATGAATGTGATGAAAGAGTGTATCTATCTGAATGTAGCGGTAAAGGCGGATGAACGCTGAAAATGATATTCACCCGCCATGTGGAGAGGAAGGGATATTTTTGTTTTGTTTTGTTGACTTTTGTGCATCCTTGAACCCTTGCTCTCAACTCTGTGATGATCCACTACAGAGCCCACTTCTTTTTTTTTCCGGGCTATCTGCAGGTAAAGGCCCTTGAACATGATATACCCTTATTCGAAGAAGAGCAGGCTGTAGTGCACCCTAACATACCGATGAATTATCCGGGGACAACATGGTTACCCCTGTTTTGCCTAGACTTCAAAAAGCCCAAGGCCTTTTTTTCTACGAATAGGTGAGTCGGAGAGTAGGTCATAAGTCGTTCAAGGGTGTCGACAGGGACTGACGTACTGTGGAAGAACCGTCTACCCTTGAACAGGTGAAAGAGAGAAAAGTGGGAAGAGAGGGAAGAGAGGGACCCTGCTTAGGAACAGTAGCCCCTTGGTCCAATGGTAACGGACGTTTTGTTTGATCACATTTCATTTGGCGGAAATTAGAACGACAAATCAGGGTCAACGCCTGTTCGTATGGAAACAGATGGCAGGGCTTGGCATAACTTGACGGTAATGAAGGAAAAGAAGAAGAGTATGGAATACAAAGAAGGGTCTGGAGGTAGAGAGGGAGAAAAAGGTAAATTATTGCATAGCCCACAAGGAGAATTCTTCCATCTAGATTACCAAACTGTGGATTAATGGATTAGACAATAGAAAAAGGAAGAAATGGCGCAGTGCGACTGACCACGGACTATATAAATAGTGTCAACCCCTGATCATCTTTCTTGCCACCCAACGCCGTCTCTTTCTACCTTTCTTCTCATTTTCTACTTCACCCCCATCCCATCTCCTCGCAACCCCGTCGACTGTCGACTCTGCCCTACTCTTCACATTCGACAACTCGACACCGCTGCTTCTCCTCTCTCCACTTCTCACTTCTTTCTTTTCACCCATAACCCTTCTTTCTCCCTTTTTCATACACACATATACACACCTGAATACGACCCATTGACAACAACTGTCAAATCATGAAGATCACAACAGCACTCCTCACCCTTGCCCTCGCAGTCCTGTCCGTCTGCGAGGCCTCCCCAAAGCTCGGGGGCAAGATTGTCTCCCTCGTCCGCAATCCATCACACAAGAAGAACTTCCAGGCACACATCAAAAAGTTGCGACACAGGTAAGCTACACCCCCCTCCCTTTTTTCCTTGCCAAGTCTCTTCATACATGGAGGCAGTAATGAAGGTGACAGTTTGTCTCGATGTCTAACAACCGTGGTTGTCATTGTTAATGTCCATGATAGATACCCTCATATCAAAGCAGGTGGAAACACAACCGTTAGTGCTGTAGGAGTCGGCGCTGTGCCACTGATTGACGTCGGCACTGACAATGAGGTAAGAAGGGCACACAATTGAAACATGTCGTAAATGCTCCTTCGCCCTCCCTCCTTTACTCTCCCCTGCTTTGTTCTTATCGATGGTTTCAGCGCTAAAATGTCATTTAACTAACACTCTTTCACCTTCTCACTCTTCCCCTTTCTTTTCTAACAGTACTATGGACCTGTGCAGATTGGAAACCCCCCTCAGACATTCAACCTCAACTTTGACACCGGATCAGCCGACATCTGGCTCCCCGCCCTTTCCTGCAAAACCCAAGCCTGCACCGTCCACACCCGCTACAACGCTTCCGCCTCATCAACCTATCGTAAAGACGGTCGTCTCTGGGAGATCACCTATGGCGATGGGTCCGGGGCCAATGGAATCCTTGCCTCGGATATGGTCAACGTCGGAGGGATCCAGGTTCGTCAGACCATTGGGCTTGCGACCAACGAGACTGCAGACTTTGAGACTTCGCCCGAGGACGGGCTCTTTGGTCTGGGGTTCAGTGCCATCGAATCCGTCCCTGGTGTTAAGACGTTCATGGACAATGCTATTGCTGCCAATGCCGTCGCCCTCCCTGTCGTCTCGGCTTACCTCCCTTCGGTGCGTCGTAATGGAGGCAAGGATGGACACTACCTCTTTGGCGCAATTGATGATACAAAGTTCCAGGGTAACCTCACTTACGTCCCCGTGACCCAGCAAGGGTACTGGCAGATCACCATCGAGGATGTCTCCTTCAATGGCAATTCGCTCAACTATACCACCGAGGGCATCATTGACACCGGCTCTACCTTGGTCATGGTCAGCGACGCTGCCGCCGCCTCAATCCACCAGAACATCAATGGCTCGTCGCTCTCTCAAGAGGCCCAGGGTTGGGTAGTTCCCTGCGCTCTAGCCAACACCACTGGCGCAGTTGGCTTCACAATGGCTGCCAAGTCGTTCGAGGTCCCTTTGGCTGACCTGCCCTGGCTGCCGGTCACCGAGGGTAGCGAGACTTGTTACTCGGGCGTTCAGGGTGGTGCTGAAGGACTTTGGATCCTGGGCGATGTGTTTATCAAGAACAACTACTGTGTCTTTGACCATTCCACCCAGGCATCCATTGGAATCGCCCCTCTCATTTAATAGTCGACTCAAACAACATTCTCATGACACTCACGACCAGAAAAAAAAGATATATGTATTTATTGTAGACTTAGATATGATGACCAACTGTAAATATACCCTTCTGCATGGTTTATTATCCTTTTGCTCTTTCTCTGACATTGACCAATGCATGTTGAGATCAATGAGAGCATACTTTGCTGTGAAACGCAAGCGTGCTTAAGGAAATTTGGTGGCGTTTGACAGTGACACAAATCACCTTTTGAGACATCCTTTTTCGAGTGATCCTTGTTTTGAATCACAAGAAAAAGAGTGGTCTTTGACAAATAAAGGCATACAGACCTCGAAAGGGTAAGCACAAGAGTCTCAAGCTGTGGGGTAGAGTAGGGGCACGTTTTTTGTCGTAGGATTAATGCATGGCTGCATGTAGAAGAAAAGAATATTTCAGTTCACTAGAATATTTCCCAAGAGCTGGTTCCCCACATGAGACTACCGGTCTTGGAAGAAAGACTCTTTTTTTACTCGCGTCGTCGTGTTCATTTCTCTTTATCTTCTTTACTCCCCCTACGCCTATTTTCTTCTTTTTTATTTTTATTTGTCTTCCCCTCATACAAACACAGTCGCCACTACTTCCACCTTCACCATGAAAATATCAACCATACTACTCTCACTCGCCATCGCAACACTCGTCTTCGCAGATGAAGATTCAACCACCTCGGTCTTTGAGGTCCCCCTCATCCACAACCCAGCCTACCGTGGCGACTTTCAAGCCCAGATGCAGAAAATGAGATACAGGTGACCAACGAAAGCTTTTACCAAACATTTGGGGAGATCCTCTGTGGCCGAATGTGGGGGAATGTAATGTCCCAACACTCACTATCAATTTTCGTGTCTTTGTGCGTACGTGGGTAGATATGGCTCGCCAGAAACTATTGCAGCGGCCACGAAGGGTGTTGGATTGGTCCCCGTTACCGACCCTTCTTTTGACTCCGAAGTAAGCTTACACATATTCTTTTTATGTCACCATGTCCTTCCCCCCTACCAAGTCTGGACACTGACAACTAACACTACTGTTCTCTTCCCGCCTTCGTCAATGCTCCTCATCCTACCAAAAAAAAAATAGTACTACGGTCCAGTCAAGATCGGCACACCCGGCCAGACATTCAACATGAACTTTGACACAGGCTCCGCTGATATCTGGTTAGCCTCCTCAACCTGCCCTACCGCTGCCTGCAAATCCCACCGTGGCTTCAACTCCTCTTCCTCCGCCACCTTCACCCTCGACCCGGCCGAGCGGCGCTTCCAACTCGTATACGGAGACGGATCCTATGCTTCGGGTCACATCGGCACCGATATGGTCAATGTCGGAGGGATACAGATCCGACAGACGATTGGGCTGGCGACAAATGAGAGTTCGGAATTTGGGGTTTCGAAGATGGATGGGATGTTTGGGTTGTCGTTTAGTTCCTTTGAGTCTGTCCCCGGGGTGCAGACGTTTATGACGAATGCGATTGCGGAAAAGGCGGTGGCTCTCCCGGTTGTGTCGGCTTATTTGCCGTCTTTGAGGAGGAGTGGTGGTAAGGGCGGGCATTACTTGTTTGGAGCGATTGATTCGACAAAGTTCCAAGGAGACTTGACATATGTCCCTGTGACCGTCAAGGGGTACTGGCAAGTCGCCGTTCAAGACGTCCTGGTCTCTGGTCAATCTCTCGACAGCTCCTACCAGGGGATCATCGACACTGGCACAACACTCGTCATCCTGGACAACATGACCGCCGCCGCGGTACATTCCAAGATCGATGGCGCCAATTTCGACGCGCAGAAAAAAGGTTGGACCGTCCCTTGCTCGTTGAGTAAAGCCACCACGGGGTCGGTCGGGTTCAAGTTGGCGGGGAGGGTATTTGAAGTACCGATGGCGGATATTGTATGGGAGCCTGTTGAGAAGGGGAAGGGTAAGCCTGGTGAGGAGATTTGTTATTCGGGGGTGCAGAGTATGGGTCTTCCTGTTTGGGTCTTGGGGGATGTGTTTATCAAGAACAATTATTGTGTTTTCGACCAGTCTGATGTTCCTTCTGTTGGCATTGCTCCTCTTAAGTGAATAAAAAAGGTGTATGGATTTTTGACGCGTCGTCTCGGAGTGTGAATGGAGGGGGGGGGGGGGGGGGCGCAAGGAGGCGATCACTTTTTAATTGACGCGATTTGATAGAGAACACTTTTGTGGATGTTTGTCGAGTGGAGGAAGAGGAGGAGGGAACGAGGTGACCATATTGATCCTATTTCTGAACGGACGCGTCTATTATTTTTCTCTCATCTCCAGCGCCCAGTGAGGAGAGAAAGAAAGTAAGAGAAAGAGAGAGAAGAGGAAGTGGGAAAGAAAAAAGAGAGAGTGTGTGTGTGAGAGCATAGGGAGGGAGTGTGAGATGGTGACATCAAAGGGAAGAAAAGCCAGACTAGATATCGGCCGTCCACATTCCCACCCCCACACTCAAAAAAATAATTTAAAACTCGCATAAAAAGTCGTTACACCATTTTGCTCGTTTTTTTCCATTATGTGTTTAAACGTAAAATGTCTCCTTTTTTGCCCGTCCTATTTTATTATTGTGATTCCCACAAGAGTCGTTCTAGCTCACGATGAACGACCACCTACCAAATCTCGGTGTGAAGTGAATATTATCGTTCCTGACACCCCGCGCCTCAAACAACTCAAACATTGCCTCCCAGTCCTCAGAGTGCTGTGTCAACGGGCCCGTGAACTCTCGTAGTCGCGGCCAGTGCTTCAACATCCATTCTATATCATCGGGGCGGGCATTGTCGAATGTCTTCTCGACCCTTACGGCTCGGAGCTGGAGTGAGTTGGTCATCTGGCCCAGTCCTGAATCTAGTCTCCATTGTAATGGTGGGCCTTGTTTCTTGAGAGGGGTTGTTGTAGTTGTTGGTGTTGTGTTGACGGTGGCTGTGGCTGTGTCGATAGAGGAGTACTCCCACATAAAGTCCTCGTCCACGTCCAGGCTCTGGAGTTGCTCAAGTCGGGAGAGGTGCCAAAAGACTGTCGGGCTGAAAAGATTATCATTGTCTGTGTCGTTGTCAAAGTAGAGACGGAGCCGCTTTAACCGTCGACACACCCACGGCAGAGGGTTCGCCTGCAGATCACTGAACGCAACATGAAACGCCTCCAGATCCTCGAGTTGCGTACAGTTGTGCAAGATCTCCAGAACCATCATACTCGTCACTCGGACACATTCCCGTAGATGCAGTGCCTGTATTCCCGTGAACTGACGGATCCTGAGCCAATCAAAACATTGCGGACCAAACGCCTTTGCGTCCATTTCGAGGCTCGTCAGTGCAGGCAGGCGACGCATAACGACCGAGAGAACTTCATCCGACTCTGTGACACCTGTTAGACAAAGACCCTGCAACTGCGCCCATGTCGTCTGTTCCAACGCCTCTGCAAATTGCGGGATAGGAAGTTCAGATCCTGCCATCTCCCATCGCATCCTTGTCAGGTTGGGGCAGCGCTTGAGCCACTCGAGATGAATGATAGTGTTATTGACATCGCTATGAGCAGTGTTGATCCCGAGCGTGATCCGATCCAGTCCCAGAAACAAGATCGGTGGCACCAGATCCGACAAGAGCCCATCCCGACCAAAACATGCAACCTCCCTGAACCGCGCACAAGTCCCCCAGAACGCATTCACAGGCGCCCTCCCCAACAGATCAAAAACCCCCGTCAGCCGCAGCGACCTCGCCCGCCGCAGCGTTATCGTAATTGCCTCCCAAAACTCATTCGACGGCGTATGATTGGCAAGATGGATCGTCAAATCCTGAATCGTCGGGTTTAATCGAATCAACGCCGTATTATTAACCTCCTGCTGAGCCGATCCCTGAGCCCGTCGTGTTGGGTTAGCGCCCTTGAAGTGGATCTCGAGTGAACACAGCGCCGGAAAGACGATGCGGTAGTATTCTGGAGGGATGGTTCCGAAATTGTGGAGGCGCTGGACAGACTCGGCGTTGGTTTGGAGGTGTGTGACAATGGGGAGTTTGCCGGTTTGGAGGGTAACGTCGTTCCAGATGAGGTGGGAGAGAGATTGGTGGAGGTGGCGGCAGGTACGGATTGCGGTGATGATGTCGCGTTTGGTGAGGAAGGTTCCGATGTAAGTAATGATTTCTTCTGGAAGATCTGTGATGTGTGCCATGGCAGGCCTTGTTGTCGTTGTTGGTTGAATGTAAAAGACGAAAGAGAGCGTGACAACAGAAATTGGTGGTCAAATTAAAGGGAACACGTTTCGACACCGTGCCACTTTTAAAATAATCAATGTGAGACAAAGATAATTATGAAAAGATAACTCTTAACAGTGTTATTCGTATTTGATCAGCTACAATCTACTATGCCACTCGTCTTTCGCTTCCAGAATGACATTATGCTGCCCAAACATACTCACAAAACGCTTCCTAGTCACCGCATCCTGCGACAGGCTACAAGTCACCTTCTCCAGAACTGGCCACTGACCCAACATCCACTGGGCATCCTCCATCTGTGCATCGTGATGCAAGCTGTTAATCGTCACCGTCCTCTGTCGCCTCAGAGTAGAAAGATGCCGCAGTCTCGAATCCAGCCGCCATCGGAGTGAACTCAGTTTCTTCGCCCGACTGACGATGTACCTCGGCAAGGCCCAAGTGTGGCGCACATTAAGATTCAGGGTCTCTAAACTTTCCAGTCTCGAAAGCTGCTTGGACACAAGCTCGCCGTCATCATTGGACCTTGTCGGGTCAGTGACAAAAGAGAACTCGAGAATCTTCAGCCTCAAGCAGATCCACGACTCTGGATTCGACCGGAGATCACTGACAGAAACAGAGAACGCCTTGAACACTTCCAGCAAGGGACACCCTGTCAGGATATCGAGTATCATCCTGCTCAACAGTCCATGGCACCTTTGGATGTCAAGCGTCGTAACATTGTCGAACAAACTCGGCTGAAGAACTGCAAAGCTCTGCGGACCATAACCCGCCGACTCGTGTTGAAAGCGTTTCAGAGGCGGCAAATGTCACGTAGCCAACGAGAGCTAAGCACCCGAGCCACGGGATACTGTCAATGCAAGGTCGGTGAGTCGTGTCCATGTCTGCTGCTCCAATGCCTTGGCGAATGTCCCAATCGGGAACTCTGCGTAGTCGTTGAGTATGCGCAGTTTGGCGACGTTGGAGCACATCTTGAACCACTCTATGCTTCCATTTGCGGATGTTTTCGTCGATATGTGAGCTCCCACGGCCACTGTCAGTTGCTGGAGTCGGGAAAAGGAGACTGTTGGCAGGACAGATGAGATGGCGAATCTATGTCCACTGACAGAGATCTCCTCGAATCGAGAGCAAGCCCTCCAGAACGCGTTCAATGCGCCTCCCTGTAGCACTCCAAAGTCATGAAAGTCGGGGCGCCGAGGGTTCTTCAGGGTTGTAAAGACAGTCGTCTAAAAGCTCGCAAAGTGCCCCGAGTTGACGTAGAGGTGTGTGATGGTAGGGTTAAGTCTGACAACGGTCGAGTTACCCTTATTCTGCTTATGTATCTGTGCGTGCTGTATATTTGTAGTGCCGTTCATAGGCAAGCCGCAAAGGTTGACCCGCAGGGAATTGAGGTTCGGGTAAACAACGCTGCAGTATGGTTTGGGAGGGGTACCGGCGTATTCGAGGCTGCGAACGCTGGGGCATTCCTGGTAAGAGCATCGATATGGTAGTACTTGTACTTGTTTAGACGAGAAGGACGAAGGACGAAGGTTTTCCAGAATCCAGGGGTGAAGAGGAGTTGTAGTTGGCGACAAGTGTGTGTAGCTGCTGCGAGTCTTTCCTGTCGAGGTAGTGTGCGATGAGAGTGAGGATCTCGTCTGGCAGGAGGGTGATGTGTGCCATTGGGTAGCAAGTTGTGAGTCGACAGAGAGAAGGAGCGGAATAAAAGGACGAGTGAAGGTCGACGCTTCTTTCACCCCTGCAATTGGGTTAGCCACTTATGCCCCTCAATGGCCGAGACTGTGTCCGCCAATAACTAAAGAATAGAATACGTTTGAATTGGATCATATGATCAATTCAAAAGAACTACCAGATCCAAGGTGCTGGCTCGGTTACCATCCTTAGTTAAATAAATTGTTGGAGGTGACTGTACAGTCTACCAAGCTATCGTTTAGAATACGCTATCGCTCCTATTCAAAAAATCCATTTAAAAACGATTTTGCGCACCAGTTTCTCCCTCTTTTTCATCCACACATAACCACCTTCCCATCATGCCTAAACACCATTCAATTGAACTCAAAGGCCGCATCGTCGGGGCCTATGAAGCTGGCACCACCATAGCCAACATTGCACGCTTACACAGCCTCAACAAAAGTACCATCGCTTCGATAATCAACAAATGGAGAACCGACAAAACCATTGTCCCCAAGACATCTGGTGGAAGACGACCTATTCTCGACGAGCTAGATGTCGATATTTTTCTCAACAACACCAGGCAACACAACCACGAAACCCTTCAGGATCTGTCCATACTCTCCCCCAAACCAATCTCCAAAAGCACTGCGCGACGAGTTCTTCACAACAACCGTGTCTTCCGACGAGTCGCTGTCACTAAACCTCGCTTAGAGCCAAGGCATGTCGAAGATCGACTGGATCGATTGGGAAAGAGTTGTTTGGACTGACGGGTCTAGCTTTTGAACTAGGCAAAGACTTTAGGAAGGTCCGTATTTGGCGCACCAAGGAAGAGAAGTATCTGTGCGAGAATATCCATCCAACTCTCCGAAGCGGACGATCAAGCATCAAGGTGTGGGGTGCGATTGCAGGGGGAAGGAAATCGAGGTTGGTCATAATCGACGGCGAAAACAACAAAGGGCAGGGGTTCATCGATACAGTGTATGATATCGAGTTGAGAAGGTTTATGGCAGAGGTGAGGAACAGTATTCTAATGGAAGACAACGCACCAATCCACAACAGCAAACTTTCGGAAAGGTGGAAGACGAAAAACGGTGTCCGGGAAATGTTGTGGCCTGCCAATTCACCAGATCTCAACCCTATCAAGGACGCCTGGTCGATCCTCAAAGACCTTCTCAACAAACGCCCCAGAAAACCGACCAGCAAGGATGAGATGATAGATGCCATCAAAGAGGCATGGGAAAAAATAGCCCCACACACCATAATCACCCTTGTTGGATCCATGAATAAAAGAGTTCAGGCGGTGCTGGAGGCACAAGGTGACTCCACGCGCTATTAAACCTATTAAACCCTCAAATGAATTGGTGAAATCAAAGAGTTCGATACTTGGAAGACTGTAATGAAAATACCTCTCACGCCTCACCCACCTCATTCCTCCTCTCCTTCTCTCCTTCACATCCACTTATTACACATCAACACAATGTCTGTCTTCGAGATCCCGGAACTTGCACACCTGATCGCCCCATACCTTCGCCCACACGACCTAACCCGCTGTGTGCGCGTCAACAAGACCTGGCACGCCAGCTATATTCCCATCCTCTGGCGTTTCATTCCTCCCACCTCGTCTGAAGATATCGATGAACGAGATGATTTGGAGCTAGCTTCCTTGGCTGAAGTTGCTTTGAGGCCGTTGAAGTGCTGGGAGGCCTTTCGCAGGGTTGTGGTTGGGGATTATCAGTATTCGCTTCGGCATGGGGACGATGGTGGGGCGGGAGGAGAAGGTAAATTACCGACGTTATCGAGGTATGGTCATTGGATCCGGAAACTGAACACTAGTCAAGTCAACATGTCGAGACTCCCTGCGAAATTCGCGCAATACAATTTCCTCAACAGCAGCAGCAGCAGTAACAGCAGCTCTTCGACACGGTCGCATAATGATCCCTTCGCTATGTTTGGTCTGGATCGTCACGGGGGGCCATTCTCTATGGACGGGAACGCGTTGTCGCAGGTGATGGCGATGGCGATGACTGAGGTCGATCCCGATTTGATGTCACTTCTTCCAGCAGGACTCTTGGACGACCGATTAGTTCGACCACGACCCTTTCCAAGGAATGCCGCCAACATCAGGACCGCCGCTGCCCCCGAACCGTCCGGCAAAGAGCTTCTACTCCACCTCCTCAAACGATGCCCCAACCTGCAGTCACTGGAACTTGTCAATTGGGATGACTACGACGTCAAGGAAGATCGGGCGTTCTGGAAAGCGATCGCGACCGATGTTGTGCCCCGACTTCAAGAATTGAATGTCAACGTTCGTGATGTCGCCCACCATACCCAGCCATCTCCTTACACCGCACCGCTGCTGTTTGCCCACTGCTCGTCAAAGATGCAGACCTTCAAGTTGCAGTTAATTGCATATCCTTCGTCAGCGTCGTCACCTATACGCAGGGGGCACCAGAGCAAGGGCAAGAACGTCGAGGTACCCGATCCCGAGCCAGAGATGGATGATTCACCGTTGACGGGTATGAGGGAACTGAGCGTCGTGTCAAAGTATGACACCATGTATCCTCCCTCATGGCTTCGTTTCTTGTCACGATGTGTGAACCTCGAGCGTCTTGAAGTCACCAAGGTCATTCCCGCCTGGTACGGAACCCTGCGTGGATGTGTGAACCTCCGGAGCCTAGCCGTTCATGACGTCAGCACTGCATGCATTCAGTTCATAGCCGATGCCCTCAGGAACAGTTTCCTTCACCTTGACGAGATTGAGATCATGCAGGACTATGGCGACTTGAAAGAAGGCGCTGTGGCGGATATGATTTCGGCTTGCCGGGCAGGGTGGAAATTGGTCGATATTCCTACGCTAGACACCGCTGCTGCCGACGCTTTGGTCAACCATTGTCCTACTCTAGAGAGATTGGAGTTCAGGAGATCGGACAGTCTGACGAGCTTACAGATGCACCAGATCCTGTCGACTAGTCCGCGCCTTACGACCTTTGTGACCATGCACGACAGCTCGCATGATCTCGAAAGAGATTGGTTCGTGTCGGCGGTGACCAAGTTTGCGGTTCAGGACTTTATTGATCTCGACCCTAACACCAAGACTCTCAAGCCCTGGGCATGTGAGTCTACGCTGAAGGTCTTTGCGGCCAAGATTACCGGGATCCCACGACCAGATATCACCCAGACCTTCCACGGACACCCTCGCCAAGGCGGACTTCAAGAGACCCATCCGGGCCAGAGTCAAGAACTCCAACGACGAGTCTATGAGCGTCTCGCAAGATTCACACACCTGGAAGAACTAGAACTGGGCCATGACGATCGCGACTGGGACAACGAAGATAACTATATCAATGATGCGGAAGGCGATCTGGTGTACAACGACGTGGATTTCCAGTACGAGTGCGTGGATCTGACGCTCAAGAATGGTCTGGGCTTGTTGGAGGGGTTGAAGGAGTTGAAGACGATCAATTTTATGCGGATGGCGACTAGGGTTGGAACGGAAGAGGTCAAGTGGATGGTGGAGAATTGGCCAAAGTTGGAGTATATCTCGGGATTAGATGTGCTGCTTACGGAGGAGAAAGCTGGTGTGTGGTTGGAGAAGAAGCACCCGAATATTGCTGTTGTTCCTTATACTGTTGATGGTTAGCCTCACTTGTATTTGTTTCCGTAAATTATCAGTAAATAACTTATTCTGGAGAAGACAGAACGGAGAGACGGTCTAGGACTAAAATATTTTTTGGAGGTATGGTCGATAAGATCTTATCAAAGAAACTCCTTTTTCATCACCATCAATTGATCACTGATAGTAACCGTTTTTTTTCCTAGTGATCGTACTTGGACCCCTTCGCTCCTTCCCCTCCTATAATTCAAGCCCAAGGGTCGCAGCGAATCGCTCCAACTCCTCACACTTCTCCTTAACCCTCGAAAACGTGCCCCCAACCTCCTTCAACGCCGGCAAGTTCTCTTTCAACCACACAAGTTCATCTACCCCCATATCCTTCTGCGCCGCATCCTTAAACGCAATCGTCCTCAACTTCTTTAACTGCACCAGTCGCTCCAGTCCCAGTCCCAACTTCCACTGCAGCGTATACGCGCCTTCTGGTACGGGGAGATCCCTCCTGTTCTCCACCGAAAACGTCCGACTGAAATAACACTCCTCGAGCTGTGACATCACTGAGAGTCGATGAAACGCTATATCGTTCGAAACCTCGGTCTCGGTCATGAAAAAGACATGAAGGCTCTTCAAGCCCTCACAGAGCCAGGGACCGCACAGATCCTCGACGTTGATCATTACAGCTCGGAAATCCTCCAAGTGCACACATTGCTCTAATACATTCACCGCCATCTGGCTCGTAAACTTGTACGTCCCCGACATGTCCAGGACCCGGATGCTGGCAAAGAGTCGGTTCTGAAGAGCAAGGAACGCCTGTTGCCCAAACTTGCGAGACTCTAGGGTGAAGCGGGGTAGAGGGGGTAGGTGGGCAAACATGACCGCAAGGTCCTCATCATCCTCTGCCAGCTCCCTCAATGATAGGTCTTCCAGATCCGGCCATGTCTTTCGCTCCATCGCCTGTGCCCACGCTTCAACCGGGATGGATCCATAAAAGAGTTCCCAATGCAGTTTGGTCAAGTTGGGACACTGCTTGAACCAATCGAATTGCAGAAGCGGGTAAAAGCGCTTCTTGTTCCAGTCGGTCGATCGGAACACAAGTCTCTTCAGCCGAGGGAAGGTGAGCGTTGGTAAGAGCTTTGAGACGTCCATGTCGCTGCCATTGCTTTCAATCTCCTCAAACAGCGTACACGCTCTCCAAAAAGAATCAACGACGTCGGCCCCTTGGAGCTCCTTGACATCCGACAGATGAAGACATATCGGGTCCTGTAGAGTCGAATAGATGGCTTCCCAAAAGTCACTTGGCGGTCGAGCGAACTCGACATGGATACTGAGCTCCTTGATATTCGGGTTCCGCCGCACAAGCTCCGCATTGTTGACCTGCTGCTCTGCCTCCATCGCATCGTCCTCCTTGCCGTCCGGCGACGAGTAATCAATCTCGTGGAAAAGAGAAAGTTTGTGCAGCTGTGGGAATGAGATCTGATAGTACTCTGTTCGGAAGGGTCCAAGGAGACTGAGAGACTGCACGAACCCGGCGTACTGGCTCAACCTCCCCGCAGATACGAGCACCCCTCCCTTGAGAGGACGGCAGGCCCTGTCCCCGAAATTATCGCAGCGAAGATAGGGAAAGTCTGACTCAAGGCTGATCTCCTGCCATAAATAGGCGAGTAGTGATGAGGAATGGGAGAGTTGGCGGCAAGAGCTGACAAGTTGGGCGAGATTTCCTTTCGAGAGGGAGGATGCGATGATGGCGAGGAGTTCCTCGGGGAGATCGATTAGTCCTGTCATTGGTTGTCGTTTGTCGTTGTTACTGTGAGTTGCGGGAAAATAAAAGATGGAAAGCAAGAAACGAAAAGAGGGGCTTTTATTTTTGCTCAAAAGAGACAATACATAAAGAGATCAATGGTCAACATGCAGAACGCCTCGTCGTCCAAGAACTCTAGCCAACTTCTCATGTCGCTCAGCATCTAAACAAAGTCTTCCCTTCACCTCCTCCAATGCTGGCAAGTTCTCGGCAGTCCACTCCACATCCTTGTCTGTCAATATCGCCTGCACGGTGCTCCCAAACGTGACAGTCCTGAGTTTCGTCAACGTCGACAATTGACCCAGTCCATGCTCCAGATTCCAGGGCAATCGGTACATACCACTTGGTACAACGTGCGCGGTTTTCCAGTCTTCCAGTCCCATATCAAGATCCAGACTCTCCAGTTCGGTCAATCTCGAGAGTGCCCCAAACACCGCCCTGCTCGATGCATCCGTGCCAGAGACAATTATCGTCGCGAGTCGTTTCAATCCCAAGCAAACCCAGGGTCGCTGCTCGTTGTCGATCTCCTGGGCAATGATGGTCACTCCGTGAAAGCGTTCCAAATGAACGCACTCCCGCAGGACATCCAGTGCCATCCGACTTGTGAAATGGTCGTTCCCAGTCAAATCCAGAACCCTGATGGTGTTGAACAGTCGCGCACGAAGGGTGTTGAAGGTTAAAGGCCCAAATCTTTTTGATCGTAGTCGAAAGGAGCGCAGAGGTGGTAAATGAGCCGACATCGCCGCAAGATCATCGTCCCCGTCACCCAGCTTCTCCAGCGACAAATCGTCCAAACTTGGCCACGTTCCTTGCTCCAAAGCCTCTGCAAACATGCTCGACGGGAATCCGAACGAATCAAACTTCCAATGCAGTCGCGTCAGTCCAGGACACCGCCGTAACCAAACAAGTTGCGATCGAGTGCAAAAGCCCATCTGGAACTTGACACTAGACCGGAGCGATACCCGTAAAAGTCGAGGGAACGAGAGTTGCGACAAGATGCGTGTGGAGTCCATGCTATCGGCACTGCAGTGGATCTCCTCGAACAAGCTGCATGCTCTCCAGAATGCGTCGAGGGTTTCACCCTCGGTTCGCCTCAAACCCATGACGACAAGCCGGGTTGGGTTGACGAGTGTCGTCGAAATAGTGTCCCAAAAGTCAGCCGTGGGTTGAGGCTCACGTACCTGGATTCGGAGGTCCTTGATAGTCGGGTTCTGTCGAATAAGTGCTGCTCTATGGCGATACTGCTCTGCCCGCATTGATGCGTCAAGCGCGTAGCTAAACGTCGTCTGGGTGTCGTCGAAGGGGGCATGATAGCTGGTGTCGAGGTACAGTCCAAGTATATGAAGGTAGGGGAACACGATAGTGTGGTACTCTTGGGGGAAGGGACCGTGGAGGCTGAGGTGTTGAACAAGAGGTGCGTGTAATTCCAGTCTGGAGCTTGTGATGATGGGTCTGTCGGGGGGAATGTCCACTCTCTCGCCAATGCGAGGGTCTTGGAAGTGAGGAAAGGCAGACTGAATGTAGACTTCCTTCCACAGTTGGCTGAGGAGTGCCTTGTATAGGCTATGGCAGGTGGTTGCCAGTCGGAGGCGATCTCTCCTGTCGAGGTAGTCTGTGATCGTGGAGATGATCTCCTGTGGAAGAGTAACGATTCCTGTCATGGAGAACAACTGTTGGTTTGCTTTGAAGAAAAGAAAAGAAGAGAAAAGAAAAGGACAAGAAAAAGAAACGAACTTGAATTGCCACCTGCTCGCAAAATTGGCAGAATTCTTTCTTCAAATACAGTAGGTGGAAACGGAGAGACAACGCATGTTGGTGTTAGAATAAATAAGATGGGTTATGATATCTACTGGCAACCCCAAGGAATGATCGACGGTCGATAGAAGGTCGATCCCTTCCAGGCACCACCACCCCACCCACCTGCTGGTCTTGATTATTTCAGTTTTTGATCCCAGGCACCATCACTGATGACTTTATTTGTCTCACTGTGGTATCAATGAAAATGAAGACAACGGAAAGGCTCAAGACAGCCACTTTTTATCTCCTCTCGCGGCTCAAATGGATAGTTATGGTGATGGCTATCAATGGAAACGGGAAGGACGAACAAACAAGAAAGGGGTAAATAGGGGAAATGGAACAACAACCTGAAATGGCGTTGGGACTTCTAGTATTTTAGAGTCGACAGCTGCCTTCTTTTCCTTTTTCTCCTTTTTGATTTTGAACGACACAACACCACAAACAATCAAGCCAGCCAACGGGAAGCAAGGAAACAACGAACGATCAACATGGCAGGCATTGCCGACCTTCCGCAGGAACTGATCACGATGATTGCAGTCTACCTCAACAGGACAGATCGCTTTCGATTCGCAAGCACTTGTCGTCACATCTACCGGCCTCTCACACCCCATCTCTGAAAGGAGGATTACATACAATCAGATCATCCTCGCTACTCCTTCCCAACCGCCGACTACGTTATGATCCACTTCCCTCCTACGAAACCTGTCATTACAAACACAAGGCTCAAACAATACGCACCATTTGTTCACCGTCTCAGCCTTTCTGGTCCTTTTCGCCCAGAATACTACACCATCAAGTTCCTCCGAATTCGCACCTTCGACTTCAACTACAAATGCAACTACCAGGCGCCCTGTAACAAGTACGAAATTGACCGCGACCTTGACGCCGCAATGATAGCAGAGGATAACGCCAACAAGGCAAACTTTATTCGACTCAACCCTACGATCAAGGATCTTCAGGTCGACATTGGTCCACCCCAACTCCCTGCCGACTTTTGGGACGCTATCTCGACAACACTCGACAACCCGACCGAACAGTCATGGCGACAAACTGGACGTATTCTGGAAGGCGTGCGGCCTGTTTGAAGAGCTCAATATTACAGCCACGGCCATGGGCTACACATCAGCCCTCTTACAGCTGCCGTTCCCTCGACTCAAGCGAGTCTCGCTTGATGCCTTCTGTGGACTTTGGGCCATGGATGCAGATCAATTGGCTTGAGTGGTGTCCCAACCTGACAAAGTTGCACTGGAAATTCATTTTTCTACGATTTACCGGCGGCCAAGTTTATGGCGGCGCTAAAACGGAATACATGGCCGTGTCTGGAGGATCTTTCGTTGGGTAAGCTGGACGAAAGGGACGACGATCTTGCGAGTACGTTGGCTCTTCTGCCACCCTTGCGTCGCTTTCGACAAAGATCAGCCAAATTTGGTCCGGCGACTTTCAGCACCCTTCGCGAGCGACAGTTCGGCGCCATCAAGGATTTGGATATGACTGGGGTTGTCGATTTCACTAATTGAATGGCTGTGAGTGTGTTACAGGAGTGTGTCCATCTGGAAGAGTTCAAGACGGCGATTATCAATGCCGAGGACATTGACAACGACTCGAGGCCATGGGTATGTCGAGGATTGAAGCGATTGGAGACAATTTTCATATGCAGAAGTATTGCTTCGAACGAGGGGGCCTTTGAGTCTCTTTCGCAATTGACCAATTTGGAGTATCTTGATATCGGTCATGAGAAACTGATCGCGTCGGTGCTTTGCAGTCTCGTACCTGAAGGCGCACAGAGTTCGACGCTGGTTTTGGAGCATAGATTGAGTCGTTTGGTTCCGCTGACAAAGTTGAGGATTGTGGGCCTTATTGGTACAGAGCAAAAGGTGAAAGAGGTGGACCCGAGGTGGATGCATGAGAGTTGGCCAGCGCTTGAAGAAGATAGAAGGTCGACGATGCGGGAGGCGACGAACACGGGTGGCTGAGCGGCTGTTATTTGTGGACATGGATGGATTCTTGCCACCAAAGAGGCTCAGAATGAAAGTAAATTATCACACTGTCAATCTTTGGCCATTGTAAATGAGAGGCGTCTTTGTTGTTGTTGTCAACGCCGAAACAGAAACGACTGACCATCACAGAAACAGAAAATTGCCCGGTGGACGAACGGACACCAACTTTATTTTTTGTCTCCTCTCTTCCCCACCCATCCTTTCTTCACTTGTCACTCTTTTTCTCCTTCACTCCTCCTCCTCCCTTCATTCGCACGAACACAAACCACACGCACACACACACACACACACGCACACACACACACGCGCGCGCCCGCACCATGAAACGAACAATAGAACAACCCTCAACAGCCCATGCGCCTCCAACAAAAAAGATCCCCTACTTCATTCCCAGAGCCGGCAACCCCCCTTCCCCACCCCCAGGCGTCGCAGCAGAAATGTGCAGCTTCGACATCTGCAGCAAACGACTCACCGAGAACGATGCCAAGAAACTAGCGGATCACGACCGGTCATTCCACAGGAGGCATGCCGTTCATGTCATCCTATCTTCCCGAGGAGCAGGAGGACCATCAATGCAGCAACAGACGATAGAGCGACACGTCTCGGGTTACTACTTCTGCCCCCACCGACCTTGCATTGTTCAAGCTGGCAGCAGTAGTAGCGATGGAGGTAGCAGTAGTAACAGCAACCATAATAACAGCAGCAGTAACTACGGACCCTTCAGGTGCTACAACAAGGACAGTTTTATCACGCACTGTCGTAGGGCTCACGGACTCGAGGTACAGAAGCTGTACAGCTCTCTTGCTGCCGATTCACCATTTCTGTCGTTGTCGCCCACGTCCTCGGCTGCGGCTGCTGCCGTCGCTGCAGCTGCAGGTGGTTCCAGCCGGTTCAACCCATTATCCCTGGAAGAAGGAGGGGGGCTCGCGCCCATACTTCCCACCGGCTCGACGACGGATAACCTGCTTCTGCAGTTGTTGCTGGCCATGGAAGACATCAAGACCGCTATCAACATCCAATCAAAAACCATCACCAAGGCGATCAACAAACAATCTGCGGCGATCACGGCGGCAATCAATGAACAGACAGAGGTCCTCAGGGAACACACCACGGCGATCAACAACCATACTGCAGCGATTAATGACCAGTATGAATAGAGGCATCGGCGACAACAGCAACCAACAGGGAACAGCATTACGCATTTTTGGGATGGATCACCAAAGCGGCAGGAGAACATCGTCCACTTCACATTCTCTTTCCAGGAACTCTCCATTTTATCCACAACCGCGTCTCGTAAGTCCTTTACTTCTTTGATTTGTTGTTGTTGAATGCTGCTGTGCGTATTTTATTTCGTATTCTAATTAATATGACATGCGCGTGTACATTTAGTTGACCCAATGACACAAGAGTAACAAGAGTAGACCTCCAGAGCGCGCTTTTTTGCCATCAGACGCGACAACGCCATTTCTCGATCTCCTCTCCTCCACCTGTCACTCTGCCAATGACAACAACAGTAACAACGAATAAGATTATTGAGCACAACTGTTGGGATCGCGGGCGCTTCCTCCCCACTGCTTTCGCATTGAACTCTTTCTTTTTTCTCTCGACTTGTTTCTCTCGACTTGTTCTCTCGACTTAAAAATGTACTTCTCACTCTCAAGTGTATTTTTCTTTTCATCTTGCTACATTTTCTTCCTCGCACTTTCTCTTTTCGCTTATCTCTTCACCTCCCTTCTTCCTACCATTCTCCCCTTCTCCTCTTCACGTCACTTTTTGCACTCACAACAATGGCACTGAGCAAAAGTGAAAAAATAAAAACGCGTAATAAAACCGATAGTATAAACTCAATTGCGCTGCAGTGTAACGAAAATGATCCCAATATCAGCTCCAAATCATCTTCAGCCTTTCAATAGCCAGCCTGGTCCACTTTTTTTCGTCCCCTTCCCCCCTTGCCTCCATCCCTTCCAGTACCGGCCAATTACCAACCATCCATTTCCAACCATCCTCATCCATACATTCCTTAGTCCTTGGAAGTACCAACATTCCCAATTTCTTCAACGCCCTCAAACGAACCAATACATGATCCAATTTCCCATTTCAAAGACTCTGTGTTAGACGCCGAAGAAGATATTAGTCTTCGGGCCTCCAAATACCGTTAGGTCCTCGTGTTCGACATCTAGAGGCGGTAACTGATGGATGTCTTTATCTGGAAAGAACGGAAAAACAAGGATAGAGTGTGGTTGTAGGGCTTGATCTTCGTGATGATGAGAAATGTAAAGGGCCCAATACAAAATGTCGCAAATGCTACGACAGATAAAGCAAAGAATAAAAAAGAAATGACAAAAATTATGCCAGGGCTCAACAGTCAAAGAGATTTAAAAAAAAAATTAGGAGTAAAAAATCTTCCCTGAAGTGGGAAAAGATGTGTTCATGAGAGAAATCGAAGGCTACATGAAAAACACACACACCATCAAGGAAATAGGGATATTCGAGGAATGACAAAGGAGTAATGAAGGACCATAAAAAATAAAATAAATGAGACACCAAGAGAAGGATAGAGAATGAGATGAGATGATTAGTCAAAAGAACATGGCACGGTAGTAGGGTGTCAGAATGGAACGCGTCAATAAGCGCCATCATGCATGTAACCTTAATCCAGCACACGATTGACCTCCCCAAGATAATTGGACCAATTGTAATTTTATTCCTTTGGTCGGAGAACATGATAAAAGGATGACGGTGAGAATGTTGGAAATACAGAATGATTGTTTGTCGAAGAAAGATCAAGAGGAGAATAGAAAGAGTTGGCGCCAGGAGCTAAGCTAAATGAAGCGTGTCAGAATAACCTGATCTAGTAGCACCGGCACTCCTGGTTGAAGAGCCCGCCACAGTGTCCGCCAGCCCTATGCAACTCAGTAATGCAGAATCGATTGCACTCACTACTGTTAAACTTCCAGCACCCATGGCCTGCTTCGACTCCCGGGAGATAGACCAGGGCGGTGGCGACCAAGCCCAAGACGACGAACAAAGTGTACTTGGACATGGAATGGGCGGATGCCATTGTTGGTACTGAGAGATAAGGAGAACGAGATGTGTTGATTGTTGGTGGCTTGTTTGCTTGTTTGCTAACAGTTATGTTTTATCGGTGAGTTGTCGGTTGTCGTCATGTCTCCAAGCAGCTATTGCAGTTGGTGGCGTGAAATGATGCGTAGTTCGTGAAAGGTTTACCTGCGAGGTGTTCGTTGTGCGCGGTTCGTGTGGGAGGTATGTTCCTGGGGCTCTGTAAAGGCTTGTGCGGGAGATGTAATGTTTAGAAGGCGGTTCGTTTTGAGTTGTTAGTTTTTATTTGTGAGAGGTAGCGCTCTCTCTTATACACTTTTGTTGTTATTCCTTCATTCGCTTTACACTTTTATCCCAACAAAGGTATCACAGCCCATGCAGTAATTTGATCAAGGAAGACAAAGAGGAGGGAATGGGAGCGGCGTGGGGTTACAAAAAAAATTGCGTCTCCCTAAAAGGGATTACAAATGTCGACAATGGAATGGCATTAGACATGGATCAAAGGAATGTCCGTTTAGCAGCTCGGACGAATGGATCGCGATTACCAAAAAAAAAAAAGGGAGGCAGCAGCACGATGAGTTCTCTCACCAACCCGGAAATTAGCAGTGGCCAGGATCAAAAGCCTTTTCCGTTTTGCACTCTGCTTGCGTCGATGGACAAAACGACGGAATGAAAACGTTTTACAGCCTAAATACGTCAAAGGATCAAAAATATAGTCAAGATGGAAAAAAAAAATCTAGCCCCAGGCATAATACAAGGGTTCATGGATGGCGAGAACGACAAAACCGAACGGGAAGTGAAGTATCATGCAATGAACGAAGAGAGATCAAGAGCATGGAAAGAGCCAATCAAAGGAAGATTAGAAAGTTCGCGACGTCCAAGGATGAGAGACGGTTTGGCATTCAAGGACAAGAAAGGACTTGTGCTAACTCAGAGGCAGTAAAATGATGGCGACGCCGTCTGAAAGAATTTCTTACCGCATGTATGAAGTACGGGAGAGAGAAAAGGGAGGATGGCACGGGACGGCACTAAATGGCCAAAAAATGGGTGGGTTGTAAATGGGTTAAGATGAGGGTGCACCAGTTTTTGAGACATATTTTGTATACAGGAAAAGGGCGAAGGAGATAGATGGACGCGTACATGCAAGGAGCAGGATCGTCAATTTCTGTGTAAACCTTAATAACCTTACTGTAGGCATTGTGTCCAAGAATGATGTTGCTCTTTATTTTCTCCGACATACACTTCTCCCGTAGGACTGCAATAGCAACAAAACTATGAAGAACAGAGCTGTAACAATGAATATGTAACAAGAGATAGACGCGTACCAAGATTCGTGTCAAAAAAAAATTGGGATAAAATGACAGACGGGAGGAGCAGTCGCGACTAAAAACAACGAGGCGTATGACCCAAAGTCAAGCCCATTCATCACAAACGAACTGCAGCCAGCCTTCTTTCCCAGCTCCACTTCACGGAATCGGTTATATTCGTCGTTGCTGCCTGTATACAAGCATTCCCAGCTCGAGACTCAGGGAGACCGAGCAAAGCTGTGGCGGTCAAGACCACGCCGATGATCACGATGTACTTGGACATGGAATGGGCAGCGGCCATTGGTGTATTTGTGGCAGGGAAGGGGTTTTTTGGGTACCAGTTTTGTATTGGGTAATTCGAGTACGGGGGGTGATAGAAAGTGTCAAATGTTCTGTCTCCATGTTGGTATTGGAAATAGCGTTGAATACTTCGAAGTTGCACGAGGAAGATGGAGAGGCAGAGAGAGAGAACAGGCTGTTTGTGCAAGGTTCGTAGGGTCTTTTGGTTGGAAAAAGTCGATAAGCTTTGATGAATAAGGATCGTGAAAGGATCATTCGCTTTTTATGCTTTATTATTTCTGATCCTTCAATATTCGTTTCCTCGACTACCATCACCTCGTCGAACTCCCTTTCTCCTTCCTCTGCTGACATCATTACCATTGCCACCATGATATTCATCGCCCCTATCGGCCCACGATTTCCCCTCTTGCTACAGGAGCTCTTGGCCCCGGCCCCATCACGCAATTGGTGCGAAAAGCGCCGTGAGCGCAAGCAGAACCAACAACAGGACCACAAGCAGAAGCAGCAGCAGAAAGCCCACCGTCCCCATCATTGAATAAAATCACCAAGCAAAGCTACCCTTCATTCACCTCTAGCTTTCGTTATCTTCTCAACCATTCAGTCTTTATTTTGTTGAATTTTCAGTAAAATCGTCATATCTTTCTTCAGGACCTTTGTCTCTCTTGCCATCGAATTATGTTCGTTTGGAATGAATGTGTAAGAGAGCGTATATATGAGTGTTTCCAGAAAAGAAGGGGGTAAGTGTGGGCGATCGAAGTGAAATGCGAGACAAGATGAAAAAAAGAAAAGAAATAACTATCATTCCTTCATCCATCAGCGCTGCCCGCTTTCCTTTGATACCTTACCTCATAATATCTCTTTCGTGTCTTTACTCCCACATGGTCACTATGACATTGTGTTTGTTTGTTTGATGGTCGCAAAGGAGAGGTGGGTTGAATCGGTCGACAGAATGAGGAGGATAGATAGATTACTCCTCCCCCTTTTCCATTGTGGTTTGGCTTCCAATCGAGCGAGATTCACGGGGAATCCAGGAAAGGAAAAAAAGGAAGGAGGCTTGAAAGGGTTAGCGTGGGAAGCGCCATCTCTGGTCGGTTGAAAGAGTGCACGCACCCCCTGGCAAAATGAAATCATCATGCAAATGGATGCCTGCTGCATTGGAACGCATGCACTGAGTCCTTTCCTTCCGTCGCCACCGTGTTTTCTTGTTAGCTTTGCCTGTTTTTGTTGTGTCTGCCTGGATTCGGTTGAATCCCGCTCGACCGGAAGCCAACCCACAAGACCCTGAGAAAAGGAAGACAATGGAAAGGGGGCAGAGTAACCTATCTAACCTCCTCATTCTGTCGACCGACTCAACCCACCTCTCCATTACGACCATCAAACAAACAAGCGAAATGCCATAGCTGACCATGTGGGAATGAATACGGATATGAAAGAAATAAGAAGAGGTATCAAAGGAAATCGTCAATGCTGATCAGGGGGAATGATAATTCGTTTTCATCTTGTTCCATCGCCATCCTTCATTCTCTTACACCTACCCAATCCGCTCCGGCAACACATTCACATATGTTCTCTTGGACTCTCATTACATTACTCGGACATATTTCGATGGCGAGAGACAGAGGTTCTGAATAAAGATACAATTCAGCCGAGTCCAGGCGAAGTTAACAAACAAAAGCAGCCAAAGTTAACAAGCAAAACCGGTGGCGACGGAGCATCCATTTGCACGATGATTCACGCCAACCCTTGCTAGCCTCTTTCTTTTTTTCCTTTTCCTTCTATTTCCTTCTTTTCCTTTGGGTAAAAGAGAGAGAGAGAGAGAGAGAGAGAGACAGAGAGACAGACACAGCGAGACAGAGAGTCAGACACAGAGAGACAGAGAGAGAGAGAGAGAGATGCATATGAGGTCATCGATGGCTTGGCAGAGAACAGAGAATGAAGGACTGAGCGGGTATTTAATGCTTCCCCCTCTCTCCTTCCTTTCCTTTCTTTCCTTTCTTCTTCTCTCCCTATCCCTTCCACCTCTCTCCCCTCCACACCCATCGACACGCAACAACACCCACCCATCGACACGCGACAACACCCACCCATACCCTCTCCTTCTCAGCACAATCCGACAACAACCATCGACAGCCCACCATCGACAACCAACAACAACCGACGACGACCAACACCAGAAAGACAGGACAGACTGGACAAACATGACAAACACGACGAACACGACAAACACGACAAACACGACAAGCACGACAAACACGACAAACACGACAAACACGACAACACGACAAACACGACAAACAAACAAAATATTGGTCCCACGCAAAAGACCATGTGTGCTCTTGCGTGGGGCTGCGAGAAAAATGAGGACCCAACCTCCTGTCGGTGCTCCTCGCCTCAAACTTGGCGAAGAAGGACACTTCCGGCTCTATATGACCAAAGTAGAGTTCTAAGTCGTTTTGTTTTTCTAGTCCTCTCAAGCCCACTCCGTTTGGAGACGTTTTCGAGGAACTGTTTTTGTTTGGGACACTAAATTGAACCCGCGACCTCCTCGTGGTGTGCCCTGGACGATGCCTCTCTCTCTCTCTTCTAGGAGAGGGGAGAGGGGCATTGACTAACGGCGGGTCTACTAGTTTAGTTATTAGCTTAGTACGAACAATAAAGACAGGTATAAAGCGCAGGCAGGTGAAATGACAATGGCGGCAAGCAGAAGAGTGGCATCATGGAGAGGACATGGGTCCAACACAGCATCTGTGGTCTTTTTTATGTACTGCGCTTCTTTCAGAGTATCAATGGGTCAGACGAGGGCTTTGACAGCAGGAGATGAAAAAAAGAGAGCGGGTCTTGAAGGGCGTGCTGAAATAATAAAGAATGGGCGAATAAATGCAAAGGGATCTACTTTTCCCCCCCTCACTCAAAGTTCATCCCATATGAATAATCCTCGTCGTTTGGTTCTTCTTCATTTTCTTTTACTCGCAACCCTCAGCAAAAAAAAAAAACAGCAAGACCATCGCCATGCCAGTATTGAACCCCGCTTCGACCCAACAGCCTTCGTCTCATAATCTTGTATGGTGAAGATGTCCAATGCCGAGAAGGACGAAATCGACAAGGGAATCATCATCTATACATACCGTAAGCTGTACGGGGGGTGGTGCCCACCCCGACAGGATCGACATAGTGGCTAAGGCGAACAAGGAGGCATTGAAGACAATGGGCATTTGCCGTACCCTTGCCATGATCACCTAGAGCAGCGTGGGGGGCCGTTGTGACAAAAAGAGAGTTTTCGGTTCTCTTCTTGCAATCGAGAAACGGTGAGGACGAGAAAGGACAAAAGGACGAGAGCCCAAAGCCGCTAAGAGATCAAAAGTATACGTAGGCTAGAATCAGAGGAGGTGAGGCATGAAAGTAGGGCTAATGGATGGCCGGGAAGAGACATCTCAACGGGAAGAGACCTGTCAGAACAATGATCAGAGTACGGACAAGAGACAGAGCAGGGTTGCATGTTGGCCACGGATGCGAGAACAACGTCTTGGCATCCAGGCATAAGAAAGATGACTATGCAAAAATCAATGAGAAAATAAAAAAGGATATTGACAAACAAACGGGGGATCTTGCCGTTGTGGACGGGATGCACCTTAGGAGGAGTAGGAATGAGATCGACGCTCTCTACGTAAACTTAAAATAGCCTTGATGCGAAGAACGTTTCATGGAGTGATTGTGAATCCGACACGGTGTTTATTTCTTTAACCGTTAATATCGTTCATACTTTGAGGGATACCAAGGATGAAATGAAATAACTATCAAGGACAGGATCCAGGTAGAAAAAAAGATAAAAGAAGGACGTGTGGGAAGATCTGCATCACAGTAACAACGAGAGAAAAAGGAACATGAGAATAGCCAAAAGAGGACACGACGACCCTAGCCTAACCATCGCTCACGCCTATTTATCGCAAATGCACGTCAATCCCAAGAATCCTCCACAATGACCAGCCCTCTTGTGCAGGACTTCATGACAGAATCGATCACATTCATCATCACTGCCAGTCCAGCATTCGTGGCCGGCCTCGACTCCGGTACCGAGAAGGGCAGTGGCGACCAGGGCGACGACGACAAAAAGGGTGTATTTGGACATGGAGCGGACGGCGGCGACCATTGTTGTAAAGTGAAAAAGTTGTTTAGGGGTTTGAAGTGGATTGGTTTGCTATGGGGTGATAAATCAATTTGGGCGTGCTTATGTCAGTTTGTGCCTGAACGAATTACCTGGTGAAATGTTTTGCTCAAATTGATTTTACCTGGAGATTGTAGTGAGAGGAATGTGGGAAAGTTGTTGAGGACCGTAGCTTGAGAAGATTGTAGGTGAACTTTGATGGTGGGTTGCCGTAGTGGTGTCGCTGGCTTTTTATACCCATTTTGTTTTCGTTCCTTCCTTTGATTCTCACTTCATTCTCACTGACTCAACAGCCCAACCAGCCAAATAACGGCGTCTGCAATTGAGAAAGCTAGAACAGTAAAGCTACTTTGGTAAGGTTGCTACCCGCTACCATTGCACAGGTCTCATGGCTGGCGAACGGCGCTTATAAGATCATGAGGAACAAGAGAGGAAGAAAAGAACGCGGCGCGAGGCTACGAGTAAAACAGAACCATGGACTTTCATTCAAAAGCAGCTAGTGTCCATATAAAAAAAGAAAAAAATCGGCAGTAGTAACCCGTGGATGAAAGGGCTTTCCATTCTTGGGACTAACAAGTGGCGAAGCAACGGCAGTGCAAAGGTAGTACAGCAGCCTGTCCAGTACCAACATCACAGTTGGGAGGAAGGGAAGACGAACAGGGCGGCAGCGTTAGGCTCCAGCAGCTAAGAAAAGTATCCAGTCAATTCTTCCCAAAATGAGGTCAAATGTCGTCACAAAGGACGATGGTAATAGACACGAATCACTAGCATTTCGTTTTTGTTTCACATTCGACGAACGGGTAGGTGGTAACAAGAGAAAAAAGGAGGGCGGCGAGAGCTAGCGGCATCAAAAATCCTTGTCGAGTTTACCGAGAAGGCAGTGATGGCGGTAGCAGTAACGCATGCGATCAAAGGGCTTTTCCGTTTTTATGGTCACCATTGAAGTAAAGGTGGGAAGGATCAATAGGAAAGGGTCGACGCTAAAATAAAGGCACTGCCTGAAAAGAATCTAAAGTAGCGCGACAGAGCGAGGACACGAGATAGAGAAACTACAGCGTGACGAACGAAAAAATAGAAGAGCGATACGCACAGGAGGAGTGGCTGGCTCGTTCATGAAGTGTTTTATTTGTTTGTTTGGTCGCGTTGACCAAGGAACGGTAGGGAAGGGAGAAAAGAAGGAGGGGGTAAAAGTGAAAAGAAGAACAAACACAAACATGAGCTAATCAGTCTGGGTGCGCTGGGCAATGGGCGGATCCATCTCGCACTGGTACAGCAGCTGGTTGGTTCGGAACTTGAGCAAATAGTCCCACCGCTGCAGCATATCATTGTCAGGCGCCTCACACAGGAACACACACAAAAGCTCGATCGAGAACAATGACATTGCTTCTTCCTTCTTCATACCATCACCGCCGCCGCCACCGTCCTTGTCCTTGCCGCCAACAGCAACAGCAACAGAAGCCTCCTCGCCACGGCCTGTGTTGTCTTTCTGTTTGTCGTTCTTGAGGCTGTCAGGACCCATCAAGCTCGCCAAACGATCCATCTGTGCGGTACCGAAATTGGCGTCCTGGATATCCACCCGAATCAAAGAGAAAAAGTTCATCGCGTTCATAATAGCCTCCCATCCAGAAGCATCGATCCAGACCTGACGGAAACTCAAATGGGTCAACCCAGGGAGTCTCTCAACACCATTGATCCAGTCAAAATATCCTTGTTCCACTGCCGTCCATTGAACCGCCTGCTGTTGCTCCTGCTGCGGCTTTTCACCGGCCGTAGATTGGCCCTGATCCTGGGCTTGCAACTCTCCTGCGCCTCGGATCTCAAATACAACCAAGGAAGTCAACATAGTCGCCGGGGAAGGGACCCTGAGAACAAGCTGTTCCAGCAGCGAGTTGAACTGTGGACCTTTGATCAGTAGACCAGTGATCTTCCGACTGACCCGACCCATAAACAACCCAAACGCTTCCCAATCCATCTTGGAGTCATTGCTGCAGTAGATCCGAAGGTCCAGCTTCTCCAGATCAGGCGAGTTGTTGATAACCCGGGAAAAGGACTCGAGACCAGGTCTGGTCAAGTCCGACAAGTCCAAGTTCAGCATCGTCAGCCGGGACACGGTGGCAGCTACTGCAGCGGCGGCGGTGGTGGTGACGACGGCGAACTCCGATTTGCCACTGCTGATGCCATTGGTTTCTGAAATCGTCCCGTTCGTCGCCTCGGTAATGGGCTCAAGCGCGACGTTCTCAGAGCCAGTCGCCTCCTCAATCATCCTTGCCTGGGCGTCGCTTGGCTGAGCAAAGAAGACATTGAGATCCGCGGCAGTGGCGCTGACAATGTCATCAAGACCCGTAGCGACAAACGTCTGCAGCTCAAGGACTGGATCCCCACTTGGGTCAACGCTGAAACTGAGAGTGATCCCGTCAAACTTCATCGTGACCTTGTTCAGGCCCGGGTGCGACGCAAACTGCGTCTTGATCATGTTATAGGCCGAAATCATGATCCGTCGGGGTCCCAGGATATCGAGCGAGTCCATGCCCTGATTCCTCTTGATAATCTTCTCCAGCTCTGGAACATGATGCTCCTCCCAGATCGAGACATTCAAGCTACGGATGAGGCTCGAGAGAAGCAAGTAGTTGCTGGTTGGCGTGAGGGCTCGTAGATGAAGCTGGACAGTGTCGCCGTTCTTGAACGTAATCTTGGCCAACTCCCTGTCTCCAGTGTCGACATCCAGCTTGATTAACAGAGGAAAGTTGACGCCCATGTGCTTCTTGACCAGCTCAAGTCCTCGCTCAATGCTGTGGTAGATAAGAGTGATGTTGGTCCGTTGCTGAGAATCCCGGGCAATCGTGAGTGTCGTAAACATGTCGCGCGTGCCGTGCTTTAGCTCCATTTCCCGACGGACACGCATCAGTCGCGCTCGAGGCTCCGACCGCTTGAAGTTGACGGCGATTTCGCCCATCAGGAAAACCTGGACTGTCATGTTGCCCAACATGTGCGCATACAATGCATCCTTGCCGGCCTTCAAGCTGTCGTCAGGTCTCTCTGGTCGTTGGAGATAGAGGCGGATGACAGGGGTCGTGAGTCTCTTCAGCACCTCCAGAACTCGGCCGAGGTCCATCGGGGTGATCGTCCAGTCCAGTAACAGTCCAAGATCTTGGATGGGTGGGTCCTGCTCCAGTTCCATGTAGAGCTGCTCTGCCTGAGTCCTGTCCGGAAGCAGATAGTGGAACAAAGAGTGATGGGGATCCGAGTATGTGACCTCGAAGCCCTTGGCAATGTCGACAAATTTGTCATTCAGGCTGTTGAGCTGCAGGTGATCGTAATGGTCACGACATATCCACCTCGTATCGCCTTCCTGCGAAACCACTCTATAGAGCGATCCAACGCACGACTCCCGCGGGTTCACCTGCAAGCAGTGCGCCACATCCCTGAGCCAGGCATTGTTGTGAGGCTCAACCGATGAAGGTACTTCCAGCAGATACTCCATCGACTCGTGAATCCGCGCCAGCAGCTTGCTCGAAGGATCCAGGGGTGGCATCATCATCACATCCAGTCCGACGCCATACTTGAACAGGTTCAAAAAGTCCAGCATGTATGTTCCGTATGTCTCCATGAACTGTCGCTTGTGCTGAATGTCGTAACCAGGGTGGTCCGTGAGGTGAATATGCTTGGGCACCTTGCCCTTCTTGGGAGATCCATCGTACTCGCCGCACTCGCACAGAAAGTGAACTCGGAACTCTCCTGGACATCCTGGCTTGGGCAAAATGATGAAGATCCTAGGAACCTGCTGGTCGAAAACGCCCATCCTGTTGGCAAGTACGGCCTGAATCCTGTTATGGATAAGAGGCTCCCGAATCAAGGCGAGTGAGCGCTGGGTATCTGAAAGGGCGTTGCAGAGATGTGCAAATTCTGGACGCAAGAGCGAGTTGTGGCCCAGCTTGGCCTCCAGTTCCCTCAGTTGGCGATTCAACTCGAGCCCAATCTTGTCGGCCACGGAAAGATGTCCCTTGGCAGAGGCCTGGATGAATGCCTCGAAGAGACGAGCGGTTGCGACGAGTCCTTCTCGGGCGAGCTCATAGTTGATCAACGCAGCCTCCCGCGCCAGTTTCTCCTCCTCAGTTTCTTCCCGGATAGCTTGGGTCTGCTCCAAGGTCGCCACATGAGTTCCGTTCAGGGATCCCGTTCCATCGCTGACGTAGCTGGCGGGTACAAGGGCTGTTGATGATGTCTCCTGTTTAGTGTCGGCTTCGGTCGAGTCGACTACGGGGTTAGGTTTGGTGGTGGCGGTGGCTGACAGTCCCTTGGCAGAAGGTTGTTGGGCGGCAGCAGTTTTCGGATCTTTGACTGTGCCAAGGATAGCCTGTGACAATGCCTGCTCCAGTGCTGTGTTCATCGCTCCAAGAGTTGACGACTCTCCTTCGTTGTTGGCTGTCAGGGCAGTGCCAGTCAGAGGTCCCGAGGATGCTGCAGCTGCCTTGATGAGCTTGAAGATCGAATGATCTGCAGGGATTTCGACCAGCTTGCTTGCGTCCTTGCCGCTCAATGGGTCGTTGGCTGATCCCTCGATGAAGATGTCGACGGAGAGATCGAAATCTGATGCACGAATGCCCGGACCCTTTGGAGTTCCTGCAGGTCTGCTGGCTAATACGCTGTTGGCGTTCTGGTTGGGTGTTCCCTGCTGCTGCTGTGGTTGTTGCTGTTGCTGCTGCTTGGTCGATGATTGGTTGGACAGCTTGATAAACTCCTCAATGGTAAGATTATCGACATCAACGCCATCCATGTGCTCCGGGACCTGGATATGAACGAGATCACGAAGTCGTCCAGGAACCTGCTTGGGCGTCGGCTTCTGGACGGGTTTGGCAACCTTCTTCTGAACCTTTTGTTGTCCTGGTTTCTGGGCCGGGATCTGGATCCTCTGCATGAGCTCACGGATTTTGTCCTGGATCAGATCATGTGGGTTCTTGCCCTGCTCCAGCGCCTGCTCCAGTGCCTGTAACTCGGCCGGCTTCATGGTTTGACGGGCGACCTGGATCTCCTTCTCGATTTCGGCTTGTTTTCGTTCCTTCTCGATTTCGACTTGCTTCTGTTCCTGCTCGGCGAGCTGTTGCCGTTCCTGCTCGATGAGCTGTTGCCCCTCCTGCTGCTGCTGCGGTTGCTGCTGTGGCTGCTTCTCTGGTACACTCGACGACCCCGCCGGTTTCGTCTCCTGCTGCTGCTGCATCTGTTGCTGCGTGACACGTCCTCTCCGATGTTGGGTCAACAACAAATGTCTCTGCAAGTCCTCGTCTGCACGCTGCTTTGCTGCTGCCTCCTCCAGAGCCGCCTTTTGTTTCTCCACAAGCTCCTCCAGAAGTTCTTTCGACATGCCGTGAACGAGTTCCTCAGTATCTTTTGTATGTCTCACTGTAGTCGTGGTCTCTGTAGCAGATATGTCGTCCTGTTCCTTGGTGGTCTCCTGCTCCGTTGATATCACCGGAATTTTGGCCTCGGTAAGTGGGGTAGGGACAGTTTTCGTCAAAGTAAGCGGCGTAGGACGAGGAAGAAAAAGAGGAGAAGCACTGGCAGACGGTTGGGCTGATGTAATAGGTGGAAGTAGCTGTCTTTCTGCACTGGTGGTCGACGATAACGACGAGGACGAAGACGACGACATGATAAGGCGACTGTTGGGAGCCGGAAGGTGGTCCTCGTAGATAACATCCAATACGTCCGGGATATGCTGTATCCGCAACGGCTTCAACCTATGTTCATCGCCATAAAAGAATCTACAATGTCAGTTTGATGTTGGTCGCATGAATGCCTGAATCGATCGCCAAAAAGGATGAAGCGTGTGAAGTCCCTGTTTGTGGTTAATCATTGATCCTTGCGTACCGGTACTCTTTGCGTCCACGCATAAAGGGGACATAGATGTCGCTGTGCTGGATGCGAACAATGCCAGGGAAGCACATGCGCAGGTCGCCCCAGAAGACGTAGCGAGCAGATGCGGTGGAGGGGTGAGAGGTAAGCTTGACGCGGACCAGTTCTCCTCTGGAGCGGAAGTACTGGTAGTCATCAGCCATTTGGGCGGTTGAAGAGGAAGGAGTAGAAGGGCTGTTGAGTTTTGTTGATTTAGTATTTATGTATGTATGTGCTGTTGAGTGAGGGAGTGTGGATGCGTTGCAATGATGATGATTCAAGAGAATGAGAGGTATGAGTGTAAGTTTATAGGTATGAAGGGGTAAAATGAAGAGAGGCGTGCGATGATTTGTCTGTTGTCTGTGAAGGAGAGGAAAGACGTGGCTCCCTTCTGTCAAAATAGAACGAGAGCGTAGTAAACACATTTCAGGTGGCTTAGCTCATTTAATTTGACGCGACATCGCATTTGCCGTTGCTGCCCACTGCTTTGTCCTCTTTTTTACTTCCAAGGCGCTTTCTTCCTCTCTCCATTGCCCTTTCTTACCCGCTTCACTTTTTTACCTCTTTCCATTGCCTCGCCTTTTTATCGCCTCTGCCTCTCTTTCTGCTGCTAATTCAGATTAGCCTTAAGATAAACGATGCGGACATTCACTATTTTTCGCCTCAATTAGAGGATACATTCCGGCGCAAGTCCTTACATTGCGGCGCAACGGAAGATTGAGGTCACCAGGGGGACTCGTAGGTTCTTTCTCCTCGTCATCTCCTCCATTCGATTTATTTCTGCCAGAAAGGAGGACGTTGATCTGAGTGTCCTGGTGGATCCTCCATGGAGCCTGCCCATTTGGGGCTCCCTGGCAGGGGACGTCAATGAGCTGTGGGTTTCCAGCTGTTCCACGCCACCTCAGTTGGAGACCATCCTATATGTTCCGCTGAGCGTTTTATTATTGTAAGAACCAAGAAGCCAACGTAGCTTTATTTCCTTTATTTCTTACCCCTTGAGACCACGGTGCCACTGGGGCATTACAAGGACGTCACATTCTCACTGCTTTACCAAATTGTCTGAAAGATCCTGTCGGATGTACCCTACGCAGCATACTTTGAGAGCTTGAAATATCCAGCTTCGATCAACCATCTCGACTTCCTTGCGGCTCTGCTCCCCTCGCAGCTTCATGAAGGCCAAGTTAACCCAGACGTGGGTTACAGATATCATTCCAGCCATCCGAGATTGTGGGCGTAAAAGCGTGAGCCAGGAGTACATGCGACTTTGTGCGGAGCGGAAACGGGATACTGATCTGACTGAAGCCTTTTGGCAAGAATTGCAGGTCAAGGAAATTGGGCGGCGTGAGGAAATCGTTGACAAAGAGCAAGCATTGAATCTCAAGGAGAATGCTACGACCCAACTTGGCGCGGCTTATGAATACTATTATCGAAGAGCTGATACATGAGGTAATGAATGTTTTAGCCGATTTTCCTGTTACCATACATTAGCATCAATTGTTAACATAGAAATACAACACGCCAGTCAAAATTTTCATGAGACACTCGCGCCTTTCAACATTAGAGTCGACTTGTTCAGCCCCCTTAGGCGCCTCTGACTCCGATGACTCTGTGGCGATCGTAGATAACATCGCTGATGGTAGTGTCATGAATCGGGCACAGGACTCTGACCTCAGCGCATCACGTAGGGTTACTGATACTGAGAAAAGTGTATTACCCACACAGACTGGTAAGAGAAATGCAGTCAATGATGCTGTGGGGTTTGCCTGACTGGCTACTTCATGGCGGCCAATTGAACAATGCACCCCGTCATGCATATTCCAACACTCATCTCCGCAACCTCTATTAATATTAGCCGAACTTCGTCAAAAAGGAGTCTTACAGAAGCAAATAAGCAAGCGAGGCTACCCGGACGATCATATCCAGTCGAAAGGAGGTTGGCTATCGCACAGAGAATGTTTTCTCCGTGACCAGATTGCAAGCATTCTATTACACTGCGACTCATATCCTTCCATTTGATAATCTCATAATATTAACAGCGGTTCCGAGGCATGGATAAACGCAAGTTCTGGTGTCTGAAGTTGGGCGGAGATGTTGAGACAGTTTTTTAATGCCAGTTTGGGGTGGTACAGCCACATTACGGTATGATCAATACTGCGCGTTTGTGGATCATGAGATGCTGCACAAGAATCTATAATCGACATCTGATATCGCACCTAAACGTTTAGGATGGGATCTTATACTATCGATTACGATTGTTCATTGACTCGAGCATTGTTCACTGATGAAGAATGGTCAGAGTTGTGTGAGGAGAGTGCGTTTGATGTACTAGAACTCTGCAAACCCACGGAAAATACCTACTCACTTTTCGAATGGCTCTGAACCGCGGAGAGCACGCTGCCACCGTGCCGATTCCAGACACTGACGTTATAGCTTGTGAATTGGCCCTACTCTCTGTAATTCAGTGATAAGCATGATATCTTGTTTTATGTTGGTGTCGCGAGCATGGATCTAACATGACTTTACCTTTAGGACACAACTATACAAAGCAAACCCCTCCCCGTTTGATATCTCAGAGTCTTCCGAAGCATTTTGGTGTCGAGAGGGCTGGCCTCTGCTCCGTAGAATCCTGGAGATGTTGATGGTATTACGATGATAGATGGAGAGAAGACGATCTATGAGGGCAAGAACCATATGAACAAGGGCCGTTGTCTTGATATCTAAGGACAGGTACCGAGGAAGCGAAAGGGCAAAAATGTCGATATGGTGGGTCGAGAGACTCGAGATCGAAAAAATTGGTTCTTTGTCGAGTCCCTGGCAGTTTGGGCGGGTTCTCCACGAAGTTTCTGCACGAAACCGGCGTGGTTCTGTTCAAAGAGCTGCATTTGCTGGCGAGTGGTCGAACCCAAGAGGTCGAGCCGGAGGACTTTGTCGAGAGTGCCCGTTTCTTTGCGGTATACTCAGGAGGGTCAGGATTCAAGACGTTTCAACGTCCACCGACAAAATAGGAGTCCATACATTTTTCTGCACCAGGCTCACAAGGCTCATGTTTTGCCATCCACCCCACAGCAACGGATCCGACAAATCCAAGGAATCGCATACTTGCTGCGTGTTAGGGTAAGCCATGGACTTTTTCTTTATTATTATTAGCCCTACTAAACGTGGAGGACTAATCAACTTCCTATTCCCTTCGTTGTGATATAGGTGGCTATGACGGGAACGATCCAACACTGTCAGTATTGTATGACAACTATGCAGATGAAGACGAGGACGCCTGTTGTGGCGAGAGTGTCATGGACGGCCCAAGATGGTTGTGCGAAGATCCAGAGAGTCCCAAGGAGGGTCGAACTCTCGGAAGCTCCCTTTTTTGACTTTTTGAATTCTGTAGTTGGACGGACCTGAATTGACATACTACCCCCCCCCCCCCCCCCCCCCAGGAAGAAAGAACCAATTATAAAGATAAAAGACGCGACTTATTTCACTACAAGGTATGCTATTTTTAGAGGCAGAGACCCTTGCGTAGTTGACCTAGATAACAGGCCAGTCCATTATGTCACATACACAACAGGAGCGGGAAGGCTGGACACCATAGGAGTGCTCTGATGAGGGCATGATCGGTCGCGCGGGGTCTTTTGGCAGGAAGAATTATTGCGGCGACCAAGAGCACAAGCGTCTGCTGCCTCATCAAGTCCGTCTAACGCCACAAGGTGGAGGAAGGAAAATGATGATATGGGATGCATCACGTTTTTCGGAGCAGGAGACCTAAGCAGGATCCATGGGACGTCGAACTCGGAACTCTTCCTCACCACCGTCCTCAACGATTATGATCTGAACTCCTTCAAACGGTTCGACATGAATCCCGCGGAATCGATCTTTCCGCCTTTGCTGCATGTACTCGAGAGTTGTTCTGCGTACAGAAATGGCTTGCCGAGTAGGAGTTTACTGTTCTCGAGTGGCCATACAACTCCCCCGACCTCAACATTATCGAACGCGTTCGGGCTTACATAAAAACATCAACTCGCCTAACAAGAGCAGGCGCCGGAAAGCATGGACGAACTCTGGAAACGTGTGTAGGTTATTTGGGCAAATATCCCTCCTACCTTCCTGAATGAGTTCTACGAGTGCATTCGTTCCATGCCTGGAGAACAACAGTAAACCACTCCCATTTCCTTGTTTGCGGCTGTCTACCTTTCCTTGCCTTTCTGCCTTTGATCCCTCCTTTGAGGCATTCGCTCTCCGCCCTTGATGCCTTTCGTTTTCTTTCCTTTAGTCTTTCCTTATCCCTTGCAACTCATTACTAGCAGTCGAACAATCATCACATACTTCATCCCAGTATGGTGGGAAGAGCCAACATCGATGAACCAAAAAGCAACATCTCCATGGACGCTTGGCTGTCACAAGCCATGCTTTGTTTGCGCAGTATTTTTCTTGTCTGTCTTGCAAATCGCAAGTCACCCAGTACTTATTGTCTATCATATTTCCTGCCATCATTACCCCTAAAAAATGATTGAGTCATGTTGGTGTATGTATCCACGTCTCTTTCTCAGTATACCTCTTTCTGACCCCCTTTTACCACATCCCTTCTTTCTGTGCTGCTTTTAGTTTTGAGTGCCTTTGCCCTTGATTTGGCTGCCCTTGATTTTCCCATCTGTCCTTCTGCCCATGCAACCACCCAGCTCTCCAACCACACCAGCGACATTCCATGACCCACCGTACATAAATAGCCCAGGTCCCACTGTACAAGAAATATCATCACTGCTCCTCCCTTGGTTCACTCTATCGTTCCCTCAACTCTCCCTTTGACTGTTACAAACGTATATTAAGAAGTCGCGCTGCCTTCCAGCTCCAGTACCAAAACAGCTGATCCTTCAAGACAAGGCAGATAACGACACTCACAACCTTGCAAGAGTCATCGTAAGAACACTCACAGGAGTACCTTTGTAACAATATGTTTACGTCAATGTTTTGCAAACTAACAACGAACCCTACTCAATTTGAACCATACTTTATCGTAACAAGAATGAAGCTAGCACTTTTCACCTTGGCGACTCTGTTTTTGACCGCCGCCTCAGCACAGGTTCAACCACAAAAGTTCAAGAGAGATGGCGCTATCCCAATCCTCAGACCTGCCACTCCCTCTGCCTGCAAGCTCATGGCCACAATCCTGAATGGCCTCTGCTCGTTTGCCAATTATGACGGATGCGAGGACAGTATATCATATGTCCAATGCATTTGTTCTGCCCAAAACGACCGTACTGAGGTCTTGAACTGTGCCCGTCACAACTTGAGTAACCTCCTTGTGGGCTATTGCCCTCTATGAATCTAATTGTATCCCCTTTGTGGCAAGTAGTACAGATGGCATCCCATTTCCTACGCTCCTTACCCTTCCATTTGAACACGTAATAGATATCCAATAATATCAAACCCAGAAAAATAACAAGTTATGCTTGAACAATAATCACAACGCGACTTTGAATGCTAATGAAGGGAGGATTGATAGAGCCAACATTGAAAGATCAAACGCAAATTCGCTATGAACGCTTGGCTGTCACAAGCCAGCTATCGCTCTGCAAGATCATTTTTCAGTTAGGTGTTCGGAGACCCAAGAAGGCTGAAAGGTGTCGGATCGAAGAAAATGTCTTACTCCAACTATGGAACTGTTCAACTATAGCATACTTTGAAATTTCCCACCCGAAGGTTTCCTCATCCCTTAAATGTTTTGTCCCTTAATTTTTACGATCCATGTTATCCCTTAATGTTGTCCCCCGATGTTGTCCCTTGGTGCTTTGTCTTGATGCTGTCCCTCGGTGTGTCCTTTGGTAGTGCGCTGTTCTTTGGTGGTGTTGTCCCTTGACCAATCCCTTGACTTTTCCTGTCTCGGGATCATTTGGCGTCCCTCCCCCTTCTTTCATCCCCTTGATTTTTTTTGGGCTTCCCTTCCTTTTTTTTCCCCCTCCGCATCTCCTCGATTTTTTGGTCCTCTCTTATCCAGGTGTTCCATTGATACTTCTCATTCCTCACCTGAAGGGAAACGGTGTATCCTTGATTTGTTTTCTCTCCTCATGCCTGAATGACAACAGTTCGTATTATTTCTTTTTTTGCAACCCTCCTCGCGTATATAAAGACGTCGCTCTTACCCAGAGTCCTGCACCGACACACACCTGATCCTGCTCAAGCCTATCGACTTGCAACACTCACAAGACCTATCACAAGAAATATCACAAGAACCGCCACACGAACACTCTCTCTCACTGAATCCTCACAAGAGCGCCACAGACCCTATCAACGTTCACGAAGACCTGCACAACTCTTCTCAACCCTCCACACGCCTGCTCATTCCTGACCAGACTCCTGTAAGGCTATATTAATGAACTTCCGCAACTACACTTATGGAGTAACGGCAGTATGTTGTAACTGACAACTCCCTTTTCTTTTACTACTGTTTCATTTCAAACCTTTTATTACCACCGATTTGCAAGAGAACTAGGGATGTTCACTCGTCAACCACGAGACACAGCAGCCTGGCGCGCCTGCTTTAACAAATCGAGCCGTTTCCAAAGTACCCTGGCAGTTTTGCTGATACTCTGCCTGTGCATCACAAGCGCTAACGCATATCGAGATTGCATTGACGGGAAGCCTGAAGAGGGTTTGGACGCGTGTCCTTGTGAACTGAAAGGTCAGCTTATTAGCGTTTCTCTCGGTCGTCGCAGTCTTATCGATGAGATCCCCGACATTATTTCCGAACAAATATTCCCTATCCAAGCTCCCCATTCTGGCCGTAGAGGATTGGAATATCCTACTGGGTGGGAAGAGCTAACATGGAGTGAACGATGCACAATCGACCAACGGTGTACCCATGCCCCGCCGTGTTGCATCAATTTGTGTGCTTCGAATCCAGACATGACCTGTAGGACCGATACTGACTGCAAGACGATCAGTGAAGGTAATAAGTTTTGGGAATGTATTAGTAAGAGGAGCTGCCGGTGGTACAATCACCAGAGTTGCGGGACTGAAAACCAGCCGACATATATTCACTGTTTCTGTCGAGAATATGACAGGAGATGTAGTGCCTAGTCTATGAAATCCTCCTACCACCATTGTTTTTAAATTAGTACCTTCCATTATCTTCCATAATCTTATTATCAATTGGAATCTTCATAAAGTTTCCGATCACGCTTTACAATACATTCTTTTGAAGTTTTCACCTCGAGAAGCTCGGAGGCGTTTGAACAGGATTAGAGGCTCTCTCTCCTTGCAAAATCTCAAATTGTGAGAGGTGGGTCACCAGCTGAGCTGGAGGTCATTTCTTTTTTTTTTTTTTTTAATTTACGCAGTAACAGATGCATTTGAAATTTGAACGAACTGCTGTAAAGTGCTCCAAAATAATGTTTCACCAAACTGCGATTTCGACTTTCTTTTTGAAATGCTCATTCCCCAATATTTCGATCGCAGCTCAACTTTACGACCAGACAACGGTTAGCCTGGTTAACTTTTCTTACTGCAGGGGTCATGACGATGCCTCTCTCTCTATGGTCAGAACGTAACAGCCAGAAGGATTACGCTAACAACAACAGCAGCCCCAATCACCACCCACAGCTGCTGCATTCTTGCTCTTGCTCGTGGAATTCAAGGTGCCTGTCGAGCATGTCGTGTTAAGACCTCGCTTGGTCACTGCAGGTGTTGCACAGAAGTGTCTCCCAAAATGACCTTGTATCCTGGCGAGGTGCTGTTGTTGCATCCTATTGCGGCGCCAAAGAAAGCAAACAATTGAGTAAACAGGGGTGGGGGCAAAACACGACGAAAATTTTGTCTGCCAAATACTCTCAAGAGACTTACCTCCACAGAGCAACACAGTCCATCGCAAGTAACAAAACAGAGCACGCTAATCGAATCGAACGTCGCTGGAATCAACCCCGCACTCTTGTCCAGATCCGTGCTCAGACATTGGGTATGTGCAAGTGTCCGAAGAGAGGAGGCAGCCTTTTACTCTTCAACCAAAGAGAATGGTCTTGGCGTCACTGTTTACTAATAGTCAAAACACAAAGAAGGGGTGATGGAAGCAGCAACAGCATTGTTTTGGTTCTTTGGGCGAGTAAGGGTGCCCCAGGGAAAATGGTACCAGAGACGATGGCGTTGGAGTTTTACCAGCAGCCATGCAATTGGAGGCGGAACGGTTAGAAAGGGTTGCACTTTGATTGCAGTGAGCAGTGGAAAAAAAAATACTTGTACCTGTAAGTGGGCCTCTTGTCCAAAGGAAAAATAAAATGAGAGTACAGAAGAAAAAACAAAACTTCCTTCTCTCGCCTGCCAAGCTAGTCCAAGTCTTTGTAAAAGGCGAATACTCCCAAAAGTACAAGGTCATGGATGAGGCGTGGACCTCATTTCCTCCTGCTCCTCCTCCACAGAAAAAAATATAAAAGCTCCCGGGGTCATTGCTATGTTCCTGGTGTTATGGTCTGGCTTGAGTCCTGGGAACCAGACGGCCACCTCCTCCTGGTCTATGGGAAATCAGCTGGGGCATGCTAGATTAGGAAGGGATGACGAGGGTACTGTTGTTGTTGTTATTGCTGTTGTTGTTGTTGTTGTTGTTGGGGGTGTTTTTTGCTAGAGCTATCTTTGGAGGGCTGGTGGTCTCTCAGCTTGGCAAGGTCAGGTCGAGATCGCGGTGGTGGCTGACCACTCTTCCTTCCAGAGGTTCTCCCTCACTCCACACAGGGAGAGTGTGCTTCTTTCTGGTCCGAGTTCCAAGGAGTGGACTTGAGTGGGCGAACGAGCGAGCAACCTGTCAAGGAGGCCGTAGTGACGAGGGAACGAGACATGCTGCGACGGCTATTTTGTGCGGTGGAGAGGAGTTTGGGTGGAAGTCGAGAATCGCAACGCAGGAAGGATGGGTGATGGGGAAGGTGAATGGAAGAAATGGAGGAGCGATGTAATGATGAGAACGTGTATATGACAAAATGAAGATAGAGAAAATATTAGTGTGTTGCTGTCTGTTTGTTTGTATGGTTGAGATGTAGGATAGAAAATACAAGCGGGAAAAAGGGAAAGAAGAGGACGAATTGTAAAGAGTACGTTTTATCGCTATTGTTTGATGTACATGGTAGAGAGGCTGCAAAGAAAGGTGAAGAGAACCAATACAGCACCAGGCCACCAACCAACCAACCAGCCAACACGAAACGAAGTCATTTGTAGTGGGCTATTGATTGATCGACACTTAGGGATCATCAAAGGCATTTATATACATATTTACATGAACATTCATTCGACTACTAACTCAAAGGTCGCTCAACGTAAAAAAGCACCAGTGGATCCCCCGCTTATACAACTTCTCCTGGGCCTCCTGGATCTGGTCCACCGTCACATTCGTCTCATACAACGACACCAACAAATGTGCATCCCCGTTCTGACGCACCCTCAGATCCGCAATCATCACCGCATCCCTACTACTCAGCCTGTCCATCGACAATACACGCTGCTTCTCTCGGCACCGTTCTACTAGCTGGATCACTGCTGTTTGAAGCTCGACCAGCTGTCCGTGTTTGAAATCCGAGCCACGGAAGCTGATGTGCCGGAGGGTGAGCCAGTCGAGGGAGGTGAGGAGTTGAGACCATTGGACGTCGAAGAGGCGCATGTTTTGGATGATGAGTAGTTGTAACGGTTGTGCTGGCTTCAATGTCTTTATGCCTGATTGAAGTACAAGAAGAAGAGAATAAAAAAGAAGAGCATTAGAGCATTGTTAACGAGCGAAAGAAGACTAGTTGCTTGTTTACCATGTAACATGAATCAAGGTGCTCACCTGCGGTGGAATCGTCAGGACCGCGGCTGACGATATCTCGAAGATAGTCAAGACTCGTCTTGTTAAGATGGTTATTCTTTCCATCCACCACAAGCTCCCTCAACTCACTCATCGTCCAGTCATACGATTCACAAAGCCTCGGCAAGAACGTGTCCAGATCCCGTCCAAATAGCTCCAGTCGCGTCACATGCGTCGTGAACAGGATACAGAGATAGCTCCTGTCGGCACTGCTCAACAGATTGCTTAGTCCGGGCTGGCGGAAATTGTTGATGTTACCCTCTCCAATTCCTCCTCCTCCACCACCACCGCCTCCACCTACAGGGTTGCTCATGCCAGACACCAGACGGATCCTGATCTCGGTAGCGGGTTTCCCCGACCGATTAGATGTCTGTGCGAGAATGGCCAAGATAACTTTGAGGATCCCGACATTGTTCAGATCGGTAATGTCCCAGATCATTCTTTCGAGAGCGGAGTGACCATGTGCACAGATCGAGTCGTAAATCTCCCGGACGCGAGGGTATGTGAGGAAAGTGTCGAAGACCATCGTCCTCATACGACTGCCATCGCCCTCAGTAGAAGACGGGGCCAATTGGAGGCCGACTGAACCTTGACTGCGAACTGTGGGTACTGAAAGTGGCGGTCCGGGATCGATCGTAGTATAGATGGGCAGGGCATAAGGGATATGTGCTGGCGTGGATACAAGTCGTCCGTGGTTAACAGATCCGCCAAATTGAGCTCGCTGTATAGACTCCTGGGGTCGTTGTGCACCAATGGACCCCCTCAACGTCCCATGCGGATCACGCTGTAAGCCGCCGCCCCAATGATCAGGAGCTCCATCTTGGACTAGACGAGAGGTCTCTTCATAGTTGTACCGGGTCGCAGTTTGGTCCTGGATGTTCTGGGAGGTGAGAAAGCTGCCATGCTCATCGACTAATTTGACGCGGCGGAGAACAGAGATCTGATAAGGTTGCTCCCTGATGGCCAAGTGCTGCTGCTTGATCGCGGTGTAAAGGTCGCGGAAGTGATTGAAGTGGCACTGGTACTCGAACGACTCCATCTCCGTGAATCGTTTCACGAGCATCAGCGCCGTCTGTTTGGCCTTATCGTAAACGCGTTGTTCACTTGATACAATCGGCCGATAGACCACCTTTTTGATCATTGGCAGCTGAATAAGGTTGCCATAGAACTGGGTCCGCAATGTCAGGGTGGCCGAGAGGACGTTGCGCTGGCCCTTGTCAAAGTAGTAAGCGACCGAGGGCTTATCGGCATTCGAAGGTTGTGAGGGATCCGACTGCCTGATAGTCAAGGTAGCGAGATACCCATGTTGCTCGGCGGTACGGCGGACGTTGTCGAATGTCGATTTAATGTCGGTGGTCGAGAGAGTTAAGGTGGCCAAGAAAGGGCAGGCCACAATAACCTTCTGCGCGGTTGCGTCCGTGATGGGCTGGTCGTTAAAATCGAGGGACCGGAGCTGGACGTCCTTGGGCCGCCAGGTAGCGTTCTGAAGGAATCCTCTGAACTTTTTGACCGAAAGGACCTGGAGTTTGGGAATGGCCATGATGGTAAGGACTGGATCCCACGAGCCATTGTACCTCTCGCCATCGAGGTCTAGGTGACGAATACTGGATGCGGCAATGGCATCCTTCAGCTCGATCAAGTCGCTCTCCAAGATCTGCCATTCGAAGGAAACAGTCAGTTGGTGAATAAACTTGAACTTCCGAATGTAACCATAGAGCTCCCTTGCATCCTGTCTTGTTGACAAGAACATGACAAGGACCCCAGTGTCGATATCGAAGTGCCCACCAGCTCGCTTGAGGAATTCGTGCAGTGTGGCCATCGATTTGGGTCGCTCAGCTTCCTGCCTATGATGCGCGCAAACCCATCGGACATGGCCCTCGGGGGTGACGATCTTGTGGAGGTTGGCGTAGACGTTGTCACCGTCTTTGGCGCGCAGGAACGATTGAAGTTGGCGAAGTTCGGGTCCTGTCAGAGGCTCGACGGAGCTCAGGATATCTTGTCCTAAGACGTGACTGCGAGGACGATCTGACGAGGTGGTGACATCACATTCGCCAATGACCTTGAGGTGGTCAATGACAAAGTCGGCCTTGTCAACAAGATCCTCTGAAATATCGTGAATGAACTTCGTGGCGTTGTCGAGCCCCTCGATGAACCCAGCATGGGCAAGGACCGGGACGGCGACTCCTGCGGCCATGACAGCATACTTGAGAAAGTTCATAAACTTGACGACCTGCTTGCCGTACTTGCGGAAGAACTCGGTGGGGCGCTCCAATTCGTATCCTCCGTGGTTGGCGACATGCACTTGAGAGTCGCCTCGATGGGTCCAGCCCTGGTGGTCATCACACTCGCACAGAAAGTAGATCCTGAACTTCTTGACGAAGCAACCTTGTTCCTTCATTGGCAGGATGATGAACAGACGTGGGGTGGTAAACTCAAACAGCTCATAGTTCTGCCTCTGGATACTCTGAACTTGCTGTTGGACGAGACCGAGGCGTTGAAGGATTTCCTGTTTTCCTTGCTGGATATCCTGCTGGATGTGCTGGGTGTTTTGTTGGAATTGTTGGGCCATTTGATCGAATCGCATGTCTGTATGTTGGGCACCTTGGCGGATGAGGTTCTTGAGTTCGGTAATCTCATTTTCTCGGTGTGCATGGCTGAGGCTGCGTGAGATGCCTTCAAGTTGGGCATCGGTGTACCTGTCCGACAGACGACCGCGATGCAGCTGACGCTGGTGGTGACTTGCCATCATCTTCCAGACGAACCTGTTCGCAAGGGCTTGTGCCCCTGGTGATACCGACGTATCACCTATGAGGTCTGCGTTCACAGGAGAAGGAGGCGTCATTGGTGGTGAGGGAAACTGTTCATTCTGCTCAATGGCCGGCGAGAGGGCTTCCAAGGTGACATCTAGGATATCGTTCGGTCTCAAGACTATCGACAGCGGAAACATCCTAACAAAGAACAAAAGCAGCAGCATCCATGTTAATGGACGAAAATGATACGAGGCGCAGACTAAACACCCCCGAGCATAGAATGCACACTTACGGGGTTTTCCTCTGGTCCAGGGCAACATGCACGGTTTGTCCGTAGATGAAAACCGCGCTGATTCTTGCCTCGGTGGCGAAGCGGTTGGACTGTTCGAGGATAACCTCCATATCATCCAGTTCGACGAGGTGTTCGCCGGTGTCTTTATGATAGTACGATTCTACGTTGAAGATCTCGTTTTGGTGTTGGACTCGGAACTGTTGGATGGGCGTTGAGGTCGACATGTCTCGTTGCGCACAAAATCCTTGTTGGTAGTATGAGATAAAATTAAGGCGGAAGGGGCAAGAGGTTCTGTGAGGCTAGTATTAAAGATTAGTGTTGTAAACTGTCGTTGTGTGTATACATAAAGTGGTAAAAGAGGGTGCGTCAAGTTTGTGAAGGCTGAAAAACGAGAGGGAGGATGTGTTAACAGGGCGCGTATGAGCAAGAGAGAGAGAGTAAAGAGTTCGTGAAGGTGCTAAGTAATCTGAGAGAGGAAAGGGTGCGATGAGGCCAATTAAGTATTAAAGGAACTAAGTGTGTGTAAGTGGATAAATTGTTTGTGAGTGTACAGGTGTATGAATGTGAGGGATAAGGAAAAAGAAAAATAAAGAAAAAAAAAAGTAGAGGAAAGAAGAGAAAAAGTGGGAGAAGAAAAGTTGGGATACTAAGAAAGAGTGAAGACTGGCGAAGCAAATGGTTAGGGATGAGCCATTTCTCCCTGCCAGCTCCAAAGAGTAGATGGCGAAGGGATCAGATATCAAAAGAAAAGAGAGCAGCTGGCTGTTTCCAAAGGCCAGGGGTGAGGGGCAAAGCAAGAGAGGAAGAGAATAAGAGAGATGCTTAAGTTGATGTGGTTGTCCCGGTTCGTTCTCGCTGTGTTCGTTCTCGCTGTGTTCGTTCTCGCTGTGTTCGTTCTCGCTGTGTTCGTTTTCGCTGTTTGCTCTTGTGTTTGTTTATTCTAGAAAACCTGTTTGCGTCTCTGTCTGTCTGTCCCTGGTAAGAAGATACGAATGTTTGAAAGTGGCAAGAGTGAACAAACAACCGGGGAAGAACATAGTGACGCTCACACATAAACCCAATTGCATAGTGAAAAGGGATCCGAAGGGGGGAAAAGGTTAAGTAGTTTGTCTGGCCACCTTTTTGTGTTCGCATTTTCCCTTTTACTTTCTGCGTCGCAAGACTCAAATAAGCAAACAAGAAAACAACCAGAGCTCCAACGACGCCATGCCTATGTCTGCTCTCAATCGAGGAATGTACCTGTTCCTTGACCGTTGTGCCATTGTCTATGGTCGAATGATTGTCTGCATAGTCTTTCTTTGCCTCTTGACCGGTGCAGGCATAACCAATCGCCCATCCGTGGATGTGCATGATATTGCGAAGCTGCGCGAGAAAAGAAAAGAAGGAATCATCAAATTTCGCCCATTTCCGCCTCTCTTTTCCTTCTTCGTTTTTCCTTCCTTCGTCTTTGCCATCGCTTCCTAACCCACCACGCCCTTCGGCTTGCACCAAAGAACCATAACAACTCCTTTCTCTCCCAAACATCCCCTCCTTCCCCTTTTTCATCTTCGCCCTCCCTTGGTGTTTTTCTTTTGATACGTTCTCGTTTACTTTTCACCGATCATTTTCTGCTGCGAATATTTATTACTCTGTTTGCGGTTCTTGTCCCTTTCACAAAAAGACAGTAAACAAACAGACATAATCACAGAAAACTCAACGCCTGCTCCGGCATGCCTGCATCTCCTTCGAATAACTAACCCCATCAATACACAGCTTCCTCAGCATTGGCATCCTCGCTGCAAACACCTTGACCTTCCCTTCACCCTCGCCCTCACCTTCCCTCATATCCAAATGGAAATCAACGAGTCTGTCACCAGCACCGTTCTTGTCATGATCCTTTCCTAGGAGCAATTTCTTCAGCGATCTGAACTGTGCCAATTTGTCGACTACCTTGTTTTGGATACTCTGGTAATACAGTCGGGCGAGGGCGACCTCTTCAGTCTTGTTTGATTGTGTTATCGTTCCTTCCCCTTCTCCTTCCTTGACTCTATCGTTCTCGTCGTCACCTTCAACAACAGCAACAGCAGCAGCAGTAGTAGCTACGAGATGGATGCGTGGCGGGCACCGCAGTCGAAGGTGCAGAGTCTCCAACCTCTCAAGACAAGCAAACTCCATCTCCAAAAACTCGTCCACATCCAGCATCATCAACGGCGTCACAAACACCCGCAAATTCGGACACACCACTAACACCCCAAACCCAACCTCGGCCCCCAGAACCTTCCTCTCCAACAATCTCTTTGACCCGGCAGAACACCAAAACTCCTCCAACCTCTCCTTCAGATCCGGGTTCCAGAAATGACGTTCCATCAGGAATATGTCTGCAGCATCATACAGTCGCAAGGACGTCAGGCGTGGACATCCAGTGTTTAGGAGGTCGTCCAGGGCAGTAATGGTGTCGGCGGAGGTGAACCGTTCTTGGATCCGGACGTTGAGGTATCGAATCTTGGGGCAATGCTCAACAATCGTCCGCATGATGGGACCGAAATACAGTTCGCCAACGGTGAAGGGAATGACCAATCTCTCCAGCAGGGGACATCGCCAGAGGATGGGAATGATCCAAGGTTGGATCCCCATCCGCCCGGATGAGAACAAGTCCAGCTCCTTGACCTGTGTCCTGGGTTCGTTGGTGATCTGGGCGTAGTTCTCGAGGGACCGGAAGTCCTGGCGCGGGTTAGTGAATATGTTGATGAAGATTTTGACCGTCAGCGTGCTCACCTGCGGACAAAAATCCATCAACGCCTCCATGACATTCCTATCCAGTACGTACTTAATATGTAACTCCTCCAACTGAGACAGTCCACCTAACGCCTTACACATACTGACCATAATCTTTCCTCGTCCAGGTAAAGCGTTGATGGACACTCGACATAACCCCGGGTTCTGCACAAATAGCGGCTCCCAGACCTGGTTGACAAGCGACTCATCGTAATCTCTACCAAACCGGTCCTGCCAACTCTTGAGCTCTTCAATTCTCTTGGGCATGGCTCGGAACTTTATGTTGCGGTCAGGGACGACAGTCGTGACTCGAACCAGGTTGACACATTCCGGTCTAAGGAGATACTTTAAAGCGTGTGTAGTCCCGACGGTGACATCCTTGATGAACTGACCATGCTTGTGAACAAACTGGCCTCCGTAGCCTACAGTCTCTGCAGTCCTGACGACACCGTCGCTTCGACGAGGGTATCCTGAGTCCTGGTTTGTCGAGAAGTAGTCGAAATGGTAGACGTGGATTGTGTGGTAAAGTGAGGGCAGGAAGCAGTCGAGCCAGAAGCGACAGACACGGATACAGGCTGTGAGGGAGTGCGGGTCGAGGAAGAGTGCAATGCGTTCTAGGACTTCTGGAGGGATGTTGTCCGCAGAGGTGGTCAGCATCATTGTTGGCATCGTCGGTCGCATTACGGGAGGTGAAGGAATGAGAAAGAAAAAAAGTCTCCAGGAAGATTGTCCAAGACTTAAAGTCGACCGAGACAAGACAGAAACTGAATGCAAGAAGACGAGTGAGGTATAAAAAAGTAATGGTACAAGGGGGTATGTTTTATTGTATACAGTGTAGAAAGTTGGCGCGATTAGTGAAAGATCCTTTGAGCGTGAGCGATGAGAATGGAGGTGGTGGGTGGAAAGGAGAGTGTCTGTGAGATTAAAAGTCGGTCTGGTAAGGGCGTGTGTTTTTGTGTGTTAACGAGAAGAGGAAAAGAGAAACAAGGGTCTAGGTCCTGTCCAAAGGAAGGGAAGCCACAACATCTGGTCACAAGCACAAAACGACCAATGCGTACAGGAATTCAAACGGCTGTTGCTTCCATTGCCGTCGCTTCTTGAAGGTCGACTGGACAGGATATACAGGACCACAAGGAACAATCAAAACAACCACGCGGCCAGCACGACCAATATGAGGGCCAAGAACAAAAGGACCACCAATGTTTCTCGGGGACGCTTGATGGCGGCGGACTTGTCGATTGACTGGAAGAAGTCTGTGGCGGCGGTGATGGCCGTGGTGGGTCGTCCGCAAAGATCTTTTGATTCAACATGACTTCTTCTTGCTTTGGGGGAATAGTGTTGTTACGGCTTGATCCAGCAACTCCGAAACGGAAGGAAAACCGTGGCGAGCTGGAAAGGGACGACAGAGCGAAAAATTTGTTAGTGCCTCCAAAAAAAAAAAAAAAAAGGCACCGACCAAACGCATGGAAAATGCAGGTATACCTTACTTGTTGAGAGGGCTTTCAGAGGAGGGCGGTGTTTGGATGTCGGTCAGTCCAAGGTCACTATAGTGTTGGGGTGGGCTGGCGTGGGCACCGGCCGGCCCCTTCTGGAGGTATGGTATATAGTCGGACGACATTTTGCTAGGTCCACAAGACCGAGCAAACGGCTTTTATCTTTTGGTGTACTGGAAGAAAGAAAGTCGATACGAGGTTGAGGTAGATAATCAATGCGTTCAGTAAAAGGGGAGTGAGAGTGTATACGAGGTATGTGGAAAGTGGAAAATGTGGCGGTGAGCAAAGGAGAGAAGGATGGATGACGGTAAGCAATAACGGAAAGAAGGACAGGAGCGAGGCGGGCTTAGACGAGTATGGAAGGAAAAGGCAGTTAGTGCAATTGAGAGCGGCGATTATGCGACAAGGAAAATGATCTGCAAGAAAATGAAAAAAGAGCTTTGGAAGGGAGAGATAGAAAGAGACGAGAAACGAAGAGGGAAGGAAAAGAGAAAGTACAAGAAAGTACCCTGCTCTTTAAGAGGTATAAGGGCAACATGTTTTCGGCGAAGACATAAGGTGGAGTCAGCGGACAACAGTTCTTCCATGGCTGGCGAAGACAAGGCCAAGAAAATGAACGACACAGCACAGAGGAGAGACGGAGAATAGATAGATAATCGAGAAGGGCATAACACTTGGTATATGGATGCCATGTTGGTATTGTTCATGACTTTAATCCTTGGCATGGAGTGTATTTCACGACTTGACGACTCCATTATCTGCCTGCGATGAAGACGACCTTTGACTCCAGAAGCTGTGGGTTCAATTGCTCATTGTATCCTAACTGGAGACTGCATGTCAGATTCATGGCACGAAGGAAGAACTGCTTCGCCCCTGAGCCTCTCGACCCTTCCAATTGCCCATGCGTATAGTATGATCGAGGAGTCTTGTGCACGGTGCTTGTGCGACTGTGTGAATCAGGTGAAGATGAGGACGGACAAGAAGGTCAACGATGGATGATGTTTTGTCAATGTCTTGTCCGACCCAAAGAGTATGCTTGCGCTTGACACCCTCTGCAATCTGTCGATGAAAGGTGCAAAAGATCCCAGAGAAGGATGGTGACATCTGAGTCTGGCATGTTGAAGAAGGCGCAGTCGAGGGGAAAACAAGATCAAAATCATTATTTTTCAAAAAGAAGCAGGCAACAAGCCTTGAGGCATAAAGGTGGCGAAGAAGACCCTGATTGTTTCAAGAAAACATGTATATAAACCATGTCCAGGAGGCGCTCAAAGGGGAGTGCTTGTTATAGATGAAACATCCTTCAGGAAACTGCGGGGTGCCATGCCATCTCTCACATTCAGGTGGTGGCTGGTTTGACATGCTCGTTGATTGACAAAAAGGTCGATCACAAGGGATGTAGACGATGTGGGAGGTGCCGTTATGCATTACCATTATTTTTTCTTACAATTGCAGCAAACCTGTGGTGCGGTTGTTGGACGGAGTATTTCCCTAAACAAAAACAAATATTACCGAGGGTAAATGAAGCGAAGCAGGAGAAAGAGGGCATGAGAATTAGGTAGACCGGGAGCGTTTGTTTCCAATAGCGCCCCGCCATTCACTCCGCCAAGTTCAATCAATCGAAGTGAGACCAAGTAACTTTCTGTTCCTGGACCATTTGTTTGATCACCAATACGGAGAGTGCAAGAAGGCGTGTGCTGTGTCCCCATGTCATCTTGAGGCAGAAAGACAGAATTCAAATTAATAGCGCTTTTTCAATGAGGGAGACAGGGAGAGGGAAGAAAGAACACGTTTGTGGCAGGTCCACTCGCTCTTTGAGGAGAACAAGTGGCAGAGACCTGTGGCGCTGGCCTTGCTTTCACTCTTTTTCACCTACCTTCGCCCGTTCTTGTTTTTGTTTTCCTTCCTTTTCCATCGTCATCCATCTCCCAGCAACCTCCTCCCCCTCCTCCCTTCCTCGACATCGACACACCCCGTTGCAACCATGGATGACGAGTCCAAGACACAGTCATTCATCAACTCAGTAACCGGACTCTTCGTCGACGTCGCCGTCGTCTTCCACGCCGAATCACGCCAACACGTCGTCTTCTGGAGCGACATCCTCAGTGCCTTCCCCGGCGTCGCCAACCTCACCATCAAGAACGGCACCGCTGCCGTCCCCTTTGCCAAAGATGACTCTTACGACAAGTATGTTCACATTCCATTCCTCAATCCATTCTTACTCGCCATCGTACATTGTAATCACTCTTATTCTCCATCCTCTCGCTTCAACCATCTGTGAGGCTGCTAGTTTTTGTACTTTGCAACTCCTCCTCCCGTCCTCCTCCTCCTTCCTCCAGCCCTCTTTTTCTACCTTCCTTGCCCAAACGGACATACACTTCTTCTAACTGACAGTTCACCTGTTATGTCTTCGTCTTCTTCCCGTACACCCATCCTTTGGCGTACTTTAGCATCAAACCAAACTGTATTGTATACCAACCGAATGCGAACTTGACAGTCGCTGGCGACATGTAAGGAAAGAACGAAAGCGCACTTTTCTCGCTCGAGAAGACAATCCTTTTCGACACATAGAACACAAAGACTGGAAAAAACAAGGAGACGCACATTGCGCACAGCCTGGAGAAGCGCCAATTGCAGGATAGGACAACTGGAAGAGTATTTTTTTCTTCTTCAGAGAGAGAGAAACAGGGAGCAACAACAACAAAGGCACAGGTCCCTTCTTGTCGTCTTTCACAACCCTGCCCCATCTCATGCTGACAAGCGCTTTCTTCTTTCACATATCATTCGATGGTCTTGTAGGATCGAGCAAGTCAACTTTGAGCGCAACTATGCTCAATCAGAGGACTTCTCTGAAGTACCGTCCGACAAATTCTACGATCGTTTTCTCAATGTGGTCGCCGAAGGCGAGATGGAGAGGTAGATGAAAACACCTTTCTCTCTTTGCATGCGCTTTGTTATTTCTGCTGTTTGCCCAGGAAATGAAAGGTACTGACTATGAGATACCCTTTTGACGTTTGCTGAACAGTGAACAGGACATTGAAGAAGTGGCTATAGGGATGGGACGCGTAGACCTCAGAGACTTCTCGGCTATCGAGTACCACCAGTTCTCCTCCGGCGACCGCGACCGCATCGCCACGGCCCTTCCCGCCATCACCTCCCCCTCCTCAGACGACCACATCAACGGAAACGGAATCGACAGGAACACCACCCCACCTCTCTCGACAACTAGTTCCACTGAATCAGGAACCGGCTCAGGCGTCTCGACCTCTTCCGCCACAAACATCCCACCCAGCAATATTGATACCGCAGAGACTGGGGCTAGTGTGGCGTCGGGTGCGACTGCGGTCCCGGATCCGACAGAGATTGATCCGGTGGAGGCCACGTCGAGTTGGGCATCGATTTTCAGGACGCTGGGGGATCTCCAGGCGCATTATCAGTTGACGCCTGAGGAGACTACCACTATGTTTACCGAGATTAGTCAGAGCACCTGAAGAAGAGTGCTATTTTGGAGGCCTTTTTATTATGTCTGATATACCACGGAGAAAGGAAAGAGCAAGACAGGAATTGTATATTTTTCCAAAAAGGCAACAGAAATAAATACCCAAAAGTAGAATCCCATGCATGGAAATGTAGGAATGTAATTAATTGCCAAGGTCCTATACCGAAGAAGCGAAAGTTATTCAAGGCCCATAGGATCAGACTTGATATGGGGACAATTGACCCCGCAACCACTCATCAGCAAAAAAACCCATGGGCCTCCATATTCAACCTGCCTATAACCTCCAACCTCCACCACGCGTTCACCATCCACTGCAGCTCCACCACACGAATATCCGTCAACATCCGCATGCACCTTAACGCCTTCAAATTCTTCAACCCCTCCAATGCCTCTAACCCACTCGCAAGTCTCATAGCCAGACAGATGATCTGATATTCATGAAACCCTCCGTTCTCACCATGGTTGGAATCACCGTCGTGTCCAGTGTTGGTATTAGCGATGTCCATGCATGCAGAGCTAAGGAAACTGTCGTCATTTCCTAGTTGGAGTTGCTCAAGGTTTGCGAACCGCGCGAGGCGTTCGTAGATGAGACGGTGGAGGTCGTGACATTGGCTTGGGTAGGCTTCTTCGGGTGTGGATGCGGGTAAGGGGCACGTGTGATATAAAGGACCACGTGTGATATAAAGGACCGACATCTGGTCGAGAGATATATGTGATCTTGGCCCGGAACACGTTTAATGTCGACTCACACTGCCAGGGCTTGAGCGGTATTTGTGACAACGTTGAAGACTCAGGAGCAGAAGTGTCAACAGACACCGACGTCAATGAAGGAGAGAGATCGAGGTCGATAAAGTCCTTGGCGGTTTGTAGTCTCTCGAACCTTACAGGTGTTGCTCTCTAGGGTGCTAAAAGTCACGAGCCGCGGACTGGACGAGAGAATCGTCTGCATAGAGGCGCCCGTCAGTCCCAGGTCTGGGACGTTGAATGGTGACATGAGAGGGCGGTTGGGAAGAGAAGTTGATTCGCGCGCGTGTAGTGTTGTTCCTATTGTTAATGAGTAAAGGAGCGATTGCGGATGTGTGTGAATGAAAGAAAGCAATGCGACCTTGAAAAAAGAACAAAAATAAGCAAGCAACGCGTGATCACCTTGGACATGGACAATGGTCATGAGCGGCGTTTAAATAGCCGTCTCCAGACTACAAGACACCGACGGCTCTCAATTGAACCTACTTTTCTTCTACCGTCGACCCTGGCATCCCTCCCACGCCTCCTTACCCTCCTACCAGATCCGCACCTTCCGTCCACCCTTCCATCCTTCTCCTTCCTCTCCCTTGCTTCTAACCACCACCCGTCTTCCAGTCTTTCCCTCTCCTTCTCTATCTTGTGTCAGAATGTAACTCTTCCACATCCCAGAGATACTTGTCCTTAATTGTCGAATCGAGACTTGGCCCGCTCGATACCTCAACGGATCGTGATCACGGGATTTCCAGCAAGCATCGAAAACCTCCAGATCCAACTCTGCTCCTTTGGCTCACTTCCTGTTTCGATACTGGGGAGAGTGTGGTGGAGGACCCTGCAAACTATATCATGTCATTCTGTAAAAGGAGTGTAATTCAAAAAAAAAAAAAAAAAAAAACATATGTTGAGTTCGAAATGACGTCATAGTAAACTTGACTCCAGCTGGTGCCTAAGTCAGGACATCATGCGCAAACACTCCAAATAGCCCTCGGGTGATCCTGGGCCTAAAAATGTGGATTTTTGTCCAAATGTCCCTTGAGATGAAACTAGAAACACAAACTAAACGGACTTTCTGCCACACGCGTCAAGATAGAATCAGAATGTCTCGTGAACGAAATGGCTTGATGACATCATCCTGCCATCAATCAATCCAGATTTTCCTCTCTTCTTTCCCAATACAAAAGCTGAGAGTGGTCGTGCACACTCTTGCCGTTTCTCTCGTTCTCTCTCTCTCTGTCTTTCCATCGCATACACCATTCTCGCTGACTCGACACATCGACACGGATAACTACCATCACAATTATGGTCACCAACACATTGACCGTTGACGAGCGCGACCGAGGTACGCCGGACGAGTGGATCGTTCGTGACCCGACCTTGATACGACTGACGGGACGGCACCCTTTCAACGCCGAACCCCCAACTCAAGAGCTAATGAAGCATGGATTCCTCACGCCAACCTCAATCCATTATGTGCGCAACCATGGTGCTGTGCCTCCTCTGCAGTGGGAGACGCACATGCTTGAGATCTCTGGGTATGTTCATTAGTGCTTCTCAACTGTCGAATTGAAGCGAATATCGAATATTCGTGAGAAATACCATGTTCATGCATGCGAGTTTGTTTGCCATGCATGTTAATGGTATTGGAGAATCACTCATTTTTTACATTCACTCACCTGTTTTGCTCACATTCATAGCTTAGTCAAGCACCCAATGAGACTAAGCATGGATGATATTGCAGCACTGCCATCGATCAAGCTGCCGGTCACCTTGGCCTGTTCAGGTAACCGCAGGAAGGAGCAGAACATGATCGCCAAATCGATGGGCTTCCACTGGGGCCCCGGGGCGGTATCGACCAGTGTATGGCGCGGTGTGCGGCTCACCGAGGTGTTGCTCAAGTGCGGGATCAAGTGGCCATCGTCGGCATCATCAACATCATCGTCTGAGGATGGATCGCCACCACCAGTACCACGGTTTGTTTGTTTCGAGGGCGCTGATCGACTGACTTTTGGCTACTATGGCACCTGCATCCCGATCCAACGCGCCATGGACGAGTATTTTGATGTGCTTTTGGCTTACGAGATGAATGGTGAGCGACTCGCCCCTGATCACGGATATCCCCTCCGGCTGGTAGGTGGTGCATAAGGCTCCCTCGCGCTAAACCAAGGGATGGCCTTGCAATTAAAATGTTATTTGCGTGTCCAAGCTTCAGTGCTCACTCCTCTTCCTTCTCTTCTCGCCCCTTTATTTCACGACACGTACCATTAGATCGTGCCAGGATGCATTGGCGGACGAGCGGTGAAGTGGCTGAATCGCATCTTTATCTCTGACAAGGAAGTAAGGGCCGTGTGCAATACACTTGAACTTTGTTTTTCGTAGGACTAAGACATGGCTCTGCTAAACATCATTCTCCTTTCATCTCTTTTATTTTTCTCTCCCGTTCTGTCGTCTAGCCCGACAACTACTATCACTTTCATGACAACCGTGTGTTGCCACCCAACGTCGACAATTCGATCACGGCCTCGTTCCTGAACGCATGGCAAAAGGCAGATGACGTCATCTACAATTTTAATGTCCAGAGCGTGATCACCCACCCGGGACATGGCGAGCTGGTTCCTCTCGATAAGGACACTGCCTACACTGTGCGCGGCTATGCCTACTCAGGTGCGGGTCACAAAATCAAGCGTGTTCAAGTGTCTCTGGATGGTGGCAAGACCTGGCGCGTTGCTCAGCTGGACGACGATCAAGAGGAAAAAGAAGACAACAAAGTCGGCATGGGACAAGGCAGGAATCGATCCTGGTGCTGGCGGTTATGGACACTGGACATACAGATCAGCGAACTTGCCGAGAGCAATGGCGAGCTAGTCTGTCGGGCATGGGATACCAACAACAACACGCAGCCGCAGACGACCGAGTGGAACTTGATGGGCATGATGCACAATGCCTGGTACATTGTCAAGGGTTATATCGATCGGACCATGCCTTCTTCTCAGCAACACGAACAGTCGTCAGTTAAGAATGGTCAGAATCTAGAACCACGGCACCATGCCGTGGTCTCATTGCGGTTTGAGCATCCAACGGTCGTCGATGAGGACCCTGCCGATGCCGGCGCGGGTGGGTTTCAGAACAAGGGCTGGATGAAGCCACCGCCGCGAGACGTTCTGGAAGTGACCACGCTGGGGGACAAACTGCTGGAGGAACCAGACCCGTATCGGTTCACGCGAGCAGAGGTGGCCAAGCACGCAAGCCACGGCGACGCTTGGGTGATTGTACACAACAAAGTGTATGATTGCTCAGCCTTTTTGGACGAACACCCTGGTGGATCTGCTAGTATCTTGAGTGCCGCCGGTACGAATGCCACCAAGGTCTTCAAGCAGATCCATTCCATCGACAGCCATGAGATCTTTGGCAATTACTTGCTGGGCGAAGTCGACGAATACCACAGCGGCAGCAACAACAACAAGCACTTTCTTTCGCCGCAATGGCAGCCTATCCGCTTGGTCAAGAAGGATAGCATCTCGAACGACTCACGCATCTTTCGGTTTGCGCTCTCCTCACCCAAGATTAAGTTTGGTCTCCCGACGGGCAAGCATGTGTTTTTACGCGCCAAGAGCAAGCACGATGGTAAGATGTATGTCCGAGCCTACACACCGATCAGTGATGACGATAGGTTGCCTGGGTTTGCCGAGTTTTTGATAAAGATCTACAAACCGGACAAGGGTCACCCAGAGGGAGGTCATTTGTCGCTGGTGCTGGATTCGCTGGAGATTGGAGAGACGATTGAGGTTCGAGGTCCTTTGGGTTCGTTCTTGTATCTCGGTCATGGTCGCTGGACATTTGGTACACATTCAGGACGCGCTTGTCGGATTGTCACCTTGGCCGGTGGTACAGGCATCACACCTATCTACCAACTGATCCGCGCTATTGCCAGGGACCCCACCGACCGAACCGAGGTGCGATTCATTTATGCCAACAAAACTGAGAATGATATTTTGTTGCATGAGGAGCTCCTCCAGCTGGAAAAGGAGAGCGCCGGTAGAGTCAAGATATGGTATGTTCCGCTAATTGGATACAACAGATATGCGTTGTTTGTGGTTTCCTTCTACACATGTACTGAACTAGTGATCTCCTCTTCTTTTTTTATTCCATGCAAATAGCTTCACACTAAGCAACCCACCTGAGGACTGGAAGGGATGCAAGGGACACATTGATGAAGAGATGATTCGGAAGTACGGCACCTTTGAGAGCCACGAGACCTTGAACCATGCTATCGACACCATTTCGGTCATGTGCGGACCACCGCCCTTGATCGAGAAGGCCTGCCTGCCCAACATCGTCAAGATCTATGGCAATGAGATGATGCGGATGCGTACATTCCATTTCTAGTCTCTCATGTCTCCTTTTTTTTTTTTTTTTTTCTCGCTTGAATGCCGGGGGTGGAGGGTTTTCGTGAACTATAGGATTCAGTCTGACCTTTTCTAGTAGTAAAATAGGCTGCTTGTGCCACCAGCATTAATTGTTGATAGCAATGATAGACCCTTGCACATTACGATGTTTTCATTTTTATTATCGTCTAGGCACTGTTTCTGTTTCATTCCGAGGAGGTAGACTTATCTGTGTGCCCTGTTCGTTTACTCTTCTATTTATTTTGTTGCAATTTACTTTACTGGTACCAGTGACCTTTTTCGTTCCTTTCACCACCACCCCTCAATTTTTTTCGAGGATTTTTTTCAATCAGGCAGGGGCACAGGCACAGAAAGGTTAAAGCAAACCTCAGGGCAGAGGGTGTGTGTGTGTGATACCTGGAAAGGTGATTGAAAGCAGAGAAAGGTAAGTACTATCGATGCCGTTTGGTCTTCTCTCATAGTGGTAGTACCTTGGAGATGTAGAAATATCCTTGGGTAGTCCCATGCAGATGTAGAGAAACCCTCCAGGTCAATCAGAAGACCTTTTGCAAATGTAGATTGCTGACTCTGAGCAGCCTCTTTGCAAGTGCGGGAACATTGTTTGATGGGGTAGCTTAAAAGAGAACTCGATCCTTTTATTCCGGCGCGATTGTACGAAATGAGATATACGATTCACACAGCAAGAGAGAAGGAGAGAAGATAGGAAAAGGAGAGAGAGAATGGGCAAGGGGAGCAACTGCCATCATGCTCGACCGTTGAGAATTCTCACAAATCGAAAAAGGACAATGGGCATATATATCGTTATCAGTTGTAGGGGAGGTGATCAGACATTGAAATCAGAACTGTTTCATGTCCACCATGTTATTTCTACAACATCACCTTTTTATCTTATCGTATAAACATTTTTAACCTTTGTGGACACCAGGTGAGCGAGCTGTATGGCCCATGAGACGGCTAGTAAAAAGGAAAAAAAAAAGCGCATACCTTATACCTTCACACATACATTAAGGGCAGAGCAAAGGGAGGGGCTAATTTACTTATGGTATGTTCCTGTAGTATGTGCAGCACCAGTCCATCATGGTCTCACATTCATCTGTCACACAACTGATCTTCCTTCCAATGATCGACATTGTCTTTTTTCTGCAGCTCCCGCCACTTTTGTCTCTCCATATATCTCTCTGTAAATATTTCTTTATTATAAACAACGGAGCAATTATTCTTCCGTGCAGGTACCAAGCATGAACTTGCCCACGAGTGGTCCTTATAGCTCGGATCCTCATCAACGGGGGTCAGAATAACATCATCCATGGTGTCATCCGGATGTGCCTTGCACTAGGGACAAGGAACGAAAAAAATGCAGCTCTCTGCGCCCATGCATTGTCATGCCCGGTAATGTGACACAACCATCAAACTTTCATTTTTAGTTCTCTTTTTGCAACGGTTTTTCGACTCTTTCATTTCCTTTCGACCTTTTAGTCTCATCCTTCTTCCTGACAACACAACCTTTTCAAACCTATATCAACACAACATCAACGCTTCGTCTCCTCCATCTTTCTTCTTCAGCCCAGCCTTGTCCTCCCTCTTCGTGTACACCCATCCAGCTCACCACTGTCTCTCCTTCTCTCTCTCTCCATCTTTACGTCCGTAACCACAATGTCCATCTTTCGCATCCCAGAAATCATCATCCTCATCGGCCCTTACCTATCAACCGAAGACCTATTCCGCTTCTGTCTCGTCAACAAGACCTGGAACGCCTCCTTCACTCCTTACCTCTGGCGATCCTTGCCTTCCGAACGTGTCGTAACTCATTCGTACTATCCCCGTATTCAACTGGCGGAGGCCTGGAAGCGCTTCCTGCCACTGGTGGAGGCAGATATTCTCTATGAACAGCGACACCCCTTTCCGGGAGAAGAGGGAGATGGCGACAACAGCAGTAGGAACATGAACAAGAACAGGAACAACGACAACAACATCAGCAACAGTAGTGGCAATAACGAACTTTCGTTGCCGGCACTCTCGAGAAATGGTCGCTGGATCCGGACTCTTGTGGTTTATCAGCCCTCTCTGTTGAGACCCTATCAACCTGTACGGCACCAAGTCACCAGTTTGCCTCCCCTGGACCCAAGCACCACCACCACCTCCACTGTGGACACAACACAAGTATTGCGACACAGACACCACCACAACCACAACCCTCAGTTCGCAACACCAGAACTTCTACTCCACCTGTTCAAGCGATGTCCCAACGTCCGATCTTTCAACCTCCACGGTAATGACAAGTCTGCCGCAGGTTATTTCTTCTGGAAAAAGATAATGACGATTGGGTTTCCAGGAAGTGTTCAGGAACTGGAAATCAAACTCGACTCATGCGTCTTTATGGCAGAGTCAACCATCCTGCCTTTGATGTTTCGTCAGTGCTCTCCAGGACTTCAGAGACTGTCCATCTTGATGGATGACAGGAACTCGCGCAGACAGTACAGAGGCGCCGATGTTGACACGAGACAGGATGACGTTGGGGACAAGCCTTTGTTGGCTTTGAAGGATCTTAATATGAGGTCTTCTGGCGGGAGCTATTACCCATCGTCCACTGTCCGCTTCTTGCACCGGTGCGTCAATCTCGAGGCTCTGGCTGTCACTATTCTTCAGCCGATGTGGATTCCAGCTATGAAGGCCTGTGATCAGCTGAGGCGCCTAAAGATCGATCAAATCGCCGAAGAACAGTTGTCACTCCTCGCAAAGGCCCTCGTCAATAGTCTGCCCAGTCTCGACGCCCTCTATCTAGGACGTGATAGCAACTTTTCATGGAGTCCTCAACCTGTGGAATTGGCGCTGGCGTCTGTGCTCTCGGCAGGTCGAGCAGGATGGCGATCACTCAACCTCCCTATTTGCGGAAAAGCCTCGGCAGACGCTCTGGTCAAGCATTGCTCGACACTGGAAGAATTGCAGTTGCAACGAATGGACGGAGTAACGGGTCAACATCTCTACCAGATCCTGTCAACCAGTCCATGGCTCGTCAAGTTCGATGTTGAAGTAGTCCAGGGAACCCTTGCTCGAATCTCGGCTGAGGACTTCATCGACCTGGACCCTTTTACCGACGCTCCTACCCCGTGGCCTTGCGAGTCTTCCCTGCGGGTGTTCCGTGCCAGGATCGGAGGGGTCTCCAGACCAGCATGCGCCCCTTCCCCTCGTGCCCCTCAAGCGCGCTCCATGGTTCAGGAACAAGATCGCCAAAACAAAATATACGCACGCCTTGCACGATTCACACATTTGGAACGACTGGAACTCGGAGCCCAAGGCGTCTGGAATACCGATTACGACAACAATAATACCTCTCCTTACCAAGAAGTCAAAGATAACCGGGGTTATCATCTCGACTGTCTCTCCATGACTCTCGACAGCGGGTTGAGGATCCTTGAAGGACTGAAGAAGATGCGAGAAGTGAATGTGGCGTCCATGGCAACAAAGATTGGAGTGCGAGAGGTTCACTGGATGACCAAGAGCTGGCCGAGACTGGAGGCTGTGAAAGGATTGAAGAACTACGATAGCTCGATGTCGGAAGATAAGGCTGCGCGGTGGCTGAGCGGGAATCATCCGCATATCCGTCAAGAGGCGAGTCGGGATCTTAATACGTGGCGTGAGATAGGCGGCGGAGGAAATGGGGGATTTTGATGAGAGGCGACGAGAATGAAGCGAATAACGGTCATTCCAGTTTTTTTTTTCATGGGTAAGAGAGGGCGTCGTTGCGGTCGTAGGCGCCAGTCTGTCTTTGTCAAATAGTAAAGGTTGTTCTCTTCATACACCCATGCGCAATTTTTTTTTCTTACTTTCATGCCATCTTTTTTTTTTTTTTTTTCTTTTTGTGGCAAGGAACGAAATACTATCAAGTTCACCGCGCGTGATCAAGTCAAAGGAACTAAGAGCATCAAAAACCTTATAAACCTAAGCTATACCCTCGCTATCTCTAGTTCCTAATGTCTTTTCATCCGGGTCATTTTGGCGAGCGGACAATCCGCCTTTCCTCTCTAGCTCTCATCCCGTTCGTCCCCTCATTTAAATCCCTCCCTCCCTCACTTCACTATTACTTTTTGTTTGTGCAGGAGACGCTATGATTTGATCCGGACATTAATTTGGATCGAATCAACGACACAGAGTCATGTAAACAAGAAAGGGGTAGAGTGCAATAGACCCAACAACCATAACAACCATGTCCTTGTCACGGCCATGCATTTCTTCCCATTTATTTTTTCACCAGATATTGCGGGGTTATCCACATAAGGTCGGTTTATAAAAGTCACGTGACACATATGGGTTTATCCCCGTCGGCATAGGCACGGTTTTAAACCGATAGGCAGCCTTGCATAATTTTTTTTTTCTGGCGGAATCATCCACATGGAACGCATGCATGTCACTCCATTCTTCCCTCTTTCTCCACTCCACATCGCCACATTAGCCTCATTCAGACAAGCCCACACCCCAATCTTCCCTCTTTCTCACTTCACATCGCCACATTAGCCTGATTCAAACAAGCCCACACCCCAATACACATTACACACACCCCCCCCCCCCCCCCCCCAATACCCGACTAATTAATGACACGGGTAAGCTAAAAAGGTCTTTGCACAATTGGGGCGATATGTCCTGTACCTGATTGGCATCCACCATACCACCATACTTACTATTTCGTTCTATTGTTTTATTGTTTCGCGTTAAACAAGTCGTGCAGCTTTTCTGTTAAAGGCAAAGCCATAGCACGAAACAAACGGCAGCAGACGAGCATGCAAGGCAGCCAGCCGGCAAGAGCAAAATCTAAGCTGGAAACCTACCGCGAACGCAATAGGGTTGAACAGCAAAATCACCTCTGTAATAAGCAGAAGGAGCTAGCAAGCTCCCAGCTTGTGGCCGAAGCTCGCAAGTCCTTGCAAGCCCAGTCGACGCGGGACCAGTATGATCGGTACCAGGAGAAGTTCATGGTATGGCAAATTGTAAAATGTACCCCCATTTTTGCACAAGCATAGATAAACTATGGCCCCCGACTCGACGCACTAACTAACTCAATCACTCCATCCATTGGTATAGGAATGGTGCGACGTTTCTGGATATAAGGATGATTACAACGTCACGAAAGGCAAAGTAACCCGTTACTTTGCTTGCCTGACCTGCGAGACGGAAGATCCTCAAAACGGTATGAATATGAAGAATGGAACTAATGTGAGCGGTCATACGATACGACGACGACGACGAAACGCTATGGTGGTGTTTGAAATTATAAGAACTAACGAAAATATAAATGCTATAGGTATTATACGGATCAAACCGTTGCCAAGAGACAGGAAGGGCAACAACAGCAAGGACAAGTCCGGCGAACGGCGGGCAAATATGGATGACCCGTGTTCTGATGATGATGTCGATGGAGGCGATGTGGAGGACAAAAGCGATGACGACTGCGAGGGGGACGCCAGTCGAGACGTTGACATCCACAACAGCAACAACGATAACAGTGAAGAGCGGTGGTACTCGACGGCAACCATTCTCTTGCACCTCGCTGCCATTGGCGACCTCTATAAGCATCAGTGTGAAGACAGGAACAATTTAGCGATGGATTATGGCACAGTTCCGGCCCCGAAGACGTACCTTCAACCTCTGATCGACGTTTACCGCGTGAGGATGTCCGCCAGGAAGAGGTCGACAGATACCGACTTTGGCTCTATCGACTTCACCCAGAACCCAACTTCGATTGTTCGGCAGCTAATGAAGCGATTCTGGATGCGCAATGTGGAGGGCGCAGCCAGCTTGAGAAAGCGCCGCTTGAAAGGGTTACGCGACCGTGCGGATGTAAGTCTTTGCTTTTTTATGATGTTCCGCAGCGAGGTCACACGCCAGATCCGACTCCCGGATCTTTTCGCCCACGACGTCGAGCCCAACCGCAACAAAAATACGAACGATGCCAGCTGCAGAGAAGGCCAATTCGTGCTTGGAGTTGTGCTGATGATGAGGCAAGGCAAGACGAACAAGGACGGCAAGATTCAGTATGGAGTTGCAGTTCGGAACAAAGAAGTAGATGTGTGTCCAGTTGGCGCGCTAGCCTTTTATTTGCTTGAGCTTTGGTCGGTAAGTGGCGTGCATGTGGTAAATGTCGGCGGCCGACGCGTCGTGTCACTCATATTTCAACACTCATTTAATAATGCGTTCTTCCCCCCACCTCTTCCTTTTTTTTGCTGTACTAAGAGCAAAAACAAAAGGGCGCCTGATCTCACCAACCCTAAATGGACCGACTACCATCTGTTAGCTGGAAACAAACCAATGGATGCACCGATGACTTACAACTCCCAGTTCCAGGCGCAGGTGGAGGCTCTTCATGAGAGCGGGATATTGGACAAGGGCACAGTGACTCACCTTGGGCGCAAGCACGGCTCCAGATTCGCGCATATGTGTGGATCTACGGTAGAGGCTATCGCTAAGCACGGGAACTGGGCATCGAACCGTCTCTCAACTCACTATCTCGAGGGTGTAGAGCCTTCAGTGGCCCTTCGATTGGCTGGATTTGACCGCGACCGTCTAGAGCGCTTTTGGTTGGCTCGGAACACTGTGATCCCCAGCATTGAGCTCCAAAGGCAGTTGTTCCCTTTCATCGAGGATGCTTGCTCCGACACGTTCTGGAGGCTCACGATTGACAACATTATGCGTGACTGCGACGTTTTCCACGGACGCGAGGAGTTGCGTGAGAAGCTGCGACGGGGCGAGTGCAAGGAAGTCAAGCAGGTGTACACGGACAAGGATATGCAGACCGTTCTGTCGAATGAGGTCATTTCAAGAAAGCGCCATCTTAGCCTTCTCGCCCACCTGCGAAAGGTTATCCTTCAGGATGCAGCTGTCATCCTGTCCGGGGGTGGTGCTGCCGCCGCGCACCCTGTTTTCGATCACCCTGTCTTCAAAACACCTGCGTTTCAAGATTTCCAGCAAACCCTACTCGAGAGCATGAGAAATCCCTCTCCTCTCACGGATTCCCTCGCATCTGCCACACCCATCATCCAACTGGAGTTTGACAGGGTCGGCGCGAGGCTCGGTGTCCAAGATGCTGCAATCCGGAGCCTGCAGCAAAGCCAGCAAGCCGGACTTCAGAGTTTGCACGCCGGTATGAATGTTCTAGCAGCTACTTTACAAGCTCAGAATGATAGGACAGCATCCGAGCTGAAGGACTTGAAGCGGTGCATTGGCAACAATGACAAACTGGCAGGCAACAAGCGACAATGTTTGAACAAGGATGCCGTTCGATCTCAGTTGATGCAAGCTCTCAAGTCAACGGTGGAAGCCGTGGTGGCGATTAGCGAGGACGATGAGGTGAAGGTCAGTGACGACGTCAACGGCAGTGTAGCAAGCCAGAGTACCACTATGGCTACCGCCATCGCTCTTCTTCAGCTTCCAGAGCCGGACGCTGGCCAGCAAGAATCAAGACCTCTGACTTCTTCCACTGCAGTTCTTTCAAGGGATGCGCACCGCCGCGCAGCTCTGGCCGCTTTCAACCCCAGCGACAATGTCGAGGACAGAATGCGACAAGTAGCCGCCTTAGTCGCCGACGAGAAGAGGGCGAGAGGAGAGACCCAACACCATATGCCCCTAATGCCCGAGTGCAAGCTGATCCCACGACCGAATACGCTCGACCAACTGTGGCAAGAGTGGGTTTACCACGGCGTCGATGGGTCCCCCTCCATCGCAGAGCTTAATAGGTGGTTCGGTTCAGCGTGGCGAGGCAAAGATGCACAGCTCTACAAGTGGAAGAAGGACATTGTACATTCGGTTCTGCGCTCTATCCCAGCTGGCTTGCAGGTTGACAAGTCCGCCGTAAACAATGCACTTGCCTTCGTAAGAGGGCAAATCGATACTGTTGGTTCAATTGATAAATACTACAAGGCTCTTCCCAAAGCACCCTCGAGAAAGTACCCAAAGAGAAGAGAATAAACACCATCCTTGGTCTATCACAGTGTTACATGTCAGCTCGCTCTACATATGGTTAGGAGCAGGGTGAGGGCAATGCTGAGGGAAGGAGGAGAGAAGAGGATAGTAGAGAGGGGAGTAGAGAGAGTGATGATAGAAGGACCTAGGGATAGAGGGAGGGAAGAGCAGAGAGGAATAGAGGGCAGAGAGTGTGATGTAAGCAGGAGGGCAACGCAGTTCTCAATGTGTTCAGGCACAGGCACGAGAGGAGAGGGCACATGAAACAATCTATTCACACATATGTGACTGGTTTATAACTGTCTATCGTGCTCGGAATAAAAAAATCTATAAACCATTATAAGCCGCTAATCTGTGTATAATGTGCCTTTCTTACAAAATGAGGCAAAAAAATTAAAACTAATCCAACAAAATTCAGTGGAGAGCGGAGTGTACACAGGCGCGGAACAAAATTTTAGTTGTGAACAGCAACTTAATCAGGGTTTAGTTGTTCGAATTAATTATTTTGGTTGCAAGGCGCAATAAATTAAGTTATCAGTAGTTGACTTGTTTTATCTATTCTCCCCTTCCTACTCATATTTAACTATTATATCATCACTACGAGTGACAACGGGCCCGGAACGGTTGAAAATGGCCTTTAGGCAGTCGAGACCAGCACCAGTAAAGCCCGGTACTTTCTGCACCAAATCCTCGGCGGATTCGACGATATCCACGGTAGAGCCTGATGACGCATGGACCGCGTTGGTGGCATCCTTAATCCATTCCGTCCCTGCTGTCCGAGTCAACAAAACCTGGAAGCCTTGAAGCGTCCGAAGAGTGCTCAAAATCGCCGTCCTAGAGTCCTTGTCTGTAGGTTGGGCAATCAGAGCGAGCTGCTTGAACGACTTCTTGGAGGACACCAGGAGCTTGGCCAACGATACTATGTGGTTTGGTCGTATGTGGTCCAGTAGCAGGGTAAGGCTCACAAGGCGGTCTGGGTGGCGCTCAGACTCGAAAATGTCGTTCAGGTTGTTAAGGCAGCCAGGGGTAGTCCCGATCAAATGAAGAATACGGACGGAAGCGCCCAAATTCCTTGAGATCCAAGATAGGCTCTCGCTGGATCTTGCCGTGACATCCAAGGCGAGCGGCGTTACGGATGCTTCCTGCGAAGACTGAGAGAGGTCGTAAAGTGCTACCACGTCGTTGTCCGAACTGTTCCTGACGATGAGATCGCGGAACTTGAGTCGAGGAGCGGATCCCGAGTTTAATGGCCTTACGATCTCGTCGATAGCTTTGACTACCCCTTTGAACGCAAAACCTACAGGGCATTCCACAGCCAATGACGTCAGAGCAGGGCTTGCTTGGATCGTCCTCTTGAATGTGTCCGTTATTGCGGTCCTGGTTTGACTGCTGCTCCAGTTGACACCAGACGAAATCTCGAGACTCTGTGCTTTCCCAGACAGAAACGACGCTCCGGACACCAAGGGTTCTCCAGGCACTGAGAGTTCTCCGAACACCGAGGGCAGATCTCCGAGAGCAGACTTGATACGAGAGACGACCAAGTGGCGTTTGTAGATCACTGACAAAACTTTCAGCTGGCTATCATCGATCGCGAGGTAGAGGAGATCCTCTCTTGTCTCGGACATTTCTTTGAGGAGAGCCGACACATCCAACTTGGAGGCCCAGTTGACAGTCACTCTCGTCAAGTTGGCGGTCGTGGTTTTGAGTAGCTCCCGTACGTGATTCGTTTCAGCCTCGACTTGCTGGGGAGTGGCGAGAGCCTCTTGCCTGTCTCCTCCAGAGATGGTCATGGCGTTGATTCCGAAGCGAGCCGCAAACTCGAGAAGTTTATCGATGTCCTGTATTGACGCTTCCCAGTCCACCGTGATTACGGACTCCGAGACGAACCCAACCTGGTCTGAATCGATCTTGAGGAGATCTGTCAGCGCGTCTTGAGACGTGAGAGCGGCGGTAATCTTGCCAGTGAGGATCTCATACGATGCGGTACCATTGGTCTGGGTCTCGACATGGCCTGGAACGTACCTAGGATACAACCTCATGTGGTGGTACTTACAGACGTGATGTTGGCGACCATGGCTGTCGGTAGTAAGGTACGCTCCGGACTCGTTATCATCGTCGACATCCATTGCGTTGGACCCTTTTTGATCCAGGTGGGACAATAGGGCAGAACTTGTGGTGTGTTGCTCCTCGGTAGACGTGTCGGTTCTGGGGTTTGTCGAGACACTTTGCTCAAGGTCCTCGATGGTCTTTTGCAAGTAAGGCTCGAAGTCGTCGGCGTTCTCGAGGTGGAGCTCTCGGTAGAGATAGCTGACGGCCAGATTTTGGTCCGACATCGGGGCTGGGTCGGTGCTGGAGGAGGTACTGAGAAGGGCGTCACGAAACCATTTGGCCTTGGATAGGAGGATAGCACCAAAAAAATCGACGAACTGAGCGGCCTTGTCGTGTCGGATAATCCCGTAACTCCGCTCGTGGATGAAGTGAGGTGTCCAGGTCCCAGTCTCAAGCTCGATCCTACCGCTCTCACAAACTCTGAACACCATCCAAGAGCTCTGCTCAATTGGAAGAACGTTCCCTTCCTTGTCCAGCATATAAACAGGCAGGGCAAAAAAGGATCGTGTCCTTGACGGGCGGGGATCCGCATATTCAACGAGAGCAGGATACAACGGTGGAATGCTCAGGGATGCGTTCATTTCAAGTGGATAGTCGTCCATTTGGGCTGACTGGTTTCCATCCATGTCGTCACCATCATCCTCATATTGGTCGTGGCCGCCGTTGTCATAGTCGCCGTCGTCATTGTCGTCGTTGTCATCCATTGTATAGTCATCTCCTCCTCCTCCTCCTCCTCCTTCTCCTTCTCCTTCTCCTTCCCCAGACCCATCTCCTGTCTGGTCCTTTGTCTCCTTTGCACATATAGCGCGGAGAATTTCACCCATGTATGCTTGAATTCGAGGAGCAAACGGCCTGATGTTGACGGGGATGAACATCAAATTAGTTGAGATTACATAAAACATCAACAAGCGAACCTTTTGATTGTGCTGTGGAACTTACCCTTGCAAGGTTGGCACCACTTCGTCCACTGGCATCGCGCGTTTAGTGTAGTCGTAATTCTCGTAGGTGCGTTTAATCTCTCTAACACGGACACTTTTGAAACCGTCGTACTGTCGGAATATGGTCGCAAGGATTCGAAGAGAGTGGTCAACACCAGGGGCCTCGAATCTTTGGACATTTCCGTCTTGCTTTACTCGGCAGAAACGTAAGCTGGCTCTGTGGGAAGACATCACAATAACGTTCGTGAGAAAATGGCGGCGTGGAGGGTGCTGTCGAAACGCTCAAGTTCCAGACTGGGTTAATATCGATGATGTGTAAGGGTGTGGAGGCGATTTGAGGGAACGATATCAATGGACAGAGGAGAAAAGGACGAGGAGTAGAACTGTGAGAGGGAGAATTGTATAAGTGAGTCGGGAAAAGCTGGGCGAAAGGAGAGGGAGAGGCGGTGACCCGAAAGCAAGAAGGAGTGAAGAAAAAAGAAAAAAGAAGAGAGGAAAAAAGTTAAAAAAGATGAAAAAGGGAAGACGAAGAAAAGGTTGTAACACATTCAGGGCGTCGTGTTGTTTACTATTTTTGTATCAATTGACCATGCTCTCAGGTAAAAGCACTAAAAAAAATAAACAAACGAAGAGAGAAGTACTGTGTTTGCCCAAAAAAGATGCAGCCAGCAAAAGGAGGAGCTGTGCAGGTCGATCGCTGAACAAGGGAATGACCTTGGATATGTGAGAACGAGGTGTTTTTTTGTCATTTTGAGAGGTGGTCAAGGGACGGAAGAGAGATAAAAGAAGCAACTGGACGGGGGATCGGGGAGAGAGGGCGTGAGAGTCGGCAAAAAAATAATGCTTTCGACATTTTTTTTCACGCATATGGGAAAAGGTTCAAAGAGAGAGTCTGAGCCCATTTCCTGTTTGTCAAGGTGTACATGCATGTCGCTTATCTATTTACTTTTATTTATCAATCTCTCTCTCACTGAAAGGAAGTAGGGAAAAAAGCATCGGCAAAAGCATCAGCGACATGATTCCAATGGGTCATCGACGCCAGTCCGACTTTATGGACCTGAGAAAAGTGACAACAGAAAAATGAGAGAAAGGAGGAGGCAGGGATGAGGGAGAAAAGTAGACAGATCCCAGTCCTTCGACTCGGATGCTCACCATCTTCCATCCCCTTCTTCTGCCAGCTTTTGATTCGAACTTTAAATATTGCGCACATGCCCCACAATGCCACAAGAAAGAGTGTGTTGGCCCCAGGGAAGTAGCATGTTCACTCGACATTTGTTGTTCAAGCGACCGTTAAAAGATAGCAATGGGGATTGTTGTATTATCGAAAGCGAATGAGAACAACGACTCTTTTTCCATTGATGGCCAGGAGCAAGAAAACGGGCAAGGAAAAAGAGAAAGAGCAAAGAGAAACAATGAAAAAAAAGCCAACAAGGCACACCCAAACAAATCAAACCTTGTTTGACTGAACCTCTTTTCCCTTCCACCCAAAGGAAAACAAAATAAGCAAGAGGGCTCGCTTCCATCCATCCGTTTCATATTACGAGGGTTGGAAATCTTTGAACACTGTTCATAACGGCTGGTAGGCCTAAGAGAGAAAGATTGAGCTGCCTTAAAAGATAACGGAATTTTCATTGCTGCATTTACTGCCACTTGATAAAGTGAATGCTGTTTCAGACTTAGGATGGAACCGAGCCTAGCTGGATGCCTCCTACAGAGTCCTACCAGCTGTTATGAAGAGTGTTCAAAAGAAATCGAGAAGATTTCCAACCCTCGTAATATGGAACGGATGCCCCCAAATACTCGGAAAAGTCTGACCGACAGAACCTAGTCTCCTATTCATGCGTTGCAATGGCCTTCGAACCATAACTTCTATGTCTAAAGTCGAGTATAACGAGGTGATTGCTCTCCTCTTCACTCTTCATCCACAGTCTAGTCGAGACTGCAACAACACCAAGGACTCCAAGAACTTCTCCCTCAGTCTCACCATCCTCTCAAGATCTCCAAGCTCCGAAATCCGGGTCCAGCACCAAAACGCGTACTTCTTTATCCTCGCGACCTTCGCAACGTTACTGCTGATCTCGACCTGCACCTCTGCTGCACCAGCGCCACATGTGGTCAAGACCGAGCTCAGTGATATCTTTAAGGGAACTGTGCGCCCGATCTCAGGAACTGTGCCAATGATGGTGGCTGTTGCTACGGAAGTTACCAGTCCGGTGCGGACATTTGCCTCTTCCGGTGAAATCCATACTCCTCTCCTTTTTTTCATGGCTGTCACCCTCGGCTAAAGGCCTTTTACCTATGCAGACTGTCCATAGCCCTGGCTTCTCCTTTCGATATATATCTTCATTATCGTGACTCTATCGCACTATTTTTCTACTTGAATTCACAGTTTGTTACGAAGTGCGAAATAAAAAGCAACGACATATGTTTCCACAATGCCAATCTGCTTGAGGACGTTGAATGAGGCATGGTCTATTCCTTTCTTGATGTACAGGTGAAGAGGCACGAATAGACAAAAAATGGCAGGATTTATATCGGATGCATTCCTTTTCATTCTCCTTCCCTTTCTTTCTTGGCCGCACACTTGCACCCTGATAACGAGAAAAAGAAAAGAAAAGAGACTTCTTGTCGCATCTGGGCAAACCACAACGTGTTGACTTTTGCCGGTGGATACTTTATCCTACTGCCGCCAGGGATCGCGGTGAGGTATAGAGCTCGCGTAAATGTTCGTTCAGGATAGAACCATGGATGTTGATTTTTCTTCCGCTCGTCTCTTGTACGTTGCGCGATGGCTGCCTGTTACTTCCTGAGGAACAAATGTCTCTCCTAACCTTCGGAAGAAAATAATAAACGTTGACAAACCTCGGCAAACAGACCAAGAGGTCGAAGTCAGATATCACCTTCCACGAAGGACAACAATTTTATTGAACAGATTGAGCGGCCAAGCTCGTGAGAAACAAAAAAAATATTACGATGGTTGGCCATCGCGTTTCATAGGAATAGTGAGCAGAAGCCAAGCTACTATCCAAACCCTCGTTTTTTTTCGTTTTCTCTTCTTTCTCGTCCTTATTCCCGCGTTCACATTTCACTCCTCGTTACGCCGTCTGTCCTAGTCTCTCCCACTCCTTTCGGTCTATAACGCATGCACCGAAATACCATTGTGAACCCCTATATATAAGCACACCCCTCTCAAAAAAAAAGGTTACGACCATGCTGAGCAAAAAGACACAGTATCGCTTGGCACACAACACGTACACGCACATACACACTCACACAAACGCCGAAAGTGTGTACGAACGAAATCGACCAATATAGTATTCCTTGAATGGGAATGACGGACAACCAGAAAAAAAACAATGCCGTTTCCCTGACAGAAACACAACATAAGGCGCGATTGAACATGAACAATGTGAGCAATCTTATTTATTCAAGGCACGCTGTTTCTTTTCATGCGTGACTAGAGAGTAAGGTGGTATTAGAGTAATAAATAAGGGTAAAAACGATGACCAAAAGGATGCAGGCTTCATCTGTATGCCGTTGCTGCATCAAAAGCAGTTGTGATAGGCTGCAACACAAAAAACGAGTGGAAAAAACGCATACGTGAGTTCATAATTTTCCTACCGCCAATGCTACCCATGTGCACGTCGCATTACACGCAGGAATTGCTTTGTTGTTTATCTTTGTTTCTATGTCGCCATCTTCCGACATCATGTTCACACCCCTCCTCTCCAGGCACAACTGACAAGCAAAATCACCTCAGCAATCAATGAGTCTAGGAAATGCAAAGTACTACGTACGATGGGTACCCGATCCAAAACGGAGAGACGACGACTAGTATAAAACGAGGATTGCCTCCCTCGTTTTTGAACCTCACTCCTCATCCACAGACCAGTCGACTCTACAAAAACACCAAGAACACCAAGAACCCTAAAAACAGCTATCACCCTCTCAAGGCCTCGCAGCTCTCAAGTCCAAGACCAATCCCAAAATACGTTCCATATCCATCGTCGCCACCCTCGCAGCGTTCCTGCTGATATCCTCTGTCTCTGCCGCGCCAGCGCCGCTTACTATCAAGATCGAGCTCAGTGACGTTTTCAGTAAGGTCTGCTATGGCCCGGGTTATCCATGCGGGAGCTATGCGGATTGTTGCTCCGAAGAGTGCTATATGGGAACGTGCCTTTAGTCAAGACTAGGTTTTTGTAGCTCGTTGACCTTTACCATAGGCTTTTCACACTGTTCTGTATATCTAAGTGGATTTATTTCTCCCGACGCGTATCCCATGGTCGTCGTTCTATATCTCTTTTTTCTTCTTGCGCCACACTCTTGTTGTGAGATGCGAATAAACTCGCAGTGCCTCATGCATTATCTACCAAGTTGTCTCTCCATCATTACGTCCGCGGTGTTCGGCAAACATACAACGAAACCTCAAAGTGTGAAGAGCGACAAAGCTAACATCAAATACCTCCATATCATTTGCTCTCATTTGTCGCCTCGCGCTCTATGCCTTCGATCGTCATGGAAGATGATGTATCCTTCGCAACTGTAACACCACGGGGGGCCGAGGATAGCTGCGCTATATGCCACATCCTCACATGCAAGACTAAGAAAAGTCAGGAAGAAAATGAAATGAAATGATTCTGGGTATGAGTTATTATAACAATGAGCATATCGTGGAAGTAAGTAAAGCACAATATTATAAAGAGCACTTACTAAAACACGACAAAGTAAATATGGAAATAGCGACAGGCGCTCAATATGGCGAAGACTTAAATAATGCCGTCCCACCATCCGTCATGAAGTGACCTGACTCTCAGGCAATAGCCATGTGACCCATGATTAATGTGCGCCACTTGAAAACGATGAAACGAAATTAGTTCATGACCATGGTGCAAGGCGCAATTGACATTTTTTTTTTTTTTTTTTTTTGGCACAAAGTCCAGGTAAGTGAAACCTTTTCCATTCTTATAGGCAATTGTTATTCTCCTCCCTTTTCTTCCCATGTAGTCATCGACTTTTGTAGCATAAAAGCAGTGCCTTGAGAATTTGACCTGCAAACGAATAAAAACTCTTGCCACCCAGTTACACTACCACCACACCAACATCATGTTTCCACTCAGTCAGCAACTCAAAAATAAAGCACATGTAGAATAGCAGAATGAATATAAATTAAGTTATCAGTAGTTGACTTGTTTTATCTATTCTCCCCTTCCTACTCATATTTAACTATTATATCATCACTACGAGTGACAACAGGCCCGGAACGGTTGAAAATGGCCTTTAGGCAGTCGAGACCAGCACCAGTAAAGCCCGGTACTTTCTGCACCAACTCCTCGGCGGATTCGACGATATCCACGGTAGAGCCTGATGACGCATGGACCGCGTTGGTGGCATCCTTAATCCATTCCGTCCCTGCTGTCCGAGTCAACAAAACCTGGAAGCCTTGAAGCGTCTGGAGAGTGCTCAAAATCTTCGCCTTAGATTCCTTGTCAGGAGGTTGGGCAATCAGAGCGAGCTGCTTGAACGTCTTCTTGGAGAACACCAGGAGTTTGTCCAACGATTCTATGTGGTTTGGTCGTATGAAGTCTAGCAGCAGGGTAAGGCTCACAAGGCGGTCTGGGTGGCGCTCAGACTCGACAATTTCGTTCAGGTTGTTAAGGCAGCCAGGGGTAGTCCCGATCAAATGAAGAATACGGACGGAAGCGCCCAAATTCCTTGAGATCCAAGATAGGCTCTCGCTGGATCTTGCCGTGACATCCAAGGCGAGCGGCGTTACGGATGCTTCCTGCGAAGACTGAGAGAGGTCGTAAAGTGCTACCACGTCGTTGTCCGAACTGTTCCTGACGATGAGATCGCGGAACTTGAGTCGAGGAGCGGATCCCGAGTTTAATGGCCTTACGATTTCGTCGATAGCTTTGACTACCTCTCTGAACGTAAAACCTACAGGGCATTCCACAGCCAATGACGTCAGAGCAGGGTTTGCTTGGATCGTCCTCTTGAATTTGTCCGTTATTGCGGTCCTGGTTTGCCTGTTGCTCCAGCCGATGACACCAGACGAAATCTCGAGACTCTGTGCTTTCCCGGACAGGAAAGACGCTCCGGACGCCAAGGGTTCTCCAGGCACTGAGAGTTCTCCGAACACCGAGGGCAGATCTCCGAGAGCAGACTTGATACGAGAGACGACCAAGTGGCGTTTGTAGATCACTGACAAAACTTTCAGCTGGCTATCATCGATCGCGAGGTAGAGGAGATCCTCTCTTGTCTCGGACATTTCTTTGAGGAGAGCCGACACATCCAACTTGGAGGCCCAGTTGACAGTCACTCTCGTCAAGTTGGCGGTCGTGGTTTTGAGTAGCTCCCGTACGTGATTCGTTTCAGCCTCGACTTGCTGGGGAGTGGCGAGAGCCTCTTGCCTGTCTCCTCCAGAGATGGTCATGGCGTTGATTCCGAAGCGAGCCGCAAACTCGAGAAGTTTATCGATGTCCTGTATTGACGCTTCCCAGTCCACCGTGATTACGGACTCCGAGACGAACCCAACTTGGTCTGGATCGATCTTGAGGAGATCTGTCAGCGCGTCTTGAGACGTGAGAACGGCGGTAATCTTGCCAGTGAGGATATCGTACGATGCGGTACCATTGGTCTGTGTCTCGACATGACCTGGGGCGTACCTAGGATACAGCCTCATGTGGTGGTACTTACAGACGTGATGTTGGCGACCACGTTTGTCGGTAGTAAGGTACGCTCCGGACTCGTTATCATCGTCGACATCCATTGCGTTAGACTCTCTTTGGTCCATGTAGGACAATAGGGCAGAACTTGTGGTGTGTTGCTCCTCGGTAGACGTGTCGGTTCTGGGGTTTGTCAAGACACTTTTCTCAAGGTCCTCGATGGTCTTTTGCAAGTAAGGCTCGAAGTCGTCGGCGTTCTCGAGGTGGAGCTCTCGGTAGAGATAGCTGACGGCCAGATTTTGGTCCGACATCGGGGCTGGGTCGGTGCTGGAGGAGGTACTGAGAAGGGCGTCACGAAACCATTTGGCCTTGGATAGGAGGATAGCACCAAAAAAATCGACGAACTGAGCGGCCTTGTCGTGTCGGATAATCCCGTAACTCCGCTCGTGGATGAAGTGAGGTGTCCAGGTCCCAGTCTCAAGCTCGATCCTACCGCTCTCACAAACTCTGAACACCATCCAAGAGCTCTGCTCAATTGGAAGAACGTTCCCTTCCTTGTCCAGCATATAAACAGGCAGGGCAAAAAAGGATCGTGTCCTTGACGGGCGGGGATCCGCATATTCAACAGGAGCAGGATACAACGGTGGAATGCTCAGGGATGCGTTCATCTCATACATCGAGTTCGAAAAGTCGCTCACTATGCCTGGCTGGTATCCATCCATGTCGTCGTCATCAGTCTGATGTCCGTCGCTGTCGTTGTTGTCGTCGTCGTCGTCATCCATGGGATCGTCATATACTACTCCTTCCGCAGACCCAACTCTTGGATGGGATTGTCCCCCCTCCACAAACATGGCGCGGAGAATTTCAGCTCTAAATGCTTGAATTCGAAGAGGAACCGGCCTGATGTTGACGGGGATGAATGCCAAATTAGTGGAGATTACATAAATAATAATAAGCGAACCTTTTGGTTGATGGTGATGTGAAACATACTCTTGCAAGACAAGTGGCACCACGACGTCCTGCGCTTCGCGTTCGATGTGATCGTAACCCCTGAAGATGCTATCAATCGTGGCAAAAAGGACACTGTGGAAATTATCGCTGAGTCGTCTTCGAGTTGCAAAGATTCTAAGGGAGGCCGGAATAGCATGCTCCTGGATTCTTTGGACATTTCCAGTTCCATCTTCTCGAACTCGGCCGTGATTGAAGCTGAATTTGTTGGACATCGCGGTGGTATTCGTGAGAAAATAGTGGCGTGGAGGATGCTGTCGAAACGCTCAGGTTCCAGACTGGGTTAATGTCGATGATGTGTAAGGGTGTGGGAGGCGATTTGAGGGAACGATATCAATGGACAGAGGAGAAAGGACGAAGTGTAGAACTGTGAGAGGGAGAATTGTATAAGTGAGTCGGAAAAAGCTGGGCGAAAGGAGAGGGAGAGGTGGTAACCCAAAAGCCAGAAAGAGAAAAGAAAAAAGAAGAGAGGGAAAAGATGAAAAAGATGAAAAAGATGAAAAAGAGAAGACGAAGAAAAGGTTGTAACACATTCAGGGCGTCGTGTTGTTTATTATTTTTGTATCAATTGACCATGCTCTCAGGTAAAAGCACTAAAAAAAATAAACAAACGAAGAGAGAAGTACTGTGTTTGCCCAAAGAAGATGCAGCCAGTTCAATACAGTAAAAGGAGGAGCTGTGCAGGTCGATCGCTGAACAAGGGAATGACCTCGGATATGTGAGAACGAGGTGTTTTTTTGTCATTTTGAGAGGTGGTCAAGGGACGGAAGAGAGATAAAAGAAGCAACTGGACGGGGGATCGGGGAGAGAGGGCGTGAGAGTCGGCAAAAAAATAATGCTTTCGACATTTTTTTTCACGCATATGGGAAAAGGTTCAAAGAGAGAGTCTGAGCCCATTTCCTGTTTGTCAAGGTGTACATGCATGTCGCTTATCTATTTACTTTTATTTATCAATCTCTCTCTCACTGAAAGGAAGTAGGGAAAAAAGCATCGGCAAAAGCATCAGCGACATGATTCCAATGGGTCATCGACGCCAGTCCGACTTTATGGACCTGAGAAAAGTGACAACAGAAAAATGAGAGAAAGGAGGAGGCAGGGATGAGGGAGAAAAGTAGACAGATCCCAGTCCTTCGACTCGGATGCTCACCATCTTCCATCCCCTTCTTCTGCCAGCTTTTGATTCGAACTTTAAATATTGCGCACATGCCCCACAATGCCACAAGAAAGAGTGTGTTGGCCCCAGGGAAGTAGCATGTTCACTCGACATTTGTTGTTCAAGCGACCGTTAAAAGATAGCAATGGGGATTGTTGTATTATCGAAAGCGAATGAGAACAACGACTCTTTTTCCATTGATGGCCAGGAGCAAGAAAACGGGCAAGGAAAAAGAGAAAAAGCAAAGAAAAAAAAAGCCTTCTTCCTCAATAAGACACACCCAAACAAATCAAACCTTGTTTGACTGAACCTCTTTTCCCTTCCACCCAAAGGAAAACAAAAAAAGCAAGCAGACAAACTCACAACAGACAGAGACACATGCTCCAAGTAAACACAAACGTCATCACGAAATGGTGCAATCCATACCAAATCTGTGTATATCATTTCTGTGAGAGAATAATTTGGCTACGATCAACATTGACTAAGGCATGAATGATTGAGAAAAGTCAGTAACAACATTAACAAAAAAGAAAGTCTATCGCAAAAGACCATACCAGAGGAATACTCTTGCATTGGGAAACAAGTCTGCATCTTTTACCAGGGTGGGGGTCAAAACACAAACACGCACCCCAATCGAACCATAGTTGGGACCGAAATAAAAGTAGATGATGTGTTATGCTCATGCACGCTTGCATGATCTGCTTTTTGCTCCCTTTTGTTTTTCTTTTCCAATCCTCCCACTCACTCCTTCCACTTCTACAATCTTTTAGGAGACAAACAGTTCCAACTAGCGCGAATCCCTATTGAAGGAAAATAAGAAACAGGAAGAACCACCAAAGCAAAAAAACATGAAGGCAAAAGGGCAGTGCGCTCGATAATGTTACCTACAACGAAAAACAAAGCGAAATGGAGAAGGTGAGACGGGGAAGTGTTTTCTTTTACAGAACCAGGAGAGAATTGGGGTCATCCGTTAACGTTGAACAGCAATATTTTTTCAGTGTAAACAGCAACCGAAAAATACTCCATGTGATTGTTGATGTGTCCAAACAGTTTGTCTTGCTTCAAGCTTCTCAAAATTGAAGGAGGGTGTGCTGAAGTCTGAGTGTGTTTGTAAATGCATGTGCGTGTATGTTTTTGTGCGTTCGTGCGTTTGTGGATGAGTGGGCGTGGATATGATGGGTTGGAAGTGTGTGATGGCGTGAAGTAGTGCGTTGCGAAACAAAGGAGGGAGGAAAAGGCAAAGGGTGAATGAGATTCGAGTGAGAAACAAGGAAGGGGAGCGAAAGGGAGTGAAATGGAATGAAAGGGAGTGAAAGGATAGATGGAGGTTACAACGGGCAGACAAGCAAATGTCCAACCCGTTTACTCAAGAACTGAATAAATGAAAAAAGGCAGAGAGGTGTCCGCCTTTTAAACGATGGTAGCTATGGCGAAGCAAAAGGAAGGCGAAGTTGATACTTTCGAATTTTTGCGAAAAGAAACAACAAGACATGCTATCCCGTTGTTGGATGACTGAGCTATTTTTTTTTGAACCCATGAACAAGGAGCAACGATGCATTGCTCCGAGGAGTGCAAGTCTGGCAAAGGCATAAAATTTGTTTCTATTGCAATTTACAAACAAGTAACAACAAAGTACAGCAATAGGCGTGCTGCTCGATAGAACGATACATGTTGTTATTGTTATGCTCACGTTCATTGCCAGCTGCGCATCCCTCTCTAGACGTACAAGGCGATCGCTCTCCGTCGTTTGCCTTGCATCGTGTAGGCATGGTAAGGATATATGCTAGGTCGGTGTATATCTCGCGACTGACAAACATTTGAGACGGACAGGACATGGTCACTTGTCTGTGTCGCAAACAACTGAGTTCGAACGATTCGTTGTGGCGAGCAGTGAACGAAAAATAAGTCGTAATGAATCAATCTTAGCAACCTGACAAACGCGTTAAGCAAGAGAAACAACGTAAGAAGTGGCAAAGGGCCAATTGTAACGCCACAATCATTTTATGTCTGCGCCACTCAGGTGCAGATTGTCCGTGCTTTGACGATCCTCTCCAAGGGGCTTTGTACGACACCCTGTGGCTGATGTTGGGCGCCTTCTTTTTTTCAATATCCAGGGAGGATAAAAATGGAACTAATTCCTCCGAAGTGGAGGAGGAGCTGCGATAACGTCTCCCGCGGCATTCTGCTTCGCCGCCCCTCATTACTTTTACTTACGCTCCTGGCCCATCTCGGTGACCACTTTTGTTCGTCTCTCTAGTGATACATCAGAAAGCACCCGAGGGCTACAGGGGCAGAATGCGGAAGTGAACTCCTTCACTACCATTGCTTCTTAAGTCTGCGCCAGAGTGAACATTGTCGGTAATCGTGAGCATTGGAGATCATACGAAACCTTGCCATTATTTTCGAACTAGATGGGCTACCATCTGACATCATCACTATCGGTTCCCCCTTGTTTCTCTTATCTGTCTCCTCGCTACGAACTCGAATGACTTCATTGCACATAGACCCCATATGGCGCAGAGCTTTAGTGTTTTGGAGAGAAGACTAGAAATTGGGCGAGTCTTTTGAAGAGACCTCTCACTAAACCCTAAAGGTTCCTCAATTTCGCACTGCCGATCGCTGTCAAGGGCATCCAGGGTTGCGGGACCATGGATGAACTGGTTTGAGTCTTTTGGAATAGCATTCGGAGGATAATGTTCTCAGTTGCACCAGCATGTTTTGGTGCATGGTAGTCAACCCATTTAAGGATGCGAGGTTGCTGAGAATGGAAAGGAGAACTAAGCGAACCGTGTGAAGCAAAGGTGTGAATTTGGACCCTTGACCAAAACATTTGTCTCTGTGCAACCAAACATGAAAAAGATAATAGGATGGGACACAAAAGAACGATACTGGAGATCTTTCTTTCTCCTTTTGTTTTGGTCAACTTAATGTTTCTAAAAGCAAGATGGGCTTGATATTCTGCTAGAAAGGGTGTATGTATGTCGGTTGTCTGCGACGTTCAATTACAAGCGTAGAGGTAAATGAATACCCACTGCTCGGTCAGTAACTTCTTTCGAGAAACTCTTAATCCAATGGCCAAGCAAGGAGGAAGGCGGAGCGAAATAAAAATGAATTTTGCAACAAGAAGAGGTCGTAGTCACAGACAAAGGTGAACAGGACCTCTTTCATATCTTCTTCGCCAATTCATCGTCGCTTCTCACTCTTCTGACTCCTCGCCGTTCACTTCATTACTCTTGTTTCTTTCGTCTTCACTCACTCCGCCGTTAGCCTTCGCCATAAAGAAGGCTATATAAATGACCCATTCCTTGACTTTCTGTCCAATTTTACCTTGTCACTCTTCACACCTCTCGCTTCTCACCATTGCTTCAATTTTGAACGGTCTTGCTCGACTCTTCTCTACTTCACCTATCTTCACTCGATTCTTTGCATTGTGCTCACTTATTTCAAGACCAAAATCACCTCTTTTCAACATTCAAATACCTACTGTTTTTCCACCCTTGCTTCTGCCTCCCGCTTCCTTGCATTAACTAGGGCTATCAAACAACAACACCACCTTTCTATCCCCTTTTTCCTGCTCCTTTTTTTTTATCCCTTTCCGGATCTGCGTGCTTTCGATATGCACGCTCAGTCGACGCGTCGAGTTTCGCCTCCAGTGGATCCTCCAAGTTTCCAAAGATTTCGATCCATTGACGAACCTGATATCCCGGACTCCATCACGTCTCTCCGAATTCACCGATTAAACCCGAACGAGCGCATTGTGTACTGGGACGACATCGTACTTTACTTTCCGCATGCTCACATCATTCTCAACGGCAACACTCTTGTCACCCCCATACGAGGAGTGGACCTGTTCATGTAAGGCGCTCCCTCCTGTGTTGTTTTTCCTATCATCTCCTGTGATTTCCTTTTCATACGTTTTTTGTGGTTCCTTCTTCAATGAGCTAAAACAGAACAACAAGAGATAATTAGGGTTGTAGGATCGCAATGACAGACTGACACTTCCATATCCATGTACTCTTCATTTTGTAAATGTTTCGGTCGCTCTCGACGATGCGCTCGTAATTCTATCTGCATAGTGTCATCCCAGTTCGAATCGAAGCAAACACCGCAGCTGTCTACTTGGTTGTGATGGAACCACCACAGTAATCCTGGACAACATCAGCCTCGTACCTCTCTTCCGTCTCTGTCAAAGAAGCGCTCTCTCTGTTTTCACATCCCCACCTGTGACATCCTCTTCACTCTCTCCATCTCACTCAACCTGTACTTTTCACCTTCCTCGCCGTCCTCACTGCCCTTCACTTCCTCCACACACAGTATCCATCTACTTTACCATTTTCTTCTCGACAATTTTCCATCCTTCACAGACAACAAACAACAAGCCCAAATCCCACCACAAAAAATTATGAGAGCACAGCTGTATTCATTTTGATTATGGTTTCAGCTGAGAGTCAAATTCATGTTTTCGTCGCAGCCACAACCACACACTGCCCACCAACCTGCTCTCACCGATGTCTCCCCAGCATCCACCTTTGACATTGACACAAAGATGAAAAATATGCGCAATACGCAGCCACCCTGTATATGTCCCTACCTCCACACTTGGCGATCCTCTCCAACCCACTGGGATCTTTTGTCGCAGTGCGGAGAAATATATATCGCAATTATTTTATCCTTGTACCAGCAGTATCTCCTCTCGCAACTGTCGAGATGCAACCTTCATTTCTGGACCAATCTCTCAACCCAATCTCCTCCCAGTATCACTTAATCGGTCGGCACTTTCGCTGTACCTGTTGTCGCGCTTGGTTCAGTAACCACAGACAAGTGGCATCGCCAGCTTGCTTGCTACAAGTATCCTTCGAACTGGCCAAGGATCAGTAGTAATCACACATCCTTCAAGGCCATACGTACTTCTGGCAGACCACCAAGGTAACATTCATCCTCATGCTTTCCTTCCACCCATCAAGGCTCACCTTTTGGCCTTCTTTGATTCTGACCAATGATACTCATTCAAAAAATAGGCTCAGGACAGACCGTCCTCAGCGCCGAGATGTCCTTTGTTCTAGGTCTGATATTTACTCGGACCATCCCCTTAACTTTCTTCGCCACTCTGCTCCGCCCGTGTGCGACCACTTGTCAAAACCGTCCATCGCTCACCACAAGCAGGCGACATTCATCCTTCGCAACTGATCCTCTTCCATAGATTCTCGTCCTTTTATGCTTTTTGCGTCAAGCTAGTAAAATACCGAATACAATTGAACTACAACCATGCCGGGCCTACTTGAATGAGAAAACCTCGATCGAGTCTAGGCCACCCACTGGTATTGCTTTCCTTGGGTGCGCTAATAAAAATAGGGCACAGAGACGCATTCTTCTCCTTCTATTCCTCCACTTTCTCTTCTTATCTCCTCCTCCTCGCCCTCACTTCTCATCTTGCGACCCCCGTACCAATGAAACGCCTTGTTTTCGTCCAGCACTGTTCGCCACCATTTTTTTCTTTCTCTCACCTTGTATTGCGTTATAGCCCTTTCTCCCATATCTCCGCATTTTTGTTATTTTTATCCCAAATTCCTTGAAATAGGTGTTTTTTGACCCGGGTGCATGGGTCTGTTGTTTGTCTGCACCCCGGGGGTGACCCAGCCCTGTTTTTTCGATGTTTTTGAATCCAATGCATCTGTGAGAACACTTCTCAATGTCACCCCTTCTTTCCCTTTTCTCTCTCTCTCTCCTTCTTCGTTGGCGGCCCTCACTTTCTCTGTCGGTGGATGCAGTCGCCCCAAATGTCACGCACGCTCTTTTGTTGTATCTGCGAAAAAGCGACATGCTTCAATTGAATGGATCTGCCAAATGTAACAACAAGGTGTTTGTTTTGGTTTGGAAGGTACGTGTGAAGAAATTAGGTTATGCAAGTAGACTGTGCCTGCAAAGAGAAGGAGGGATATGTTTCTGTCTCGCTCGATCAAGAAAGGGTTTGGACGTTTTGTAACAGGGGAACATGGGACATGGGGTGAGACATTGAGAAGGCGAAAGAAAAAGATAAGCGGGTCAAAAGGGAAGCAAGGATGGGTGGTGGGACCCAAGAAAAGACAAAAATAACGACCACTCGGTTGTGGAAGTGAATAACTCAAATGCATAAAAAGGAGCAAAAAGGATAAAGAACGAACAAAAAGGGAGCCGACCCTTTTTTCTTGTGTAAGCGAAATCGGGCTGAACAAACCACTCTCTGTGATGGGAAAGGGGAAGGGGAAAGTTGGTGGAGAGGGTACGCGGGAGAAAGTGTTGGACGGTTGAGTAAAAGGAAAGGTAGTCATTCTCTGAGGAGCAATGAACAAAGACAATGAGCATGGTTCATTGCGAGATCTCTCATTTGAAAGGTCATCATCTTTCTTCGTTCACATTTCCATTCGGTTGCAAACACCAACCAAACACGGTGGCGCAATGCTGTTGAGTTTGAAATAAAAATGTTCCTTCAGGACAATGAGGCGTGGCAAATGTCACGAAACACCATACCGTGTGGGCTTATTCTTGACGTTTAAACTATTGGACCATTCACATTCGAGCCATGCCCATTGGATGTCACTTCAAAAACACACACATACAAATGCAACGAATGATGAACCACATTAAACCACACCCGTTTATTAATTTTTTTGTGTTGTTCATTCTCTAAGGTAGTTTGGAAAGTGCTACGAGGAAAAGTGAAGCTTCCCGCGTTCATATGACTTTCTCAAAAGCGACTCCCATGCGCGGTCCGGAGTAGTTATTCTCATTGAGCCAGCTGTGGCAACACTGATAACTACAAGCCCCTTCATCCGCCTTCATCCAACATCTAGCCTTGGACAGCCAATGTGCCAGCGTCTGCTGTAATTTTCTCCCATCATCCCATTCATCTCCCACTCCAAGAATATTTTTACCGGCGTTGTCGTCCTGTCATGTGTGCATTCATTAAAATAAAGAAGAAATAGACGCGACCATGGAGGTGGACGAAGAGAAGGGCCAGCTTCACTTCAAAAAAAAGGGGGGGGGGGGAGATGGGGAGGCGGCAGAAGTCAAAAGGCTGACATGTTACCATGTTGTAAAGCCTGAGGCAAAAGACCAGGAGAAGGATATAAAGATTCTCTTCGTCCATACACTTGTGCGTTTTCCTTCCCCTTCCTCTTCACTTTTTTTTGGCCCTACTGTTTTTGGTCGTTCTCTGCATAACACAAAGAAGCGCCCTACTTTTCTGGTCAAGTTCCCTTTCATCCTCCCATCCTCCATGTACACCTACGCCTGCTTTCTCTTACCGATAGAAGTACACAATCATACATAAAGAAACTCAAAATGTCCCTCACTCAACTCTCTCAACATCGATTCATCGCAGGCGGCGAAAATCCCGCGCAATGTTTTCAGCGTTATGGCCAGCCTCTCTCGCAGTTGTGTTATGCCCTTGTCGAAACTGACCCTGACGGTATTCAGTTTGTACGCTGGAGCAAAATCCAGCAGCTCTACGATCGAGAAGGCAAAGTCAAGTTTGTAGTCGATGGCAACGATCATGTTCCCTTGGCTGTCGGGCCCGATATGCAGATGTAAGTTGAAGAATAACGTTGTTGCATATCCGTTTTGTATTCTTTTTGGTATTTTTCCCTCGGTGTGTTACCACGCCAACGTAAAAACGTTTCACTTTCCACATGGTACACACACATTGACTGTGCCTTGCGTGATGTTTTTCTTTTCTTTGTTTTTTGGGCGCTACTGTTGGGTTTAGCATCGTGCCTTGGAGGATACAAGCATTCCTCAACAAAACCTTACAGGTCGCTTTGAACGACGAACAACCTGGATGCCTCGACCCCAAGACACCCGCAGACGTACACCCAATTGCGACAACTGACGAGAACGTAGAATCTGGTCCGTCGTCGTTTCGCCAGTCAAAGCCATCGAATGCCGGCTCTTTCTCGTCTCCCTCATCCTCGTCGTCTGAGTTCATGACGTCAGACACAAAACAATATACTGCAACGTCCCCGTCATCCTCTCTCGCTTTGCCACCCCCTGTTGCTACTGCAGCAATGTCAAGAATCACGACGGCGCTTTTTTCCGAAGATGCAGGGCCAAGCACATTCACATGGCCAGCAATAGCAGCAACAGATGAAGCAACGTTCTTCTCCCTCCACACTCCTCTCGAAGTCGCACAATTTAAGAACACTGTCCTCATCCTCCCTCCTCCCACATGCCCTCAAGAGCTAGCGCAAGGCAAAACCGACCACGGCTTGGGAGAATTGGGCCGCAGCCCTCCTTGTCCTTCCTTGTCTCCTCCCTGTTGTCTTCGTCGTCATCACCAGACGTGTGATGATAGTCCGAGGGAGGATTTTCATTCAGGTGTTTACCTCTTCGACTCCAACCCCCCCTGTCCCTTGGCTGCACGAACCCATCCTTCCCGTCATCTGCATGGACTGTTCCCTTTCATTTCAAAATACTCCGATCTATTCCGCAGCCAAGACAAAGAGCGCCACTGACGACAACAGCGACATCGAGAGCACCATGGACCACGACTCTTCCTCATTTCCGAACCTGGCTCCATTCTCCGTTGTAGTGTCATCTCACAGGCGCGCCTCCACATACCCTATCACGAGTGGCCTCGAGGCCCGTGTCAACCAATCATTATTGTCAGCAAGCCAAGTTGCCAAAGATTTCGCTCGGCTGACGTTTCCCCAGCCTGCCTCAAAACGATCAGCCTCCATACAGGTACCATCGACCCACCGACAAAAATTTAATAAAGAATCGACTCTCTTCATAGACGATGAATTGCAACCATTTTTCAATTGATCGCTTCATTAGTTTAGACTTGTCTCCTAGAATTTTCTACGCCACCAAAGAAGAGACGAATAATAAAATGGCGATCAGCGACAGGTCCAGATCAGCAGTAGATCTTTACTGACCGGATGCACTGAGACTTTCTAGCTTTTCCAAAAGCACTGATGGAGGAGACTTCCAATTATTTAATTGAACATTTTTCTGTGATCATCAATGGCGCAGACACTGAACGCGATTCTTTACGAATTGATACCACTGTGGGCACTATGTCTTTAGTATTGTATTTTTTGGCGCCCAATCAGCCGTGCGGCTGGCTGTGTTTCTGGAGACGCCACTTCATTTGCCCTCTTACACTTCTACACTTTTGTAGAGAGCCGCATGATGGTGGGTTGTACTTTTTCTTCTTTCTTGGTGTTTCTGCCACTCCCAGTCCCCCACCCTCTCCTTCTCTCTCTTCCCCTCCCCTGTCTTCTTATTCCCTTCCACACCCTTATCCTTCTTCGCCCTTCCGTCGTAAGGGGACAGTCCAATACGCTCCCTCCATACTCGCAAACACCCTACCCTCTTTCGAAGGCAAAATAAGAGGAATAGCAACACCAAAAGGCCCAGCCCTCCAATCCTTCCGCTCAGTCTACATCCTCGACGCGTTCGGCAACCCCGCACCTCCCTCCGTCAGCATCAACATCAACGCTCGTTTTGACAATCAGCTCCAACACCACATTGTCCTTTGGAATGACATCCTTCGGGTCTTCAGGAATGTGCTTTACATTCAGGCAGATGGCGCGTTGGTGTCTTTTTTGACGAACGATAACTTTGGAGAGTAGGTAGGAGGGGCGGGGGGTTTTTGTTGAGGAGTTGAGTTCGTCATGGAAGATGGCGAAGGTATTGAAGATGATGATTTGGAAGTTGGTTGGGACTTGAATGACTAAACTTGCTGCATTGTTGTCAATGGTTTCTAGTCTGATGTGTCTCAGAATAGCACACCACCAAGAATCCAACTCGACGAGGTAATGGAGATCCCCCACCCAACATACCCTTGAGCCCAGTCCTAGTCTCAGTCCATACGTTTCTCCTCCCCATCCTTCAGTCAAGCAAGAGCAGGATGGGAGTTCGACTTAACATCCCCAGCGCTGTCCAACAGGAGTAGTGTCTTTCACTCCCCTTCTATCTCTACAATATATTCGTCGTCCCACCTTCACTCCTCCAGTACCGACGGGACGTGGACAGGGAGCGGGAACGGGAACTTGCTGATCGCAGAAATGGGCTCGGTTCGCATCACCAGAGCTCCAGAAGAACGTACTCCTGTTTTTTCTACCTTCAGCGTTGATGCAGCGACCACAGGAACCCCTGCTGTGTATCACCCTCCACCACCACCGAATCTGTAAAACCAGTCGCTTCCAATGAACCCTCCAGTACCAACACTACCACCTACTGTGATTCTTACTTCCGCAGCGGTGCCAGTGAACACTCCCCCAATTCTGACAGCACAGTTGCGCACATCCATACCCATAACAACAACAACAACAACATCAACGGCAACAACCTCTTCACTTCGGGACACCAAAGGATCTACAGCAACGCAACCCATAGACACTCTCACGGAGCCAGTACCTCGAGTACTGACGACCAAGAAAAAATGGGACAAGCTCGAAACATTGCTCAAGCGGTCACAGAAGGAACTCCCAGCTCGCCAACCCAACCTACCAGGAGCTCCCATACCCAAGCAAGATGCGATTCCAGCAAACATGCCCAAGCATTGGTCACCCCTATTACTGGTACGAAGACCACGGCAGCAGCTACCATCGCTGGCAGTCGCCCCATTTCCATGAAGTTGGCAGCACCAGCAGCAACAGCACGACCCGCCCACAGGCATGATTCGATCCCAAGGACATCAACCAAGCACCCCAGGAAACCCAGGACCGGGTCCAGGGCTACAGTGCCCCTATTCAGTCCCGATATTGGAACGAGTCCCCTCTTCCCAGGTTGTTCATCGTATTACCCAAGAGCTGTCTCCATGATAACAAGCTTACGCTGGGGTAGGACAAGTTCCGGTTCTTTTGGATGTGCGAGTTTGTCGATCCCGCCCAGACTCCTGTCATGGGTGGTGGAGTTGGCGGGTTGGCGCCACATGTGGGACATCATGGAGGGTATGATCTGGTCCATCCTGAAGAATTCTTCCGCAAGCACCGAGCGGCACTTCTGCTCAACCTACAGATGTTCAAGTTCAGCACCAAAAGAACCAGCACCGCTGTCGTCAACGGAGGCGGAGGAAACAAAGGAGAGTTATCAATCTACAACCAGGGGATTGCCTTCTTGCATATGTCGATGAAGTTGGGCTGGGAAGAGATTGAGCTCTACTTGGACTTGATGATCAGCCACCTGGAGCAGTTGTCCTCGAAGGTCACCGACAAGATCCAGGATTCACAAAAGGCGGGAGGAAGAGGTGGCCAGGAGCAGTTGCCGATCTTGAGCGACAAGGAGTTGAAGTCGATCCAGTCCTACCTGATCGCGACTACCTCCACAGATTCAGGAATCGACCAACTCCACAACCAGTACCGATACGTCGACTCCCAGGGCCATTGCAATGGATCTGCCTGAACCATATGGAGCAACTCCGCCCCAATTATGACCCCGAGGCTGTCAGGAAGGCGATCGAGAGTTCTGGGATGTACTCTGCTCAGAACGCTTCCCCCGATATGACCGACATGAGCGTGCCTATTACGCTGAGTGTCTTTAGCAGCACATATTTGTTTTCGACCAACGGCGTGGCTGAGATGACCCTGAATTTGTCTAAGACCAACTGGGCGAGCAGGATCAGCGAGTTTTGGCTTGGGCTTATGAGGTGTCAGCTGACCAGCTTGGTCTTGACGAGATCGAGGGATTCTGCGTCCCCTTACTTCCAGTCCTCGGTGCCGCTACTCGATTTCCTGCTTGTGAACCGACAACTCCAGTCACTTCGAGTCGAGAGTGCCCAGGGGTTGCTGAAGGACATCAAGCCGGCGTTTCAGATCCACCCATTTGCTCGGTTGAGGGTTCTGGATGTTACCATTGACACAAACAAGGATGTCGAGGATATTAAGCGGGCGTTGGCGATGTTGGTCGGTAGTGCGACAGGGCTGCGGAAACTCAGGATTGCATGGAACGATTTGAACCAGGGAGAGTGGTCGACTCAGGTGGTGGGGTTCCTGAGAACGTTTTCGTTCAGGCTCTGAGAACCCGCTGAGGTCGTTGTCAAGACTGGCGAGGAAGAGATCTCGATGACGGTCCAGGACGGGAACTTCCAGGATGTAGATCTCAAGGTCGCCACGATGGCTATAGCGGAGAAGCACCCGATGATGTGGTTGAAGGCCCTGCGGACGCTGACGATCAAGGATCGGGAAATACTGGATTCTGCAGAGATGCAGACCAACTTAAAGTGGATCATGGGCCTTAACCCCCTGTTGGCGACGCTGCATCTGGAATGCTGGGCTATTGAGTTCCAGACTGCCGAGGAGACAGTCAAGAGTGTTGTCCAGGGTGTGCCCTGTGGGTTGACCAAGGTCGTTCTCAAGGATTCTCTTGTCGGCGAAGAGGACGGGATCGCCGATGAGCTAACACTGACATTCGACCTCGCCAAACTCACATCTCTAACCGCAACAACAGCATCACCTCCCATGCGACTCCGGAACAACGACGACAGCTCCTCGATAATCCACGCAGAAGTCCGTGCACCCTTGCACGAACCCTATTATTCATTAACCCGAGCCGTAGGCGACAACTCCCTCTTCTACCTCAACTATGGCCACGCCATCCAAAACATGCACCTCGGCAATTTGCGTTTCCAAGAACTATACCAGTACCTCGAGTCCATCCAAGTGGGCTACAAACGGACACACCTCACCTGTCCGGCAATCCACGGCTTCTGGTCCGAACTCTCCAAGGTGCTCGAACGAACGAAAACATCCCTCAAACTTCTTGCGGTGCAGAGGCTCAATACTGCCGGTAGCACTGTTGCTGGTGTCCCGCAAAAGACGCTGATTGTCAAATCGCGAATCACAGAGTTCTTCAGAGGGGATAGGTTGGTGCTGGTTCATCAGGACGATGTTTCGGATGATGAAGTGAAGGAGTTGATGGCCCCTTCGAGGTGTGTGGTTACCTTTGCGCGCGACCATGGAGCTTAGGATCGGATTGTGTCTGACCTCTTTGCAGCCAATAAACCATAGAACTACGAGCCTTATATTCGTTTCTTTTTTTTTTTTACCTGACTACACCATTCACCATTAACTTGTTCTTTGTTTTCTATTCTTGTTATTCTATCTTTGATTTTGGAAAGCATTTGTGGGACCTTTGAGCAAAAGAAGGTTGGCGCTTTGGTTACTCCACTTTGCAAGTTGTTGGCTCACGAGGCGACGAAACGTTCTATCTGAACTATGGCGTAGTATCGCGATCTTTCTCTGAACCATTGGAAAAAAAATATATCAAGGAGTTGGGACCTTCGAGCCGATAATTTTCAAACCGAAAGAGACAACAAAGGTGTGAACAAATAGCGGGAACAAGGGAGGAGTGGGGGTTGGCCAATTGCCCTTCAAGAGATAACGAGTGGTGTTCAATTTAGCCTGTGAAGCTATTTTGGTGCGCGAGAGAGAGGGGGGTGGAGCCAAGGAGACGAAAAGAGAAATAAAACGGGGACTGGGTGCATAAAGCATGTATTTGATTGAAGAAAAGGAGAAGAGACGGAGAAGGGGAAATGGGTTAACGAATAAGAGAAGCACACCGATTGGGATAAGGAGAGACGCGAATGCCGACACCATGCTTTCTTTTTGTTATTAACATGCCTGTCCTTGTTCATCTAATCGAGCATGCTCGAAATTGAGTTTTTTAACAAAGAAAAACTGTAAAAATAAAAATCAACGCAGACCCGGTCAAAAGTGAGTGTGCTCAATGGTCCTATGGGAGCCCGATATTTTGTATTGCATCCTGACTGGATGTGCATTGCACACAGAACTCATTACAACAAGAACAGAAAGGAAAAAGAAGCAACGTATGTCTGTGTGTCTGTGCCTTGGCTGTTGTGCGATGTATGCTCCTGGAAGTAAAGAGAGAGAGAGAAAGAGAAGGAGCGTTGGGCTACATCTTTGCCGTGATCCGTGCTTAATCTTTGAGAGCATACCATTTCAAGGAACAACTTTTTTTGATGTTGCACTCCAATTCTTGAGCATGGTCATACACGACCCCATTGACCACTGAACATTGACCATTATCCTGGGAGAAGGCAATACAAGGGATAGTCCCAGTTCTAGACAAAACATCAACACCGGGGTAAAGGTATATAAATACGTCTAGACCCTTCTTGTGCTTGACACCTTTTCCTCCCTTCCCGACTCGACTCTTCTCCATTATTGCATCCTTCCTATCACCACCCTTCCTTACACTTTCCTTTCGAGTCCAACTTCTTCTCTCCTCTCTTCCCCCACATCCTTCCTCAGAGAATCCATTCCACCATTCCTTCTTTCCTCTTCACACGGCATATATCCCACATCATGAAATTCTCAACCACCCTCCTCGTCGCAGCCACGACCTTGGCTGCCTATGTCAACGCTGACATGCTCCAGGTAAAAACTGCGATTTTATACTTTGAATGTACTCGCAAACACCGTTGATTCATCTCCTAATATACGAACCACGTTATTCACCAATCCTCTCCACATCCTCTCCCTCCGCCTCCCCCTCCAACCCAAAAGATCAACAACCCAACAGCCGGAACGGTGTGGACGGCCGGCGTGTCAAACTTTGTCGGCTGGACCGGCAACTGCGCTTCGATGGGCACAGCCGCCAAGAACGTCACCGTCATCCTCAACACTGGTCCCTCGGATGCCGTCCGATACGTCGCTACCTTGGGCACACTTGACTGCTCTGGTTCCAGCACCCGTACCGATCTCACCGTCCCATTGTCGATTTCCACGGGTACTTACTCGATTGTTGTCCGGACTGATCCTCAGTTGAGTTACACCAACATGTTTACGATCAACAACCCGTCCAGCCCTGCGACCGAGACTCCTCCTACCTCGCCTACGACCCCTGGTACTGGTGACGCGACCCCTGGTGAGGGTACGGGCGCTAGCGGTGGTGTTACTGTTGGTGGTGGTGCCTCGACGCCTGCTGCTGGTTCTGGTGCTAGCTCTATCAAGAGCAGCGTTGTTGCTGGTTTGGGAGTTGCTGCCCTTGCTGCCGCCCAGATCTTGCTGTAAAAAAAATGGAGATCCAAGACAGAGATAGACCATCTTCGCTACGCGCCCATCGCGATGCTATTTTAGTACAAGTTAATCTTCAGTTTTTCATAGAAAACGCATATTATTTTTTGCATCAACCATCTACTCGTGTTCCATGTACAACTCGCCAACGATCTCTTATCCTCCGTCCTCTAAAGAAAGCAGCGAAAGATAATTACATTTTTCTAGCTACCTCTTTGTTTTTTTTGGTTGTTTGTTGATGGTGTTGGCTCGACTCCGCCTGCTCTCCTTGTTTACCTTCAAAGGGTTCAACGAAATACAACGGAAATACATTTCGTTTTTCTAGGAGAAACAGACAAGAAAAGGAGAGAGAAACGTGTGCGTAAGTTCTATATAAGGACGGCGAAGAAAATAAATAAAGGAGAGGGAGAGATAAACAAACGAGATGATAAGAACTGCCAAGAAATAGCATCGCGTCCGTTGTAGCTATTATCATCAGTTTCGAAGAGATGAAAGGCACCAAGAATGTGGGGCTTCCCAAAAAAAAAATGAGAACGTCCTAGCAAACAAATTAGAACCAACGGGGTGCATGAACGCCGTTTGTAACCATATATGAGAGGAACATTCCTGGTTGCTAAGCACGTTCGTTTCCCTCGGCCATATTTCATCCGTGCACCTTTATCCATTTTCTACGGTCGTCATACCCCAGTTCTCATTCGAGCCACAGCCCTAGTGTGTCAAGACCAACCAGGGTCCATCTCAGCCCAGACCCTTACTACTCTATTTCCTGATTAGTCCACGCGCAGTTCCTTACCTTGCCTGCACAGGTCATCGCTTAGGAAGAACAGCCGAAATCCAAAATAACCCACATACATCATAGCCCATTTCGCCCAAAAGGCTGTAATGAGGCCTGCGTGTCAAGAGAGAGACTAACTCCTCCGCTGTTTCTGATAGAAAACATTCGACTCTCAGCCTCTCCATTCTCTTGCATGACTTTGGGATGATATATGTTGACGATACCCGTGAGTGTCTATCTTTGCCACCCAGCAACCCAACCTGCCGTTCCAGTTCCAATGTCCCTGTCCTTTTCTCCCCAGTTCTCCCTAACTTTCCCTACGCATTTTTCGACCCCCTTCCTCCTCCTCCTCCTCCTCCTCCTTGTGCTGTGCATCATTCATCGCAAGCGCAGCCCTTTTTTTTCTTCTGATTGGGTCCTTGCGAATATTTTATCCGCGAAACTGTTCCCCCCATTGCTTCCTCCACAACTTTCCTTAGCCTTCCTGTATACTCCGAATTGCGTCAAATACTGTTGTTCTTCCAATGTGTGCAGTGACCAATTGTACAAAACAAGACGTTTTTGTGTCTCTGAGATTGAAAACAAGGATATCACTTTTGGGTTCCTTTATTTGTGCGATTCGCTTTGGATATGTTTAGAAGGCACCGAAGGAAAAAAAATATGTTTAGACGATCCGAGTTGTTGTTGTTGAAGAGAAGGGAGGGAGAAGGGGAGAAAAAAAGGTGAGGGGAACGGATGAAAGTATGAAGAACAGAGAGAGAAAGTGAGGTAAGGGAATTAACGTAGTGTAGGAGAGCAATAGTGTAACACTTATTGCTATTGCTTGCATGAAGTGTTGCGTGTTGATCGTGATACCAAATGATCGGGGAGAGAGGAGAGGGAAGGAAGGGTAAAGAAGGTGAGAAATGAAAAAAAATGCCAAGGAAGGAAAAGGGCAGACTATGACAAACATGCAATTGAAAAGCAAATGCACAAGATAGGCGGCCACGTTATTTTACTGGAAAAACCAGTTTACGATCTCCAGGGTAAGGTTTGTGGTGTTGTCTGTTGTCTTGTCACTTATGGATGTGTATGTGCAATTGTTTGTTTTTCGTGGGGACGAGCAATTAGAGGTGGGGTGGTGGGTCTGTCTTCACATGGACAGTTGGCAGACTGATTACGCTGTTCTTTTGTCGTTGTGCTGTGTGAATGGGAGAACGTCAAAAAGGTGGTTTAGTTCGCTCATGACAAAGAGGAAAACGAGGCCTTGGCAGAGAAAGAGTGAGAGTACCTGTAGTAGCAGTTACCCCTAGTCCTTGCTGGTGAGCAGACAGAAAGACAGTTATCAGATTGTTCGAGAGGCAGTGTGGGTGTGCCTGAGTTCATGAGCTGATATATAATTCAATAGAGTTGAGTGAGTGAGACCCCCTTGGATCGTAAAGAGATAAGCCACCCTGTGTATGCTTCCTTTAAATACGACCAAGTGTGAGCCGTTCTCAACCTACCCGCCACCTCGTCCCACCTCCTCCTCTTCTTTTATTCTCCTTTTCTTGCTTTCTCCTTCTCATCTTCACACCTCAAACACCCTACAACAAACTCAACCACCATGGCTGACGCTGCGATCGACACTCTGGACATCGCTATCCTCGGCGCCGTCCTCTTGGGCTCCGGCATCTACTGGTTCAAGGACAAGCTCCTTGGCTCAAACTCATCCTCCAAGACGTCCCTCGCCAAGCAACCCCTCGTTCCCATGCAAAAACCCAACGCACCCGCCCTCAAGATCAACAAGACCGCCAGGAAGACCCGCGACTTTGTCGAGAAGATGAAAGAAACCGTACGTTCTTCTTTTTCTTTCTGTTCATTTACGCAAGCACACACTCTCTTACACACACGAGCCAACCTGATCACAAGAAGTGCTCTCACACACACAACCCTTTGCACGAAGCACAACTTATCATTTTTTCATATTTTTTGAACGGAAAGAAAAGAAGGAACAAGATGGATGAATGCTTGAGGAGAGAGAGAAAGAGAGAGAGAGAGTGTGTGTGTGTTGCTCATTGTCGTTACAGACAAGAAGGCAGACACTGCACCCCTTCAACTTTCCTTTCCTATTCCTCCCCCTACTCTCCTTGCCAAGCAAACAAGCGCAAAGTTGTTGTTTCTCACCTCTGCCATACATTGGCATTGTGCCCTATTTTTCTTTTTGCCACTCACCCCTCCCTTTCCTTCCCTCTTTTCACGCTGTGATTGTTGTTGTTGATGTATCAATCCTCATGATTGTTGGTTTTGGAGTATCAACAAGGAAGAATTTGAATACCCCTGTCCACTGTGTGTATGGGACAGAGCTACCCGAGTATCAGTGATCAGTCACCCCTTGCACCCGGCCGACCCGAGGGGTCGAAAATGTTTAATTGTGAAAAAGGAGCTTTCTTTTCTTTTTTTCTTTTTTTCTTTTTTTCTTTGGATGATCCATGGCAATCGCTTGGGTGTTGGGCGCTGCACCTGTCCCTTATTTCGTCAATTGGACAACCGCCATTGTTCTATGACTGTACTTTTTTCCTTTTTCTTCTGTGTGTCTTTCTATGCTGAGGCAGGCAAAATACAATTGGCAGCAGTGCGATAATGGGTGGGGTGTCCAATGGGGCTACTGCTTCAACTTACTTTGTGTCCATGCTCAGATGTTATCTTCATTTCAAGCAGTGGGGTGACAATGTAGAATAAGTAGAAATTGATCGGATCACGAGCAATTTCACTTTTGCGGTTGGTCAACCAAATGGTTGCGTGTTGTCCTTTGCAACCCCGATCCCTCTCATTCGAGACATACCAAACACCATATTGCTCTTTCCCTCTTTCCCTCTTACCTCCTCCCTTCTCTCCCACGGTGCCCTCATTGGAATGAATGAAAAACACACTAACCATCCCCACCCTCCAATCGACGACAATAGGATAAGACTGTTATCTTTTTCTATGGATCGCAAACTGGAACTGCTGAAGACTATGCCTCCCGCCTCGCCAAGGAGGGAACCCAACGCTACAACCTCAAGACCATGACCGCCGATCTCGAAGACTACGACATGAACCTCCTCGATACCTTGCCTGCCGATCATCTTGCCGTCTTTGTCCTCGCCACCTACGGCGAGGGTGAACCCACCGATAACGCCGTCGACTTTTGGGAGCTCCTCGTCACAGGTGAGGATGTCCCCGAGTTCTCTGCTGGAGATTACGAGGATGCCGACAAGCCCCTCAGCCACCTCAACTTTGTCATGTTTGGCCTTGGCAACAGGACCTACGAGCACTACAATTCTGTCTGCCGCCGTGTCGACGAAAAGCTCCAGGCCCTCGGTGCCACCCGCATTGGCGAGCGTGGTGAGGGTGATGACGATGGCTCGCTCGAGGAGGATTTCTTGAGCTGGAAGGACGACATGTGGAAGGCTACCTGTGACTTTTTGGGAATCGACTTCTTGGCCGGCAACTCTGGACCTCGTCAGGCTACCTACAAGATCCAGGAACACACTGCAGAGGAAGTCGAGGGTCTCAAGAAGGTCTACTACGGTGAACACCAGGAACCCAAGTTCATGCTCGGCTCGTAAGTCTTTTTTACATGCTCACCTTTAATTTTGTGGAGAGTCGTATTGTTGATCGGATCGCAATATCGCCAACGTTATTTTGTGGTATGCGTTTGTTGCTTTGATATGTCGGATCGAGATGTTTTGTGCCAAGGTTATTAATTGATGTCTCATTCTTTTGTCTATCCTTATAGTCGCCCTACCTATGACTCCAAGAACCCTTACTCTGCCCCTATTGCTATTTCCCGCGAATTGTTCGAGGTCTCGGCCGACCGTCACTGCTTGCACATGGAAGTCGACATTTCTGGATCAGGCATCACCTACCAGGCTGGTGACCACATTGCCGTCTGGCCCGTCAACGCCGAACAGGAGGTCAACAAGCTCGCCACCGTCCTCAGGATTGCCGACAAGCTCGATACCGTCCTTACTGTCTCCAACACCGACCCTGCCTCGACCAAGCTGCCCTTCCCTGTCCCTACCACCTACCGTACCGTTCTCCGCAACTATGTCGATATCACTGCCCCTCCCTCTCGTGCCTTTATTGGTCAGCTCACTCCCTTTGCCCCCACCGATGCCGCCTCAAAGCTGTTTGCCCTCTGGGGTCAGGACAAGGAAGCCTTCCGTATCAACGTTGCCGATGCCCGTCGCAGCTTGGGATCTGTTTTGGAAAAGATTCTCGGTGTTGGTCAGTCGATAGAGATTCCCTTTGATTTGTTGATCGAGTCCATTCCCCGTCTCCAGGCCCGTTACTATTCGATTTCGTCCTCTGCCAAGGCCCACCCTACTTCGATCCACTTGACTGCCGTTGTTTTGGACTACAAGCCTGATGTCGCTCCCGAGGAGACTGTCTACGGATTGGCCACCAACTTTTTGCACAACTGCCACGGCCGTATCAACCAGTCTGGACCTATTGAGCCCAAGTACGAGATTTCTGGACCCAGCGGATCGCACCTTGTTGGCGAGACTGGCGTCAAGGTTCCTATCCATGTCCGTCACTCGAACTTCAAGTTGCCCCGTAACTCTGCCGTACCTATTATTATGATTGGACCCGGTACCGGTGTTGCTCCGTTCCGCGGATTTGTTCAGGACCGTGCTCAGGATGCCAAGAACGGAAAGAAGGTTGGCGCGACTGTGTTGTTCTTTGGCTGCCGTCGCGAGGACGAGGATTACCTATACAAGGGCGAGTGGCCCGAGTTGATGAAGGGTATCGAGGGTGCCCAGGTGATCACCGCTTTCTCTCGCCAGCCCGGTGTTCCCAAGACATATGTTCAGCACAGGATGAACGACCACAAGGAGTTGATCTGGGACTTGATCCACAAGCAGGGAGGATACTTCTACGTGTGTGGTGATGCCAAGAACATGGCTCGCGAGGTCAACCACAAGCTGATTGAGATTGCGATGACTGTTGGCGAGATGTCAGAAGAGAAGGCAACGACCTATGTCAAGGAGCTACGTGGACGTGGTCGCTACGAGGAGGATGTCTGGTCATAAACCAGCCTTCTCTTTTTGTTTTTCCTTCTTTTCGATCGAACCATTTGGTGAGACGAACATTTTGTTATCTTTTTCCCTTTTCCAATGAATGTATAGACTTTTTATAATATCAAACTACTGGTTCCCTAATGATGATGCTGCTGCTGATGCTGATGATGCTGGGTACCGATGGTGTCCTTTCAATTGCCTTGGCGTTGTATGTGTTTGTAAGAAAGGGTCGCTTCGGTTCATGTCTGAGCCGGTCCAATTGGGTTTCTGTGAGCTGACGACCTCTGTCTATTGTTCCTTGTTCCAGGAAGAGAGAATGATCGCGTGTCCTTCAAGTGCAGGATCCAGGTTGGGTGGGCTGAGTGTCTGGACAAAGATTGGATTCGTACAACGGGTGTTGAAAGTAGGGATATGGCGGAGAAAGTGAAACTGGGTATGGAGGAAAGAAGGGTGCCACATCAGGCTCTGTTTTTGTTGTTTTCATGATCAGAGATCACATCCCATTCACTCACTCACTCACTCGCTCACTCACTCATTACACTTTCCCTAATCTCCACGCGCTCGCACCCGCCCACTCCAGCCCATTTCTTTATTTATTCGAAACAACAACAAAGCAAGCAGGCAAAGCAAACAAAGGATCAATCAACAAAAAAATGGCGATGAAACTGGATGACGCTATTCCGTTACCCATGAAGAAGCATGTAGTAGACTACAAGTCAGACGAGGAAAAGACGGCAACAGCCAGACGGGCTATCCTCTTGCCCCTTGTGGCCTCGACGCTGTCGCCCCTGTCGTCCCCCGTGACCTCGCCTACAGGATCACCCCCGGGTTCCCCACGGGCCTCGCCCTCCTCTGCCTTACTTGGCTTGTCTTCTGCTTCTGCTGGAGGTCACCCCTTCTTTGCCTCCTCGTCTAGTCCGCCCTCTTCTTCCTCACAGGAGCGCCTCCTTTCAACCGTGCAGGCTTCTAATGTGACCAGTACGACCAATAGCAGCCAAGCACCGACCACCTTGTCCTCTATTTCTACTTTGTCCGCCACTCCTTCTTTCCTTTCTTCTTCTTCCTCTTTCTCTTCTTCTTCTTCAACAACATTCTCTTCCCTCTCAACAACACCCTCCTCTGTCTCCTCAGATAACGACACCAACACCAACGCCACTACCACAACTACCAAGGAGCATACAAGTACCAGCATGACGGTCGCAAAGCTGGACCCCAACAACGCCGATGGAGGTATCGACGTCCTCAGCCCTACCGCGGGCTTCTCGCCCCCACTCTCGCCGCTCTCCAACAAGAAGAGCAGCTCCTTCTCTTCTTCAACCACTACCACCACGACCACAGCCACCTTTACCACTGAAAACAACAAGACTGCGCCAACCACCACTACACATACCAAAACAACCAAGACAACAACCAATGGAAAAGGTGGCAACATCAAGTACGAAGTATTCGACAAAGAAACCGGCGAAAAAGTCCAACGATCCCGCCCCGTCCAGGGCCCCAAGATGAACCCAATCTACAAGACTCTTCGCGCTTTCGCGTGGGCGTTGTATTTCAACCTGGGTGCTTCGTTGATTTCGATGACCCAGGTGTTGTCGCTACCGTTGGCTGTCATTGCGCCCGGAGTGTACCGCCGTCATATCAACAGGACGGAAGGACATTTTGGAGCGTTCCTGTTGAAGATGAATCAGTTTTTTGCGCCTTCGGATATTGTCTTGACAGGCGATGAGAGTATTCGTGGGATTGTGAAGGTCTACAAGGGACGACGACTTCAGCATGGCAAGGATGGCGAGAAGGTCAAGGATGAGAAGACTTATGGCAAGGATGAGACCATTCTGGACATGCCTGAACGCATGATCTTTATCTCGAACCATCAGGTAAAACGCAACGCATGCTTATTCTTTTTGTTTTACTCTCATTAGCATTAAATGATTGGACTTGGGCTTGTCCTTTCTCATTTTCGAAAATGCAACAACAGGGAAAAAAAAAACAGGGGGTGACATGTAATGCGCAAGGATAAGATCGTTTTGTTCAAGTGACCTTTTTACTTACCATTTCGTTCCTTTTGATGGACGATGATGATATTAGATTTACTCGGACTGGATGTACCTGTGGTGCTTTTCGTACTTTGCAGAGAAGCATCGAGCCCTCAAGATTATTCTCCGGGGCGACTTGACTTGGATCCCTGTCTTTGGCTGGTACCGTTTTATTTTCGGATTTTTTTGTTGGGTGCATGCATGATGGTGGTTCCATGAGCAGAGGCGGAAGGAGGAGGGCTAGCAGTGACGACAGTACCGAAGACACTTGGAAACCCAATATCGGGAAGGGGACGGACCTCACGAGGGAAAAAAAACGATATCATTTTCTGAGTAATTCACATGGGACTAAAGGACAGGACAAAAGGGGCTAAAGGACAGGACAAAAGGGACAAAAGGGACAAAAAGAGGCGAAGCTGTGCGGATTTGACTGGGGAATGCCAAGCCAAGAGAAATCCTCATCTTTTGTCCGACAATGGGATACACAACAAACACCGAGCGACGAGCTTGTTGCTTCTTCGTCCATTCACTGACATGCTCCGTTCCTTTCTTCTCTTCACTTTTTCTACTTTATGATGTCTCCTGGTGCTTCTTCGCGCGTCTTCATGGATGTTTCTTGTTGGTACCCGTTCGGGACGCTTTGCCTTTAACAAACAACAAACAAACAAACAATCAACAAAACATCACAACCGACTGTGCCTATCCATCTTCCTCAATTGCCAACGTAACAACTAACTCGGCTGTTACTGCTCTCCTTTCTTGCTGCGATGGAAAATTGTCGTAATCATTCCACAGGGTAAGTTGCTCCTCCTCTTTTGCAGTTTTTGCGGGCAGTAAGGATAGCAAAAGGAAGACTCAGTGCTACAATGGATGTGTCACGCCACACGTTCACTCTATGTCACTCTCTTTCCCACACTCTCATCTCTCCCCTTTTTATTACCACACGAAAAACGCAGCTCCGTGTCAATTGAAAAGGTATCATCAGGTCATGACACTAACCTCCTATTTTTTGTTACTTGTTCCAATCCATTAGGGTATGAGGTTCTTTGATTTCATTCTGTTGAAGCGTAACGACTGGGCTCATGACAAGCGCGCGATTGAGGAGAATCTGGATCGTGTGAATGCCAAGGACCCTCTCTGGCTTGTTGTCTTCCCCGAGGGTACTGTCGTCTCTCGTGGTACTCGCAAGCGTTCCGCCACCTTTGCTGAGAAGGCCGGTCTTGTAAGTTTGTTTTTTTTTCTTTCTTTTTTTTCCTGTCAACCGGGTATTGTTGTCAGGAGAAAGGTATTGACGTGTAATCTTCTTTTTATTAATAGGCTGATCATCGTCATGTGTTGTTGCCAAGGACGAGTGGACTGTTTGTGTGCATCAACAAGTTGCGAGGATCGGTCGAGTACCTCTACGACGCGACGGTTGGTTACTCTGGAATTGCATACGGAGAAATCCCTCAGGAATTGTACCCCTTACCAGGATTGTATTTGAACGAGGCGCAACCCAAGGATATTAATATGCATTTGCGTCGGTTCGCGATCAAGGAGATCCCGGAGACGGAAGCCGAGTTTGTCGAATGGGTCCGGCAACGGTGGCTGGAGAAGGATGAATTGATGGAGGAGTTTTATACCACGGGCAAGTTCCCTTCGCAACTGACTCTTGAGGATATTGGTGGCGGTAAGGAGGATGGTGAGGAGAAGGAGGTTGTGAAGAAGAAAGGAGGAGAGAGTGTGAGGATCCCGTTGAAGTCGAGGGCGATGTTGGATTACTTGTCGCCCTCGGCGTTGAATGTTATTGCGCTGCCTATGGTGGCACTTGCCATCCGCTATGCCCTCCAGTACTCTTCTTGAAGAGTTGGGGTTCATGACCCTTGTCATTTTTTTTCGTTACTCTTTTTGTTTTTGTTTTTGTTTTTGTTTTTTTCATCCGTTTTGTTCTCTGAGTCCTTGTTCAGAGAGCGATTGTAGCTGCTGTGTTTTTTGTTAATTAAAAGCATTTCCATTCAGAAGCACGAGGAGTTGGTGTAAATCATTACCATACAGCGTTTTTTTCTTGGTGCAAAAATAAATAAAAAAGAATGACAGAATGAGTTGAGAAGGTGCGATCGAAGACAGGATAGACGAGAAAGCGAAATAGGAGCAATTGAAAGGGCGACGCTGGCTTTGATAAGAGATGGGCGGATGCAGAAGAGGGAGATCTGGAAAGAGGAGCGGTGGGTAGGTGGGGGGTGAATAGACCCACTTTCATGTGTCAATTGGGAGATCGAACAAACAAACAGGGCGTGGTAAAAATTGGGAGATGGAGGAGAGAGGGAGGGAGGGAAGGACATTTGATTGCCAATGACCACGTCCACACCAAACAAACGGGAGGATCAATTGTTCGCTGCTGGGATGAATGTTGTCAAAAGAGGAGCAGGCTGTTTTTCGCATGGGTGTTGTGTGGTTCGGACATTGTATGTCAATGAATGATGATTGTCCGAAAGGTGCGGTGCGAGAGCGGGGTGAACATTCTCCCCGAGAGAAGAGAGAGAGAGAAGTCTGCCTACGGGTTGGGCTGAGGGATTCTTTCGTACTTTTCCTTTCCCCTGTCTGCTCCGCCTCGTTTGTTTTTTTCTTTTCTTTTCTTTTTTCTTCATTACTCTCATTCATTCTCATTGCACTGTCATCTCTCACTCCCACACTCTCCACTCTCTCACTCTTCATTCATCAGCACTTTCTTTTTTTTTTTTTTTTTTTTTTTTTTTTTTTTTTCTGGACTTGCATTCACCCACTCACTCAACAAAACAACTTCCTTCTTTCTCAGGAACAAACAAGCAAACAAACAAACACAGCAACAAACAAAAAAAGGAGTGACCAAAATCAATCAACCATGTCTGACACTGGTGCAACCATCAACCAGGGTGACACCGCCTCTTCTCCAACAACCCCACAGGCACAACAGGCACAGACGCAAGAGCCTTCACCACCAACTGCTAAACCTGATCAGCAACAACCTCATCGTAAATGAACACCCTCATCTCTCCCCACTCTGGGCAAACACATCCACTCCGACAACGTTTTGTTCATCAGGAAAAAAAAAAAAAAAAAAAAAGTCTTGACTGTTCCTAACCTGTCGTCCTATTGGTCTCGCAACTTTTTGTGTGTCTTTAACAACACTGTTTAGAAGCGCATCATGTTATCTTTGTGGTCCACGGAATGGGACGCCAGCTCGAAGTTCCCTTTGGCAACTACGAGAAGAACGGTAAAATAGAAAAATAATTATACAGCATGAAGTATAGCCCGCCTTTGATCTTCGATTCTCCTCTTTTTCCTCACACCCACTCTCCTTCTTCAAATTGACTTCTGACTGATAGTGAGCTACTTTGTGGACAACACGAGAACAGTGCTGCAGAGCCAGTTCCATGACCTGGAGACAGACGTCCACATCATCCCCATCGAATGGCATGCCAAGCTGCATTCCATGGTCGATGAGCGCATGGCTCTCACCTCCCTCCGCACCGTCCCCAAAGGTACAATACAAACAATCTCGGAAAAATAGCGCAAGATGAAATGAAGAACGATCAAGATGTATTTATTTACCCTTTTCACATTTTGCTCGATGACTGTTGAACATAGTGCGGTTGGTGATGAACGATTACATGGCGGATATCCTGTACTACTTCAACCCACACTTTGGAACGCAGATTCTACAGATGATTGTTGAGGAACTCAACGAGGCCTATGATACGTTTATGGAGAAGCATCCGGATTTCAATGGCAAGATCTCGGTCTATGCGCTTTCCCTTGGAGGAGTCGCCATGTTTGATATCCTTACCTGTCTGGACGACGATGAACCCGAAGATATGTCTCAGTCAGCTACTACTTCTACTTCGACCTCAGATCGGCAGGATGGAGCTACGGCTCAAACAACCGGAACGGAAGATGTACAGGAACCTCCAGCAAGGAAGACGCGGGTCAGGAAGCAGGATCAGCCAAAGTTCAGAGCTGTGATCCCAAAACTCAAGTTCAGACCCGAGCACCTCTTCACCGTCGGTTCTCCCGTCGGTACGTATACCATCGCTATCACACAAACAGGTTTGAAACTATATGTATTTTGGCTCACAATTGATCATCATTACCTGTTTCTTGAACCACAATCCTGTTAGGCGCGGTGATGGTAATGCGCAATTTGGATTGGGAAACATTCCACCCGCCAGATGACATTATCCACCACAACCTCTTCCACCCCTTCGACCCACTCGGATACAGACTCGAACCCCTCATCGACCCCGTCTTTGCCGGCATCCCAGCGGCCGCCGTTAGCTCTTATCAATCACAGCTGTTTCCTTCATTGTCGTTACCTTCGCTTCCGTCATTACAACTTCCGGAATCGATCTCTGCATTCTGGGAGAATCGTGTGCCGACGTTGCCCAGACCCTCGATCCCGACGTTGTCGAGTATTTCGTTGATGACTCAGTCGCTCAAGGCCGGACGGTGGCTTCCGGGAAGTGGGGCTAACAAGGATGATGAGGAAGGATCTAGTTCCTCGCAGGACTCTGATAGTGACGATGATCACCAGGAGACCTCAACCTCAGCTGCAACTGCTACTACAACCCCTGCGGGAGCGTCGTCGCCTGCCACTTCTGTCAGCAATAGTGACGCTGAAGAGTCGCCTTCGAAGGATGTCAAGAAACAGGAACAAACCGACTCCATAATGACCTTCATGGATGGTGGAGACGCCTCAGTCAGCGAATTCATGGGAGCAGCCACTGCAGCGACCTATCTGGAACAAACCGAGGACCCTTCGAATTCTGGATCATCAGGTGTTGCGAGACCAGCCGATGCGGCAGCCATTAAAGCACAGAACGATACCACGACCAAGTCACCCCGGGATGGGCGCCAGCCACCTGCTAGAAGACCTAGTGTTGGACCCCGTCGGATCAGTAGCCGTGTCGAGGATGATGAGCAGCGGCGTGAAGCTGGTGAGGGTGCTGCTACTGCGGGAGCAAAGAGGACTATGTTGGATGTTGCAGAAGAGTCAGTCCTTGGTATGAAAGATGGCGGTACACCAGCGACTGCTCAGGAGATGGCGTTAGGTGCTGGTGCAAAATCTCATGTTATTCAGGAGTCCATTATTCGATCTATGCCGGAAGGTGAATCCTCCAGCAACAGCGCAGCTGATGCCGACAATGATATCAAGGCGGACGTTGAAGGCACCACAACTAGCAAAACCAGGAAGAACGTCCATGTTGAGGGACGGGCGACCAAGCTGCCTTATCGGATTGACCATGTCCTTCAGGAGACGACTGTGGATCAGTACACGAATGAGTACCTGTTGGGTATGCGGAGTCATTTCAAGTACTGGGGCAACAGGTAAGCTACATTTGTCTGTGTCGGTAGTGAGTCGTCATACTGTTGTCATTATTGCTGCGCCTTTGTTCATTCTATGAACAATTTTTTTTTTATTTAATCTAGGGATGTGGCATACCATATTTTGAAGACGATGTTGGGACCAGTGGATCTCGAGGCTGAAAAAGAGGTCCTGGACCTGAAACTGAACGCACCTGCGCAACCACCACCATCGTCAACAACCACCAACACACCACAGGAAGCAGCAGCCGAAGCCAAGGCAAAGACACTGGCGATGGCATCCAGTACCGGTCGCGCTGCGGGTCGTGCTACTGCTGCAACTATGCGTTCGCGGAGCGGGACGACTGGATCTGTGTCGGATAGCGATGTCAAGAAGCAGAACCGGATGTCGTTCAGTTTCTCGTTCTTCAGTGGTGGACAGAGCAATTCGTCGACTGACGATGTTAGAGAGCAGCAGACTGAGGAGGAGCGGAGGAAGAGACGGGAGAGACAGGAGGCTGTGGATGAGGATTTGGCGATGATGGGTGAAGAGGGGGAGTTGTTTGGATACAGATATTCTGATGAAGATGGAAGCAGTAGTAAGGCCAATGAGTCAACGACTAAGACGTTGTTCCAGAGTTCTCCTTGGTCCTCGAAGCGTGGAGATGGGGATGATGTTATGCAAGAAGCAGATTCTACGTGTACATGGACGACCAGTACCACTATGATGACCACCACGACGACTACCGCGAGGACGAGTGGAACTAAGAGACGGATTAGTGTTGAGAGGAAGGCGTCATCTACAGTGGGCACGACTTCTTCGACCGCTTTTGTTGCCGTTCAGAAGAAGGTCAAGGGTGATAGTGAGAGTAGTGAGAGTGGAGGGGAAGATGCGGTTGCGGTGGAGGTAGATGTCCCTGAGTTGGCGCGGCCTGCCAAGCTGCACCATCGTGCTACTCGTGTTGAGGAGTAACTAGCGTTGCGATTGCTGTTGCGCGCTTTTTATATGATTGAAAATAGAATAACTGCAACCTCCTTTTCTTTGCACGCTTTGAACGCTTTGCTCCTCGCACGGGTCCTGTTTTTCTTTTGCATTGTTTTGCATGAAGCTGATGAACACCATCAGTTGGCGACAGAAACCTTAAAATGCGTTCTAGGTCGTATGAAAATTATCTCTTCCCCACCTTGGACCTTGCGTGTGAAACCCCATCCAATGCTCTTTCCATATGCCTCATGCTAATGCACACATGCTGCTAGTGCAGTACTCGTCTCTTCCCAATGCTTTTTCTGCAGAGGTGACTTTTGTTTAACCGTAGTATTTCATGCTCGTGAGAGTGCACGAGTATTACTTATATGCAATCTGTCCTCCTCGTCTCTTCGCCCTCGTCTGGCCGATGCTTTTGTGCTTTTGTTGTGTTGTCAGCCCACTTGCTTGGGTCCAAACTGTCACTCTCTCTTATCGTACCGCTCGGGACCATTCGTCCATTTGTACTCCTGCTCTGTACACATACAGTGCATCCAGACAGACCCCGACACACATCCTTTCTGCCATTTATTCCCGCTGTCGTCCACCAACCCCACTCGTTTATCCTTTCTCATGGTCTGACTTTGGACTTTGTACTCTTGTACTCTTGTACTCCCGTCTTTTTCTTTTCCTTCCCTTCTCCTCTTTCTTTCTTTTCTTTCTTTTGTTTCTTCGACACTTTCCTCTTCTTCTTTTCTCTCCCTTTCCCACTTCCTTCAGTTTCCTTCAATTTCCTTCACTCTCCTTCTCGCTCCCTCCTTTTTACCCACCTCCCCCTTTCTTCGCCCTCAACTCACTCTCTTTTACCGTTCCCTCACTATCATGACCGCATCACATCCCTTCCACGTTCGCCCCCCTCTTCACCACCAAGGGGCAGGGTCACCAGTAGGACACGCCCAGCACCACAACCATCACCACGTCCACCATAACCACAACCCTTACAACGCCAGCCATAACCAACACCACCCCTACCACAACAATGACGAGGCCCCATCCCATCACCAATACCAATACCACAATCCACACGCCCAACCCCACGACGGTAATAACGGCGACGATGGAGACCATTACTACAGCAACCATATTCACACGGTCCACGAATACGACCAACCGACAGAAGAGAGCCCACAACCAAGCGCCCTCTGGCTCCTGAGCCATCCCTCTGTGAACCGGGAACTCCAACGGATGGCGATACGACTGGTCGAACGTCAACGCAGGACGGATGATTCGGGCGTCTCGCCGTGTTTGTTTGTCGTCCTTCCCAAGACGAGTCAGGGACTCTTTAGCGCCAGTGCCAGTGCGGGCGCGGGCGCGGGCGCGCGGTCCTACCCTTCTCCATCTCTTTCTCCCAGGGCGACCAATGCGGGACGAAGAGACAGGGATGAGGAAGAAGATTATTGGTTGTATTTTTTATGCGATTTTATGATGCCTGAGAACACCAGTCCCATGCTGCATGTCTGCAGCCCGCCCCTGCCTCCTCCCCCTCATCCTCACCTGTCGTCGTCTTTTGCCCAAAGAGGATACCCCAAGCATGCCGACCCTCACCTCTCACACTTTATCCCCGCTACTTCTGCCAGGACAAGGACGTACCCAGGAGGGTACCAACTGCGAAACCTGGATGAGTTTGTTGACATCCACGCGTTACCGATGCTCAGTCTGCTCTACCTTGTCGACCAGGCGAATACACATGGCGACGATGCGGAGTGGACGGATAGGATCCGGGGTGGGATCCGGTTCTTGGCCGAGAGGTGTAAAGGGGATCTGGTGGATATCTTTGAAGAAGATACACAGGTCTCGCCCAGCCCTGAGAGGGATTCTGAGGGTGGGCAGAGTGGATTCCAAGATGAGTGGGATGGAGATGAGGAGGGTGGGGATGAAGGAGAGGGAAGTGAGGATGAGGAAGAGGAGGAGGAGGAGAAAAATCAAGGGGACGAGGAGGAAGATCAAGGGGATGAGGAGGCGGAGAGTGAGTTGATGAGATTGCGGGAGGATGATTTCCGGGACCCTTGGAGAGTTGCAGGAAAGTCTTCTACAAACCGCTACAGTAGTAGTAGTTTGGACGGTATCAACTTTGACAACCTCGACCTCAACCGCCATTCCCACAACGCCACATCGAAGCCAGAGCCCTCAGCATCAGCTGAAGGAACATCATCAGGGGGTGTTCTGATCCTAGGAGCAGACGTGCTGTGCCAAGTAAACCACCCCTTCATCCCAGGCGGAATTCTGTGGCTCTGCGAGGCCCACAACGAGATGCTCTGCAAGGGTATGGCCGCCGAAAAGCTCCGTCAGTTCATCAAGTCCAAACATGGGAACTGTATCCCCATGGAGAAGAGTGCCGAGATCCAGCTCCACAATCGAGTGGATGCGAGGGTGTTTTATCGGATGCTGGATGAGTACAAGTGTGTGATCAAGTTGAAGATTGGGTTGGATTGGGTCGGTGGTGCAACAGAGGAGGATCTTTGGGAGTTGTGTTGGGCCATACATTCATCGACTGTGAGGGATTTGACTGTTGATTGCGGTGGTGGAGGTGTGTCGTTTAGGCCGCTGCTGGGGATGATGTGTCGGTTGGGGTTTGTGGCGTTGACGGTCGAGAACTATGATGGGACGTTCTTGTCGCTGGATGAGCCCCTCGTCACTCACAGTACCGCCCGTCGCAGGAGCAACAGCGGCAGCAACTACAGCAACAACGAAAGCCCTACTGTCGACGCCCAATTCTCCTTTGTCGACTTTCGTACATCCCCAACGATCATGCCGCTCCCGGACAATATCCAGCTCAAGAAACTGACGTTCCGACATTGGGCGCGAGTGCCGGATCGGAGGGCGATCGTTAACTTGGTCCAGGTGTTGCCTAACCTGACGGAATTCGAGACGATGACGGATTCTGTCGAGAGGATGTGTGAGGCGATTTTGGATGAGTTGCAGGTCCAGGCACATACTGGGAGCAAGGTCCGGAGCAACGACAGCGAGCACTACCATCATCCGTTTTCGCTCTTGAATCTGATAGAGGTCGGCCCGCTTGGATCCAAGGCGGAGTTCAAGTTCTCGAAACCCTCAGGATCGGAGGGCAATATCAAGATCCTGGAGACCCATTGGAAGACCAACCAACCACTGCAGGGACAGGCGCTTCTTCAACAAGCGATAGGGTTGGAGACACTCGAGTTTACAAAGTGCGTTGGGTTATGGGAGATGAAACCCGAGTTGCAGCGGATTATTGGGTGTAATTATTCGACGCTGCGGAAGGTCGAGATTGTCTGTACGACGGAGTGGATGACGGATGTGTGGGTCTTTCTGAGACAGGAGTTCATGCAGCCGACGATGGTTCTTGGCTCGTCGGGGGGTAGTAGTGCTGGCTCGTCTGCTACGGGGTCGTCTTCCTCATCACTGGATGCCACAGGATCCCATCGTCGTCGGGTCTCGGCAGGATCGGACAATAGTTCTTCTCGTCGCCAACATCAACGTCCAAGACACAGGAGTCCCGTCCATTTACTGATCCACGACGGTGCAGGACACGTCCTCGAGTCCCCCAATGCAGAACTGTACGGCCAGACGACTCTGTCACTCGACCAGTACGACCATTCCTTCCGTCCACAACTCGAACTCCAGAGCCAGATCGCGAACCGGTTACGGATCAGTTCCTCGCTGAAAGACTTGACACAGTTGAATCAGTTAAGTCAGGATGTGGGAGATATTGCACTCAGGGCGTATCAGGCCGGGGTTGTGCTCTGTCTGCAGGAGTTGGTTGTTCATTTGACAAGGGAGACGTTTGACGATGTCGGGTTTTTGGAGGCGATTTGGGTATTGATGGGACAGATGTATGGGCTTCGATCTCTCACCATCCAGTTGCACAACGACAACAACACCGAGCAAGGACACGCCAGGAGCAGCAGCCGGGGTGTTAAAGGGCGACAGGACGCGATGCCACGCCTACTACTGGAAGCTTTCCGACGCCTAGGACGGATCGAAGTGGGACCCTATTGGAATGAGCGGTTCGAGCGGTGGATGCAGGAGCTGCTTGTACAAGAGATGTTGCCCATCCAGACCGGAGTCACTTTCCCTTCTGGGTTACTTGTTCAGGGCGGGTTTGTGTTTGGGGCTGGCGAAAGTCTTTTGTGGACTGAGGGTGGCGGTGGTGGTGGTGGTAGTGAAGGCGCTGAGGTGGTGGGAGTTGTTTATTCGTTGACTTACTATCGTCCTTGAGTGTTTTTTTTTGTTCTTTTGTTTCCTTCTTTCGTAATTTTATATTTTACTATTAAACACTATCAGTACCAATACCGTCTGACATGCAGTGCCATTGGGGATGAGTGCAATGAACCACCTCCTTCTATTCCAGTCGTCTTGGCCCTGCTTTTTTCACTACCCCCCCCCCCCCAGAAGGAGTTTCACCTTGACTTTCTCGCGTGCTTTGCCTGCAGTGGTCTTCTGATGAGGGCAGTAGAAGGTTGATCCACTTCCAAGTGCCATCATCCCTCTGCCTTTGATTTTGATCCCAGGCACCATTACCATTACTGATAACTTTGTCTGTCTCGCTGAGAGATCAGAAATACGTTTGTGAAAACGTACAAAACATGTCAACAACCACTCTTTCCACCCCTCTTGCAGCTTGACTGGACCTTGTTTAAATGAAGACAATCGTGATACCTGTGAGGCACAGCGGTCTTTCGAAGATGCACATAGGGAGGCAATTGACGGGAATGGGAGCGTAGGATATGGGTTGAAACAAAGGCCAGCAATAGATTTCTCATCGGGATTTTCTTCTTTTATTCAGTGTGACGCACACTCTCTCTGTCTCTGTCTCTACTTTGTACCTGACGAACCATGGCAGCTGATCCATCAACAACCACACCCACTGTCCCTCACCAAGACACAACCTCTCATTCACATCCACTTCCACACTCACAACAGCCACACACACCCTCATTACCACAGTCTACATCAACAACTAAATACATCACCACCACCACTAACAATGCAAGCCATGACACAAAAATAAGTCAGCGTTCAAGCATAGCGGAGGGAACACCAACTCTGTCCAAGACAGAGACCGTCTTCTGTGGAGCCTCTGCAGGCGTGGTATCGCGCTTCGTCATTGCCCCTCTCGATGTTGTCAAGATCAGGTTGCAGGTATGCTTGCCCTCGTTGATACAACACGTCCGTACTACTAGTAACAGAAGTCAATACTAATATGACCATTTTCTGTTCGTTCTAATACAACACAGATGCAAACACATAGGAAGGATCTACCGACACTGTTGAAGCGGAAAGGGGGCTCGTCAGGAATTGAATCTGCAGCGAGTGCAGCGTCGAGGCAACCACGGTACAAGGGCATGTTCTCGGGGATGGCGCTGATCGTTCGGGAGGAGGGCATCCGAGTAAGTCCCTTATCGATCCCATTGCATCATCATACCCAACCATTAAAAAAAAATACTCACGAGATAACCTTTTTTTTTCGTTGGGGCTAAAACGTGGATAGGGACTGTGGAAGGGCAACATGGCCGCGGAATATCTTTATCTCACATACAGTGGGATCCAGTTCCTGGTCTACCAACAAACAAAGGTCTTTCTCAAGAAATCGGCCGATATATCTGCTCAAAAGGCTGTTGCCGTAAAGTCCATTGGATCTGCATCGTCAACAACAGCAGCAGGAACAGCGGGGGTTGTAACAGGAGCTATCGTCGCAGCGCCCCTCAGCGCCTTTTCGACCATTGCAGGATCATCAGCTGTGCAGTCATTCGTCGCAGGAGCCAACGCAGGAACAATTGCTACTGCCTGTACTTATCCTTTTGATCTGCTCAGGACCAGATTCGCCATCCAGCGCGATGTCAAGGTAACTTTTTCAAAAAGAATACTTCACCGCGCAATTAATTACTTGTAGGACCAAAAGAGCAACCTTGCTCACGCGCTTATTATTGCAAAATAGGTGTATACAGGAATCATACAGGCATGCGGACATATATATCGAGCAGACGGCTTACAGGGATTTTACCGAGGCATGACTCCAGCGCTAATCCAAGTGATCCCCTATATGGGCATGATGTTTGGGTCGTACGACAGCCTCAAGAACCTGGCATCCTGGCTGAAAAAGAAGGCGGACGTAGAGTCATCGTATTCCAAACGGACTATCACCGCGTCGCCAGGATCAGGAGCAGCATTATCCGAGAAAGAACGACCAGTCAAGTCGGTGGGGCAGTTTCTTTTGGGACTCGAGGACCTGCTCTGTGGCGCGTTATCAGGCGTGATCTCCAAGACGGGCGTCTACCCTCTCGATATGGTCCGCAAGCGGCTACAGATTCAAGGATCCGAGCAACAAAAGTCAATGGCAACTAGTTTAGTCTCTGGAACTACGTCAGGATCGAAGGCGGTGGTGGTAGACAAGCTGCCGAAAACAGTACGGAGATGCATGGTCCACATCGCCCAGCGGGAGGGATACCTGGCTCTCTACAAGGGCCTTCTTCCAGGATTGCTCAAGGCAGCCCCAGCAAGCGCAGTGACATTTTTGGTCTTTTCTCAGGCAGGCGCATTTGTAGAAAAGTATCGCCGGACCAATTAGACATTTTTTTTTTTTTTTTTGCACGTTGATTCACAAGTCGTGAATAAAGATCTCTGTCGCTAGGATTCTTCACGCATTTTGTCTTTCATTGGGTGAGTGACGGCTATGTGCAGCAGCGTGTCCGACAATGAGGCATTCATACGTGTGTGTGTGAAAGAACATATCCGCGGTGGGCAAGCGGTGCCTCCCATGTCATACATGACGTTTGTTTGATGACACTCTTTGTGCTGTGGTCAGTTCACACGGTGTATGTGTGTACGTGTACATGCACGTAAGTGTGTATGTATGTTATGTCTTTGACCACCTTTTTCATCCACTTATTTCTTGAACAACGCAGGTAAGAAATCTGAGCTCCCAAACAGACACAAAAGAGCAACCTTTGAGTTGGGCGAAGCATGCTCGTTGTTTAAAAGGGCACTAATCCCGCCCTGCGCCTCGAAAAATACGTCTTTTCCTGTTTCACCAGTGTCACGTATTCTTCACCACTTTTTTTTTCACAAATGGACCCTCCATTATCTCCAGGACACAATAGACCCTCTGACTCAGCTCAATCCCTTCCGGTTCAGGGACAACCAGACCAACCAGCATCACAAAAGTGCAATGCACTAACCAACCAAGTTCAGTCTCCTCCAGCTCAAGATCAGCCAGACCAACTAGAATCGTCTGAGCACAATGCACCAGCAGACGCAAATCAGTCCCCTCCAGCCCAAGGAGAACCAAACCAACCACCACCATCCCCTGAGCATAATGCGCCTGTTGATTCTGCACAATCACTCCAAACACCATCAAATCTACCATCGCCAGATCGCTCGTATTGCGTCCAAGACTCGCTCAGCCCAGAGGTCCATCCTATGGTCAACGTAAGAGTGAACCGCCCGAGAAACTTTGCAGCAGAGACCCGCTTCCACGACATGCAACAACAACAACATTACGAAACTCCTTCTTTACCAGCAGCACCACCAATAATATTACCATTTCCTCCGCTACCCGACCCTCTACCTTCTTACAAACACCCTCGAGATGAATATGACAGCGATCCTGGAACTCCTACCTACAGAACACAAGACAAAGAGAGCAATCGAGAATCCATAAGACGCAGGCTTAGTGCACCCGCTGTAGCACCATCGACTCCTGGAACAGCACCACCACCAAAACCAAGATATGCCATAGCCAGGAGACGGTGGAACCATAACCCTGCGTCGTTGCCATGGTCGCCTCTTGCACTCGGGTTTGCCTCGAAATCAGAAATGTCTCCATTTTCCTATTTCCGAAGGTCGAGGTATCTGCGTGGGGCAATAGGAACGCGGGCTCTGCTACCCTCGCCTCTCATACCCCCAAGCCCTTCGCACTCAAACCCGGAACATCCATCATCGCCGCTGACAACGACAACAACACCACTGCAGCCTGTTCTGTTGCCTGTGGGCTCTGCCGTCGAGAGTGTGGTACAATCACCAGGTATTACCGTACCACACCATGGTCATTCGCCTGAGCGTCACTTGATATCGCCACCACAGTCTGTGCTTCAGTTACCAGTACACCTACAGCGACCATTGCCGCCGCCGGTCTCTGTTCCAGGATTGATGGGACCACCACCATTACCCACCCAGAATCGGCAACAAGTACAAGATCAAGCATGGGCACAAGCCAAAGCTCAGGCAGAATCACTGACGCAGGCACGAGCCCAAGCACAAAAGCTAGCTCAGGCACAAGAACCACCACCACCAATACCATCACCGCTACCATTACGTCTTACCCGCTTCCTCAAAAATCACGGAGGCAGTTACGAAGCGAAAAACCTCCGTGTATTCATTCACGTCCATGAATCTAGCGTTGCAACGAATCTATACAGCATTTTCGCAGACTTTTGCAATGAGCGAGGTCTGGAAGGTGTAAAACGTTTGGATATTACGCTGGACTGGGCGTGGACAAAGGGAGACCTGGAGCAGCTGGCAGCCGCTGTCCGTGGTTGTAGATTTAAAACCTTAACCATTAATGGAGGCAATAGCCGCTCTCAATTGCATCATCGCGCCGCTAGAAAAGGTGCTGCTACCCCTGCTGTCACCCTGTTTGATCCGTTGATCCAACTCTTCGGCTTTAAGCCGCTTGCGTGCATTCATCTCGAAAACATGCCCGACTGCCTCCAGGAATTCAGTGTCAAATTTCCGGCCGATCTCTCACATCTGAGAACTCTTCAGGTCCATCTCAATATCTTCAATTGGAATTACCCTCCCGGACAAAAGTTTTTCAAACTAGCTAGGCGACTCAGTCACATCAAACTGTTGATTGTCGAGTGCCCTCTTGAGGATTATAGAGCCTACCTCATGAACATCTGGCTTGGGTTGATGGCTCCGTCGGCAGCTCCGATCAACACGTTTTCAACCGAGCCTCCTTCTCAGGACATTGAGGTCCAGCTGTTATCGCGAGGAATGGTACACGCCACAGCCTTCTTCAAGAGGCAAGGGACTGTACCAGAATCCCTCATTGTTGACCTGGGTTTCATCGATAAGTACGAGGTTACCTGGGAATATCTGCTCAACAACACCATTGCCGAGAATATCCATACTTTCCGTCTCAACGAAGCACCGACAGAAAAATGGTTCCCATTTGTCCTGAAGTGGCTCACATCTCGGCAACAGCGACCATTCTCTTTGTCTTCCACTTTGTCGGCCTCAACAGAATCAACTCCAGCCACCACCACCACCACCACCACCACCACCAGCATCGATACCTACAACAATACAGTTACCGAATACGTCCGCCTCCGAGAAGTTAGCCTGTGCTGCAGTCGCCTCCGAGCCGACAGCGAGCGTGACTTCATCGAACTCATCAAACTCGCGACATCGCCTACCCTCGGCCTACAACGCCTCCACCTCATTCAGCTCCGCCTGCCCCTTGATTCACCAAAAGTCCATTTATTGGGCAACCAGAATGTTAGTCGTACTACATGGTCAGGACTATTCATCAACTACAATCTCTGGAATCTGGAGGAGCTTGAGATTGAGGATTCGAACTTTGGAGATATTCATATAGAGGGGTTTTTATTCTTTATGGCTAATATGAAGAAATTAGAGGACAATGAGAAAACGAAACGGAGGAAGCGAGAGGAGCGTAGGAGACAACTGGAGCTCGGGCTTATAACCTTGGAGGATGGAGAGGTGGAGGAGGAGGAGGAAGATGATTTCGATATTGTTAGGATGAGGTTGAAAGCTATTAGGTTCAAAAAACATCGTCTGACTCACGAAGTCGAATCATGTATGAAGGGAAGGTTAAAGGACATAGATTCATCCATTCAGGTGTTTCTAATGAACAAATAAAAGAAAGAAGCCGTTGTACACTCTAGAATAGGGTGTGTGTTTCGACATGCAATGAGCAATGATGGTGCCTTACTCCACGTCCCCAGTTCTATCCTTTGAACAAACAAAAGGTTAGCAAAGTGATGTGTTTTGGCTCTTGTAGGAGAAAGGGCTTGCAGAAATGCATGACAAACCTGGAATGTCAACAAACAAAAAAGGATGCTCCAGCTGATTTACGATCTTCTCACTTTGCTTTCTCCCTTTGTTTTCTTTTCTCCACCAGAGGGGTCGACACAGAAACAAAAAGGAAGCGCAACTTGACCAACTCTTTCTCAACCGAGTTTGTCCTCTTGTATATAGATCGGAAAGGATTGGCGCATCACAACAGTCAATGGAGATGGCAACTTGCACTTTACCAGGCCAGTAAGTTACGCCCATTTCTGCTCCACTTTAGATAGAATGGTCTTTTTGTTTCCTCCCACCAATCCTCTCGTACTCCCTTGTTGCAACGATCTAGCCCTACTTCTCCAACCTTTCTTGTCTTGCTCGATGATATTACAGAGTGTACAGACTCCAAAGAAAAATTATCCGAGATCAGCATGCGCCTATTTTCTTCCTCCAAACAAACACAAGTATGTTCTGCATTCCATTCTCCTGCTTCCCCTCCTCCCTTTTCCCCTTGTTTGTGGAAAAATCAGTGGTGAACATGCAAATGTAATCTTGTTTAGGTCATCTGTTAACGGACGACGATTCCCCGGTTTATTTGTTTGCTGTTTGCTGCTTGTTGTCTGAACAACCTTTCTTTGTTATGCGCCATGTTTGGTTTCGATACCCGATGGAGTTCCAGACTCTGTGCCTGACTCGAAAGGGCTCTGTCCTAAATGAGAGCCAACAAAACGAGCTGTCTGGTTGTCCGTGCACAGGTATTCCGAGTTGTTTTTCTTCTCCTCCTCCTCCTCCTCCTCCTCCTCCTTTTACATCCCTTCTCCAACCACCTCCACATCTTAACCCTCCGACATTGCCTGGGCTGTTCAAGAAAAGAGATGCAGGTACTTGGTTCAACGGTCGAGGTGAACGCCTCAGGTCACGCCAATCGACTTTCACGCGCTGTTGACAAATGTTTTTGCTGTAATCAACCCGACGCCAAAAAAAATAAACAAAACATAAATAACAAAACAACAAAAAGCAGAAACAACATGCAATGAAAATTGGCGCAAACAATAACAAGCACTCATAAACACATACAAAACATTTGCTTTGTAGGTATAAAATTGCAACCTTGCAACCTCTGCATCCAAATGAATTCGTTTCCCTCTCCCACACTTCATTCCCTCGCAACCTCTTGCCAAGCGACCCATTCCCTTTCTTTCAATCTGATGAAGCCAATCCCAATTATCCTGGCCACTTTGACTTTGATCGGTCTCGCGCAAGGCCTAGCGCCTTTCACAAACTGTGCTGCAAATCCAATCATGACGGTTACTAACTTCGTTGTGATCCCTGACCCGCTTTGCATCAACCACAACATGTGTGCCACCGCTACCGGAACTCTGTCGACCAGTATCTTTGCTGACGCCAAATATGCCGTCACCGCACGATACTTAGGTCGAATCGTCTACACCGACAACCAAGACTTTTGCGCCCTCTTGGACCAACAGGGACGACCGTGTCCCGTCCCTGCCAATATTGACTCCTTGACCGCCTGCACTCTTGTCAAGCCAACCGCGCCGGCCTACGTAAGAACGCTTTTCGTGTTACTACAATCTTGACAGCCGCCAAAACAAAATGACGATGCAAGTACGCAAAGTACATAACACCTTCTTTTCAACCGTTTATTGTAGATCAGTATGGCAATGACATTCTTGGCCACGAATGGAAACGGAGGTATTATCTACTGTCAGACAGGTAAGCCATAACTTGTTTTTGCTCAACCCCAGCGCCGCGCGAAATGAGTGGCGTGCAACCTTTCTCTCTTTTTTTTTGACCATTAACAGCTGCTCTTCATTTTCATCTTCTAGGAACATTGACGGCTGTACAGTGCCCTTAGGTAGCTCGTTGCCACAACCGACCTTGTCTTGGTCTTTCTTTGCTTTCCTCAGATTTCAGGCCTCAAGGGCATTGATTTTCAGTCTGTGGGATTATCAAACAACCCCAATAAAGGAGCTCAGTTGCGTTGAATATAGTCTTTCGTGTTGTTGATGAGTGTTTATGAAAAAAAAACTCTGTTCGTGCAGAGGCAAATGCGAGAGAAAAATAATATCATTTGTATCTCCAGAATGTTGCTTTGAGGTTGTATGCTTTTTATTCCTCGCCAATGTATAAAATGTCACCCCATGACACCCATCCCAACGCCTTGCTTGCTTTCTTTTAGCGTGAATAACCATTCTTTTCTTTTCGCCGTCCCCCACTCACCTCCTTCTCTCACCATGAAAATCCTTATTAGTGCCGTATCTGCCCTCCCCTCTGCTCATCTTTCTTAGACACGCCAAGTACCGGCCGCCAACTGTGTCTCAAGCCCGACCGACATGACTGTCACATCCTTCGGATACGTGCCCAATTCTATTTTCCAGAACCAGCAAGTATGCCACAATGCGGTTGGAACCCTGTCCGCTCCTGTGGTTGATGGCGCCAAGCTTGCGATAGTAGGATGATACACCGACCAGGTGGTCTACACGGTCAACCATGACTGCTGCACTGTCTTGGCTCTGGATGGTTGCCGTGTCCTGTAATGACTATAGTCACGTCCTTGCACTCATGGCATCTTATCAAACCGAACGTGCATCCACCGTAAACGTACTGCCTTCATGTCTATTCAGACCGTTTTTTCTTGATTTTCAATTGCTCATGTATGAGGACACGAAAAAAAAACAAGGACACGAAAAAACAAGGACGCGAAAAAACCTTAAACAAGCGCTCTTTTCCGTTGTTCTCCACTGGCCCCTGAAAAAAAAATTGTGCTACAAATGCAAACGGAAATATGATTTAATTCCAATTCTGTAAATACTTCTCAATCTGTGCACTTCCTTTACACTCATCCTGCGAACAAAGAGCGATGTGGTATTTGCCAAGGCTGACTATCTTTCTCGCTCTCTCTTTCTTTTCCTTCCCTTCGCTATGTAGTCAACGTCGAGGTAGACAATTACCCATAGGTTGCGTTTTGCGTGCATGCGGCCTTCTCTTCTCACTTTTAGTTGCACCATTCTTTGACCTCCGAGCTGCAAGGGACGAATAAAAATGAATACAGAGCTGCATACAACTCGGCGTTTGTGCATCATCCATCCTGCAAAAGAAATGAGGGGAAATCAGATGGTAGGGATGACTTTCCGAATTGCATAGCAATCCATATAAAAACTTGGGTATTCTTGTTTCTCACCTACCTTCAATCTCACATTTAACCCCCGTTGCACCATGGAAATTTCGTTCAACATCCTGTCTGACCTTGTTGGGCTCGCACAAGGCCAGGCGCCGTCCACAACTGTGTCCACAACCCTCCACTACTTTCGCCATGACAACTTTTACTCTATCTCCTTACCTGGTCTGTGTCATCAAGCATGTGTGTTTCACCGAAACAGGAACTCTGTCGACATCCGTCATTGAAGGTGCTTGAGTAGAAATCAACGGAAGGGCTCTTTGGCCGTCTCGTCTATACCGACAACCACGACCTCTGTGATCTCATGGGCGGCCAGGGATTTCCTTGCCCTATCCCGATGGCCGCGACTTCAATCACTGCTTGTGTCAATGTGAAGCCCACAATCTCACTTGTCGTAACAACTGCTTTTTTGGGCGTTCTTTTTCAAGGGTAGCTGGCCACGATAGGTAGCTGGCCACGATAGATATGAGCGTCAGGCGCCTGCAGTCAAACGGTGTCACTCACTTGTCTTTTTTCGTATGGGACATAATAGTGCGACATTGCGATGCAGTTTAGGGCCACCAACGGAAGTGGCAATACATTCTATTGTACAGCCTGTAAGTTTTAACGTCTCTGTCGCTATAATGTTGGGTGGGCTTATCAAGCATTCGTTGGCTCCATTTTTCTTCTCTTTCCGAGTAGTGATATTGAAGGCCACTGACAAATTGTTAGAGCTTATCGTGGATCGACTCTCTGGCCCGTCTGAATACGAAAGTTTTCGTGTCTCCTTTACCTGCTTCTCCCCATCAAGCAAATAAACAGACTCCGTGTTGGCCACCACTATCATAATGCAGTGGAAGAAACCTTGGTTTACATTTGTGGAGATGTTTGGTTTACTGGTGGAGACCCTTATCCTTCCCTCCAACCATACCAAGAGTAGGAACGACTATGGCGGTGCCTGATTGTTTTGTTTGGTCCAATAGATAACAACAACTACCTGCATGGACCTGATCCACCGCAATCAAAACAAACTACGCCGCACTCGACACAAAGGAGAAAACCAAAAACGGAAAACAACACACAGTCCGCTTTTGGCGCGCGTCAAACAAACTCGACGCTTAGAAAGTACAGTACATGTATAATAAAATAATCAAGGCGACACTCATTCCATCTACGCTTTTGTCAATTACAGCTGCATGCCGTTCATGTTCTGACGCGTATCTTCCTCGTTACGACTGTTTGATCTCTGTCGCTTCCCTGGTAGTCGTCGCCATTGTCTAGGAATACGTCAACGATGTGATTCAGTCAGTCGCGCTGGGGACGGAAGGAGGACGGAAGGAGGAGGAGGAGGGAAGGTAGTTAAGGTCGAGATGACGAGCGAGGGAAGGAACGCTGATGAGATAAATAACAATCGAGTTGGTGGAGAGGCGGATCGGGGCTCATGAGGAAGAGCAGTCTGCAGGAGGTGTACATGAAGTGAGGTCGCGGCGAATAGAAGAGAGGTAACAGATGGCGTTGGGGAGAAACGGAGGAGTTGGATAACTAACTCCTCCTAGAGCATAACAGTCATAGACGCTTTTTTTTCTTTTCTCCGGCCGGCCCGCCGGTTCGTGGCCAATTGATCCCAAACTTCGTATTCAGTCCAGAAGCTCGGGACACATACTCGTAAACCGGGAATACATGGTGCATCGGCATTACTTCGGTCTCATCTGTATGCAAAGGGTTGCATTACATTCGTTGATCCTTTGCTCTTGTGTCGCTTTTGCGAGTGATTCATTTCGCCTAACCAATAAACCCGATTTCATGTCCAATGGTTTGTTTCACGATCTACAGCGACCCCATCCATTTTTTGCTGTAATCCATACAACATGTTGCCGCACTCAAAAAGTGGCGTAATGGTAGCGAAGTAACATCAGAACGCAAGGGTGAAAAGAAGAGACCGTTTATTCCCGGCAGACAGAGGGTTGTCGGCCATGTTGCTGCGAAATATCAGTGAAAATGGGGTGAAGAAGGCTGGAAGGTAAGGGATATGGAGAAGTCGAGGGGTGAAAGGAAAAGAAGGGAAAAAGATGAAAGAGGGTGTGAACTTAAAGGATTAGAAGAGTGTGGACATGGTGGCAAAGGCAATGGTGAAAAAATGGTGGCAAAATCACTATAAAAAAAATCGAATATGTGACGTCACCGTTTTTTTTGGAATTTTTTTCAGTTCCTGGTCAAGCGAAGGAAAAAAAAGTTGTTTGAAAGGAGAGAGAGGCAGGGAATAACAAAGGCAGCAGTGTTGTTTTTGTTTTCGCTCTTCTTTTTTTTCATCCATCACTCACTCCTCCAGGTAAAAGATCGCTGCACCCATGGATCACACTAGCACTCTACCCCACCACCACCCTTTACCGGCACACAAAGGACAGGGGACACCTTTGATCAGATCTCACTCGCGCAAACAGCCGACATCGTCGTTTTCGAGTTTTTATTTTGTTTCGCCTGCACAGAGGATTTAAACAATAAACCGACAAGGACAGTTTACCCCAGGCGAGCAAAAAGTCTGCAGGACGAATCTACAAGGCACCAGCGCCCCGCTGGCTTCTCACAGCCAGGGTGTGAATCTATACAACTATGACCGAAAGCAACAGCAACACAACAACTTTTGGCAGCAACCAACAACACTACAGCCAACAACTATGGCCAGAAGAGTCATATTCTATGGCGAAACCGTAAGCCTTCGACCGGATCCGACAACAAAAGAGCAACAACAACAACAAACAAACCCCATCACCAACACCAACATCACCTCCCCTTTTCTCCGAACGCACCGATCACCACACCTCAACCAACCGCCGCCATTTCTTCAATACAGGCTGTGCACCCACCAACACTCCCTTTTGCTCCTCACTCCAATATCAAATGAAAAGCCACAAGTCCACTAACGCCAATTCTCCCCCTTCTCCATAACAATAACTACAAACAAAAACAGATATTCATCATGAACCCCGAGAAACTCGCTAAGCTCCAGGCCAACGCCAACCGCTCCAAGGGTGCCCCCCGCCGCGTCGTCAAGAAGGTCCACCGCCCCGTCGCCCAGGATGACCGCAAGCTCCAGGGTGCTCTCGAGAAGTTGGCCCTTGTTGCCCAGCCCTACGTTGAGGAGGTCAACATGTTCTTGGAGGAGGGCACCGTCCTTCACTTCCGTCAGCCCAAGGGTAAGTTCTTTCTTCGGGTATTTGCGAAGCAAATCTAAGACTGAAGCTGACTACAGGAGAGGCAAAACTGTGGCGAAGCGACCAGGAGAGTCAAGAGAACAATACCGTGTCCACTAGTCCAATTGAGCTAACCATCTCTTGCTCTCACACAAAAACAAAAACCATAAAATAGTCCACGTCTCGGCTGCCTCCAACACCTACGCCATCTACGGCCGCGGTGAGGAGAAGGAGTTGACTGAGCTCGTCCCCGGTATCTTGAACCAGCTCGGCCCCGACTCCCTTGCCTCGCTCCGCAAGCTCGCTGAGTCCTACCAGCAGTCCGCTGCCGGCCAGGCTGCCCTTGCTGCCGAGGGTGATGATGAGGTCCCTGACTTGGTCGAGTCCTTCGAGGAGGCTTCGATCGAGGAGACCAAGGAGACCACCGCTTAAATTTCTTTTTTTGTAAATAAGAAAAAAAAAACAGAAACGGGAAAGACGACTTTTGACTTGTGAACAATTACAAAACCCCCCAAAAGTGAATGCATTAAATGAGTTCCAACCAAAACATTCTGTACAGTAACTTTCTTAGTCTTTTTTGTTTGTGTGTGGATGTGTGTTTTTGATTCCCTTGGGAGGGGTATTGAGTGAGCATGGGTTAAAGAGAGTGGAGTGTGTGGTTGTATTATTTGGCTAAAGTAAAAAAGAGTTGTTACGCCTTGGGACGACGAGAGAATATGGACGACGGTACTGAGTCATTCCTACTACCAGGACCTGACTCTGTAGCTCGTCGGGTATCAGTAAAACTTGACAACGGCGTCCCACTTCTACTACTGCTGGTTGACGGTGCAGCAGTGATGCCTGCCTTCCTGGATGCAAGGTGTGCTGCAGCCTTTGTAAGGGCAGAGGGCATCCTGACAGAGGCATTGAGTGATGGGAGCTGGACTGAGGTTGCAACAGCTGGTACAGATGACCACGACGGCGTTGCAGATGCTGTTGTTGTACTAGGGCGGCTGTTTTTGTCGTTGTTGTTGATACGAGGGTTGAACGAGAGAGAGGGCACAACTGCAGTCGATGTTGGTGCTGATGTTGATGCAGCTGGCCTTGACGACAGGCTTTTGAAGGTAGTGTTGGGAGGCAGGGTCGCAGTAAAGTTGAACGGCTGAGACTTGGCAGCAGCCGCAAGTGTCGACGACGAAGATGTCACCGGCGTGACAGGAGTCTGCGAGCGAGGAGTCGCTGTGGACAGACTGGGATCATTGAACGATATCACAAACGGAGTCGGAGTAGATGTCGTAAACGTGCTGGAGGGTCCCGACCGTCCAGGCGTTGATGATCCAAGAGTCGTCGTAGGTTTCAACGACGACCCGTCTGCGGTTGCAACAACTAAAGTGGCCGTTGTCTGGCTCTGGCTCTCAAGCTGACCTGCCCTTGCTGCCCCCGCTACTGTAGAAGAGCCAAAAGCACCTCGAGGCATTCCCGGAACACCGAATGTCGGGAAAGAGTCCTTCGTGGCCTTGTGCGCTTTGTTGTTGTTGTTGCTGTTGCTGTGGTTGTTGTTGGTGCGAACCAGCTGTTCATCCTCTTCATCCTCTTCCAATGGCTCGTCCTCGTTAAACACAGTCGTGTTCTGGTTGCGTCTCCACTGTTCCTGAACTCGTCCTTGTTCAGGGACAGCGACACCATGCTCACCTTCGTCGTCATCATCATCCGGCACCTCAATCACAGTCGTCTTGGTCTTGTGTCTGACTGAGCGACCGTTGTTGAGCGTCGAGAAGGAAGGCAAGGGCGAAGTTGCTACACGTTTTCTAGAGCTGGCGCCCATAGTGGGTGTGGGTGTGGGCGAAGGTGGTGCTCGTACTGGTGCTCGTCCCCGTGTTAGTGCAGGTGCTGCCGCTGGTACAGATGGTGGCGGAGACACATCCAGGGTCCTGGTGGCTGGCTCCTTAACCGGCGAGAAGGACAAAAAGTCAACAACTTTATCCAGTCGGAAGGTTCGCTTACTCTCCTCAAACTCATCCTTGGCCCGCTGCAGCTCCTCGCGCTCCTTGCCAAGATCCAGACAGGCCTGTGTAAACCTTTTCCTCTCTTTGGCCAGATCCTCACGCTGCTTCCGGATCTTGTCCTCCGCCTCGTCAATCTCTTGAAGTGTCATGTCAGACCTAATAGACAACCCACCAGAGGGAAAAAAAATGGAGCCATAGAAGGAAACACCAAGGAAATGTTAGAAGAACGGGTAAATGAATATATATTTCTAGAAAATATAGGTTTGAAAACACGCGCACTTGTTAGACTATCGCCTACCCTTCGACATTCAACTTGAGATCCTGCAGGCCGCCCAAAAAGTTGCCGCTCGAGAGATTGTCAATCATCTTTTGAGCACCCTGAACCAGCAGGGTCGAGTCCTCGAGCTCTAGCTGCAACTTTTCAATCTCTTTTTGCAGATCTTCGATCCTCTGGTCACGGACAACAATCTCACTCGGAGAGATGACAGGCTCGAGAGACGGCCGATGATCCCATTGGTCGCTCATCAACGTCAACGTGTCCCTAATCTCCGTCTCGATCCTGTCTTTCACCATCTCAAACGGTAGTCCATATGCATTCTATATGTCGAACACAAAAAGATCTCGTTAGCAAACAATGCAAGCAAAACGGGGTTTCCGACAAGTCAAAGATGTATTGCAATCATGTCCAAGTTCAAATCCAAATCCGAGGCCTTACGTTGGTAGAGTTTTTCAGATTCGAGTGCTTCTTCAGCAACCCTTCCAGCTCCACTTGAACGGTATAAAGAGTCCTCCGTAATTGCTCGTTTTCTTCCACAATCTCATTCTCCTTGGTCTGCTGCTGCTCAATCACCTCTTTCAACAGCAGTTCGGCCTCGTTCGTATGAGTCTTCCCGTACAAGGGCCGTGGAACAGGGTTGAGGATAGTAATACCCCCGGGTATCGTTGACGACGAGCTATTGAACGACTGGCCTCTGCTGATCGACTTTTGCAGTTTCTCCTTTAGCGCATTCACTTCCTGTTCCTTTTTCCGCGACTCGTGCTAACATCAACAAACAATTGGAGCTGTGGTTAATATTTGAGGAACAACCTTTGATCGATCAATTGACGTCTTGAAGGAGTGAAAACTTACAGCGTACTGCGTCTTTGAATACTGGAGGTTCGCTTTAGATGACTTGAGCTCCTCTCTAGTATACCGATGTTTCTCCGCCTCGGCCTTGACTTCATCCTCTAGTCCACTACAATGTAAACGAGTTCCAGCAACTGTAGATTAGAACGTCGGTCTCCTGAGGTCAAAATTTGCAAAATACCAAAAGATCTGAAGACATATTCCTTACGCGACCCTGGCACTCAGCATGTCTGTTTCCCGCCCAGCCTTTTCCAGTTGTGTCTTTGTCGTGTTCTATCCCGAGAAAAAAAAGGATGAAGAGTAAATGGATTAGTCATTTCGCTTCCTGTTTGTAATACTACAAAACCGAAATTATCATTCCCGGTATTGATACGCAATAGACTAGCAACTCACGAGGTTGTGGAGAGTGGTATCATAATCCTGAGAAAGCCTCCTCCAGTTCAAGTCCATCTCCTCCTTGTACTCCGAGTCTTTCTAAGAAAAAAAAACCAAAAAAGTGTACATGGTCAGCTGCATGGCGTCTCAATTGCTATCTATCATCTCCCTCCGTCAGTAATAAGAGCAAAGATAAACCACATTAATTGAATAATATACCAAGTGCTGCTGAAGGATCTTGTATAGGGCTGTGACTATCCTGGAAGCAGCATGCTTATCAGCGCCGATGAACTGGAGGTTTGACGAGAAGCCGTGAATATTGAGCTGGTGGTTGATGTATGCGCTCGTTTGGTCATAGTTTTCCTCCGTGCAGAAATCATCCCTTTTGAAGAAGAGAGAGAGAGAGAGATAAACAAACAAACAAAGAAAAAAAAATACCGTTAGCCTTGCAGCTCGCCCCCTTCCCGACGGAAAACACAACGACACTGCCCGAGATGACTGAAAAAGAAAAAGACGTGTGCCTTACCCTGACCCTTGGTACAATGCAGGGTCGAGGGCTGCAAGCCGCTGGTTGAAGGGTATGCTGGGGACGTAGTAGCTGCTTTCGTCCTGGCTCTGATCCGAGTCGTCGCTCCATCCGTTTGTGGTGTCATGGTGTGTCGCCGAGGTGTCAATAACAACCGTTTTTGAGGTGGACATTTTGTTCTTAAGGTTGCTTTTGCTGTTGATGCTTTTTAGGAGCGTTGAGCCTCGTCGTGTGCCCGTGTCTTTTGAGAACATTGTGCTGTTTTTGTGCGCGAGAGTCGTTGGTATAGGCAGCGATGATTAAGTTGGAAAGGAAAGAGAGAGAGAGAGAGAAAGAAAGAAAGACGGGGATGATGAATGCTGAAACAGTAGAAGGAGAGAAGGACGAGGAGGACAGGGAAGAAGAGTGTTACGGAAAGGGGAGAGAGGAGAGAGTGTGAGTGCAAGAACGCGTTTGAAGTTGGTTCTGTGTTTGTGCTTTCATCCATGGTGTAAGGGAGCAGAGTGACTGCTCCTTCATTGAAATTTTACTTTGGCATCGCATCGAATATCACCCCCCATACTTGTGCCTGGCAGACTGGCGATCCATTCAAGAAGGGACACACTCACTCTTTTCTATGTCTATGTAATGGTTTATTATGGGGTAAAGATGAACTAGTAAACGATGCCTTGTTGTTTTTAGAACTTGAAGACCTGGTCAGGCATCTTGGAGACAGCATTGACCTTATCGTATCCAAACTCCTGGGTGATCTTGGTCATAGCCGAGATCATGGGGGGTGGGCCACACAACAAGACCTTGATATCCGACGCAGGTGCGGGCATGTGTTCCTTGATCATCTCTGCATTCACGAAACCCACTCCTCCAGTCCAGCCCTCGGGGGCATTGTTGAGCACATAGTGGACCCTGAACTGGGGGTGCTTTTGGGAGAGGAGGTCCAGTTCGGCCTTGAGGAGGATATCGTCCTCGTTCACATTTGCGAAAATGAAGTTGACCAGCGTCTTATCCTCTGGGTTTTTGACAATCGCTCTGATGATCTGTTTGTTTTGGTTGTAATGAGAAAGTGTTTGTTAGATCAAGTTATCGCCAATGGGGTAGCAATTGGGAAAGAGAGAGTAAAAGGATATCCAAGCAGCGATTGAAGAAAGAAGCAACTTCAAGCATTCGAGGAGAGAGAGAGAGAGAAAGCGAGCGACATGTGCAAGCAATTGAGAACGGGAAAGATAGCAAACCATATCCAATCCCCAATTGAGTAAAAAAAACACAAAGAGACGCACCTGGAGCATGGGGGTGATACCGGTACCACCACTAATCATACCAATGGCACGGCACATGTTGGGTGTATAGTTGAACTGTCCCTTGGGTCCACGGACATTCACAGTGTCGCCAATGCTCAGGTCACTAAACATCCTTGAGATGTTTCCTTGAGGGTACGACTATTATTTCACAATAACAGAAAAAAGATATGTATGAGTGTGAGTGAGTGGCTAAAGTAAACAAGGGCGAGGATAGAAAGTGTAAAGTAAACAGAATATTCATGTGAGGGGAGGGGAGATCATAAAATCCTTTGGTTACCTTGATGCAGAGGACAAAGTGACCGAGGTCATCACTGGAGGAGGTGGGGGTGTAGCTACGCATGATCTCCTTGCCGTTGATGTTGGCCATGATCGAGATATGCTGGCCGATGGGCAGGTTCAGCACATCGTCTTCGTTCGGCAACGCAAACTTGTACCTGAGAATTGTATGGTTGAAAAGTGATCGAAAAAAAATATTTTGTGTGAGTGGAAAAATATGTGAAAAAAAAGCAGGGTTCATGCTTGCCTCAGCAAACAAACAGGCACAACGAAAAGGCCTTTTTCATTTACCAAGCAATCCTTATTTCCAACTGTGCATCCTTCCTGACTTACATGGCAGTGTTGGGACTGACAACGACCTTGTCCACCAGCTTGAATTTGCGGTATTCCTTTGCATCCAATGGCACGGCTAATTTGTTTCAACCGAAAAACAACAACAAATGGCGCAGAGGAGTAAGTATCCATAGTTCTCTGTGTGGACTCGTTTTGTCCTTCTACCCTGCACAAAGTCCTCCCTGCAAGTACTGCATACATTTGACGGCGACGGTCTTGGTGGTCTTAGTAGTGGTGGTAGTAGTAGTGGTCTTGGTAGAAGTCGAGGCAGTGTTGGAGTTGGTGTCCTTGTTTTTCTTCTTGAGGAGGCCTCCGAGGAAGTATGCGCTGACGAGGACGGCGCCGACGGTGGCAGCGATTGTTGAGGTCTTTGAGCTGGGCATTATTAGGGTTGGAAGAGGTGTTGGGAGAAGGGTGAAGGGTGGAGGGTGAGGAAGAAGGGAGGAGAAGAGAAGGGAAGAGAAGAGAGGAAAAGAAGAAAGAAAGTGAAAGTGTCCGTGAGATGAAAAAGTAGAAAAGTAACGAACCTAAAAACTCTCATTCCTGCACTGTCCCGTCCCGTCCCTGTCATCCCCGACCGACTCTTCACTGAAGCGACCATCACGTATTTGGTCACCGACATGCCTCCACCTGCGCCGTTATGCTCCATCCACACTTCACCGTCGAACCCTCGAACGTATCCACTCCCCTGTTCCTTTGGATCAAGCCGACCAGACACCCCAATCGATATCCTAAAGGCCTTTTTCTCTGAAACAAACCCACCCGCTCTCTTGGACCCCGCACTCTGGTGCACATTTCCCGTACTGTACTGCACTCCCAAACCCTATCTCATTCTCAATCGAGTTCAAGCATAACAAACATGTACATCCGAATTTTCGTTTCCTTTGTCGGTTGGAGATTGTTCCCTCCCTTTTGCTCTAACTGCCGCATCGCAGCATCCTTTCGTCAGCATAGCCGAGCCGATAAAAAAAAATGATTTTTGTCATTCGGACCTCTCGGAGGAATGATATCTCCGTGCGATCTGTCGGTGACGACAACCTCTACCTATCCATTGCCTCCCAGTCTGGACACCTCTCCCTACACACCAAATCCAAACCCCCCCTCCCCCCCCCCACTCAATCCAACCCCTGCATCAATTACGTCTTGTGTCACGCCTCGTTTATTATTCACAGGAAGGTGATCCAGCTTTGCATGGGCTTCGCCTCTTTCGTTGTTTAGGCTGTTGCTTCTCTGCAGAATAGTCAATGCCTCCTGCTGCTGCTGCTGCTGCTGCTCCTGAGGGTCGCGGCATTGACCGCTCGACAGCTTCCTGGACAGCACGCCCCTTCCACTCAAACCAGGCCACAGCCTGCAACAGACAATCGCTCAGATCATCCCGCTTCTGCTCCTGACTATACCATTCCCTCATCTCCGGACTGCACCGCACCCGGAACTTTGCCGGCAGCGACGACTCTGTCGTCATACCGGTAGCGATGGTGTCCACGTGTTCCTTTTCGCCAGGGTTAGAATAGATCCAGTTGTCGACAATGGCTCTCGATTGAACCTTCTTGTGGCGGTAGGTCAGGTTCTTGGGGAGCTGTGTAGAAGGTATACTATCGATCCGGACAGACTTGCTTTCTTCTTTTCCCATCACATCGGACATGGTATCGTTCTCCTTTATATCTGGCGCAGTGCCATCTAAGAAGAGTGCCTGCTTCTTCTTCCGATCGGAGGCAGAAGCCTTGGCGCCTGACGCCCCAATACCCCACCGAACCGCCACAGCTCTTGGAGGCACCGACTCTATAAACACACACGCGTCCTCTTTATCCTTCTGCTCCTCCTCCTCCTCACCTCCCACCACCCGTCCACGCTCCTGCTCGTGCTGCCAGAACGCGAACCAGGTATGAATCATCCCCTCAACAACCCCACACTTAAAAGTCGAATCCAACATCGTATGCATCCCTCCAGACCGAAACCGCTGTCGCTCCAGAATAATCCCCTGCACAGACTCGCTCTCCTGCAGGATCGTCCGCATGACTTTATCGACCCTCAACGCGACCGCTCGAGGATCATACGCAGGCGCTGGTGGCTTCTTGACGCGCTGCTTCTTTTGCTTTGTATTGCTACCAGCAACCCCAACTCGCCTCCGTGGCTTCTTGAGGGACGATGACTCTACACCCTCTGTACTATCCTCCTCCTCCTCCTTCACTTGCAAGGCGGTCTGTGGTTCACCGCAGGAGGAAGAGGGCGAAGGCACAAGGAGATCCTCAACAGCCCACCGCAAGATCTCGCCGTCCTTGGAAAGCTCGACCCAGGCCAGGTTACGGATCCCGATATCAATCGAGACGATCGACCGAGGCAGAATCCTGTCCTTGATCCTGGCTAACACGTCTGGGTCGATTTGGTGGTTGTTGTGAGTATGTAGTTGTGCTGTTGCTGGATCTGTTGTTGTTGTTATTATTGCAGTATCTGTTGTGGGAATAGTTGAAGAGAAGAATGAGGAATGTGGAGGGGGAGTTGAATCATTGATGGTTGTAGAGAGTAAGGAGGAGTAAGGGGTGGTGTTGCTATTGTTGTGGAGAAAGAACTCTGGTTCGAGATGATCGACTTTATCCATAATCGAAGCCAGATGGGTGACCAGCCGGTTAGCAAGGACGGGCTTCGTCCCCGTCAAGGGAAGTCCCGACGCCATCAGTAGGCAAGACAGATCCCTTAGCACCAATCTATAGCCACATTAAGAAAAGAGACAAAAAAAATGAAGCGTCCAAGTTTAGGTCGGGGGGCAGCTTTTCGATGGGGTAGCGATGCTAAAACATATTAATGGAAAGGCGTGTGTTAGTTACTTGTCTAGGGATCGGTGTATCCGTGTGCGATAGTCCTGCTGGGGTTGTCGATGTTGTTGTGAAGGTGACACAGCCTTTGCTGGAGCACTGTTGGGAGAGAGATCAGACCCATGAGTCACAGAAGGAAGAGAAGAAGAGTTGCCGATGGGGAATGTCGAATGGAGAGAGCGAACAGTGAAGGTAGAGAGAGTCTTGGTCCTGCATGCTGCTGCTAATGGTAATCGCCATGGACATGTCAACGGCCAAACAACAAGCCGTTTCTGTCTATGCATAGGAAGTAAGGAGGGAACTGAAGAGGAAGGACAACGAAAATCTGCTTTGCCATTTATTTTCATTTTCAAAGTCCACTCTTCCCCCTCCACACCAATCCTGCCTCCTTTCCCAACAAGACCTCCTGTCAGGTTTCTTTGTCGCATGTTGTACAATTATGTGCTTGGTTTATTTTTCATATGTTTATGTTCCTGGTCATCCTTGCTTATAGAAATCCTGCCGTGCGTTCAAAAAGAACCCTACTCTCACTTCTGCATGAGCTCGGCGGCAATGCGAAAGGATCCAATAAGAGACGTAAGCTGCAATTTCTCGTTAGCTCCCGTTGACAGCTTGTACTCGACATCCGCTATCTTGTCCAGGACATACACGCGCGCATTGCTGGGCATATCGATTAGCTCTAGATAGTTGTAGACCTCTGTCAAGATATCCTGCAATGCCATTCCCTTGATCGTCTTCAGGTACGAAATGTCTATTCAAGATCAGGATAATGGTCAGCGGTGTTGAATCACAGTGCGGATCAAATTATCGGATCACATAACAGTGCACAAAAACAAGTTGGGGCTAAAAAGTAAACGTACTGGAGTACGCAGTCGTAAAATCCTCGGTGAGCATGCTGTTGACAATCGTCTCAATGTCGGCAGGGTGTGGGTTTCCTGTACAGTTGTAGACTGCATCCTCGTCCACGACTTCGTATCCTGCGTGACATGCCTGCAAGATGTTGAGTGCGCGCCTCATATCTCCCTTTGACAATTGCAACAACGCCTTGCGACCCTCATCCGTGATCTTCACACTATCGTTGCAAAGGTATCGAAAGTAGTTTGGTTAGATATAGTAATCTTGCTGAATTCGAAAACTTCCAGAGATCCTTGTCGCTTGAATACAAGAATGAACATACCTTTCGTTCTGGATGATGTGGTCGAGTCTCGAGTCGACCTGGCTCAGCTCCAAAGGTCCAAATCTGAAACGCGTACACCTTGACTGCAGCGCAGGAATAATCTTGCTTACATAGTTGCAAATAATACAGAATCGCACATTCTTAGTGTACTTTTCCACAACTATCAAATAAACACAAAGATTGAAAGTAACCGACGTTAACACATATTACGGTACAGCCATCAAAATGGCGTGGCTGATCCTGAGAAAGAGATTGTTTACCTCGACGCAAGGCGTTCTGGGCGGTCTGTGTCATCATGTCGGCCTCGTCCAGGATAATCAGCTTGAATCCCGAACTGAAGATCTTTTTCGTACTGGCAAAGTTCTTGATCTGCTCTCGCACCACATCAATACCACGGTCATCCGAAGCATTGAGCTATATTTTTGTGAAATAAACCGATTGGTTACTTGTTGGACATTGCGTGGTCCGAAAAGCGCTCAACACATTTGTCGGTGTCGATCCATGATCCCCTTAAAAGTTTTGTTGAAAAAGTGACCCAGGGCAAAAGGTTCGCAGAAACGTGGTGATTTACCTCCATGGTCATGCTTTTCCACATGGGCCCGTAGAGTTTACGGGCACAAGCCAAGATGGTCGAGGTCTTTCCTGTTCCTGGGGGTCCGTACAGCAGCATGTGTGGCAGCCTGTTCTCGTCAATGAACCTCTCGACTAAATGATTTGAAGGAAAGGATGTCGGTGGTTAGGTAAGGTTCCTCCTGAATGATAATAACCTTCGAAAAGTTGAGAACCCAAGCTGCAAGTAAGCGTTTGATGTGATGAACGTACTGGTCGATGTGATATCCTCGTGAGAGACGAGATCATCCAAAGTCACCGGTCTGTACTTCTCCACCCTAAGAAAGTTAAGAGACAGCGAAGCCAATAAGTGGTCAGCGGTTTGTAGGTCTCCAATTCAAATAATGGGTCCTCCCAAGGCGCCATGGCGGTGTCCTCCGTAATAAGAAGAGATGCAAGACGCTTACCAAGGCAAAGTGTCATCGGTGGCATTGTTATGTTCGACGACCTTGCCCTTTGATGATTTGGAGTTGAAGGCGTCGAATGCGCTGGCGTCTGTCATGACCTGGTCTTCTTCCATTGTGCCTTGTTGTAGCTGTTTGCTATTGTGAATGAGAAGGGTATGTGTGTTGAGAGACGTCGAGAAGGTGCTTGTCCGGGAGTCGAATGTGATGTCGGTCCTGAGGTGCAAGGTGTACAACAAAGAACGCGTTCTTTCTTTCAACACCAGACACCGTCAAGCCAATTTGCTGTTTTGCGAGTCAACTCCAATCCTAGAAAAGCCACCGCCACCAAACAATAGCATTTCATCTACCTGGCCCCACCAAAAAAAACGCGTCCCTGACTATCCCCACCCAACTGTGATCCACAAACCATCTCAAAAACCGCCTATATAAGGCATCCAAGGCAACTACTATGGGGTCAAGAAATGTGGCATCTGAGGGTTATTTCTATGGGGTCGAGGGAAGATGGCATACAAGGGAGATACTGTTGGGGTCGGGGCTACTTACTATGGGGTTGTGGAATCGAGAGCACACATTTAACTAAGGCATGCTGAGGCAAGGGGATCACTGTGGTGGGCACACTTATTTATGCAGTACCTTTGGCACGCACTTCTAAATAACTAAAATAAAAACTATCTACAAAGGTCCCTCCAAGGTCCTCAAAAGAATCCTCTCGACCTTGGCAAGCTGCTCCCTGGTTGAAACCTGCGACGCAATCATATACACAACATTGCCCAGCGGTCTTCCGAAAATCGCAACCTCCGCACCCTCACCCTCCTCCACCGAAGACGTCTCTCTCATCTTCTGCTGCACCGTCTGTGACATCAATGATGCGTATCCCGAGGGGCCGTTCGTCTCTCTCATCTGGATTGCGAGAACACTCCCCAAGGGCACCACACCTTCAACGATATCCATCCGCGAAATCTTGTCGACAACCTGCTGATCCCAAAGACTCCACACTCCCAAGCTGCTTCCACTAGTAGGATGGTTGATGGCGCCCCAGTCCTGACGGGCTTTATCGGCATCGCCATGAGACTCCATCTGGCGGTAGGTTTGGAGACTGGTGTTGGCGACTGCGCATCCGATTGGATGAGCGGTGTAGGAGTGTCCGTGGAGGAGAGCATCGGTCTTGTTCTCGCTCAAGAAGTTGTTGAAGATCGAGTCCGAGGTGAGGGTTGTGGCCAGGGTGACCAAGCCTCCTGTCAGCAATTTTGCGTATGCTGCGATATCAGGGTTCTAATTCATATAATTAATATTAAAAAAGGGGGGGAGCTGTTAGTAAGAATTGATCCAACATAACTTTAATACGCAACAAAGAACAAAGAGAAAAAGAAACAACGACAGAAAGACTTACGACTTGGAGCATATCTGCGGCAGACTTGCGGCCCAGACGCCAGCATCCACTGAAGACCTCATCAAACACAACCGGCAAACCCTTCCACTGATTGGTCACAGGAACATGCGCATTCTTGAACTTCTCCACCTGAGTTCCGAAACCCTTGAACGCCCGGACTTCCTCAACAAGAGTCCTCTGGAACACAGGATCGACCCAGACCATCCCTCCAGCACCCATCAACACGGGTTCCATCAACAACGCGCCAAATGATCGCTCCTCGTCACGAGTCAGGCGGACCAACGTCGAGCGGATATGGTTCCTGTAGATCTCCAGGCGGGGGTCTTTTGCGGAAGGTTCGGTGAAGACAGAGGTCAGGTTGTCAATGGTAACCTGGACAGGCTCCTTGGTGGAAGTCATCTCAGTAGGGATCGTGATCTTGAATTTTGAGTCCTTATAAACAACCGTGGGTGGGCTGAACCAATGACCATGAGACTTGTACCAAGTGACTTGGGCGTTATAAACATTAGGCGAGCAGGCGTTCATGGCTCCGATGGTGTCACCGTGGTATCCTCCGTCCACTCCCAAGACCTCGACCCGTCCGGTGGCTTCTCCGAGGTTGATGTACCGATCCTGACTGGCCTTCAAGGCCATCTTGAGAGCGACCTCGATGGCGGTACTTCCGTTGTCGGAGAAGAACACCCTGGAAGCCCATCCGTCACCAACAGTCTCGAGAAGAGTCTCGGTCAACTTGACAGCGGGCTCGTGAGCACACTCGGGGAACATGACGTGTCCGTACCGCCCGGCGGCGTAAGCAGCAGATTGAGTTAATGCAGGCGATCCGTGTCCAAGACCCTGAGTCCACCAACTGGCACATCCATCAAACATCTCTTTCCACCTCCATTCCTTCTTAGTCTCCTCCTTCGAAGTCGTCGCGACCGAGGTAGTTGGTGGGACATAGGTGGTCATGATATCCCCATAGGCCGAATCAATCACCGTAACATCTTTGACAGTCTGGTGCTGCGTAAAAGGCCACCAAATCGACGTGCGTGCCTTATCCCCCAACTCCTCCAACCGATCCAATCTCTTCTCATGGATCCTCTCCAACTCCTGAACAACATCCTTGAAATAACTCTCTGTCTTCTTGTAGTACTCATGCAATTGCTCCGCATCCGCCTTGGGGTCGGCCAACTTCTCGGGTGGGGAGGGCAAAACATGGATCAGAGGTCGGTTCTCGGCCTTGGCCAAGTATCTCTCGAGGAACTCATGGTTTCTAGACTTGTTGTCGAAGAGGAGGAGGGCGGGGATGTCGTATCCGTACTGGTGAAGAGACTCGTAGGAGGTGAGGGTCGTCGAGATACCGCCAAGATGGCTATCTCCGACGAGAACGGTGGGGAGGCGAAGGGGGCGATAGAATTTCGACTGCAGTTCTCCCGACATGATGGGGCTGTTCACGCCTAGGAAGAGTATATCGAGAAAATTGATAAAAGGGATTAGTTGGGGCGTACGAGTGTGGGGTGGATGTGTGTGTGTGTGTCTGTCGTCAACAGCTCGTAGCAGGCACCTCAACAATTCAAGAAGAAAGAAGGCGGAGCGGAGAATGATTGGGTCGTATGAGATCTCGTTTCCCACGGCATTCAAAAACAGTCGTCTCCCTCTTCTTGATCTTTGCAAATGCGGGTGTCAACCAACTTCCAGTCTCGTCGGGTGGGTGTTATTTACCTCCAGCAGTCTCCAAGAGCGCCCATCCTTTGTCCCCATGTCCAAGACTCTGCTTAAACGCGCGAATCGCGTTGATGGTTGCCTGCAGCACTTCCGAATCGGGTGGAGGCTATTAAAGTGAACACGTCAAAAACAATTATTTAGTTTTCTTCTTTCATCCAACAATTTGAATGTAGGGGGCTACAGTGGAATCTTGTTACTCTTCGGAGTGAAAGCGTACATTGGTGGTCGCGATATGGGGGCTGACCGGATCAGGGTAAGCGTACAGCCGGCTGGTCTCCACAAGTGGCGCGTACGTCTTGACATGTCTAGTTTTGTTACCCCAGCATACAAAAGGTACGAGAAAAAGTTAGTGATCAACTTTTTGTTACATTTACTTCCCCTCATTCACTCTCAACCCCCCCCCCCCCCCCCCCTCCTCCATTCCTCATTCACGGCAGGAGAAAGACATTACCTAGCGTCACAGTCGACAGGATAGCCAGTTTGGACAGGCTTCAAATAAAAGGCCTTGGTGGCAGCGCGTTTCTGCTTCTCGGCTCCGACGGAGAGGGCGGCAGCGGCACGGACAAGACCTGTGGAGAGGATCGTCTTTCCGACGTTGGTGTTTGCGGCAAAGACCTGGTAGGCCTGGAATGACCGCGTTGGAAGGTGTGCCATTAGAAAATGGGAAGGGAGGAAAAGGTAGGAATGAGAAGAGGATGCCTCTAAATCAGCCGAAGGAGTGAAGGAGAGGAGAGGAGAGGAGAAAAGGGTGGGGTGGGAAGAGAGAAGGAGGGAGGGCGAGCGGAGGGTTTTTTTATCTACCGTTGCTGCTCATTTTGACGAGTCAACTTTTGGGGGTGCGTGCCTTTGAAGGGACAGAAAGTGACGGCTGTGGGAAGTGGTCAAACTCTGATTCACTGATTCACTCAGGAACATCAGCCTTGGACACACATCAATCATCAATTGATCATAAAAATCTGGGGTATAGAGAGGGTGAACAGACGTGTCAAGCAAGACTCGCAGAAGGACTCATCATGTATACTTGCTCAGCATATCAATTAATACTGTTATCGAGAGTTACATTAATGTATTGTTACAGAGAGAGGGAGCAAACAAGAACAAGCGGGCCTAAGCTTTTACTCTTCTTGGTTGGCAAAGTGGTAGTAGAGGGGCACACAGACACAGACATTAACAACTGCAACAACGGCAATCACAACAAACGTAATCTTCTCGCCTCTAGTAAAGCCCGAAGACGCCAAAGCGGGACCAGCAGTACCAGGCGCCTTGTTGTGAAGGTGGTGGGGGTGATTGGGGACGGCAAGAGTAGACGACGTGGCGCTGCTGCCCTCCCCTTCCCCATCTTGGCCCGTACTCAATTGACGCTGATGGGCAGCTTCCAGATCAGTCCTAAAATAGTAATCCTGGTCTCCTTCCTCTGCAGCAAGCTGGTCAACCATAGTGCTCCGAAGCGAAGGCGGGATGCTTGCATTGTCCTCAAGCTCACGGATCACAGTCGCGACACCTTCAATCACAACCTCCACCTCCCGAAGGTTTGTCAATGCCTGATGTTGGTCCAATCGCTTCATGGCCTTGCGGAGAGATTTTTTGCCAAAGAGCGACAATGTCAAGATACAGCAGGAAATAAAGACTCCGTTCATCACCAAGATGACCACGTTCTTGGTCTCCAGTTCAGGGTTATCGATGCCAGACAGACCCTTCAGCAACGACCCGATCCAGATTCCAATGCACGATCCTGGGAAGACGCCAATGCAAGTTGCCCAAACAACGGTCCAGAGTCGGATCGACGTGACGGAGAAAAAGTACGTGATCAGGTTGAAGGGGATAGGAGTCAACCGCAACATGACCACAATCTTCCATCCTATTCAAAAGTGAGGCAATTATGGCAAATTAATTCAAACGGTCAATCAAACAACAAATGAGCACTTTCTACAACAACATGCCACAAAATACATATGGTTCAAAGGAACGAACCATCATCCTGAATGACCTGATCCAGCGCATTGAACTTTGGATGTTTGGACATCATGCCCTTGACCCAGTCATAGAAGACATAGCGACCAAAGATGAATGAACCAACAGCAGCAAACACGTCTCCCAGCAAGACAATTAACAGCGCCAACGGGAACGGTTTGAACAAGAATCCTGCGCCAATGGTGAAGAGCGATCCAGGCAAGAAGAGCGTACATGCAACGGTGTATGACACAATAAAGAGGACAGCGCCAATTCTCTTATGCTTGTCAATGTACCTAATGGAGTTGGCAAACAGGAACCAAACGGCAAATAGTCAGCCCTCGGTATATTCTCTTCCAATATTTCGTTTCCTGTTTTTCCTGGCTAGTGCGTTCTGTCCACATGGGCCATTTTTCCTTTTTTCACAAATCGAAATATTTGTCATCAAATGCCAAGACAAGAAGTCCTCATTCAAAGGGGCTCCAAAGGAAAAAATATTAACATACCTAAGAATGTCCTTGATATGATCTTGGATCCTGAACACCGTGAACGAAAGGATAATAAGTGTTAACAGGGTGACCAAGAGGCCAGCCTTGATATACGTCTGCCTGTTCCATGTCCTGGGATGCAGGCCGTTCCTCATCGCCCACTCCCACCATGTTGTAGGTTGGCTAGATTCTGGCACACCAGCCTCACGCTGATTGGATCTTGTGCGTGGTCCTCCGTCGCTATATGTGCCACTATCGCTTGAATAGGTTCGGATCAGACGAGCTCGTTCTGGGTGATGATCGTGGTCTTCGTCATCGTTGTCGTCCTCATACTGCCGTGGAGATGCCCGTTCAACAGGGAGAATATCTGCTCCTGGTTCTTGCTCCTGCTCCTGCTGCTCTTGTTGTGAGGGTGTCCGTGGGACTTCTGGAGGGTCTATCCGTGAGACCTCTGCTGGTGCGGGTTTAATCAGGTTCTGTGCTGTATCCAGAGTGGTGGGGGTAGTGGCGGGAGTATCTGTAGCAGCGACAGCCTGGTTTCCGGCAGCCTTTGAGTTCTTGGACGACTTTTTTCTGGCCATTTCCGTGGATGTAGTGGTGAACAGGCAGGCAGGCGGCAAAAGGGGGATGAAGTGGGACGAAGGTAGGAGGCGGCAGGGGCGATAGGGGTCAACAGAAAAGAGAGAGAGAGGTTGGGCGAATGTTGGGGAGACAAAGAATTGAAAAGAAAAAGGCTTCCTTATTTGTTTGTGAAAGTAGACAAGGAAAGAAAAAAAAAGGGTTGCAAGGGAGGCCAGGCGGAGTCAGGTGTGATTCTCCGTGTGGACAAAGGCAAGGGTGGTCAGTCAAAGAATGGATAGGAGGCGAAGAAGGGGTCTTTGTTTGAGTGCTGGTGATGAGCGAAGGAACGTGGGGAGAGTGAAAGAGGTGACTTGTCGTTCAAAGAGGTGTGCGTAATGAGAAAAAGGGAATGAAAGAAGAGAACAAGAGGAAGAAAAATGTTTGAATGAGTGGAGGGGAAGGAAAGAAAGACAATAAATTGAGGACGTCGACACTTGGCGGAGGTGGAGAAGAAAAATGCGCACCGTCGTCATTTTCATCAAAGAAATATTTGTCACCCTGATCTCCCAATACAGAGCGGCACAAAGTTGTGGCATGATCCTATCGTCACCCGGGGCATTACCTTCAATTGGACCGTGACCAGAATGGCCTGGCTGCAGGTTAACGGGGAAAGGGGGGCCAGTTCTCCCTTCTATGTCTCATCCCCCACACCCTCCAACAAACACCAGAATGAGGTCATTTCTTTCCATTCTTCCCAAAGAGGAAATCTATTAACAATTGTATTAAAAACGTGGAGCATGGTGAACCTGCACTGTTGGAAAGAAAAGAAAGTCTAGTAGGGTGTAAGATAGGACTGCAGAGTACGGCCGACCATCTGCACAGTCGAGAGGGTTCCCCGGATCAGGTCATCGGCACCCCACACAATCACCTCTGCCAGCCCCACAACCCGCAGCACCCCCCACACAAGCATCAGCACCACTACTCCCTCCCATGCCATCAACACACACTGCAGCCAGAATGGATTCCTCCGCAAGAACGCACCGTGCGCATGAAACAGCGCTAGAATCACCTCCATCACCTTGCCAATTCCAAAAATATCCGAAACCGACACATTCACGCTCACAAGCGCAACCGACCGCGTCTTCTGGTGGATCTCCTGATGGATAATCTCCTGTCGCTGCTGGACCGCCATCACGTTGCCATGCTGGTCGACTTGAACCTGGGATGTTGACTGCTGGCTCTCGCTTGTTGTCAATTGTTCCTGCTCTTGTCGTTGAACCATTTCTCCAGGGATGGTGGTATTCTCCAATGCTATCGCGTTGCTGGCGGCTTGCTTGCTATTGCTCTCATCAGACCGGCTGCCTCCTATCCTCGAAATCCACGTCCGGACCTGAGTGGTCTTGGAGACAGTGGTCGTAGTTTTGGACTCTACAACATTCACCGTCTTGACAACGCCATTCTTCTTTGCTCCTTCTCCATCATGCTTGCCCTGTCCATGCTTGCCCTTGTCTTGGTGCCCCTCTCCTTGGGTATGGCCCTTTGACCGCTTGCTGATCTGTCCTTCTCCTCCTGCTCCATCTTTTCCACCCGACGCCCAGGAACGTAATGACCAAGACGTCGAATTGGATGTAGTCGTATGATGGGTCTCTGATGCTGAAACATCCATGCTCCGGTCCTGGATAGTAATAGACCCCTCGGGCTCGAGAACAGGAGGGAACAGGATAACGGGAGGGAGGGCCAGTTTCGCATCGACGGCTAGGGGTTCGGGAGGTAGCATCATGTTGAGAAGTATCGACCGTTTCCGCGAGCCGGTGGTCAACATGTGGTCCGAGGCTTTGCCCTCCTGAGTCGTTGCAGTTGTATCATCCTTGCCCTGAACCGCATTGTTGCTGTTGGTCACCCGAGTTGCGACAGAGGGTTGGTGGGTTGGAACCTTTGTTGCCGTGGGCTTGTCTGCAGGGTTGCTTCCTGAGAGCAAGTTCTTGAGGTGGGTCGTGGTCATCTGTTGTATGCGAGATGATGTTGCACGGAAAAAAGATGAGCAGAGGGGCCGCTTTTTTTTTTCTGTGCCTTGCTAGATTCTTCAGCCCAACGATGGGGACCTAAAAAGGCTTAAAGCCTCTCGCCTAGAATATTATTTCCCTGCAAGGTGCCACCAATATCCTGCCATTTAACGTCACAGGAATTTTATTTATCGCATCAATTGACGCTGCCTTCGAATGTCCCTCTGAAAGTTGGTTTACTTGGGTGTGTTTGCGGCAGAGGACAACTTGTTTCAATCATCAACTCATCCTTAATCAACCATGTTCGCCGCTCGCCTTTTGGTAAATAAGAACCCACTGCGACAAGCACACACACTCGCAGCCTTCCTTGCTGCCAACAGCGCCCTCTCTCCACCCTACCGACATCTTAATTCCCACTTTCGACAGATCATCGAATGAGCGATCTCTTATCTTCCGCGCCAGCCACAATACTACCAGTCGAAACAAGTCAGATCTGTACCACAGGAGGGCGAAATCGGAACGATCAGGGATGCACAATCCGCCATCCGGAAGGTCGTCAGACCGTACCCATGAGAGGACAAGACTAAAGATTAGGCACGGAAGGGAAACTTTGACTCAAAGAGCGACCGTTTGTTCTTTGGTGAACCGATGAGAACGAGAAAAAGTTGATCAAACGGTTCCTGAGAGTGGCTTTCACTCCCTTGGACACCTCGGCCGCCGATATCCAACGCAGGATCTGGAAGCAATTGTGGACATACAGCAGATACTATCGCCTATCTGGATACCTCCTTCTTTTCATACACTACTGGAGAACCCCTTTTTCCCTCACATCCTCTCCGTTCAATTGCTCGCCCGATTCAACTTCTAACAGGTGCAATTGATTTTATTTTGGACATTTATGTAGACCCGCGTTGCTGTCGCTCGCCCCGCTTCCTACATGGCTGCCCGCAGCTTCACTGCCCCCTCTGCCCCTTTGATGCAGGGTAAGAATCTTTTGATTCTAATGATCGCTGACTCTTATTTCGTTCTTCGAGCGTTCGTGTGTCCTTATGAATGTCGATCTGATCTTGTTCCCTTTCTCTTGATCAACTGACTTCAGATATCCTCAAGGATTTGTACATCAAGGAGCTCAAGGGTTACAAGCCTGTCCCTGAGGTATGTTAACCATTTCTTTTCCTTGCGTTTGTCCTTCACCAGGAATAAACGCGTTTTGCAGCAGGATCAATTAGGACGAGTGACTGACCAACGCGGATCAATTGGCTTATTCTACTTGTTATAATTTTAGGCCAAGGGCGCTGATACCACTTCCAAGGTCAAGGAGTTCAAGACCCCCGCTGCCCCCGCCGTAAGTACACATACCTGACGGGATCATCAGCCGGACGACAGGATTGTTGTTCTTTAATATCGAATGCAATTGGGGATCTCATGCTGTGCAATGACGTCTCCGGATACTCATACCGTCGCTTTTTTTTTACTGTGGATGACTTATTAGGCCCCCGTTGTTGATGCTGCTGCCGATCTCTCTGCCTGGGAGACCGCTAACGTCGAGATTGCTGATGCCGTCACCGAGGATGCTGTTGAGGAGGAGGAGGAGGAGGTTGAGGAGGCTGAGGAGCACCACCACTAAACAAGTAAACCTATCAGTTCACTGATTCATATTAGACATTTCAAATTGTCCATCCCCCCTCACGTCAATAACTAAAAACCGGTAAATACACTTTTTTCCCTACTCTCTCTCAATCATTGAAAAAAAAAATCAGACATCTTTCATCAAGAATACCGTGTGTGTGGGAATTGTTTGGGTGGATATGGAGCAAACAATGAAAAGAAGTTTCTCTTTGTTTTTCATCTGCAATGCAAGGACGAGGTTAGGAACGCGTTTTTTTTTTATGGAATGAAAAAATGCGAAATGTTTATGTGTGTTGTTTTTAAGTGTGGAAGAGGGTGTGTATGAATGAGTGAAGGGGATGATGGTATCTACAAAACTGTACAGTAGAAAAAAAAAAAAAGAGGACCCGGAACTACTGTATGCGTGTGTCTATTGCATGTTGAAACCGACATAGTCACGCATGGCAGTTGTCCTCCCACTATCCCCCTCCCGCATCAACCCAGTAACACTATCGACCGATAGTCTATGCACCGACGACTTTCCCTCTGATGACTTTGTCGAAAGAGGAGCCTTGGCGTCAAGAGGCAGCGAGGAACCCAGACGACGAGCTTGTTGCTTCTGGAGCTGCTGTTTACGGATATAGAACCGGTATACGAGTCCAAACACTGTCAGGAGGAGACCGCCCAGGAAGGTGATGACAGAGGAAGAAGAGCAGCCGTTATGAAAGAGGGAAGTGCCAGAATCGCGCTGATGATGATTGTTGGAAAGGGGGATGTCATCGGACTCGGCGGGGGATTGGAACTCGACATACGAAGAGGTCGAGGAGGGGTTGGAATCGATATTACTACTGCTGTCACTGTCACTGTCGACAAAGCCAGCATCGGCGACAATCACCCACCCGTTCTCAATCTCGTCGGCAGTGTTAGGGCTCTCATCTTCAACAACGACTACAGCCATGGAAACCACGGCTTCTTCTTCTATGAGAGAATCAGCACCCTGAGAAAAATCGTTTCCAACCACAACAGCCTCAGTACTTCCAGATGTGAAGGACAAGGACGAGGACGAAGAAAAGGGCTCACTAACGCCCTCCTCAGTGGCAATTGACGGCGGCAAATCCTCCTTGTCCTGCTCGACTTGAAGGATGGGGGAAGCGGAAGCAGCAGCGAGGAGAAGAGAGCTATTTTTATCATCGTTCTCAGAAGGCTCATCCTCAGTTACGCCGACGGCGATGACCTTGTCTTCCGCAACGTGGTAGGTCTGGAGGTTGTTATTGTTAGACGCAGAAGCGTCTTGTGCGACAGTCCAAGTGGTAGTGTGCTGCTGCTCCAATTCAGAGTCCAAAGAAGGCGAGGGGGAATTCGCATGGGCCATAGCGACATCATCGCCAGAAGAGGAAGGGATGGCGACGAAGGGGATGGAAGCCTCGGCTATGATCGGATTTTGGTGGTAGAGTTCGGCGTTGTTCTTCTTGGACACGTTGGCTCCCTTGCGCTGACGGTGGTGCTGGGGCCAATGAGGACGCTGGTGGTGGTGATCTTGGGTCAGGAAGACGGGGATCTGGCTCTCGGAAAAGATGATCGACTCGTAGGCGGATAGAAGCCTTGCGCGATGATGACCTCCACCACCACCGCCACCACTGTGCTTCTTCTTCTGGACTGCAGCACTGTTGTCATCTGATGTTGAGCTGCCTCTGCGGGTTTCAGTGGCGGTGGTGGCGATGCTGTCGAGGTCGACCAAGCCTTCTACCCTGATGTCTTTGTCGTTGGAGGCGGTGCGATCTTCAGGGACAGGGGCAGACTCGAAAGAAGAGTCGACGATTTCACGCTTCGCATGACGCTTTGTCTTCTTCTCTTTTGTCGTGTGGCCCTGCTGAACCGGGTGGTGTTGCTGCTGCGGCGATTGTGAACGCTTTTGAGATTTGTGTTTTTGGATCGACTTTTTGAGGAGGAGGAAGGTATTGTGAACACTCTCGTCGGCGACCTGGACATGGTGGACTTGGTGTGCAAGTGATCGTTGGCGGAGGAGGTTTTTGGATTGAGGCTTTGCTGCGGGTGCTGCGAAGGTGGTGGAGGAGAGGAGGCAGCAGGCGAGGGTGAGGGTTATGATGAAGATTGTCGTTCTAGTTACTCGGGGTTGTTTGGAGTATGGTGCGAGGGTTGTGGTGGAGGAGGAGGATGCCTCCGAGGAAGGTGTGGATAATGTTGGTGACATGGCTGTGTTTGTCTAAATTGGGCGTAGTTTATCGAGGATGGATGGAGGGAAGTAGAAGAGGAGGTGAGGGAGGAGGAGGAGGAGGAAGTAGAATAGAAGTGCAGACGAGAGGGAGGAAGGAGAGAAAAGATTACTTTGTGAGAATGGAAAAAAAAATCAATTGATGATGAGAAAAGAAAGGGCAGGAATGCTGAAAGGAAGGCTGGAGGAAGAGGGGAGGTACGGAAGGAAAGAAAGGGAGAGAGGCGGCAAGGAAACATTCTTATATACGCATAAAGAATGATGATGCTGCTGCCTTCCTCCCCTGCCTTGGGATGAGAGAAAGGGTGTCGATATGCAATCAACAAAAAACAACCACACTCTTGGAAGAAGACAACATTGCAAACACACATACAAGCATCATCCACCTCATCCAATGCATAACAAAAAGGCGCTAAAAAGATGATACTGCAACAGTTGCAACTGCTTCTTTTTGTGCTCATCGGGCACTCTCTCTTTGCAAAATAGCCGTAGGGTTATCAATCATTACTTCATCATCCTCTCTCTTATCACCTTCTACTTTTCTCCTCGTCGCTCTTTCCTTCGTCCCTTTCTTCACCTTTCTTGGTATCTCTCCTATCCAAACAGCCGGAACGAAACGCTCTCTACGTTTTGTTTGTTTGTTATTCTGTTCAGCTGGTCAACCATGACCACTTCTAGCCGTGTGTTTCTGAAAAAAAAGGGTCGTGTTTGTTTACATTTTGTTGCGGACCATCCTGCGGATCTTTCTTTCGGTATCCGTATACCTTGTCTTTTTTCTTTTTTTTTTTTATCTGAGCTTTGTTCTCCTTTGCTATTTATTATCGCACGACGCCCATCTATTTACAGAGAGTCAACATTGAAAGAAACAAAACATACCTATGCGTGGGCGAGGTCTTTTGATGTCCTGTTTTTACTCGTGCTTGAGTCTTGTTTGCTTTGAAATGCCGGAGTGTAGGGGGTTGACTGAAGTGGGAGAGGGAACACAAAGAAAAAAAAATCGAAGAAAGCGAGCACGTTCCACAAGACGTCAGGTTGAATCGTGGTTCGAGGAAGAAAAAAAAAGAGCTATTCAGGACAGGGAAAGATGGGAGGGAGAGGAAGCGTGGTGGGTTATGCAGGTGAAGTAATTAGGGAGGTCCAGAAACGGGGGCAAAGTAAACAAAGTAAGAAAGAAAAAGAATGATCCGCGGATGATGCGTGTTTTTGTGTCGAGAACAAAAAAAAATAGGTGGTTACGAGGAGGGAGGGAAGGAAGGGAAGCTAGTTCGACAACGGGTCTGCGAGATGGCGTATCTATCCGATGGTGCGACACAGTGAGAGAAGGAGAGAAGTAGGGAAAAAGAGAGAAGTGGCAGTAGCGTAGCAGGATGTGAAAATAACAAGGAGTGAAGTGTGTGGAAATCAAACTACTAGCCAGCTTCAGGGATAAGAGAGAAAGAGAGAAATCAATTTCAGGCACCATCACCTTCCCGGCTGCCGTGACTCTTATATCAGTTATGAGCTGGATGCTTGTTTGTTTATGTTTCTGATTTCTCTCGCGGCACGAGAGTAAAAGTGACTTTAGAGACAAAGAAAGAAACGATAATGCAACACAATTGAACGGACGAGACGAAGCTCCGGTGCAACCGCACTAAAAACACCCGCCTTGGTAGTGCTTCAAGCAGGTAATAACTTAATTGCCGATGATGATTGAATGATTATGCTATGTGTGCCTGAAACCAGCTATGTTTAATAATAAACAACAAAGGGTATGACAAAAATAAACAACAAGGGTCGTGGCGCCGAGGACGGATAATCCCCTCTCTTTCTCTTTCTCTCTCGGTCTCTCGCATAAACCGTACTGACAATCATGGTTCTGTGAATTCTTCAATGGACACACTTTGTCACGTTAATAATGTTCTCCACAATTGAAGAAAACTAAAGAGCCGACCTGGTCACCGCATGGTCCAACGAGAAGCGCGCGGTTTAAGGAGCACAGAGCAGGAGCTGAAAAAGAGCCTTTCTCACTGGATGCATTAACTCTCTGACCTCTCTGACTTCTGACTGTGCTGTCATCGAGAGCATAAAAAATTCTCCGTCCGCCCGTCTGTTCTTTGTAGCAAATCAGGTAAGCAAGTGCTCGTTTATATCGGTGTTATATCCGGTAAGACTCCGCAAGTGACCTGCCGCGAAGAAGAAGAAACGACCTTCTAGACAACCTGAAGAAGTATATAGAAGTTGAAGGAGGAATTTACACTTGTGAGGAAGAAGGGCTATGGATCGCGCGATCTCTGTTCATGCTGGCTTAAGAGTAAGGAGCAGACAAGCGGGAAGTGGATGTAGCTACGAAAATTATGCAATCAAAGAAAAGCGAATAAGTGAACACTCACGCGTTCTCTGGATTTTCACTGGCTGGCCTGGTTGGCGGGAGAGTACGTTACTGCCTCGTCCGAGGAGGGAAGGAGGGAAGGCCAAGGAAGGTGAACAAGGGAGTCCAAAGAAAAAAAGGGTCTGGATGCAGATCCTTTTCTTAGTTTCTCATCTTTCGCGCTTCGCGCTTGCTTCGTGCTTTTTTGTTCTTTTCATAGCGAGGCTAGGGTAATGATGCAAACTAACGCATGTCCCCCGTTCCTATCTGTTCTCTTTTCATGTTCTTTCTTTCCCTTCCGTACCCAAACCAGACCAATTCAGACCAATTCGTGTCCATGTGCATGAATCCGTAGATATGTCAACAGGGCCCCGCGGAAAGAACTCAATAGGCACACCCTATCGCACACAGTTTTTTTGCTCTCCTCAAATGGTAGTTATCCCTTTCAAGAGTTTTTTTTTTCCACACCAAAAAAATTTAAAAATTTTTCCACACATCAACCTATGTCGTTTTTCACCTAGAAAACGACCTCTGACACTAGCGTACCTGGGCCTCGTTATTTCTTTTCTAGGAACAAGTGAACGTCATAAAACACGCTCACTAGGAAGGTCTGGCCTTTGGTATATGACTAGAGTTTTATTATGAGTGATGTGATGGAGTGGGCAGAGGTAAAAAGGGGTATGTTTGTTGTTTAAGGCAAAGCGGCAGTAATGGGTCTCTCAAAGCGACCAAAGAGACGCTCACCAGGGTAATCTTCAAACTCCTTGAACCCAGCCTTCTCACGGTAATAAGCCTTCAACAACTTGTTGTCCGCCATACAATCCAATCTCAAGTAATGCTTTCCTCGCTTCAAGCCCTCCAACTCTGCAAAGTGAAGAGCCTTGGGTCCCAGACCGTAACCCTTGTACTCGCGCTCGACGACGAGACGGTGGAGGTAGACAGCGTCTGACCAGTCGTCGACCAGGTCAGTCCAAAGCATCTGGTCAAAGGGATCGGTGTAGTTCAGGGTGAAGGTTCCGATGATGGTTTCGTTGCCCTTGTTGTCGCTATTGTCGGATGTAGAGGCGGAGGAGGTCCTGATGATAAAGAAGGCGTTGCCAATGGAGACCGTGTTCTCGATGTGGGCGCGGGTCTTGGGGGCGACGAAGGAGCCGGGGATCCATTGGTTCAGCTTGTTGGACTCCATCCACAGCGCTGCACGCTCGAGGATGTCGATAAAGATGTCCAGTTCATCGGGCTTAGCCTATATTAGAGTAGGATACACATGGTGCAGATCTGGAGGTCAGAACATGGGCCAATTGATGTTATGTTGCATTAAGCCTTTACTACGTATTATTTGTGATGCTTTGCTTTGCTTACCGTGCGGAAGGAGAATTGCTCTGCGGAGATGGCCATGGTAGAGGTTATGTACAGGGTATAAGGGTGAGGTTGAGGTGGTGGTGGTCGGGTTGTTGGGTTGGGTGAATGAACGAATGAACATTGAGATTGCCATCGTCTTTATATACTTTTTCTTGTTTCCTTTTTTCCTGGAGAGAGAGAGAGGAGTGCTAATTGTGTGGATCACCACTCCGAAATAAGATTTTTTTTCGTTGAGGGTGGGGTCATTCCGCCGATTTTTGTTCCTGGAAGATACACGGGCAGGAAACCGACTTTTTTTCTTTTTCTCGGGCAATTGGGCAGTTGCACCACGCGGGGAACTTGCCAAAGGTATAGGTGGCACTGTCCGATCGCAAAAAATAAGGCGATCCTTTTTTTTTTTTTTTTTTTTGTTGTTGTCTCTCTTCGTCTTCGTTTCATTGTGGCCCTTGTGCCCACGGAGCACTTCATCTCACTTCCATTCACATACCCAATCTCAGACGCACGGATGTGTTCCCACCTTTTTTTTCTTTGCTTGTTTATCGGAAGGTTTAGTCTAATTGACACTCGTCTACTATCTACAGCTCATCCTTGACCTTGGACTCGGACTCAGCCTCAGTCTCTCCAGCAGCAGCAGTGGCAGCCTCTGCCTTGGCTTTCGCTTCCGCCTCAGCAGTCATCTCAGCCAGAGCATAGTCAGGAATGCTACCGTCCGGGTTGCGGATAAAGTTGTCCATCTTGATAGTGATCTTGGGTGCATTCTCGCTGTTCAAGTCAAAATTAAACGCCAACTCCTCCAGGGGTTTCTTTTCCTCCTCCTCCTCCACCTCTCCAGCAGCACCAGCATCATCCGCCGCGGGGAATGCTTCAGCATGAGCTCGTTCCTGTGCCGCAGCATGAGCCACGGCCTCCTCCCTCGTCGCCTGTTGGAACACCTCAGGTTTATACTCCGGATCCTTCTTCTCAAACCCCTCAATCTCCAACTCGGCCCCCGTCTCAAAATCGACATACTTCTCACAGCCCGGGATACTCTTGGCGGACAACAGGTGGGACATGGCATCCGAATCGTGAACAAACGCACATTCGGCAGAACAATCGGTCTTCATCCAAAAGAGGTCGAGGAAGGCAACACAAATGCAACGACGTTCGGCGGGTGTTGGGCCCGAGGGACGGGTGATGGCAACCATGGGTTGGAGATCTGAGGGACAGGCGTGGGGGAAATGGTTGACGAGGGCCTTTTTGAGACAGTCGGGGCAGTAGTTGGGGTTGGTGGAGTCTCTGGATTCAGTTTCGAGGCGCTCTTGGGGGGTCAGTGCTGCTGAGGCATAGTTGTTGTTGGTGGTGGAACAGGCGAGGAGGGCCAGGGATGTAGCGGCGATGAGGGCTGTTGTTGTGGAGTAGCGCATTGTGTCCTGTTCCTATTTCTTGGCTGTGAACGCTGATTTGGTGAAGGATATTAGGGTAGAGATAGGAGTGAGTGTATGGAAAGTGGAGAAAAGAAGAAAAAGAAAGAAGAGCAAGAGGAGGTGAAGAGTAAAGTGAGGGATGTGGGGAAAGAGAGTCCACCTTTGCCAATTGGTACTCTTGTGTCGATTGTGGAGGCGAACTTTCTTTCAGTCGTCTGTAGTGACACTTTCAGCGGTTGTTCATGTCCACACAACCTGTCGTTGGCTGCCAGCACATCAGGCGTTGATGTTCTCTTTGAAAGCTCACTGTTTTCTTCTTTATTTTGTGTTACACTGTTGGCACATGCATAATACCTATGTAGGCGCCATTTGTGTAGGTTTGCAGCTTGTTTACGGATGAACCATGGAAGACATAACAGCCGTTATTGTACTCTAGTTGCTTGTTCATGGGTTGGTACAACAAAGTAGATGGAGCTTAGTAAGCGTAGCGTCAAGCACCATCGTCCTGCAACTTGTTTCTCGACTGTTGGACGTTGGGCGTTGCCCTTTGCATTGGCGAAAACGAAGGGGTTCCTCGAAATGAATGGTGACTGCCCCCAAGGAGCTCAATTACTAAGCCACAGGTGATCCTACTGCTCAACTCTCTTTTGCATAAAAGAAGCCGCGCCCCTTGGACCATCTCTCCTTCAGCTTACTTTTCGAAGACTAACTCCGTCTCATTCAGCACACTCTTCACACATCATGGCCACGCATCGCACTCGAGATAGAACTACCAAGAGGGTAAGTGGAAAACCTCATTCCCGAAACTCCACAAAAAATAACAACGCACATCGTCTGGACTGGATTCGCGCACCGTACATGAAAGATCAGCTCACAAGCTGACACTTACACTTTTTTACTCACTACAATAGGACAGCGAAGCCCTCAACGACGATACTATGGATGTGGGCGACGACTACGTTCCATACGTCCCACTGGCCAAGCGAAGGGCCGAAAAGTTTTCAAAACTGGTCTCCCGGAAAGGAGGGCTCGACTTTGGATCCGCACACCAATACAGCAACAACGATGGCGGTAACCGCACAACAAGGAACGAGGCTGATGGTGGAGACAGGGACAATAACAATGGAAACAACGATGAGTCTGAGGAAGACGAAGATGCAGTTGCGACAGTCGGACCTATGGCCGGTATCAGTTTGATCGAGCAGTCGGTCGATATCAGGAAGGCACAGTTCGCGGCGGATGAACAAAAGACGGACGTCCAAAAGGCGATCGAGGAAGAGGACAAGATTATGGCCGCAGTCGCCGAGCGACGACAGTTGGCTTCTGCAGAGGAGATTTCCAAGGGCATTGTCTACACGGACTCGATGAAGACTACATGGACACCACCACGGCATATCCGGGAAATGTCCGAGGAGCAGATCTCGGCCGTCCGACAGAAATATCATATCGATGTCGAGGGCGATAATATCCCACCGGCGATCAAGAACTTTAGGGACATGAAGTTGCCCAAGCCTGTAATGGACTATCTCAAGAACAAAGGGATCAAGTTGCCAACACCCATTCAGATGCAAGGATTGCCGGTTGGCTTCTCTGGACGAGATATGATCGGTATTGCGTTCACAGGATCTGGAAAGACGCTGTCGTTCACATTACCCTTGGTGATGCGTGCGCTCGAGGAGGAGACAAAGATGCCCATGTTGAAGGGTGAAGGCCCCATCGGCATGATTGTCTGTCCATCTGTAAGTCATTCGTGTCATTGCTGCAGCGAGCAACTGGAAATAGTGACTTGAAAGGAGATACTAACCAATGTTATTCTTCTTGTTTATTAACTTAGCGTGAGTTGGCAAGACAGACATATGAAGGATTTGTTGCAATCTCAGACGTGCTGCATCAAGGAGGATACGCAAAACTCAACTGTCTGCTTTGTATGGGAGGTATCAACATGCAGGAGCAGGCCGCAGTCTTCAAATCGTAAGTACCACTTGTCGGTAGCAGACAAATGAGCTGTTTTTGTCAATGTTGGGCGCCGAGACTGAGACACTCTACTTTTTATAACAAATAGTGGCATTTTCCATATTGTGGTTGCGACACCAGGGCGTCTTCAGGACATGTTGGCGAAGAAAGCATTTAACTTGAACCTGTGCACATACATGTGTATGGACGAGGCCGATCGAATGCTGGACATGGGATTCGAGGAAGAGGTCCGGACGATCCTCTCCTACTTCAAGTACCAGCGTCAGACGATTCTGTACTCTGCAACCATGCCCAAGAAGATCCAGGATTTTGCCCGCTCAGCTTTAGTTAACCCCGTCACCGTCAATGTCGGTCGTGCTGGTGCGGCCAATTTGGATGTTATCCAGGAGGTCGAGTATGTGAAACAAGAGGCCAAGATTGTCTACCTGCTTGAGTGTCTCCAAAAGACGCCACCTCCTGTGTTGATTTTCGCCGAGAATAAGAATGATGTGGATGATATTCAGGAGTACCTACTTCTCAAGGGTGTCGAAACCGTCTCCATCCACGGATCCAAGAGTAAGTTATATGGTTTTCGTTTTTCTCTAGTCCTGTTTATTGAATGTCGCGAGCAGGAGATGTTGACCAGAAACAACAAAAAACTGACGCTTTTATTTTCTTTTGTTCTCCTAATATTAGCCCAGGAGGAGCGTGAGTACGCGATTAATGCATTCAAGACATTCCAGAAGGACGTTTTGGTCGCCACAGATGTCGCCTCCAAGGGTCTTGATTTCGCCGAGATCCACCACGTCATCTTGTTCGACATGCCCAAGGAAATCGAAGATTATGTCCACAGAATCGGTCGTACGGGTCGTTCAGGAAAGACGGGTATCGCAACCTCATTCATCAACATGAACTCGTCAGAACAGATTCTGCTGGATCTGAAGCATTTGCTCAGGGAGGCCAAGCAGCGTGTGCCACCAGTGTTGGAGGCATTGGAGGATCCGACCGAAAAGTACAAGGATATGGGTGTTGCTGGTGGGTGTGCTTATTGTGGTGGTTTGGGACATCGTGTGGCGGACTGCCCCAAGTTGGAGCAGCAGCAGAAGACCAAGCATGGTGGTATGTCGCGACCCAACGAGAGAGCCGGTAACGAGATGTAAACATTCTTCTCCCTTTGTTTTTGTTACAAATAAAATACGACTAAAGAAAACGCGCTTGACGGACTGCGGCCATATGTGCTTCTTAGACCGCAGCATACATGACGCCTCCACGTGACGGGCGCAGTCTGCGGCGCAAATCAATTGAAGGTTATTTAAAGATGCAACTGTTCCCATTGATTGTGTGTTCCTTACCCCCCTTTCGCCCTTCATTTCTTCCTTTCCTTTCCTCCTAAACACCATTCATTTCCTTCATTCTCCTCCTGCTATCTCTAATTCCACTATATCTCTAATGTTATCCTTCGTATCACCTTCCTCTACTTCCTTTGGCCTCAACGTCCGCCCACACAACGGTGAATTGGACATCCTCACCTCACAATCAGAGCAGGACGAATACCAACAAATCTACAAGCGCGATGAAGAAATATATGGCGACTGCGTCTACGACTCCCACAACTACGACGACTACGAATCCGAGGATGACTACATGATCGACACCGAGAAAGACTATTTGCATGACGTCCGCTTCGCCCCCACATCATCTCACAGGACCAACTCCTCCTCCTCGCTGACCAATTGGCCCTTCAAACCTATTCTGATCAGCAAAAAGCGACCCATCGAGACCAAAGTCATCCAACCCCTCGTCGATTCCCCCGAGATATCCGAAATTCCGTCCGAAGTCCTGGAACTCGTCTGCGGCCACCTCAGTCAAACGACACTCCGGTCCGTCAATCGAGTCTGTAGAGCGTGGTACAAGATCTCTGAGCGCTTCGTTCGTCATACCGGTATCTGGAAGCCTATCGATGGGGCACTTCAAGTTCTCCTTGAGCGTTGGTCTAGGATCGATACCCTCGAATTGTGGCTCAATCAGGATCCTCAGGATCCAACGCAGACTATCAAAACAACCGACCAAGAGTACTATTGGGCCGCATGCGTTGCGGCTATCACGGGATCTACCACAAGCGACCAGGACTCTCAAGGCGACGACGCCAACGCCGACAACGACAACGACAGCAACAACGACGACAACAGCGAGTCAAATACAAAAGTGTCGTTACAACTCCACCGCACAATTCGCCATATGATGCTAAGAGGGCGATTCCTATCTTATGAGGACCATGTGTCCGTTTTCCGCGGCCACCTTCAGTTCATTCAATCTTTGACGATCACGACACAAAAACGAGACGATCCTATCCCTCTCTTCACCCTCCTGGCAGATTTCCCGGCCCTCAAATCGTTCACTTTCTCTATTCCATCCACAGTTTTTACGAACCTGTGCCACGGCGACGACCAGGATTCTATTGATATACCGGCAGATCTTATCGACCCGTCCAAGAACTTCATGGAGGAGTATCGACTGGAGCGGTTCTGTATCAGCGGTGTCGTTGTGCATCGGAGGATCCTTGAACGCTTGATTGTCACCTGTCCAGATCTCCGCGTCTTCAACGTCAAGGATATCAGCATTCAGATGAGTACTCCACAGGAGGACTTTTCTGAGGAAGCCGAAGCGATTCGTGAAGTCGAGGAAAACAACTCCCGCCAGCGACTGGTTGATCTGGTGGCCAAGCATTGTCCCAAGATGGAGTGGTATAGTTTCCATCGGACGGAGAGAAGCACGGACGAACACCACCTCAAGATGGTTGCCAGCAAGTTTCAGGACCAAAAGATGCACTCGATGGTCTTTAATGGCCATCCATACGTACTAGACACTTTGGCCATCCAGGACCAGCTGTCGAAGATGGCCGTCCTGCAGCTCCAGACGAGTGTTTGGGCAGCTCACCATTCCGAGACGCTGGACAAAATCCTCTGTACGGCCCCAAAACTCTTGCATCTGCTCGGATCCGAGGCGTACTTTGATACCAACAGTCTCTGGCAGCCACCGGCACCCATCAAGCCTAAGCATCCCTTTACCACCCTCGGGGATCTGAAGCGGCGCGAACGCAAGGAACAGCGACGGGCACAACGAGAGGCTCGGTCTCGCGGCCGTTATTATGTTCCTCCTGCGACCGAGACCCCCACCGTCGACACCTCAATTCCAGTTACCTGGAAAGTCTACAACCTCAAGTCCTTCGAAATGAACTTCATCTCCGAAAGTTCCATAGCCGACTTTACAGGCTACATCAATCGGTACCGGCTTTTCCGCAACCTGTCCATGCTCAACCTCCAAATCCCTTCGCTCAAGATCGGGCAGCGCATGATCTTTCCCAACACCCGCGCCGGTGCTTTGGCCGCCGCTGCTGCTGCTGCCTCATTTGGTATCGAACTTCAACCGGGACAGCTTATGCGGTACCCCAACGAGCTGCTTGCCCTGCGCTCCCTACGATGTCTAGAGGAATGTACCTTGCGCACCTCGGACGTCCCTGGCACAGTTGGCCCCAAGGACTTGTGGTTCCTGAAAAGAAGAGAGGACTTCCAGTCGGTCTCTTTCTTCCCCACCAGGGAGAAGAGGAGAAAGACCAAGAAGGCCAAACATAGCAGCCCAAAAACAAAGACCACAACGACGACGACGACGACGACGACGACGGCTACTGATGTTCCCGAAAAAGTGATCGACCAAGGCGAGGATGAAGAGGAAAAGGAGGAGGACGAGGAAGAGAAGAGATGGAAGAACGAGACATTCTGGCCGGTCCTGACTGTCTTCCATATCTACTATGTCAGGAAATCGCCCACTACCATTACCAGTAACCTTGCTGAGGCGTTTGAGCGGTTCCGACCTGGTGTCGAGTTCCGCTTTCAAGGCCGCGCTGCTCTTTCGTAAATTGACAAACAAATAAAAAATAATATGTTGGCAATTGAGTTGTGAGTGGCACTTTGAATGATTGAAGCAAAAAAGAAATAGCACTTGCTACTCGGAGCTTAGAGGTGGTCAAAAACTACTTACCCAGTAGCCCCTGGAAATGGAAACGGTCTTGCCTTCCGATCAAGGCACCCGTGTCTCTTCAACCAGTTCCTAAACAGCGAACCCCAGAAAAGCCCCAAGGACACCGTTGCAGACCGAGAGAGAGAGAGGACGCTCCTTTTCAAGTCCAGCTTCCAAATTAGCCGAATTGCTGAGGCCATTGATCATTGTAGAAGTCGTGGAGGATGTTTATGGTGGACTTGATTCGAAAATGATAGTTGTTAGTTGAACCCTGAGTATTTGTAGAGTGGACATAAAGTAATAAGACGTCGCGTGTGTACACCGTGCATACTATGGTTGAGAGAAGAATGACTGCGTTGTTGACGAATGTGGATCCTTCTTTATGTGATTTCGTACCGATGGCATCCGCACGGATTTGAGAGTCCTAGAACGTTTGCTCATCACCTGTCCGGATCTACGCGTGTTCAACGCGGTCATCCAAACTGACTTGAGTATACAACATGAGGGATCCGATGTCGATAAAGAGGAAGAAAAAGGAGAGGAGCGCAAAGACTGTCAGCGACTGATCGACATTGCAGCCAACCATTGTCCAAAGCTGGAGTGGTACAGCTTCCATAGTCTTTTTTGTGACCTGGACAAAGAAGACCTCAGAGACATGACCTGCAATTTTCCCAATCTGAAGTTGCAATCAATAGCCTTTTCCAGTCACTCGAGATGCCGTGTTTGACGATGCCTTGGCCCTCCAGGATCTGCTGAGAGAGATAACCGTTCTGGAGATACGTTCAATTCTCTGGTATTGTCAAGACCCCGATATGTTAAACATTGATCCTCTGCTTAGCTCACAACCGCCTGCATCTGATCGCATCCGCGGCGGGTCTGTACATTAGTACTCTGTGGAAACCGCCAGCACCTGTCGTCAAGCCCACAAAAAAAGCGGAATCGAAAGCGACACGAATGTAAACGCGCGACGACGAAGAGCACGAGAGCCGACTCTGACTGACCCTCCCCTTCCCCGATCCAAAGCTCCTGCTGCCGACGTCGATACTCCTGTTGCCGTCATGACAAAAGTTCACTGGTTGACTTTGGAGGCTACACCACCCGGTACCGGCTCTTCCGCAACCTGTTCATGCTCAACTTCCAAATCCTTTCGCTCAAGATCGGGCAGCGCATAATCTTTGCTAACACCCGCGCCGGTACTTTAGCCGCCGCCGCCACTGCTGCTGCTGCTGCTGCTGCTGCTGCTGCTGCCTCATCTGGTATCGAACTTCAACTGGGACAGCCTATGCAGCACCCCAACGAGCTGCTTACCCTGCTTACCCTGCGATGTCTGGGGGAGTGTTACCTTGCGTGCAGAGGACGTGCCTGGAATGATCGCCGCCAATAATTTCAAGTTCTTGACGAATACAGAAGGTTTCCAGACAGTCTCTTTTCTCCCCTTCAGCATGAACACGAAGTGGAAGAAGACGAGGGCGAGGAGGAACAACAAACCAGTCCTGAAGACAATGTCCGCCACTGATGATGATCACGGCGTTGACAAGGATGAAGAGGAAAAGGAAGAAGACGGAATGGAATGGAAGGGCGAGACATTTTGGCCAAGATCTCGACCAGCGTTGCTTTCAGTTTTCAGTTCCACATCATTTTTCGATAACGTGTCATGAAAAAGAAAAAAGAAAAAAGAAAGAGAAAATACAATCTTGTTAGTTTTTCTAAATGGGATGTTGTTTTAATGAATGGTCGCGTTTTGCCTTTAGTTGTCGTTGAATCCAGACATATCCAGTCGAAGTAACAACCGTTGCAAGAATCCGTTGTTGCCACCGGCGCCATTAGACAAAGTATCTGCGCTGCCACCACCTTCCTGTTGCTGCCGCCGCTTCTTCGCAGAAGCATTAGCACCAGCAGCACCACCGCTGCTCTCCATATTCACCCCACGCTCATCCAAGACCTTAAGAACCTTGACCAACAACCGACACGATCCCCGAAACTTGTCCTGCAGACTCTTTAGCTTCTCCACCCGGACCCTTTGTCGATCCAGAACATCCTCTAACATCCTCTCAATGTCCATACCATCATCACCACCTTCTCCAGATACCAAAGACGCCAGATCAGCAGGGTCGGACGAAGGGAGCCGGCTGACCATCTGGAAGAACCGGAGTAGACAGTTCAAGATCCCATGGACAATCTTGAGGATCGGGGCCTGTTTGCGCTTCAGAAGCGACTTTAGTAGCAACTGGTCCAGAACCTCGTCGTGCTCATCTCGAAGTGACGCCAAATCTCCCAACTCGTCAAACCCACTCTCGTCCTCATCTTCGTCTTGATCTTCCTGACAGTCAACAGAGTTTGCAAGGGAGGAAGAGGAGGAGCAGGTAACGATCCGGTCCTCGACGCGACGCTGAACATCCCTCATTCGGTCCATAAACGCCTCCCACGTCTGGCCCATGGCATCATTGACAATATACCCCTGGAGTCCATCAAAGATCTGCTGAGCCTCAAACCGGAACTGGTGCAATATCCTCATTTCGACATGCAGTTGTGTCTGTGCCTGCTGGATCTTCGGTGAGGTGTTTGAATGGAGTAAAGACGGCATGGCGGCGATGAGTTTTTGGCGTGACCTGAGGTGTCGATAGACCTGCTTCATGGCCGCGCCGACTCTGGCGAGACGCAGCTGGAAGTTGAACAGGCGAGTGTACTTTTTGAACGCCGAGGGTGTAAAGATCAAGAGTCGAAGGGGCCTGGGCGCCTTGTAGTCAAGATATAAAAAATCAAGTGACTCCAGCGCTAAATCAAAAGAAAATTAAAAAGGCGCAGTTGTCAGGGTACACAGGATACAATCTAATTGGCACGTCAAGAAGCAACATTATGGAATGCAGAAACAACAAGATATACCATTTGCATCGCGGCAGATCGTACTCTCATCCTCGTACCCCTTGACCGCAAATGCCAACGTTTCCTCGAGTTCCTCTGCGCCAATCTTCCTCTTCTTACTCAACAACCGACCCTTCTGTGAGCCACGCACATACGACCGAGACACCTCACCATCCTCAACTTCCATATCTGACAAATCCGAGTCCACGACCGCCTGCGAACTCTCAAACTCATCAGGACCATCAGCCTGGAAACAATCAAGAAGAACAGCCCTCAGCGTCATCTCCACCTCTCCACTCCTGGGCGGCCATGTCAGACGTGCCGTTCTCCAAGTCGAGGTGTTGGACGACGTAGACGCAACAGATCCACGTCGATCAAGCCTAGTTCCCGAGCCCGGTCTGGCCGATGCATCTGCTATTTCGTTGGCAGCAGCCTCATTAGCAGCTTCCGCACAACGTATCAAAAGTCCTGTTTCGTCCTCAAACAACGCCTCGCCCAGTCTCGCCACAAACTGCCCATCTCTCATCAACATGAACCGCTCCATGATCTCGAGGTGGCCCAGAAGGTTGAGGTCGTGGAAATAGAGGGACATGACACATGTGTTGATCAGGGATGCGCGGGCACGGATTGTGTAGCAAAGACTTTGCTCCGCCAGGACAGTCAATGGCGCCAATCCTTCAAGTCGAATCTGCCTACGTTCTGCTGTCCCTGAAGGTGGTGACCCGTTCGCAGCTATTGGCGTAGTTGGCTCCAGCAGAAACGACATCATGTCTGGACAGGCTAAAGTCACATCTTTGGTTTGACCGAGCGTAGACGAAAAAGAAAAGAACCCTAACAGGTCAGGGTCCAGTCCTAGTCCCAAAGGTTTACTACTTGGCTCCATACTCGATCCTTGTCGAGGTGGTTGTTGAAAGGGTGGTTGTTGAAAGGGTGGTTGTTGAAAGGGCGGTTGATCCAGGTCCATGATTAGTTCTGCATCTTGCGTGGATCCCGATTCAAGAATGCTGTCATTTACGTTTTGTTTCCCAACTCGCTTGCTTTGGGCTGTCTTCTTGGATATCCAGCCCATGTTTTGTAGCCTCGTCCCAACTGCATCCAAGACCTCTGCGCGTGCTTTGGCGCACTCCTTCCTGTGTCTACGCAATAAAAGTAAGTCGATACCGTTGTTAATGCGTCTCCCAAAAACAAAGTGTAGCACTGCCATAAAACACAAGGTAAACTTACTTGGCAAGATCGCCTTGGACATAAAACCACTTAAGCCAGGTACTCGTCATGGAGGAGTTCCGATCATGAGCAATCAAAGGATGCCGCGGCTCAAACTCAACCAAAATCTGAAGCTCCTTCCCTGCCTCCATGACGCGCTCTGCCAACCGGTCACCAAGAAATCGAGCTGGCGACACAGTGTCGCTCATCTTGAACTCGCCATTGTACTCCAGAGGATCTGCCAGAACAATCAACTCGGACCCGTCCCAAGACCATCCATGCCTGCTATGAACGAAGAACTCTCCAAACGGGTCCAGCCCTTGGAGAGATTGTTGTAGATGAGAGTCAAAGATCGAAAATAGTTCCTCGCTCCCGCCCGTGGTGCCTCCTTGCTTGTTGGTGTTGCTGGCAGTGTATCCAGTAAGGTCAAAGATATCTGGCCCTAAAGGTAATCTCCTTGCGGCTGACAGGCTAGAGAGGCTTGAGAGTTGGTTCCTGTCTTGTTCGCCGTGTGTTGATGGCGTAATGCCCATCCATCGACTGAGAATATCGCGGTATGGTTTGCTAGCCTGGTCCAGCATGCTGAGTAGAAGCGCCACCCACAAGGCATCGCTAGGGCTTGGCTGCACCAGTATTTCGCTGTAGATCATTGACAGAAGGCCCGATCCAGGTGGCAAATAGAATCCAGCCCTATTACTACTCTCCTGCAATACATGCTACATATATAATTTTGGCCACAAAAACTATTAGTCTTGTTGTAAAGATATGAAAGCAACGTATGATGATGGCCTCTGAGCTTGCGAAATACTTACACATTGACACAGGCGGGCGAGCCGAGATAGCATCTCTTCCAGATCATGGGTCTTGTGGTGCAATTCCAGGAGGTGGATCTGTTTGTTCCTACAAGATTCCTGAAGTGATACGACTGTTCCTTGCAAGAATGTCAGATACGACGACAGTGAGCGACCGAATGCGATGCGGATCAAGCCCATGCCTCTAGGGGCGGCACCAAAGTGTATTAGCGCGACGTATCAGGATATTATGTTACAGTTGCTGGTCAAAAAAACAAAAACTTACTCTGGGTGATTGATGCAGGTATCTGCGACAGCAACCAGGCGTCTCATATGTGTTCCTGCGCTGATCATGGTTTCCAGTAACCTATCAACACGTAAAACAAGGGCCGGTGAGAAAAATACTAAACCTCATTTGATTCACACAAGAGGGCAGTCTGCAACGTCTCAGCCGTTACCTTGACATGCTTGTAGTGCTACATCCCTCGATCCTGATGCTTTCTGTATCCATTTCAAATCGCCTCCTAGCAGCGCTGTAAGTGAATATCGTCGAAGATGTTCCTCCTAGTAGCAGGAATATACACTGGAGGGTAAGCACAGGTTAGTACATCCAAATTGGAACGAATCACTTGAAGTACATAGGGAAGAACGAGAGCTCTTACCTCAATCAACCTTTTGTAGGGCACGACTATCGGAGAAGGTCGAAACTTGAACGCATAGTCCATGTACCTAGTAAAATTGCGTCAGCAAGAGCAAAAGTCAATACATTGTGCTGCTATGTCTCCTGAAAACGAAATCCCAACTATTATCTGTCCAGACTGTCGTCGTTACCTCTGATAGACAGACTCAAAGGTAGTGGTGCCTGCTTCTGTTACGTATGGCGACATGACAAGGTGATTAGACACGGTCCTGAGTCCTGACCTGGAGCACGTCTCCCAACTCAGTTGCTCATGAATCCTGGCGCCACGTCCACCATCCGCCGCCCCTGTAAGATCAGTCTGAACAGGCTTCCCGGCTGCGCGCCAAGTCTTCGCTCGATCCTCCGTGATATCAAATCCGATCTTCGAAGGCTGCGTCTTTGCGATCTTTTCCGCCCTGCCGTCCGGTGCCGTCGGTTGCTGGTGGTGTTTGTTGGCGGTAGCTGCGACTGGAATCTGATCGCGAAGTACACAGTCGTCCAGAATATTCCGCGGCCGTTTCGACAGCACCGGTAGATCAAAGGAAAGGCTCAGTGTCTCCTTGTTAACTGAGGGGGAGGATGTCGGATCTGTGGGAAGAGTAAGCGAGCCAACAGTAGACTCTGTAAACGAATCCACCTCAGGAACTTCTCCTTGACCTGATGGAACTAGGAACGGGATGGACCCTTGAACGTCAAACGCGGCGGCGCCAGGGGTATGAAACGAGTCAAAGATGTTGGGTCGGTCAATCTCTAGAACACGCTGATCCAGGTCCTGCTCCCAAGCAACATCCCATGACTGGGTTGTTCCCATCCGGCTCCGATTGCTCTTCTGCCGTTCTCCTACTCCTCCACCTGCATGGTTCTCTGGTGCATCGGCATCCTGGGGGTTGAATTTGACGGCAAGAGACCTGAGTCTGTCCAGCGAGCTTGAGGTGGATACCGAGGGCGATTTAGTGGACGACGTAGTTGGTGGAGTGGCCTTGGGTATAACAAAGGTCTTGAGGGACACTCCGTCGCCCACAGACTCGAAGAGTTCTGGGTCCAGCTGCAGGGGTGCATACTCATCGCGCGGAATGAAGAGTAGTGATGCCGGATCCAGATCCTGCATCCTTGACAAAGTGGGTGTCGTGTGAGTGTTGAATGGATGAGCAGGGTGTCCTGTGAAGCGTAGAGAGATGTCTGTGGAGATGGAGAAGAAAAAGAAAGTGCCTTCAACGCGTCCCTCTTTTGGAGAGATATGTGTGGCTTGTGGTCAATTCGCCCAAAAGAAAGAGTTCATTTTTCTCTTTTGTGATGTCTATTTCATGCCGCAGGACATGGATCTTTTTATTTTTTTGTTTGGACGTTCAAAATATACATAAGGGTCTTAACCGTGTCTCTTGTCCAAGAACTCCTGCATGTCCTCGGGAAGATCGAACAACGCGCACTTCTCCTGGAATGCCTTCAATGAGCGGCCACGCACAATATCTTCAACTACACTTTCGTTCGAGATAATTTGGCGCTATTTTGTGGTAGTAAAAGAAAAATTGCGTGTTAGTTGTGAAGTACACATAGTGCCAAGACTGGTCTCCGAACTGCAATCCAGCTGATTCTGAGGAAGCAGATTAGATCCTTGCCTTAGACTCGTCGGTCATAATGCTGTCCTTCAGGGTGTAGTCATCAGGATCCTGGTAGAGCTTCTCCTTCTTGACAGCAATGTTCTTATCCATGGTCTATTGGTCGATTTGGGCCAACAATGAGATATGTTAGTTGAAGGTACAAAGCGTATGCCAATTGACCGCGTTTGTTCCTGCTTCCTAACCACGAAGTAGCAGTAGCACTCCTGCAGATCAATATCCCTTAGAATCCCCTTGACATGTACCTCCAGGCAGAACTTGATGCTCGCATCACGCTTCTGGTAGGCAGCGACCAACTCGTTGAAAAAGTTGGCGCAAGCAGCCTCGGCGTGAGTATTGGTCTCGTTGAGGCGGAGCATAATGTTATCATCCAAAACTCGGAATGACTTCATAGTCGCTACGGAAGATTGAAGAGCAATTGGAGAAGAGGGTTAGTGAAAAATAAAGGGTGGGCTCGCCTTGGATACGCATCGAGATGAAAGAAGGCCTAGGAGCGCCAATTCCGGTTTCCAGTAGCGACTCCTAAGGTGTGAAGGCCCTGAAAGTATCTTGAGCACATCCTCGGAAACAGTCCTCCTCCTGCTCCTGAGATAGAAAAAAAAAGGTCGGCGTTTGTAGGCTGTGCCTGTTGTTGTCGTGCGCAGTGGAGTCAATTCACTCTCCTTGGAATGTGAATGGTGTCTGGTTGTTGATTTACCTCTGAACTTTGAGAGGTTGTAGCATGTAGTCTCTGCGATGGCGGGCATGGTTCTATGTTTGAAGGTGAGTAAGAGAGGAGGAAAGAGTGGAGAGTGTCTCTCCCGTTTCCCGGCTTACCCAAATCAAGTCCAGTATCAACTGTGGCTTAAGCAACTATTTACACACACCCATTCTTACAGCATACGTTTCTCGCACTCTTCTTCCTCTCTGTCCACTCTCCTCACCTCTCTCTCTCAGGAACAAGGCACCCTCGCATACAGCGCCAAGACACTCACGCCGGATTTTTTTGACACCATGGCCGAACCTACGACCTCCCCCTGGGGACTCTACGCCCTGATGGTCTTCTGCATCATAATGGCCATCTCTGGCTTCGTCTGGTGCTTTTGCTGTGGCACATGGTAACCAAAGAATCATTCACACACTGACCCTTTTCTGCCCTCACTCAAGAATTGAACACTAACGTGTGCTCCTATCCCTCTCAACAGTGTTGGTAGGGATGTGATGCGTGCAGCTGGTCTCTCAAGATTGGTGCCGCCTCAATACATGCAGCCGTCGTTCATGAACAGAGGAGGCTATCAGCGCAAGCGGAGTGGTGACGAGGAGGAGGGCTGGGAAGAAGAGATCGATATGGATGTGTTGCAGGATGAGGCGCATGATTCTTCAGTCGAGTACGATTATGACCTCTCGGACGATGACCAGAGCGATAACGAGACTGAGAACAAACTATACCCAAGGCGACCACGGTGAGAATGAGAGAGATCGCCTCCAGAAGGAATGATCACCATGCAATAAGGCGAAACCAGGCAGGTATGTACCACGCTGTCCAGCTCAGCACGTAAAACTCAGGAACTGTTGTCTGCAGCCAGGATGTCATCTCACTTAGCATCATCACAAGACAGCCGTCAGGGGCCGTCGGCGTTGTCGTTTGCACATCATTGTAGACAGGTGTGCCAATGGCGAAGCGGAAGGAATAAACACCCTTTTGTTGTTGTGAAAATGCGACAAAGTTCGCATACCCATTCATACTTGTAATTTGGTAATGCGTAATATATTTGTTATTCTTTGCTATCGTACATATTCTGGTATTCTTCGTACACAATCCTGGTCTCCTCTCCCATGCGCGCCATATTGATCTAAGAGCAATCATCGACAAGACTGTTCCAGTTGATGGGTGTTTGACCATTCTCCTCCAGATACTTGTTGGCTTTGGAGAAATGCTGGCTGTCAAAGAATCCACGATGGGCGCTCAATGGTGAAGGGTGAACGCTCTGCAACACCAAATGCTTTTTCTTGTCGACAAGTGTGCCCCGGTTCTGTGCATCTTTACCCCACAACAAAAACACGACGTTCCTGCGCTGATCGCTGATTGTCTTGATAACCGCATCCAACAACTTTTCCCATCCTTTGCCCTTGTGTGAATTGGCGGCGTGGGCACGGACAGTCATGGCCGCGTTGACCATCAAGACTCCTTGGCGAGCCCAGGACTCGAGGTACCCGTGGTTGGGGGTGACGAATCCAGGGTAATCGGTCTCGAGCAGCTTGAACATGTTTTTGAGCGAGGGTGGGGGGCGCACGGGTTTCTTGACACTGAAGCACAACCCGTGAGCCTGGTTATCGTCGTGGTAAGGATCTAAGTGCGTGCGCATTCGAGGAAAGGAAGGGTGTGTGAATAAACGCGATTTCTCCTTGGTCCTGTCGACTACTACAAGTATCACAAAAATGAGCGTTTGCACTAACCTTGTCCAAGGATGACAACGCGAACGCTTGGCAGAGGAGTGAATCTCGACCAGCTGTAGATGTCGCTCTTTGGTGGGAAGACCTGCTGCTTGTTTTCGTCCTCTTGCTTCAAAAACTTCTTGAGCTATGAGAATACAGAGAAACAAAAGAATAACGTTGTAAGTACAGACCCGGGGTAGAAACTCTAACGTCTACAATAGCAAAGTAACACGTCTGAAGAGATATACCTCGATAAAGTAGGACTTGGTGAACTCGGACTGAAGGGCCCTGAGCCAGGTTGCGTCGATGGTGTCCTGTTCAAGACTGAGCAACTCGCGTTTTTCATCCGAGAGTCCCTTGAGGATATCGGGCTTGGCCTTCAGGACGAGGGGCGCAGAGGCTGGGGTCTCGTCACCGTTAGCGGTTCCTGTTGCTGTTGGGTCGGTGGCAGCAACGGCCTTTGGTTTTGCCCAGGAGAGCAAGGACTGTTGCTTGGGTGCAGAGGAGGCAGAGAAGGTGGTCTTCTTGGTGGAACCGCCCTTTGTGGCGGGTGAATCAGAAGGTCGTTTGTTCATTGGGGCTTGTCTTTTTTGAGGTGGATGGTTGGAGGTGGAAGCAAGGGATGGTGAGCAAAGAGAAAAGCAAAAGTGAAAAAGAGGGCAGGGTCTCAAGATAAAAACACACACACAACGGTGGCAAAAATCAAGTCACGATTAATTGATTTCGTCAATCGAAGATGACCCAGGAACACAGAAACAGATACTGATACACACCCGATAGCCTCCTGGTGACTGGTTGAACCCAGCCCAAGCGAACCCGCGCCTCCGAGCTCCTCATACGCGGACGCGTTTGATTCTAGGCATCCACCTCTCCGCTTTGTCTTCGTATCCATCGTCACCCTTAAGGAACAACTATTGATGTCGTCACGACCATCGATGTATTGTACTCCCACGCTCAATTGCCTCTTCCCTCTCCTCTCCCCAATACAATACTGCCTACTCAGACAACACCTACTACTCTGCAATGGTCGAGACGAGTGACCACCAAGCGTTCCAGCTGCACCCAACCCACGGCTCGCCACCTCAAGGACCTGTTGTGAATATCGAAGTCTGCACCGATGTCTCCACAGGTGAAAAGTTCATCTTTTGGGAAGACATCGAGACATTCTTCCCTAGACTACAAAGCATTCGCCGTGACAATATCATGATCACTTTCATGAGGGACAACCATGGACACCGGTAAAAATCCTCAAGGGGTCTTCTGTACTCGTCAATGGGTTGTACTAGGCAAGTTTTAATAATACACCGGTGCCTCTCTTTGTCTTCGAAACAAATAGGTACAATCCCGTCAGGATCAAGCATTACCCTGGGGTAACTCTAAGCGTCACTGTCTCAAACAACAACACAACCATTCGTGATGACGACAGCACGAGCAACTCTCAACCACCTAGCTATATTTCAACACTTCCGGATTTCTCTGCTCCAACCGCCGCTGCCGTTACTGGACATACGCCAAGAGCACCTCAGCTGTGGGAAATCGACACTCCTACGCACCAAATGGAAGAGCTGGTCAGATGATGTCCCCAGGAACTTTCATCTCCCTCCAACCCCTCTGAGCAGTCAAGTCCATGGCAGCCTGCTGCACCCAACGACTCACAACGGGAATATCTATCGCCCTCCATTGCATCGCTTGCCACCTCAAAGCTGCCAACACGGAACGTCTCGACAGGACGGTCAGGACCACATATACTGCTCACCTCGTCAACCTCAACCGATATCCCACCACTTTTCATTGTACTACCTGACCCTTTGAGGGAGCGACCGTCTGAGAGGAAATTTCGACTGTTCTTCCTCTGCGAAGGTGGAAGCCAGACTCAATTCCGACGACTTTGCAACAACACGGATGAGGTCGTTCCTGGACATCCTCACGTCTGCGGTCATGAAGGGTATCAACTAGAGCGACTTGACGACTTTTCTCGGCAGTATGGATCCTACGCGCTGAATGTGCTAGAGAGTATCAAGTATGGATATCCACTCCGTGACCAGGTGATCTCTTCGCCCAAGGATATTGAGCCCCTTAGGATCTTGCGCGAGGGTCGAGATGGTATAGAATACCACAGGATGAACTGTGGAGACATTGCAGCCGGGGTCGATGAGGACATCAAGTACCTTCGACCGGGTCGCACAAGTAGCCGCGAGGCCTTCAAGAGACGAGCTGCAGCAGGAGGAATGAGGTCAATGACGACAGAGGATCTCAGCGGCGTGCGATTATTTCTAAAAGATGTCAGGGAGTTTGAGACCATCTCTCCAGACGGCAGTGGGGGACTTGGGTACTTGACAAAGGGAGCAACACCGACGGGACAGACGACATGGCTCTGCTACACCCTCCACCAAGCCATATACGACACCAACGCCTTGGTGATGGTCAAGAGAGCCATTGCTGGAAGTTTCGATTACGACGAGGGCATCCTGAAGCTGATCACATTCTCGGGACCACATACAGGAGCGACTTTGACAGGATTGCTCAGAGCGCTCTCAAGCACGAGCCTGGTGACGGAGCTGGACCTCGAGTTGGACCAGGAGTTGACTTATAAGAATCTCAAGCAGCTGAAGGACACCATCTTTGGCATGAAGCGCTTGCGTAGGTTAAATCTCAACCTTGCCAATCGCGGTGGACCGATCTCCGATATTTTCAACCTTGGCAAGCGAGGGGACGCTTTGGCCGAGATCCTTACCTCCGGCACCTTACAAGCTGTCTCCTTCCGTCAGGTCGAGTGGTTCTTCACAAAGTCGAGCACGTTTGCAGCACTAGAGAGGATCAACCTCTCCGAGATTCATCTGGAAGCCAACTTTGAGCCCAAGACCCACACCCAAAAGCTGAAGAATCTCCTTCACAGGTGTTCCAAACTAGAGGTTCTCGAACTCTGGTGTTCTGATGGTCACTTTGGCGACACCATTGACATAGTGAAGAGCATCTTTCAAGGCCAGGATACGTTTAGATTCCTCTATCTCAACAGTCCTCACTTCAAGGCAGCCTTCGATAGAGTCTACATTGACCCCCAGGTCAGTGCCCTTCCTCCTCGAATCAAGTTCCCTGCCAACTCCTCGCGAAGCGCTGAGATGAGAGTCCTGCATCGGTTCGGGTCCTTGATCCATACGTTTGCCATTGACGATACGACCACGGACGAGGAGATTGTCATTTTGCGGGACTGTATTCAGCAACAAGGTAGCAAGCTCGGTAGAGTCGACATTGTCATATCTCCTTCGACCAGCCGGCTCACAAATATCGACGTCCTACAATCTGCCATCCTCACCATCAACAATCCCGCTGCTGCCAACCGGACTGGCTCCCCTGATAAGCAATTGGATCGCTCGGCTGGTACATCGACCAACTCGGGAGTCGCATGCTCAGTCGCCTTCAAGTCCTCCGATATCCTGACTGACAAACGGGCGCATTTTGTCGGAGCAGTTTTCCCTTGCCTCATTTCCCTAGAACTGGAGATGTCGGACAGCTCAACCCCTTACCCCTACGGAATAGGCCAAGAACTTTCTGCTCTCAAAACCTACACTTCTCGCGGTACTGAGCGCGTCCTCAGCAGTCCCAAGGCCCAGGAACTCACCCAAATTGTCTCTCAGAGTCCTTTATTGACATCCCTCAGCTTGAGGTACACGCATCTCGACTCCAAGGACTGGGAGGTTGTTCTGGAGACTCTGGACTACCGAAGACTCGAGTTATTGAATTTGAATTTCACCAACTTTTCAGACGTACAGGCAATAATCTTAGTGGATCGACTGGAGGAATCATCGTCGTTGCCAGTTCTGGGTGAGATTCGGATACAGTTCGTTCCGATGGGCCGCGTTGCGCGACACGCGTTCAAGAAGCGAATGGAGTTGATACTGCCCAATTGCAGGGTGAACATGCAGTCATGAAACCCCTATTCTAATTCGCCCGTCTAGGCTGAAGGTGTGAATAAAAATAATGTTGTTATCTCCGTGTGCGCCTCGTCTCTTTTCATTCATGCGCGTTGCGCCCGTTGCCGCTGAATAAAGAGGAGGCTTGGCGGGTGATTAACAAAGCCCCCTTTCTTTTTCGGACATTTTTTTATCTCCTATCCATCCTTAGTTGTTTCTTCTTTCACTCCTTCCTTTCTCACGCTATTCTTTCACACTTCACACTTCACCTGCACCTTTTCTTTTCCCTCTTTCTCCTTTTCCCTCCCAAAATATATCATCAGTTGAAATGTCAACCCTCGTCAAAGGCAGCAGATCGATTATCAAGTCCGTCCTCTCCAGACCCAGGATGGACGGTGTCGGCGCACTTGTTTATCGCTCTATCGGCGACACCGAGCTCCGCAACCACGACCCCTTCCTCCTCCTCGACGAATTCAATGTCGACAAGGACGGCGGATTCCCAGATCACCCCCACCGTGGCTTCGAGACCGTGACCTACATGCTCGAGGGTCAGTTTCAGCACGAGGATTTTGCCGGACACAAGGGTACCATCGGACCTGGCGATCTGCAATGGATGACGGCTGGTCGCGGTATTGTCCACACCGAGATGCCAGTCAAGACCCAAGCCCCCGCCCATGGACTCCAGCTTTGGATCAACTTGCCTAAAGAGCACAAAATGTGTGAACCCCAGTACCAGGAACTTTTGGATGGTCAAGTCCCCCGAGCGAACCCACAGGAGGGTGTGGTCATCAAGGTCATTGCTGGCGAATCCCACGGTGTGTCGAGCAAAGTCTACACGCGTACACCAACAATGTACCTGGATTTCAAGATGGCACCCCACAAGACTGTCGAGCAGGCGATCCCGTCGAGTTACAACGGGTTTATCTATGGACTGAAGGGCACGATCTTTGTGGGTGAGGAGGGTGTCGAGGGTAAACCCCATCAGACGTTGGTCCTTTCGGAGGATGGAACAGAGACGATCAAGATTTCGACCAAGGATGAGGAGGCGCACTTTGTGGTGATCGCGGGTCAGCCTCTGAAAGAGCCCCTTGCCCAGCGCGGGTTGTTTGTGATGAACACGCAGGAGGAGATTGTTGAGGCCATGGTTGATTTCCAGCGAGGCCAGCATGGATTCGAGCGCGCCAAGGGCTGGCACTCCACTATTGCGTAGTTTCCTTCTTTTTTTCGGCTGCTCCCTCCTTGTTACTACTATGTTCTTGTTAATATCTTAAAGTGCGCCTGTAATACGCTGTAAGCTGTAAGCGGACTGTTCCGCCACCAATTTTTTCCATTTCTGATCATCGAATGTGACTGTTCGGTCGCTGCTTCCGAACAGGGGATCGCATAAAGAAAACACTCCTCAGGACCATGACGATTTTGTGTCCTTCTTCTTTCTCGACTCTTCCTTAACATCACCTTTTCCTTCCGAAAATCACCAACACTACTCCTTTCAGGCAACAACCCAGTGCTGTCAACTTACCTTAGTACGAGCGATCTCACACCAGCATTCATCACCCGCTGTTGCTCGGATTCGACATTACGACAACTTTCTAAACCATGGGCGGATTCTGGACCTCACGATCCCCCACCTCGTCCTCATCGACAACAACAACAACCCAGGACGACACGGACTCAGTCTCTGTCAGGCCAGCACCAGCACCAGCAACTGCGCTCTCGACACCTTTCCCAACTCAATTCGCTGTCAACGTTCCAGATAGCACAGGAAAAACAAAAGCACCAGAAAGAGGAGGGGACGCCGCCAGTCATGAGCATTCACCTAGGCTGGAACCAAGTCCGCTCCCACATATCCCCTTCGTCCCCGACGCCGATCAAAACCCGGATCTGAAGTACTTCAGCCGATTCAGGGCTGACCCAAGCAGCATCTTGCTGCAGTACCCTCGTTCGAACGTGGATCATATCCATGACTTTTATGAGATCTATAACCCGTCTGAGAAGGGACTCTGGGCCTTTGGAAGGTATGTTACCCCACCTTTTGGTTACAAGGCATGGCAAGAGCAATTGATCATGGAATACTTACGGCCTTGTTTATTCTTCTGGATGGACTGTTTACCATTTTTTCAACTGTTCAACAGCAAGGCGATAATGGGCGGAGTTGCGGCAGTGAGCAAGATCTTTATGACGTTCGGCTCCTACACAAGTGTCTACAATATGAACCCATTCCTCAAGATCCTCTATGACACCGACCGTACCCGGCCCCTTCTTACTGGTAAGAAGAACAAGGGGAATACGAGTGTAAGGAATGGGTTGTGGAACGGAAAGGGAGAACGATTGCTCATTGGCTCACCAAAAATATAATTTTCCTTTCCTTCTTTCGGTGTTTAGTAACAAACCATACCTCAACGTGAGTTTCAGCATTGGATCGCAGACGGCCAACGTGGGGATCAGGAAATTGGCTAGTATGAAAGGCTGACAAAGGACTAACAGGACATTCCTTTTCATCGTTTTGTTTTTTTTTGCTTTCAATTGGAACGTTAGTGCTGACGATCCATTGCTCTGGGGCGCCTTGCCATGGAAGGCTTATAATACACCTACCAGGACTATCCGCTATGCACTGGGCGCACAGGAGCTCTGCTACCCCAACGCGTAAGTTCCTGTTGCGGAGGCGCAGTTCGATATTCATACCTTGTATACAAAGTGCAAGACACTAACGCCTCATTCTTTTCGTTGATGACATATAGACCTGTGGGTCACTTTTTCCGATGTGGACAGATTGTGCCTATTATCCGAGGAAACGGGATTTACCAACCGGCCATTGACAAATCGATCAATCTGCTCAGGACTGGACGCTGGGTCCACATCTTCCCCGAAGGCAAGATCAACCAAACGGACCAGTTGATTCGGCTCAAATGGGGCGTTGGGCGGATATTGATGGAATACGGTGGACCCACCATTGCCGAAGGAGGCAAGCCAATTAACGAGGTCGAGATGCCAATCGTTATTCCAATTTATCACTTGGGTATGGAGGATATCCTGCGACTGTACCCCAACAACGATTCGCCAATCTTTCCAAAACTGGGTATGCCCCTGACGATCGTCTTTGGAGAGCCGATCGAGTTTCGGTCGCTGATGCAGGAGTACAAGGAGGGCAGAATTGGCGAGGTTGAGGCACGTGTCAAGATGACCGAGAGGGTGTTTGAGGCGATGGAGGAGCTCAAGTTGGTCGCGTTGCGGTTACATAAGGAACAGGAGGCGCGTATTGAGCAGGATAGGATTACCAAAGGCAGGTGGTGGTGGGTCAAGCCCGTCGGATGGGGATGGTAAGCACAGACCTGCCACATTGATTTGTATGGGGTTGAATGTGTTCAAATGACGTGATTACTTACTCTTTTACTTGCGTGCCTTTTTTTCGTGTTTGTGCAGGTGGATTTCCCCAGACGTAGAATTGTCAACCAGCCATAGAGACACCAATGTCAGGATCGAGGAACTATAGACATCACAACACTACACATCAACACCCCCAGCATGGAGACACACGTCCTCTCCCTCCCTCCAACACCCCCCACTTATCACAGCATTTATTATTCATCTCTGATAATAATCTTCATCCACAATATTTATTCTTCAAAACTCTTTCGCTGACGAGATCTTGACTTTGTGTTTTGCTATTCAATTTTATCAACGGGATTCAGAGGGTATGGTAGCACGAGGCTGGAAACTGAAGGGAACCCTGGGGTCGGATAGATGGAGTTACAAATGAGGTGCCACTTTGAATTGTTGCATAAAAGAAATGGGAGAAAGAAGGGAGGAAAAGTACCAAAGGATGGGTATGATCCAGCATTACAGCAGCAAGAAATGAAGATAAAAAAAACTTTACTCGTATTATCCTATGTACAAGATGTCAACCCAAGGTGTGGAAGACAGACAGACCAATTAGAGACTCATGCTTCTCAACCGGACAGAGTCCGTGACACCCATACCCCATGCCTTGGGATCCAACTTGAACGCCTGCAAGGGGTCTGACTCCTTCTTCTTGCCACCAGGTGCATGGAATCCTCGGAAAGTATATCCAGCAAAGGCCAACTTCTTCCTCATATCTAGCAATCTCCTGCCCTCGTTCTTGTTGCCCAACAATGGGTCCCGGATGACTCGCTCCTCGCCCTCTGGTGCGGCCATCGGGTTATCATCAACCATCTCGTCAAAGTATCTCGTGTCTGCGGGGTCCTTCAATGCAGGCTGGAACGGTGGATTTTGCGAACGAAGACTGGCCCAGTCGATGCCTCGGAACCAAGGATGGTTCTTGATCTCGGATGCGTCGCCCAATCCTTGGCTGTTCATGCTCTGGTTCAAGAGCTGTTGCTGTTGCTGCATCAGGTGGGGCGAGACGGTCGACCACCGTTTGGTCGAGTTGTGGGCGACGGGTGGCGAACGACCGAGACGGAACTCCTTTTCACAGATGAGTTTCTCGATCAGATCTTGGACCTCGCGCGAGACTTTGGGCTTGGCGGGGAAGCGGAGGGTCTGTCGCCAGTTGATGATCTTGAGACGTGTCGTATGGCGAGATTTGGAAATAAAGGGAGGATATCCGTACAGCATCTCAAACATAATGACCTAAGGAAGTAAAAAAAAAAAAGATAGAGGAATTAGTCGAGTGCTTTCCTTGGAACAAGCACTTGGTAACAAAAAAAAGGGGGGGGGGAATAAACAACTTACCCCGAGACTCCACCAGTCGCATCCGCGATCATATCCAGTGCCGCGAAGAACCTCGGGTGCCATGTAGTTGTTGGTGCCGACAACCGAGAACGCCATCTTCTTTCTGTTACGATCGCGCCAGGTCAGGATACTCTGGTTGGCTGGAGGTCGGCCTGTTGATTGCGAAAAGTCCTCGTCGTCCAGGTTCCATGCCAGGGCTGCCTTGGTGTTGCCAGGCTTCTTGCGAGGCTTGAGCGTGTCGGTGTTCTCGAGATCGATACCAGTCTTGCGCAGCAGTGCTCGTCTTTGCGATTCGTAGTAAGCCGTGTCGTGAGCCCAATGGAAGTCGGTGGCGAGACCAAAGTCTGACAGCTTGATATGGCCCTCCTTGTTGAACAAAAAGTTGTCGGGCTATGAGTGCAAGGGACAGAGATATTGGAAGAAATATTAGCACCGAGCGCTTTACATGGCGACGCAAGAACATGAAATGTCGTACAAGAAAGGGGCCTTACCTTGATGTCACGATGAATGTAGCCTAGTTTGTGCGCCTCCTCGATGCAGAGGACCATCTCGGCGACGTAAAACTTGGCAAAGTCCTCCTCAAAGATGTCTTTCTCAATCAGCAGGTTCAGCAAATCTCCTCCAGACATGTACTCCATGACCAGGTAAAGGTGGTCCGCATCCTGGAAGGAATAAATCAACTTAACAATCCACACCGCCGACTCGGATGCAGCCGTCATCAGGTCGCGCTCGGCTCGAACGTGTCCCTCTTGGCCCTTCTTGAGCATATCGGCCTTGCGCATGACCTTCATGGCAAAGTACAGACCTGTGTCCTTCTCCTGGACTAGCTTGACCACACCAAAGGCACCATGGCCAATCGTCTTCAAGATCAAGAACGAATTGACCGAAATTTTCTCACGCAGCAGGCGCATGTAATCGGTCTCGTTGGCCATCCACTCCTGCCGCATCTCTGTCTTGTGTTCCTCAGAGATACCCAAAGTCTCGAGTTGGCGCTCCAATTGAAGCCGACGGCGCGAACGTCCTGAGGGATTTGTCAACAGACGATGATAGTAGCTCTCAAAGAATATCTTTGTCGACGACGACTGCTCGACGGTCGAGAGGGAGGGGACGGCCGACCGCTCAATCTCGTCATTGCTCCAGCCTGCGCCGACAGAGACTCCCTCCGAGTCATCATTCTCTGCAATCACAAAGGTCGCATAGGAAGCATCGCGTTGGTGAGGGTTGGCCTGGGCGAGTTTGGTATGGAAGGTTGGGCCTTTGAGGGTCTCGGGCGGGGTCGCAAAGATGGACGAGTCCTCTTGTTTTACCAAATCGAACTTGAGCTGGGAGACTTTGGACGGAACTCGAAGCGAAGGGAGGGGCAAACATGAACAGGGCGCATTAGCGCGACGATATTCTTTTCCTTTTCTTTTCTTTTCAAAGTAAAAAGCAATTGAAGAGGGAGATAATGCTCACCTGGCATTTTTCCGGCACTGGGGTTCCTCATCCATTCCTTGAAGATGATTGTCGCCTCCTCTTCGGTCTCAGTATGGATGAGATGCTCAAAGTTCTTGGGCTCGGAGATCATGTTCTTGGAAATGCGTCTTTTGGCGGTCGTACTTGTGAACGAGAAGGTCTTGCCTAGAGTTGAACGTGGTGACAAAAAGTAGTGTAAGTTCATCATGGCATGGTCAGACGGTCAGATAAACACAGACAGAGCCCACACGGCGATCAACGCCCAGATTCACAGTCCGCCCACACCCTCCCTTCAGGCACCACTACCCTCATGGCCTTGTTAACATGCAATTGCATTTCACTTGCCATTCTCAAGAAGCGACATCATATGGTGAGCAAAAGTGCCAAAGTTGATTTGCGAGGGTTGCTGTTGTTGCTGCCGCGCCGAGGCGGCGCTTCTTGGAGGGGACTGTGGATATCCTGCAGCCATAGCCATCTTGACGAAGGGTGACGAGGAGGGCGAGTACGTGAGGAAGCTGGTAAGGAAAGTTGCTTGCGGCAATGATGGGTGTCGTCAGGAACAGGTCAGGCTGGGAAGAGAAAGGTGGGTGCGGGGGGTCCGAGAAGGCAATTGGAAGGAGAAAGGGGATTGGCGAAAGTCGACAAAAAGAGAGGGGAGGCGAGGCAAGGGTGCAAAAGATAGCCAGGAACGAAAATTGTCGAACAGGAGAAAATGAAAACAGGAAAAGGAAAAAAGAAGGAAAGGTCCAGGAGAAAAAAAAAGGTGATGATAAACAGACACTTCTGTCAGTCCAGCCCTGTGTTGCTGCTGCGATGCGCTGCGTTGTTGTTGTTGCTTTCTTGCTCCTCACCGCCCCCTCTCCCTTTCCATATTTTTTTGTATTGAATAGAAACTGCACCAGCCATCAGACGTGAGCGAATGACTCAAGGAGCAGATCTCAGTGGATGGGAGGGGGCACAAGAGGGGGGGTGAATCCTCGCAGCTCTGGTCAGCCATGATCACCCCATTCGCTGTTCTTCTTTTTTGTTATTGTTGTTTGTTTGTGTGTGTCAGTACCAAGTGTAGGCTACGAAAAAAAAAAAAAAAAAAATAGGGGCAAGAAAAGGAGAGGAGCGATGTCCACGCCCGTCCCTGACTACAGCAGCATGCCCACCTGCTGTTGGACGGGCCTTCTCCAGACGACTCTGTCACGGTTACGTTATGCATGTTCGACTGCTGCGAGCTAGTTCTCGGGCTTTGCTAACTCTTGCCGTCATCTCCGGGAGCGCGAGGACGTTGTCTACCCTTGCAGGTTGATCTATTAACTACAAACCAGATGACGGGAACAGGTCCTCACTCCACAAGCATACGTCTCTTTCTGTTCTCGAGACCTTATGGTCATTCAAACCAGCGAGGAGGAACCTTTCTTCATTTTATTGTTGGCAACCTGTCAGTACATTCACCATCATAAACAACCACAGACACCAACAGCGACAAGAATGCCCTTCCTTGGGATCAAACCGTTGGGGTGATGGGACGTAAGGTTCTCTTTTTGTTTGTTTTTTCAGGCACCAGCGGTAGTGATCATAGCGAGGCACCTTATTTGAAACTCCACAAATCCAGACACTCAAACAAAGGTCTCATAGAAAATGGCCGACGACGGACTCCTGCTGCGAATGTCATCATCAATGCTTTCACCTGGTGACCCGAAAAGCCCCTATCCAGCCCTCCCTCCCTCCTTCCTTGTTTGCCCCTTTACAAAACCGATCGCCCTCAAACCGCAAAGTAAAATAAAAAAGGTACTACAATAGCAGTGACAGTCATGGATCAACCGCTTAGCCCCACCAAAACGACATGCCGTTGTGAACCTGACCTTCTTTTTTTCTCTCTCTCTCTCTCCGTCTCCCTTTTCTTTGATCATTTCCCGCCATTTTTTATCCATTACTGCTCCTGTTGTTCCTTTGTCGGCTTTCTTCCCTCCTGTTCCTGTGAAAGCTGATCAATTGAGGGCTACCATGTCTTTTGTAGGATTTATCTGTTTCCTGTTTTGCTTCCATCTGCTGCCTGCCTGCCACCTGCCTCCTGAATACTTCAGTTTCCGCGCTCCAAACAAATGCAATAGGTGAATTGTAGAAGAAAAAGCTGTACCCTTTTTATTATCTACTCAATATCAAACGACACAACGACCCCATTCTCCTGTATCCTCTCATCGCCAGCATCCTCCGAGAGCAGAATCCCAGCCTGTGTACCGATATCGCGCAAGGAACGTTCTGTGATCGACTTGATATCGACCCTCCGTGAGTGAACCTTGCCGTCCTTGGGTAGGCGAATGGGCCCCCTGATGGCGAGCCCTGGGGCGGCTTGAATGGTGTCCATGAGTCGTTGGAAGGTCGCGTTCAGTTTTGTGGTGCTTTCGGATTGCAGCGTAATGGAAAAGTCGGCTTTGAGGGCTATGGTTGAGGTTGCTTCGGTGGGAGAGAGAGACTGCGGTACTGAGGCGGGAGGGTAGTCAAGAGAGGAGGAAGAATACGGGGTTGTTGTTGGTGGACCTGGACTTTGAGGGGTTCGTTGTGATGTTGAGTTGATCGTTGAGGAGTGTGATGCTGAAGTGGTTGGATGACTCAGCAGTGGATTTGGCGGACTTGTAAGTGTCATTGTGCGTGTAAGTTTAGAGTGCGTGTGTTGAAGCGAAGTGAGGTTGGTCTCCTTAGTCCTTGTCTGTCTTTTGCCTTGGGGTTCCTGGCTGCGTGGTTCCTGTGTTGCTGACGAGTGCTTGTCCTTGGGTGCGTGTGTGTGTGCGTGAGTATGTTGAAGAGTTTTGTGTCCTCTGAAACTTGGGAAAAAAGAAGGCTGGCGTGACTGCGAACACAACATCGCATCGACTTGAAGAAACGGAGATCCAAACAGAACAGGTCACCTCTCAAAGAACATAATGCGGCTTCTCAAGGACGGACCAGGCTGGATATCGGATCAATGCAACGTCAGCAGCAAAGGCTGACAAGACTGCGGCCAGATAACAACTAATAGTATCTCTTCAAAGACACATACGCCCCCGCACTCCGCTTTGCCTGACGAACGACCAATTGGTTGAACAAAGTAGAACGCATACTTCGCCTATCTTTCGGTGGCAAACCTAATTTTGCTCATTACCCCGGATACACAACTACGAACTGCTCTTTACCATAAGACCCGCTAATAAAGCTAATGCACGAGCATCTATTAACCTCCAATCCACCACTCCATAACATCTCAACAGATTCCGCTACTGCGGCTCGTTTTAATGGGAAGCCGCAGTCAATCTGTCAAAAAAATCCTAACTTTCAAACCTCAGTGTGCAAAAGAAACAGATCGATGGAGGACAAAGCAATTGAGAAATGCGAGACTGGCGCAGAAGAATAGGCCAGGGTCCCCGTCTTGCGCTTTATAAGTACTTCCCTATATTCCTCAACCTTCAAATGACCTCGTCTTTCACCCCTTCTCTTTCTTCCTCCTCATTCTCTTCTTCCTCTTCCCCTGCATCCATGCACTCCTTGTACAACTATGATTTCGAGTATGATGATCGTAATGACTCCGATCCTCATGCTGCCAAAGTCGAATACAACTACCTCTACAATCCCGACACTGAGACCTACGAGGCATACACCAACCACGACGACTTTGACGATTACTATGACAACAACGAGCCCGAGGACGACTACGATGACTACGACGACATCCGCTTCGTTCCTCCCTCGCCTCACAAGCCCAAGTCAAAGCGAAACAACAAAACCCCCAAGCCCATGACTCTCAAGAAGCAACCGTTCGAAACCAAGGTCATTCAACCTCTCCTCGAATCCCCACAACCGCCCGAGCTCCCACTTGAGATCCTCGAGTTCGTCTGCACTCATCTCAGCCAGACTACACTCCGATACGGCGTTAATCGAGTCTGCAAGAAGTGGCACGAGGTCTCCAATCGGTTCATACGTCGTGCTGGCATCTGGAAACCTGTCAATGGCGCACAGGAACTCCTTCTTCAACAATGGTCCAAGTTCGACACCCTTGAACTATGGTTCAATACGGATCCCGAGTTTATGTCAGCCTACATCGCGGGCTATATCAACCATGCCTTTTGGGAGTCATTCGCTGCAGCCATCACAGCACCAACGCCGACTGAACTGGACACCCAATCGGACAACACTAATGACAAAAAGTCGGATTCGTCTGGGCCTTCATCCTTCCTCCTCCAGACCATTCGTCATCTGGAAATGCGAGGAAAAACTATGGGCTATGGCGATGTCGCGCTAAAATTCCGAGGTCATCTCCAGTTTATTGAGTCCTTTACGATCACGACAACACAGTACTATACCTACATCCCTCTCTTCACTATCCTCAAAGATTTTCCCTCTCTCAGGAGTTTCACCGTCGACCTTCCATACACAACTTACGCTCAGGTGAAGCACGGCGACGATGACGACCTTATCGGCGACCAACCTGAACCAGCTATCAACCCAGAGACCGCCCACTTCCCGCGCAAGCCATGGGTCATTCCTCCCCCCAAGGTGTTCCCGGACCGGTATCGACTGCAGCGGTTTAGTGTCTCCGGTGTCGGCACCCATCTACGAGTCCTGGAGCGGCTGCTTGTCACCTGCCCTGACCTGCGCGTGTTCAATGCTAATAACAATATTGTCAACATGCACATTCGCCAGCTAAGCGTAGACGCCGAACGCAATGCTCGACATCGGTTGATAGATCTGGCAGCCAAGCATTGTACCTTGTTGGAATGGTTCAACTTTCATCGACTCCAACACACGCCCACAGACGAAGCGCATCTCGAAAATATCGTCCGCACATTTCCAAACCACAAGTTCCTGTCGATGACCCTAGGCGGCAACCAAGTGACGACGCTAGGCAACCCTTCCTCGCGGGATATTCTGTCGAAAATCACTGTTCTGGACATCCAGCCGTCACCGTATATGCCTCAGCAGGCCCACTTACTAAACAGGATCCTCTGTCTGACTCCCAACCTCTTGCATCTGCATGGCATTAAGGCTCATTTTTGGACAGGCTGTCTTTGGCAGCCTCCAGCACCCGTCCAGCCTGCACCCAAGCTTCTCTTCAACAATGTTCGAGACCGAAAGCGATACGAGCGCAACGCGCGACGAGAGGCGCGACAACAAGCTCTAGCTCGCTATCGGTCCACCCTTGCCACTACCACCACCAACGAGAGCGAGATGGACGTGAACAACACCCTTGCCGGCGATCCTTCTACTCCTGTCACCTGGCAAGTCTACAACCTCAAAACACTGGAATTGAGCCTCACTGGCGGAAGTACCATGGTCGACTTTACCGACTACGTCTCTCGGCACCGGCTCTTCCGCAACCTCGTCACTCTCAACCTTCTCATTCCTTCGCTCAAGGTCGGACAGCGCGTCAACTTCGCCGACCCCAAGAGATCTGCAGCCATTACTGCTACTTCCTCTGCCACCACAACTCCAGCTCCTGTTGTCGCTCATCCACCCGAGCCAGAGCGGTACCCGAACGAGTTGCTTGCCTTACGCTCGCTGCGGTGTCTTGAGGAGTGTATCCTGCGTACAATGGAAGTTCCTGGTATGGTCCTCGCCAAGGATTTTGAGTTCCTGCGAAGGAAGGAGGACTTTCAGACTATGTCCTTTATCCCCAAGAGAAGAAAATCCACCACCGCCAAGTCCTTCACCGCGACCGATCCTATTTTCACCGAGCAGTCTTCATCCGCCTCTCGCAAGAACAAGAAGCGTTCGTCATCGGTCGCAGGCGGCAACGAGAAGGAGATCCTTAACGAAGATGATGAGTATGAGGATGACAATGAAGACGACGAGGGTGAGGAACAGGAGCAGGAGCGACTGAAGACGGAGACGTTCTGGCCAAAGCTGAACACCTTCTACGTTTATTCTCATAAGATCCCGCCTTATATTTGGACCTCCAAGCTGATCGAGGGGATCGAGCAGGCCAGGCCTGGTGTTGCTGTTCGTTTCCAGTACCGTGACATTCTTTTGTAGACTGGCCAAGTAAATAAAGGAGATGGGCATTGGAGTAATGTAGAGTAAATGAGAATGCGAAGAATTGGCGAAAGTGAGTGCGACTTCAATTTTTTTTTTTCCTAGTTCAAAGTGCAAGTGGACTTGAGGCATGTATTGTGTGCTGCTTCGCCACTGATAAAGAAGAAATTGATGGATGATTCGTGTCTCGGGGAAGCAGCTTGATCATTGAGTGAGACTATGAAGGTTGGTGGCGTTGATTGAGAAGAGTATTCTCTCTTATTTATTGAGCTGCTACCTTTCTTATCCGTCTTTCTCTGCCTTTGCTACGCTGCCTCATCCTAGGCGACTCGAACTGAACGGTGTCAGTTTACCGGAATTCGCTTATGGTGCCCAGCAGTTTTTCTGGAGGGCGGTCAGCCGATTCGAGGAGATCGAGTATTCGGGCTTTGACCAGTCGAGACAAGGACTTAACTTGGATGTGACCTTCAGTCTATTGAAGCGCCTCATATACTTGACACTGGATGGCAACAACATGCGGAACCATGACATGAGGATGCTGAAATTATGTCGTGGTTTGACGAGACTTAGGTGGTCGAGGACCTTTGAAGACCTCCTGGTCGATGCATTTGTTCCTTATCTTGAGCAACCGGCCTGGCCACTCCTGGAGGATCTTGAGTTGGAAAGTGTGGCCCACACAGACGAGGGCTTTTCAGCGATATTCCGCCATGTGCTGCTTATGAAGCATCTCCGCCTAAATTCAACAACCTTGAACCGGTGTGCTTTGGACAACTTTGAGTGCGTCACTTTGACACCTTGTGGGCCCTGCGCATGGACATTTGCAGGCACTTTTCGAGTCGGATGGGGCCTGATGTTTTGCCGCATTGCCCTCACCTGGAGAATTTCAAGGCGAGGCATATTTCGGCAGAGGATCTTCTAGCAACACCACAGCCCTGGGCCTGCCATGGATTGAGACACCTCGAGGTTTCCTTTGATGGGTACATTGACAGACTAGAGTCCAACAATTGGTTGGTGTTTGAGCAGCTGCTAAGACTGATATTGTTGGAGGAGATTGATGTGAGATCGAGGGATAAAAGGGGCAAAGCTAGGTTCGTTTCCCTTACTAGGATGCTTCAATAGAGACTGGACTTTGGAATCGAACAGCTTTCGCCTCTAAGACGTCTCTAGAGCCTCCGACTTGATAGTAAGGCTCAGGAACTGAGTAAGAAGAATGTTGAGTAGATGTTGGAGCATTAGCCTTCACTCGAGTCGATGAAGGGCGGCTTGTCGCTGGAGCGGAAGTTTGAGTATGAATTGAACAGGTTCGTACAGAGCGAGGGGTCCTTCGTTAGATTTAAGCAAGTTGAACATTATCTACAATTAAGCTCTACAACGAACTTGGTTTCATTTTTCTCTGAAAGATTGAGAAGTACATCCATGTTGTTGTGAATGTTGTTGTGAATTCTCGAAGGGTTCCTCTGCAGTCCACATGCGGGGTTTTTTTCTGTATTTCTACACGTTCAGTTCGTAAGAGATGGGTGTCTATGGATTTTCTGATCTATGGAGGAGAGAGCGCTACATGTGGGATAACTATCCTCTTTCTTTGGAAAGCGTTGAACTTGAATGAGAGTGCCTTGGTGAGGGACAATGGTTGTGGTCGCTCGGTGATTAGCTGCCATGGTTCAACAGGGAGAGAGAGGAAGAGAGAGGAGTGGATGAGGGACTGAGGTGAGGATGGTCAGGGAGCGAAGGAAGAGAATAAGAAGAGAGCGAGAGAGAGATGAGAGTGAGGCACTGTTCACACTGGTACCTTCTGCTATGTGTCGAATCCGATTCAGGTACGATCTTCTCAACAAGAACAAGGCTGATCGTACTCAACCTGCGTAGACCATTCGCCAGTTCAGTGTTGACACCATACGCGCGATGTCTCCAGCTCTTAATTGCACCTCATCCCTCTTCTATCCGGCAAAACTAATGTCCTCAATGGGTCCTGCCTTGTCCGCAATTCAAAGGCCAAGCTCATTTGGCAAGGGCTGGGAACAAAATTAACAACCTTGTCCTCGGTCTTTTTTCTTCTGTCTGTATCTCAATCTTCGGACGTATGTCTCAACCGAAAAAACGTTCTTCTCTTTCTTCTTTCTTTACTCTTTACTCCCCTCTCCCCTCTCCTCTCTTCTCCCCCATCCCCTCTCCCCTTGTCTTTACTCCAACCGCTGTTGGCTTTCTTCTCTCTATACCCTTTTTAGTCTTTGTTCTTCATCGCTCCCACTTCTCCCAACTCTACTCATCGCCGTCGTCCATAAGGAACAAGCATATAGCCCACCATGGACCACATGAACGACGACAACCCGCACGCACATGCCGTCGATCAGGACCACATCTCAAACCCACTCATCATCATTCATGTCACCTGCATGATCACTGCATACGGAATCCTTATGCCCCTCGGCATCATGGTAAAAAATATACAGCACTTTTTTTGAAGAAGTCTGAGTGTCTATTAATATCATTAATATCACAACAGCCCCCCGTCTTCCTTTCGTTCTTTTCTTTTTTCTTTTTTCTTTTGTCTGAAGAAGTATACGAACATATGAGCCGTTGTCTATCGACCACTGACCATTTGTTTCTATCTCCTTTTGAACAACAAATCGCCCATATAGCTGGGGATCCGGAAACACAAGTACCATGTCCCTGTCAACGCTCTCATGTTTCTGGTCGCCATGGCAGGATACTTTTTCGGATATGGACACCATATGTTTGGCATTGGCGAGGGCGTACACGATCAGGACCACGAAGAAGAGGGTACCGACATGGGAGACATGCCCGGGATGAATGACATCACCAAGAGACAAGCAGGAAGTACCTCTGCGGAACACTATGGTTGGAGCTGGAACATCTCTGCTCATGGAGCCATGGGCAACTTGCTTCTGATCCTCCTCTTTGTTCAGGTCGGCATGGGCGTCTATCGCAAGCTGACAAAGACCAAGCCAAGACTGCGCCTGGCCTGGCTCTCTGGTCAAGTGCCCCGCAAGATCCACTCGTACCTTGGAAAAGCCCACCTCGTTCTCGCCTACATTCAGATCGTTTTGGGATTCATCAAACTTTTGAGTGCTTGCCCTGGTCAGGCATTTGCTCAGTGCGCTTCCCACATTGTCATGGTACGTCGTATTTAACAGTTATTGTGTGGTTTGGGCAAAAGGAAGTAGTTGTACCAACCTCAGCTCTTACTTACTGTGATTTGATTTATTTCTTAATAGGGTGGATCGTTTTGGTGGTATGGAGGCATCTACATTGCGTATCTGGTCGGTTCGTTCCCAGGAGTTTCTCGCCCTGAAAAGATCGAGTCGCTGGTTATGACTGTCTGGGGCGTCATCAACTTTACAGCTCTTCACCAATGGGGCACTCGCTGGTCACACGCTGTAAGTCGACGCCGTTCTGTTTAACATGCATTAGGCTGAAGAAAGGTCAAATAGACAGGTAGCACGAAGTCGAATCGATCCACTAACACTTTTTATTTCCATTTCTAATGCACATCCGGACACAAAAGGACTTGCAACACACCTCATTGGGAATGCTCTGGGTTGCAGGAGGATTGCTGTCGTTGTTACTCGAGTCCCAGTACAGCCCACTTGCTCATTTCATGATTCGCAAGAACCCCCTCCCCGCCATTTTGATCATCTTGACAGGATACGCCATGGGTCAGCATGCTCAGTACTACATGTTTGCCACCGTGATCCACACCTTCTTCGGATATGCTCTGATGCTGGGAGGTGTCTGTCGTTTGATCCAGTTGGCGCTTCGCCCTTCAGTTTCACCTTTGAGCGAGGACGGTGGTATGGAGGAAGATGACGATGTTCAGGACAGGAGCAAGACCCATCATGCTGGCCCTGGCAGCGACAGCATTCCAGGATTGGCGAACGGCGAAACCCCCGCGTCAGCATTCTTTGGTTTCCTCTCTGCACTGGGGATTATCTCTGCAGGATTGTTGTTCCAGTCAGCACACGAGGAGCAGCTCAATATCGTCATGTATTATCTTTCGGATCCAAGCACGTATATCAACTGGATCATGTCGCTCGCGTTCTTTTCGGTCTTGTACATGATGTTCTTGACACAGGCTGGAAAGAAGAAGCCCTCAGGAAGCAATGGTGTCAGTGCCAAGACATACAACCGTGTCCGCACGAGAGTTGACTCTGAGGATCGCGGACAGGCATTGAGTCGTAATGATATTGAGATGAGTGGGTTCATGGAACTGGAGGAGTGAGATTCGACCATAGACACTTTTATCCCTTGACTACTTGTCTAATACACTTAAAAGATGCAATTGAATATTCAGGAAGAGGTGGGGATGAAGAAAGAGCGAGGGTCAAGCAGAGAAAAGTGTTTGTGTGGGAATGAGTGTGCATGATAGTGACGACGAGCACTGTCCGTGCCAGGATGCAGTAAACGATGTGTTGGGGATCGGATGGACAAGGAACGCATTTAATATTCGAATTGATGGTCGTCTCCACCGGTTTCGCCATCTCTCGACAAATCGGCGCTTTTGTTTGTGTACTACAGTGCAACTATGTGTTTTTATTCAATTGACTACTACTTGTTTTTTTGTGGGTGAGTCAACGCCCGAACCAAGCAAGTCATATCTTTTATTTCGCTGGCTCTCTCTCTTACACCCATAGCGACCTTTATTTTCATTCCTCTACTCTCCTTTCATTCCTTCTTCCCTTCTCTCCTTCTCTTCCTCTCATCACCTTCCTTCCCTCCCTCCCTCCTCACTCGACTCGATTCGGATTCAACAACACACATCAGCAATGACTACTCACAACAAGTTCAAGATCACCGTCCCCGCCACCTCTGCCAACATCGGCCCTGGCTTCGACGTCCTCGGTATGGCCTTCTCGCTCTACCTCACTCTCGACTGTGAGCGTCTCCCTGTAGGATCTGGTCTCCAGATGACCTACGAGGGCGAGGGCGCCAAGGATGTGCCTCTGGTCGCCGAAAAGAACCTGATCACAAAGACCGCCCTCTATGTCCTCTCGACCTACGGTATTACCTCCCTGCCCCCACTTAAGATCCATGTCACCAACCCCATCCCCCTCGGCCGTGGTTTGGGTTCCTCGGGATCTGCTGTTGTTGCAGGAGTTGTGTTGGCCAACGCTGCGGGCAACTTGCAGATGACCTACGACCGCATGCTGGACTACTGTCTGATGGTTGAGCGTCACCCGGACAACGTCGCCCCTGCTCTCTTTGGTGGATTTGTTGCCAGCTTCTTGAGAGAGCTGGAGCCCGAGGAGTTGGATCCTCCCAGCATCCCCCGGTCAGAGCCTACCAGGAACGGAGCCCCACAACCCCCTACACCCATCACTGACATTGGACACTACATTCAGTTGGGATGGACCAAGGAGATCAAGGCTATTGCTGTTATCCCTGACTTTGAGGTCGCCACCGAGGATGCCAGAGCTGTCCTTCCTGACATGTACCAGCGTGCTGATGTTGTAAGTTGTCCGTCTGTTTATCCAATTTTTCCGAAGATGATACTCTTACTCATCGCCTGGTTTCTTATCTGGGAGTACAACATTTTCACAAGATGGGACAAAAGGGGTGGAGATGTTGGACAAGGAACGACGCTTTCTTTTTGTTCTTTTGCTCCCCTCTTTTCTAACAAAACGTCAATGGAACCTTAATTTTTCATTTCTTTTTGTATCTCAAGATCTACAACTTGCAGCGTATTGCCGTCTTGACCACAGCTCTGTCGCGCACACCTGTCAATGCCGATCTGATCCACAAGGCCATGAGCGACAAGGTCCACCAGCCTTACAGGAAGCACCTCGTACGTCAATTCCTCATCTTGTCACTTCAACTCCTTTAGCAGGTGCTTATTTATTAATGGTATTGTTCAAGCACGATTCATCTCAACCTGACCACCTTACACTTCAATTTACCACCTTGATCAAATAGATCCCTGGAATGGCAGAGATGTTGGAAAAGATCACACCAAAGACATACCCCGGTGTTGTCGGTATTTGCCTCAGCGGTGCTGGCCCCACCATTCTCGTATTAGCCACCGAAAACTTTGACCAGATCGCAGCAGCCGTCCAGGATATCTTTACGAGCTGCCCCAACGGCGGTATCAAGAGCATGTACAAGGTCCTGGATGTCGTAGACGAGGGAGCCAAGACTGAGTACTTTGACTAAACTATTAGAAAGGATCCTCTTGTATCCATACCCTTCCTCGCCCCACAAAGGGTGACGTATAGAATAAATCGAATCGCATAGAATAATCGTTCACCCTTCACAGCAATCACAACCGCAAAAAAATTTGAAGCTGCGAACGGACTCTACTTCAAAAGAAGAGAGATCAGATTTGTACCTTTCCTTCATCCCTCATACCCCCTTTCACATCGCCCAACATGGTCATGGACTTCCTCCTCCCCTCTCCCCCCAAGAGCTGGTCTGCTGACAAGACCTCGGCCTTCCACGCCAAGATCACCGCTCCCGTCAACGCCTCGATCCAGCCCGCTGGTCGCCACTTCTTGGCCCATGCGCGCCGTCACATCCACTCGCGCACCTTCTCCGAGGACGAGAAGGCCACGAACGAGGCCGAGGCTGCCGCCAAGGCTGCCAACGGCACTACCCAGGACGACTCTGACCTCGGTGACGAGCCCGAGGACCCCGCCATGCTCCGTCGCGACCCCAAGGACTGGAAGGATCAGGATCAGTACGCCGTCTTGGGTCTCTCCGCCCTCCGTTACAAGGCCACCGAGGACCAGATCCGTCGTGCCCACCGTCGCAAGGTCCTCCGTCACCACCCCGATAAGAAGGCTGCCAGCGGTGGACTCCACGATGATGGCTTCTTCAAGTGCATCCAGAAGGCCTTTGAGACTCTCATGGACCCCGTCAAGCGTCGCCAGTGGGATTCCGTCGACCCTGCCGTTTCGGACTCTGTCCCCAACGCAAAGTCCAAGGGTGATTTCTACAAGCTCTATGCTCCCGTCTTCTTGCGCGAGTCTCGCTTCTCTAACACCCAGCCCGTTCCCCAGTTGGGCAACGCCGAGTCGAGCCAGGAGGAGGTCGAGTCTTTCTACGATTTCTGGTACAAGTTTGATTCGTGGAGAACCTTCGAGTGGATGGACAAGGAGGATGGTGAAGGTCACGATTCCCGTGATGATAAGAGATACTTTGAGAAGAAGAACAAGGCTGAGCGTGCCAAGCTGAAGAAGGAGGACAACCAGCGTCTCCGTGAGATTGTCGATCTTGCTCTCTCGATCGATCCCCGTATCAAGATCTTCAAGGAGCAGGCCAACAAGCAGAGGAACGCCAAGAAGCGCGAGAAGGAGGAAGCCGAGAAGAAGGCTGCTGAGGAGGCCGCTGCTGCTGCCATTGCTGCCGAGGCCGCTGCCAAGGCCGCTGAGGAGTCCGAGAAGGCTGCCCGTGAGGACGGCAAGAAGAACAAGGAGCTCTTGAAGCGCGCTGTCCGCAAGGAGAAGAAGAACTTGAAGGCTCTCATCAAGGACAACAACTACTTCTTGCCCGCCGGTCAGACCCCCGGTCCCGTCGAGGTCGAGAAGCAGCTCGAGCTCTTGGATGCCCTCTTGGACGGTGCCAAGGGTCTCGACCAGCTCGAGGCTGTCCGCAAGACCCTCGAGGATGGTGTCAAGAGCGGCAACATTGCCGAGATCTTCAAGGCCGAGGTCGCCAAGCGCTCTTAAGTGCACCCACCCCCATCTTTTCATTCCTTTCTTTGATTGCATGAAAACAAAAGAATAAAATAATTTACCAACAAAACTCTTTCTCCCACTCTTTTATTTGTTGCGGAAGGCTCCGAAGTATCATGGTTCGCCATTCTCGTCGCTGCTATGGAGGTTTCTCGGCCTCCAGACTATCAAGTCCAATGTGGATCCAATAGGGAGTATTGGTTAGTACAGGTGAAGAGAATTCAGGAACAAAGCAAAATACGGACGGGGACGAGTACACAATGCCAGTGAAAACGTACCTTGGATGTTTCCAGCTCGATAAGGCGAACTCGGACACACGGTAGCGATCACGTCTTCCACACTGTATGGGCACCAAGCAAAGTCTGACACCATCAATCTATCAAGCCGGAGTAATTGGAAGAAAAAAGAGAGAGGAAGAATATGTAAGTCAAGAAACAAATGTGAGATCTTGGTCCAGAGAAACAAAAAGCAATGTGGACATACTCTTGGCCACGATGAACAAAGAGAAGCTCAGGTTTCTGGACCAAAGTGGTAGGATCGGCAGGACAGTCGAATTTGTTGAGTTTCCAGATCTTGACCTGGCCCGCTACGCTCAGACTCGCAATAATGTCTGGGCGACGAGGATTCCATAGCGCTTTCCTCAGTGTTTCGCCGCTGCCCATGTTGTGGAATGTGGCGTATGCCTAAAACACGCAAAGCAAAACAAAGGAAGACAAGTGTTTTCCTGTTAGCACAAGGTATGGGATGTAAGGGTTGAAGTGTAAAAATAGTTGACCAACTTACATCATTGTTCATCTTTCTTGTGTCCCAAACGCGAATGGTGTGTGGGTGTACGGTCATGAACTCGTTCGACTTGAGCGGGTTCCACTCGATACCATATATCGGATCAAAAGACCGCAGTCCACTCGACATGCTCGACTTGTATTGACACGCAAAGGAGGTTGTAGCAGCGGCGGTAGGTGATCTTGTGTCCCAGCATGCAATCTGCGCAACCTCTCCAGACCCCACGAGGATGGTCGAATCCAGAGCATTGAGCGAGATACAGGTCGAGTGGAACGAGTACTCATTATCAATCGTGGTGGTGTGTGTATGCTCGACTGTGGTGGTTGATCCGCGATAAGAGTTGACAGCTTTCGTCAGGTCGTAGCTGTTTATAACACCATAGGAATCAACACTGCAAACATCCATGCCTTTGGCGTCGATCCAGGGTGTTCCCGACTGCTCGGTTGACAGTTTGACGAGAGGGATCATGGCATCCTCAGCTTCGCCTTTCATATCCCACAAGTAAAGTCCCTTCTGCCTGCTATTTGTCAGAGAAGATGTGACAAGATGACCTGACTCCAAAGATCTTGAAGAATTTGGCGGCCAAATTAAACCTTTATCAGTATCTGCTATCAAGGTGTGCCAAAAGATAACATGGATCACTAGGGCCTCGCGAGACTTACTTCATTGACATGATTTTACCCCGCGATGCCACATTAGCGCCTTCCCGCATCGCCTGCAGCCAATACCAAATGTGAACAGTTATGCGTTAGTCAGCATACGTTGTCATCGGCAGTCGGAACCACTAAAAAAACGGTGGCTCGTACAGCAACTATTGACGATTCTTTGGACTTACTTTGGCTATTGAAGGCAAATATCCGTCGTTGCGGATAGCAAGCACCTCGGCTGCAGACTCCTTGTCTCCGTATTGCCTCATCTCAACCGTCATGCTAGACGCTACCGGTATTTCTTCCCTTTTGCCATTAGGAACGAACAGCGACCCTATAAAAAAGATAAAGTACAAAAGCGCGTCAATACCACAATATGCAGTATCAAAATCAAAATCAACGCCAACCAATTTTTCATGCGCACGTCTTTCCTTTTCCTCCTACCATAATGAAGTTGAAAAGTCGAAATGTCCAACTGAGAGCCCCAGGCGACTGTCGACATGGAGAGGCTCCCCTCATCAGATGTGGACGACTGGTTGTACAAGGACTCGTAGCAGATAAAGGCAGTGCTGTACCAATCCTGCCGCGTCCCGCTCTGGCTGGCGTTATCTTCGTAACGATTTCGGCCCCTAAGGTCACCTGGATGACAGATGTGAAATGATAAAATGGGCTTGTTTTTACGGAGGTCGATATGGGCACGCTGTTCCTTGGCGGACGAGTAATTTGTATTGTCAACTTTGCTGAGGTGGTGCTGTCTCTTGGCGGGAACTATCGATGGGACCGGTGTGCGGTCATAGAGCTTTATGTTGGAACTAGTCACTACATCCTTTGGGGAAACCTGTAGTTGTTGTTGTTAAGTAAAAGCAAGATATGAGACGATGAATTTTAAATGAACGATGGATTAGTTCTTGAGTATCAACAAGGTCCATTCCATTCGATAGTCGAAACCAGTGTGTCATTTTTCTAGTATGGCCGAAGCATCCGTCGATAAAACGCGATGTATATAATTTGATCCGCATTACCGAAACAACCGGCGGCGAAGCCTTTGCTACTAGCGGCGTTGAACCGATCAATGTTGTTCCTGTGGGCCTGCTCGTTGCCGGAGAGTTGGACGGTACTCCGATCAAGTTGCCCTTTGGTTGCGGTTTCTTGAACTTTGACGGTGGAGCCCAAAAGTCCGGGTTTGTCTCCTGTATACTCCTCGTCCCGACTGCTCTCACAGACATGCCTCCGATTCTCGTGAGCTATGAACCGCCCCAAAATAAAAACATGGTTTGAAAAGCGAGTCGGTTAGTCAAAACGCCACGTTGTTATTGGAACATAGAGAATAGGGAAATGTGACATGTAATAATGTAACTAAGCAACCTTTTCACTTACATGCTTGCCCGCAATAGCTTTATGTCCAAGCCATGCTCCATTCTTTGTTGTAAAAAACACGCTATGTTGGTACTCTCCACGATGATTTTTTCCTGCCGAGAACACTATGTGTGAACAAATATAACATGGTGGTTAGATCTCTTTGACTTTCAAAGCATTTTCCACTTAGAGTCGGCAGACAGAGAGCCTCCAGACAAAAAAGAATCGCAAAACTCACCTGAAACGACCTGTCCGTAGCGCATGAGCGCATTGTAGAAGGCCTAGAATTTGGTCCACAAAAAACGAGACGAGAATGTTGGCCAAATATTCCTTCCTTGATCGATATCGCGTGCATATTGCAAACACTGTGACTTTACGAAGACCATTACCTTTGATGACACTTTTTCCCTTGTGACTAGTTCGAGTTCCGGTATCCGGTTGTAGATGTGTCCTGGCCGAAACTCCAAGAAAATCTCATGGTCTCCTAACAACGTGAAGTTATGTTTGCTGTTGGCCCCGAACGCGATGGATAACATAATAAATATGATTAGCGATTAGTCCTCTTTATTTCGACCGTTATTGAGGGATGCCGCGACATGTCTTTTGCTGTGTTTTTCTTTACATGAAGACGGCCATGGCTTCATCCAGAGACACAACACTAGCCTGATAGGCACAAGTTCCACTGTTGCCGCCGTGAATGGATTGTTCCAGACTCAATGCCTCGTAAGCTAAGCCTAGATGTGTCGCCACCTCCTTTTTCGTGAGCCTAGGTTAGCGGTATTTGTATCAGGAAAGGGCTTGTCGTGAGTCGAACGTATCCAGAGTATCATTAAACGCCACCATTATTTAAACTCTCTCTCTTTTCTGATGCATGATGTATAAAGACACAAAAGGGGGAGACTCGCAGTACTTTGAGTCGACGTTCTTGACGACAAAGAGGGTCTTGTTGTCTGATGCAGTGCTGGCCATGGTGTCGATGTTGAGCTGATCTCTGCCTATTCCCTTCTTCTGTGATGTAATTGTCCCAAGTGTGTTTGGTGTCTAATGTTGAAAGGAGAGACGCAAACTTGGCCTTCCTTGGTGTAGGCCTATCAATTAGGTGTGACTTTGATTTGATTGATTGGGCTGAGGTTGGATGTGGACAGACCATCGACGGCAGCAGCAGGCTTACGCGTCAAAAGCGCGGCCGTTGGTCACTTCACATCCCTCGACTACAAAGAAGCCGCCTCTTTTCTTATTCTTTTAACTTTTCCTCTTCATTCCTTCCTCCTTTAACTCTATTTCTCCACGCACTTCACCCACCAAGAACTCACAACACCATCTCCCACTCACTCATACACACAACTCACAGAAATGTCGAATCTTCAGCAACCGCCCGCTGGAACCCCAACAAGCAATGTCCTCGACGGCGACAGTGTCCTTAACCTTCTCCAGGAACTCCTCCCGGCACAGCACCCAAGCCAAGCAACCGCCACAACCACAGAAACCGAGACCTCGGCATCAACAGACAACGAACAAGAAACCTCCTCCTCCTCTTCTTCTCCTTCCTCAGCAGCAACGACGACCCTCCTCAAGTCTGAATATGAAGGACTCGCCGCTCTCTCGCATGCTATCATGACCGCAGTTGGGTTCCGACTTATCGGGTTGGGCGAAGATGATTCTGTAGAAGCTGAACGACGCAACATCGATGGTAAGCCTCCTCTCTTTTCATTTATTACTCCCCAAATACCTACGTACAACAGCACTCTTGGCATCAACATCGTGACTTCTACCTACAGTTCTGCAAAGTTAATTAACACCTGTATTTTCTTTCGCCGGTATAGAACTCTCGAGAGCAAACGTCTTGCCGGAACGCTGGAACTCGTCCACGGAGAGCTACTCCTTCCGATACACCCACTCGCACTCCCAGCTCACCTACGTTATCAAGTGCATGCGTATGGCTGGCAAGTTCGTCATCCATGGCACGACCTTTGAGGTAACGCTTATTTGCACACGTCAATCAACCACGTGCCAGGATCACCATTCATCCTTTACTGCTCCATCAACAAAATATTAACATATCTTTTCGGAATATTTTTTTTGATTCCACAGACGAACCAGATTTGCTCGCTCGACATTCAGGTCAAGGATTTCACTTCGCCATCATACTTCCCTTTCACGACAAGGACCGAGGTTAACAAGGACCCGCTCTGGAATGGCTTTATTTCGCGGTCAAGGATCAACGACTTTATTGGACAGTTCAAGGTCAAGATTGTTCAACAACTGATCCCAGGATTGTCCAAGCCCGGATATCAAGAAGATCGCACCGCATCAACAACCACTACAGCAGGCGAAGGAGGAGACAGGTTGCGAGACCCTGCTTCGACTGGTTCGTCAACTGGCGGTGGACGTGGACGCGATTATTACCCAGACGATCCTTCGACATTCCCCGGTTACCCTAGTCGACCTGGATTCATCCCTCGACCCCCAATCTTTGGAGACCCATTCTCGGCTGACGAGCCAGATTTCGGAGGTGGATACAACCCCTATGAGATTGGCCGCAGTGACCTGGATCCCTTTGGAGGCCGTATTGGTGGCGGTCTTGGAGGCATTGGTGGCCCAGGTGGCTTCGGAGGAATCGGTGGCATTGGCGGAGGTGGTGGCGGCGGAATGATTGTTGGACCAGGTCATCCCATGTTCAGAAGACCTCCTGGTGGTGGTGGTGGTGGTGGTGGAATTTACGGTGGCCCTCAGCCATTGCCTCGTGGATCTGTACCTCCTGGAGCTCGTTTTGACCCCATTGGACCATTCGGCCCCACAGGTGGAAATGGCCGAGGTGGCGCACCTGGCGCTGGCTCTGCTCATCAGGACCCTCATCGTGGAGTTGGCGGTGTTCCTGGACAAGGACGCGGTCGCGGTGGACCCACTTCTACGTAAGTCGACCCCCCACAATTGTTTGTGTAGATTCCTTTTGGTGTTTCGTGAAAGCAAATGTGACTGACCGATAATATTTGTTCTACCGTTTCATAACAGATTCCCTGGAGAACCCGACAACGATGAGGCTCCCCCACCAGGATACATGGACATGTTCATGTAAAATACAGGCAGCCAAAACCTTCGTGTTTTTTTTTTTCTTTGTCGCAAAACAGAAAATCTTGTACGTACATCAAAAATAAAAATTTCCTTAGCTTCAAAGACATTCTAGCACAACTACCTTTCAATGTGTACGCAATTTTATGTTGTTTTTTAATTCGTTATTTTAATTGTATGGAGAGTTCACAAGGGAAACACTTTCTAATACTATTTTAGGCCTCGTACTTGTCAAAGATGATCTGCATGCCGTTTCTAGAGTACATAGTAATATCGGACTCGGGCTTGGGCTCAAAGCCCTCGACAACAGTCCAGGTATACTTCTGCAATAGACGGGTCATGGTGTTCATGACCTGGTTATAGGCAAAGTTCTGTCCCAAGCAGATACGAGGACCAGCATGGAAGGGGAAGAACATGAAGGGACGGACGACCTTGACACGCTCGGGGCCCCAACGGTCGGGGTCAAACTCCTCAGCATCCTCGCCCCAGTACTCCTTCATGCGGTGGGTGACGTAAGAGGAGTGGACGACGAGGGAGCCCTTGGGGATGAAGTAGCCGTTGGGGAGGACGTCGTCCTCGAGACAGGTCTTGATGTTGAAGGGGACGGCGGGGTAGAGACGGAGGGTCTCGTTGATGACCTGCTTGAGGAACTTGAGCTTCTTGATGTCCTCGTGGTCGGGCTTGCGGTCCTTACCGACGACGGAGAAGATCTCTTGGCGGACGCGGTCCATCACTTCGGGGTGCTTGCCCAAGTTGTAGCACATGAAAGTCAGCAAGTTGGTCGATGTGTCTCGTCCAGCCTATTTCGTTATCGTAGATGTGAAATAAAGTATGGTTCATTGGTTAGCTTTTTTGTTGCATCAAGTACAAAAGACTTACGCGACTTGCTTAAACATATCGAGAGAGAGAGAAAAGATGGACTTACGAGCAAGAAGTTCATCAACATGTCACGGAGGTAGACACGATCAAAGGGCTGACCATGCTCATCAACAGAGTTCAAAAAGTGCACTAGCAAGTTATCGTTCTTGTGCTCATTCTCCTCTCCCTCCCTCGCCTCCGAATGCCGCTTGATTTCCTTGGCAATCGCAGCATCAACAATAGGCATCAGCACCTCATCCATATCCTTGACTTTCTGAGGGAACTCCTTCGCGGGCACCAAGGACTGGTAATCGCACAGACGGATCTTCCACCCACAGACCTTTTGTGTGTAGTTGAACGCTGAGACGAATTTCGATTGAGGGACATCAAGGGCGTTGATGCAGTCTCCGAACAGGAAACCAGTCGCGGTATCGATCGTGTAGCGGGACCAGAGATCTTGTGCGTCAATGACCTCGCCGGCGGCGATGGACTTGTCGAGGATGCCAAAGACTTGGTTGATCTGGGTCTCGATATGGGCTGCACCCTTGTATTCTGTGACTTGGAAATGGGGGCGGGCGAGGGCACGCTGGTTCTTCCAGGCGGCGCCGTCGGCGTTGAAGATGCCTGTGCCCATGAAAGGGAAGAAAGCCTTGTGGAACGCAGGGCCTATTAATGGATCATTTTTCGAACGAGAGAGAAATGGAGCGTCAATTATAAATGTTGCTCTTCGTTGTTCGATGTTCGATGTTAAAGGTAGAAGGCATAGGAATGGTGATAAGGTAAGAAAAAAAGGATAGGAGAGGCTGCAGGGATGAAGGGAGTACATCAACATCCGTAAAAGGTTATGATATGCAATGGGGTAGTGTAGTAGGTAGATATGTTTTTTGTTGAAGGTGTTACTTTAGAGTGTGCATGGTTCTGTTGTGATGTCAACTCCAAAATGCAAAAAAAAAAAATGGCCATGCGGAAGGATGACAGAAGCGAGGATTGAGGTTGGTGGTAAAAGAAAAAGAATGACAATGTTTGAATGAAGGAGAAGGGAAGGAGCAAGGAGAGCATGGTGGTGGATATTGTGTGCGACCAACAAGATGGTCAAGAGAGTGAGATCGGACGATGGATGTTGATTCGATACAGACCGCGGAATGAGTGTCAAGAAGGAGGATGTGTGGAGAAGAAAGGCAAAAATTGGTATTCCGCCAAGAACAGTTCCTCTCGTCCTAAGTTCTCCACCAGGGCCAGATGACAACCCGCTCTTAATTCCTCGACAACCAGGGTACACCAATGAGCACTTTCTGTCGTTTTTTTTCGTTACGTTGTGGAGTGTGGAGGGAGAAATGGAAAGAGAGAGAAAAAACAGATCGTTGGTATAAAAAAAACCTTACCCTTGGGATAGTTCTCAAAGTTCTTGACAAGGATATGCTGGACAGACGAGGGCTCGAAGGCAAGGATGAGGCAGTGACCAATGAACTCTGTCGTCAGCGTCAATCCTTGCTTGGAGAGTCCCTGGACCCACTTGAGCTCATCTCCGTCTGCTCTGGCCTTGACATAGGAATATCCGACATCGAGCATAAAGAGTCTGGACTTGAGATGGGGGATGGCCATGCCGCGTGGGGGAGCCTTCTTGGAGCGCATACGACCTAGCCAAAAGTAGAGGATCGCTGTGAGGGCGAGCATCGACATGGCGGGGTTGGCCTTGCCGCGCTTGATGAGGGCCTTTTGGCGCTGGCGAAGCAATGTGACGACGTTGGTGACCAACGAAGGGGAAACGGACGAAACTTGTGCAGACATTGTTGCTGTTGTTTAGTGAAAAAGAGTAGCGAGGAGTACTGGGTATGAGTGTTGGAGAAGAAATGTACAGAGGAGGGAGTGAAGGAGGGGGTTGATGATACAAGTGCAAAAGTGAGAGTGAGTGATGGACGAGGGATAGAAGGACAAGGACAAGAGAAAGACGAAACAATTGACAATGAAGTAAAGAAAGGAAGGAAGGAAGAGAAAAGAGAAAGGGAAACAAGTGGGGATCAACGCTCTTTATGTATTTTTTTACCCTCTACTTGAGTAAGTAAGAGTGCCTGTCCACGGATGCAACAGTCGCAAGCTTCAGTTCAGGGCTATATACCCAGTCAGCTAGTCAAGAGAGAGGTGATGAGACAAGTACGAGAGACTGATACAGTTTAGAGTGAATTGGATTACTTAAAGTGATGGATGTGTGGATAGATCAGTTGCTCGATGGTGACTGGTCAATACTAAGCTACTCTTTAGTAAGTGCTCTCAATAACAACAAAGAATTGGGATTCATGACCATTCTCTTTCTTCTCTCATTGTCATCTACACCAATGAGTCCACGTCAGCAAAGGATCCCTTCATCAAAGCAGACTTGAGTGAGGACTAGGTGTATCCAACTTTGAACAGACAGAAGAAAGAAAAAGAACTCACTCAACAGCAAGGACAGTGATAAAAAAAATGGTTCTATGGAGTTCGGCATTTGCGTTACTAATCGCTCGTATCACCAAGAACGAAAAGCCCAGAATCGTGGGCACTGAGTGGAGAGCATGGTTGCACAACCCATCGCTCTTACTCTCGTTTCTCTTCTCCTTCTCTTTCTCATCTTCATTGCCCTTCGTGCTTTTGCCCTCACGCAGCCGTTGGTATCAGGAAATGAAAAACGTAATTTGTCCAGTTGGCATGTTTTTTACTTGATTTCAAACGCATCCCTGACGCGAATGACCCTGCGTTAGATCCAAGCTATTTTACCCTGATCTTCACATCCCCAGGGTGTTCACCCCAAAGACGAAAAGGGAGAACGACTGAGATCTAACCATCCAACCGCCAACTAAGGCAATGCTAACGATTGTGTATTCACTTTGTTTTACCCCAAAAAAAAATTGGGCGAGGTTGAAGTTGCTCAGAACCCTAATGGACTCTCCGAAAAATCGCCAATAGGCTTGGCGCGCCTTTTTTTTGTTCTTTGTTTCTGTTTCTGTTTGTTTTGCTCTTTTTGTTATTTCAAGACGTCAGTCCCTGTGAACTTTTGTACGTGATGCATGTGAGCTCACAATCCCCATCCCATCCCTCATCATTGGGGACAGAGTGTATAGGGAAATTGAGCGCCACTAAAAAAAAACGACGTGTCACTCGTGGAGGATACTCCAAAATCTTTGCAAAAAATGTGGTGTCTAAAGCGAACAGAGCACAGTTTTTCTTCCCAGACTCATGATGAACACAAGGAGTGAGGATACTCTCCTCTTCCTTTCCCAGTCCCAACTGGAATAGGCATAACATTTCTGTTCACTTGTCCTGACGGATACTGAATGGAAACCAACTCTCCTCTGGCTGAAGGCTCCTGGTGTGTTTTGACCTTCTGAGAAGAATGAGGCAATGAGAACAACTGTTCACGAGAAAAGAGGGATGATTTGGAAAACACACACCATGGGTAACGATAATTGCATAGCTGCGTTTGTTTTTGTTTGTTGATGTTGATGACACATGAAAACAAGAGCTACGAGAAATCAGAAGAAGGATGCCTGAACGCGTCTTAGTGTTAGCCTTCAGGACTTTGGCACACGAGCACCAAAAAAATGCCAAGACATGAAGAGTTCCCATTTCTCATTTTTACACACAGATAAATAAAAACTCGCGGTTATCGCGCGCATTAATGCAATTAGGAGAAAAGATCAGACGTGAGAGTCCAAATTCATGCTCACGGTTTCCTCTTGAGACAAACGGTGTACAATCGTTCTTGTCCATCGTTCATCGAGAGGTCCATGTGTACAACCCTTGTGTTTTGCGCTTAATTGTCCATGCTTTGCCCGGTGCATGTGTCTCGTCAGCTCACGAGATATCCTCATTTTTGCCAAGATTACTCTTAAGAAGAAAGGACGTTATCAATTGTATGTGCACGTTACCGCTTTGAACGCGCACTGGCATTAGTCAAAAAGTGTCAGGTAAAGACTCCACCTTGACAAACGAAGGAGCTTAAAGAATAATTGCCACCCTCTAGTGTAGGTGCCCAAACCTGCTTCTACTTGCCTCTTGGCAAAAAAAAAAAAAAAGGGAGAATGAAAATAATGTACAAAAAGAGAGCATTCTGAGCCAACTTCTTTTTTTGTTACTATACGTGTTCTTTAATAACTCTCCACATCATCTCCCCACAAAATCATCGTACGTTTGGACATCAGGGACCCCTCCTCCTTTTCGCAAAGAAATAAAATACTGGCTGTTGCTTGTCACTTTCCGATGTGTTTCCCTGTCTTTCTCTTCCTCGGACACTACGTACCTCCGGGGTTCCCATTATCTTCTCACACCTCCGAAGTATGAGTCCTCATGCTAATTCTCGTCCACAGCCTTACACTCGTTCAGTCACTGCCAAAGTGTAGAAATCCACTGGAACCTTTTGTGTACAATTGAACACATCTCGGCATTTTGGTTTAATCGAACACACCAACACCATAGCAAGAGCAAAGTTCAATTCCCTCTCCTTCTTTCTCTCTCTCTCTCTCTCGTTCTTTTGTGGTGGGGCAACATGTGAAGGGGAAGGCTAAAGTGAACAAAGACCTGGTCTGTGCTCATCACCACGTTGATTTTTAATCCACTAACACTTTTGTTTGCGCCACCAAAAAATGTAATCCGAATGCAATAACCTGTTTTTTTTCCTGGGAGTGAGTGCCAAGAGGAATCATGAGCTGGTGCAGTATACACACACACATACACCAACAAGCAGAAAGCAGATAGCAAAAGGGCTAAATAGTACTATATGTGTTGTATAACCCAGAAGCACATGCGCAAGGCTAAGAGAAGAGAGGGGACGGGGGGTACCACAGTCATATGTGAAACTAACACAAAAAAAAATATGCCATGCTCGCTTAGGGGCATCAACATCTAAGAGATTCTCATGGGGGGGGGGGGGGGGGAACAATCGCGCGATTTCTCAAGCAATCAATCTGCACAAATGGTTTTTTGATTTGCCATAGTCTTACGCGTCCCATTTTTTTGTTTTTTCCATGATGTATGCCACATGGTTAACAGTTCAGGCGAAGAAAAGAGGCTCATAGTTCTAACTTGTTGGAGACTAAGAATAACTCCATGTTCACCAACCATCGCATCCATCAACCGCCATCACCCCAAAAAAAAAACATCCAAAGACGATCAGGGTTCTCAAAAACAGAGTGGGGACACAAAAGAAAAGCATAAAAACAGATCAGGGTCATCGCCTAGTAAGGAACACAAAACCTATCTAAAAATGATGGCATGCACCCGAGAAGATCAAGTCAAACCACGGTAAACAATAAAAACCCAAACGTACTGCCCTTCTTGCTGCTCCTGCTCGTTGGACTGATGCTGCTGTAATACAGCCACGTGGGAATCGCGATCCACGAAAGCAAAAAGGAAGAAGAAAAAAAAACGGAGATGGCTGGGGGAGAGGCGAAGCGAGGATTGTCCCAGGCAAGGAGAAATGGAACAAAAAAAAACATGCAGCATGAGCCAATGTCTGTGGTCGCAAAGTGAACAAGTGGACTGGTTCCCGCTTTAGGCTATGAATATCTTCATCCGTGCATTTGATCTGTTATTTGTACGTGTTAGTGTTATTATTGACAAGGAGGAGAAAAAAGTATGCTAATTGGTTTGAATGCGGGCAAAATACAATGCTGGGTAGGAGAGAGATAGTGGATGAGGTGAAGTACAGTGGAGAATACAATGTGATTAAGTAGGAAAAGTGGAAAAGGGTAAAAGAGTTACTAGGATGAGTCAGGTCGACCATATGTAAAGTCATGGTGGAGAGCCTTGATGGCATCGATGGAACCAATGACACATCCAAGCAATCCAATGATGAGGATGATGGCGCACCACAACAACTCGTACCAGGGCATCTGTCTCCATCCAATCAAGCGCCAGTAGAAGAAGATAGGCAACACATAGATCAACATACAGTTCCCCAAGGCTCCCAAGAGCGACAGGAAAGAGTCAAAGAAGGGCACCAAGCAAGCAATGCCTCCAACGACGCCCATGATGATCAATCGCGTGACAGTCCGGTACAATCTCTCCTGGACAACACCGCGCTTCTCGACCGAGATATTAAACACACGCTCGACCTCCAATGCAAACGAGGTCATCAAGACGGGGGCGGCCAAGAGGACGTGGGCGACAATCATGATGGTGGCGACCTTGCGGGAGGTACCCTCGGGCAAGGATTGGAGGATGGGCGATTGAGAAGAAGGGCCATAGGTGAGGTAGCCAGGCACGGCGACCATTGCGTACATGAGACAGCAGGCGATCATGGCCCAGACGAGGATCTTGTTCCAGGAACGGGGGTAGCGCATGGACTCCTCGACGTGCATGTAGACAACGTTTCCGCCAAAGCAGACGGAGATGGTGGCGACGGCGATGGGGAGGTTGCGGAGGATGGCGGCGTCGTACTGGACGGTGTCCTTGTGATTCTTGTAGTCCAGTCCGGACTCGACCATTGTCACGCCAACCAACACTGCTGTTGCAATGACTCCAAAGATACTATTATTGGTTATCAGAAAGAAGCGGAGTAGAAACAGGAATAAATGGTTAGCAAACAGTCGGATTCTTACTCCTCCCCCTTGTTCCGGTACATCGTTGATCAGTTGTCCAAATATGATTCCGTCTCAATCAGTGTTTGAGTTTCAAAACCGATTCTTATTTTGATTATTGTTTCTGAACCGATGTTCTTTCTCTCATTCCATCGTTCGCTCGTTCGTTCGTCCGTTCGCCCTTTTTCTTTTTTTTCTTCGCCTTCTTCTCAGTTCCTTGTCTTGGTTGGTTGTCCATTCTCATCTCGTCTGAACGTCTGTCGTTTCTCCTTGTTGTCGAACCTGCAGAGAAGAACAAAAAAAAACAAAAAAGAGCGGGGTGGCTTACCTCAACAATGAAACCTCCTTGAGCGACTTCATAAGCACAAAAGGGATCGACACAACTCCACAACAGATCCAGATCCAAGCCTTCTCGGGAATATTCACATGGGCCACCGTCAACTCCCTAATCTGAGTTCCTGAAAGAATGAAATACATAACGGGGGCACCGAGAACAATCGAGGTATGGAAGAACCAGACGGCGATGAGACCTATTCTGCCAAAGGCGTGCTGTCCAATCTCTTGGTAGGATGCCAGGCGGGTGTGGCCGTTGTAGTAGATGCATTTGATAATCAGGATACCGGTGTAGATCGACATGATCATGGACAGGATCAGGATTCCGACGCCGATCCATCCACCTAATGGGGTACAACAAGAGAGGTAGAAGAAAGGATGAGACGAAGGGGATTAATTTTTTATTATTACCGTTGAAAGGAGGGGAAGGATCGACGTTGTGACAATAATTCGATTTGTGTAACCCAAAATCATGTATGTATCTCCCACTTGGTTGTAAATTATCAACGTCAACGTCGACGTCAGAACGTAATCACAAAAAAGACGCGTACCTTTGGCCAAACTGTAGGGGAGACCGAGGGTTCCAGTTCCAGCAACGACACAGACAATGTTGAAGAAGGCCGACATGTTGCTTCCTTGCTCAGGACGTTCAGCCATCAGGTCGCCGCCAACAGCAACGTTGCTCTCCTGATCCTTGTTGGTGGTAGCTGGGACATCGTCGCTGGAGATTGTGGTCGATGACTCAGGGCGACCTGCCTTCTTCTCGACGGCAAAGGTCATATTATATTATGAAGGAGGATGGAGGTGGGAGAGTGGGAGAGTGAGTGGAAAAAAGGAGTAAGTGGTGAGGGGCGTGAGATGAGTGAAAAAAAAGGGTGTGGCGGAATGTGTCGGAGGGGTATGTGAAATGCGTGGATTTGGAAGAGTGGAGGAGGAGGGAGGGAACTAGGGAAGGTTACTTAAGAGGTAGAAAAGGGGAACTTAAGAGGTAGACACCGGCGCCTTTTTATACCCTTCGAGCTTCGATGAGAAGTGACAATGGCCAGAGACAACTTCTGCTTCTCGTTGCAGCTGCCTCTGAAAAAAAAATGAAAAATATCTTTACCGGAGTTGAGATGTAGCGTTGAAATATTGGATCCCAGAACTCAAGCGGAGCGTAGACCAATCTGCGGAGACCCACTCTCGTCCTAGTAGCCCCACTCGTCTATACTACAATACAAGACGGTACTCCTTGAGAGAGTGTGAATCTAGACGCTGCAGAGGCTGCATAGTCTATATTTCCTGTTCTTCGAGGCTAAAGGGCATAACCGAGTCATCTCTCTCTTTGCAAGTTCTAATGAAGGGGTGTAGTAGGCGACAAGAGAAGAAAGTAGTTCGTAAACTGTAAAGCCAAATACAAAACACAGTAAGTACGTTCCTGCTCCTGGCCGCCACTTTTGCTCTGACTCTGTACCATGTCACCCTATATGTCCTTTTGACATACTTCAGATGTATGAAGCGAAGGAGAGAGAGATAAAAGAGAGGGCACTGTTTATGTATGTTTGACATTTTGGAGTTGCAATCGGGTGCCCCTCTTTTAGACTTTCATCTCCTCGATCCATGGACACAGCAAAATATCCTACACACGCAAAAACTCCCACGTGGGAGGGCCGTGAGTAACGTTTCACCAACACTCCCTTGCACAATACCGCACCCATGATCTCATCTCACTTTCATTCAATTACATGAGCCGTCATAATAAGATACAAATCTTCATTTTCATTTACGTTCAATGGAAGGCAGTGTTGCCCATACTCTCGACATGGACAGCCATCTCGCGCATCTTGTAACTATTCAATTCTTCTCTAATCTCACTCTTGAGGTCCGAGGTCAGGTTCTTGAAGGTCGCATACTTGTCCGACTGACGGTTGTATTCAGACTTGCGGTACACCGGGATGATCTCGATCGTGTCTGTGAACCCGATGGTTCGCGGCCGGTGGTGGCTGATCTCGTTGCCGCTCAGGATCCCCATCGTGCTTTCGCTGGTCCCACTGCCTCTGCGCATGCTCCCGTAATAGCTTTCTCCTCCTCCGTTGCTGGTGTGGCCGAGCTCGCCATCTCGCTCGCACGTCATGGTCGTCATTGGTTGCTGGGGTCCGTCCATCAGGGAAGAGTCCTGGTCATACCCGACGTATGCGTCACCTGCGCCACCATAGTAGTACTGATCCTGTGCTCGAGAGCGCGATGGATGATACTGGTAGCCATGGGCTGCAGAAGCTGCGACAGCGACTGGAGGAGGAGGAAGAGTAGCAACTGGGAGGGGGAAGGAAGGGTCCATCTCCATCATCCGATAGTCCAACACCTGTCCTTGAGGGCGCTCACCGCCACGGTCCTGGTAGACATTCGACTGCATCCCGGGCGTGGGATCTGGGGGGAAGGCTGCTCCGCCACCGCTACCATCACCCTGTGGCATGTAATGCTCGTCCACTTCGACAGTTGACCCGAGCTTCGGAGGTATGCCAGTGGTTCCGATAGTGTTACCGACATTCTTCTCGCCATATGAGCCGTATCCGGCGTAGTGGGCCTGTGTGGTTGGATACTGAAGGGGCTGGATATCTCCGGGTGCCGGTGTCCACCCTGAAGAGAGCGTTTTGGTCGATATCTGCTGTTGTTGTTGCTGCTGCTGCTGCTGTTGCTGTTGCTGCGGAGACTGCATCAGTTGAGGATGCGAGTGAACAGGAGAACTGGTCTCGAGACGAGCACGATGATCTGTCGCAAGGAGCAAACCGCCCATCTGTCCGCAGTTGCCCGCCATAGGGTGAATTTCATAACTGCTGCTCCTATTGATGATGTTGGGTTGCATCTGTGTGTATGGCTGCTGTTGCTGCGCGGTAGGGCTTGGAGGCGATCTTTTCTTGAGGATACCCTTGACATGAGCATGAGGGAGATGTTTTGTCATCATAGTCGCGCAGGATGGTGGAGCAGCCTTGAGGACAGCCATGTCGGCTTGCATCAAACCGTTGGCGGTCAGGATGGTGGCCGAAGCTGGCTGCTGATCCTGGGATCCATTCTCCTGTCGACCATACTCCTGATCATTTCCATCACCGTCGGGGGCAGTGGAATCGTTGTCATCACCTTCGAAGCTCGAAGGTGGACTGCCGATCCTCTCCTCTGCCCGCTGTTGCTGCTGCTGCTGCTGCTGCTGTGTAAATGCGAAGACGGACACCTTGTTATTGTTGATGGTCTCGGATGAAGAGGAGTGAGATCCCCGACGGAGGGAAGAAAACAGGGCCCTAGGGATGACCACCAGATTGGACCGCCGATGACCACCACCTCCACTGCCACCACCACTGCCACTGCCACCGCTATGACCACTCTCACTTCCGCTACTGCTTCCGCTTCCTGCAGACCCGACAGGCGACAGTCTCCGCTCGTCAGGATAAGGCCCGTCACTGTTGCCATATGTAGTGTTGACGGCCAATGGCAGTTGTTGCTGGTTGTTGGAGGTAGAAGATGATGTACTAGGTATACTGTTGAAGGGCTGGACGACACTCTTTCGTTTGTCAAAGAGCCGGCCTGCAAGTGACCAGCGTCGAAAGCGTCTCTCTTTGGATTGAGGAGGTGGAGAAGTATTGCTGTTGCTGGTCTGTGCGGTTGTGGTACGAGAGATGGGTGGGTATTGTTGATGTTGTTGTTGTTGTTGTTGATAAGGTTGGGGCAACTGGGCGTAGTGGAATGCTTGTTGTTGTTGAGGTGGATATGGACCCTGCTGGGGCATCTGCATATGCATGGACTGCATGATTTTAGTGGTATGAGTGGACAAGGAAGAGAGAATTATATGAGTGAGGGAGAGAGAGGGAAGTAGATAAGATAGAAATAGATGAGTAAGTGAACATTGGTATGAGCAAGAAGGCAAAAAAAGGTTGAGAGTAGGTGAAGTGAAGAAGAAAAGCTTTTCTTATGAAGATGCGCGGTAAAGGAGGGGAAAACGAGGTGAGACCGGTAGTCGCAGGTGCATTAACTGCATTGATTGATCAATTGAACTGCGCTGATGGGGATCCTACAAACAACAACAGAAGAGCTTCTTGAACCACCATCATCGCCAGGTTGGACCCTGCCACCCACTTTCGAGACTCCGTCTGGAGAGAACGCTTACTTCACTCTCGCTTGACCTATTCTTTTACGCTGCATGTAGTGCGCACGAATCGAGTCTTCCCATTTAAAGTAGACTACTGAATGCATATATTACGCCCATCTGCCCATTCACCAAATGTTCTATCCCGATAGGAATGAAAAATAAACCATCATCTGAAGGGCAGTAGCAGTAGCTATGCCGCTGCCTTTGTTTTTTGTTTGTTTTTCTTGGATGTCTTCGATCGATGTGCGCAATCGAATGCTTACCTACATAGAGACAGAGATCGGAAGGATCTGAGTCGCCGGTTTCAAAATAACAATCCAAAAATTATTCTCACTGATCGCGTCTCATTCAACCGCTCACATCCTAGGCATGAATCTTATTGACTCTTGGTTCCCCCGCCCATTGCTTGTGCCAGTTCGTTTTACTCATGCTCGCCTCGTCTCTTTATGCATCTTCAGACAAAGAAGCACAGCTTCCTCTCAACCTCCCCTGATTCTGTGACTCCAGAGGAGTGGAAGGGATCTTGTCTTCTCTCCTCTTCTATTCGCAAGGATCCTGAGATAACCAACCGACAATGACTGACCAAAAGAGCAGCCGTGTAACAGAAATGAGACACAAATAAGTTTCAAGTAAGCCCGCTTCGTCTTTTGGGATGACCAAACCGAACAGTTACTTTTTCTTCAGGGGACAAGGAAAGGGCGTGTGTGAAAAAAGGCAGAGAGAACGGCGGAACGGAGAAGGGGAGACCGTTGTGGTGCGCCAGAGTACATGAGACATGACCACTCTAGAGCAGCCCATTGTGTGAGCCTCTCATTCCTGTGCACAGACACTCTGTTTAGTCGTTTTGCAAGAAATTACACTAAGAAAGCGTATAGGAATTCTACGAAGAAACCAGGGCTACGTACTGTTTTCTTGTTGTAAACGCTGCTTCCTCTCTTATCAACTGAGTAGATACGTCGAAAGACGAAAAGGAGTAGAAGAATAACACCGAGGAAAGCGTGCAAAGCAAATAGCAGAAATGCAGAATAGAAAATAGACTCCTCCCTTGTATCTGCATGAATGTACTTACCTTTTTTGTGGCATGCCACATGCTTTGCCTGGTTGCATTTTTTTCCTTCAAGGATTAGGGTTACTACAGTTCGGCGACAAAGGAGGAAAATAAAATAGGCTTTGTTCATGTCTCAATGGCAAACACAAAAGATAGAGCAGCGTGTGAGGACTGTAATAAAATGCCAAGTGGGGCTAAAAGGGGAGAGGGGAGGTGTGGTGGCACATGAAATGTGTTTGTGTTCATGCATAGGTAATTTGAGGGTGGGGGTTCCTCTTGGGTCCCCGCGGAGGAGTGATGTCGGTCAACTTTCTTTGGTTTTCAGATGCTTCAAGGATGTGGGTTGAAGGTGAAGAAGCATCTTGAGAGCGGCGGCTGTCGTTCTCGACCCCCTTCGTTGCATATGCCGTCTGTTCAAGGATTACAGAAATAGGAAACCAAAGAATGAAAGAAAAAGAAAACAGGGAACAATGGCCGACATGCATCCCCTACCGTCGCTCTCCTCGATTTATTTGTGGCAAGGCGTGCGAATTCAAAAAACTTTCCTTTTGCTCCTTTTCTTGTTTGTTTGAATGCATTGTTCTTCAATAATGTGGTTCTCCGGTGTGAACGACAGAGGGAGGAGAGAGAGAGAGAGGATTTTGGTGGGTGGGTGCTCGTTCCTCCTCTGCCTCTTCTTTCCTTCTTTTGCTTGTTTGTTTTGCTTGCTTCTGCATCACACACATAAACAAACAAACAAAACGACAGTACAAACAAAACAGAGGAGAGAGGAGCAACAACGTCCACGAAACGGCCATGGTCTGACCATTCTCCGCTCTCTCCCTCCCAACCTACACATCATTTGACCAACCCCCAATTATTGCATCGCCTGATAATTTATTACTCAGTTTCATGGACTAAATGGCATATGGGTCAAATGCATGGACTACGAAAAGTGAGGATGAAAGTGGATGGCGGGATGTTCCTTGAGCCCATTGGTCTGGTCCTTGTCAAGGTTTTTTGCTTCCATGTTCATTTTTGTTATTGATTGGTCAAAGCAGATGTTGTTGGTGCGAAAGTGTTTGAAGGTACACAAACGCGGATGAATGTAACCTACAGGTTGATCCACTTTTGTTGTGGTTCCTGTGCCATCGCTTACCTGTTTCTAACTCCACTGCAACACTCACTCCACGATGCACAAAAAAATAATAATCAGACAAGGCACGACACGTCAAAAACGCACACCCCCTGGGTAGATCCGAGATCTTCCATAACCCTCTCTCTCTTCCGCCTTTCGGCAAAACAGATAAAAACAAGAGTCAGAAAAGAAAAAGGAGTAAAGGGAGTATATTGAGGGGTGAATGCGAGGAGGGAGGAATGAGGGAATACTTCAATAAACCATGTGAACAGCAGCACCACATCCATAACAAAAAATGGCACGTATCTCACCCACCCCCACCCCCTCGCCTCTTGTATTCTTGCAGAGATACCTCGCCCCTCTTCTTACGAATGCGCATGGAACAAGAGTTGATACCCATCTATCAAACCCTCATACTCCCATGCACGTGTTGGAACGCGAACATGGATGATACATAATACGTACTTACAAAAAAAAAGGAGGGTGCCTTGTCGTTCTGTGATCGTCATTGAGTATGGAATGGGAACAAAAAATTGCATTTTTGTACTGTAGCCAGGCAATGTCTTTTTGCTCTCAGCCAATGCGTTCTCCTGTTGTGCGATGTGGCTTTCCACACTGCAGCATGCTCTTCCACCTCCCCTTCATTCCAACAATAACAAAAACAACATGTCAACGCCTCATCATTTCACGTAAAGGGAAGAGAGGAGGCTCAAAAGTAGAAAAAAATCATCCCACAACAAGTACAGTACCACATCAACTTTCTTCATCCCATAGATGTGAAAACCAAATACGACAGTTTCGTTAGTGTTGCGTCTGCTTTGTTTACATCGAATGCCAGTCTACTCTCTGTCCATAGAACATTGTGGAAAATGGCCAGGGACGGAACGACAGCCGAATGTGCGTTTATTTTAGTTTATTGGCTCTCGCGCATTTTTTTCTTGTGCAAGGTGTCTTTGTCCTCTCTTCGTTTGTGTTCTCCTGTGCTCTGCGTCCTCGACCCTGCCCAACCCTCAACCCCCTACCCTCAACCCCCTACCCTCTCTGTCTAGTGCTCAGTTCAAATCAATCGGCATTTGTTTATCTATTGGTTGAAAGAGTGTGTGTACATTATTTTGTGCAACCAGAGGCCCAGTGCGTTATTGGTGGTTCAAACTACCACACACTTCTTCCTTGTTATGTGTCCCTTTTTTTTTTTTTGTGGTGGGAGTGTCGATTGGTGACGAGAGGGCAAGGGATGAGAAGGGAATGAGTTGTTTATGGTTCTTGGCGCATTGGAGTGCGTTTATGTACATCGGCGAATAAAGAGAGTAGTAACAACGATAAATAGAAACATAGAGAATTGATCTATGCGTCTCTCTATCGTGAGAGAAAAAAGAGTGAGAAAATAAGCGAACAGGATTTGAGAGAGACAGAGACCTTGGGGGAGCTCGAAAGTGAGGGAGACAAGCGGAAACAGGGGTTGGGTGGATGCAGAAGCGAGTGGGAGGGGGGTGACATATATGATAGAAAGGGGATGGATGGATGCACAAGCCAAAAAAAAAAAAAAAAAAAAAAAAAGAGGGGCGTGGGCACTGCACGGCGCGCGCCTTCTTTTTCGTTCCATTCTCAAAGTCATGGAAAGAGATCGGTCGGAGTTGAATGGTTGAGCCATCTCAATGGGATTGTGCAAAGGGGAATGCAAGAAGAAGAAAAAAAGGTCCAAAGGACAGTCGAGATCCATCCAGGGGATGATGCACAGGGCATGGCAGGACATGAGTGGACAGGAGTGGACAGGACAAGTAAGATGAATAAAGCGTGCTTTCATCTCTTCTGTGATAAAGAAAAAGAAAGGGGGCGTAAACATGTAGGGCATAGTACGTGGTGTAGGGGCAGAAGAAAAAAAGGAGAGGGCGATGATGAAAAGAAAGAAGGGGGAGGAGGATGAGTGGTAAGTAGAAGGAAACACAGAGACTGAGAGAGAGAGAGAGGGGGAGAAAGGCTGAGAGAGAGAAGAGAGAGAATAAGTGTTCGTTGCTTGTTGTTATGACTGATGATGAGGATGATGTGTTGATATTTCGTAGGGATTGTTATGCGTACGATACCGCGTTCATTTCATTTTTCTTTTTCCCCTTTTTGCAGGGAGGATAGCGATCTTCCTTTGTTCTATGCTTGCTGGGAGTATTTTGTTGTCTTTTCTTCCCGATGGTTCCCAGCAGGGAAAAAGGGACATGGGAGAAGTAAGTTCTTCCCATCGTCCGTTTGTTCCTGAGACGTTTTATGAAAGTAGTTGTTTCTATGAACGACCGACCCGAGAAATGATAATATCTGATAACTGATATCGCTGATGAAATGATGAGAAAATATATCATGGTCCCATCAAATCACCAAAGTAAGACTGATTGAGTTTCTCCCTTTTTTGTTCTTATTCTCAGTCTCGTTTCTTGGACTTTCCTTTTGATCACTTCCGTTCCTTTCGTTGTCAAATGTGTGGGCTGTTGCTCTTGATGTTGTTTTTCGTTGTTGTTTGTCGCTCGGTTGTGTTCTTGACCAGCCCAATGAACCGTTGCCGCGGTCGATTTTTTTTTGTGCTCTATCATCATTCCAGTTCATTTGCTTCTTGTGTTCAAAACTCTCAATGCAAAACAAACCCTAACCTATTCGGCTTCTTCTTAGCATCGCCTTTTTTCTTGTATTTTATTCATTTGCACATCCAACCATTCATTCAAGAATCTATAGAGAGTGGGCGCACCCTTCCGAAAGTTTGTTTGTTGGGCCAGACAAAGACGACATATAGAACGAAAAAAAGAGTTCAGGAGACGGCGACAAATGGGATGGCGAGAAAGGTATTTGTTATCACAGGCAGGCCGAGCTTTTGCGTGTTTTGTTTTCTTGGTGTCGCCTTTTTGTGTTTCCTGGCTCTTGCTCAAAAAGTAATACTTTTGGTTTACACTACTTCTCACCATTGAGTTGCGTGCCCGCACACGTTCGCAGCTTTTGGGTTGGTGGGTTGTGATAGTTTTTTTTGAGGATCAGGTTTTGGGACACAAAGGCTCTCGCACATTTTCCATGATTCTTTATTATTTTATGTCTGGTTGGTTGAGAAATGCGTGTCCTCCAGGCGTGAACAAAGGCAGACTGGAGGTATGGAGTAGAGACAACGAAAGACAGAGAGAGAAAGATGATCGAGAGACTATTCTGGAGTGAGAAGGGGAGGCGAAAAAGCAGGCACGCTGACATACGAAGGAGAAGGCGAGAAAAAGCAAAAGAGGAAGGGATGGAGTTTTTACTCGCGGCGCATACATGAAATGCAAGAGCAAGTCGATCGAAGATGACTTGGCATGAGAACAACAACAAGGAAGTAAAAAAAGAGAACGACTAAAATAAAAGATGTCGATGTTGATTGATTCGCCCTTTTGCTTTCACCCTTTAGCCCTTGTTGGCTCACAGCTTTTTTTTCGTTTCTTTGTGTCCACAATTGTGTGTGTGCCCCTGGTCTTTGTTGTTTGTACTCACACATACATTTGACAAGAAAAAGGACAAACGAAAACATAGTTTGTTGTTGTACATTTCTTTTTTTGTAATCATAAACCAACCTTCCCATTGACCATTGGGCAATCCCTTGTTTTTCCTTGTGCTCTGCTCCTTTTCTTTATCTGTCTCTCTGCCTTTTGTTGTCAGACAGATAGACAATTGGTTTCTGCTTGATTGGACAGATGGATGTTGCCACAACAAAATGGGATTGGGACAACCGAAACCACTTTCAGCCCTCACTCTTTCTCCTTCGACATTGTCAAATGTGGGAACCATAGAAGCCAATTGCTTCAGAGTTCATAGGAAACAAGCGAAGGCAAAAGTTAAGGACAAGTTTGGCTACAAGGTAGGTACATATAACACACAATTGTTTTCGTATGAACCGGCTCGTATTCTTGTTTTGCTTTTGTCGGTCGTTCATTCATGGACGATGGACGACATTAGATTGTTGTCGATGTTCATGGTCCGAGAGATACATACATTGTGTCTCCGGTGGTACTCATTCTTCTCACAAGTGGATGCTCAATCACTCATGCCCATCATACTTGCTGGTTGCTGTCTTTTTTAATTGCTGTTCATTGGTGTGTGTGTCTGTGTCTGTGTCTGTGTCTGCGGTTTGTTATCGTTGACTGCATGCCGAGGAAGAAAGAAGTCGAAGCATCAGCAGGAATGGCTTGAATTGTTCCTTGTCCTACAAAGCAACCCTTTTCTATTCAATCTTGTGCATCACACACTCCCTCAGAACAAGATACCCTAGAAGAGGGGCACCACAGCACTGTCCAGCAGCAGCAGCAGCAGCAGCCTTTTTTTTATATCCCTCTTTCTCTTTCTATTTCTCTTTCTCTTTTCTTCCTCTCTCTTTCTCTCTTCTTCTCTCTTTCTTCTTTTTCCTTTTACTTGTCCTTCCTTCCTTCTCCTCTTCCCTTCCCTTCCCTTCCGACCCTCCTACCCCTCTTGTCGTTTTTCTTTGTCACTGCACCCCTCTGATTACTTACTTGTACTCACCACTGACACCGACACTGACATTCAAATAACCACCCTCGGACAGTACTCTTCTTCCTCTCTTTCAAAAAAGCAACTCTCTCTCATCATTCATTCGCTCACTCCACTCTTTTTTCCTTTGTCTTTTTTCTTTTCTTTTTCTTTACTCATTTTCACGACCACGACATCATTTTTCTTATTTTTCTTCTTTGTTAATCAATCTGCGTCGCCGTAATCTCACTCTTTTTCCGCTCATTTCTTATTCAACAAAAGTCCTTTTTACTTGTTCTTTCTCATCGAAGCAGTGAGCACCAAAAACCACCGAGAGCTTGAGCCAAGAACAAAGCACCAACAACAATACCCACATACACACACAATCTCTCTCTCTTCAAAAAGGCGCAACAATAACTACAACAACAACAATAACTTCAACGAACGACCCCTACGCACACACGCATAACACCCGCTCACGAACTCACAGCACCAATTGAACCCACGACCCTCGCGGTATCACCTCGCACAACCACTTTTACCCCACCTCGCCTTCCCTTTCTTACTGCTGCTGCTCTCTTTCGCGCAACGCTCTCCTTCTCATCTCTTTCTTTCTCCTTTCTCTCTTTCTGTCTCGGTCCTTACCGCCTCTTCTCCGCTCCACCTCTCTTCCTCCACACACACACGAGACACCCTCACCCACACAAACACATATACCCCTACCTCCCTTCAAAGCAGAGCGCTTTTTCTCACCCTTCACAGCCACCCAAAGTTCGGACTATCGTTACACGTCCATTCTCGCTCCATTGCCTGTCACACCTACTACATCTTGTTACTTGAGCCATGACCACCACAACAACGCCCCTCGCCAACCTGGCAGACCCTTCCAAGGACCGCACCTCCACCGCCAACCCAAAGCAACACGCGGACTACACCGATAAAGCGGAGCCCAGATCGCTTTCTATCGACTATACCTCCACTACCACCAATGGCTCCGCCGGAGTTCCGTCTTCGTACTCTTCGCGTCAGCACCAGCAGGGACACTACGGCCAAAACCAGGCGGGCAATAATAATGTCTACTCCGAAGATTACTATGACAACAACAACAACAACAACCAACAACAGGACCATTACAACAATACCCACAGTCACCATTCGTCGACTTCCTCTTCATCGTCGTCCCATTATCCCCACGGTACTAATGGCTCGTCCTATCTGCCCCCACCAATCCAAACGACTGCCTTTGCTGGACACAGCGATGGCAAGAATGGTGATTCGTCCTTATACCCCCAACAACAGCAACAGCAGCAGCATGGCCACGCTCAGGCTATTCATGCGTCTTTCGTTTCACCTACTACGCCCACATCGTCCGCACCATTATCGCCCAATGGTGCACAGCAGGCATATGCACAGGGCCACCACGAGTATGACCGCCCCCAAAGCCATTCATACCACTCTTCACATCACAGTTATCATACCTCGTACGCTCAGGAGCACCCACATCCTTTGTAAGTACATCATGATCTCTCTGTTTTCAGGAGGGATAGGGGAAAGAAAAAGAGAGAAAGGGAGGACTAGAATGTGCGCTGAGATTAGTTGATTTTATGAGCACACTGTGTCCACTTTTTTCTACTTTCAGGGGTCGACCAACAATGCAACAGCGACAACAATCGCAATGTCGGGGCTGAGATAAAAAATGCCAGAGGATGGGATTGCGTTCCTGGAAAGCTCGTAACGTACTTTTTTTTGTCAACTAACACGCATGGCTGTTGTTGTTGATGATGCATCTAATGCTAATTAGGAGTCCTACGGAAGGAAACGGCCATCATGCCTACAACAGCCATCCAATCCCAACTGGAAAGATCGAGAACGGCAACAACGGAGCTAGCAATGGATCCTACTCCTCCTCGAATTCTTCGTATTACTCAAGGTAAGCCTTACCCAATGGTCCCTATTGTCACATGGACCACTGTATTTGGCCTTGTTGATAATGCATTATGGCTGAATCCCGCCCGTCACTTGAAAAAAAAGAGCCGATGCCACCCCTCAGTATACACACCTTCGCTCCTGGAGTTCAGTTGCAACCCATTCACTCCCTAATTACCATGTGTCGCGGGTGTGTTAGCGCGTCCTTCGGTCACATGGTAGCACATTGGAAACTCATCCTTCATTCACGGGAAGTGTGACCGAAAAGAGCTGGATTATGGTTATGGTTGCGGCTCTGATGCTTTTTGTCTTGGTGGTGGCGAGTCCAAGTGAAAATCTGGGTGGGTGTATGTGTAATTGATTGAGTGGGTTGAGAGCACGATTTTGTCGCCATTCGACTTTCTTTTCTAATAGCTATCGATGTGAGGCATGTACGTTCCTTCTGGTACCTTGGATTGTGTTTTTCTTCGGATTGTTCACATCCGCACGAAGGTTCAATGGCCTTTAGTATGACACAGGAAAAAACATAAAGTAGAGAGCGCCTTTAATTCGTACGCCGAGAAGGAAGAGGGGGAGGACGAGAGCATCGGATGCAAGGGAGTTGGATAAAAGGGAGACACGGTCGTTTTTAGTTTGTCTTTCGTCTGGGCTTTGGCATCCAACATTTGGCTTTGTCAAAAAGAGGCACGCCGACTCGAGATTGTGCTAAAGAGCCCTTCTTTTGTTTGTTTTTTATTTTCTTCCCATGCCCCATTTCCGAAGGTTGCCTTCTCCCTCACGCACATTTAAACATGCTCGACTCTTTATTTGCGAACGTGTCGTTCGTTTATTTTCTCGCCTTTTTCTTTTCATGCTCTCTTACTCCCTCGCCCGCTTTTTGAGAAGAGAAGTAATAACACTGCGGGACTAAAACTCAACTGGGGGGCCACAAGGAAGAAGGGCTGACTTGATGAGTTTGTGTCACAAAGCGGGGCCAATCAGCGTGCATTCTTTTTTCCCAGGGCCCAATGAATGATTATACAAGTGGAGCTCTCTTTTTTTCTTCTTTTGTTCGCCATCTCTTCATGCTCTCGCCTCGTCTCAATTACTCACTTAACTCGCCTTTTTCATGCTCACTTGTTCTTTAGGAACTACCCTTACAGCTCGAACGCAAACAGCTACAGTTACAACAACAACAGCAACAACCACAGCCACGCCAAACATGGGAGTATCGACGAGCAACCCCGCAGCCCCGACGAAGTCTTCCCCAATGGCCCTGACCCCTCGTCTTCATTGTACTCGACCTCGGCCCCTTCTCCTTCAATGGGACCTCAATCGCCAACCATCAGGGTCAAGCGTCGCGAAGTCTTTCCTTATCAGGAGAGCCCTTACTTTTACCCAACCCAGCAGCTCTGCAACTTGTTCAGTCCTGACCAGTCCATGAAGTATGCAATATCATTTGTTATGTTCTCATTTGTTCTATCGGTTGACTTGGAAGCGCATGGAAGAAATTGAGAAATGTGGACTGCCCGGTCTGGAACGTGGGTTGCGCCCATTTCCAACCCCGCTGACCAACATGGAGGTGTCTTCTTTCGCTCACGCTACCTTCTTGCTGAATGAGCCACTAACGTCCCTTTGCTCTCTTTTTTTTACAGCTACAACGTCAAAATTGCGGCCAAGATCGACCGCGGCTTTTTTTTGGCATCCAACGACTGGACTTGCTACCGTCGCAACTATTTCCAGCTCAGCGCTTCTTTCGGCATTCAGGGACTGGACTCCTCCGTCCATTCGGAGGTACCTTGCTTACTGGAGAGAAACGGCGACCTGTTGGCAGTCCGTTCCTTCCTGGTGTGCATCGGCGCTCAAATCCAGAACGGCGAAAAGGTGATCGAGTTGGTTCAACATACCCCGAAGCGTGACAAGGGACCACAGATCACCCCACGCCCCACTCACATCCGCGCCGGCGGTGATTTGAACGCCAACTCTCCAGGCTCCTATGTCATTACGTTCGAGCGTGTTCAGTTCAAAACCGCCACCGCCAACAACGGCAAGCGGAGGGCAGCACAGCAGTACTACCAGGTCCACGTGGATCTCTTTGCCGAGCTCGAGTCGGGCGATCTCATCCTGGTGGCCAAATCGTACTCTGCCCCACTGGTTGTCCGTGGCCGTTCTCCTGGTCACTACGCCGACAACGACGAGGACAACCAGGATGGCGTTCAGGGTGTGGATAGCCGTCATCATTACAGGAACGACAGTGTCAGCAGCATGTCTGGTGCCCCTCTTGGCTCACCAGTCTCGCCTGGAGAGTACCCCTACTACTCTGGATATGCGTATGGATCCTCCTATCCATATCAGTCGCTGACCTCAGCATCTCACATAGCCCATTCACAAGATGCTGGTTATTACAACGGTAACCGCAAGGATTCGGAGTCATATCCTGGAAGTCCATTGTCTCCTGCAGCTGTTCCTCATGCGATTTCCCATGCAGGTGGTAAGACAATATTAGTCATTGGGGCATGCAAAAATGCAACTACTCTTTCTCATGCACACCGTTCAGTTATACTCACATTTTACTTGTTATCGTCACTATATAGAATCAGTTTCGCCTGACATGTACAGTCCAGCAGTATTTGTTGGACCCGAGTCACCAGCCTTGTCGATGGGTCGGGTCTCTCACTCAACGAGTCACTATGGAGGCGGCAACAGCTCCTACAACCACTACTCGTCGTCGTACAACAGCCAACAGCACAATTACGACATGTACCGGGATCAGGATCATGAGACGCAGATGGCAGGCTTGCGCATCCATTCACCATCGAGCCCCAAACCTTCAAGTGTAGCCAGCTCGCCCTCGGTCACACCTCGCCGACAGTCGTTCAGCTCGATGTTGATCTCAAAATCAACAGAACGTAGCGTGGGCGGATCGACAACTCGCAAGTCTCGGTCGATCTCGTTGTCTGGAACAACAACCACGACGACTGTCAGCAAACGCCCTATCAGCAACTCGAGACCTTCGCGCACCGTCCCCGCGACTCCACCAAACGAGATGCATAGCAGGGCAGTCCATGGTGTTTTCTCGAAGGATCGCATCCCCGAGTCACCCATGGAGGACCAGCATTTGTAATGAATTCAGTTTTTTTTCCTCCCTTATTTCTCTTTTCATCGTTTGTTTTATACCTCTCGTCATCGAAGGCGATTGCTCTTGTATGTAGCATGTAGCTTCAGTCGCTGTTCCCTTTCCCACCCATTTTTATCTTCTCTCTTTTTTTGGACCACATACCCCCGCTGTTTTCTTCTTTTTCTTTTTTCTTGTCTTTGTCTCTCAAACACCAACAAAGAAATTAATGAATACGAAAAAAAACAGCAAAGATATGCTGTGCGCTGGCCGCATCGCCTACTTTTCCGTTTTTTTTTAATATGCACGCGTGACGTAGGACTGTGTGTATTAACTATTAAGCTCCTCAGTCAAACTGCTCAGCTTTTGTTTTGTGCCTTCCCAACAGTTCATCACAACAATTCATCACATCAGGAGACGACCGAGATTCCCACCGCCGCATTTTGCTGCTTTTTGACATCAGGATCACTCATCCCAGAAAACGGATACCGGCTACCATCAACATCGCATCGAAAGCACCTATACATCTTTGCACGATCAACTACCTCGTCAACATCAGCAGAAATAATGAATCCAGCCACAACACGATCACAACCCGCTACCACTACTCCCGCGAGTACTACTTCGGTCTTCAGAAGTGGTGTCACCAGGAATAGCGGTAACGACAATAACCCCTTCTTGGAAACACCTGCGCGGAAACTGTTCAAGCACCACCACCACCACCACCACCACGACGGCACCACCAGCAGTAGTGGCGCCTTTTCCGGATCGGGCTACACGCACCAGCAAGGTTCTACGTCGATGTCGTCTTCAGCGTTTGTCCGGGGACTATCTGGAGGAAACCATGCGTTCGCGAAAGGAGGAGTAACAGGAGCAGTTGCGCCATCTTTGCCGTCCTCAAGGAAGCCGCAGCGACTTGTGCTAACAAGAGTTATGCCGTCCAGTACCACCACCAGCAACAACACATCGTCGTCTACTCCACTCTCTGCAACAACTCCGATATCGGGGATGGGGTCAGTACCGGCAACGGTGACGACTGCCACAGGCGGAGGAGCGGGAAGAGAAGGAGGAGGAGGAAAATGGGTAATGACAGCATCTTCGCCGGCCGAGCCATCGTATATGAGCACATTCGCGACCTCGTCGCCTTTTACCACCACGACGATAGATACGACAATGCATGTCAAGGACAGTCATGGGTTCATCATCCCATCTGCACCCACCGCTCGTACTTCAGGAAAGACACCTCGGGTACATCAACAACAGTATCCAAGTACGACTCCCAAGGGCCCACCCAACCAACATTATCTCGAACAACTTGCCAAATCGCTGGAATCAGAGCCTGCGCCAAAGCTGAATCTGGGTCTCGTTTCAGTAACGGGTGAGGGAGAGGAAGGGTTACAGGACCAGGAGAAGGAACAGGAACAAGAACTCCCGGTCGAGGCTGTTCCTCCAGCGAACTCTAGGATGATGGATTTTGCTCGCAAGTCGATCATGCAGCACTCTGCAGCGGTGCCTGGGTCTATTTTCCGCAAGCTGGGCAACAAAGCGGGATCTCAGCAGTCGTTGACTCATTCGCAGGCGCGTTCTTTGATCAGCAGCAACGATGACAGCAGGACTCTGCATCAGCCTTCTGTTACCTCAAAGCCGACGCCACCAGTCCAACCACCAGTCCAACTACTAGTTGCTATAAAACCAACGGCGGCAAAGGCCGTGTCGCTTCAGGAAAGGATGACCACAAAGCGTCCAAATGAGTCGACGGCGGCAAAAGAGGCAAAGGAGATCGTGAATCGTTGGGAGCCGGCTGGAGACTTGGCGTTCAGATTCGTGCCGTCTCCTAAACCTCCTACCAATCCAACAGCAGAAGCAACGGCACCGACAACGACAGCAAAACCATTAACCTCAGAGACTTCGACTCCTTCTCACGTGTTTTCACGGAGTGTTCTTGACTTTTCTGGTCCGAGTGAACCCAAGTTCCAAAGGAAGCCTGCCCTGAACCCCACGATCACCCCTGCCGCCGCCACACCCATCAGCAGCAACAACAGCTACAACAGGTTTTCAAAACCTATATACCCTAATAAGGCACACCAGCCGCCTTCGATGACTGCGATGCTGAAGGACATTTCGTCCGCAAAGGAGAACAGGATGCCACCAACGACTGCAACCACTACTAAAACAACAGCAGCAACAACGGATGTGGACGTGGAAATGGGCGATGGGGGAGCTGAGGGTTCTGGCGGCCCTCAACGGCCGTCGCCTGCTTTCGACATCAGAGCAGCATTGCGAATGGTAAGCTTCAGATCGTTTTTATGCAGAGCACACTCGTGCGCACTCGAACTTGTAATTATTTCGATGTTCAATAGGTGAACTAACACACTTAACTTTTATCAACTCTCCCTCTCATGTTGATAGGACTCTGCGAGGACACAGTATCAGCTACCTAGTCTGATAGCCTCACTTTCACCACCACCGAGCCCTCGACGCCGGCCCACACCGTACTTGATTCCTTCCGCCAACGATCGGGAAGCACTGCGGATACGTCGGACGCCTGGGTTCAAGGCGCGGCCATTAAATCCCAAGATTTTCACGGGCGCAGGAGATCTTGGGCTTCCCAAAATTCAAAAGCCAGCGCTCACGGTGCCAGTCTCGCCAGTGTTCAGTCAACGGAAAAGAGTCAAGGATGTGGTCGTTACCGAGGGGCTGTCAAAGGAGAAGGACGTGTCGTCGAGTACGGCGGCTACGCGGTTGAAGGAGATGATTGGGGCTGGCGCTGTGGAGAAGCAAAAGCAGAAGCAACAGAAGCAGCAGCAGGAGCAGACTGGCAGGCATCAGGTGGTCTCGGCTGGTGGCAGGCAACAATCTAGTAGGCGCATTGTTCAGCCAAGAATTGTCCATCATGCCCAGACATCGCGGCGGGACCGCAACATAGGCAAGGACAAGAGTCTTGGTGGTGGAGGGATGGGAGGTGGTGCGCGGCGGATTGAGGTCGCTGGCGTTGGGAGAGGAGGCCAGGTTGGTTTGGAGTCGTCTTTGAAGCCCGCATCACTGGTTGTTCCGAGCGTGGACCAGACGCGTCCTGATATCGATGTTGTTGGCGCTCCCGGGTCGGATTTGGGTCTGCACCACCACTATCACCACAACCACGAGATGTATACATCATCATCAGCAGCTACAGGTGGCGTATCCAAGTTGCGGCGACCTATTACTGCTGCTGGAGGTGCCACGACTCGGCCGGTGCCCTTCAACTTTGCGACGACCGAGTTGCAGCGGAAGCGGATGTTGTACCAGCCCACTCCTTCAGATTATTCTCTGATCGCCACTTCTGCGCCGTCTTCGTCCGGGGCTGTTGTTGGGAGCGGTAGTCTTATGGGTAGCACGAATGGGTTGTCGTTGGAGGACCTTATGCCTAACATGTAAAATATATCGTGAGAGACGATATTTCCTCTCCTCCCCTCCCCTTTCATTTGACCCTTCAATTTAAACAAATACTTTTTGTACCTGCAATTTCTTTGTTGGCAGGAAACCATTATTGTATCGATAAAGTCTGTTCAGCAAAGCATGATGACCTTCTGTTTGGGTGTTGCATAGATGCGAGACCAGTATACGATCTCGCTATACTGCTTACTTAATTTGCTTCCATCATATCATATCATACCTCTTCCAAGTTAACGTTCCTCTACTCTTGTTCTGCACAATTTACGAGATGTTCTTTTCATTTTTTGTATCTTTTCAACGATTAGAGTACATTCGCTCCAAAATGTGCATGCATCTTTCTTCAAACAGAACTCCAATTATAAAAATATACATGCTATTACTATATGTTCTACTTTCTGGTCTTCAGCTCCCCACGAGCAATCATTTGCTCTGTACACAGCTCCGTGGCCTGGTTGCAGGAATAGTTCCCATCTCTGGATCTGCGCTTGACCAAACCATCAATCTCTTCGAATGCTGCCAAGAGTGCCTCGTCTTTGGAAATAATATCATCTTGCATGAGACGTTTCTGGATAAGATTCACCTCGTTTGCTATTCTCCTGATGTTGCTGACATGCCTCTCCGTATTGTCTGCTTGTCGTTGTGGTAACCTGGCTCTGCGTTTGGAGTTGCCGTCTGTGGGCTCCAACTTCGCCTTTAGCTCGCTCTCATACCGACGAAACTCCTCGTATATACTCTTGGTCGAATTATGGTCTCTTGTCCAAATGAACCAGTCATCCCGTGGTTGGCCACGCGAACGCTCTGTCCCTTTCGATTGTCCTACTGCAGGCTCCGGTGGATGTGTTTCGGACGGTCGAGTGTCCTTAGGTTGATTTCTCAGTAGAAGTTCCAACTCGGAAGGATGATGTTGAATCGACGGTGGTGCAACAGTCGAAGGAAGATCCTGAATATCAGAGCCTGGGTGGAGCGGAAGGATCGCGACCGGCGTAGAACCCTTGACTGACTTGGACTGCTTCTGCTTTGGCGTGGGAGACGAGGTGCCAGAATTACGACCGCTGGGAGGCAGCCAACCCGGGCCTGGGACACCAGAAGTGCCGAAGTGGTTCGATTGGCCCGAATAGCCAGGAATAGGCCCTTGGAAGCGCTGCTGCCGCGCCATAGAGTCCATTGCTTGTTGCATAGACTGGATACATGCCGCTTGGACTCGAAGCTGTTCTTGTTGTTTACGAAAATCTTCCGCAAGACATGCGAGCATATTGTTCGTCCATACGCTTTGGCTGGACTGCTGGGCAAGGTTGTCATTAGCTGCGCTCAGGAGCTTCGTTAACACCTGCATGTCATTCGCCTGGTTCTGGCTCGATGCCTCCAAGGCGCGCAACATATTGTCGGGAATGTTTCGTGGCACATCAACTCTTTGTATCGTCACCGCCGCGATAACATCCTCCTCATCTTCATCTCTGTCACCTCCAAGTTCTTCAGGTTCTGACTCCGAGCCTTTCAAATAATCGACTTCAGAAGAATCTATCGCCATGTGTAGGGGAAAAGGATGTTAGACGATATAACGTAGATTGTTATAATATAATTAACGCATGCACAAATTACCTGGATCATCACAGTCTATATCCTCGACTATGAATGAAAGGCTCTTGTTGGCTGCCGCTTGTTTCGCGTTCTTTGGTTGCTTGGTACTTTCCGCTGGCGCGTTTGCTGAAGCTGTAAGGCCATTAGCTGAGTCGGTCCCATTGTCGGCTGATCCAGCTCGCTTGTTTCTGCTCCTCCGTTGTTTTTTCTTAGGAGGGGAGATGGCAATGAGAGGGATTGGTGAGCCGTGCCTGTTTGTGATTGGATTGGTGCTGCTGCTGGTAGCAGGATTGATTGAGCCTGAGTGTAGTCCCTTGTTTACGGTAGGCGGGGCTGATGATGTAGGTGAAGTGACTTTGTCGAAGTCGGCATTGTTTTCGTCGGCAATGGCAGCGAAGGAGCCTGAGCGTCGTCTCTTGATTGTGGTAGACGGAGTTGGTGGTTTGAATGGGATGCTCTTGGAGTAAGAGGCACCTGAGCGTGTTTCCCTAACTATGGTGGATGGTTTTGGTGGGGTCTGGGTGTCGGTAGAGTAGCCTCGCCTTTGTCCCCTCCTGCGGCTCATTATGTTGTCGAGAAGAGAGAAAAAAGTGAGGGCAGAGTGTTGTGGATAAAAGGTGGGCGGACAAGAAAGCGAGAGAGGAATAGAATATGGGGAGAATGGAAAGGTTGCAAGCTAAGCCAGGGAAGGGGAAAGTAGACAAACAACCACGCGTTTAGATGGATTTCTCTAACCAATAGGAATGCACTATATGTTGGAGACTCATCATCACTTACTATTTGAATGAGGGTTATGTCTGAAAATGAACTTATTCAACTCCTTCTCAAACTCCCGATCTTTTGACAGGTCTCCATGTATCCTCTTGAGTAAAGGCCAATGATCCAACATCCACTCAACATTGTTGACTTCAGGCGGAGATGCTTGAGAGGCGGTACATGGCAGATTATCGCTGCAAAGCCCTCGTCCGTGTAGGCCACTCTTTCCAACTCAAGATCCTCCAGGAGTGGCAGCTCAAGATAAGGAACAAATACATCGACCGGGAGGCCTTCAAAGGTCCTCGACCACCTGAGTCTCGTCAAACCACGACATACTTTCAGAATCCTCAGGTCATGGTCCCGCATGTCGTTGCCGTCCACTGTCAAGTAGGTGAGGCGCTTCAGTCGACTGAAGGCCACATCCAAGTTGAGTCCTCGTCTCGACTGGTCAAAGCCCGAATACTCCAACTCCTCGAATCGGCTGACCGCCCTCCAGAAAAACTGCTGGGCACCGTAAGCGAATTCCGGTAAACTGGCACCGTTCAGTTCGAGTCGCCTAGGATGAGGCAGCGTAGCAAAGGCAGAGAAAGACGGATAAGAAAGATAGCGGTTCCAAAAAAAAAAGAGACAATACTCTCCGCAATCAACGCCACCAACTTTCATAGTCTCAATTGATGATCCAACCGCTGTTTCCCTAGAACATTGATGTCTCCATCTGATGCCGGTCTGGTTAAAGAGGTCCAAAGAGGTCCAAAAAGCTCAGACTTTCGCCAGAAGGTCAAAATGTTTGCCCTTAAGGAAATCGAATCGAGATTGAAGGGCAGGTTTGAATGAGAGAGGAGTCAAAAGAAAAGGAGAGGTGCAAGAGTGCAATGAGCACAAAAAAGGAAGAAAAAAGTGGCTGCTTGTATTCTTACACGCGTGCAACACGGTCGCGACGTGATCATTTTTACGCGCCTACTTTTGTACATTGCAATTATCGCAATTATTACAATCGGGTTTTCTATCAGTGATGATAAAATACCATGTGTTGCTGTTTGGTCGCAAACATTTTTTTCAATGGTATGCAAGTACATGAACAGTCCATTACTAGCAACGCCTTTTCTTTTTGAACCACTTTAGTAAAACGAAAAGGCTGAAGTATACATACTCTTGAACAAATGTCTTTCAGCTCGTCTCCCTCGTTGTTGAAAGGGAAGGTGGGAGGAAGGCTCCTCATTCTACCCCATTCTGAAGCCCACTTGTCTCTCGCATGCCAATAAACGTCACTTCCAAGATGACCGTTTGCGATGATTTATCGTTTGCACGGAGCATAAAGTCTTTGACAACTACATGGAATGAGAACATGATCCAGTTGTAAGTAACATAATCCCTAATAACATTTCGATCTCTCTCGCGTTCAACCCTCCCACGAAAAAAAAACAAGGCTTACGGTGGGTCGTTGTGGTCCTGGAAAAGAGAACAGTGCTCTCATGGTTCTCAAAGGACGTGATCCTTCTTGTTGACATGACTTTCAGCTCCATGTCAAAGGTGAAAGCGCCATCGTACCGAAGCAAATGAATAAGAAAGTCGATAGCCTCGCAGTCGTCAAACACCTACGGCACCGAATGAAAAAAAAACCCCGCTACGTAAGTCCCTATCCACTCCATCCTCTTACATAGCTTTGCACCATGTAACGAAATAAGAAGTGGTCGCTATGATACCGTCTGTCGTATCTCCATTCTGAGTAGGTGGCGGCCAAGGTAGAAGATCGGGCTGAGGTGGGGCTCGCCTGGCAGGATGGGGAGCGAAATCAGCCATCGGTGTCTGACTCCATACTGCATCTCGCCTGAGTAGCGGTATGCAAACAGATAGTCGTCTTCCATGTTCCGTGTGACCGTGTGAGTATGTGTAGGGATAGAGGAGGTGGGAGAGGAAGGAAAGAAAAGGTAAAGCCGTGTAGCAGCCTTTATATTTCCTGCCGTGATTGTCAAATCACGTCCCATCAAAGCCATCCTATATCGTCGGTAAATAGGCAAGAAGCACTCATGCACACCATCACATAGGAGCCGTGTGTTATGAGGAGACAGGCGTCTTTTTGCTTGTGGAAATTAGTTGTGCAAGGAGAGGGAGAGGTAGTGAACAAGTACTCCAACGCCTGCGAAGTTTTCTAGATTTCCTACTCGGCTAGTGCCTCCTCTATTGTTATGCATGTTTGCACCTTTTTTGTTTACACAAGCCCAATCCATCCATGACGAGATAGAGGAGAAAGTGACACGGGCTTTAGCACCCGCGGTCAGGGTGTACGGATAAGAGGCAGGGATGAGATGTTGTAACACACCCGCCTTGAAGCCATTCCAGGCTTGTACAAGAGATGCGAGCGGAAGGTACACCGGAACATATACAATTGAGGAGGAGGGGTAAGAGGAGTGAATGACTCGGCCGACAATGAAAAAAACACCACCTTTTTGCCCCTCATTTTTCGACTCTTTATCCTTTCCTCTCTTTCTCTCTTTTCTTTGTCTTTCCTCCTCTCAGTTCCTCATCCCTCTTCTTTATACTTCTTCACAACCCCCACGTTCACATACAACTCTCATAACTTTATCAATACAACCAACAACCACTCACCAAGTCTACTGAAGCCCGATGTTATTTGTCTGGTTGGCAATCGTCCTGCCACCCACGCTGGTATTCGCTTATGTCGCGTTATCAGGCCTCTTCCTTCTCATTCGCTCTGGTCTCCAGGACCCCCAATCCCGTCGTCTGGCCCCTCTCCTCGTCGCCCTGATCATCTCCTCCGGCTACGTCCTCTCTTTCCACGAAGCTTCCCGTCCAATCTGGAAGGGTGTTGTCGGTCCCTTTGTCTCCCAGATCCTGCTCCAACTGGGATCCATTATTCTCAGCGCCCCTGTTTTGTCAGGTTCTGGTTCTTCATCGTCTGGTGCTTCGTTATTGGAGAAAGGCGAAGATGCGTTGGTTGCATCGATGCAAGCAGCAGGTGTGGTTGGGAAGGACTGGTTGAGTTCGGGGGAGTTGTCGCCAATTATTCAGAGGGAGGCGCATATCTCGCACCTAGTCGCCCTATTCTTGGGACTGTTCATGTCCTCGTATGTCACCGCCATGACCGATTCGCTCAAAAAGAGGAAGATTCCCAAGAACATGTAAGTCGATGAATGAGGTTCATTCCTTTGGAGGAGCAGGGAGTGGAATGAGAGACTGGTGGTGAAAGGAGGCATGCTTGTCTGTTGCGCCTGTCTCGGCGTTGTTTTTTTTGCTTTTCTTTGTTTTCTTTCCACAACTGAAGAATGAGGCGCTAGAGCGCAAGGTGCATGTATGGGCTCCTCGGTACTTTGTTTTCTTTGGTGTTCAATTGCGCTAAACTGAAATACACTATTCCCACATTTCACTCCAAAAGGTACTCGTTCGCGGACACCTCGTTTCGCATCGTGCTCAGTCTCGAGTTCTATCTCGGCACCACCCTTTGGTTCCGATTCTGCTTGGCCCCCGTCGCAGCCTACCTCGGTCTGACCAACGGCCCCGTCGCCGCCGAGAATGTCGATTGGATGGGATCGCTGGTCTTGGGGTTCTCCCACACGACCGCGTTTGCGTTCGGAAATTTCTTGTACCAGGATTATTACCGCCGTGGGTTTGACAAGAAGCCCGAGTATGCGTTCATCAAGTACTATTCAATCTACGGATCGATCTTTGTCATCGGAAGGATGACCACCCAGATCCTCTGTTCCATGAGGAGTAAGTTACCGTTGTTATGTTTGCATTTCTCTTTTGATAGAGTGCTTTGTTTGTTGTATTTGTGTTCGCTGTACATCATGTTCGTGTACTGTTCTCGATCTCGATTCTTCGTCCGCTTGCAGTGTGCAACTACTCCTTGGGGGTGACGACTATCCTATTCTCATTTTCATTTGAAGTACTCCAACTAATCCACATCTGTCACGACGCGTACATGCAAGTACAAGACCACACAAACACCAGGAAAAAAGTAGGGGGTTGGCTGGTTAGGGTGTTTGTTGAAGTGTTGGGGAAGTGGGGGATGAACGGACGAACGACTTTCTCCTTTTTTTTTCTTCCCTTTCTCCAAACGCACGACTCAGTGGACCCTCCTTCAAACCCTTCTTCCTTTCGCGCAACAGGAAAAGATAACCTCCTATTCGAGTGACTGACACGCGCTTTCCGTTTACTTTCTACCCTTTTTCGCTGGGAAACGAATCTAGGCTGCACTCGTGAAGGAGAGGCTCTGCTCATGCTTGCCATCTACTTCTTGGCCTTCCTTCATGTCACCATTGAGAACGAGACCTTTCACGTAAGCTTCACCCCTCCACTCCACAGAATTGTCACACCCTCATTTGTTGCTTTTTCTTGGTCATTTTTGTCATTGGTTTTGCATTGAGCACGGACAATAAGTCGACCAGCACTCTCTCTCTCCTTTTCACCCCTTGTGTCATGACCTTCGTTTGTTTATGTCTGTAAAAGAAAGATGGGGACCTTTACCCCAATGTTGTGTGTTTGCTGTCTACTGTTGTCCAACCTCGCTTAAACTCGATAACCTTTTCCTTATCCTGCTTCTAGAATGTCGTGTGGCCCTTGATGACCGTGGGCAGTTTCGCGATCTTCTTCTTAGACGCCTACATCAAACCCCTGGTGGCCCAGGCCTTCAACACCCTCATGGCCCCTCTCACAACAGCCCCGCCACTCTTTGTTATCCTCCTGACCAGTTTCCTCTCCGTCAGCATCTTTCGTTACCTTCAAAGCGGACCCGCCATCCCCGAAGACGCCCCCGTCTATGAGCAGATCCATGACCAGAAGCGTCGCGCCTCTTACTTTCCACCACCCTTCCCCAACGGATGGTACAAACTTGCCCGTTCAGGAGATGTCAAACCGGGTCAGGTCATTAGCGTGAATGGATTAGGGCGCTCGTTTGCGGTCTTTCGGGGCGAGACGGATGAAGAGGTTCATGTCCTGGACGCGATGTGTCCTCATCTGGGAGCCAATATAGCGATTGGAGGGGTGGTCGAAGGAGATGGAGTTCGATGCCCTTTCCATGGGTGGAAATTTGATGGCAGTACTGGACAGTGCATCGATATCCCTTATGCGAAATCAATCCCGAACATGGCCAAGACCAAGCGTTGGACTCATCGAGAGTTTGCGGGCATGATTGTGGTTTGGTACGATGCTGAGGAACGCGAGCCCATGTACGAGCCGGTGCCCTTCCCCTTGGCTGAGGGCACTTTCAACCGCGTCGGATACCGTCGTGGAACTCTGCCCATGCACATCCAGGACTTTGCCGAGAACGCCTCTGACTGGTATGCCTTATCTCTTTTACATCACGCTCGTCCATGTTGTGTATGCCTTGTGCAGAATTATTTACCAAGTATTATCTTTATGGGAACATGTCAAACAATAGGATGCACTTCAGTCTACTGCACGACAAGCTGTCGATCCCGATTCTGGACCGATTCTTCTACGTCAAACACCGCACCGAATGCAACTACGACCCCGAAACCAATCCCTTCAATTTTGTCTTCAACGACTACCCAACCGTCCACTCCATCTTCTCCGACGAGCCCATCCAAGCCGCCGAAGCCATGGCCCAAGTCGAGTTCACCGGACCCGGAGGACTTGTCTATTTCCGATTCTTCACTCCCAAGGGCCAAGTCGTTCTCATCAAATCTTTCCTCCCCGTTGGAGAGAAGGGTCTGCAGTTAACGATGGAGGACGAGGCGTATGCGGAAAAGTCGGTTCCGCTCTTCGCAGCCCGCCATGTGATCCGGGAGGCCAACAAGGCGTTTGATGATGATATCTTTGTGTGGCGACACAAGACTTATAAGCATAAGCCGTTGCTGGTCAAGGAGGATACACCCGTCAAGCAGTTCCGGGATTACTACCGAAAGTTTTATTCGCCCAACAGTCGTACCTATGCCCACGATCATCTCGACTGGTAGTTTTGTTGGAATCGGTCTTATCAGGGATCTTCTTTTGGTTGGATGGTGGGTTGGCTATTTGGTCTCTTTGTTCTTGGGAGATCGGGGGGATTTGTTCTGAGCTGCCAATTTTCGGTTGTTTGACGATTTGCTTGTGAAGTTGAAACTCTTTAGACAGTCCATTATCTACCTTTTTTTTTGCGTGTGTGTATGTCCTCAAGCATTAAAAAACGACAGCGTCAATGCTCACTCATAACAACAACGCCTTTTAAGACGATCTGTATTATGTTTGTGAACTGAAGAGAGTAGAAGATGAAAATGCTAAAGAATGCTAAAATGCGAGGGAAAAGGATGGGTTTGTGAGTGGGTGAATGTTGTTGTGTTGTGTTGTGTTGTGCTATTTTCGCTCAGTCAACCAAAAACTTTGTCCGATCTAAAACCTTCAACCCTCCACTCCCCGCCCTCCCTCCATCAACCTCAACCTTGGCCCGAATATCCTCCTCCGACCTCACACCATCCTCTCCTCCAAACGCTGAAGCACTCATCATCCTCGCAACGACCGCAGTATCAGCATGCATGGCCGCCTTAGAGACAATCGTGGGTGGTGCACCTTCCTTCTGGTAGAAGCTATGCGGCCCACCGGCTTTTCTGACGAGCTGTTGGTCCTGGTCGAGGCTGTGGAAGTAGTACCGTGAGGGTCTATAGGTTTGGAAAGGGAGTGGGCGAGGTGGGTATTGGAAGCTGTACAACTCCATCCTGTCCTTTTTGTTGTTGTGAGGTCGCAGTGGTAGTGGTGGTGGTGGTGGTGGTGGTGGTTGAGCGTGTATATTGCGGTAGGTGTACGGACGAGAAGAATTCCTTGATAGCGCTTGCGTCGAAAAGGCTTTCCGTTGCTTGCTTGTCGGTTGGTTGGTTGAGAGAAGATGAGAAGATGAGAAGATGAGAAGAAGAGAAAACGAAAAGTCGGGGCGTCGCAAAGAAAAGAAAAAAAAAAGAGGTGGACGAGAAAAACTGATCGCCTCCCTTCGTCTTCAGCATTGTCATCATAAGCTTTCTTCGCCTCGACTGATCACACTGATGATGATTCACAGACTTTTTTTTCTCTTTTTGTCACTGGTACAAGTAAAGGTAACCAGATCGGATGCATTTTACCCCTCACTCTCCTCATGCCCCTCTTTTCGATATCCTCTGAATAATACATGGAATGGAACGCGGGGTAAAAACAGAACGCAGCCAGTGATCACACTTCCAGAACTGCGCCCAGAAACAAAAAAAAAAAAAATCGGATTCACTGATGCCGTCACCTCACTGGTTCTGAACGACCGCTGCTGACACCTTTTTGGTGATGTCTTCTAGACAGACAGCCCTCCATAAGCAAAAAAACAACAAGTAGTAGTGCTTCCTATTTGTAATTGTATTGGTAGTTGTTGTGTTTTCAGTGAAGGAAAGGAGAGATTGCGTACAACGTCGAACAAAGAGTGCGACGATAAAGACATATCCTGAGAAAGAATAATGAGCTGTGCTATGCTGTGTTATGCTAAGAGAATATGTGAAGGTGTAAAAAGAATTTGCTATACAACCTCGCCTGGAGGTAAAAAAGAAAAAGGAGGTGAAGAGGGTACAAAAAATGAAAATGACTTGCTTCCCTCTCATTCTGTCAACCCGTGGGCTCCATGAGGGTCATCAAAGATATCCTGGAAATGTCCACTGTAAAAGACCTTCTCCAGGTGCTGACGGCCCTGCTGAACGTCAAGCGGGATCGAAAGGACATCCCTGATCAACGAGACTTGTGTCTGGTGGTGAAGCGCCGACGACTTTCCGCGTGAATCCGCAGGTACCCGGTTATGGTCGTCAAACCGATAATGGCTCGACGTCTGACTCGATCCACCTCCAAACAGAACCCTGTGACGCTGCTGGACAGTCTTAGTCAACGTGCCGTAGGCTCCAACAAAGACCTCTCGAATCATACGGAGCGCATAGGATCCCTTGGCCGTGTCGTTGGTCGGGTCGTTGGGATCGATTGAGCTCAGCAAAAGCTCCCTGTTGTTGGGGTTGTTGTTTGGGGGCTTGAGAAAGTAGCTACCGCCGTTCGCCACAGAGATTCCGACTTGGTTGTAGTTGAAGCACAGTCCGTACAGCTCAAAGAACTCGATCAGCAGCACTCCAAGGTTGTCCTCCGGGTTGAGCTTGTTGGCCTGGATCTGAGGGTGCATCTGCAAGAAGCTCAGGATCATGATCATGGTCGTATACGATCCAATACCACCCTGGAAGACTTCGTTCTGGCCCTTGATCATGAGGAAATGCTTGATCAACATCGTCATCGACCGCAGTGCAGGCGTCGTCTCCATGTAGTTCCTAACAATCTCCGCACTTTCGATACCGTTGGTAATGTTGAACGAAATATCGACGGGGATCTTGCTGAGCCTCTCCTTGAACTTGATAATGGGGACTCGTGCCTTGGCAATGACCTGGACGTCATTCGTGACCTGCTTCGCTTTCAAATGTCTCGACAGCTTGTACAGATCCTCCTTGCTGAAATCCCTCGCCCTCAGTACCACCAGATCCAGATCACTATTACAAATTCGTCTTCAGGTTAGCCAACTCTGTCCTTACCCGCTTTCATAGAAAAAGTAAATGGCCACTGCACAACATAGGGTCGTGAGCTTTACCTGGATGGAAGGTAGAGTTGAGTGTCGTAACTTCCAAAGACATGGACCTCCGAGTCAGGCCACAGTTCGCTGACGGTCTTGGCGATCCATTGAATGACATACTTGCGGACCTGATGCTCCTCAGGTGTTGGGCTGAGAAAATCGACAAAGTCCTTCAACTCCTGAGTCAGCATAATGGGCACCGACGGCAACTTGGAGTACTGTCGATGACCCATCCACGGGCATCCTGGGGGTGGTCCTGTGGCGCCCTCTGTATCGCTTCCATAGTCCGGATCCCGCTTGCGCTTCTGACCAGCATGGCTCGGCTCTGCAGGTGTCCTGTTGTTGGACGCGATGACGGCGTCGAGTTCGTTCTCAGAGGCTTCGTCCCCGAATCCGATAAAATCGTCTCCTCGCTGCATCTCGTCCTTCGAATCACCACTGTCGTCGGTATCGTCGGCAGCAGTGCTGGGTGAGTCCAGCGATATTGGCTGATGAGGACTTGAGCCCGCCGCTGGGGCCGCAGCCTGGTTTGGTACCACCGTTTGGTCCTCCTCCGACTTTGCCTGTTTGGCGATCAGCTTCCTTTCATGCTTATTGGACTTCCTGCGCAGCTTCTTCTCAATTCGTCGCTTGGCCCTCTCCTCCTCCTCGTGGACGGGTGCTGGCTGGTACTGGTAGTTGATGTCTGTCTGGTACTCGACATGGTTGGAGTTGTCGACATGAGAGATCGGAGGCACGATGGCGTTTCCTTGTGCGTCCCAGTTCGGAGTCGTGAAGGCCATTTCTTCGCCCAAGCTGTTGCTGCGGTTACGGTTTGTGCTTGCGTTGATGATGGCGTTGTTGTTGTTTGTGTTGTTGCTATTGTTGCTACTGGTTGGGATGAGTTTCCGAAGGGCTTTCTTTTTGTTGTTGCGGAGGATTCTTCCGTTGACGAATGTGCTAACGTTCTGGTTCCCGAAGAGGTGTCTGTCTTTATTGTTGTTGTTGTTTTTGTTGTTGTTGCTGTTGCTGTTGTTGTTCTTGCTGTTGCTGATGTTATTGTTGTTCTTGTTGTTGATGTTGTTGTTGTTGTGAGAGCCCTTATTTTTGCTGTTGTCGCTTGTAGAACCTTGGCCCTTGTGCTTCTTTTTAGCCTCTTGAAGTTTCTTATGTTTGAGAAGGTGTGGCCCTGGTTTGCCGATGCCGAGGAACTTGTTGATGGACTTGTTTCCTTTGCCTGCCTTTCCACCTGACTTTTTGTTGTCCTTTCCTCCGCTGTGGTGTGTGGACTTGTAGTGGTTCGTCTGATGTGCGTTTGGGTCCCGTTTCACCATTGCAGCAAACAAAAGGAGAAAAAAAAAATCGATTCTGACACTGGAAATTAGGCTTTCGATCCACAATATAGGCCCAGTGAATCCATATTCGGTGACGCAATTGTGGTTCCGGACTCCATGGCAAGCTTCCAGTCCCAGCTGCACGCTAGAAAAAGAAAAAAAAATTGCCATCAGGAAAGTGTAAACAATGATTCTCAACGGGTCATAGCAAACAAAAGAAAAGCTCCCTGGCGGGGAATTGAACCCCGGTCTTCCGCGTGACAGGCGGAGATACTCACCACTATACTACCAAGGAAGAGCTCATGTTGAGACGTTGATTTTGGAGTGTTACATGTTTCTAATTATAAATTAGCACGTGATGTAATACTTAACGTCACGTGCGTCAGAAAATAGACATCCTTACCATGTCTCAAGGAGACGACCCTGGAGCGACCAAGGACCCATGCGCTGCTGACGAGCGGTTGTTGGAGAGTTTGTTAGGAAGGAGGAGGTTGTCAATGATGGAGAGGATATGAAGATCCCCTTCATTCGTATCTAGTTTTATTTTCTTCCGTTTAACCTGTGAAGAGCAGCGACAATTGTTGCGCAGAGCCAGGTTCTGGACCGGACTGCGACTGGTGGATGGTGCACTGAAGAGTTTGGTCTGTAGTTCCCTTTTACTTCCAAATGACTTCTCTATGCTGTTTGTTAGAGAAATAAAATTGTGTACAAAAAAATAATAATAATAGACATGCTCTACTTTTTACAAGCATGTTTAGCGCGTTTGAACGCATAAAGTGAGAAGCTGAGCTTCGAGAATGAGTATAATTACAAGACGCGTCTCTGACAGAAAAATACGAAGACAATTATTGCTTCTTCTCTGCACAAAGGACATCAGCAAATGTTAAAAAAAAGAAAACGACCGTTTATTTTGACAAAATTGAAGTATATACAGCCAAAATGAACGAACGGCTACTTCCTTTCAAAAAATGCTTTTTTTGGTTCACTCTACTCTTCAGAAGAATAAAGAAGGTAACGGAGCATCGTCCTTGGATTTAAGCGCCAACCGTGATGGCCTTGGTGGTCCAGCCGGACTGTCCAGAACGCTGACGGTCGCCCTCAAAGACCTGCTTGACATCGAGGATATCGCCAACACGGATGGTACCAGTGTGAGCGCTGGGGACGGCGTTGATTCCAACGCAGGCGTTCCACTTGGCAGCCTTCCCCTTGTCCACGCGACGGATGCTCTGGAGAGTCTTCTGAGGCTGGAACTTGTCCTTGTTTCCGGTGGCGGGGTCGACATTGGGCATATCGCAGCGGGTGCAGCGGCAGGTGAAGTAATATGTCAAGCCATTGATATCGACCAGGCACCACTCATCCTCCTCAAAGGGCTTGGAGACGCCAGAGACGACAATGTTGGGACGGAAGTTCAAGGCTCCGATGGGGTTTTCCAAATGGGTGTTGATGTCTTTGACAGACTCCTCCGACAAGCACAGGATGGGGAAATTGTCTGCGAATGCGGTCTAATGTGGCAAATGAATAGCTGTGAGTGCCATTGAAACATTACACAGAGACGTAGACCTCCATAGTCCAGCAAGTTCCCTCCTTTTTCCACTCTCTCAATTTTCTCTCTAGCCCACTGTCACGACTTGAAGTGTGGCTGTTTACCTCAGGGACGAAACCGATCTCATTGACACCAGGAGCATGCTCGACGACAGGACGCTTGTGGTTGGGGGACTTGAAAACAAGGCGAGATGGGACACCGAGGTACTCGGTGAAAAACTGGGCAGCCTCCTCTCCCAAATCGGCGGTTTCCAAAGTATCCTTCCAGACAGTGACAGTGCGATCTTCGTAATTGGAGATGCTAAAATGTCGAAATGAAAACAAAAAAGAGTATTCAGTGTAAGTTTTCAGGGGCGAAGAAAAGAGGGAGACTCTATTCTCTTTTTTCTCGCTCGCTCATGTTCATGCGGAATACATACTCGGGAACCAAGGGGACAGTCAGGGTCTTGCCGCCGGCATTGATAACAAGCTTGTCACCCTCGATCTTTGGCTCAGCCTGGGACATCTATGCTCATGGGGAAAAAAAATAAAGTACAAGACTAAAATTAGGGTCGATCGCCAAAGGTAAAAAAAACAAGTGGGGACTAAGGTGTGCATTTTGTCAAACGCATCCACACAGCTACACAAAGAGCAGCGGCAATTAACGAGAAGTGCTTACCATGGCAAGTTCACGCATGGTTCTCTGCTTGTTCGTGGCGGGGTCGATAACCAAGAAGACGCGATCGTGCTAACGGATGAAGAAAGAGGACACAAAGGTATGTGAGATTGAATTCCGCCTCTGTGGTGCTTCCTGCCTACGGCCACATCGATTTGATGAGAAGCTCGGACAATTGAGAAGAAAGATGGAGGGGATTACCAAGAGTCCATCTGCGTAAACGGTGATAATGGTAGGACAAACATATCAATTGGAAAAAAATGAAGGGTCCAGTATGTCGTCAGTAATAGTTGAATGAGCAAGAGTAAGTGCGAAGTCGTTGCATGAGAATGAGGTAGGTCTGCGGAGTGGGAGTTGAATATGAATGTTGATTTACATTTGGAGAGCTGGGACTCGGTCAACTCGATGGCCTTGCAAGACTTGATGGGGTAGATGTAGATCTTGGAGATGATGGGGGCCATGGTTGTTAGTGTTAATGTTAGTTGTTTTTTCAAAGGGTGGAGGAATGTGTGCGGAGTGAGGCGAACGAAGGAAGAAAGAAGAAAAAGAAGTGAGTGTGCACACACCGCAGTTTTTTTTGAAGTTTTTTTTGTGCCCACGAATGAAGGGAGAGTGAGAATTGTTTAAGGGAAACAAGGCCAGGAGTGTGTCAACCACACCCCGCTTCTCGTATTGGTTGGTCGAACAAGGCACGGCAACGACAGACAGTCAGCATTCAACCGTAGACTCTTCTTCACCTCTTTCTTTCTTTCTTTCACTCTTTGCTTGTCAGCTGAAACAACACACTCAGGCCAGCTCCAAACCCTCATTTTTGAATCCGCAACTAAAAAGCATGGTCCCCCCTCATCTACCCCTCGGTAATTGCTCAAGGATGAATGAGTCACCACAATCGTTTCCTATTATGCTTCTTTGTCTAACTCCAACGATCCTTTGCCAGCGACTGCCGTTTTGTCAGTTTGTTCGTCATTGGCATCGTCCCTGACTCCTTGGGGCGGCGCGCATCATTCCCAATCGCTTTGTCCTGTCTCCTTGATTCAAACGCGACCTTATTATCTGCAGCATTGCCTGTCACGCATCCCAATGCACCATCCAAATGAATCACGCCATTGAAAACTGCAAGAAAGCTTGCTTTCAACTACTTTTGTTGCCTCAACCTCAAGTCATGTTAACTCTCTTCGTTTGCGAAGCATGGCACGGTGACGACTTCAAAAAAATTGCGGGTGATCAAAGTTTAGTCAAACGTTTCGCTGTTTGTCAACGATATCATCCTCAACAAGAATAAAAATAAGAAAAAGGAGGCGATTTTGTTTATGTGTGGGATCGTACATCGGTTGTCCAGGGACGCGAGTCTAGAGATCTTGCCCTTCGGAGCTGTTGACAAGCAAGTGGGTACCTACGAGAATGAAAGTGGTGTGTGGGGGACCAGGCTCTGCGCAGTGGTAAAGCCAAACCTATAACAAACCGTAGCAAAACCATAGTAGACTAGCAGACGGCAGAAAGCCATAGCATATTGATTGGAAAGGGTTCCCCGTGTCCCAGGAACGTTGGGTTGGTCATGGTAGGAACGATTTGTTAGTTCACGCGTCTGTTTCCTTCGCCTTCAGGCACAAAATTTTTTGATCAACTGAGCAAACAAGCGAAAGACAGGGCCGTGGTTCTATACGGTGTAAACTCGACCTTGTGCCTGGACGGGTCCACGTCCTCGATGTCGCAGTCCCTTTGGTCACTTGTTCAGCTCTCTCTGTCCCTTTCACATCATTCACACACACACACACCACACGCAACTTTCTTTCTTTTTTTTTCCACTCTGCTCACCTTCACACAAACACATATAAAACCATGGCCCTTCCCAAACGCATCATCAAGGTCAGTCCAACTCTTCCAGTCAACACTTGCTCTTTAGGGATCACCTTCTAACCTGTTCGACTGCTGCCATCCGTTCGCATCGAAGAAGAACGATCGACCCTACCACCAAACCCACACTCGCACTCTCTCTAACCATGTTGTCGAAATAGGAAACGGAACGCCTTCTGGCCGATCCTGCACCAGGCATCAGCGCCACCTCCCACGAAGACAACCTCCGTTACTTTGACGTCGTCATTGCTGGACCCAACCAGTCGCCCTTCCAAGGTAACTCATCCATACACAGGGACGCTCAGGGAAGGATGCGTGACGCGGCCGAGGCAGTACTGCGGGTGTTTGATTCCGAGGGCACGCAATGCATTTCAGGGAAAGGTTGATTCAAGGAACAGTCATGGCGGGAAGGAAAGACTTTATATTGGGGAAGCAAGAGATAGCAAGTGCGGACTCAAGGCGTTGTTTAAGGAATCAGTGAAGCTTCTCTTGAGTACCTTTCTGAACTCGACAGTAAAAGGGAGATAGATACATTTGGATAAGGCGGCTGGAAATACATGCACACCCTGGACGCTTTCCACGCGAAAATGGCGGAAGAAAACCAAAAAGAAACAAAGGCAGCATGTCGCTGCCTGTTACAAGAGTTTAACCACAATAATGCCGGATACCTTGTGAAAGTCGAAAAGACCAAGGCCATTGAAGAATGCCTGCTCCTTTTCTTTTCTGCTGGAACTTCGAACTGACAATATCGATATTGCACATTCCACACTATAGGTGGTATCTTCAAGCTGGAGCTGTTCTTGCCCGAGGAGTACCCCATGTCGCCCCCCAAGGTCCGCTTCTTGACCAAGATCTACCACCCCAACATTGACAAGCTCGGCCGTATCTGCCTCGATATCCTGAAAGGTAAAAAAATACTCTTGCGATGCAGCGTTCCTCGTATCAATTGAGACAATCTCCCCATGTCTACATTACCTTGTTTATGGTGCCACCACACACGAACATTACGAGTACGAAACCCACTTGCTAACAGTATTATTTTATTGTTCTCGCACGGAAATCACAAACACCAATAATAGACAAGTGGTCGCCAGCTCTCCAGATCCGCACTGTCCTCCTCTCTGTCCAAGCATTGCTCTCGTCGCCAAACCCTGATGATCCTCTTGCCAACGACGTTGCCCAGCACTGGAAGGAAAACGAGAACGCTGCCATCCAGACCGCTCAGGAATGGACAAGAAAGTATGCCACTGCATAAAAGAATAACTGGAATCGTCACTATTACCGCCGCCCACGCCTCCAATCAAGGAACACCTCACCTCCGACATACAATAAAACAAATGAACACATTCACGCGAACTCTCAGAATATCAGAACAAAGGCAAGGATAGAAAATAACAAGCGAGAAACAAATCATAAAAAAACATATCACAAACACTCCTTGGAGATCAATACGTGGATGTTACTGCATGTTGTGCTTGTTGGACGTCTTTGGCAAGAAGACAAGGAGGCAAAAAAAACCGTGGATATCAGACTGTTTATCTCGTGCGTGATAAGTGTGTCTTCACGACAAGCGATGAACTTGAAACAATGCGATCAATTAGGTGTCTTCCATTTTTAAAGTCATAAGAGAGGAGGTATTTGTAATGTGGTGTATGTTTGTATGTGTGTATGTGTCGGTGGGGTGGGTGTTTCAAGAACATGAAAACGAGAAATGAAAAAAAGAAGGAAGAAAAGTGTGTGTTATCTACATGTCGATGCTATCTCGGAACCACTCGCCGTACAAGTTTGGCCTCCTTCCCTCAACAAAGTCATCAAACGCGGCGCGCATCAGGCCCATCCAACTCTTGGCCTCGATCGGCGTCAGCCAGTTGTTGTGCCAGTGGTGTGCGTAGGCGCCCGACAGGAAGACTTCCGGACCAGCCGAGAATTCCACCTCATTACCGTTGACGTTGGGTGTGATCGCTGTAGACTGTCGGGGACAGACGGCGTTGGCAGAGGCGGAGAAGGCGTCAGGGAAGGAGTGGAGGTCTTCGATCATGCGTTCTGGGTCATTGGATTTCTTGGTCTCGGCCTTGTCAACTCGGAGCCAGAGTGGGTCAAAGATCGGGGTGGGCATCTGAATCAGGCCGTTGCCTTCGAGTTTGCTGTCCTCGGGCCGGAGGTAGGCGCGCAAACGGGCAGGATGGTATATTTCCTCGGGGCGCATCTCGCGTTTCGCCAGACGGGCCTTGTCGCCAGCAACAAGTCCCTCAGCCTTCTTCAGCTTTTGTCCCACATCCGTCTCCTCGCCTTGTTCGCCGTCCTCGTACTCGCCATCGTTTTCTCCTTCTTGCTCGTCCTGGTGGGCACGCTGTTCTTTCAGCTTCGCCTGGAGGAGTCCCAGCTCTCGGGCCTTGGCACCGTCCAGGATCCGGCGTGCGACCGAGCTTCCGGGGAAGAGTCTCAAGATCGCAGTGTTGTACATTCCTGTGTTACTCCACTCGTAGGCAAACTCGACGCCGGAATCAAAGAAGGGGGACATGTCCTTCAACAGAAGCACGTCAGCATCAAGGTAGATGCCTCCGTTTCTGTTGAGGATCAAAAACCGGGCCTCGTCCGAGAGTGCCACCGGTTTCACTGGATTTGCGGCCGGTCCTTGTTCCCGTTCCAATTCCTTGAGCTTCTGCTCTTGCTCGTCGCTGTCGTCATCGTTGGCGGCGTTGACGGAGAGTTCTTCATGGTAAGAATACGCGAGTTCGGCAGCTTGGTCCCAGGCATGGATGGTAATAAACTGGTTCAGTGGCGGTTGGACCATGGCTGCCGCAAACCGGTTCTGGGTATAGTCCTCGGGTGCGCCACCCGGAAGATCTGCAGAGTCGATCCAGAGATGGAGGTGTGCCCTGTCAAGGGGTTGGGTGAACAAAAACGAGAACGAGCTTAGCGACAGCTTGTCCGTGATAGGACCCCTCCAGAAGATATGGAAATTCATCGGCGCCAGCGCTTCAGAAGGAGATGGAGGTTGACGGGTAGGAATAAGATATTGGTGTTCACGCGTCAAAAAGTCGAGGCAGTGAGCCGAGGTGTGGATAAGGCGGTCGCAGGGTTCGGCGATTGCTGTCAGGTTGACGACCCAGTTGCGAAGAGGGCGTTCCAAGTACTCCAGATCTGCCTTGCTGTGGCTGTTGCTATTGTTTTCGTCATCGGCGGTCATGTCATTATGATGGATTACATTTTTGTTGTTGATGAAATCGATCCACTCATTGTAGGAGGAAAAGGTTGGCACCAAATGATTTGAGGGCGAGGGGTTTCCAGGGCTATTGTTGTTGTCAATGGTAGTAGTAGGAGGGATGGAGTTGCAAAAGTTGACAAAGGCATGGGAGTTCATGGCGACGATACGGGCGTTCTTGTCACTGACGAGTGTTGCCTCTGCTGCTGGCACTCCTGCTGGCTTGTCATTGTTATTGTTGTTATTAGGATGGGGCCTTTGCTGTTGCTGTTGCTGTCCCTCGAGTTTGGGTATCGTTACTATTGGCGGTTGCTGCAGCTGGTGTTGGTGTTGTGGCGGCGGTGGGTATTGCGGCCGACGGTTCATTGCGTCGGGATTGACGCGTGTCCATTCGGAGAGGTAGAAGAGGGTTGCCAGGGCACTGATGGCGGCCAGCACGGCGACTGTCCGATACTGAATCAGTGGCGGCATCTTCTTTGACAAAAGAAAAGGGGTACGCGATGCTGATTGATTTTGTTACTGAAAGTTAAAAATCGAGGGTTGTATCAGAGGAGAGAGTGTCGTATGCAGGGAAAGAAAAAGAAGGGACGAAGGGAGAGGAGGAATGAGGAATGAGTTGCGGGGAATGAGATGAGAGGGATGAGAATGAAAAAAAAGAATGAGGAAGAAGGACAGGAAGGGACAAAGAGAAGAAAAAGAAAAGAAAGAGGAGAGGATAGAATAGAGTAGAAAGAAAAGGAAGGCGATACCCTGTCTGTCTGTCGCTACCGTAACGAAAGAAGGTGGCCAAGCAAAACAAGTGCGGCGAAATGTCAAGGCTGCTCGCTTTCCACTCATTTCACGACAAAAAACCATTGTCCGAAAGTTACTCCAACCCGAAGAACAACATTTTTCGCAGGCTGTTCTTTGTCTATTATTGCCAATCACCTTTTACTCCGTATTAGCATTGACAACTGCATTCGTCGTCATTATCATCATCTGCCTAAAGCCTTCTTTTTTTTTTGTTTTCTCGTTATTCTCACCTATTGAACAAGTTGCTAACCCAAACCGACTGTTGTTCCTCCTTCCATGTCCAAACCAGACATTCACTAAGTAGAACGCTAGCACGTTTCGATCGTTTTCATTTCTGGTGTATCAGTGGTCGGTCGCCGTTGAACATTCGAGACATACACACCCCTGGTTCACTTTGCAAGAACGAAAAAGGGACAAACCATCGTGGAAGCAAGCCTCTCACAACCGCAACAGAAAGGCGCTCAACCCTGAACTTTGAACCGAAATGGCCAAGTACCATCATTTTTTTCCATCTTGAAGAGTTTGAACCAGGCCAAAGGCGCAGACAACAAAAAATAAGATTTTGTTGATTGGAATATTGGAATGGAATATGCGGAAACATCGAAAATCATCGCCATATTTCAGCAAATTGGCTACTGTCTCGGTTTCGGTGGTGCTGCCGCCTTAGCCTGGACCCAGAGCATCAAATAAACCGACGGTTGTAACGAGCGGTTCCTCGTGCTTACTGTTGCTATTTCTTGTTGCTCCTCTTCTTTGTGTTGCTAATACGCTTTCCTTTTGTTCAGCTTTCTTTTTTCGGAAGAATGAAGACTGAATAAGAAGAGGGCAAGGAATAGTGGCAGAATAGGGTAAATGAAGGAACTGAAGCGGGAATGGAAATCATAGAAGGGACAAAATATCAAGTCCAGGTCCTAATAACATCCTCGCAATTTGGTTGGCTACCGAGGGACAGTGCAAATGGGCTCTCTTTTAACCAGCTTTGGCACGAAGAATTACATCGCTCTCTATTGTTTTTTGTTGCTTGAGTGATTGTCATTGACAACAGTCGAAATCTCTTCGTCGAGGTGGCCCTTCCGTCTCGTATCTCTCCGTGTGGTTTGGTCATGATTTGGTCGTGTGTGAGTGTGCATGTGTAAGTGTGAGAGTGTGTGATTTGTTTGGAGATGCCAGACATTTGGCCAAAACTAACACTGATAAAACATTCATCTCTTTGACACCGCATAAGGTCCATTACCACCATGTAATAGAAAGTCGCATCTTTTTGCTGACGTTGTTTACGCCAACTCTTATTTCTTTGCCCTTTTCTTACAACAGACAGGCTCTTTCTCTCTATTTTCTACCCTTCAATTCAAGAAAACACAACAGCCTACTTTTTTCTACCCAGAAATCGCACCATTCCCGAAGGGCATTTTTATCCAAAGAACCAACAAAACCTTCTCACTCATGGCGAATGCTCACTTTTCTTATTAGAATATTCAACTTCAGCGCCATCATTTCACAGTGAATCGTTGTCCGCTCAGGGAAGAAGGATCAGAGTTTTATCGCCCTTGTTTTTTCACTTCCAGTAGCACAAACGATGCTTCACACGTTGGTTGCCATATGGACGGCGACCAACTCCAGTATTGCCATATCGAGAGTTTTACCAGCTGACCAGCCGATCTTTTTTGTTGTTGTTGTTGCAGCTCTGCAGTGTCGCAGGCGCCTGCTCCTTACAAAAACCAACGAGCGCACATATGGTTATTGACCTGGTACTTGGACAACATCCTGGTCTGAAGCGAGGCAACGAGTATGTTACAGATGGGTTGTTATTTATTCACAAAGTAAAAGAGAGAGAAAACGAGCAATTGAAGTCGCATCTAACTCCATTCAAAAAGATATGTACAGATTTACAAGGCACGGGTAGGAGCCATGTTCTTGTCAGGGTTCAAAACATCATCCCCACGAGTCGCCTTCATATCCGCCAGAACCTTAAACCGGTCGGCAGAAGCAGTCATCTGAGGCACTTTGTGGTGCATGGACTCAGGTTCGGTATTCCGGTCCAACTTCTCATCAACATGGTCGCCCTCCTGGGCCTTCATCTGTGAAAGAATGCCAAAGGGCGCACCACCGGTCAACATATCTGTAGTTGCAGTGGTTGTGGTAGACTTGGTCTTGGGTTCAAGGAGGTTGCCATTCTTGGCCTTCATCTCGGACAGGGCGGCGTACCGGTCCATGCCAGACATCTCGGGATCGTTGATACCGGCGGTCTTATCAGTATTGTCCTTGTTGGTGTTGAGGGGGGTGTCATCGGCCTTCATATTAGCAAGGACGGCATAGCGGTCCATGGCAGACATCTTGGGATCGTTGGTGCCGGGCGTCTTGTCAGCATTGTCCCTGGTGTCAAGGGGGGTGTCATCGGCCTTCATATTAGCAAGGACGGCATAGCGGTCCATGGCAGACATCTTGGGATCGTTGGTGCCGGGCGTCTTGTCAGCATTGTCCCTGGTGTCAAGGGGGGTGTCATCGGCCTTCATATTAGCAAGGACGGCATAGCGGTCCATGGCAGACATCTTGGGATCGTTGGTGCCGGGCGTCTTGTCAGCATTGTCCCTGGTGTCAAGGGGGGTGTCATCGGCCTTCATATTAGCAAGGACGGCATAGCGGTCCATGGCAGACATCTTGGGATCGTTCTTGTCCTTTATAAGCCTTTCCTGCTGTTTCTTGGGGTCGGACTTGATGTTCTTGGCGGTGACGGTCATGACGATTGAGGTGATTGCGCCGGCCATTACCATCGAGCCGAGGATGCTATTGTGATAATGATGCTCTACTTTGGTTAGTCGTTGTCCTCACCTCTCACCACATAAAATTGATTTTTTTTCTTTCAACTGTGATAAACAACTTACAGCTTCCAGTCGAGCCAAGAAGAGGCGGGTTGGGTAAAATGGACGGTGCTGTTAAAGATCAATGCCGGGAACTGGTGGTGAAGCACGGAGTGAGGGTCGACCAGCTCGGCCAAGAGGGTGAGACTGACATCACGAGAAGGGTGAGTTATCTTGATGGTGTATGGGAGGATCAAGGCGCTGTGGGCCTTCAACGTCTTGTCACATCGGAAGGGAGTTAGCTGTGTAACAATCAAAGAGATAAAGAAAGAGGTGAGAAGGGATGGTTTGTGAGTTGTTGTTGACATTGTCGTTTTCTTATTTGTGCTTGTTACACGAAAGGAGCGAATACAGCCACCGTTGCAAAAAAGTCGAGATACCGCGTTTTTTTTCATTCTTGGACTTACGTTGTGTGTGACGGCATTAAAGTCCTTCACTTCAGCAACAGATCCAACTATCATCTTGACGATGAGATCGTGCGCCCCAGAGTTATGCAGCGTCACCTTCAAGTTGTTGGCCCGTCCACTGACGAGATTCGGGGTAACTAGTTAGTTTACAAGGACAGGAAAGGGAACCAATGTTAAAAAATCATGTCGTCATCTCCAACCCAAAATGTGACGACACCTTTCTTGTAGTGTGAGTCTTTACCTCCAGCGACAGCTTTGGGGAACTCGGCAGAGATAGCGACGTTGGGGTGGACAGCCGCAGAGGTGTCTTGAGCGACGGCTGTATCGATGTTCAAAAGGTAGGCTTAATTGGTTTGGTAAAAAGACAAAAAAGGTAGGGTTCACGCTCTTAGTATGTGCGGTTGACGGCATAGAGAGCGAGAAAGGGACATGCGTGAATGCATGCAGTTGAAATAAAAGGAGAGGTGGGGGTGGATTTTCTTACCAGAGGCAAGGAGGAGAACCCCGCCTAGGATAGCCTTGAGTGTTGTTTGTTTGTTCAGCATTGTGGGTGAAAGTGGGTTTGTGTGTGGAGTGAAAGAGAGAAGGAGAGTGAACAAGTCGATGAGACAGATCTGGCGGATACTGGGGCTTATATATCAGCAAGAAAATGGTTCCCGGTAAGGACGCATAATTGGTTTTGTGTAGAGTATGGATGTCGCAACGATGCGGCAACAATGCATGGAGTAATATTATAGTTCAATGAACAAACGAAAGAAGGAAAGAGAGGATATGATGACAAGGAGAAGAGCAGGTGACGACAAGACCCTGACGAACGCGCTTTGGTCAACTCTGAATTGAACATTGTGTCATCGCCTTCGTCTTGTTGGCGTGCTTAAGGGTGTCGGTCAGAGTTATTCTTACCATTATGTAGAGGGCTCCTGAGGTATGCATGCAGTGTGCAGAGTGTGGAGAACGGGAGAGCGGGAGAACAGGGAAACAGGAGAAAGAGGGTAAGGTTTGGGCCGAGTCACACTTTTTTCTCTTTTCCCCGAAAAGAAAAGATGAGATGCAATGTTCTGTGTATGCGCTTGTGGTTGTGGCATGGTTGCATGGAAGATTTTGTGGGGCAAAGAGACAAACAAGAAGCATGAGCATGCACCTCGAAATCTTTTCTTCTGTATGAGGATTCGAGGAGCCTCTTGGACGAAGACCGAGTCGAGACCCTGATCAACTGATCAGCTCTTCCTTTGCTATTTGGCAGGTACCAGAATGGCGAGTGTGTGTTCAGTGGCAACAGGGGCGCAGTCCAGACTCTGGTCCATAAGTCTGTCTCAGGGTTCCTGCTTGGATCTGTTGACCTTATTGTCGTTTTGCCACCATTTCTTTTGGTTTTGTTTTCATGTTCTGTGTCCATGGACAATAAACACTGTTCACTTCCACATCACATCCCTCCCCCACTGCCACCTCTCTCTGTGTATCCTTCCCAAGGGTGAGCCCACTCTTCACAAGACGTATTCCACTTTCCCTTGCACGTTTTGCCCCAAAACCCACCTCTTTTTTCCTCCTTCAGCTTCTTCGTAACACTCCCCTCTCGTCTCTTTATTTCTTCCTTTACCTCACCCCTTTTTCTCTCTTTCTCTTTTTTCTCTCTCTCTCCCCCTCTCCTCAACTCAACCAATCTTTCTCCACTCCATCAACAAACTCATCACGCATCAGTCGAAACAGAAAGAGTAAAGGTGAATGTCACTCCTCAGACTCCGTCGCAAACCGTCTCGCGCGTCTGTGTCAATGCCTCGTTGTCTGCATTCCACTTGCCATCTATTTTCACACCTCAAACTGACAAACGACATCTTTTTCTCGACCGTCTTTCTTTGTCCATTTTTAAAGGATACAGCCTTCCAAACCCAATTGAACGATAACAACACTCTCTCTACCAACATTCTCCATCCTACCTTCACACGATGTCCAGTCTCCCACAAGATGTCCTGATAAAGCTCATAGAGGTCCTCGCTCAACTAGCCTCGTCCGACAATGCAGTCCGCGCCACGGCCGAGGACCAGCTGGACAAGGAATGGATGCTCACAAAGCCCGACGCGCTTCTCACAGGTCTCGCTTTCCTCTCTCGGAATAATAGTGACCCTGAGGTAACAACAAGTGGTAACATCCACGCAGGCGTTTGTTCCTTCATCATTCTCTACTATATACCTCCTTGTCATTCCTTCTCTCCCCAATTCTTTTTTTTCTTCCATCCCCACGCTTCTTGTTCTTCGAAACCGTACTACTTTCTCTTCCCTTTTATTAACTCACCTGAGAGAAATATATCCGTATTTTTCATTGGAGCCCTGTCCGCCTTTGTTCACTTGTCCCTGGCTCTCGATCTTCAGGTGCTGACCCATTGAATCACCCCATCACTTTCACTCCTCTATTCTTTATAGCTGCGTGCATTTGCGGCAGTGGTGACGCGCCGGGTCGCATTCAAGGCTTCACCAAATGAAGGCCCAACAGGGACGAAGACTGTATGGGAGTGTGTTCAAGAAGAGACTCGAGACGCCGTCAGGACGCATTACTTGGCGGCCTTGACCCAGGAGACAGATCGGTCGGTCCGAAATAGAGTCTGCGACACTATCTCCGAACTTGCCCATTCTACCCGCACCAAGCAACGTAAGTCCTTTTTCCTGCAAGCACTCTCGAATGACAAGTGATCAGTTTCTATTTTCCAGGTCTGAGCGAATGTCTAATACTGTCAACATTATTCATTTGCTAAATAATTGATGTAGACCCATGGCCAGAGGTGTGCCCGGCGGTTTACGCATGCACACAGTCGAAGACGAGACCGGATCTTAGAGAGGCAGGATACAGAATCATGAATTCGTCGCCCAGTCTTCTCAGTGGTCAATCGGCCGAGGACGCTGTTACCTTGTTCAACGCAGGCTTGAACGACGCCAATCTTCTCGTGAGTGTTCTATTTGTTCAAGGTTTCATGTCAAACGATGTGTCATCGCCATTGCCACTGCCTCGATGACCATTAAAACTGACAACAGTTGATATGACAAATACTAATTAGGTGCGGTTATCAGCGGTCAAGGCAACGGTTTCCTTTATTCAAGACACGAATCACGAGACGCGGAACGCAATGGACAAAACGATGATGCCGATGATGGAGTCCCTGGCGGCGTTCAAGAAGGCAAAATACGAGGTTGCCCTGGTAGAAGCTGTCTCTGCCCTGATCGAACTAGCAGAGCGAGCTCCTCGACTGTTCCGCCACATCATTTCCACTATCCCCATGTTGATCGAGATGGCAGAGGAGAAGACATTGGAGGATCAGACGAGACAGGTCATGTTGGAACTGATGATTACGTTGGCTGAGTGCTCTCCAAGCTGGTTCAAGCGCGTCCCCGATTTTGTGACGAGGATTGTCCCCGTTTCGCTGGAGATGATGACAGAGTTGGAGGATGAGGCAGATTGGTACATGGCGGATGATCAGGACGAAGAGGACGCGGATACCAACTCTGTCATTGGCGAACAGGCGATCGATCGACTCTCGCGAGCCCTGGGTGGCAAGGCTATCTTGCCTGTAATCTTTGGATACATCCCCAAGATGTTAGCCAACGAGCAAGAGTGGAAGTGTCGACATGCCGGGCTGATGGCCATCTCGGCGATGGGCGAGGGCTGTGGGCGGGTCATGGAGGGCGAACTGACAAAGATTGTCCACATGGTGGTCCCCTTCCTGCGGGATTCTCATGCCAGAGTCCGGTTTGCGGCCTGTCATACGGTCGGCCAAATGGCGACCGATTTTGCGGGGCCGCTGCAAAAGAACCATCATGCTGTAGTCCTGACCAACCTGATCCCGGTCATGGACGATGCTCCTTACCCTCGGGTCCGGTCCCATGCTGCGGCGGCGTTGGTGAACTTTTGCGAGGACATTGACAAGGCGATTTTGGGACCTTATCTGGACGCGATCTTTGACCGTCTGTTATCGTTGCTCGGCACGGGGACCACTTTTGTGCAGGAGCAGGCTATTACTACCATGGCGGCCGTCGCGGACAGTGCGGAGGACAAGTTCTTGACGTACTATAGTCGCGTCATGCCTCTGTTGATCAGTGTTCTTCGACAGGCTACCAGTCCGGAGTACCGACTGTTGAGAGGCAAAGCGATGGAGTGTGGTAGTTTGATTGCGCTTGCGGTCGGGAAGGAGATCTTCGCACCCCACGTCCAGGAGTTTATCAAGCTGTTGGTCCAAACTCAGACCAGTCTTATGGAAGCCGACGATCCTCAGACGTCGTACTTGCTGGCGGCCTGGGCGCGTATCTGCAAGGTCCTTGGTCCAGACTTTGTGCCCTACCTCGACATTGTGATGCCACCGCTTCTGGCCAGCGCACGACTCAAGCCAGACCTCGCAGTCCTTGACCCGGAAGAAGATATCGACTCCAAGTATGCGGCCGAAGATGGGTGGGAGTTTGTTGGTGTTGACGGACAGCATATCGGGATCAAGACGACGGTCCTGGAGGAGAAGTGTACGGCGATCGAGATGTTGATCTGTTATGCTCGCGAGTTGGGACCCGGGTTCCGGCCGTACTTGGAGCAAGTCCGCGAGATTGTATTGCCGTTGCTTCGGTTCTATTTTCATGACGGCGTTCGACATGCTGCGGCGGCGACTCTTCCGCATATGGTCTCGTGTGCCAAGCAGGCAGAGCTTGGACAGGATTATCTGGTCGCCTTTTGGTTTCAGATATGTGTCAAGATGTTGGAGGTTATGGCGACGGAGAAGGATGCGTCGTTCTTATTGCAACTCTACACTTCCTTCTATGAGTGTTTGGATGCGTTGGGGTCTGGACCCAGTCTCAGCACTGAGTTGTTAGAGGCCTTCACGCGGGCGACGGATGCTCAACTGCGGGAACAATATAGCCGATTGAAGAAACGACAAGAAGACCGGACGGCCAACCATCTGGATGCGGAGGAGAAGGAAGTCATAGATGAGGAGGAAACGACCGCCGAGGCTGTCCTGGCCGAGATAGCGCGCGCAATTTTCACAGTCCTCAAGACCCACGGTGTTGGATACATGGTCCATTTCCGGTCCCTGGAACCCATCCTGGCAACGTACTTGAACGACACCAACGCCTTCTCACGTCAATGGGCCATCGGCGTCCTCGATGACCTGGTTGAATTCACAGGACCACATTCCTGGCCCATCATGGTCCCCTTCCTACCCCAAATTCTCAACTCTGTCATGGACCCCCAAGCGCCCGAAGTCCGCCAAGCTGCCTGTTACGGCCTCGGACTCTGTGGTCAATTCGGTGGAGCCCCCTATGCTGAACTCTGTAGTGCTGCCCTCTCCCCCTTATTCCAAGTCATCCACGAGCCCGGCGCTCGGTCCACTGAAAATATCTTTGTCACCGAGAACGCTATCTCGGCAGTGACCAAGATCTGCAAGTTCAACAGCTCGCATTTCGACATCAACACCGTCCTCCCATCCTGGGTCCAGACTCTCCCGATCCTTTATGACGAAGAAGAGGCCCCCATGACCTACAGTTATATGTTGGACTTGCTTGAGAGTCAACATCCTGCGGTGTTGGGGTTGAATAATGTGAACGTGCCACATTTGGTGACGGTGATGGTCGAGGCACTTGTTGCCGGTGTGGTCCCGGAACCGACGCAGAGTCGGATGGTGTATATCTTGAAGGCTGCGTTGAGTACTCTTGATGCGGCGATTACGACGACGCTTTGGAATAGTATTGCGCCCGAGAAGCGGAAGACCCTTCAGGACCTCCGCTACCTCTAATGGGGGCCTGGGCGTTGTCACATACCCTACTTCAATTTGTAAATAAATACCATAATGTCTGTCTTTTTTATGCAGTGGTACCTTTAGAAAGTAGGCGGACATTGGCATGATGGGTGGCTGTTGCAAAATGTACAGATAAACTTGTATGTAAAGCGAAAAGGTATGTTGATAGTTATTTCACGAGGATGCTGTATCCGATGTATTATGAGGGTTGGTGAGGTTTGTTTGCTAGATAAAAGAAAAGGCACATGCAAAAAAGTTTAAAAAAAAAAAAAAAAAAAAAAAAAGAAACGACAAAAAGATGCAGTAGCATGGAGGACGCTTAAAACTAATAGTATCCGTTGCTGTAGGCGGCTTGCTGCTGTTGCTGCTGCAACTGTTGCTGGATCTGGTGTTGCTGCTGCTGCATCTGAATCTCATTCTGATAATGCTGTTGTTGCGCTTCGTCAGCTGGGACGAAGGGGCTGGTCAACAAGGATGATGGGCGCTCTCCTCCTGAAGAATAGTGATGCGCTAGGGCGGGGGGAGTAATAGACGAACGGGGGCTTAACATTGAAGGCGAGTTTCCGTTTCCTCCAGCAGCTGCAGCTGCAGCAGCGGCGGCGGCGGCAGCTTTGGCGTGGGCAGCGGCGATGGGGGTAGGCGAACGCGATCCCAACGCGGTGCTGTTAGAGCCCATAACAGGGGTTCCGATAGGTGTGACTCCATTAAACTGGACCATCTCTGTCGTACGCGCCGTCGTGGCCGGGCTATGTCCCATCGTCTCACTCTCCGTCGTGATCGACGACAGCTCATTATACCGTTTACTGCCCGCACCACCATTCCCACCATTGTTCCTATCCATGGGCGCAAAGAGAGGACCGGAATGGATAGGCTCCCTCAACTTCTTCGACATCTGCTCCTCCACTGCGCGCCTGTTCGAATACCGAATCACATAGAACCCAATCACACCCGCCAGGACCAACGCTCCGACCGCACAACCAACTCCAATGACGATAGTTTTCGTCTTATCCGAGACAACGATAGAACTAGGTGAGGGTTCGTCATCAAAGGTGCCGCCATCGGAGCCGGTGGAGGATCCAGGAGCGCCGGGGGTATCGGCGATCATGAGCATGACCTTGCAGCGCGCAGAGTTCTTTGTCACGGCGCCGGTGTCCGAGTCTGTCGAAGTCCAGTCGAATGCTCCATGGAATTGCTATTGGATTTTGTTAGAAAGGGTGCGAGGGTAAGGGGATAGTAAAACAGGCACGTCATATGAAGGGAGGAAAGAGGATTCGAGTTGGAAGGTTAGTTTTTTTTTGCATTGCTTTGCTAGTTTTGTTTTTAGCGACGAAACGCGAGTATGCACATGTTCTTCGCCGAAGCTAATGCATGAGAGAAACCAGCGAGGAAAAAAAAAAAAAAAAAAAAAAAAGGGTCTGGCTCCTCTTCTTTTTCGTGAGGGATAAAACACTTGAAAGGGTGGTAGCATCAAGGAATGCCAACGAGAAGCGCCCTGCACTGCTCTCACCACTTATTTTGAGTGCTCACATAGGGAATTTTTGGGGGAAGGAGGAAAGAGAGGAGTTGGGTTGATTGTATGGGAGATGTTGCTGCACGTCGCTTAGGTGAGTGTGTCCAATTGGACTTAGATTTGGAGCAGTGTTTGGGTGAGGATGAGGCAAGGGTTGAACAGAAAACGTGTTCTTGGAAGTGTTGTGCTCTGCTTGCTTGTTTGTTTGTTTCGCTGGTGATTTATGCGAGAAGGCAATGTGGCAGTGGGGATATGTCGATATGTGGTTTGTCGATGGTTCTTCCTATCTCCGAGCGGGGCAAAGCAAAGCACGAAAAAAAAGAGCATCGACCTCACAAGAAAGCAATCGATCTTCTTTTTTGATGTCTTCAGCTCTCTCGAAAGCCTGAGTTTCTTCCAGGAGAGGTTTATCCCAAGGGTAAGAGTCAATGGAAGGAATAACCCCGATTGTCGATAATCTGGGCTGGTCTGTGGAATGATATCTAACTCTCTCTCAATTGGCATGGCCATGGACTTTTTTTTTGTTACGTCGTTCATTCTTTCGTTTTGTTACCTCCCTCCTTATGTCTAACTCGCTTTTTGTTTGTTCTCTCTCACCCATGAACAACCGCCACCTGTGGAGAAAAGGCGTTCATCCTTGTTTGACCGTTTACTCACTTCGTGTGTAGATATTTTACGTTACTTTTTCTTTGTTCCTCGGGGAATGTCAGCGAATCAGTCCCTTCCCTTTGAACTCGTTGTTTCTTTCGTTCGTCGCCCCTTTTTCTCCCATCCATGCCCGACAACCCACATCCCCACACACACACACACACACACACACACACACACCTACACATGCGCACACACACACACACACACACCTACACCTACACATGCGCACACACACTTGGTCGTTATTTGGAGTAGGAGGTTCCAACCTTCTTCGTTTTTGCATTGGCCGATATTTTTGTATCGTGAAAATAGAGCATGAAAAAAAAAAGTAGTGCGCTGCATGGATGGATGGAGATGCATTGTCACCGTCCCGGTCTCATCGATCCATTATTCGGTGGATATTCAATTGAGACAAGGCCACTCTCCTCCTCTCCTTTCATCTCCCTCCTGTACCTGGTGCCTTTCCTTCGCTAATCCCCTATCCCTCACCCTGAAGGGGTCTTTTACCCGAGAAAAGAATTTGTCGCAACGCGCAAAAAGCACAGAATGCATAAAAAAAAACAACCACTGCAGTGAAGAACACGGGAAAACAGAGATCGTTTCTTTTTGTGTTCCCAACGGTTTTTTTGTCATCGGTGCGGTGTGTGTATCGTATCGGTTGTGTTGTCATCGTTTTCTTTTTTTACCACCAACAACCATGTTTGCCGTGCGAGCGGGATATGTACAAAACACCACAATAACAAATAATAAAACACTAAACACTAAAAGGCAAGATGAACAAGAGAGCACACCCCCAAGCACTCTATCTGTCTCCCAACCAAACGGGAAGAATTGAAAAAAACTTACGTTATACTGACAAGACGAAGAAAATGCAGAAATAGAAGAGTTGACGATCCATGGAAAAGTGGCGGGGGAGGAAGAGTTGAGGCTGGTGATTGTCTGGAGGAAGGTCTCGTTTTCGGCACAGTAGAGGTTGAGGTCGAAGGTGTTGATCTCGACGGTTTGGGTGTCAGACCAGGTGAATTTAAGGGTTGATCCGACGTGGAAGGTGTCCGCGCCCAGTTGTGTGCAGGCCAGGTCTGCGGCGACCAAGGAAGGGGTTGTTGAGAGGAGTGTTGTTGTTGAGAGGAGGAGGAGTGTTGCTGCTGCTGATACTGAAGAGGGGAACGTTCGTGACCGCATGCTGTACTGTGTAAATGTGTGTTTGTGGGAGCGGAGGTGAAGGTGACGGAAGGAGAAGGTGAAAGTGGAGGAAGGAAGATGCGAAGGTGAAAGAGAGTAGAGGAAGTAGTATATGAGGGTGTCCCGGTTGTTGTGAAGGAAGTAAGGTATACGAAGAGAGGTGCAGGTAAAGAGCGGAGGTGCAAGAATAAGAGTAGTAAGGATAGGAAGAAAGAAGAGAGAGAATATCAGTGTGCGGGTCTGGTGTGATAAATAAAAGTGGAACCAAATAGGACGGGTAAATAGTTCGAAGGAAAATATCAAGATGAGAGTGAAGGTGAAGAAAAAGAAGAGAAGAAGAGAAGAAAAGAAACAAAAACGTGCTCGCTGCAATGTTATGCTTATTGTTCCTGGCCGACAAAGTTATTTAGTAATGCTATTTTTGAGTCCATTGGGATTGTGCATTCGCTCATCATCCCTTCATCTTTCTGCCCTTTTTAGTCTGTGAGGTTGAGATATGGTAGTGCGATTCCAACGGCACCAGCACTCCATAAACAACAAGAAACCAGGCACACACACATAATACACAAGCTCGCTCGCAATTAGCGCAATTCACGACGGTGATTGGAGGGGGTTGCCCAGTACTTTTTTCCAACTCAACCCTTCATCAAACCACAAAAACAAAACAAAAAAAACAAACAGTGAAGAAGAAAAGGAACAGAAACAAACAGTAATACACAAGCAAGTAAACACAAACAAAAATGATGAGGGAAGCAAAAGTGAGGAAAATTGTTTTTCGAGGTGCAGAAAGCAGGAAAGACCCGCGGTAATGGATAATGGATGGCGAACAGGGGGCTTCTCGTAAAACAACAAGTTGTTGTTGATGCGGGATGGGAATGTGAACCATTCCTTTCAATTCGCTTCTTACCTTTCTTGACCAAAGGTTTTCTCGAAAAAGGTATGGAATCGGGGTGAGGCGTTGTCCTGGTGGACTTTTGGGTCAAGGGATCTGAGACTGATTGGTGCCGATGGGGGGACTGAAGGTGTCTGAAACAAACAAATTGGATTGATTGTTGAGTGAGCGTTCCTGAGGGTGTTTGCGGAGGGGTGAGAAAGGGGTGAGAAGGGGCTGATGAATGTTTGTATCCCTTTGTGTGGTTTGTACTGCTGTGCTTGATCGTAAAGAATAAAGGAGGTTACAAGAGTGAGTTGTATGGATGTTTGCGAAGTGAGAGGTATGGCGTGAGTGAATGGTGGAGTGTATAATTGTGAGTTGATATGCGAATGCAAACGATGCTGATGAGGAGAGCGGGTCGTAACGAGGACCGTGGAATTGAATGAAGCTGTCGAGGAAGGGGAGACGTGGATCGGGGGATAATGCAAATGCCTGAAGAAAACAGAAAGAGAAGAAGAAAAGAGGAAAAACAAAGAAGCCTGAGAAGGATAAATGATAAGCAAAGGAAAAATTTATTTAAAGTGGCGACTCTATCCAGAACCCACCCACCGGGTATTTCATTTTGTCTGCCCATCCAGTTGTAAGATGTTGCAGACATGATCTCAACTTTAACCGCCACTGATATCAAGAGAGAGAAGACCTGGACATTAAACCATAGCAAAGTCAAAAAAGGGGTTTATATTTTTTTGGACGGTTGGATTCCAACATCCTCTTTTTCTGTCTGCCTGCATGTCGGGTCGGTGTAGTGCTCTCGACACTTTCTTTGTGCCTAATGCTCTCGTCCAAACCTTTGATGCACTCACTCCCTTTTCTACCACCAAAAGAGTCCGACACACACCCCGTCAGTGCCATATGTGGCCCCCGTCCATACAAGTTGGCATTCGTAAAAATAGTATTTCTAGGTTCCGCTGTGTGTTCAATTTTGTTATCACATCCAACCATCATCTAGCAACTGCGACCGCTCTTCCTTTTTATGAATCCAGCCCCCAATGGTGTCCTGTCATTACACAGGCACTTACTTGGATTGAATGTAAGAGTTGAATAGACCTGCATAAGTTAAATGTTTGTTCGATCTATGGCTCTCAGACACATACACACACTCAGCCAGAAACATACCAGAGATCTTGGAGAAAGGAGAGCTTGTTTCCTCGAAGATAAGGATGAGTGGATCTCGAAATCCGGGGTCAAAGAAAACAAGTCATGGAACAACAAAAAATGAACCCTTGATGACAAAGGACTCTTTCCTTACGACTGTCTGCCATTACTTTCGTTTTCCTTTGCATTGTGTTTGTCGAAAAAAGGGACAAAGTCGAGCGCTTCCCCTTTAATTTGGTGCCTTGATGTAGATTCCCAATTCGACTTGAGTATTTGTCTTTGTCCAGCAAATGTCGATCATATGCGAGCGTCAACGCTCACTTTATTTTTCTCTTCGTCATACACCCATGAAGATATAGATAACCTCGTCACCTTCATTTGTAATGTTCTCTTTAGCAAACACACCACCCAATACATCTCAACTTTTCACTCGTCCTTAGACGTTAGGGTTAAAACGACTTCAGGTCTCAAGGGACTGAAAAAATACCGAGGCCCCACGTTTTTTGAGATTAAATGCGAGATGCAGGCCTCGTCCGTATTAACGGAGAAAAACTATGGAACCCTTTCTTTCGACATCCCAAACCCCCCTTTGCGCTCGCTTTCATTTACGCCCTCACAGAGACGCTGCAAAGAGCTCAAAAAATGAGGACGGCGTAGCTGTAGTAAACGCCAGGTACGGGATAATACACCAACCCCGGTAGCAGAACAACTACCCATGCTGTTCATCCTAGCCCAACGATTGGAGGAAGGTTTGTCTCCTATATCCCATTTGATCATGGAAACTTGAAGCGCGAGAGGGGATTCAAAAAGGGCGGCAATGTACCTAGGACTACGCCTACCATAACCGAACTACGGCGCGTGTTTCGTTGACTCGATTAGGGTCATTGATTGACGCCTACGTCTTCTTCGACCTGAAATGGTGGTCCTGAAATGGGACACAAACACCCTTGGAGAATGATGCGATGTGGTTGTTAAAGCCGAGAGGCGTGTCCACAGATAATAACGCGGAGGGTATGTCATCCTGATGGTGAGGTTGACGGTGTTCCCGAGAGTAGTGTGAAAAAACAGCGGCCGGTAGTGAGCATTTGTGTGCCGGAGCGACGATTGATGTTTTGGGCCAAGTAATCGGGCATGCAAACCATGACATCAGCAGTATGTGTGTATGTTTGCGTGTCGGAGAAAAAGGACAGAAGAGAAAGAGTCGTCATTGCTTCCTTGCATACTATGATTTTTTTCTGTCTGTGCTTTGCCCAAAGCGAAAGTGTCGGATTAGAGCAGGTTGTTGTTGTTGTTGTTGTTGTTGTTGTTGTTGTTGTTGAACTGGACCCTGCGGAACAAACGAGAATGAGGTTGGTCTGACAAAAAGAACGCGAAGAAAGACCGGGGATGGTGGTATTGGTAGAAGGCGGTTCAAGGTGGTCGGGACAGTTCGAATATTATGATGCCCCTCTCTTTCACCCTTTAGACGTTGGGGGTCAACGGAGGGTCGATCCCCATCCAACTCATCCAGGCGCACGTTGTCCGTTCCACTGAGGTATCGAACATGATTTTTGACCAAGTAGATTCAGGCTTTTGTTAACTCCACTTGCAGCTCGAATTGGTGAAGGGCACTTGCAAAAAGCAAAGAAAAGGAAGGTGCAATAGGGAGTAAAAGGGATTAAAGAAGAGGCAAATGAGGAAAGGAAGAGCGAGTGGCATAGGGACTTGGGTTATTAGAGCATTCTCTGAACAGCCATACCACAGATACCCCTTCTTTTCCCCTTCGTCCGCGTGCAGTCCCAAGTACACTTCACCCCTTTCTTCTCCTTCCTCTTATTTTCTTTTCCCTCGCTCTCTCATCCTCACTTTTCTTTTCCTTCTTACCAACTTTCCTCCCACTCTCTTTCTCATTCGCAACAACAACAGCAACAACAACAACAACAACAACAATAACAACACAGATACACCTCCTTCTTCTGCGACAACAAACCATCAAACAAAGCCGACGACAACACACACACACACCCTTGTTATCTCTCCTCCTACACCAACCCCTCGCCTTCTCTTTCTCTCCCTCCCTCTCTCTCTCTCTCCTTCCTTCCTTCCTTCCTTCAAACACACCTTTCTTCCTTCTTCTCACTCCTTGTCTGCCTTTTGTTCTCTTCCCGCTCCGTTTTCCACACCACCTTTTCCACACCACCTCACCTACAAACACCCACAGCATGAACGACCACGATCACCTGGAATACCTAACAGGATGCGAATCGCCCTTGATCAGAATTGACCCCCATCCGCCTGAAACCCTTGCATCCGTATGGGAGGGACATTCGACCTTGCAGCTCGTTTGCATGGTTCTCTCCATCTTTTTCTGGTTCTTCTCCTTCACTGCCGCACTCTCCGCCATCGCCATCAGGTACCTTACTCCCACTCTTTTCTACTCTCTTTTTCCCCACGCAAAGAAGGAAGAACAACAAAGAACGGACCCTTGCTTGTTTCCAAACAGACCTTCCATGTCTCGTCGCTTCGGGCTTTTTTCATTTTTTTTTGTTCTTTGTCCTTTCTTGCAGCGTCCATGCATCCGCAGCGCGTTGTTGTGGTTATGTTGGGCAAATGGTTCCTGAAGGAAGTACAACACAGACACACCGAAAGTCAATTGGGCGAATTGTTCGGCCACAAGCAAGCAGATCCGTTGTTTTGTGTCCAGAGGGGATGTGTTTAACGAGATACACTTCTCAGATCTATTTCCGCATGCAACCCATCAGCCCGACTCCCTCTTTCTCTTTTTTTACGCCCAGCCTGGAGAAAGGAAGTACATCGCAGCACCTCCATACTAACACACCTTTTTTTACTTTTGCTTCTTTCCATGATCAACAAGTCGGACGAGATACTCTGGAAAACATAAACGCTCAGCATCGTCCCTTCTCCCCAAGGATGTTGCCCCTGGTGTATCTATCATCCGCCCACTGCGAGGAGTCGACTGCAATATGCATGAAAACTTGGCATCCAGTTTCTGCCAGGAGTACCCGCGTTTCGAGATCATATTCTCCGTTGCACAATCAACCGATCCAGCCATCGATGTCGTCCTTGATCTCATGAAAAAATACCCGGACGTCGATGCTCGTCTCATTATCGGTAAGTAAGGGTTCATCAGTGCTTTCCCCCTTCATCTTCATACCACCCTTTGTCGATTTTCTTTCTTCACAACTTCCTCATTCGCCAAACAGGCATTTGTAATAAGGATACATAGAAGCGGGACTTTCAACTCGTGGAGAAAAAGAGTATAAACAAAACGACGAGAGCAGTGCAATCAACTGAAGACGATAGAGGAGCAGCAATCTTAAAAGGCGAATCACAATTGCGTTGCTGCTCTTGAGCGCAGTCAAGCCAGCGCATATTGGACAAGCAATGGAAAGCCATGTCGTTGAAAGTGGAATATTGGATAAAAAAGAGAGTTGGACAAGTAGTGCCAACGGTAGCCTCTGAGCAGCTCTTCTTTTTTTCTTTTCTTTCGACAATTGGGCAAGAGGATGTCTATTCTTCCTCGCCTGGTGTTGTTTGCTGTTTGTTGTTGTTCTTTTTGGGTAGTAATCGATACAAGGATACATATGTCTGGCTGGGTTAGTGTCAAGTTGCAGCAGAGGAGCAATATGGCGGCAACGAGAGGGGTGGGGAAGAAGTACATCGCATCGCGACAAAAGTTGTAACCTTTAGGGGTTTGAAAATGCGATTGAAAAAGGGGCGTGGTTTATTTCGAAAGCATCCAGGGACAGAGACACGCATGCTTGGAGCGCGAACGAGGAGAGAAGAGGAGGGGAGAGGGGAAAGGGGAAAGGAAGGAGAGGGGAAGGAGAAGAGTAATAAAGAGAGAAGAGGGGAGGCGTTACGCGTGTCATTCACGGAATGGTCTTACGTGACAACAAACAACACAAATAGCCCAACGCAGGGTCCAATTCTTGGGGACACAAAGCACATTTGCCTAACCCAACACTGTTCATGTTTTACGTACCCTTCCTAGGCGAGAGGAACGTTGGCATTAACCCAAAGATCAACAATATGATCCGGTCGTACGAGTCGGCCAAGTATGACATTCTCTGGATTCAAGATTCGAATGTCTATGTCGACCCGGGATGCATGGGACGGTCAGTCGACAAGATGATGCAACCAGGTGTAGGACTCGTCCATCATCTTCCAGTCGGTGTGCAGCCTAAGTCGCTGGGATCGGAACTAGAACTCATGTTCTTGGACACTGTCCATGCTAAGATGTACCTCTTTATCAACTGGACTGGGCTGGCCTCATGTGTTGTTGGCAAGTCGAGTCTGTACAGGCGTTCGGATCTGGACAAGGTTGGAGGATTGGCTAGGTTCGGAAAGTACATGGCAGAGGACAACCTGGTGGCGACAGAGATCTTCAACATGGGTTATAAGCATGAGATGACCAGCGACTTGGCGCACCAGACACTTGGATCGATGACGACCTCGGACTACTTTTTGAGACGGGCGCGATGGACCAGGATCCGCAAGTATACGGTGACAGCGGCGACAGTGGTGGAACCCTTTATTGAGATGATTGGCTGTGGATTGGTGGCGTCGTATGGGTTCAACCTGTTGTGGCAGACACATTTTTTGAACTTTTTGGCGTTTCATATTGTCTGTTGGTTCTTGGTCGATCTGTCGATGTACCAGGCGCTGTCGGGTGAGAAGGTCGAAAACCTGAGGGGATTCCTCATGGCTTGGTCACTACGGGAGTTGGCGGCTTTGCCGTTGTTTGCCTATGCTGTTGCAGGATCGACGGTTGACTGGCGTGATCAGACATTCGTGCTGCTCAGGGACGCGACTGTTCGACCCCTGACTCCCCCTCCCTCTGCTTCTGCTTCTGGCTCGACTTTGACATCCTCGACAACACCACCCATTTCGCCATCAACCTCGACCTCATTTGCCAACATCGCGAACACAGTTGTACCGTCTTCAACACAGGCGTCCTTAAGAAGCTTTTTCCGTCGGCCTGCTGTGATCTCGTTCGTCAGCAGTACTCTGGCTGTGATCCACTTTGTGGTGGATATTCTGATCAAGAGTCAGCGGAACGGAAACATGGATGAGGAGGAAGATGAGGACGAGGAAGACGATATGGAGGAGGAGGTGGAAGGAGTAGAGATAATGATGGAGGAAACAAGCAGCCCTGCAACATCTTCAACATCGTTAGGCAAGGGACGTCGGCCAAAGTTGTCGTTGACGCGAGCAAAGAGCGAGAGCGCACACAGCAGCAAGGATATGGTTCGGGATTCCGAGATGGCCGGAGAAACCGTTTTGAGGCGGAGTAGTCGGCTGAAAATGCTCAACTCCAAGGTGCATTCCGCCGATCCTATCATTGTCGGACAAGATCAGGATCAGGAAGATGGATTGCGGTCAGTGGGAGGAGAGGGAGATAGACGGGAGCTGAGGAGCGGTACGAGTCGTCGGCGTCTTTCTGCAGAGGAGGATGCGTTGTCCAAGGCGGTGGAGTCATACCTTTCGGATTCGTTGAGTCGTCGTCGCCATCGTGGTGGCAGTCTAAGGATCCGTCGGGCAATTTCGAGCTCTTCCGTGGGATCCTCTAAATCGTCCAAGTCCTCTCAATTCGCCTGAGCGCATCGTAGCTTGATCGAGCAACGGATGATTTTGCTCCTCGCTGTCCCTTGTTTTCGGAAGGCTGCATTTGGGTACCTTTCGCCGCTGTTTGTCTCGCTTCATTTGTTGACTTTTGTTTGTTTTTGTTTACTCGGCTCGCATGGGTCCATAGAACTGGGCTGTCACCTTTGGTTGTTTTTTTGCGCACACACACATCCACCCATTCCTTCGTATTCATTACATACTATCCGCCTAATATTCGTGCAAATCAACTTTCAGGCACCGTGTTTCTTGTGAAAATAAACATTGAGCAACAACGGCCCAAAAAAAAAATCTCCTGATTTTCCTTGTCCAATGATTGTTTTCTTGAACACTCAAAAAGAACTATGCCAGAAAGAGTCAGTTGTGAGGAATATGATTTTTAATAATGTCTAAAAATTGGGGGGGGGGGGGGGGGGGAGGGTTGGAATTGCTACAGAAAAGTGAAATTAACAAAAAGAAACAAAGAAAAGGAACTTTTACAGGGCCTTCTTGGCCTTAGCCTCGGCAGCCTTACGCTCCTTGTATGCAATGTACTTCTTGTTGGTTCCAAAGATATGATCCCACCACCGGAAAGAGGTCGAGAAGTTGTTGGTGAAGGCCATATGATGGTAATCGTGGTGCTCAGAGCCCGACCAACCAGGGAGCCAGTTATGAGTCGACCAAGGGAAGTCGTATCCGGAGTGAGCCTCAACAGCCTGGAACAAACGGAGAGTCATCCAGGTGAGTGTGGTGATGAGGTGGAGGTCGCCGGTGGCGTAGCACCACATGAGAGGGCCAGCAATGGTTCCGGTGCCGAGGATCATGACTTCGATGGGGTGGGCGTATTCTGCAGCGAGGCCGAAGGGCGCGGACCATTCGTGGTGGAGCTTGTGGATGTGCTTGTAGAAGGGGCCGTAGTGAAGACCGCGGTGGGCCCAGTAATGGAAAAAGTCCTCAAAGACGAAGAACAAGAGGATCTGGAACGCCATCTTGGACCTATTGTTTTGGTTGTTTGTTACAATTGAATGTGGTTAGTTTTGTCTTTGTTCTTGCACTTTGTACATATCAATTGACAATTGAAAAAAAAAAAAAAAAAAAAAAAAAAAAAAAAACTGACGAGAACTTACAGAGGAGGGAAGGGAACGGATGAGATAGCCATGCCAAAGTAAACAGCAACAGGGTGGAATCCAACAATCATAGGCAACTCAAAGAAAAAGTGGGAGAGCAAGACATAACGGAAGACCTTCCACTGGTTCTGAGCGGTGTTCTGGATAGTCTTTTGTTGGATCTTGTACTTTTGCAGTGAAGGGATTTGGTCGGCAATGAGGTAAGGGATGCACCGGGCAAAGTAGATGATCTCGTGGGACACGAAGAGGAGGGCCAAGGTGACCAGGGCCTCGTTGCGGCCCTCAAACATAGACTGCCATTGTGTCTCGATGTACGACGATGTCGACGAGAGGAAAGCCGTCGTCGAGTTCCTATTGTAGCGAGAGGCGAGAGAAAAGGAGAAACGCGGGTTAGTTTGTGAGAAAGGTTGAAAGTTTAGGAAGGGTTGTGATTGTGTGTGATAAGGGTGCTTCAGGATTTGGACCGAATGACTTCTTGGTGTGAACAATGAAAAAAGAGTGTTGAGCGTTGTGTGTCGATCTGAAGTGTAGTCGCCTGTCGTAGTCGCTTGTCGTAGTCGCACAAGAATAAAAAAAGTAACAAGAATAGTGATTCGACTGTATTGCGCAGACATAAGTTGCTCAAAAGGCGGAAGGCGAGTAAAAAAGGGATCTTCCTTGGGGTACTGTCGCCGTATGTCGTGTAAAAGGCTCGAGTTGTAGGTGTGTTATTGCGTTTTGAATCTGCATTCCTTGGATCGATCAGTTGTTTGAATGTTTGGTTGGCTGCTGATCTGCTGATATGAAATGAATTGATCGTTCCTGAAAAATGATGGTTGAACGGCGAAGTCAGGTCGTCCGTTGAGAATGTAGATAGGTCTTGCAAAGCGAAGGGAATGGTTCTTGCCGCTCGCTGTCGTTATTGTTTGTTCGTTTCCATTGTTCCTGACCCTGGGAAAAACAAAGAGAAGAAAGATTAAGAAAGTGTGAGTCTTGAGCGTGTATACTTACATGATGTGTATGTGTGTGTGTCTATGTGATAAAGGAGACTGTGTAAAGAGGGAAGTGGGAGGTGGGTATGAGAGAGGGTCGAAGTCTGAATGAGATGAAAAGAAAAAGGAAGAAAATAAAAGATGATGATCTCGAGGAATGTGCGATGTCAAATAGTTTTTTTGGCCGGGGCGGAGTGTATTCAACAAGGAGAGGGTGGGTGAGTGTTACCATAACCCCCGAACATGAAAGAAAGAAAAAAATCGCCTGTTTGCCAGGCCGCGAATCGAGAGGCCACAGGCGCAGACAGGCCATTTGCACGGGCTGGAAACAAGGACAAGGGAACAAGGGAACCTTTCAAAAAAACAGATATCAGCTCAGGCTGTGGCAGCCAATCAGATCGCGTCGATAGCTAACATTTGCACTCTATTCTGAACCTACGGTGGCTTATTTCTTCAATTGTTTCTTCTTCTTGATCTGATTTACCTTTGCAAGCATACCATTTGCACCCATTCATGTACCAAGAGTCTTTTTTTACCCTTTCAATAGTCTGTGCTCACCTTGATATTTTCCCGCTTCAATGATGTCTCTAATCATATTTTATTAAAAAAACGTATACATTCACTCTTTCTCTCTCTCTCTCTTCCCGGTTTCAACCTGTTCTCGGGCTTGCTTTCTTTGGCAATAATGCTGCATTGAAGCAACCAGTTGGTAAATAAATACCCATGCAGATCTCACCTCACACCACTTTTTTCTTCTTCTCAATTGATAGCATCAATTGGATCCAGCCTGATCAAAGACAACGACAACGACAAGAAGGGAGAGACAACGCCCACGGGTTGCTAAGTGAGTCCAACTGTTAGTCACAAACAATGTAGCCACGACCCACGACGAGTTCATCACTCCACTCTCCCGTCTTCCAATAAAATGTTGCGAAAGCCGATCCATGGGGACACGGTCCAACACTTTGGTATGAAGTGAGGATGGAGAGGAGCCCAGTACTCGTCTATATTGATAGTACTTATCATGTACCCATGCAACCATCTAGAATCGGCCTACGGGACACCACTCCTAGATCGCAAAAGTGACGGTGCTGTCACTCTTTTCTTGTTTGTCGCGACTTTGTGTGGCGCTTTTTTTTCTTTCTAGCGAAGTACTGAAACCAAAAGTTGCGACCAGACAGGGGTATCTTTCATGGCTGTCAGGGGTATGAGCAAACGATATTCTTTTCGCATGTGTGATTATGAAAACAGGGGGAGGAAAAAAGAGAAAGGAGGAAAAGGAGGGGCAGGGGGAAGCTTCTGGACTTCAATTTCAGTTGCGCGCAGAATTGGTGTGGGAGAGGAAAGGTGGTGTTACGACCCAATATTTCCATTCTCACGTGAAGGTATGATGAGCGATCGCACGGATTAAACTGCCACGCCAAGATCAGAAAATGAAGACTGTACTTTTGATCGCAATCGAACAAAGAGAGCAAAGGCAGGGACTTGGTCAATCCAGCCTATCAGACTTGATTTCCTGTCAACCTCTTGTCTTTGTGGCTAGAGCCTATATCTACTCCCTCTTTCCTCTTTTCTTCTTTTCTTCTTTTCTTTTCTCACTCTCCTCTCCTCTTTTTCCTCTTTTTCCTCGCTCGAGTCTCAAACCAACTCATCCCTCATTCCTCATCCCTCACATACCTCTTCTCTCGGATCACCTCATCACCCTTCCACCTTTTTTCTTTCAGCTTTCCTCTTTTTCCGACCTGAACTCTTATCGTTTCTCACTTATTCCCAAAACACGTGAAGTTGCATACACTCAATGAAGATTATCGACCGCATCAAGAAGGGCCAGGAGGAAGGCCGTCCTCTCTTCTCCTTTGAATACTTCTCTCCCAGGACCGCCCAGGTATAATATTAACGACGGACACTACATACACTTGGAATGATATATATGTGTCATGAATGAATGAAGACGTGCTTCTATTTTTCTTATTCCGCTCGAAAAGGTTGCAGGGATCATACATACCGACAGAACAAATAGAGTGAGAGAAGGAAGATCTATGGGATATTTTTTAGATAGTTTGTGACTCAGCTCAATGAGCACAAGTCTGGACGAAAAAAAGGGACGGGCAAACCGGACAGGACGGACGTCTCTTACACTCTATTCCCCACCCAATTCTTAAACACCCCTCCTCCTTCAACCACCAACGCCAGCAGGACACAGGAAACAAACAAACAACTATTACCAATTGAGTCAGAAACGGGGGTAAGCGATGGCCCACCGACCTCCGGAACCAACGCCCCAGTCATCATCATCATCAATTGTCAGGATTCTTAGCCAACAAACATCCAATGTTCAAGTTCCTTATGTCTTTCATCCATGAGTAACCACAGAAGACTGAGATGGAAGAGTTGTTTTTTGTGATAGTGGAGGATCAAAACCCCGACCTTGCATGGAATCATTATCACAGGAATCGCTCTTTTTTTTTTTTTGTTCTGGACAGAAAGGAACGAGCCATGTTATGCGTCCTCCTAAATTTCTTTCTTCGCTTGGTTTTTTTTTGTGGTGGGGTTGGTTGCAGGAAACAAAAGAGAGTTCTGGTCAAGCGTGCTCAATTTTCTTTGTTTTCACGCGCGGATGGGGAAAAGGATGTATACAACGACAGAAAAAATCCCCTCTCTTGCATTGCATTATGTTGCTGCTCGTGCTTTATCTCGTCATCATCACCTCACTCTCCTCCTCCACACTGACAGACACACAGACAGGAACACACACTCACACGGATGAATTAACAAAAGGGGAGGGCGAGAGGGAGATGAGATAGAGGGGAATGGGTCTAACTAGCGACAGGAAAAATAATGCAACCGTCTGTGGAAAGAGGAGGGAGGAGGGAGTGAGGGGAGATTGTCCTTATCGATGAGAAAGACAGGACTTGCCTGAGTTGCTGTTCCTGTTTGCTGTTGCATGTGTTAGTGTGAACTGATCCAAAATTACCCCACGAACTCACATATACAATGACCGAACAAGACCCACTAATTAAAATCCGCCCTTGCCTCACGATGGCTATTGCACTATTATTGTAGGGTATGGTCAACTTGCACGACCGCATCGAGAGAATGTGCTACCTTGGACCCGAATTCATCGATATCACTTGGGGCGCCGGCGGTTCCCGTCCTGCCGCAACTCTCGAGGTCGTGTCGAATGCCCAGAAGGTCTACGGTGTCGAGACTTGTATGCACTTGATCTGCACCAACAACCCCACCGACAAGATTGACAAGGCTCTCAGCGTAAGTGTGAAAATCACAACAAGACAGCAGGAGTGATGGGGCAAACAGAACCTAGAAGTTGAAGGTCGTTTATTTTTTGTGCCTGGGAAATGACAAGAGAGGCATTGGACTGTCCTGTAGGAAACCTTGATTGTTGCGACGGTCGCATGGTCACACCATCGCCCCATTCACTGCTCTCATTGGACAATACTCAGATCTCGTCTTCATTGACCACTACTTTCGCTGCTTGAACTTGGCAAAAATTAGCAGTCGCACTCACTCCTTCACCACCCACAGCCCCGAATGTACTAACCAAAACGCTCTTTTTATTTTCCCCCAATTTTTTCATTGACCGATCTTCGGTGTTACAGGAGGCACGCGCATGTGGCAACCAAAACATCTTGGCCCTGCGTGGTGACCCACCCCACGGGCAATCGGAGTGGACCGCCTGCGAGGGCGGTCTCAACTACGCCGCTGACTTGGTTCGCTACATCCGTAAGACCCACGGCGACCACTTTGGCATTGGTGTGGCTGGCTACCCCGAGAAGCACCCCGAGTCGGCTACGATGAAGGAAGACCTGAAGTTCCTCAAGGAGAAGGTCGACGCTGGTGCAGACTTCATTGTCACCCAGTTGTTCTTTGATGTCCCCATGTTTCTGGACTGGGTCCGTCAGTGTCGCGAGGCTGGCATCCACTGCCCCATCATCCCTGGTGTCATGCCCATCCAAGCCTACGCTAGTTTCAAGAAGAACATTGTCGGCGTCAGTGTTCCCCAGTGGATTCTCGACGGCATTGAGCCCATCAAGGTATGACAGCAACTGAGACGATTTTTTTGGTGAAAAGAGCAAGAAAAAAAAAGATGAAGCATGCACGATTAGTAATCAAGGATGAACATCATTACTGACCCAACGCACTGTCATCCCCTCACCTAATAGAATGATGATCAAGCGATTCGTGCGTTTGGTGTGGAGGTCGGTATCAAGATGACTCTGGAGCTGATTGAGGGCGGCGCTTGCGGCATCCACTACTACACCTTCAACCTCGAGCGCAGCACTCGCTTGATTCTCGAAGGCGCTGGCTTGGTCAACAAAACTGACTACATCAAGAAGAACATGCCATGGCGATCGAGCTTCGACGAGAAGCGCAAGGAGGAGTCCGTCCGCCCCATCTTCTGGTCAAACCGTGCCAAGTCGTACATCAGTCGCACGGATGCCTGGGACGAGTTCCCTAACGGACGCTGGGGAGACTCCCGGTCGCCCGCCTACGGAGATCTGGATCGCTATGGTGTGTACTTGAAATACACCTCGGACGAGGCAATCCAACACTGGGGTTCGCCCAGCGCCCTGCAGGACATTTGTCGACTCTTTGTCAGGTACTGTACAGGTGAGACCTTGACCCTGCCATGGAGTGACCAGGCCCTGGCATTGGAGTCTGGAACCATCAAGGAGCGCCTCATCGAGCTGAACTCGGCCGGATACCTCACCATCAACTCCCAGCCTGCCGTCAATGGAGCCAAGAGTGACGACAAGATCTTTGGATGGGGACCCAAGGGTGGCTATGTTTACCAGAAGGTACGCTATTTTGTTTTCTTTCACTCTGCAACCATTTTATCTGATTGGAATGTCCAACTTTTTTACTAACGTGTCTATGCTTATCTTGTGAACGATTAGGCTTATTTAGAGTTCTTTGTGTCGCCCGAGACTTTGGAGAAGCTCAAGCAGCGCATGAGCAAGTTCCCCAACTTCACCTACAACGCCATGAACAAGGCCGGCGACCTCCACACCAACACCAACGGCAGCAAGCCCAACGCCGTCACTTGGGGCGTCTTCCCCGGTCGCGAGGTCGTCCAGCCCACCATTGTCGAGTTGGCGAGCTTTGACGCATGGAAGGATGAGGCGTTTGCCCTATGGGAGCAGTGGTCCCGCTGCTACCCTCAGCAGTCCAAGCCTCGTGAGTTGTTGAACGAGCTGGGCCAGACCTGGTACCTGGTCAACGTTGTTAACAACGACTACCACGAGAAGGAGGGCATCTTCGAGATCTTCAAGGAGGACGTCATTGCCGCCCAACAGCAGCAGCAGGCTGACGTTCAGGCAGAGGCGGCAATTGCGGCCAAGCTTCAAAGTGTTACCATCTCGGCTTCGGAGGCTGTCGCTCCCCAGGTTCAGGCTATTGCCGTCGCCGAGGCTGTCATGGCCTAAAGGAAGTGTGTTGGATTCGAACACAATAGGATGTGCCTCCCCTTCCGCTTGTTCAGAGGAAAAAACGTTGCCTTATTTTTCTTCCCTTCTCACCAGCTTTCTTTTCCCTCTTTTTCATTTTCTTCCGTTTCATTTGTTTTCCTTTTCTTCGTTTTCGTTTCCGCTACCTTTGTAATCCCCCCTCCCTGTTCAACACAGGATACCCCTACACTATGCTTGTATAGTTTATTCTTTTCTCTTTTTTTTCCATTTGTATTGTATGACGCTTGTTCAACACACCCTGTACATAAACACCCCCACTGCTCTCCTCACCTTTTTACATCACATCTCGCTGCTTTAGAAACTGACAAAGAAAATAAAACGCGAAGATAGACTACTACTCGTATGGTGCAAGGTGTCAATGGACGAATAGAGGTTGTGGGCTGCCTTTTTTGAGTGCAAAGGAAGAAAAAGTTAGACAGAAAAGTACAGTGCATCTTGATGTCTTTGCAGTGGAATCAATATTTTCTTGATGTTGTTGAAATTAGTGGCGTTCAAGTATCTGATCATAACGCGAACAATGTCTCATGTTTATTTTTCGCGTTACTGATGGTCATGAGGAGTGATGATAAAGGATTTGCCCATTTTCTTCTGTCGAGTAGAGTGCTAACTTGTTCAGAAGCAGAAACACAAGGGCGTATTAGTGCTATCATGCGGATACAACAAGAAAAGCATAGGTGTTGTCATGCAAATACAAAAGAGGATTGGCTTCCCGTCTTCCCGTCCATAGTTGTAAAAGGCGAAGGCCGATGTGCCACCAGCACTGCATAAAAAAATAGCAACTTCTCTCACTTCCTGTCCCCTGGTTACCTCTTTCCTCTCCTGTAAAATCTTTTCTTGCCAATCCTTCCTTCTTTCATCCTTATTGCAAAGAGATTCACTCATCACTGTCCTTCCCTTCCTCCTCATTACCAACATTACCCACTTACCATCACCACAGCTCAATTGTAAACATTGTCTAACGTCCACCAATCCTTCCGACAAGGACCCACTGGCGACCTCGTCTGCCTCGAAGTCCATGACGAACCCGAGACCAACCAGCCTGTCATCTACTGGGACGACATTACGGCCGTCTTTCCCGCTGTCAAGCATGTCAAGAACGGTCCGGCTATTGTATCCTTTGCGCGTAATAAGCAGCGTCAATGGTAAAAGTAAAATACAATTTATAGCAGAGTTCTTTCCTAACAAGATATGCGTATTTTTGACATCGATGCTCACCTTCGCCTCGTTTTTCTTTGCTGTGGGCAAATAGGTGTGAGCCTCGGTGTATCAGGCACTACCCTGGCGACGTCTTGCAAGTGGTCGATGTCGGTCCAAGTAATGGTGACCTTCAGTCTTCTGCTACCCCTGAACCATCCATATGCTTCCCGGCCCTGCTTTCCCAGTCCTTCCCGCCGCCCCTGTCCCAGCCATCGCACCAGCAAGGTCTTTGGAAGATATAAGCACTGACCACCATTTTAGTCTCGACTCACTGGTTCTCTACGACACAACCACAGCATCGGCCTCCTCGCCTGTCACTGCTGTTGTTGCTGCCACATCGCCAACTCAGAACCAAGCCTTGAAACGTGCCCAGACCATGCTCCTCACTTCCTCGCCGCGGCTCCTTGACTTTGAGACGTCTGCACGATCAGGTGTCATCGCCAAAGCCGATGCCATTGTCCAAGGAAACCTGGTCATCCAGCAGGGCATCCAGGTCATCCAAGCCGAACTGAAGGAAAACTTCCCAGCCCTGAGGTCAGAGATTGCCAGAAACACTGCCCTTCAACAAGATCTTGCTATTGTCCAGCAAGAAATGTTGAAACTGCAGGAGCGCTCGATCAGGATGCAGCAAGAGGCCCTCGACCGTCTTGCCCTGATCCAGAACAAGGTCGCCGCCATCATGACCCAGAACTACGAGTTACATGAGTATCCAATCCCACGCCTGTTTATTGTCTTGCCCAAGGAGAGTATCAGCATGACCGAGATTCTAGGACGAGGAATCAAGAACCTATTCGCCGATCAGTTCACGCTTTATTTCCTTTGCGAGTGCGGTGAGCATACTAAGTCAGTTGACGGTCAACCCACCAACCTCAACCTCAAGCACGAGATCCACATCGCCCGCCACGAGGGATACGACATCGACCGCCCGACAGAGTTCTTCGACAAGTACGAGTCGTACATCCTCACGCTACTCCAGATGCTCAAGTACGGCGTCACTATCGCCGGTGTTGTTGTTCCGCCGTTGGGTCACCTCAACATTGTGGATGCCGTGGAAGGGACGCTTGGCGGCATTAACACAGTCCTGCAGGATCTCGGACCAAAGGTTGACAGTTCGATCGCCTACATAGAGGGTTTGATAGGAGCCCATAGCCATCTGGTGTCCTATGATTCATGTTCGACTTCCACGGGTCTGGGTGGACTGGAGGCATTGGAAGGCGCAGATCTCCGACAACTGGAGTCATTTCTGAAAACCAAGGACGAGGGTCGAGTGCTCGGAAACCTGTACAGGATCGTCACGTCAGATGGTCATGTCAAGTGGGTCTGTCTCGATCACTACCACGAAAACTACCGCGCCAAGTCGACGCAAGATCTCAGGGATGCCGTGCAAGCGGCCGAAGATGGATTGTACGATGAGGCCACTGGCAGCGTCCGCGTCGAGCTCCGTACTCCGATCGCCGCGAGGAGTTTTTACTCGGTCCTTACGTACTCCCGTTCCGTGCAGTGCCTGAATATAACTCTCTGTTGGGCCCCTTCTAGGCAGGACCTCCGAGATCTCGGCGACACCATCAAATCGACAAACATCGTCGAGATCACGATCAGGAAGTCTCCTAGCGGAACACCACTTTCTGATGTTTTCAACCGTGGTCGACGACTAGACCCTCTTCTTCAAATGATGTCTGGTGGCAACATTCAGTCTTTTCGTTTGTGGGGTTGGGACGAAGGCTTCCTAGAGTGCAGCGGCATTTTACCGACGACGTTCACTGTCCGGAGACTCCATATCTGGCATGAGAAGAATTGGCTAAAGAGTATTCCTCGTCTTATAAGCACCCTGCAAGCCAGTTCCCTATTGTCGGAACTTACAGTCGAAGAAGTTAACGTCGACAAGGTTGTGGGCCCACTCTTGTCGGCATTGGAGAGGGCCAAGCTGCCGCGGGCATTAAAAGTGGCTATCGGACTCGAACAAGAGTACTATTCCTTCGCATCCTTCGAGATCGACGCATTCACAGGCATGGCCCGACCAACTTATCTGCAATACGACAGTAACAAACACACAGAGATACTCTACCATCCCTTGCTTCGACAGGTCCGCATTCATCACCAACATGGACTCACTGTACTTCTCCAAAATCTTCGTATATGTGTCAAGAACAACTCTGGTCTGCAGAGCATCAAGGTTGTGTGCGCCCAGGAGGACTCCATCAACTGGTTGCAGGCTTTCCATAGAGTGTTCGCCGACTATCCTCAACAAACACCTCGGCTCATTTTCATAAATAGCAATGACACCTCAACAGTGACATCAACCACCAGCAACATTCAGGACCTTTTAACAACTGCCATCCACTTACATGGATTCAGCAATGACTACCTATCGGCAGGCTATCTCGGCACTATTCAAGACGACTGGGCATTCACGGCCGACATATTGGTTTTGAAACCCGACACAACGCCAACAAATATCGCGGTCTTATCAGAGTTCCTTCAAAAAAGACCAGTCCGGCTAAACTTTTCAGTTCTAAAGCTGACGCTTCGTGCCTCTTCGACTCCTGCTACCGTACCAGCTCTCATCAAGCTCATCAAGGAATCCAGTGCAATGAAGGATACGGAGTTCGCGTTGGATGTGGATTACGGAGATTGGATGAGCCGTCTCATCAATGCCTCTCGCCATGTCGCAGTTCAACGCCTTGCCAATCTCAACTCATATCTGGAAAGCAATCTCTCACAATACGATTTTTTTTAACCTTCCATGTGAAACGTAAAAGTGGATTGAAACCCCCAGAATAAAGCATTGGGGAGACGACAGACAGAACCTCTTTCCAGATGGCGACGGCGATGAGGATGATGATGAAAGATCATCTTTGCTCTGGGAAATAGGTGGAGGTGACAAAACGTGATCGGCTGCCAGAAATAATCCGAATCTCGAGCTTCAGCGTCTCCAAGGCAGGACACCCAAACAGCATCCTGAACTGGAACAGGTACGCGATCTCGCTTTCCAGAACGGGGGGGGGGGGGGGGGGAGAGGGAAAGGGGGTCAGACAAGGGAGGTATCAGTTCCATGTTCACTGTGATCGCAAAATCATCCTTCCGTCTGTTGCACCTTCCCCTGTTTCTAATCCTGTCTCTGCCTTCTCCCGCTGGTTGTTGTGAATATTTGGATCGCTTAGCATGCCATAGGACTGGTAGGTCTCGTTGACAGGCGGAATAAATCCTACAATGTCGTCAACTCCTTGCTGGTGATGTATTCCACTGCTTTGCTGTTAAGAGGCAATGATCCAAGAGACTTGAGCAACATGCAAGTGATCAGTGTGTCCTCGTGATGCTCTTTGATATAATTTATCCTTGCTTGTTGTAACAAAAGGCTTGCCGGAAGTGGGCTCGGTATATGTACGGGAGGGCGACAGAGGCAATGTATTTGTTCATAGTGAGGAGGGCGGCTAATGAGGAGACACGTTCGGCATCGTCAAGGGCTGGGAGAATGTGTTGGAGGCATTCTAGGGGCAGGTGAGTGAGTGAGTCCATGAAGTGATTGAACTATGAAGGAAAAGCAAGGGTGTTTTTAGAATGAAGGATGTGAAAAGGTCTCAGACACGTTCATCATTGAACTTCTAGATCCATAAGCGAACAAAAAAAATGGTAGTAAAAAAGTGAAATATCTATGTTTTATGTCGACGGTTTGCTGTTGAGGCGAGAAGGGGTATTTGAAGATGATGCTAGTGTCGAGGGCAGATATCGAGATAGGAGAGCTCAGGGGTATCGGCATGCTGAAGAGCAACAAGAAGAAGGATTCGCTTGAACTCGGCAACAAACATCTCTCCACGGGCTCGACCATGGAACGCGGCCTTTTGCCAGGTAGTCGAGATCGACAAACGACTATTAGCCGTCGCGGCGCTCATCGTCAACGCCGAAGCCGTAACGCCCGAGGATTGTGAGAATACTACGTCCTGAATTGTGTATAAAGCCCCACCAGTGGCGACAGTACCAGAAGTTGAAGGAGTACTCCAGCCACGACCAAGGTTGGACAGCTTGACACTAGCTTTCCGACCATGCTGATCCTTCGTGACCTTACTGGTCATAAACTTCTCCCAGCTGCCATCCTTCTTGGACAACAGTGCAAGCGCTCCAAAGTGCTCCAACAGATCCTGTATTCCTCTGGGTGTAGTTGTCCCTGCGACGACCTCCTTGCGGTACGCGTCCGTCATTGCCCAGAATCCCGACCTATCCTTGACCTGGATATTGTCGTGCAGGATCTCAGAGACATAGTTCCCTTGCTCATTGGCGCCGATTCGGTTGGGGATCAGCTCGCGGAGTGAACAAGGCGTCGCAAACACCAGTGCCTCTTCATCATTCCTCTCCACCGCTGCACACCCCTCCAACTTCTCATCCATCGTAGACCCAGACATGAAGACGGACCGGACAGCAAAGATCGAGGCCGTATACAAGATCGCCTGAACAGTCGTCGCCCTCGTCTTGGCCACCCGAACTACTGCCTGCGTCTCGTCCTGAGTCAGCCTTAAAAACCCAACCTCCGTCTGGTTGGGCACCTCCAACGAGCTATCAATCTCTCCCGCCCAGTACTTAGTCTCGAGAGCCTTCTTGATAAACCCGGGAAGGAAAATGGCTCGTGAGGCCTCCCAGAGGAGGGATCGGATGGATGGATAACAGTTGATGCGGGATTCGATCGATGCTGGGATGGGCTTATCAGGGACGATTGGGATCTTGAATGACGATGCTGGAGAAGGAGAAGGAGAAGGAGAAGGAGAAGGAGTGGCCGACTGAAGTTGGAGGTTCAATTGCTCGACGAGTTGTTCGGTGAGCGCCATCGCAGACCGGCCGTCCCCAATGACATGATGAAAAGTGTAGATCAAACAGAAGGACTCGTCTCCGATCGGAACGAAAGTGAGTCTCCAAAGTGGCCTCGCCTGATCGGCGAGATTAAACGGCTTATTATGTTCATCTTCCAGCACCTGCGCAATCGTCGTCATATTGTCTTCATTGCAATCAAACGAAGCAGTGTAGACTTGGATCAGAGGTAAGAGGTCAACGGACTGGAGTCGCAGAAAGACGGGGTGTCCTGTGAGATGGTCTCCAACGACAGTCGCAAGGATCGGATGGCGTTCAAGGAGGGTTGTGATGGGGTTAAGGAGGAGTTGAGCCCAGTCCCGTTGGTGGGAAGGGAGGGTGACGGGAGAGTGGACAGAGATGCCGACGGAGACGTTGTTGTAGATGTTGACGTTTGAACGAGTGACATTGTACCGCTCAAGGTTATCGACCGGTCGTACAACCTGCAGCACCATTTTTGTTGTGGTGTGTAAGGAAGGGGAATGTTGAGGGAGGTGAATGAAGAAGAGAAAGTGAATGAGGAAGCGAAAGAAGAAGAAAAAAAGGTGAACGAGTGGATGCGAGAGTGAGAAGAAAGAAAAAGGGAGTGAGGGGAAGTTCAGCTGTTCGGTCTGTTATGTTTGTCGCCCTCGTCATGACGGGGAAACGGATTAACCTGCTTGGTCATTCATCAACCGGACAGTAAGGATGAACTATGACCAATTTTTGGTTTATTCTTCTTCCACAGCAGCGGAACGTGGATGGGTTGTTGCTTTGCCCAACATCGTTTTGTTTGTTCACATAGAAAATTAATAATATTTACACGGCATAGTAAATGTACATGCACTAGATAAAGCCGGCGGGACGGTAGGAAGAATCAGAGGGACCCGAGGTTGGTGCGGGTAGTGGTGGGAGTGGGGGGTCTGCAAAGATATTGCCAGGGTCCTGGCGAGGAAGGGTCGACGGGGGGGTGTATCCAGTAGGTGCTGTCTGTGAAGGAGAGTATTGAGGGACAGTCTGCGCAGGGAGAACGGGGGTCGGCATGTATGAATACTTAGCCGCCAGAGTCAATGCAGCACTGTCTAGCTGCTGAGACGATGGGAACTGAGCCGTCGTGGTCTGGAAGGGGTTTGGATTTGCATCTTCCACACGCGGTGTATCCACGACAGACGCGCCATTACGGGAATAGGACGATGTTGGAGGATCTCCTGCTGGTGGTGCATACAGGTCTGATCCGCTCATATGACGAGCATGCTGAGACTGTTGGCGCTCGTGCTCCCTTCGGCTCTCCTCAAGTGCCCATTGCATCTCCTGGTCCTCGCGACGAAGCGCATTAGGATCGTGGTAGATGGCTGGTGGCGGGGCTGGCGGCACAGGTCCCATCGGGTATTGTTGTCCGCCATGCTGAGCTCCCTGAACAGTGCCATCGGGGCCGTAAGGAGGACCGACTCTTGATCGACCTGATCCTGTTACGGGCCGGCTCCCTGATCGCTTGCGGTAAGCTGCTGTTTGACGACGGCGACGGCAGCATCCTGAAAAGCAGCTCCAGATGCAGCAGAGCAAGATAAGACCGAGGACAACACCAACCGGAATCACAATCGACAAGTGCCCTTTTGCCCATCCTAGCACTCCCTGAATCCCATTGCTGTACTTGCACGACCCACCGGTACAGGTGCCTCCGAATCCACAAGTTGTGCCGTCCAAAAAGTAAGTTCCAGGGATCTGTGTGCAGGCCAGCGAGTTTCCACCAGGATCGTTACACATCAAGTCGCAACCGTTCGACGCGCCACATGCCTTGGTGATTCCCTGACGATCCTGCTGTTGACATTGAAGGTCGCGAGAAGTACAGACACCGTTTGCACACTGAAGGCTTGAAGTCGAGTTGTCGGATCCATTGCATGGGGTTAGGTTCTCGACACGGACATCTGTTGGGCAGGTGGCGTTGGTGCCGGTGCAGACTTCCTGGATATCGCACTCTGAGATCGCCGCGCGACAGACAAACCCTGCTGATCGCAACTGGCAGTTCAGGCAGCAATCGTCATTCAGATCATCGCAGACGGCGCCACCCTTGAACTTGCAGGTCGTTCCATCGCAGCAAGGGTCCTTGGCACAATCCTCAGCCGATCCACAATCACAATCCTCGCCTGACTCCTTGAGACCGTTTCCGCAAATGTTAGTCTCTGAGCTTTGAGTCTGACGAGTTCCTGGGGGTTTGAGACACTGTCCTGACGAACTCTGGATGGTTCCACAGATGGCTTTGATACTGCAGGGTGAGAAGGTCTTTGTGGGTGTCTGCTCCGAGGGATTCATAATAAACTGTGCGCCGGCATCGCAGACGGAGGATGAGAGTGGGCAGCACTGACCAGTAGCAGCGGGACAAGTTCCAGTTGTGCAGTCGTGAATAGCACCAAAGCCGTGGCCAACCTCGTGACTGACAACCATCCATTCGTTGGGGGTGACGGACGAGACGCCGGTTCCTGCAGTGTATTGAAGGCTCTGACCTTGTCCCTGAGACTGCGATTTCATCTGGCAAAGAGCCTTGGTCCATGCAATACCGACAACGGCACCCGAGTTGCACTTAGTCATCAGGTGCCACAGTCCAGCTCCGTCGCTCTCCCGACCGTCCTGGCCTCTCCAACGGCTGAAGTCGCTGAGTCTCTGATCGATGGTGTATGCGGATGAGCAATCCTGGTTCCACTCTTCACCAGAGACGGGTGTCGTGGGGCAGCTGTCGGTCTTGATGTTGAGGGCAATCACGCCCAATGCGACATTGAACGTGCTCTCATAGATTCCTGAGGCCGTGTTGAAGTCTGCAAAGATCTGTTTCCTGGCGCCAGCGGTGCCTCCATAGTTTCGGACATATGAACAGTCGGCAGCAACACCCTACAACGACAGAATTAGGAAAGAGTTGGACATTAGGATTAAAATAAAACGTCATTTCGAGAGCCAAACTACATGAAAGAAGGTGAACAACCCTTACCATGTAGTTGACCAATCGATTGGTAGGACATCCTGCAGGGACGGGGTTGGGACCCGCGACCTTGATAGCAACACCGCGCTTTGACATAGGAGCAGTAAGAATGTCAGTCCAGGACGAGCTGGCATCAAAATTAGCCATGGGGATGGTCGATGTCCGGTCGGGCGGGTAGTAGTACTCTTGTGATGACGTGGCTTCGATGTAGGCTGAAGTTTTGTTTAACATTGTGTCGGATCCACAGGTAGTTTCTTCTGCTTGGAGTCCGCGCTTGGTCTTGAGGAAGCGACTTGGTTTGTAGAGGTCCGAGTCGCGGAAGATGACCATGCTGTTGTCAGGGAGTTGTCGAAAGTAGCTAGGAACAGCATCATCCGATCGCTTCTGAACATGGTAATGTTGTCGTGTAGTCACATGGTACGTGTCTCCGTTGACCATGAATGCTCCTCGAAGGACAACCTCGTCAGGGCTAGTATAGGGGGAAAGCGTTGTTTGGTTAGCAATGAAGGAGTAAACAAACACAGGAGAGGAAACTAAAATATAGCGTCAAGTTGACAAGCAACTGTGACAACAGCCCGGTGAGCCGCCATGGAGTGGCATAGACAGGTGCTGCTCAATACCAGCAGACAACAACAAATAGATGAGGAAGACAACAAATCACTGCTGATGCTTTTGTTGACACCCCTCGATTTTCTTTTTCGGGTCTGGCATGCACGTTGGGCAATTGGTTTTGTTTGTTTGGATTGATCGTGAATATTGATGCCCTTTTCTCTTCTCCTGAACAGATCCGATGTGTCATGTAAGAAAGCAAGAAATAAAAAGAGGGTCTGGTCTTACGTTGCTGGGTCATGTTCTACCATCATGCGAGCCCAACCAGCGACCCCGTCCTCGTGCAGCATATGCTCAACCGTTCTTTTGGCGATCCTCGAGGTGGTTGCGGCGCGTTTCCACTTGCGATCAGCATGGTCTTGGTCTTGGATGACAATACCCTTGAATGCCTTAATATCGTCTACGACAACATCGGGACCAAGGTCTGCCTCGGGATGGAGAAAGTCCGTATTTGGTTCCAGGTAGAGATGGAATGTGGTGTTAAAGGCAGAGAATTGGAACCGGATGGTGTCATCCCTGGATATAATGTCTGGGTAGGCGCTAAGGATCTGGTCCAGGTTGCGTTTGGCGAGAGGCTGGTCGCGGTGGGCGTCATAGGGCGCTGCTCTGGGGAGGATGTCGTGGCGTAGACCTGCAACCTGTTCCGCTCGAGTAATGGTTGGCCAGGCCTGGGAATGGGCTGAGGATTTGCGCATCATGACATTTTGTGGAGAGGAACAGAAATAGAATTAGTTTGGCTGGCAGGGCAAGGACAGGAGACAGGAGGCAGGGCATGCCAAGTCATATATAGATAATAGGCCGCCGAATAATCGTCCTTCCAACTGGAAAAAAAACAACTGTTGTTGAGTATTGCCTGAGCTCTCACCTTGTACTTGCAATTGCACGTTAGTTGAGAGGAGAGCCAGCGTAGAGACGAGTGCCAGCAGTATGCTGGCCCTTATTGACGCGGCCATATATGTGTACTTGGGCTGTGATATATGAGTTGATTATACAGCGGATAGAAGGGTATCGTATATCCTCAAGGTCCAAGTCGCTCAGGAAAAGGAAGGTCGAATGAAGAGTGTGAATGGAGAGAGTGAATGGAGAGAGAGCGAATGGAGAGAGAAAGAGAGATGAATGAGGAGAAGAGAAAAGGCAGGACAAGAGACAAGGGAGAGTGAGGGTGTGGAGTGAAGAGTGAAGAGAGAGAGGGTGGAGAGAAACAAGACAAGAGAGGGTGAATGGGAGGTTGCTTGTCAGGATAAGGAAGGGAGAGTGGGATGAGAGTGCGTGGATGAGAGGATCGATGAAGTGTAGGCTTGTTGTTGATAAACTCTCCTGACAGAATGAAGAGAATGAGAATGAATGATGAGAGAAGAGAGAAGAGAGAAGAAAATAGGTAGAAGGGAAAGAAAAGAGAGGGAGAGAGGGAGAGAGGGCAGCTAATAAAGAAACAAAAAGGCTATGGATGGGTGTCAAAGATAAAAGGGCGCAAATGGGAGAATGGCTTTCAGGAACAGGTGGCACCGCCATTTATTTATTTTCTGCCTATTTGCACTGACGCAGTTCTGCGTGCGGACATCTCCCTCTCCTCCAATTACAGAACAAACATCAGACCAGGCGAAACATACAACAAACACCCGGGGTTTGTCCTTTTCCTTCCTTTCCTTCCTTTCTTCCTTTCTTCCTTTTTCTTTCTTCCTTTTTCTTCTTGCAACAGCCCGCACACTTTACAAAAGTACATGTTGGATGGCGGTGACCTGACTAATCCTCATCAGAAGCCACCCTTTCATCCAAGTCGGACTTTTTTCCCTTTACACTTTGGACGCCTGGAATCCGCTCCATGAGTAATGGTTAAGAGTCGAAGGAGGACCCTGCCTCAGGCTTTTGCAACAATTATTTCGTTGCCCGTCCGTAGGTCATGTCATCGAGCAGCTGAAATGCAATTTGCACTCTGACCCGGAAAAAAAAGTCTCCGTAACCACATACTCTTTGTTGTTCTTGGAGCGAAAGAGTAGCTCTATAAAAACAAAAAATAAAAATTATGTCTGTCTGTTTTCAAGAGTACTCATCGATCATTTCACCCTCAACTCGTGGCTACCTGACTCCTAATCTTTTGTTTTTCTTCAAACTACTCACTCATTGCAACCCTTACTTTTTTGTTATGTTGACATCACATTGCCACACTTTGTTGACTCGTTGGCATGTTGTTGTTGATTTTGTAGGAACAGGGGCAAAATCAGGGGTATTGAATTGAATGGGAAGGGAAACGGAAACAGAAAGAGAATGAGGACACGATGCAGCATGATATGTCACAACCTTCAGCCCTCCTCGTTCCCCCTAGGATGTAGCATGTACTATGTACACCATACTCATCTCACCTGCGCAATTGTTCGCGTTGTGTTTTTGTTGATTGCGATTTATTGTTTATCCCCGGCAAAATCAAGAAACCCTGCAAGTCTAGAGTTGTGTAAACAGAACAAAACAAAACAAAAGACAAAAAGACACAGCCCTAGGTATGTTCATCCATCCATGCCCTGTTTCTCGCTCGTCGTTATTTTTAAAATTCTTTCTACTGTACCCCTTTTTTACACTTCAGCCAACGAACCCTGCCTGAAGAAGAAGAAAATGAAAACACATAGCCCTAGACGTCGTTGTATCCCTGGTAAGTTGACGCCCCATCCTATCCTTTTTATAGATCCATGCCATCCTCGTAGAGTAGATCGCCATGAAAAAAGAACAAAAGTCTATCGACTGTATGAAAAGTGGGTTGTCGAAAAAGACAGGGGGTTCGTGTCATGACAAGAACATTCTTCTCTTCCTACTTCGATTCGCGCTTCCAACCCTTCCGTAATTTGTTTTACGTTCTCGCGCGAATGCGTAGGAAAATATTAATCCTACAATGAACAACCATTCGCGCACGCCAGTGGGGATGCGATTGCCCTCGTGTGCAGTGACCTACATCCTACTGATGTCAACAGTATATTTTTCTTTCAGCTTGGCCTGAACGAATACCTTTTATCTTTCTCAGCCACAGTCTTTCATGCCGTTCGCCTTCATTTTTATCTCCGGGCTAGCAGCAACTTGTCAATCATTTCTTCTGGACACAGTTTTATTATTTTTCTTACAAACAATCCAGCGTAAACATTCGAAAAATGGCTCTTTTGAATCGACGCGTAAAACTATGGCCGACCTTTATGGCAACACCATTCCCTTTGTCTCTCTACAACTAATGACGGCAATCAAACTGCTGCAAGCAAAATGACTGGGAGAATGAGGAAACTCACAGTGTCAGTCCACTTTTTTTTTTGCTCTTAATTAAGAATCTCGGCCTCATTACCCACCGCGACTTCAACACAACACATTTCCTCGCCTCACAAGATAAGCCAAGATGAACTTGAAGATCCACATCCGTTCCGGAAACGCCTGTTCCACTACCTTGTAGGCGACTTTTTTTTTTTCTTTGTACACAATTTTATTTCTTTGACAAACAACTCAAAAGAGACATTTGTAAGTAAAGGGGCTACAGACCAAACTCTTCAATGCGCCATCCACCAGTCGCAGTCCGGTCCAGAACCTGGCTCTGCACAACAATTGTCGCTGCTCTTCACAGGTTAAACGGAAGAAAATAAAACTAGATACGAATGAAGGGGATCTTCATATCCTCTCCATCATTGACAACCTCCTCCTTCCTAACAAACTCTCCAACAACCGCTCGTCAGCAGCACGTGGGTCCTTGGTCGCTCCAGGGCACCTTCCTTCATCATGTGTGACTGGCAAAGCGCCACACGGGGCCTTTTACGCCACACGGGGCCTGCTACGCCACACGGGGGGTTTTTTACCAGCAAGGCGTCGGAAGTGATTGTGAGCCAATCATTCAAAATCAGGCTGGAAAACAGTTTCGTCATCAGGAAAATAGCCTAATTGCCCGCTTAGCTCATTGGTAGAGCGTCTGCCTAGTAAGCAGAAGGTAGCAGGTTCGATCCCTGCAGTGGGCACATTTCTATTTATTTTTGTAAACTACTGCCTTCACTCTTTTTATTTATTTTTTCAGGTTGGGTTTTGGGCATCATCCTCAGGCGAATCCACTTCACTTTCCTTGACTGTCCTTGCTGATGCAAGGACGAAATAGTACTGATCACCTTTGAAAAGGTTCCGGCTAATAACACCACTGAACTACGTTCTTCCTTTCATTTCTATCTCGTATGCCAGCTCTTCACAGAAGGTAACCTTTTTGGTTTTTAATCGCGTTGCTTTGTCGCTTTCTGCCAGTAGAGCGCAAGCGATCTGTTCAATCAGTTCGACCATCCCTTTCTCTTTTTCCTTCTTATTGAACACTTGGTCACACCCTACTCTGATGAACAACCTGCTGCCATCATCCTTAAACGCGACTGAAGCCAAAGATGTTCAACTGATCCGCCTTACTACAGTACAGAGCTTTTTGGTGGTGGTGTACAAAACCAAGGAGCCGCGTTCAAATAGTTTGTTCCTTACGCTTTACACACTCGCAACCCACTTGATCTCACAAGTGACCAGCGCTAGCACAATAATCACTATGATCCACGAAACGCTTCACGATCGTGGATTCTTTTCAGCAGGATAAGAGAATCTAGAAATGGGCGGATGGGTGATTCAGGTTCGTCTTTTGCACAAACTTGTCAACAAAGCTGTTGGGCGTTTCGCCAGGGCAAGAAGGGCGGAAGGAGAGAAAACAGAAGGTGAGAGGAGAAAAGGAGAGAGAAGTGTGGCCAGTGCGCACACCCCTCGCTCGCATTTTTTGTTCCTTTTTTTGTTAGCTCCTGACAAGAAAAAGAGGGTTAGGGATGAACTGAAAATGCAAGGGCCACTCTACTCCGTCACTCCATCTCCACCTTTGCGTTCCAGACACAATCAGCAAGAAAAATGTCGTCGAGGAGGTCGTTTTGTGCTTCTTACTGCAGATGGTAGTTTTTATTTCAAAAGTGGGAAATACTGTATGACGGTCTGGCTAAAAGATTTAGAGTATGGTGATTGGCTGGATTGAGAGCCATCCTGGCTGTGGGCTTGTACCGACCGTGGGAGAATTTTCGTCCATGTCGGTCTGTTCTTTTCATTGAACAAGGAATTCTCTGCCATCATCGAAGCATCTGTTTCATCTTTCCAGAACTGACGGGAGAGAAAAGAGGCGAAAGCCGATAAGGGAGGCGGAAGGTGGGGGAGCTCGGACTCTTTCTTTCTCTTTCGGTCTTGTGCGCATTCGGGGGAGGTCTTGGAAGGCTGACCGACTGGCATGTCACTATTTGGTTGGTTGGGCGTTTCTCTTTTCTTTTGTTCATGCAGAAAAAAAAAAAAGGTCGTGTGCTACCATGCTCACTTCAAAGTATCACAAGAGTGGTGTTGTTTGTGCTTCCTTCCCTCCTTCGGACTAGCAGGAATGGATCTGGGCTGGAACAATACGTACCGAGCCTGACTGACGACTTGCCATTTTTGTTGTAATCGCTTTTCGGTTGTGGAGTAAGATGCGCCGTTTCCATCATTACGAAAGCCATCAGAAACGAGTGCATCCATGTCCATGTCCTTGATAAATGGTCCTTCAAGTTAATGTCCATCGCAGAGTTGATCCAAGGGCATGTATGTTCCGCATGTGGATATTTGATTCGTTCCTGCTAGTTCAAGATCTTTCTTCCCTCCCGACTCCTGTCGCCTGTCTCCTGCCGGATTCATACATTCATTGAACTGAACATTGGAGACCCAATTTGCTGAGTTTGGAGTAGCTATTTTATCCCATGTGGCATGATGATGATGACGGAGCCGCTTCTTCCTTGGAAACAACAAACACAAACAAAAAGATTTTATCGTCTCGTACCTGAATGAAAATACTTCTTTTTTTGATCGCCCATCCCATCCTCCCTTTGGTAACACCAAAAGAGCGACGCAGCAGACGGTTGAAGTGGCACCGGATGGGTTGGCCGGTCGGACAATGGGTTGCTTGTTATTGCTCTTGCTCTTGCTGTTGGTGTTAGCCTTGCTGTCGTTGAAGTTGAGAAGCGCTGGTGAACTTGGTTGGAGATGATGTAAAAGGGAAGATAAATGAAAAAAGAAGAAAAAAAAGGAATAGGGGAGAAAGTATGGAAGAGAAGAAAAGAAAAGAAAGAATAAGGAAGGATGAGATAGAGGAGGTCAACAAAACAGCAAGACAACCATGCTCGTTCCTCTTTTTCTAACCCCTTTATCCAATTGAGCATTGCGGGCGGGGGAAGCAAGGTGAGGTGGTGGTTAAAGTGAAGTAAAGGGAAGGGGTGGAAATGTCTATTTTTTGTTTTATTTTATTATACATTTTTTCCCGTGGACGGAAAATGGGGATGAGGAAGGAAGGCGGACAAGTTGCGCAAGAGGAGGAGAAGAAGGGAAGAAGGGAAGAAGGGGAAACAAGATTTGAGCCTTGTAATCCATGGGCCGAAAGGGGGGAGAAGGAAAACTTTTTTTTTGTACAATACCCCCTACTCGAATGAAAAAAAAGGTCACCATTGGACAGGATGGATGGATGAGAGCATCAACTCAAACCCATCACATATGTACACACACGCAGACACAAACCGGATACCAATTGCAAAGGTGTTTTCTTATTTTTGGTGCGGGCGGAAGCAGCGGCAGCAAGCAGCAGTCGATTGTCTCTTCTTTTTTTTATTTTCTTTTGTCTGGATGTGAAATGGGAGACAGAGAGAGAGAGAGAGAGAGAGAGAAAGAGAGAAGCGTGCAGTAGTGGAAGAACCCAAAGCAAAGAGTGGCGAAAAAAAAAAAAAAAAAAAAAAAAAAAAATGAAAAAAAAGAAGTCCACTCCCTTCCCCCAAGTGACATTCAATTTACCACGGTCAACAACAACCAGCTGGGCTTCTTTTTCTTTTTCTTTTTTTTTCTGCTTCTACTTCCTCTTTTTTTCTTCTTTCTTCTTTCTTCTTTCTTTCCACATTTTCACCCTTTCCAATCCACCCAAGACTCTTCTTGCAAGCCTCATGGTCCTTTAACTACCTGCGAGTGCTCTTCTTCCTTCCTTCCTTCCTTCCTCACTTTCTCTTCCCCGTCACTCACACACTCCTCCTCCTCAACCTCATATTCACACCTACAGGAGAGCCAGAGAGTCAAAAGCACACTGTACAACAAAAGACAACAGCAGACAACCAAGCTCACCATCATATTCTCCAACAGACCTCCCGCATCGTCTTCTTCCTCCAGGAAGTGTCTCTGTAGTGGCAAGTGAATCATGTTTTTGTGTAGTCATGGGTGTAGAAGAATGAACTGATCAGTTTTTCTTGTCAAATATTAACCTGTCCCGTCTTTTTTTTTCTGTCTCTGCTTTTTTTTCTTTTGTTTGGCCATTCACTACTATTGCCATGGAATCAATTGATACATGCGACTACAACAACAGTCTCATAGCACAGTTGCCTTCTTAGAGAGAGTTCGCTTTTCTTGTCCAAGTCAGGCAGAAACAGCAAGCACAAGAGCACCGGATTCACAAAAAGAAAACGCAAAAAGCATTATATGGTGCCACCTCAATACTGTCCTCCTACGTTCACCCTCGAGTTCAGTGGCATGCCAATGATGATGGCCATAATGGAGCCACAGCAACAGCAGCAGCAGCAGCAACAACAACAGCATCAGCAGGATATCACAGGCAACAGTCGCCCCGGACTGGCCTCAAAGGTCGCCGAATCTCACCTATCACAGCCATTCATCCCGCCTGAAGACGACAAGGACAAGGACAAGGACAGGGACAGGGGCAGGGATCCAGCTCCACCTCTGCAGGCACTGTCCGGCCCTGATATCATCCCGCTCTCAGATGACCAGTCCATTTCCTTGGCCGAAAACTCTAATCCTCCCCAAGCACACAGCCAGCACACCACCCAACCTGTCCAGAGCCAGAATCAGAGTTCGCCCACCCAACAGACCCAGAGCATGCGTCCGCAGAGGCAGCGAAGGTCGACCGCCAACCATATCCACAACAATCCTGGCCATAGTCCGACAGTAACCAAGGGAAGCAAAGCGACTCCGACTTCCAGCGCCAGCCGTTCTCATGTCACCCCACCATTAGCAACAATCTCAGCAATAGTCGAACCTCCAGCTTCGGTCGCCTCAGTAACATCGACAGTAGCGCCAGACGCAGCACCATTGCCCTGTACCTCGGTTGGCGAAACAGCCGCTGCTGCTACCACCATTCCCTCAGCTGGTTTCCACCCTCAGCACCAGGGTAATATCATTGCCGGTGACGTCCTAACTCCATCTCCCAACCCTTCAGCCATTGAACAAGCTGCGTCCCCCCCATCCTCTCGACCCGGTAAACGATCCAATCCAGATTCCGATGAAGGAGAGAGAGAAGAACTCTCCATAGTTGAGACACAGACGCAAACACAAGAAGCGGAAAATGTGGGACGTGGTGTCAGTACTGAGAAAGGGGTGCAATTGGAGAAAGAGACATCGAGTTTGGACCCAACCCTCAACTGTACCACAACAGCAGCATCAACAACAACAACCCTGTCCGCCCTTTCAGAGGGAGATTCGTTAGAGAGTCAAGGATTGATCGAATCGGATCCGATGGGTGCAGGAATCAAGCGTGAGGCTCGTCCAACCCGCTCGGTAGGCCCACAGGGCATTGTGCCATCCAAGGGCAAAGACGCCACAGGGATGCCGGCCAAGAAACGAGCCAAAACGGATCAGGCAAAGAAAGGAGAGAGTGATACTGCCAGTCTGTTCCAAAAGATTTGTAAGTGCCATTTTGTCTGCGTGTGCTGTGAAAGCCGAGGAATGTCAAACACATGTGAGGGGTTGTAGAGAAACGTGAGTTTGACCAAGCAATTGGTTACCTTTTGATACCTGATGTTCCTGTAGTTGCCGACCGGGACCCTGGTAAGCGCAAGATCAAGACAAAGTCGGTGCACGAGATCCCCATGGACTTGGCCGCAGACGAGGATGATTCCGACTTTGAGGACACCAAGATGGACAGCAACGACGAGGACGAAGATATGGTCATGCCCGAGGACGCGGCCAGTGAGGACGAACTCCAGCCCGGTCAACAGGAGGCATTCAACGACGAACAGGAACTCTTGACTGCACTCTGGCAGTGGGTAAGTTTCTTGTCACTCGTTTTCGTGTTTGTTATTCTTAATCCACATCGTCATGCCTAACATGGTTGCGTGTTTGCTCTTTTTGTGTGGTTTGTAGAAGGACAATGACCCCGAGGTGTGTTGCGTTTGTTTGGGACGATCCACAGAGGCTGACAATGTCTTTGTCTACTGTGACACTCTCGACTGTGCCCTGTGTGTCCATCAGGCATGCTACGGTGTCAAGACCCTGCCCTCAGAAAGCGAGCCATGGCTGTGTGATCGCTGCAAGGCTCCTCCTGAGGAGGTTGTGGTAAGTCCTCCCGCTTTTCCCAATTGGCCAAAAGGGCGACATTTCATTATTGATTTTTTTTGCCTCTCCTACTGTATTGCGGGTTTCAAGCCCGAAAAGAAAGTTTCCTAATGAAAGACGATATTGTATTCTTCACACGCGTTCTATTCTTAGTCTTGTGTCTGTTGCCCGTCCAAAGATGGAGCGTTCCGACGTCTTATCCCAGAAGACCCCAGCGGCGGATGGGTCCATGTCGTCTGCGCACTTTGGCTTCCAGAGACCACCCTAGGCGATCCCGAAAACGTTGACAGGATCTCTGTCCGCGATATACCCGAAAAGAACTGGAACTTGGTACGTGTGCATGCAGAGCATGCATCAAGAGTAGTAACGGTATTGTGACATCATCAAAGTAGTTGGGCTAACCACCAGTCTCTCTTTTACTGTACTATAGACCTGTTACATGTGCTCAGACTCGCAGGATGCCGCCTTGGGAGCTTGCGTACAGTGCGACGCTGGTCAATGTCGCAAGTCGTTCCACATCACCTGTGCCCAGTCCTATTCACTCTTGGAGACCATCGAAGACTCTGATATGGCAGACCCCTACTTTACATACTGCAAACAGCACGGCTCTGCTGACGGACAGTCCAAGCTGAACGGGTGGGCAAAGTGGGTCAGGCAACGTGACGCATTCCTGAAGAGATGGCAAGAGGAGCAGGGACGGAGACGCACACAACGATTGATTGACATGCAGCAGAGTGGGATCGGGGACGAGGATGGTGGAGAGGGTCTCATCGAGATCTTTGAACATTCCTATTCCCAGTTTAAGCAGGCCCGAGAGAAGAGGATCGCCAAGGAACGCAGCGAGCTGTCCCGGCAATACTCCATCGGCTACTATCTCGGCAGCAAGATTGACAAGTCCCGGTCCCGTCTCGAAGTCGTTTCTTCCAAGGCCCAGCAGGCACTACAGGAGCAGCGGAGGATCGAGATGCATACCCGTAACCTCTTATCGAGTCTGCTGGAGTGTGCCCATTACCTTGAGAACGTTTCAGCAGAGCAGCTCGAGGCCCCACTCTCGATCGACACAACCCTGGCGTGGTACAACGCGCTGCCTGACACTTCTCGGTGGAAGAGTAACATCCAGGATATCATCGAAACGATCGACATCAGCTCCTTGAACTGCGACAACCCCTATGGCTATCCAGGAGCCCACGGTCAGGTCGACTCGGGTCTAGATGACAGCGAGAGTGGTCAGAGACATGGACGCTCCTCCAAGGGTATCTACGGCAAGCTCTCTAAGAAAGGTGGCAAGGCTGCGCTCGGTGCTAGAAAAAATGTTAAGTCGAAGAAGGTGCATCCCAAACCTACTTTGGCCAACAAGAGCCAGGTCCCGGTGGTGTTCACATCCAGCAGAGGTCGCCTGATTAGGCGGGACTTTTCCGATCCCGACGAGTACTACGCTACAGCCAAGCCTAACGGCAACAGCTATGGAGCTGGCTACCATCAAGGACAATATTCAGGTCAGCCCCAGCCAGCCAAGATCGCCAAGGCTATTGTGCCATGCTCGGTTTGCCACCAATTGACACTCCCCGAGGAAAAATTAGCCCTTGAGCGCGATGAGAATGGGATGCTCACAGCCATGGCCATCAAAGTGCTCAATCGCATGGTCACTTGCGACACCTGCCAGCGCCAGTTCCATCCAAAGTGTCTCGACCCACCAATGTCTCGAGCACCACCTCGGTATGTGTCCCAATATCGCATGAATGTTGATCGACCATCGTTCTTTCTTCTTTACACATCAACAACTAATACTTTCTTTTTAACATTGCAACTTTGGTCCTTACTAGTGGGTACAGCTGGAACTGTGAGGACTGCGACTCCTCAGACGGCAGCCAAGGATCGAGCGGAAATGCCTCACCGACAATCTCCAGCAGCCATGCTCACCACCATCATAGTCAGTCCTCGGATCTGGATGAGGCTCTGATGGTACTTGCCGATACCGCCATGACTGTTTCCGCCACCACTATTGTCTACCCGCGATCAGAACAAGGTCGTCCCTTTTCCCACGGCCTTAAGCGTCCCCTGGCATACCAAGGCCTAGATAGCACCGAGTTTTCCTCGTTCTCTGGTGCCAGCACTGATGGGCCAACCAAGGGCAAGGAGAGCAAGGCCAAGAAGTTGAAGACGGAGACCCCCAAATCTAAGGCAAAGAGTGCAGCTGGCGAAAGCACCAGAGCCGAACCCAAGGCCAAGAAGGCCATTAAGTCAAAGGCCAACAACGCTGATCACGAGGCAGGAGAGCAACAATCACAGAGTCAGTCGATGTCTCCCAAGCCCGCTATGGTCGCTCCTATTATCCGTGGCAACCTTCGAATCTATCCTCCAGGTCCCAACACCATCGCACCCAAGATCAACCCTCTGCTGCTGAAGGAGGTCAAGATCGAGTCTGCCACCGTCGTCAAGCCAAAGGCTGGAACCAAGAAGGTCAAGGTTGTTGCACCCTCTAACGCCACCAAACAGGAGTCGACAACAGGAACTGCGACCAAGAAGAAGGCTCAATCGGACACCGCAGCTACGGCTACCAAGTCTAAAAAGTCTGAGGCGACTCCTGCACCAGCAAAAGGCAAGGCTGTTGCCGCTGCAGCCGCTACTGCTGCTGCGACTCCCAAGAAGAAGGCTTCTGCAACTAGAGAGACTTCTCTTCCTGCTGCTGCAACCCCAGCCAAGGCCATCAAGGCGACCAAGGAGAAGGCAGCAACAGTTCGTCGCGGCTCTCTTCCTGCAGTTCCTGAACCCCCACCACCCAAGCCCAAGGAGGTGATTCGTTACACCGTTGGTGAGAAGACGGTAGAGGAGTTGACGGCCAAGGAGGATGTCGAGATCGAAAGACGCGACAACATCAAGTTCAGGAAGTTGCGCGGTCGTACATTGACCATGCCTGCAGCACCTCAGGAGGTTCTCGAGAACCAGGCCATTCTCCAGGCCCAAGCTCAAGCTCAAGCGCAGGCTCAAGCGCAGGCTGTTGCTGAATCATCGGCCAACGGAAACGCGACCGACTTGCCCAATGCCGCTCTTTAGGTGATTGCCTCGCCGTTTTGAACTTTTTTTTCGTATATTATTTTCTTTTATTGTTGTACCATCACGGTCGTTTTCTAGGCCATTGTCCCCCCTTCACCTTCTCCTTCATCACTCGGTTTCTGCTTTGTATTCTACCCGACGCACACCACACCGCACACACAAGGCTACTTTATTATAGCTCTGGGCACTTTATTCCTTTCATGCTTGCTTTTCTCACAATGGCGACAAGCAAAGCGACTACTTTGTTCCTTCTCCCTGTTCATTTCCTTTTCTCTTTTCCTTTTTCTTTCTCATTTGTCATTTTATTTTGCAGTTTTATTTTCCTTCCATAATTTTGTATCCATACACAAAGAAGCACGATTGTTTTGTTAAGTGAAGTAGGGCCATCCCCCATGTATCATTACTTTATTCTTTTCACTCAAAAGAATAATAATAAAAAAAAAGAAAAGTATCACCCAAAAACAAGAAGCAACCTTGCGCAATTGTGTGCCTGATGAGCAGATGCTTTATCGATGGATCGAATAGATAGAGGAGAGCGAAAAAAGTTGCTTCCTTCGATGTTCGCCCACCAATCGATTTTGAGTCACAGTCGATTCAGCGATTCAGTGTGTTGTGGTGAGACACGCACACAACGTAAACAAAGACGAGATGCTGAAAAACAAATTCCAATCTCTTTTCATCATCCCACCCATCGTCTGTCCTCCATCCGCCCTTCGCTCCTCCCCACCCATCGCTGTAGCAACACGAGCCACCCCTCATATACAGCTCCTTCCTTACCCACTCTTCGTCACCCTCTCTCTCAACTCTTTGTAAGTGTTTGATACCGACATGACAGTTTTGCCGAACAGTTGTTTCAACTCAACGTGCCTTGCTTGGATGGCAGACCCCAGCGCTCACTTTCTTGTCCTTTCTTCCACGACATCCTTGTCGATGCCTTTTCCTTTCCAGACCTTCTTCCTCCTCGACTGAGAGCCATCTGCCCACCATGACTGTGATTATGATTGACAACTATGATAGTTTCACTTGGAACATCTATCAGTCCCTCTGCATCCTCGGCGCTGATGTCCAGGTCTTCCGCAACGACGTTATTACCGTCGAACAGCTCGCTGCCATGAACCCCACTCATCTCGTCGTTTCGCCCGGCCCTGGTCACCCTTCCGAGTCTGCCGGTATCTCCAAGCCCGCCATTGAGTACTTTGCCGGCAAGATCCCCGTCCTGGGAGTCTGTCTGGGAGAGCAGTGCATGTTTGAGATCTACGGAGGTACTGTTGGCTTTGCTGGCGAGATTGTTCACGGAAAGGTCTCGCCCATCAAGCACGACGGCAAGGGACTCTACCTCAACATCCCCCAGGATATCCTCTGCACCCGCTACCACTCGCTCTCTGGAGTCACCTCGACCGTCCCCGAGGTTCTCGAGGTCACTTCCAGGACAGAGTCGGGCGTCATCATGGGCGTTCGTCACAGGACTCTTTGCGTCGAGGGTGTCCAGTACCACCCCGAGAGTGTCCTCTCCGAGCACGGACAGACCCTCTTTAGCAACTTTTTGAAGCTCAGCGGCGGTACCTGGAAGGAGAACCCCGAGTACGGCGTCGACTCTGACATCAAGCCTGTAGGAACTGCCGAGGCTGCCAAGACGGCCGTCCCCAGCATCCTCTCCAAGATCTTGACTCAGCGTCTCGAGGATGTCGCTGCTGCCAAGGCTTTGCCAGGACAGTCTGCTGCCGACTTGCAAAAGTTGATCGACCTCGGATTGGCGCCCAAGCAGATTGATTTCGTTGCCCGTGTCAGGAAGAGTCAGCCTTTGCCCGCCATCATGGGAGAGATCAAGCGTGCCAGTCCCAGCAAGGGAAACATTGACCTCGACGCCAACGCTGCTGAGCAGTCGCTCGCCTATGCCCGTGCCGGAGCCAGTGTGATCAGTGTTTTGACCGAGCCCAAGTGGTTCAAGGGTTCCTTGAACGACATGCGTATCGTCCGCGCCATGATCGACACTCTGCCCAACCGTCCTGCTGTCCTCCGCAAGGACTTTATTGTCGACACCTATCAGATTCTGGAGGCACGCGTCTATGGTGCTGACACTATTCTCTTGATCGTCGCCATGCTCTCGGTCGAGCAGCTGCACACCCTCTACAAGTTTGCCCTCACCCTCGGAATCGAGCCCTTGGTCGAAGTCAACAACGCACAGGAGATGGAGGTCGCCATCGAGTTAGGAGCCAAGGTTATTGGAGTCAACAACAGGAACTTGCACAACTTTGAGGTCGACATGGAGACCACCACAAAGCTGGTCAACATGGTTCCTCAGGGCACCATCCTGGTCGCTCTTAGCGGAATCAAGGGTCGCGAGGATGTCGAGCGTTACGTCGAACAGGGCGTTGGCGGTGTTCTTGTTGGTGAGGCTTTGATGCTCTCCAAGGACAAGAGGGCATTCATTCGCGGATTGTTGGGCTTGTCAAGCGAGGAGAGCACCTCCAAGGTGTTGGTCAAAATCTGCGGTGTCTCCACAGTCGACGCCGCTTTAACGGCCGCCGATTCAGGAGCAGATTTTATCGGTATGATCTTTGCCGAGGGCTCGAAGCGTCAGGTCAAAATGAACGTTGCGGCGGAAATTGTAGAGGCAGTTCGTGAGTATGCGAACGCGACCGCAGCGTACGGTGGAGACGCCGAAGCCAACGCCCTTCGAGCAGGTTCGGATGATGTTGCTAACGCAGACTGGTTCTCGATGCATGCCAGGAGAGCGGAGCGGAATCCTCGCAAGCCGATGATTGTAGGAGTGTTTAGAGACCAGTCGTTGGAGGAGATTACCCGCGTTGTGGACACACTCAAGATTGACCTGGTGCAGTTCCACGGAGGAGAGAACCTCGAGATGGCTCGGTTCTTGCCTGTGCCTGTGATCAAGGCCTTCCACATCAAGGGAGACGAGTCTCCTAAGGAGGTGATCCAGTCGCTTGCAGGGACGAGGGGGTTGAACGCATATTGCCTACTGGATGCTGCTGGCAAGGCAGGTGGGTATGGCGGTGGAGAGGGCAACTCGTTTGACTGGTCGATTGCCAAGGCCGTGGTGGACAGCCAGGAGGGCGGGTTCCCTGTGTTGTTGGCAGGAGGATTGGACCCTGAGAATGTGGCTGACGCTGTGCGCCAGGTTCGCCCCTGGGCGGTCGATGTGTCGAGTGGAATTGAGACCAACGGCGAGAAGGACGATCGAAAGATCAAGGACTTTATCGACCGGGCCAAGTCCGCCTGAAAGAACCTTTTACCCTTTGCCCTAAGCCTGTGTGCAAATAAAATTGAGTCCGATCAACATTGTCAATTACGGGGGGTTGGAGGGCGTGTCTATCATCGAATGAAATCGTGTTCCGGCTTGAACGGACAAAGTATCACATGACAATCTTATTGTGCCTGTTGTGGTGCGAAGTTCGGCTTGTGGGTTCAAAAGTTGAGCTTTGCTTCTTTCTCTCCATTCGTTTCTTCTTCTTTAGCCAACCGACCAACCCCCCTTCCCCCACCCCCGACAGCAAGCAGCAACCACAGACAACCAACCAACCAACACATACGCATATACAACATATAATGTCTGGAAAGCGAGAGGATATTTTGGCTTCGGCCGTCAAGTTCCTGCAGGATCCAAATGTACAGGCTTCATCGCTTGGCAAGAAGGTTGCCTTCCTCGAGTCCAAGGGTCTGACCTCGGAGGAGATCGAGGAGGCCATGCAGAGAGCCAACGGCACTACCCCTGCAGCAGCAGCAGCAGTATCACAAGCCCTCGTCCCAGGACAACCACAACAACAGCAGATGATGCCTTACCCTGGACAGCAGGTTATGATGGCCCCTCCACCCCTGCCTCCCAAGTATGACTGGAAGGACATGTTTATCGCCGCAGTGGTTGCAGGAGGATTCAGTTATGGAATGTGGCAGGTCGCCAAGGTACGCTCTCCTCTTTTTATTGCCTCTCTTCCTCTTTCCTTCGCATCTCTTTTTTTTGTTGTGAGATGTCACTTTCCATCACGAATCCTTTTTTTTTCTTACGGTGTATGTGTCAACTGTGCCAAAGACGGGGAATAATTTCCCTTGAAACCCGTCCTGTCCTGTCCGAGGGACAGTTAGGACAACGGATCGGCTGGAGGAAGTAGAGGAAAACTTTACTTTTCAAAGTTCACTTTTCCACTCACATTACTTTTGATTGAGCCTTTTTTTCTTTTGCATATGACTAACAACAACCACCTCTTGGTTTCTACCTTTTTCTACTCTCTTCTCTCCTCCTTTCTCTTAACTCGCACTTTCCTTTCACCTCAATCCTCTCCTCCTCACTTTTCTACATATGATCCATTCGCTCTATCTAACCCGATCCACAGAAGGTCGTCGGACCCAAGTTGCAATGGCCCTCGCAAGAGGATCTCGAGACGGACAAGAAGAAACTCGACGAGCAGTTTGACGAGATCGAGAAGAGCCTCGCCGAGGTCAAGGACAGCACCACCACCGTTGCCAAGAATGTTGAGGAACAGACTGCCAACGTCAAGGGGTCCCTCGAGGGTATGGGTGGTGTCCTGGACGGCATGAAGATTAACGATGAGAAGCGGGAGCAAGAGTTGTCTGGACTCAAGACTGACATTGAGAACATCAAAACCATGATCCCCAAGGTAAATACCGATCAGGGGTAATCAATTAGACGTTGTGTCCCTTGTTTTTGGTGTTGGTTACTAACTTTTACTCTTTCTTCAATTGCCTTTGATAGTTGATGGAGAAGAACAAGGAGTCTCAGGCAAATGTGCTGAACGAGCTTCAGTCAGAGATCAAGTCGCTAAAGAGTTTGTTGTTAAACCGTCGTGCTCCCGGTTCCGGTGCTCCTGGCTCGCCTGTTGTTGGTGCTGGTGCCGGATCTGCTTCTGCTCCTTGGAACGCCGCCTATGCTTCGTCCCAGGCTGGATCTAATGTCTCGACTCCCAAGGCTACTGAGGAGGGCGGCGTCGCTGCCGCTGGAGCAATGGGCTTTTTGAACAACAAGGCCTCGATCCCTGCATGGCAGCTGGCTGCCCAGAAGCCTACTGTTACCCCTGCTGCTGATACTACTAGCTCTACCCCTGCCGCCGAGGGATCTGATGCTACCGCTTAAATCTAGACAACCTTGTAATATAACCCTTTTTCCAGCAATGGTTGTTTGTTTTGATTATGATTGTCGTCTTTTCAGCCGTTGATATGAAGAGGGTGTTGTTGGGACGAGAGTTGCCGTATTCAATGTGCTTGTTCGTTGACGCTTCTCGACGCCGGGTCTTGTTGTTGTTTTTTGTTGTTGGTCCCTGTTTGTTTATTTGTCCAAGGTTGTGCTTCGGCTAAACGACTCTTCTCTTAGGTCTCCTCTGTAGATCTCAGTGAGGAGAGACATTTACGAGGTGATTAAAGCCAATATTGAGACAGACGTACATTGCGCCTACGAACACATACCCTACAAAGGGAGAAAGACAGAAAGAGTAAAAATGCAAACAAAATGTTGTTTTCGGGAAGGAAAAAAAGGAGGAGGGGGCTCCGAGAGTCTCGAGGCAATACGTAAAGAATTGAGTGACGTTTTGTTGTAAGACTGTAGGCGTTGCCGGAAGTAACGAGGATCCGGGAAATGTTGACGGCCCACTAGACGAATCTGGAGTCGCAGGATTGGTGGGCGAAGAGGGGTCGGATTTTCAGGAGGCCCCGCTTGTGATGATCCAGGCTATTGAGAGTGAGGAGGAGGAATGTGTAGGGCCACGGGGGTTCTAGGTCGGTGTCGCGCTCAAGGCCTAAGCTGTCTACTACATTTCGAGCTTGTTTGTTAAGAGTCCTTTTCACTTACGCGTCGTGGTCATCACAATCATCCAAACATCCCCACACAATGATCCATCGTGAACAGTTGGATGAGCAGGAGGAGGCGTATAACAGTACCAACAGCGAGATCCAAGTCTCGGTCAACGACAATAACCTCACCATCTCTCAGCGAACATTCACTCAGGGCTCATCTCACCTTCGACGTCGACGAATAATTGAGGAGGAGGAGTCAGACATAGACTTGGGAGGAGACGCGGATAAGCGGAGTTTGGTCCAACAAGCGTTCAGTCTCCTCAAGGGTATCGTACCATCCATCGAGGTCTGCAAAGCGCTGGATGGGATATTTACCCAACTTGTTCATGTTCCTTTTCGAGATATTCCCATCAATGCGGCCTTGGAGCGCCACTTTTTCTCGCCTGGACGCGTTGAAGACTACCACTTACCAACCAAAAGGTACTGTCGTGTCCCATTGGGAGAGGCCATATGCCTACATTCACTTGCGCCGACTACCAGCTCCTCGATTGCCCTTCGACATGTTAGGAACAGGCATAGCGAGATCATGGAGGCTGTTGACCGATTTCGACAAAGACATGACGAATTTTTAGCAAACCTCAGAGCTTCCAAGCGACAGCAGCTGATGTTGCTGGAAGCTCATGATCGTGCCCTGGCCCTACCTCCACCCGAGTACAAGGATCGGCAGTTTCGCAGACTCATCACCAACTTCATTGTTAAGGCTGTTCTTCCAATATCCATTGTCGAGCACCCCGCCTTCAAGGAGTTGCTTGAATTTCTAGGAGTCTTATATATGATTCCAAGTCGGACCACCATTAACGACGATATGACCCTATGGCGTGCCTCCCTGTCAAACGATATCGAGGACTCTTTGATCCATTGTGCAATGGTCAGACAAGACTCGGAACATGGGCGGGGTTTGGGATCTTGGATGGGGCTCAGTTGGTGGCGGAAGTCACGAGACGTGACATCCGAAATCCATTGCGCGTTCAATGGAACTAGGACAAAACCTATTCTCGCGTAACCGGGGCAACCTGGGGCCTGACAGCCTTGGGGCAAAACGTGGCGCATTGCTCCAAGGGATCCTTTACAGCCGACGCGTGGACCAGTCGAGGAAACGACAAGTTCCTTGGAGTGACACTTCATTGGGTGACGAAGGCTTTTGTTCCCACGGAGGTCCTCATTGGCATGGACGTGCTGAACGTCTCACACAGCGCTGATGCTCTGCAGGAACGTCTCGGTAAGAGCATTGCCAAGCACTCTTTTGGACGTATATGTACTGCTATATATATTTGTATGACTAGGTGTTATCTTGACGAGATGGAGGCTGCAGAACAAGATTATTATGGGCACCACGGACTCGGCCAGTAATATGAAGACTGTGATGACTATGTTGTCTCAAACGCACTCGTTCGTCAAGATCCCCTGTACGGCCCACCTTATTCATCTCTGTGTGAACGGTGCATTGGCAGAGGTGGAGGCAGCCGATGCTGCCATGTCCAAGTGCCGCGAATTGACCCACTTGATGAGGCAGATTGGAGCGCTCCAGAGGCCGTCAAACATCAGCAACTTGAAGCCGACCCTATACACAAGCCGCTGACATTTCAGAACGACATTTTTACTCGGTGGAATTCTCAGTACATCACGATGAAGCGCGTGATCCGTCTCTACCACTTCGTCATTGCCGTGCGTGACGACATTCGGGACACCGACCACACGGCGGACGGAATACGGCTGCGATCGCGCCTGCAGAGAGCCCTGTTGACTGACTATGAGTTGTTGATTGTGACCGATATGCTTTTGCTGCTGGGGCCAGTGTTGGACTTTACAAATATGGCCAGCTCTGCCAAGAAACCTGGTCTTCCTAAGGTATATCCTTGGGTGTACGATTGGTGCAACAATGGGCGTCCGGAGTTGGAGACTTTGAAGGGCGTTACCCTGTTCGACAGTCTCACTCGCCATATCAAGACACGCTGGCCTTTGACCGCCATTACCGATTCAGTGGCAGTCGCGACCTACCTCTGTCCTTCCTTTAGTCCCTTATCCTATCTATGGCCCGGTCAAATCACGATATTGCTCTTGCCGTCGCTGGATCTGGAATCGCCGCGTTACTCCTACAAGGCGGAAGAATCGCTCAGTCGCGCTTCAAGATTCCCGTCCCTACCCACGAGGATAGTGTTTGTTCAGTCAACCACAGGTCAGAAATTGCCGATCTTCTCATCCTATTGCGGTTTGGTGCTGTCAGAAGGCAGCTACTTTTTTATTTAACGAACTCACATCTGTCCTCGACAGGCCACTATAAATAAGGCTGTCGAGACAACACTAATAAAACAACATCTTTCTTTCTCGTTATTCATTTCATCCTTACCTTCACAAAAGTAAAAATAGGAACTTACAACGGGTAAGGTCAACGGGTTCCAAAGCTCCCTCGATGGGGACTCGATTTGATTTAACAGTTTCCCGACCCAGATCCAGACGGACGCATTGCATTTTCCTGTTTGGGTATCCGTCGCGCGAACGGGTATCGGAGATAGGCAAGTGCATTGTAAGAGTCCGCCTCGTAGCGCCTAAACGTCTCGCTGCTATAATTATCATCGCAGAGTTTCTCAAGCAAAAATGGTTAACACGTTGTGGTCGCAAAAGTGAGAGTGAAAGAACAAAAAAACACGCGTGGAAATACCTTGTAATCTATGAAAATAATTCTGTAGTCGTCTCTTGTCTTGTCGGCGAGACAAGTGGAACTACTCTGCAAATTGGGTTCAAGCTCCTTTTCCACTCAGCGAATCGCGTTTAATGCTGCGTAACGGGAATCCTGCGATACACTCTGCCAAGGTTCTCTCTCCTTATACGATACCATATAAGTGCCATACGCTCTTTGGGACCTTCTTATTATAATTACAGTAAGAACCATTTTTTGCAGCCACAACTCTCATGGTAAATGGCAAAACTTGCATTTTTCGATGCACTTGAAACATACCTTCCGAAGTCAATACAGTATCATCTCACTGACAGACCGTTCAGAACCGGAAACAGACGCACTTTCATCAGCGTCGTCGCGTTGGTCGTTTTGGCTCTCATATTCATCCTCACCATGAATAGAGGCCCTCTCCTGTGCCACCCCTAAGTACGTTTTGCTCCACGAGAGAATGGTCAACAAAAATTGCATTTTTAAACATGAGACCAGAAATATTCCACTATTGATCTTGTCAAAGATTGTTTTGCAGAAGTATACCTGTTATTTCGCGATTTTTGCGCGCGCGCCTCTTAAGAATAACTTTGACTGTAACACTGGCACTGGAGACACTGGATACACTGGAAGCACCGGCACTGGCACTGAAGGCATTGGCAATGGGGCATTAGCTCTGGGGGCATTGGTGACCTTAAAGGATTTTGGCAGCCTTAGTAGACTTAGAGGTTTTGGTAGGATCGGTGGTAGAGGTTGCAGCGATTGCAATGATTATACCGGTTGAAGCGATCGAAGTGGTTGCAGAGGTCGCATGTTGTAGCGGAGGAGTTGGCGCTCAACTGTAACTGTGCTCGCGTCTGTCGCGGGGAGTAGTTGTTGGTCATGTGCTCGTCAAAGTCTTTCACTTCGAATTCCGTACACGTTACTGACAACAGTCGTAAAGCGAACCAAAAAAAAACGACAATCTTGCGCCCACGATGGACAAAGTCAACAACGTCTACAATGCAATTCACAGAGAAAGAAGAACACGAAAAAGTACGTTAATTTCAAGAGTTAATTTAGAGTCATAGCAGGTAGCAAAAGTGTATTACTGGCTTGAGATACAAAAGACGTAGACGTTGTCAATGGAGGTGCCCAAGCCATAGGCAAAGTGGACCACGTAAGAAAGGTCATGTACACCAACCTAGCGGGTTAAGAAAATTTCAGGTGGATGAGAGTTTATTGTAGCTGCTTGTTGCTTTCAAGTTGAAGGAAGAGAGGAAGAGGTGGCAGAAGGTGAGAAAGTAAAAGAGAAAGTGAAAAAAGAGAAGAAAAAAAAGAGAGAAAGTGGAATGGAGCGAGAAAAGAAAGAAGAACGCCGTAGGAAGGAAGCAGCAAAGTAGGCTGTCAGACGTGGGCTGTAAGGTCGGTTGTAGGAATGCATTGGTCGACTTTTATCAGTCGCTGGATCTATGTGGGTGATCGAAACCCGTTCCCTCCAATGCTCGCACGACCCCTGAAACGGCAGCTCCAACGGATAACGGACGGATGTCATCAAAATGGGCGAAAGGGTTTTGGCCAAAACAGGTCATTAAGGGTGCCCTCGCAACTTGGTCGGCCGACCAAATGGCTCAAAATTTTCGTTTCGGGCGTGGTTCCCTTTTCTCGAACACACTCACTCCCTTCGCTCTCGCTCCTAATCACACACACTCCCTTAACAGCAACAATCATTACAATGAATCCAGGACTAAGTCATGCACAAACAGGCCACCATACAGCCGCCGAGGACTCACACTTGCCAGCCGTCAAAGGAATCCTCAAGAAAGCGACAACTGCACAGTCTGAGGTGAACGCGCCAAGGTATGGACAAAAAAAGATAATGTCTGTTTTCTGTTCGACATTGCCTTCAAATGGTGGAGATCAACTTTTTTTTTTTTTTTTTTTTTTTTTTGGGTCACCGGTCGAAAGGGATGAGTACCTTTAGAGGAAGGAATACAAAAGTGTTGTAACTTGCAGAGACATATGCTGCCACTGATCATACCCACTAATATTCACGACAATGTTTACTCACGAGTAGGCTGAAGTGGGACGAGGAGAACTTGATTATCACTGAGGCACAGAAGGACTCTACTATGAAGATTGACGAGCCCAAGACACCGTTCATTCATTACGACCATGAGCTCGACAGGGTGCTGGACGCCGATGGTAATACTTGAGGCCTTCGAAAACGACTCTCAACTGTTTTGTTGACATATTCCGAGTTCTCGTGAACTAATATTGATTCTATTCTTTTATGAATCATACAATAGAGGTGTTCAGACTGAACGGACCACGGAAAAAGCAGGCAGCATTGGCTCACACTCCACCAGTTCCATCTTACTTCAAAGGAATGGCCGGCGAGGACGAGGACGATGAAGTGGACGATGATGACAGGGAACCCAACGACGAACCCGAGGAGTGGCAATCATCTGACGAAGAAGACGAGCAAGAGTCCGAAAACAAGGCTGGTAAGCAATACAAGGCAACGCCGAAAATCCCGAACTCTTGGCCGGAAATTTTTCACGCAGCGGAACTTCATACTCACAAGTACTCGTTTTATTGATGACTTGTGATAGTTGACCATGACAAGTTTGCAAGACTGAGAGCAAAGCACTACAACATGCGGGAAGCAGTCAAGCTGGGACATGCATTAAGCCCGGATGATGACGACGAGGGCGAGGATGCGGACGAAGACGAGGAAGCGGAGCAGCAACAGCAGCAGCCTGGAAGCGGGTCAAGGTCCAGAAGCCCACATCAGACATTCTCATCGGGATCTAATTCGGGTAACAAGAAGGAGAAAGATGACGACGAGGACTCTTTGGACATGGAGCTGTGATCAAAGTCTCCGACACACTTGCTTCTACTCGCACTCTAGCACTTAGACATCATTATTGCATATTTTCTGTACAAAATAATAACTCATTTTCCTCTTATCGTTTCCTCGGATAACATGGTTGCATGATATGCAAGGAGTTGATCACAAGGTTTTTGAAGGTGTTTGGTAAAGTGAAAAGTAAAGAGGGCATGGCCACAGGTCGCCAAAAGTGACGTGCATTTATTTTAGACGCAAAGGAGGTCTTTTTGTTGATCGGTCTTTCTTCCATTCAACACACTCTCAAGTAATCAGGAGAAATGCCGCCACGGCCGACAATGTCCATCGCAGCCACGCTGGCTGCACACAAGAAGAAGACCTCTATCGCAAACAAATACCAGCCCATAGGACAAACTGGACCTGGGACGGGTGTAGGAGGCACAGCAGGAAACACGTCTAAAAGCAGCACCACTACCAACGGTCCAGAGCAAACAGTCGCGCCACCAAAACGGCCGCTTTACACGAGTAGCTCTCAAGCACCACCAACACCATCAGCCAAGAAACCAAAACCTTCAACAACTACCACCCCTCCACAATCTCTCCCTATCCATCTCGATCAAGTAATCTCTGACGCCACAGGATCCCAGATCAATGCCTGTCAGTACAACACGACGGGCGAGTACATCCTTACTGGGGGGGTGGATCGGACAATTCGACTATGGAACCCAGATACAAAGTTCTGTATCAAAACATACGAGGCGCATGGGTGGGAGGTCTTGGATTTGGCAGTATCGCCCGAGAACGGCAAGTTTGCCAGCTGCGGTGGTGATAGGACAGTGTTCCTCTGGGATGTCATGTCTGGCATGACGATTCGGCGATTTACCGGGCATACTCAGGTACACGAAGGTGTCTTTTTTTCTTAAACTATTGCAGTGTGGACGTTGCGTGACATTTAGCTAACCCCTGGTTTCTTTTCTTTTGGTGACATTAGCGTATCAATGCAGTTGACTTCAACGAGGAGGGCACAGTATTAGCTTCAGGTATGCTCTCATTTCAGTGTTAATCGGCGTGCTGCCCCTGATACCGGTTACTTATGCTGTAAATCGTCGTGTTTGATACAACTATAGGCTCTTACGATACGACGATACGGCTTTGGGACTGCAGGTCACAACTTCGGGCACCGATTCAGATATTAGAAGAGCCAAAGGATAGTATTACTTCTATCAAGATCAAAGGCAGCGACCTGCTGGCGGGGTAAGGGTCTTGTTTGACTATGGCATGCTCAAGGATCATTCACGCATACGCCCATACCATTAGCTAACACCGGATTGTCTTTTGGTCCTGATAGTTCTGTCGACGGGTCAATCAGGATGTACGATATCAGGATGGGAACATTAATTACCGACCAAATTTTTGGTGAGTGTCTGTGAACCTTTATCACTTTTGCGGTCTTCATCGGTGGATACTGGCGAGAGGCTTCAATGCTGACGAATCGCCGCATTTCATTTTGACATATGAAATAGAACCGGTCACTTCGGTATCGTTCTCAAAGGATGGAAACTGTATATTGGCGAGCTCACTGGACGACACTCTGCGGTTAATGGATCGGGCGAATGGCACAATGTTGAACGCGTACAAAGGACACATGAATAACAAGTACAAGATCCGGTCATGTCTCTCCAACTCGGATGCATATGTTCTCAGTGGATCTGAGGACGGAAGTATCTACATATGGGACCTCCTCGAGGTAAGCTGAGGATCAATCATTCTTACACGAGAAGGTGAGAAATGGGATACCAAGGTCATTTTTTACCCTAACCCGCTCTTCTGCTTACATTTGGTTCTGTGATTTAGGGCGAGGTGGTGCACAAAGTAGAGGCACATTCAAAGATTGTATCGGCGATTGACTATCATCCGAAGCAGGACAGGATGTGTTCCGCCAGTGTCGATGGGTCGATCAAGACGTGGTCAACCCACCCCGTTGGATCATGAGCTGTGTGATTTTTGTTCAGGCACGATATTGCAGCTTGAGGCCAAGACAGTCACAAGGCCGCTTTCAGTGTTGGGCTTCTCCTCGAAGAGACAGAAAGAAAGAGAGAGCATGGCCCAACGAACTCGCAACTCTCTTTTTCACTTTCATCCAATAAATTCCTTCATCACACCTCTCTTTTCATCTAACTCCAGCAACACATACACTTCCTTTTTCATATCCACATTATTCATGAACCAGCCTATCTCTATCACCGACACGTTAAAGCGCCGTAAGTGATGGGCTGCAACTTCCACCATCCCCCTCTACTTGCCGAGGCACTCTGCTCATTCGTCCAAATGCACCAGCCCTATTCGTTCACTAAAGGGCTAGCTAAAGCACCAACTCGAAACAGAGGCGTCTATACACCTTTTCTCAGGCAGGGGCTTATACGACAACTGGTAGCGTGAACCCCTTGTCCCAAGAGGAACGAGTGTCTCATTCCCTCACCTATTTTCCATATGTGCGCCTATAGGGTTCCTGGAATCGATCGACAATGTCAAGGTCGAGCCCGGTCGCTACAAGTATGTCATTGTCGATGCGCGCGCAGCCCAGATCATGGCCTCGGCAGGATGCCACATGGCCGATGTCTTGGCTCGTGAAGGCACCATGTGTAAGTTGTGGTTTTCGTCGTTGCTGTCGTTGCTGAGGAATGTACCTTTCAACCTCTGGGACCATATCTATTTTTGAGATTTGGTTTGGACGGCTGAACCGCAGAAAATGACTACACCGGGCTGCTGCCAAGTCGACCAACCCCCTGACATTTGTTCTAACTGGCCATTTGTTCTCCCGACCTTGTTTTTATGTGCGGGGCGCAGACCTCGAGAACTTGGAGTCAAGACGTGCTCCATCGGCCAATGTTGAGGCGATCTACTTTGCAATGCCAACAGAGGACTCTGTTCGGCGTATTATCCGCGATTTCAAGGTCAACCAGAATGCCACGTATTCCGCCGCACATTTGTTTTTCCTGGCTGGTAAGGACCACTTCTTCTCTTACCCCTTAGCCTTGTACTGTGAGGACGTGTCGTGGCGAATGAAAAGTGATCCTGTATGTACTCACATTTTGATCCAATTGGAACAATTAGCCATGGACGACAAGCTGTTTGATCACTTCCGAGCTTCGACTGACCCCAAATACATCAAGAGTTTGAAGGAATTGTTCATGGATTTCAATGGTACGAATATCCCACTGCCATGCACAAGGTCATTTTCAATGTGCTGTCAAGCTGAACTTCGACTGACATTTTTCGTGCCATGATTACGGCTAAACCACATAGCCGTCGAGTCCAGAGTTTTCACCTTAGGCAACGACCACCAGGCATTCTTCAACCTGTATTCGCCACAACATCGTCATGAGAAACAGCATAAGGAGATCGACACCATTTCAAAGCAGGTACATCGCCACTATCAGGATGTCTCTATCTTATTTTCATGCAACTTTCGCAAAGGGATTTCACACTTACTAGGAGGTATTTCTTACATTATATTTCGATAGTTGATTTCTGTATGCGCATCGCTTCAGCTCAACCCTATTGTGTCATACCATCGTTGCTCCGACTCTAGCATGCAAATCTCAAAGGGAATCGCCATGACTCTTCAAACGGAACTGGATGAGTACTACAAGGGACAGCCTCGCGTGGGAGTAAGTACCGCCTGCATCAGGATGTCGCACGGATTCACAGAGGTATCATCGAACAGATCATGAGTGCTGACGCGGGTGCGTTTCTCGATCTTCATGTTAAATAGCGCAAGCACCCTCACCTGATGATCATCGACCGTGCTGTGGATCCTATTACGCCAATTTTGCACGACTTTTACTACCAGTCGATGGTGACAGATATGCTCACGGTTAAGGACGGAAATAAGTACGACTACAAGTCGTTTGGTCAGGATGGACAGCCATGTGAGAAGACGGCTATGCTAGACGAGACAGACAAAACGTTTACAAAGATTCGTCACAGCCATATTACTGACTGTTCCAAGTACCTCAAGGAAAACGTCAGCACTTTTGTCGCGGAAGCCAAGGCGGCTCCAACCAGCGGCAATGCACTGGACGCGATTAGGGAACAAATGGCTAAGCTGCCCCAATTCCAGGAGACTAAGGAGAAGGTACACGTGTTGACATTCGTACTTTGAAGCACCTCATATACTCAAGGCGCACGGTAACTAACGTTGATCTGCGTTTGTATTCTGGGTGAAATAGTACACATTACACATGAACATTGTGGACGAGCTGTTCCAGTTGACAGGACATAACCGACTCGTCGATATTTCAAGGCTGGAGCAGTCGTTGGCAACAGGACAGCATGCGGATGGTGAAATTCCTCCCTCATTTGACCCAGAGGTTACCACTTTCATGGATGATTACCGTGTCAAGTAAGGATTCCTGATGCAAGTCAGTTATTTACGGCAGATATACTGTGCTCCTATTGACCAATTACTCACAGTGCTATTCATAATCTTTGGTTATTTGTAGGATGGCAGACAGAATTCGCCTGTTGACGCTTTACTTCATCACCCAGTCGTCGCCTCCTGACGTGCGCAACAACTTTTTCCAGCTGAGTCGATGTGACTATAACCTCCGCGAAAGCGCCACCAACATTGAGTACCTGGGTGTCAAGCTAGATGTCGTAAGTTTCTACGTCCAGCCTTGGAGCGATACTTTGGAATGTTCAGGATGTAACCTTTTCATCGACGATTGAGTGCTAACTCGACGTTTCGTCCTTTTGTGTTGCACTCTTAGGCTGCCCCTCCACCAGTGAAAAAGTCATGGTACGCCGATCTGTTGAAGAAGAAGCCTTTGGAGGAAGACGAGCCTGAGTATGACTTGCCGCGCTATGTCCCCACCGTCAAGACCATTATCGATGTAAGTTTTACCCTGTTGATATTGGGTTTGTCAAAGCAAGGTCCATATGATAACTCGAGGTTAACTCGGAGTATACATTCCGATGGTAATAGGGAGTTGTGAATGGAAACTTGGATCGCGAATTATACCCTTACACATTGGGACCCGACCAGCTGGAGGACATTCAAGCGCCCAAGACAGTGCGTTCCCTTCGATCGGCCCAACCCACATTCCACCACAAGGGTCGTCGCAACGAGCCCCAAGGCCGTCTGATTGTGTTCATCGCAGGAGGAATGACCTATAGCGAGATCCGTGCTGCATATGAATCGGCAGCTCAACACAACTGGGACGTTTTGATCGGCTCAACCCACATCGTTACACCTCCTTCGTTCATGGAGGACCTGAGAATGCTCAAGAACCCTCCTCCCCCACCACCAGTCCGTCCTCGCTCGCCTTCTCCACCACCACAGCCGGTTGCCAAGAACAGTGGGGCTTTTGCGTCGGTCAAGAATGTGTTTGGAGGCAACAACAGTAATAATGCGCCCAAGCCTGCTCCCAAGCCTGTCCCCAAACCTGCGTCGCAGGGATCTGGACAGCAACAGCAACAGCAGCCGCACCCTCCCAGACCCACAGGCCAGTTGCAACAGCAACATCATCAGCATGGTGATTCCAAGTACAAGGAAAAGATCAAGGGCTTCTGGAACGAGTTCAAGTAACTATTGGTCTTGTTGGAGGGTGTTTGAGGTTTTAGGTGTGCCCGTCGGCGAGGATGGGTAAACAGTAACAGCAAAAAAAAATGCAGTAATAAAATACAAGTAATTCATCCATTTTTGATCATGGACGCGAAGTAAGTGTAAGGTGAACTAGGTAGTTTTTTGAGGGATGTCCGACTCTACTATTTTTTTGTGACACGATCAAATTGAGAACTTCCTGTTTTGAGTCCGAGTGAGTCCGAGCACAGGGATACCCGACCCTGTCTTTGACCTTACCGTCAAAAAAATGTTTCGAGTCAGAAGAGGAAATTGGACCAATGGCCAAGGATACCATGTACAGGAGGAGTACATGAATGAGGAAAAGGGTCGAAGATTCTGGGGTTGGGAAAAGGCCGGTTGGCAGCTCGACAGGGACAAGAGGGGAGGGGGAGGATGATCGGAGAATTTTGTTGCCGATTTTGCGGGGTGAGAAAAAAATGGAAATTGACTTATACGGACAGACAAAGGTACAAGGATGGGCTAGTGATGATGGGCATGGTCATGAATTATGGGTTGTAGTGTATGTGTGTATGTTTCTTGTCCGTGTTCGAAAAGCCTTTGTGAAAGAAGAAAAAAAAAAAAAAAAAAAGAAAAAGGCCAGGGAGGCCGTGAGAAGAATTAGAGATGTACAAAAATGGTCAATACATTATTATTATACACCCACTTCACCCAAGAGTCATCCGTTGGCTCCCGACCCCTATCTCTCTCCATCCCCTTCTTTCCTTCGCCCCTACACATCCAGGATGACAGGGGAAAAAGGGATTCAGGCACGCAAAGAATGATAAGAGGGATGCTTTAGTGAGGTCAGTCTTTTTTTTCCCACACGTGAGACTGATGTCACTCATAAGTAATGAGCGCTTGCGTTTTTTTCTTCTTGTGTAGTGGTGTTGTTGTTGCGTGTTCTTCACAAAGGGTTTCCCCCGCCTTTTGCCATTTGAGGCAAGGTGTTGTTTTGAAAGAGGTGTCGAAAGACCCACAGAAGACAAGGGAATGAGAATTTGCTTAATGGTGTATAGTTTTTGCTTTGTTTTATTTGCGATGCATATGTTACATGGTTGTTTGTTGTTTAGTTCAAAAAGTCTAAAAGCTTTTTAGTGGGCACCGAACTGGGCCTCGGTGACACCCTTGCCCATGGCAGCGGTGGAAGAAACACCACCCTGGACGGTCTTGATCAAGTTATCATAGTAGTTGGCGCCAGACCAGTTCTGGTGAGCCAAGGTCTCGACATTGTTGGCGCGCTCCTGGCGCTGGATGCCGTTGACGTAGGCGTACATGCCCTTGTCAGCGAACTCGCGGGCAAAGACATCAACGCCGAGGGCGTTGCAGTGGAAGCCGGCGAGGGTGATGAACTGCCATGAGAAGCCGAGCTTGCCGAGGTCGCCGATGAAGGAGCGCATGTCGTTGTCGGTCATGCCAGCGGCGTCCCAGTTGAAGGAAGGCGAGAGGTTGTAGGCGAGCATGATCTGGGGGTGGCGGGCGAGGACTCCCTTAGCGAACTCGGTGGCCTGGGCCAGGATGGGCGACTTGGTCTCCATCCAGAGGAGGTCAGAGTAAGGAGCGAAGGCAACAGCTCTATAAAGTAGAAATTAAAGTTGGTAAAGAATGTTAGTCAATGAGTACAAAGTATTTTGTCCGGGATAATAATGAAAAAAAGTGACCAATGTGATCGGCTCTTCTCCTTTTGTGTATCCTTGCCATGAGGTATGAATAAAATCGATGACACATATTTAAACAAAGAAGCATGAGAAGAGTGGTTACCTGTTGATGGCGCAGCGGGTGCCGCCCTGGTATCTGTAGTAGCCCTCACGGGTACGGGGGAGGTCCCAGTCCCAGTGAACAACGACACCAAGGGACTTGGCGAGCTGGCGAGCCTCGGGGTTGGAGAGGAACTCGGACTTGACCAACCAATCGGCAACCTGGGCGGTCTTGCCCTTGGCCTTGAGCTCATCGGCAACGGCATCGCGGTAGAGCTTGATGTTGGCGGCCTTGACCCAGTTGTCCTCAACGGCCTGGAGATCATCGCCGTTCTTGCCGGCCTCCTGAGCAGCGGCCATCTCGACGACGAGGGGCTTCAAGGCGGGGTTGGTGGCACCGAGGATGAAGGCGTGGTCGCGGGGATCGATGTTGGAGGTGATAAGGGTAGCGGCCTCAGAGTCGGTACGGGCAACGATCAAGTTCTCGACACCCATGATATCGAACTGGACTCTGGAAGCAACGAGACGGTTGATGTGCTCGGAGATGGGGACGAGGACCTTTCCGGCCATGTGGCCGCACTTCTTGGTTCCAGCCATCTGATCCTCCAAGTGAATACCGGCAGCACCGCGCTCGACGAACATCTTGGCGAGCTTCATGTTGGCAGTGATACCACCGTGACCGGTATCGGCATCAGCAATAATGGGGCGAAGGAAGTCAATGTTGGCCATCTTTGCGCGCTGGGACTTGGGGGCGGTGAGACGGCCCTCGCGCTGCTTGCGGTCGTGGAAGGTCTGGGCGAAGAAGAGGTGCTCGACCTTGTTGGGGACAGTGTCCATGGGGTAATCAGCCAGATCGGGACCGGGCTCGTTCGAGGACGAGGCGGTCGAAGAGCACTGCCAGCCCGAGACGTAGACGGTCTCGATGTACTTGGCCATCTGGGCAACCTGGATGGGGTCGAGGGCACCGAAGGTGTGGGAGGCGGTTCCGTTCTTGCGGTGGTTCTTCAAGAGCTTCCAGAGCTTCTTGGCCTGGATGTTGGAGGCGTACTCGGTGCCGATGGTGCCGCGCTTGGAGACGATGGACTCTGCGGTGTAAGGGCGGGTGATCAGGCTGAAACGATCGGAGGCCCACCATTCCTTGACCTTGGCGACCTCCTCCTGGAAACGGGCCTCCTCGGCGTCGACGTAGGCAGCGGTGGTGGTGTTAGTGTGAGCCATGTTGATGGTGATTGGTATTGATGTTTATACAAAGTAAAGTGAGAGAGTGGGGAGTGTGTGAAGATCGGGAAGAGATCAACAGAGAGAAAGGGGGAGGGGAGGGGTGAGGGATGATGAATAAAGGAGGATAGTAGGGAAACAGAAGAAGAAGAAAAAGAAAAGGGAGAGAAGGAAGAAGGATGGCTTTTATATATGTTAAAGAGAAGAGAGGGAAAGGGACGATGATGTGATGTGTCATGGATCTAATTGTCACCAAAGGAGGTTTTCTATCTTGGGCACATCCGTCCCTCGTTGTTCCTTCCTTCCCTCGTTCCTTATGCTGTTCCTTGAACAAACAAAGAGGACAAGGAAGCAAAAGGAGCTTTATTTTCGAATGACTACAGGACTGACTACAGTATAATAAATATTAAAGTAACTTTTTGTTTTTGAGTGTGTCCGTGGCGTGCAAGAGGTCAATTGGATTCAGAGGGAGGAGAGTGCAAGACGAGGGTGCAAGACGAGGGTGCGAACACTCCCGCCCCCCACTCGTCTCAGCCAATGACTGACCAAAGCGACCTATTTGAATCTATTTCAAAGGACACAGAGTGGGACAGAAGCGAGTCACGTTTTGGCATGTGAATGTGAAGAAGAAGAAGAACAAAAACGATGCGGGGTCATGGTGTGCGAACCTATCCCCGCCTTTTGCCATAACGAGGCAAGGGCTTTGTTATGACTTATGTTACAGCCAAAAGGACATGAGCATGCACACGAGGGGGACGAAAACAGAGTGGGAGCGAGCTTATTCCACTCTTTCTTCTTCTCCCTTGTTGTGTTTCTGTCTTGCTTCTTGACGTTGGCTGTCAAATTGTCCGTTGGAGAACACTCTCTCATCGTCAATCCTCACTCAATTCGCTCCGGCCGATCGGGACATCAAAGAAGAGCGAGCAATCCAACCCCTCTCGCTGCCTGGAATGAGGTGAACAGGCTCAGGGACAGGGACAGGGACAGGGACAATGTCATCTGCATCCTTGTTGTCCCACAACTCTCCCACAGCAATAAATGGCTTGATTGCCTTCGGATGTCCTTTTCTCCCTTGCTCACTCACCTTCTTGAACTTAGTCATCGAGTTGACTTCGCACGGATGAATAATATCAACAAAAACAACAGACGTATCAGAATGACTCGTTCCTTGTTCACTTGCATCCTTAACTCTCTCACCTTTTGACCTTCAAGGTTGATCCGTATTCCTTCTTTGTTCACTCACTCCAACCTCTTTCTCTTTATTATGCGCAAAGCATGAGCCATCCATCAATGCTTCCTCCCCCTCTATCATATTCCCTCTCGGCCCATATTCACTCTCTCACTCTCTCACGTTGTTCGTTAGTATCGATCGTTTCCAGGACAGGACGCCTTGCCTTTTTGGACCCATCCGGCTCCAATCGCCTCCCTCTCCTCTTTCCTTCGCAAACACATTCTCGGCGCAGTGCTGTCCTTTGTCAACTACAAGTTGCAACACCATCCTGACTATTTTTTTTATCATCAAGCTCCTGGATGAGATGAATAGAAAAGGGAAGGCAAAGCCCGTTACCATCTTTCTTATTATTTCGATCGAACCCTGTTGTTGCACTGAAGCACAAGATGAAGGACCGAGCCTTTTTTTGATCACGCGTGACGACGGAGTTTTAGGTTGATGGATCTCGGGCTGTGTCTCTGGTGGCCAGGGAAGAGGAGAGGGGAGAAATGGGGAAAAAGTGGATCTGGTTGCGTTGCTTCCCTCTTGTCTCCCTCGCTGGAGAGCCCGGACGGGGACAAAAATGGTGAAATAAAATACGATCGTTGTGTCCATCCTCCAGCGCCGGTATATAGCATCTTTTTATTTTCTTCTTGTTTGTGCCATCGGCATAGTTTGAAGCCTGAATGTGACGTACGGTTTGAACCATGGTTTGAGCTGAGAAATAAAAGAGTCCATTTGTTTTGCGCCACCATTCCATTTAAAAATCCCTTTAAGGAGATCGCGCCTCAGCAATTGCGCCACATTGATAATGGGTTCGTGGAGCAATTGAACCATTCATCGGAGTCTGGTGCTTGTCCAGGGTACTTCCAGTGGGTATGATAGGCTCATGAACAAGTCCAGACAACATGACAACGCAACTTTTAACACAAGGCATCCAGACCAAGGTGCAGAAACCACGCCTTTTGTTAGCACTTTGCACACCCTCACAATACCAAAAATTGAAACTCCTCTATTGGAAAAAAAATGGGTGGTGGCTTTGCCGACAAAAAGAGCAGAGACACCCTCCTACTGGCTGTGCCTACTCGTCCACTCCACCTCCCTCCTAGATCACACACACACGCACTCTTCTTGTTTACCATCCAAACAACAATCAATCAACTAAACAGAAACAATATGGACCACATATACACCGGACACCAGCAGGACGACTCCGAAGACCTCCTGATGCGCACCGACAACGATATCATCGACGACGTCGCTGAAGAAGCCCACCATCGTCGCTCCTCCTACCACGAAGAGCGCCGCAAGAGTGATGTCGGCCGCGACTTTGATCACAAGCCTACCCTGAGCCGTGAGCGCAGTGATGAACACCACCACTCCCGCCACGACTCGGAGCCACACCCTAATCGTGGACACGACCGGGATGACAAGTACGATGTCCGTCCCACACTCAACACCTACGGATCCGGCAACGACGCTGCCGGTCGCCGCTCCCGCTCCAGAAGTCCTGCCCGCGAAACCGCTACAGGCGGCGGCAACTCTGTCAGAGAGCGCAGAGTCTATGTCGGCAACCTTTCTTACGACGTCAAGTGGACAAACCTCAAGGACTTTATGAGAGAGAGTAAGTCCGCACTTATTTTGCATTCTCTCCTTCTATCCAGTTGTCAGGATGATGCGCTACACCGGCTTTGAGCATGGTTATTGTGCAGTCATTGACATATTCCTCCAATAATTTTCCCCCTTGAAAATTCTAGTTGGACCCGTTGCTCACGCTGATGTGCTCTTGGGTCGCGATGGTCGCTCCAAGGGATGCGGTGTTGTCGAGTACCAGAATGCTGACGATGCCAGAGCTGCTATCCGCAAGCTGAACGATGTTGTTCTCATGGGTCGCCCCGTTTTTGTCCGTGAGGACCGTGAGTCAGAGTCCAGGATTGGTTTCTCTGGAGGACGCGGAGGCGCAGGCCCCGCTCCTGCCGCTGGTGCTGGCGCTAGTGGTGCTAGTGGTGCTAGTGGTGCACGCCGTGACGTAAATTCCCGCCAGATCTATGTCGCCAACGTAAGTGCTTCATTTCGTTTTGCCCGATTTACAAAGGGTCACCTCATTCATGACCAAGGAGTTGACGTGTGGTTCTAACCATTCCAAACTATTGTTAATGGCAACGCTAGCTTCCATATTCGATCAACTGGAAGGACATGAAGGACCTGTTCAGGAAGGCAGGACCAGTGGATCGCGCTGATATCTTCCAGGACAAAGAGGGTCGTTCCAGGGGAACAGGAACGGTGTCGTTTGAATCATCGCATGATGTTGGCCGTGCGATTTGTACGTGAGATCTTTGAACTTGTTTGATGCTGTATTGTATTGTTTTGCGAGGAGATGAGCAGAGACTCGTCCTGTACGTTTGGACACCCGCAGAGTTGTCTGGAGCTGACAGAGGTCGCAATTTGGCGGCTAAGCAACAAAGTTGTGGCTACACTCTCCTGTTCTGGCATGCCTGTCGGTGTGTATACGGAAGGAACGAGGTTGCGGTTGCAGAGGCACTGTTGCGGCTCTAACAAAGGCGCTCGAGCCGGATTGTTGTTGAGAATGGCGCTCTTTGTTTTGCAGAGCTGGATTGTTCGGAATGGAGGACGAGTTCGGCCCAAGGAACTAAACCAATTACCGTTCCTTTTTCTTGTTATGTCTCGCGGCGGATCCGGATACACGCTGGAAAATCTCCCTTCTCTCGGACGAGCAGCCATGTTCAACGGCTACGACTGGCACGGACGACGAATCGAAGTTCGCGAGGTGGGCATTGGTCTTGTTTTTGTTGCGGTTCGATGGATGAATTGTGGAATGTGGCGAGGGTTTCTTGGTTCGAAGAGAGGCAGTATCGAGGGATTTTGACCGAGTTCGAGGCGGTTGCTCATGGGCGTTTGGTTGATTTCGTGGAGATGATATCATGGATATCTTCACGGAGTGTGCTTTGCTATGTAGTTCATGGAAGACTGGACCAACTCGCGAGCGAGAGGTCGAGGACGACTGTGCGGGTGCTGTTTCGAGGAATTGAAATAGCCGTTCTGTCGGAAGCGGATGAGCACCCTTCTTCGAACAAGGAGATCAAGAGACCAAAAAAAAAGCGATTGGGGTGGTTGCGTAGGATGGTGCTGGGGAACGTTAGCAGGAAGGACGGAAATACTCATCTACGTTCTTTGCGATACACCTTTCTCAGGACAAATTCGGCCCTCCCGCAGGAGGTCAACGCCCAGCCCAGGCCGGCTCTTCATCCAGATATGAGCCATCGCGTGACCATGGCCGCGGAGGCGATAGCTACGGTTATAGCAGCAGCAGCCAGAGAGGTTACCGCGATGAGGGAAGCCGCCGGGATCATCATGGTCATGATATTTACGACGGCGCAGGAGGTGCATCCCAGTCTATTCCCTCAGGCCCAGCCGCAGGATCAGGCGACCAGATTTATGTTCGCAACGTAAGTGTATTTTTTTGTACGGTCGAAAATGGTTGAATGTCGCAGATTGTTCAGTCATGGTAGAGGCTGTGACTAACGCTGTTCACCTTTATGATTATCTAGTTGCCTTTGACAACAACGAGCCAAGATCTTAAGGATCTGTTCAGGACATGTGGACCTATTAGGATGGCCGAGATGCTGGAGTCTGGAGGACGCTCCAAGGGCTCTGGCGTTGTCCGCTTCGATCTTTTTGAGTCGGCCGACAAGGCTGTTGCCAAGTTCAATGGATATGTCTACGGTGGTCGCCCACTGGAGATCGTCTATGACCGCGCCTAAGGTTGCTGTGGCGGACGCCGTCAAATGAAGCGACCCCCCAAAAAATAAACATATTTCAATTTTTTCTTTTTCTACATTCACCCACTCTCTGCGATGAAGAAGAAAGGTGGAACGACCAAAGCAAAGGACAAGGACAAGGCCAAGACGACCTCGACGCCAAAGGCCGATGCGACATCTGTCATTCCAAAAACCGGCGACAAGAGACAATTGCCATTAGACTTTAGTCGCCATGTCGTCGTGGCCAAAAAGACTTCTCCTTCGTCTGAGGACGCCACCAAAACAGGCGAGGATTTGGATCAGTGGAGACCACCCCCTTTGTCTGAGCTGGACCCACCTGTTATCCGAGTCAACCTGACTTCTTCAGTACATAGTGTCTCAAGCACTGGAACCAGTAACAGATTCTCGACAGAGACACTGAGCAAGGAGGAAGGGGACCCTGGAGAGGGTACTACCGGTGTGCTTGGCGAAGAGGATCAAGACCTTCCTGGCTATTTGGACGAGGGCGACGATGACGATGCATTGGTTCGGTCGAGCTCTGGACGGCGCCTCTGTGATGCTGGCGAAGACGACATTAATGGCGATTTTGAGGCTGCAGGGGAGGAGGGGGAGGTCGACGAGGCGGTAGTGAAAAAGGAGGAGACGCCGCTCGATCCCAGTGGACAGATACGAATCAAGACCGAGCCGGACGACCTAGATCAAAAGGAGCTCGACATGCTTCTGCCTCCAAGGTTCCGCTGGAAGACTGTCTATGTGGCAGCATTTGAACTGGCACTTGATACGGTCCTACCTGACGAGGCATTTCTTTTCACGGACGAGGAGCACACCTTGTTTGAGACGTACAGAGCTCTTCCAGGTACAGCAATATTGGCCTTTTTAATCCGGGATATCTATGCCTGACTCCCAATTGTCGACGCACTTATACTTACACTCTATCAAATTTTTAGACGACCCGAAGCATCTATTTGTTCGCCTCTTTCTACGCAACCAAAAGTATTGGTTTCGCCAGTCCAAGCTTGAAGGACACTATCGGGAGATTGACGATCTGGAGTTTTCGATACGGCAATTAATCACAACTGGGTTATTGATGGATCAGGAGTCGGTGACGGTACCTGCGGAGGTGCTTGGGATCTTGGCCATGGATGAGCTCAAGATTCTGTCTCGTCGTGTCGGCATCAAAGAAAAGCTATCAGGGAAGCCGGTATGCTTTGTATGATTGATTCTTCAAGAAGGGTTTCAAACTGCTGACACAGAAAGCGGCGTTCTAACCAAATTATTGGCCATATGTTACTTGTAGAGAAGCGCACTTGTATCGACTATTCTGGACCACTTTCGACAGCAGTCGTTCATTTCAAAGAGGCTACTTTTGGCGCCAGGGGGAACGAATGATGGCGACGGCGAAGCTCGTTTAACAGGACTGACCACACATACTTTCTCAGGCGACGCCACCAAGCGGGATCGTGCGCTCATTGACAAGGTGATTGATATCTCTGGTATGTAATGAGTGCTTCTCTCTGATATTTTTTGCGATTCGATGGTGGAATGAAGATCAAGATCTAAGACGCGTCTGCCACGTCCTCCTTAGGCCCTTGTGTCAAAATATACCCCAACATCATCAAGGTGTTTGAACGACTGCACTTGGTTTTCTATCGCGCCAGAGAGTACAACGAGAAACCCGCACTGTTGGAAGCGATCCTTGCCAAGATCGGACAGCGTACTTTCCCGACCTACGAGATCACACGGACCAGCACTGTGTTCAAGGACAGGGACGAGCTGTTGAAGTACGAGACCGCCATTCGGCTACACTTTGAGCTGTCGAAGCTGACCGAGTCTGCCATGGGGCCGGGGCGGGACGCCACTGTCTATGTGCGAGAGGGTGACCGCGATAGTGAGAATCAAGGGAAGAATGGCCCTCGACGCGCCAATAGCGCCAAGGTGCCCCAGAAGAGCTCAAGCAACGGCTCCGCGGACAGTCGGTCAGGGGATGGGGAATTGGACCCGGAGCAGGAGCGGAGGCGGTTAGAAGTGATTGGGATCTACGAGAAAGTGATTGAGGAGGCCGAGAACATCAGGGAGGCGTGGAGGCACTATGTCGCGACTGAGACGAGGCTTTCCACAGAGAACCCGAACTACTTTATGCTGAGATTCTCGCCAGGTATGTTGAGGTCTACGGTCTTGGTATTGTGGCATTTCATGTCTTACTTTCTAGGACTCGTGCTTGTAGTGCTAAAAAGGTTGTTCTACCTGTATGTTAGGTTGGGTGTACACTCAGATCTTACGACTTGAGCTGCGGGCGTTTGCGTTTTTGAAGCGGTTTGAGGAAGAGTCGATCTTACTTCATGAGCTCCTTGACCAGCACGTTTACTCACTCGGTCAACGAGGCGGCTGGTATGAACGACTGGCCTTGATCAAGTCCAACTACTCGTTCCACAAGCGACTGGGCAAGCAGGAGGCACTGCAAATATGCATGATGGCACTCAGGGACAAGCATGTGCACGCAGGTAAGCTTGCATTGTAAACTATCACTTGAAAGACGCATCTAGTAGGGAAGTGAAAGAGTGTTTGATAACACGTATTGTTGCTTGTTTCCAATGCGTGAAAATAGTGGATGCAACGTTGATCCAGGCTCGGATAGGCCGTCTGGAATCCGAACTTAAAGTTGCGTTTCGAGAGCGACACGACTTTTCATATCTGACCCTCCGGAAAGCTCAAAAGCGGATATTGACTGGCGAGCGACTGAATGCCCCAGGGATGGCTGCGCCTTCCTACACGTCTTCTCACTCGTACTCGTTTGTGCCCAACTCTATGGGCTCATCTCGCCCCATCGCGAACCAACGACCTCTCTGGCGGAATATTGATGGCTCGGACTGCAACGTCGAGGAGTTGGCGCTAAGCTACTATGGGACGTTGGGCTACAAAGGATATCACTCTGAGAACAGTCTGCTGGCCACACTGTTTGGGCTTTTGTTCTGGGATATCCTGTTCTCGCCGCAACCAGGGGTGTTTGAGACTCTTTACCAGACTGAGCCGCTGGATCTTAGGACAGATGCCTTCTTCCTTCAGAGGCAGGATATGATTCTCGATCGGATCGCTAGGATTGCGGGTCCGACCATTATTGAGAAGGACCAGTCAACAGTATCAGAACCGCCACTACCACCAACATTACTACAACAGCCCGCCATAACGCGGAGTAGAGTCAAGTCGGAGGAGCTAGAAGAAGATGATGATGAGGACGATGAGGAGGAAGAGCCACTATTCAGTCGCCGGCGGAAACCAAAGCCAATACTCCAGGAAGTTAACGAAGAGTTGCTGGGAAACATGTTGTTTGAAGATGAGCTCTTGCAGGAACAGAAAGAGGACGAGAACTCTGAGGAGCGACGGGCAGAGCGAATGTACAAAGAGTTTTTGGCACGGAAGCGGAAAGAGAGTTATTACCTGGACTTGATTCAGACGCACGATGATCTCTACCGCGACAAGAAGGTCTATTGTGTCGGTGTCAATTGGACGTTTACCAAGGAGGAGCTTCTCGAGGTGGCAGAGGTAAGTCCAAACAAAATGGTCACGACAACTCAACGATCGAGAAATCATGCCTTCAAGTCTATTTTGGTGAACGCATACTAATTCGCAAATCGAAAAATAATGCTAGTGTATTGGAGGGAATGCGTTGGCAGAGATTTGCAAGATACTCGCACAAGAGTACAACAAACGCTGTTCTGGGATGCCCGATCTATGGTAACGTGGCAAAGCGTGGAAAAAAATGTGATGGATTCTGGTGCCTATGACGCTATCGCCTATTAACGCTGGTATTGTCGACATGCTCTCTTCTTTTTCTAAATAGCTGCTGGAACTATGACAAGAAACTCGTCAAGTTTGTCGAAGGTAAGGTCATCGAGGGCGAGGCACATATAAAAAGTCAGAAAACGTGGGATTGTCCAATTGAAGGCAACAACAGCATGTGCTAAATTTATCCTTCGTTTGCTTTGTCGTTTGTGAAATAGTCAAGGGTCCAGGGGACAGGCTTTCGTCGAAGCAGCAAGTCTGGATTGACCTGTTGACATCATTACATGTCGATATTGAACTGTGCATTGTTCAGGTCTCCAAGGCCGAGGATGCGTTCCTTGAAGAGCGCAAGAATGTTAATTAACTCTCTTTTTTGTTTCCCTCTTTTTGTTTTAATAAAACGTGTGTGCGAGGGATGATCCATTCTTTGTTTGAGCCCTTGCCTCTTAATTGTGCACAATCGTGCGATGGATGGGCTTTCCACCAAGCGATATTTTCATCGATAGAGAGAGGATAAGAGGATATGAGAGTATGGGAGGGATGGGAGCGCGTGCAGCGGGAAACAAGTTCTATTCGAACTGAAAGCGGGTTGGCTCACATATGACTTTTTTGTCTTGAGAAAGGGGACCTGTGCGTCGACTCTTGAATCATTGACTATGACTATGCTGAAGCCAACAGAGTCGACACCTTATTTCGGGGGCGGACACACACATACAAAGCTCACTTTTCATGGTTCTCGAACACCCACACAACGATAAATGAAATTCTGTGTGTATGTGGGTGTGGCAGGTATGATGGACACATCGTGGCGACGCAGCTTTCGAACAACTCACTCCAAAAGAAAAACGGGCACATTAAAAAGGAACACCGTTCCACTCCTCAGCCCTTCACTTTTTTTGTTCATAAACTTCCCCCTCTCGCCCCATTCTTATTTCTCATTCATTCCTTCTGTTCCTCATCAACTCTCTTTACTCCATTCCTCCATCTTAACGCCACTTCTTATTGTCTCTCATCACTCCCCCCTCTTACAAACATCCACTGTACATACCTTGTCCTTGCTACGCAGCAAACAGCAATACCCAAAAACACACACGAAAACTAGATATCTTTTTTTTTGAGTCCTCGCCTTCTTCCACCCCAATTCCACTCTCACACCCCTTTTTTTGACCATTTTTGCGATATGGACGACTACCAAATGATTCAGCAGCGGGGTGTCCAGGAGCTTGTGGCAGTTTCCCACGATGAAGAAGACCTGCCCTGTATCTATCTCAGCGCAATTGACCGCATATTCCCCAATGCCAACGTCGTCTCCTCTTATGGTGTCCGCATCCCCTTCTCTACCAACCGAAGTGGTGTCCCGTACGTGAGCCACAAAAGAAAAATCGAGCAATTGGAAAATTCCTCTTCCGTTCTTGCTCTTCACCCCTGGTGTATATAATTATCTAACTGTCAAATGCTTTTCTATTTAAACGGCTGTGCTATATTACCCCACACATAGGAAACAGCCATTGAGGATCCCTTACTTTGAAAACAGGGTGCTCGATGTCGAATGCGACAACAGTCAGCTGGAGTGGTCACGAGAAGCAACGGCCGCACGCATCGCCGCTGTTGCTGCAGCCGCAGCACATCTCATCCCGCCCAACACCGTCCACACGGCCCCACTTGTCTCGATCACGGACCTGGACGTGGATCTTTACAGCTATAGTGACGACGACAACGACATTAGCCACAACACTCGTATCCCGGCTCGGGGCAGGAGTCCCGATCTTGACAGCGACGATAACTTTGACATGATCGAGTCGGAACATTCTTCGGATGAGGATGATGAGAACGCTGAGGACGAGGCTGGTGGCGGCGACGACAATGATGAAACGCTCTCCAGGCCCAGTCGGTCAGCAAGATTTGCAGGGACATCCCAGAGTTTCGAGCGCTTGCGAGTGGGACTTCAGCCGATCCCAGAGACGAACCCCTTTGTCAGAGATTTACCACCTTCGTTCAACACGGTCGTTTCTCCACCTATCCAAACAACAGTGGCTTTACCGCCTTCTGTGGTTGCCACTCCAACAGTACCGTTCCTTCCTGCGGTGCGCCATGCTATTCCCGAGGAGTCATTGACGAATGGCGATGCTGCTCCACCGCCTACCTACGAGCCTATCGATACCTTGGTTCACGATATCACTGGCCCTGGCCGTGTTACTAACCATGGCACTGGAGCGAGCGAGTCGCATTTCGTACCTCCTCCCACCATCGACGACCCCTCTGAGCGCCACCTCGTCCACGACCGAGTCGAAATTATCAAAAGGATTAGTCAGACCATTCTCAACCAAAAGTACGAGTCCGAGGTCTGCGCCCACCCTCCCTTGTTTGTGCTCTTGCCCGAGAACCCCCTTCGGTGGTCCTTTGACAACCTCCTCCACAACAAGATGCGGCTCTACTTCCTATGCGACTGCTGCGAGCATGAGGGGTTCGTTCCTAGAGGCAACAGCACCGGTGAGCGACGTGGGTTGCGCAACCAGCGCAACGTCCATGTCACGGGCGGGAAAGGATTCGAGATTCGCATGGACCAGTTTCAGGATCAGATGCTTGTCGCCAAGTTTGGACACTACATACTCCACCTCTTGCGGATGCTACAGTTTGGAGTCTCGCTCGATAGCCACTTTGTGGCCTCTGCATTCGACCGGCCCGTGCCTCTGATCAGCGCCTCAGGAACCAATCTCGGAGGACTGGACCCAGAGTTATACTTCAAACTCAGGAAGAATGTCGAGCGGTCAATTGCCTTTATGGAGGCCCTACTTGGCGACGACTATGAGGAGGAGGCTACTGAGGCTGTGATGTGCTTGGATCTGAACGATTTTAGGATCTTGGATCATATTGTCAAGAGGCAGCCTTACTCTCAACCCGCTTCTGCGTCAAAGGTTCTACCCTCGTCCGCGTCGGTAACTTCGATCTCGTCGACTTCGTCCCCTCCAACTTCTCCCACCACGGCGGTAACACCTAGAGCAGAGTTGGCACAGCCTTTGGGAAGCAGTCTCTTTGATGGCGGCAACGGACTCTACAAGGTCCTAGGACCCGACAATCGCGTGCGATGGTCCTGCGAGGACTTTTACGGCAAGCATCACCAGACGCTGGACAAGGTCTTTTCGACAAAGCTCAACTTTTTGCAGGTGGACATGGATACCCACGTGCGCTCGGCAGAGATGACAGGAACCAGCGAGAACATCCTCAACACCCGGGTCATTGCCGTATCCAAAATCAGGGCGTTGTTCAGAATCGACTTGAACTTTGACTGGGACTTTGAGAACGACAAACTCGCAACAGTGACCAACATGCTGAAGCAGGACGCGGCCTCGGTCTCGACACTCGCGGTTCGATTCAGTCGTAAGGTACCACCATTGACCTGGAGGCAACATCTTGTGAGCCACGGAGAGGACGCCCAACCGATGATCGCCGTTCTGAACCTCGTCAAGAACAGGAAGCTGAAACATTTGATCCTGGAGGGCGATGTTGACCTGTTCTCGGTGCCCAACCTCGGGACCATGGATTTTTCCAACCTGGACATTCTCAGCATCATGAAAACTAATCACCGTGGCTATGGTCATACCGCTGCCCTGCTCAGGAACAACAAAACCAACAATGGCTACAATAATAGCTCATCTGCGAGTGTCAGGAGTCTGGATGGTTACGACAATGGCGAGCGTGGAACAGCCAAGACGTACACGCAGGAGAACTACATCCCCGAGTTGCTTTCCTTCCTCCAGACCTGCAGTCTCTTGACAGAGATCTCGCTTGGGTTCCCTGAAGTCGTCCCTGGACATATTCGAATTCTGCAGACTTGTATCGCTGGGCTGTCTAGACTGGCTCGCGTCGATCTATCCCGAATCGTTGGATCCTCCCTCAGTGGCAGTGCTAACAGCAGCAGCAGCAGCAGCAGCAATTCTCCAGCGGCGGGAAACAAGAGACCGATCCTCAACAAAAAACTGGAACTCTCTGCCAATGTCTCGGCGTCCAGGGTCACGAGACTCTACTTGTCGGAGTGCAAGGTTGTCGGCGATGGTCGGGCAAGACTTTTGGAGTCCCTGGAGGAGGTGCTGATGGACTATGGTCCGTCTCTGGAAGATTTGGAGATCAAGTTTGTGGGCTTTAACGACAAGCATGCGCATGCGCTCGAATATGGCACCAGGCCACAGTCAGACCAAACTTCGTGCAGGCTGCGTCGATTGGTCCTCCATGGCAAGGGACTCGAAACGGGAGGTGTCGCTGCCTTGAAGCGGGTTATTGGTAGGGCTACACGGTCAAAGCCGCAAGAGTCCATGGTTGTTGGCAATACCCGTGGAACCTTGGGTCGGAGCACCAGTCGCCGAGGTGGATCTGTCGCCACCGAGTTGACTGTCGCAATCGCAGCCGCCGCACACTCTGCTGGAAGCGGACTAGAGTCGCTCTCCTTTGGAACCATGCTCGACGAAACGACACTAACACATCTGGAACTCTGCTCAATCGACACTTTGGCGGACTCGGACTGGGCACACTTGGTGAGCGAGCTGAACATGAAGAGGCTGATCACACTTGAGGTCCAAGGCGTCTGGGTCGGAGACCGAACCGTGGCCATGCTTGCACGCTGCGGTCAGAACGAGGACATTGTTGACGAACCCTCATCGCCTCATTCACCTGCGGAGGACTTTTCCTCCTCGCTGCCACCCGCTCCTCCTGCATTTTTCTCGGCGTCTGCTCCATTGCCCTTGCAGACGTTGCGGATCCATTGCTCAAGCCTGACCAACAAGGGAGTGACGCACTTCCGCGAGTTCCTGTCACGTCTTATTCATCTGTCGACTCTCAGCTTCCATGGATTCCGTAAGGTCGGTTCGGATCACTGGGTCGACATGTTGAGCAGGATCGAGTTCCGGTGGGTTGAGATCATTGAGATTGTCAGTTCAGGTTTTGACGACTATTGTGGAGAGTACCTGGGTGAGAGGATTCAAGCACGAAGCCAGCTTCCGGATTTCGTCGCGACTTTATCTCCGGCTGACGCCTATGATACAGAAGGACCTGCGTTGCCGGCTTACAGTGCCCAAGCTCCTGCTGCTACTTCTCCTACGACTACTATATCATCGTCGTCCTCCAACGCTCTGTCGTCATCGCCGCCACTGTCAGCAGCAGCGCCCCCAACCCGCAGGGATTCTCTGTCGTCAAGACTGCGCGCTTCCATTTCCAATACATCTAGGTCCAAGGATCCCGAACCCAAGCCAACTCCGATCCCATCCAGCACCAGCACCACTAGCCTGACACGCCCAACCGCATCCCAAAAGTACCTCGAGGTCGACCTTCGATACACCGACGTCTCTGCAAAGGGACTGGCGCTTCTTCGCACAAAGGTCCTGGGTCAGGCCAAGCGAGTGGTGGTGATGTCGCGTGATGGCGAGGAGGAGGAGGAAGTGGATGAGGGTGAGGCGGACAAGGAGGCTGCAAGGTTGGCGCAGAAGCGTATGGCGGAGAAGGAGAGTGAGGCCAAGTGGAGTGCCAAGGGAGGAAGTTCGTCATCGTCCTCCTCGAGTCCTAGCAATGGGCGTGGTGCTAGCTATAGTAGTGGTGGAGGAACGTTTTCCGCGTTGGCTTATTCGTTATCGTCTGCCTCTCAGGGACCAAGCAATAGAAATGGAGGTAGTGACGGAAGCAGCAGCAGTCATGGCAACAGTAGCAACGGAACCTCACAATCGCAGCATCAACAGCAGGGTTCGGGCCAGAAGACTCGGTCTACTTTTTCGACTGTAAAGAGGTTCCTGACGAAGAAATAGTCATAACGCAGTTTTTTCTATGTTATCTTTCTATGCTGCCAGGATGTAAAATATATTCTTTCTTTTTTTTTATTTTCTCGTGTGACCCAATGCTCCCGATTGTTACTTCGTCAGGATAAACGATTCATTGTGATCGCCCGATGTGTTTGTTGTTTTTTTGGTGTTCTGGGTGCGCCAAGTTGCAGTTTCCCTCCGGTCAGAGAAGGAAGAGAGGGAAAATCAGTCAAGGTTAATTGAGGTGGCGAAGATTGTAAACACAATAATTCGCGTGATGCATTGCCACAAAACAATAAGGTAAAAGTCAAAGTAATGCATGCAATGAAGAAAGAGATGTGGGAAGGTCCCATCGTTCCTGTTGGTCCTGAGGATCCAAGTGGGGGCATCCCATCCTACTTTTCGCCGACGGATGTACTTTTTTTTATTTTTTTATTCCTTCAGAATAATGGACATTGAACAACTGTTGGGATGGATCGGGATTAGTGAGTTTGAGAGAAATAAAAACGTTGAATGGATGATGATGACAGATTGGGGTGGGGAGAAAGGGACGTCGTTGGATATTGGCATTATTCTTTGCTGCAGGCCAGTTTCTGATTCTCTTTGTGCAGAAAGTTGGAGAAGGAGGGAAGAGAGAGAGAGGAACAACCATGTGCAACGGTTGCCAATGTCCTGCTGTCAGTCGCTTGGACAGATGAATGAACACACAAATGTCCCCATGCACACATATGCAAAGAACAATGGAGCAAAGATAGCGGAATGAAAGCAGAGGAGGAAGATACTTCCAACGCCTTGTGCAGGTTGTGAGTATAAGAACAGAGTAGGGCTGTGAGGTCGTCTTCACCGACTGATTCTCTTCCTTGACTTTTTTTGCTTTCTTTTCTCTCCTTTTATGCTCCCCCTTTCTCCTTTATCTCTCACTCGCATTATCGTCTTCACATTCATCCTTCTCTTTCTTTCGCTTCCTTCTCTTCTCACCTTGCTCACTTCCTTCATTATCATCTACAAGGACAACAGTAAGTAAGGAGAGCACTGACAACAAAAGCATCCACACACCTCATCAACCGTCCACCCTCCTCTGCACCACTTCCTCCTTACCACATGCTTATATCCACCTCAAAGCAAAACGCCAACAATACTGTATCGTACCCAGCAGCAAACAAACCAAGGAGCTATTATCTACTCTGAACAATATGCAAGATACTATGAACAATATGCAGGACCTCCACATCATTGTCGCATGTGTGTCCGTGTGGATGTGATTTTCCTACGATGATGATTGGACAAGAGCGAGAAAACAAGTGTGTCGCCGCTTTCTTTTCTATCGTGTGATTTTTGATCAAGAGATGTGGTCGCGTTCATTGTTGCCTTGGGCCTAGTTTTCCACGCGTCTTGAACAACGACTCCTCGCTGCTGTCTTTCTAACTGCATCAGTAGTGCACAGTCTGCCACGCATGCACGCACAGCACATGCAGCGTAGCGCACTTTGTGTATGGATACCACGCTCGCAAAATTGCAATCGACTGGATTCAAAGACCTCGCTCCCTCTCAAACTCCTGAGGCTCTCACCACTTCCATTCATAACAGGCAAAAGGCTCTAAGTCATATTCTGGATGATCAGGGGGACGCGGAGGTGTTAGTCAAAGAACTGTTGCGAATCACACATTTTTTTTTGTTTTCCAAGTCGCATGAGATCCTCAGTTTACGACACCAAGACGTTTCGGACCATTGTTTTTGTTGTGGATCATTGAAGGGGTCATGTTGTATAAACTGAAGGAAGGCACGTTCTTGAAATTCGCTACTTTCTTCACTTCTCCATTCAATGCCACAATCCTATATTTTTCGCTGAACACCATACATTCTCTTTGTATGTGCTGCAGATCCTTCAATCCACCACTTTCTGTTGCAACCAAAGAAGCAATTCATCCAACGAACTAACAATCCCCCTCCTTCCCTCCGGGTCTTATTCATATTAAACTCACACAGAGCTCTGACGTCCTTCCCTGATACCCCGCTCCTCTATTACCAGTTGATATCAAGCACGAACCATCTTCAGTATTCTCCCAGGAAGAGATCAAGCACTCCCTTTACTCTTTATCCCGAATATACCAGAGACCGTATCTTTAAATGGTAAGATGTTGTCCAACTACACCATTCGTATCCTTGTTCACACGGCGCGAGTATTTTCCGAGGGCACCAACTCACAGATCCGTTTCCGATGATCATTTTGCATGTTATTAGCCAGAGATCCGTAAAAAGCTTGTCGTTGTTGGTGATGGCGCCTGCGGCAAGACATGCTTGCTCATGGTACATTCCAAGAACGAGTTCCCCAAGGTAAGCAACAAAAGTGACGGTTCTATTTACATTTCTTTTACTTCACTTTTGGCAGCCAGGGGATCGTCATTGTTAGTTTGGTGGCAAAGTACTCGTTAGCGTCTTCGCACACACCACACCACGCCGCCTCCTTTACTCATTTAAAAATATCTACGGTTAAACTGCTTTGAAACTAACTCCTCTTTTCCTACTTTCACCTCCTCCCCTTACCCTTCTCCATCGATGAACAGAAATATGTGCCAACAGTTTTCGAGAACTACACGATGGTGGTCAATTATGGCAAGCAACAGATTGAGCTCTCCTTGTGGGATACAGCCGGTCAAGAAGATTACGACCGTCTCCGACCCCTGTCATACCCAGAATCGGATATCGTCCTAATGTGTTTCTCAGTCGACTCACACTCGAGTCTAGACAACCTGAACGAAAAATGGCACCCAGAATTGGAACATTTCTTGCCGGATGCGCCCAAGATTGTTGTGGGCCTGAAGACGGATCTGAGGGATGAGGCTCTTACGGCGGAGGATAAGGAGCGTTATGTGTCTACTGAACGAGTAAGTTTTTTTTTTTTGTCTTTTTGTTTGTTTTAACATGATGGCTGCTCATATTTGTTGCTGCCTGAGAAAGTGATGGGTTCCTGAAAAACTTGTTCAGGCGCGTATTCTGATCGCTAACGGCTGCTCTTCTCTAATTCATTTGAACATTAGGGTGCCGCGGTGGCCGCAGCGTTGCACTGCAAATACTTTGAGTGCTCAGCCAAGACAGGAAAGGGTCTCCCCGAGGTGTTCCATGCCGCCCTCAAGGCAGCGATGCAGTCTCGAATCTCCAAGATGCGCAAGCGGGCTTGCTCCATTTTTTAAAATGAATACCATACAACCAACAAAAAAGAAGGCATTTTTCTCGTGATACCTAACAATTCGTTTTTACCCTTTAATAAACCAATGAATACCACGCATCATTTTCGCACATTGTTTATTATGAGTGCATCAGTTGCGAGTTGAAGGAGCGACTGGTCGGTAACTTCGAGGTGTTCCTTTCAAGGGAACATCATGGGGCCACGAACAGACTCCATGACTTCTTTACCCTTGAGCTCCTCAACAATCCTCAACGCAAGCTCAAAAGTCGACCCCGGTCCACGACTCGTCAACAACTGTGCCTTCTCATCCTTGACCACAATCTCGCTCCCTTTCACATCATCCCGGTACTCGAAATAATCCTTCAATTGGTCACGCACACTCGGGTGGGAGGTCACCTGCGCACCCCTCGCAACACCAGCAGCCTTCAGGACCGTAGGGCCTGCACAGACGGCTGCAAGTAAAACACCTGGCTTGGAATAATGGGCATGGACCCATTGATGGACAAGTGTAGAGGCGGCCATGGTTTGTGCGCCGGGCCCACCACCGGGGATCATGAGGACGTCATAGTAAAAGGATCTGTCGGGATCTGCGGGGGTTGGGAGGGGGAGGGCCGAGAGGTGGGTGTCGGGGATGATGCGGACCCCACGAGAGCATTTGATGGATTCTGCGGAGGATTCGCTTGGGTTTGTATTGGCGATCGTCACCTCGATCCCTGCTCTCACCAGCACGTCGACTATTTGAGGAAAAGAAGGTGGAAAAAACGCGTCAATATTCAGGGTTGCGGCGAGCTGACTATCAAAAAAAAAAAAAAAAAAAAAAACGGAGAGTAAGGGCGAACACGAGGAGAATGCGGAAGGTAGAGGGGGGAGGGGAGGTGTGGACATACTGGTGATGACGGCTTCCATTTCCTCGGTGCCGTCGGCAATAAGCACCAGTGCTCGTGTTTTGTCCGTTCCTGTCATTGTAAGTGTCGTTTTGTTGCGTGAGAAAGTTGAGAGAAAGAAAGGGTGTGAATGACGGACGAAAAAGAAAACGAGGCATGGACGACCCAGACCTTTCTCTCTCTAGTTCAAGTCACGTGCAATGCGCAAAGGAATGAAGGAGTTGAAAGAAGAAGTTCCAGTCCCGGGACTGAGAGGTTCCTTTCTCTCACAAATTATCAAAAATGGTACTACGACCTTATGGCCAAATTCTATGGTGAACGATGGATTCTTACAAACCATCGATCAGTCTATCCATCAATACTGATGCCGGAACCAGCATGGAGGCGAACTATCGACTTGCGGGAACCTTGCGGAAATTATTGTCCAGCACTCAAAAGCCTGGAACCCAACATCACCGTCAACGATGGCATCATATACATCTCCCACTCCAGAGCGGTCGACTTGGTGGCAGGCACTTGAGGGGGGCTTTTAGACGGTGGGGAGAACCAGGAGGACAACCGTTGCGACAGAGGTGCCGGCAGAAGGAAGAGTTAACGGCAACAGTTCCGGGACCAGTCTACCCAGCAGCAAAAACGACTCTGCTTTCGTCGGCAAACCCCAGTAGAAGCCTTTGCTTATGCAGCTATGCATGCAGAAACTCTGATTCAGCAACCTTCTTGGCAAGGACAGCCAGTCGTCAAGAACTCTAGCCATCCACATACGACAACTCAAACCTGGGGCGACATCAGCAGGTTTAGAGCGACAGGAAAGGAAAAGCTGGGACTCGACGGCACACTCTCACAGGCTGACTGCGGCGCAGGACAATTGTAACCCCTGATACACGGACATCCTTCGCAGCCCCAACAAACTACGACACAGTTCAGGAGGGTTTTTGCGAGCACCCTTTTTACTCCATCCGCCTGAACCACATACATACCAACCAGTGGTTACAGAGCATCGTTTCGCTAACGCAGCATGGACATTATCATTGACTATGGAACAATAGGGTAAAGTCCACGGTTCTTTGGCTCGTGCCGGTAAGGTCAAGTCGCAAACTCCCAAGGTTGCCAAGCAGGAGAAGAAGAAGAAGCTCACTGGTCGCGCCAAGAAGCGTGATACCTACAAGCGCAGATTCGTCAACGTCACCAACGCCCCCGGTGGCAAGCGTCGCGTAAGTTGACCTTCCAAGCGCACACCGCTTTCGCGTTGTTGTATCAGCGAATTGGCAATTTTTCATGGGAATGATCAATGGCAGACTTTCTAACGCACTTTTCTTTTTCTTTTTTAATTTTGATATCAAACAGATGAACGTCAACCCCGAGTCCACCAAGGGATAAATATGTTTCTTGCAGGATGAACACAACCAGCACGGAGGAGGGAGGAAAGTAGGAAACGGAGGGCGATTCGGAGGGAATCTCAACAAAGCTGGACGGAAGGAATTTTGAGAGAGGCGCTCAGGAAATTCAGGACAATCCTTTATTGCCACCAACGCACACCTCGTTCATTCTTTTTCTCGCGCTCTTTTCTTAGGAGCACGTTCGCTTTGCCGACACTTGCGTTTTTCTCTTCATTTTACACACTCTCCCTTCGTGTCAGCCTCATTAAACAATTTAGTTGATTCGGTTTTTTTTCAATATCAAATTTTCTCCTTTTCTCTCAATATCATACCCTCGTTTTTTTTTCCTTATGCATGTGTGTGTTTCACTGTCTGCTACGTACTCGTGTATGCAAAGCCATGGATCTTAGAAAAGACCGCCTCTCTTTTGCAGGGAAGGCTCGTACTGTACAACACGAAAGGAGGGATTGTCAGATCAAACGAACTTGAACCTAGCCACCAAGGAGAGGTGGTCTGATCCGAACTCAGGGCAAGGCAGACTTTTAGTGCCCTTTTTAATCAGATCGGCGCACGGTAACTCCAAGATCCCATCGACCTGAAGCTTTTGTGGAATCGCGGCAGTGGAGGTGGAGCTTGAATGAGAAAGCGACGGATTGGCCCCAGTTGATATCACAGGAACTCGAAGCTGCCCGTGAAAGATGTAGTCACAGACAAGCTGGCCTCCCGAGTGGAATGTTGTCCACGGCCCGCCCTTTGGTGAACGGTTGCTCCCAAGCGCCCGTGCGGCCTCTTCTTGCGGAAAGAAGGGGTATGCTGATTTCAGGGCGAATGGTTGACAGATCAAACTGCCTGGCCGAGAGGCATGACTGGTCAATGTAGTGGTGGTAGTGGTGGTGGTTTTGCTGCTTCCATCACTATTGAAAACGATATGTGTGTTTGCAGCCTTGGTGTCGGTTGAATTCGCGCTCGTGGATGAACTGGGGATGGCTGCAGTGGAGGTGTTGGTGGTAGACTCTGTTGACTCGTTCCACTCACTCCTCGACTTCCTGATTAGTGACCGTAAACTTGAAGCACTCCACGACAGCGCGGGGGGTTGAGTCTGTGTTGTTGTTGTAGTCTCTGTTGCGGTTGTCCTTGTTGCGGTTACTGTTGCAGCCGTCGAATCTGTGTTGGTCTTGGTGGGTGATGCGGCCAGAACAGCTTTTGAAGTGGGCGAGAAACCGTGGCCATTGTCGGGGAATGCCCTGTGGAATTCGGTGAGCCTGTTCTCATAGGGAGGTCTGCCTAACTTGTGAGAAGTGTGAAATGGTAGTTGACCTGACAGGAGCGACTCTGGCAACGCTGACACATCGATACTCTCTAATGCGGGTCAAGTCGCTTTATAGTTAGCTTCGAGCTGCCTTTCATGAACAATGACTACCAGCATTCTAGTTCCAGTAACTTGCGAGCTTACCATCCGTCAGATACCGTATGACGGTGCTGTAAGGGAGGGCATTGAAGTCGCCGCACAAAACTATCCAGAGGCGTATGTAAGCGAAAATTTCGTCCGCATGCGTTAAATTGGGCAAAGACAGGACACTCAACCGGACTCAAATATGAAAGTCGCATAGAAATAATTACCAATGGGGATATCGGCGTTCTGTTCCACTATCATTTCTCTGGCGCTATTCAGGAGCATTCGAAGTTGGGCAATCTTCGTCATGCCGTGCTTTGTATGAAAAATTATATGGCTCGTGGCTAGAGAGACTCTCCTGGTCCGTTCCTCTATTTCGCGTCAAAAAGAGTTTGAGGATGACATGATTGGATGTGAGCTCACGGCACTCGGTCTAAGGAGTAGATCGATAACTACCTTATCCATTTGTATGCTTTTGCGCGTTTGTTTCCTTACGATGTTTGATGTCGAATATCCCGACGATCCCGATGTTCTCCTTCCTCTTGAACGAGTTCTCATCAAAGTTGACCCCAAGCAGCTTGACGGCCTTGACGCTGTTGAAAAGGTGGGTAAAATGAAAAAAAAAACAAATGAGGTGTTAGCGCGATGATCAGCATATAACGAAAAAAACACGCTTGTAACGTTCTTTGGACTGACAGCAAATAACTTACGTCTTGTTCCGAAAGAAGATGGCACATCCATCTGGTTTGTTGCCATTTCGTTTCTTGAAGACACCACTGTATCCCCATTCCTGAAAGGCAGGTTGAAAGAAACCGACATAGTGCTCTCTGTCCATCTCTTGAAGGCAATATATGTCCAGCATCTGAGCTATAAGTCAGAATTGACGTCAGAAGGAAAGGATAAGTAAGCACGACTCGTCTCAAGGCACATTCTTCCATCAGCAATGTCGTTCATCGGGATACAGTTCATACATCGGAGTTCTTGCATCAGCAGCTGGCTTCGATTCTCCCATTTGATGTCGCTTTTAGCGCACCTGTTATAGAGTTGCTGGTTCTTCAGGGCCAGTTTTTTGGACAACAGATTGTACGTCATGACCGTGAAGGTATCTAATATATTGAGCGAATATGCCGTTACTTCAGAGAATAGATGGGAAGAGTAGAAATCAAGCTGCGCATGAATATTTTCAGGGCACGACATCGATGGGTGCAGTTCGTACCATATCGGTCATGCGGTGAAGAGGTCCATTTGCGCTGTATTGTCCGCCACATGGGTCGCTTATGTGGGTTGCTGGAACGGGCAATGTTTTCGCTAGTGTTGTCTTCGTCCTCGGACGATATCACGATGGAGTGCTTCTCAGAGGTCCTGATATCTGGTGGCGCAGAGTCGTATCGTCCAGTTGACTGACGGGAGTCGAGGTTATTGGCTCCTAGAAAAGCAACAAAGGTCGGAGTGAATGGCGATGGCAAGAATAACGTTAACAAAGGAGGCAAGAAAAAATGCCTCGCACGAAGAGTCATTGCAAGAATATTATAAGCCGCATGGGACGACGATGAGGCAATTAAAGTTCCCACGGAGCGGACTAGCATACCTCCTTGGTGCGCGTGCTGTTGGTGTTGGTGTTGGTGTTGTTGCCTTTGTGGGATGTTATTACTGGTGTTAGTGATGTGACTACTGAGCATCATGCGTTGGTGTTGCTGAGGATGGTGTTGCTGAGGATGGTGTTGAGGCAGATCCAGAGCAGGACGCGTTTTGTTTCTGTTCCTTTTGCGCATGGGCAGGTGATTGTGTGTTGTGCGGTGTTGTGGTGTTGTTATGCGGTGGCCGTGTGCGCAACGTGAAGACGGGATAGAGCGGAAAAAAGAATTGTCAGGTGTCTCGCGCTGAGTGTATTTGTTTGAGAGAGAGAGAGAGAGAGAGAGAGAGGCTGAGGCGATGTGATGGATCGATCTGTAATCAACTCAGACATACACCCACAGGGAAGGAGGGGAATCAAAAGTCCGCAAGGAATTCTAGAGGTTCTCTTTGAGAGCAGAGCACTAGAAGCAAACTGGCTGTTAGCTACTGTGCTCTAGGATGTCCTGGCAGGTGTCTTGCTCCCCCTTTAGGATGTCTCCACGCGGACAGTTTACACAAAAGCGGACAGCGCCCGACTGTTGACCCGGCCTGGTGTCCATTCTAGCCTCAAATGGAGAGCATTGACATCTGGCTCTCACTCTTGAACCCTCGCGGACATTTTTTTGGTGTTTTTTTACCTTTTCCTTCCATCTCCACCTTTGTTGTTGCTTCTCAATTCCGGGTAAACCATATGCATGGGCTGTCAGCAACAAACCCCTTCTCTCTCTCACTCTCTCTCTCGCTTGTTTGTCCTCTTCCCCTCTTGTTCTTTTTCTTGTTCTTCTATTCTCGTCTCGTCTCTTCTCAACCCTCCTCTTCTTCATACTCCTTCGCCCCTTTTGTTCTTCCTTTCCTCCTCACTTCCTTCTTTCTTCCCTCTTCCTTCTTCCCTCTTCCTTCTTCCCTCTCTCAACCCATCCTCCTCGATCTATCCTTCAACCCCTCCATTATTCCCTCATCCCTTGTCTCCTCACCCACTCCCCTCCCACACACTCACACGCGCACACAGGCCGCCATCCAACACATATCCATATTTCCTTCATATCACACAGCAATCACAGCAATCTCAGTAATGGATATCGATGCTCCTTCCTCCTCAACAACATCCCACCATGAAATGACAGCCCAAACCACCATTCCCCCAAAACAACGAAAGCCCTACACCAAATCCTCAACATCAGCCTCCTCCTCAACAGCCCAAAGCAAGCCAAATTCTCGAGGGGTGCGCATGACATTCGAACTCGACGATGTCTTGAGAAAGTACACCCCCGAAGAGTTCAAGACCTGCAAGGGCTACGACGTTGGCGGCGTCAACATCCTCAACAAGAAACCCCTTGACTCGAAGACTGCCCTCGACAAAATCACTCGCAGGCGAGAGACTCATAACAGAGTCGAGCGTAGACGAAGAGACTGTATCAACCAGGTATGAAAACCATCGGCATTGACAATGGACAGTTGACGAGAAGAAGATTCTATTGTTCTACTTGTTTCCGATTGTATGTATCCGCCCTTTCTCGACTGCACACTTATCCTATTTTTCTCTCTCTCTGTCTATCATTTCTTTTCCTTCTTCCACCTCTTGATAACATTGCAATCTGCAGCTCATCGATGAACTCACCGATCTGTTGCCAAAGGAGGAGGAGGAGGACGATTCGCTCTCAAAGGGTCATAGAGTGAACATCCTCCGTAACGTTGTCAGCCACATTCAAACCTTGACTCGTCACAATGAGAACCTGAACCAGCAGCTTCAGGCACTCCACAGCGGCTCAACACTCTCCCCACCAACCATCATCACTACTCCTGCACCACCAACAATACATTTTGGATCCAGCGATAGCCATGTCTCTGACATCGGCCCTCCTTCTTCCCCATCCTACACATCATACGACTCCCGGTCTAATCCATCGCCCCAGTTAACAACTTCCAGTCCCCGATTTGGTCCCTCATACCAGCATCCCGAACATCATCATTATTTTACGCCATTGCAGTCACCTGGGTCAGAGCTCTTTGGCACCACAGGCACCTCGGATTCATCGCGGGTACCCTCGCCCTCACTACCATCCCTCAACGACATGGCAGTGACTCTTCCCCCTATTCCCAAAATCGTCGAGCCATTGGATAGTTCCCTCGCACCATTGGACCAGGACCAGGATCACCACGACACTTCGTCAGGATCATACGCCAAGCCCAAGCGCATGAACCGTCAAACACTGCCACGGCTCCAGCTGCTGTCTCCTCATTTCAACCATGGACACTCGAACAGCACAAGCAGTCATCTTGGATCGCCTTCCTCGCCCTCATATCATGGACATCCCACGCCATCACCCACATCTGCATACTCTGGCTATTCATCTACTTCAGGACCATGGTCATCCACCTCATCGTCATACGGCCCTTTTTCTCCTTCAGGATCCATCTCATACTCCCCAAGCGGCCCTACGTCGCCCTATGGACCGTCATCGGCTACGTTATCCTCCTCCCTCTCTGGATTTTCGCATCATCCTCGCTCACCGATGCATTCTCCTAGCCTGAGTCCGTGGGACAAGGCAGGCCATGCTGCTGGCGGCATGGAAGAGCAGCCATCAGAGTCCAACGGATGGTGCAGCACCAGCCATCTTCAACAGCATTCGCATCCTTACAAGGCCGATAGACACCCTGAGGTATCGTGAATGATACCCTTTTTTGTGCGACGGCATTAATAAAAAAAAAGAGCTCTAGCCACACCGCATGGTGATCCCCTTATTCTCTTTTCCATTGTGCTTACATTGAAAAACTCCCCCTCGATATCATGCCTGACTGTTCTGTCAAAACAACCATGTTGTTGAGCAGCTAGCGCAAGGGCCACAATCTATAGATCTGTATGATCGTCAACTGAGACCGAAAAACTATGTTGTTTACACAGCCGAATTGCGCCAGCAATTGATAACATTAGGCCAACGCATGCCAATACAATGCCTCCTCACTCCCGTTATTTCTCTCGCTTTCGCGTAAAAACAAAGGCGTGAGGTCGTCATAGCCATGGAGATATCTTTAAAAAAAGTACCTTTAGGTGGACCAGCCCCACGAAGTGACAAGGAAAAAACAATATCGCAACCCTGTGAAGAAATAGAGAGTAATAGGTGGAGCATCTTTCCTTTTTCTACTCCCTCTTTCCTTCTCACTTTCCACTCTCTCTTCCTCTCTCTCTCACACGCCTTTCCTCTCTCCTCTCTCTCCTTCATCTTCCCATTCTCCTTCCTTTTGGCTAGCTTGCAGCTCCTCCACGTTCAAATCGTTACCAACGATAAAATAAAGGAAGGAAATGCCTATTTTCACAGTAATAGGATTACGCGATCATGGTCACTTTTTTACGTTTTCAAGGAGAACGACTTCTGCTGTTTGTTTCTTTCCTTTTGGATGATTATGGATAACTGACTTCGACGCCACATCGTTCGCCCATTTCGTCTTTTTTGCATGTTTTTTTTTCCCATCTTGGCTGATATTTGATAGAGATGCATGTTTCCCTTCTTACTGCGACTTTTATCGTCCTACGCATTTTTCATCTATTTCTTTGTTGTTAATGCAATTGTTGTATGAGAAGGGGGCATGTTACTATCATTCCCAAAGTTAATGCACCAAAAAAAAACACGGACAAAAAAAAAAAAGTAAGGGACCATGTTCTTGTGGTTGTGGTTCTCTGCGTACGGGGGTGTCCATCCCAGCTGTACACGTAATGTACTCCCTTTTGGACCCAAAAGAAAAAATCCTGCTTCCTTACTTCCTTACTTCCTTGCTTCCTTCCTTCAGTCAGCAACCCTTATGTGTACGTATTACTCCGAATGCACACCCCCTTTCCTCCTGCTTGCTAGACTGCTCCTCTTGGTCCCCCCCCCCTCTTCCTCCTTTGTGCAAAAATATCCAAGAAAAGAAAAAATGCCTCTTTGGTCTCGTTTCGTCAATTCAAGAAGGAAATGCGCTATGGAAACAAAGCTTTTTTTCTGTGTGCGTGTTCAGGGGATGGATGGGAAGCATACATAAAAAAAAAGGGAGCAAAGAGCCAGTGGCATGCATTTCTTTATGCTTCTTTTTTTTGTTTTCAAATGGACCCGAGGGAAGGGAGAAGGGGGCCTTTTGATGCTCGCAAAGCAAAAAAAAAAAAAAAAAAAACGATGCAACTATGCTACAGGTACAATTGCTCATTTTTTTTTGTTCTCCTTGGGACATCATTCACTCCTCCCCCCTCTCCCCTCGCCTTCCCTTCTCCTTTGGTGCGGCTCACTTCTTCACTACCGTCATCCAGCATTCAGTTACCGTGTCGCGTCAGTGTAACGAAGTAGTGAAACGAAGAAAACAAGAAAAACGTTCAGTTACCTGTTCAACTTTTCTACAGCGGAAGAAGGTTTAATTGGAGTTTTCAAGAGGAACGAAAAAGGTAGGAGCTTACTTCATTATCTTGCTTTCGCACAGGTAGAAAAATTAAAGTAGGATGGGAGGGTAGAAAAAATAGGAGATTTAGGCATTGGCATGGCTATAAGGTCAAAAGGAAAATAATAGAAAAATATAGTAGACTGCATTGTGGAAAGGAAAAAAAGGATACATCTGGATGGAAAAGGGCGCGATGCTGCAGCAAAGAGAGAGGTAGGGACAGAGAAATGCACAAGCGGTCTGAGGATCCATCTATTCGGGCAACTATTCGAACCCATGGACAGTGACCAGAAAGAAAAGAGACCAAGACAAGAGGAAGGAGGCAGAGGGATAAAAGACAACGAGGAGAAGTAGAAGGAGGAGAAGGGAAAAGAGTGCGAGGAATGGTAAAGATAGGTTCAAAGAGGGGGAAGTAAAAAGAGAGGGGTGTTGCGAGGAGGCAGGGGAGAGGGGTTAGGTGTTACCACCTACATATTTTCACATCGCAGACACGGCAACTATTTTTGTGCGACGATTTAGACATGCAGTAAGATTCTCGCAGTTGAGTGGGACTCAACCAAAAACAAGGGATCATGTTCACTCCCTTCTCTTTTCTATCTCGTTCTCTCGCTCTACGTCTCTCTTTTACTCGTTTTTTCTTTTGTGTGTGTGTGTGTGTGTGTGTGTGTGTGTGTGTGGTGTACGGTGTATGGTGCATGGTGTAACTCTCTGTCTCCTGTTCGTTGTTACTCCTTCTTTACACCCTTTTCCTAGGAGAAAAAAATCGTCTTTACGATGGAGTGCCCCCGTTGTTTCCGTATCGTGTCTGTTCCAAGCCAGTTCGGATAGTCAGTCATTGAATACCTCGAAACGCCTATAAGAACCACCGGTTTCCCCACCATTTCCACTCTTCACTCACTCACGCACACTTCCACTCGCACTCATACCATCAAACACGCACTCTCCGCTCCATAACATTCCTATTCAATAATATACCTTAATAACCATGCGTTCACAAAACATCGTCGTTGTCATGGCCACTCTTCTGAGTCTCCTCGCCGCCACCTCATCTGTCAACGGAGCAGCCATCGTCCAGAACAAGGACTTGCAGCCCAACATACCCGGTACCTCGGGATTCACCCCAGATCTCTACAGACGCCATCACCACGACAACGGCAACGATGATGATGATGAGGACGACGACAACCACCACGGCAAGCACGGCAAAGGTGGCAAGCACGGCAAGCACGACAAAGATGGCAAGCACGGCAAGCACGATGGTAAGGGGAAGCCTGACGGAGACAAGCCCGATGGAGACAAGCCTGATGGAGACAAGCCTGATGGCGACAAGCCTGATGGAGGGGAGGAGAATCCCAATGGTGCCACTCCCACCGATAGCCCTGATGGTGCCACTCCCACCGATAGCCCTGACGGTGCCACTCCTACCGATAGCCCTGAAGTCACCAACCCTACAGTCAGCCCCGATGCAACCGAGCCTACTCCTACCGTTGAGGCTACCCCCACGGTCGATGCTGCTCCTACTGTCACTGCCACTGCCACGGCAACTCTGCCTCCTACTGCCGCGACTCCTACTCCTCGGTCTGCCACACCTCTTCCCCCTTCTGGTAGCAGTGCATCTGCATTGTTGGCACATAACCAGGCTGTCCTCGGGTTCCTGTCTGCTGCTGCGATTAGCTACTTTTTATAGTAGTATGATGGGTCCGGTTCTAATGTGATCCGCATGTAGTAGTTCATATTTATCTTCTTTTAAGCATATATAAATAATAATCCTGCTTTCCTGACTGTATCCGTAATGGTAGTGGTGGAGAGTGCTCTTTCGGATCTACTAGAAAACTCCCCGCGTCCATCGCCTTTGAAAAGTGGCGAGGCCAGATCTTTAATGCAAAAGACAGTCCCACAGGCGTGATCGAAGGGACGAGCAATCTTATTTTTTTTCCCAGAGCAGAGACATGGGGATTGATTACCCAGGGGTAAGGCGGGTGTCGACTCGTACTCTACACCTCTCCACTTCTCTGTTCAACGGACTTGCTTCGCATCCTTGCTTCCTTCAGAACATCACCCTATTTCTTCCTCGTCGCTTTTCTATGCGCACTGCCTTTGCTCTTCTTTTTTCCTTCTTCACCCACTTTTTTTTTTTTTTCTTTCCCTTCTTTCCTTCCTCTCTCTCTCACTCTCTCATTCAACCCACCAACCATCCACCTTCAGCACATCCTTCATTCCTTCTTGACGCCATGCACGCCAGATTCGTTACTTCGACCTTGACAGGCTCCGCCCGTGCCGTCAAAGCCTCCGTCCCCCGGGTCCCATCGCTCGCCTTCACGACCCCAGTCTCCCGAAAACGCAAGTAGCCGCTCTTTCAAATCTTCATTGCCAGAGCAAAAAACGATGCTATATCTCCACGTATTAACCTTCAATCACTCCTGCATGGCATTCGCATCAATTGATCGCCAAATAGTCTTCCACACTTCACCCTGGACCTTGTCTGTCAACGCCCCTGAGCCAGCACCTACTCACTCCTCCAGCAATCCTCCCATGGCCTTCCCCTGCGTCGACCAACTGGAGCAACGCACTCAAAAGCTTCTGCAGTCATTCGACGGTGGCCCAGAACCCTCCTACAGCAACCCTATTTCGGGATACAGTCTCTATCAACACAACGAGCCCTTCTTATTAGATCACGGCGGCATCCTGCCCAAGTTTGAGATCGCTTACGAATCATGGGGCGAGCTGAACGCCGACAAGTCCAATGTCATTCTTCTCCATACTGGACTCTCGGCATCGTCCCACGCAAAGTCGCACCCTGCGAACACTGCGCCAGGATGGTGGGAAAAGTTCATCGGACCTGGACTGGCCATCGACACAAATCGGTTCCATGTTATCTGCACCAACGTCATTGGAGGCTGCTATGGTTCGACTGGTCCCTCTTCGATCGATCCCAAGGACAACAAACCTTACGCCACCCGGTTCCCCATCATCACCATCTTTGACATGGTCAGGGCACAGTTCGAGATGCTCAGCTCGATGGGTATCCAAAAGCTGCACGCTTCGGTCGGAGCCAGTATGGGTGGCATGCAGTCTTTGGCTGCTGCGCTTTTGTTCAAGGAGCGTGTCGGAAAAGTGATCAGCATCTCTGCAGCTGCTCGCTCTCATCCTTACAGCATTGCCCTCCGATTCACTCAGCGCCAAGGTACACGAGAGTTTCCGTATTGGTTTATATTGGGGAAATGAAATGAAAATGATCTGGGCCTCCTGGGCGTAACCATGACTCACCTCGTTCTCTTTGTTAATTCCTCTATACCATAGTGTTGATGGCGGATCCCAACTGGAACAAGGGCTTCTACTATGACAAGGTGCCTCCACACAGTGGTATGAAGTTGGCTCGCGAGATTGCCACCATCTCCTACCGATCCGGCCCCGAGTGGGAGCAGCGCTTCGGTAGGAAGAGAGCTCAGCCCACGACAACTCCTTCGCTCTGTGCCGACTTTTTGATCGAGACTTACTTGGACCACCAGGGCGAGCGTTTCTGTCTGCAGTACGACCCTAACTCGCTCTTGTATGTCTCCAAGGCCATGGATATGTTTGATCTTTCCGCATCCACTTCGGCTGAGACTGCAATTCGTCGTGCCAGGAACACTCTCCGTCTCCAGGAAGGAAAGGGGTCGTCCGCCCCCGAGAACGCCGCGACCCCTCCAGAGGAACAGGCTAAGGCTTGCGTCACTAGCACCCCAGCTGCAGAGTTGAAGGCCAAGGAGGAGCTTCAGGATGACCCCAAGGCTCAGTTGAACGATTTGAAGCAAGGCCTGAGCACTGTCAAGGATATCCCTACCTTGGTTTTGGGCATCCAGTCGGACATCCTGTTCCCTGTTTGGCAGCAAAAGGAGGTTGCCGATTGCTTGCGCGAGACCGGAAATAAGAGCGTGACTTACTACGAGCTCGACTCGATGTATGGCCACGATGCTTTCTTGCTCGAGGTTGTCAATGTCGGAAGCGCCGTCAAGGGACACCTTGAGCTGAAGAGATAGAGTAGCACTTCCAGGCCAATTCGCCACGATAAATGATCTGGTTATTAGCCATCGCTTTAAAGATTTTGCATGCTACAATCTTTTTGACATTTCCTGACAAATGCTGCTGCTGCTGCATGTCACGTGCACGAGACTGCCAACCTCAGAACAACAGACAAAAGTGCAAGTCGCCCCAATGCGCCTTGAACTCCATTCGCTCCTTCGTTTGTTGTTTCCCATCCCTCTCCTCACTACAATTCACCCCTCCTTCCTGTTTGCAGAACCAGAATCTGGTCATCCAGAATATCCCACGCGCACGGTGTCGGTCTCTGTTAACAATACTTCCTACTTTTTCAATCCTTCATTCTTCAAGTCTTTCTATCTCCCAACCCTATTTCGACGCATACGCACGTCATTTTCGAAACGCCACCGTTTTCTTTTGTTTGTATCCTCTCACTTTCGTTTGGCCAAGGGGAGCAGTATTTTTATTTCTCGGGTCAACAAGCTCAAAGCACGGAGGAATTAGATGAAGATCAAAAAGACTCCAGCCAAGAAGCTGGCCCAGCCGGTAAGATATCCTTGTTTGATCTGTGTTTATCGCTGGCACCCTCAAGGGACCCCGACAAAAAGATAAACAACAGTACTTTTTGATGGCGCAGTCGATAAGGAAAAACAGTTATCTGGATCCATATCGATTGACCAGCGCTGATGGAGCTCTACAGAAATTCGGCAGCCATAAATTTGATGATGCAAGGTATCTTGAGAGTGTTTGTTGTCATGCAATTGGCATACACGAGTGGTGACCTTGGCCGCATACTAGCGACGTGTGCGCTGGTTACAGGACACATGCAACAAATTGTAGAGGAGATATACCTCACCGCTGTGTTGGAAAACGGCTGTGGGCGTGTTGGGGCAAGCACCGCCATCCTGCACAAGTTGTTGTGCAACAAAAGTGAAATTTGCCACTAATTTTTCACACAGACATTCAATAACCGAGACGTTCATTGCTAATTCTTCCTCCTTATTCATACCGTGTTTGCGCGTTGTCTGTTTTAGCCACCTGCCGTAAAAACTCTGATCCAGGCGCTCACAGAATGTCCAGAGAACGAGATCCCAAAGCTCATTGAAGAGGTCCCGGAGTGGAACTGGCCCCGAGGCGACATCTTCCTCTGGGCTGCAGTGCTGAACCGATTCGACGACATCTTGGATACGCTCTGCAAGTCTCACGACATGAAGAAGCCTCACCCTAAGCCATTCTCAGAGTCAGACCGACGCCTCACACTGGCGATCCTCAACTTTTCAAGATTGCTTTTGGAGAGCTGCACGAATCGCAATCTTTATGCGTCATATGAGGTATGGATTTAATAACAGCAGTTATTTTGATAATGATCCAATGCCACAAGGCAAATGATCAGCACTCTGACTCTTTCCCCATTCCAATATATCTAGCATTTGAACGACCTCCTGCACTCGGACGATCTAGATATTCTCGAGTCCTGTCTTCGGCTCTTGCTCCGTCCTGCACAACGACACAGCGCTCAACGGACCGCCAAATCTATATTCACTGTTTCTCAGGATCGACTTTTGGCGCTCACACATTCATGGGGCACCAAGGATCACGGACTGGAGCTTCTTCACTTGGTCGACGAGAAGACACAAATCCCTGAAAAACTGTCGGGTCTTCACTTTCAATTCTACAGGACTGCAACCTACAACAAATCTACCGCCGGAACGACCACCGTAGCTGTCACCACTGCGCCCGCTTCCTCATCAGCTTCTACATCTGGATCAGCAACCGCACCCTCCCTAACCTCAACAGCCACATCCGCTATTCCCCTCTCCTCGCCCTCAAAACAAAGACGCGCTTCTCAATCAGGATCAGTCGCAACTACTACCACATCCTCCTCGACCCCCGGATCTGCAACCGAGGGCTTGGTTGTGATCCAAACGGCAGATATCAACAAGATGGGCGCCTCGGACTACGAGATTCTGGCGCGTTATGTCAAGGATTATTCCATCCCAGAGGAGCATCAATTCTCTCTCTTGAACAGGATCAGGGTTGCGACTGCCATGCGGAATCCACAGCGTCGTCGCCAGCTACTGATGATCCGCATACTGGCTATTGCCGTCATGGCTCATGTCCTCCCCGAGACGATTGTTACTGACAAGTTCTTCGCTTTCGAGCCTGAAATCGTCCAAACATTGACTGACCTTATCCATCCTGACCACAAAGTGCCTTTCGTAAGTCATTCAGTCTCTTGCGATCGTCACTATTTCCCTTATGGTTATATATTACAAGGCCGCTTACTCGATTGCTTTTATATTTTAGGATCTGCAAACGACGGCACTTTTCGCTTTGGATGGGTTGGCTCACTTGAGGAGTAAGCAGGCAGATGTGTTGACTGCTGTGAATGCCTCTGCTAGCCACGGTGTCCTTTTGTATATGCTCCGCAAGACCGTTGCAGGCTTGGATTCTGATGAAGGTAGGCGTACTCTATTACTCTATTAAGACCAACGACTTTTCAGCACTTGTTGAGGATGTCTAATTAATACGCTTGTTCGTTTATTCATTGTAGTGATTTACCCACAAGATTTCGTTGACGCCATCGTCGCTTTCATTGGATACATAATCAGCGGGCAGACAGGAGGCAACATGGTCATTGCAGCCGGACTCGTGGCAGTCTTGCTGAAGCTTCTCGTCAACAAGCGCGCATCACAAGTCAAGGTAAAGCGGCAATGCGCAATGCCGTTATGATGGTCACTGCGATATCTTTTCGAGACATGGATCCTACCTAACACGCTCCTTCCTTTGCATTGCTCTAGAATGTGACAAAATGCATACATCTCTTGGACAGTCTTATATACGGATACAGCTCAGCATTTACGTCTTTCTGCACTTCAGACGGACTCAACATACTCGTCGCTCGGATCAAGGATGAGGTTGAATATGCGCTCGGACTCGTCAAGGACTTTGAGGCTTCACAGGGTTCAGATAAATCTTCCAGCCCTAAAGGTACGATAATCTGACGGGTTTACTTTTTTCAATTTTACCTCCCCGGAAACATTCGACACTGACACTGTGTTGTACTATTGCTTAATAGAGGGTGAAGCTTCTCCTGTTCCGTTCGAAAGAACGGCCTTGCTCAAGTCTATGTTCAAACTTGTCCTCCACATGATGCAAAGCCCAGGAACGCAGGAGGGTCTCCGCAACCTGATCGATACGACACTGCCAGCGACGCTGAAGAAAATCATGGAAGCGCCTACGGCTCTGGGTGCAGCTGTTTATGCCCATGGTATGTTTTGTTTTGACCCCATATTCATGTCACCACCGCTCTCGTATTGAGTTGCGAGCAATATTCCTAACATTGTTCTTCCTTCATGTTCTCGATTGCCTGCGACAGCCATTAACACCATGGCGTCGTTCATCCACAACGAGCCAACCTCGCTCGCGATTCTTCAGGAGGCTAATATACCCCAAACATTCCTGGCCAGCGTATCCAAGGAGATCCCAACCTCACCTGACGTCGTGATGGCTATCCCCGGCGCCTTTGGGGCCATTTGTCTCAACTCTGCGGGATTGACGATGTTCAAAGAGACGTTTGACCTGAAGAGATTGTTCGACATCTTCACTTCAGTTCCTCATGTCCGTGCTTTTCAGGATAACGATGGAGCCTCGAATTTGGGTATGACTGTGGACGAACTGGTGCGTCACCAGCCTTCGTTGAAGCCGACAGTCCTCACAGCGGTGATTGCAATGCTCGAACAGGTCTTCACGATGTGCAGAGATATTACCTTTGCCGACGACTTGGAGCTTAGCGCACTTCACAAGGAACGCTCAAAGAGCGTACCAGCACTTGGCGACGTGACGGAGGAGAATGCCTCAAAGGTCCCCAAGAAGGACGGCCTGGTGCCGCCACTCATTGAGGCAGCCGCGAAGGTATAACTCCACGTTGTAATTTGAAACAGCTCGACGATCGTAATGTTGTCGTTCGCGTAATAACCAATTCTTTGTTGTTGTCTCTAGTTCTGCGAGAGCTATTTCCAGAACGCTACTATCGCCAAGGACTTTTTGAAGAGCGGCGGGATTGATAGCTTGATGAAGTTTTATTCCTTAAAGACCCTTCCGTACGATCTGGCGAATACCTCCGCGTTTTTCACCTTGTCGCATTTGATCAAGCTGTTGGCGGAAACCAACCCAGCTATCGCCGTTATCGCCGTCGTAGGAGAGGTTCAAAAACATTTGGATGTAGTCAAGCCTCTTCTGGATTCTGTCAACACTGGCTCTGACCTGGCCAAGTTCATTGATGTATCACGTATGTTTTTCTTTGGGTTTAAACTTGGCTCAAGCAAGTCGCGTTTTGTTATGTGTCGACCAAACTAATTTTTTATGCTTTCTCTTTCTGTAGAATCGTCAGATGAGGATGTCGCCCAAGGAAACCAGTACCTTCACGCCTTGGTTAGCTTGAATGCTCTTAGCGGCCTTCTCTCCGACATGTACCTCACACCTGCCTTCTCCCACGGCCGCAACCATGCAGCTGTCCTCGCCGCATTTGTGGCTGCCAAAGGAGATGAGGTCTTGAGTGGACTGGGCAAGCTCCACAGGTAAGAGAGTTGATTGATGATATTATGCAGACCACATCTTCGCACACCAACCAGCTCAACTTCAAAAAAAAGACATGAAACGTGCTTGATTCTCACATTTGAGTTAACTATCATTTTAGAATGTGCATCTGGGAAACCATTGCTTTGAAGCGTACCCTTCAGCAGGACTGGAACGACCCCAACCCCAAGGCCAAGCGCTCTACAAATGCTGCTTTGGTCCCTGGAACAGTCGACGACAACTATGAGGAGCCCGCTGCTGAGGTCAAGGAGTCGACGGAGAAAACTACTCCCAAGACAGATATGTTCAGCCCAGCAGCGATCAACACCAAGTCCTTCAAGTTTGTTTTGACACAGACACCACATTATATCACCCCACTTTGCCAAGGTACCGTAACCTTTGCGCGTTTGATATAGCGTGA